GCCTACCTTCTCGCGTTGAATCGTAACCTATCCTCACAGCAAGAGTTGAGATTGGCTTTGAAACACAAAGAATCCGTAAGAGACGAAGTACTGCCTCTTGAGCATCTCGCGACTCTCCCCTCCGAGAGGGCAGCCTCTCAGTCTCGAGTGCAACTGTGCATTTCGACAAGCTACTCTCGAGGCTCGAGCTGGGCTGAGATGACCAAGTGTTTGCATGCTGCGTGTGTGCCCTTTGCATCTGCTCTTGCTGACTGAAACGGGACTCTTGGCTTCCTCCGAGCTCGTATCGTCACAGTCCTCTCGAAATCAAAAAAGGCCATCATTTCCTTGCTCACGGACTGAGATATACGCCAATTTCTCCGGCATCGTGGGCCTGACAGAGGGATTGAATCTTGGTTCGTTGCGTAGAGGTTCCTTTGAGCCCGCGCGTGCTGGGCCTGGCAACCTCTTTGCGGTTGCCCTTGATCTTGTGGTGTTGTATTGGACGAGGCGGATGAGTCAGGTTTTGTTTGTCCTCGCCGTCTGATTTCTGGATTTTGGATTGCGTCTTCGACTCTTCGGTGATTTTGCTGATATGACGCAACCAAACACGAATCGTGGCTTGATGGCCGACAGCTATTCGAAGTAGATGACCAACATTAATGACGAGCTGCCAATTGTTGAAAATGTTCGCGCATGATGGATGCCCTTTTTCTGGTGCTAGACATTGATGTTAAAGTAAGAAGCATTCGGACTCTACCTGTACTGGATGTTAAGATTTCTGCGATCATAATGCATAAACACTTTCAGCGCTAGAGCATTGTCTAGTGACAGTCCGTGGTAGAGCCGTTGTCAGTGGACGATCTCACCATACTGAACATTGTCTATTTTGACAAGCAAAAGTCGGCAGTTGGTAAAGATGAGATGGAGCAAGGGGTGAAGGAGCAGCGTCAACAGTTCTCGAGTTCGGAGTCACAAGGTTGGCACAGTCATCTTGTTTGCGACAACGGAGTATTTAATGGTATGGGGCTCTGTGCAGTACAAAAAGAAGGCGCTGCGGACGATGTCGGCCTGGAATGGGCGATGACGCTCGGCGACTCAATGGTCCCTGCGCAGCGCGCACATCGGGGGTCTCGGGGGTGTCCTACCAAATCATCGTCAGCCTGTGGAGACAGCTTGACGTCTGGCAGCATGTTATCCGGTGCTGTTTGTCAGAAATATGAGCATTTGGTTGCTGGGTGGGCAGGGAGCCGTTTCCGCGATATTCCTCGCTTAGCTTTGTGGGATTTTTGCAAAGCTCGAGGTTGCTGGTTGATGAGACTCGAGTCGCAGTTTCACAAGCAACACCAGGGCCTCGAGGGTCAGCAAGACGGTTAGAGGAGGCTCGTTGTCTTTTCATTGGTAATGGATATTGCACAATTTGCTGGAGAAGAGTGGCCTGGGACGAAGGAGTCTGGGGCAGAGCCGATGTCGCAGTTCTGGTAGTGATGGTCGTTGTCTGTGCGTGCTGAAGCGGCCGAACGAGACGTAGTCACAGCTGCCTTCAAAAAATCAAAGACTCCCTCACTCTTTCTGTTCTATTCATCCACACATCCATCACAATGTCTTCTCGCACTGCCAGCAGAACTCTCCGCGCCGCATTGAAGCAGGCCTCGCGCCCCGCTGTCCAGCAGCAGCGCACTTACCTCAGCGCTGCTCTTAACGCTGCCCGCACCACTGGTGTCAAGCAGCTCCCCAGAGCTTCCGTTGCTGCTCAGCAGGTTCGCGGTGTCAAGACCGTCGACTTTGCTGGTGACAAGGAGCAGGTCTTTGGTAAGATTGACTCCCAATTGATTGGAAAAGTGAGCTGTATCTGACTCTGTTTCCAGAGCGCTCCGACTGGCCTCGCGAGAAGCTCCTTGAGTACTTCAAGAACGACACTCTTGCCCTCATCGGTTACGGCTCGCAAGGTCACGGCCAGGGTCTCAACCTCCGTGACAACGGCCTCAACGTCATTGTTGGTGTCCGCAAGGGCGGTGCCTCATGGAAGGAGGCCCAGCAGGATGGCTGGGTTGAGGGCAAGAACCTCTTCGACATTGACGAGGCCATCAGCAAGGGTACCATCATCATGAACCTCCTTTCCGATGCCGCCCAGTCCTCCACCTGGCCTCACATCAAGCCCCAGCTCGTCAAGGGCAAGGTACGCAATTCTGCTCTGACTGCTTTTTTCCGCATATCGCTAACCCGCTTACCAGACCCTCTACTTCTCCCACGGTTTCTCCCCCGTCTTCAAGGACCAGACCAAGGTTGAGGTTCCCTCTGACATCGATGTCATCCTCTGTGCCCCCAAGGGTTCCGGCCGTACCGTCCGCACTCTCTTCAAGGAGGGCCGTGGTATTAACGCCTCCATCGCCGTCTACCAGGACGTCACCGGCAAGGCCGAGGAGAAGGCTGTTGCTCTCGGTGTTGCCGTCGGTGCCGGTTACATGTACAAGACCACCTTCGAGAAGGAGGTCTACTCCGACCTTTACGGTGAGCGTGGTTGCTTGATGGGCGGTATCCACGGTATGTTCCTCGCTCAATACGAGGTTCTCCGTGAGCGCGGCCACTCTCCCTCTGAGGCCTTCAACGAGACCGTCGAGGAGGCCACCCAGTCCCTCTACCCCCTGATCGGTGCCCACGGTATGGACTACATGTACGCCGCCTGCTCCACCACCGCCCGCCGCGGTGCCATCGACTGGAGCGCCCGCTTCAAGGACGCCCTCAAGCCCGTCTTCGACGACCTCTACACCTCCGTCCAGACCGGTGAGGAGACCCGCCGCACCCTCGAGTACGCCTCGCAATCCGACTACCGCGAGAAGTTCGAGGCCGAGATGGAGGAGATCCGCAACCTCGAGATCTGGCGCGCCGGCAAGGCCGTCCGCAGCCTCCGTCCCGAGAACAACTAAACAAACCTCCTACAAAAAGTTGTTCTTCTGTTTTATACGATATGACCTCCGAGGGTGTTGGGCTTGATTTCCTTTTTGACTACCCTTTTCTTTTTTCTTCACGATGTATTCTGAGCTTGTGTTACATACCAAAATGGCAATGACAGGACAAAAGGTTCTTTTTTTCTTATGACAACCTTCTTTTCACATTTCTATCTTGAGTGTTATTGTTCAAAAGCTTTCTTGAGTCGCAACCACTTTTTTTGACGTCGGATTTTGCTTGTGATTTTGATATTCATGGCCGGCATGACATGTTTTGTGAATGACTCGTCTATGTACTACGCCGTATGGGGTAACTGCGGCTTGTTCTCACTTGCTATGGATGAGCCTAACACCATTGACATTCACTCTCGCGCCCTCTCAAATCATAGAAGTACAGCATACAGCAAAGAATTCTTCCCACCATCTTGTCCGTGCCTTACTCGGACTATGTGTTCAATCAACATGGAAAGTCTGATCACTGTGCTGGTGCTGCCGCTCCAGACCATGAAATATCAGACAGAGGTCATGTACATCATCAGGCTAGTACACCTGAGTTTCTCCCCTTGAGTCTCTTGGAACTATCGGCGGTTGGGATTTGTTGATGCGCTTCACGATACCATTCCACATGCCCAAGTCTGGACTGGAGATGGAATATAGTTCGGGGACCTGAGTGATCAGATTGTGGCTGCATGCTTGATCGCAATGCTCGCTAATTTCGGATGTATCGTTGTTCGGAGAGACACCTCGCATACAAATTCGGACTCACACCAGGTATTTGTTGATCGAGGAAGAACTCACAAAAGCTCAACTTATATATTTGTGGTGATATATCGTTGAGGTAGGTCTAATGGGATCTCATATCTTGGATCTTGCCTTTTCAAGTTGTCGTGAGGTTATCAGCGAGGACGATGCTAGTGATATCTACTGGTGCATATAACAGTAGGGTTCGCTTTGCTGTTAGTATGGCTCTTTCCTTGATGCAAACGCCGGACTGCGTTACAGAAGACTATTCAAGTCCACTGACAACGACGACGAAGACAACAACAACAGCACCAAGCACCAAGCACCAACACTTGTGAAGACAAGATGGACAGCCACATCGAGGAGTCTGCTCGTCATTACGGCGGATGTAGATCTGAATCAATGGAGAGGCCTAGTCAGTGATCTTCTTCACTCGAACAACATCTCCTGCTCTACGTTATGCTTTAGTTAATAAAAGTGTTGATTCACATTAGTATATATGCTCCTAGTTACAACTTTGCCTCTGGCTCTTCGAGCCTCTTTGACCATCTCCTACACTGGAACAACAGTCTCGACTTATTGACTTGCATCACCAAGCTTTCTGATACTCTAATCTGTCTGGGGATACACACAAGAGAATCCTTGGATGATGGTCTTATACACAGAGATACACGGACTCTAGCTCATTCAAACTTGACCGAGCGATCGAGGTATTTTTTGGTGTTGACGACGGCGATGGCGTGGTTTCGGACATTGGTTGGTCCTCGATGTAGACAGCGTGCATCTTGCGAAGGGGAGAGAGTTCCTTGAATAGATTGGCCGAAGATGTTCTCGTTGAGCTTGACTGGGGTTGTGAAAGGATAAATTTATAGTAGTTTGATTTTGTGAGCGGTGAGAAATGTATATCTAGTCACTGGTCAAAAGAGAGAGGAAGACGCATGTAGGCCGCCTTAGCCTTTGGAATCTCGAGCAAGTAAAGTGAAGACAAGATTTGTGGCTCCGTACACTTCCTTATAAATTGTCAGGTCAATTCAATTGTCTTTGGTACACTTGTGAAGGAATGTGTGAATGATAGTGTTGCATTGTTAACGTTATCGTTTACTCCACGGTGTATCCCCTTGAAACAGCAACTCCCACTGCCATAGAAACTCCTCGGACCAAAAACCAGAAATCAAAAGCAAAAAGAAATTAGACGCAAACGCAAACCTTCAAAGCATCAAGAGAGTAGACTTGTAGGTGACCTTGGCGACGTAGAGACTTTCTCTGTGAGCATCTCATGGCGGTCAATGCTGCAAGATTGAACTCATGTCCTTACCAATTAACCGCCTGTCATCATGCAATTGGCCAATTAGCCAGTAACTGCTCACACTGAGGGGTCATCAGTACGCCGACCACAGTAGCGACACCACCGATAGCGCCAGCAAATGCGCCCAAGGCGAACTTAGCGGTTGAGCGCTTGGCACGTTTGACAGGTCGAGATGTGTTCTGAGGTCGTGCCTTGAGGATATGCTGCTTGTTGAACTTCAGTTTGAGCAACTTGCGATCAGTGGAAGGAGCAGGGACGTCTTCATGGCCGTCGTCCTCGATGTCACGCTTGCGCTTGCTTCCAGTAGGAGAGTCCACCTTAGCAAACAGTTCAGTCGCTGTGGGTGTGGGAACAGATGTTGGAATAGGGCCATCTTCGAGTCCGTTGTCCTCGACAGCACGCTGGCGTTGAGTGCCAGTGGGAGAGTCTACCTTGGCGAACAGTTCGTCCACAATGTTATCGAGCTCTTTGTCGCTCTGTTGGGCCTTCAGAGATGCGTCCTGGCTCTCGGTGTCTTTCACTGTGTCTTGAGCAGCAGCTCCAGCAGCGTCTACGTTCTTCTTACCCTGAGAGACAGGTGCGAGCTCGGTGTCCTGGAGAATCGAGGGTGAAGGCACCTTGGGCATGATAGAGTTTGGTGTGAGCGTAACGGCGGACATGTTCCAGCGGTCGGAAGGTTCGAGGATCCAGGGGAGCGACATGATCTCGGCAGGTTCGTGAGCCTTCTCATTACCCTGAGTGTATGTGACCTTGGTCTGGAAAGTCTCGGTGTTGGTGACGTGGGCTGGTAAGATCTCAGGCTCTTCATGGAAGTCAGGTACATCGTCGAGTTCAGAGTCCTCCTGCTCTAGCTGCGTATCATCTGCATCCTCTGCGAGAGCAGAACCCGGAGAACGACTACCGTCTGAGTCAGCATGACTCTGCTCATCGTAGTCAAATTCATCAGGGTTTTCTGGGTAGTCGCTGGCCCCGCAATCGCTGTCGAACTCGGAGTCGGAGCCAGGGCCGTTGAAATAGTCTTGTGTATCATCATGCTCATCTTCGGAGTGGACGACGTCGTGAGAGCGGGCAGGAGAGTAGACAGGGTCGAGATCGATGTACTGCATGGCTGAGGGCTTTTCAGAGGTGGTGTTGATGGTGTCGTCCTTAGACGAGTCGGTTTCGTAGTCAGGGACACGGTATGATGCGGGAGGCATCGTCTTGCTGCTGTTTCCGCACAGATCGATGGGGTCGCTGCGAGTGGCACCAGTGCGGGTGACGTTAGTCACGGTGAGCATGACACCGTCGTGAGTGCCTGGAAGAGTAGTTAGCAGAGGGTATTCAAAGAAGTTGAAAGCGGCAGGGATTCACCTTCAGCACGAGAGACCTTGGTTCCAAAAGTGATGTTGTCCAAGGGGTGGATCTCGGTGCGAGCAATCTTTCTACCGTTGACATAGACACCATGCATCGAGTCAGTGTCTTCGAGGTAGACTGGACCCTAGAGTTGTTGTTAGCTGATTGCCAAGGGCGGAAAGAAGTAGATAGACTTGAGAGCTGGGATCAAGACCAAAACCAGATATACATACATAAGGACCATTTGGGGCAGAGAGGGTAGCGTGAGATCTTGACATGACTGCGCAGGTGAAGAGGGCGTTGTTGGTAGTGGGATCTCTGTTCTTGGTGAGACTGGCACGGCCGATGAGTACAGGTTCGTGTTCTGGGATGAGCAAAGTGCGAGAGGTGGGACCGGTGGATGGAGCGCCTTTGGGAGTGTAGACTTGGAGAGAGACAGTGACACGAGCGTGACCCTGCGTATGTGAAGAAGGCGCCATCATGTTGGATAGCGGCGGCGGGAAAGATGAGTAAAGAGGTAGAAGGGGCTAAGGTGAATTAGTATGATTGAGGTGAAGTGCGAGAGTTTTTGAGACAGGGTGGTTCGTGGAAGAAGGTTGGTTGATACACGCTCTACCAGAAAGGCAAGAAGCACCCGAGCGGGGACCAACTCCCATTGATAGGCCCAACCCACTGTCACATGCCACCACCAATTCGTTCCTGCCTGATTTCTGTTTTGACACTTTCACTGCTGTTTCCATTCTTGCATTGCAGCAGGCATTCGACAGAGTATTAGAAGCTTTCAGAAGCTGCTAGCTGGACCAGGTGCACTCTCGAGCTCTCGTAACTCTGTATGCTGATGACCACTCGGGTGCTATCTCAGGCAGAAGCCTTGCGCACTTCGACCCCTCTCTTTCAGGAGTTTCCCCTGCCCAACTTTGTAACGAAGCCTGGCAACCTCTCATCTACAGCACCAGGATCCAGCTTTGCACTTAGATGGTACGAAATAGATAGAATATACTTCTGAATGAGTTTATTTAACGCATGAGCCGACGACGAGACGATAAAGCAAAATCGGATCTAAGAACGGAGATAGACCCCGCCAAACAGTTGAAGCTCGGACTCTTGTGGCCGACGCGGGCAGCAAATCCTTAGCGCCTGGACTTGTGATTTTATCCAAGGAAGACGGCAAACTTCCGCGAACAAGTCATCGCCCGTCAGACTTGCGCCTGCCTGTGCTGTATGGAACTAGTCGACACCTGCCATCATGGAAGGTCAAGCCCAGCAGTTCGATGAGCTTCCTCCCAAGGAGCAGGTCATTGACCGCCCTCCTAAGCGCATCTCGGAACTCGAGTTTGGTGTCCTGTGAGTCAAGGTGCCATGCGCCTGCTCGAATATATTATCTCTGACTGTTTCTCTAGGTCCAACCAGGACATGGTAAAGCAGTCCGTCGTCGAAGTCTCCGATCGCAACGTTTACGACCTTGGTACTGGCCCTGGCGGCAAACGAACCCTCACCGCACACGGTCCCCTCGATGGCCGCCTCGGAACCTCTTCCAAGACTGGACAGTGTGAGCAGTGTAAAGAGGATCTCAAGAACTGCAATGGTCACTTTGGTCACGTCCGCCTCGCCCTTCCTGCCTATCACTGGGGCTACTTCAAGAAGATTATGGAAATTCTCAATACCATCTGCAAAGATTGTTCTCGAATCCTGCTTGACGAAAATACTCGCCGAAAGTACTTGCGCCAAATCCGTAGACCAGAGCTGGACTCTCTGCGCAAGGAGGCCATCTGCAAAAAAATCGTTGACGAGGCCAAAAAGACAAAGACATGCTTCTACTGCGGCTCAATCAACGGTACTGTCAAGAAGGTCGCAGGACACCCTATCAAGCTCATTCACGTCAAATGGCAGACATATCTCGCTTCCAATGCGAAATCGAAGGTCAAGCCTGCGTCTATGGTTGCCTTTGAGAAGTCGTTCGACGAGGCCAAGAAGGGTGTTCCGGATCTTGAAAAGCACGCAAAACGCGCAGTCGACGATATGAACCCACTCCGAGCCCTCAACTTGTTCCAGAGAATATCAACTACCGACGTCGAGTTGTTGGGCATGGATCCAAGCAGAGGCCGTCCGGAAGCTTTTATCTGGCAGTACCTTCCCGCTCCTCCAGTCGCCATTCGTCCATCGGTCGCTCAAGAAGCTGCAAGCACAGAAGACGATATCACAAACAAGCTCGGAGACATCATTCAAATCAACACTCTGCTCTCAGCTGGACTCAAGTCTGGTCAGCCGGTCATGAAAATTGTTGACATGTGGGAGTTCTTGCAGGTCCAGATCGCCATGTACATCGATGGTAACCTTCCTGGTCTTGGTCGTGATTCTGCCTATGGTAAAGCTCTCCGTGGTTTCTGTCAGCGTCTGAAGGGTAAGCAAGGTCGTTTCAGAGGTAACCTTTCAGGAAAGCGTGTCGACTTCTCTGGCCGTACCGTCATTTCCCCCGACCCCAACCTTAGTATCGAAGAGGTCGCTGTTCCCTCCAAAGTCGCTACGAACATGACCTACCCTGAGCGTGTCACCAGATACAACATCGAGAAGCTCCGCGCATGTGTCCTCCGAGGAAAGAAGAAGCACCCCGGTGCCAACTTTGTCATAAAGAAAGATGGCCAAAGAAAGGTTCTGGAAGTCGTGGAACGTATCGGCAAGCTGGATCTGATAGCAAAAGAGCTGGCGATTGGCGATGTTGTTGAGCGACACTTGGAAGATGGCGATATTGTGCTGTTCAACCGTCAGCCTTCACTCCACAAGCTCAGTATTCTTAGTCACAAGGTCAAGGTCAGACCCTGGAGGACCTTCCGTCTCAACGAGTGTGTCTGCAATCCTTACAACGCCGATTTTGATGGAGATGAAATGAATTTGCATGTTCCGCAAACCGAAGAAGCCCGTACCGAAGCCATCAACCTGATGGGTGTCAAGAACAACTTGGCCACACCAAAGAACGGTACTCCTATCATTGCCGCCATTCAGGATTTCATCACAGGAGCCTACCTTTCTTCCATCAAGGACAACTTCTTCGACCGCAAGACCTTCAGTCAGATTATTGGTTTCATGTTCCACGACGATGTGATCGAGGATCCCGAGACTGGAGAGAAACTGTCCATTGAGCTTCCCCCTCCCACTGTCTGGAAGCCGCAACGTCTGTGGACTGGCAAACAAATCTGGAACGTTTTGATGCGACCAAACAAGAAGCTCAACGTCCTCGTCAACTTGGAAGCCAAGTGCAAGCAATACAAGGCTCCTCCCAAGGGTGTGGCACCCGACATGAACGAAGACGATGCTTATCTAGTTATTCGCAATTCAGAAGTCATGTGCGGTTACATGGACAAGGCAACAGTTGGTGACGGAAAGAAAGACTCAGTCTTCTATGTCATGATGCGTGACTTTGGTCCCGACTATGCCGTCCACGCTATGAACCGTCTTGCCAGATTGTCCGCTCGTTGGCTCACCAATCAAGGCTTCTCGCTCGGTATCAGTGATGTATACCCTAGTGATGCACTCACGGCGAAGAAGATGGACTTGATCAGAACCGCAGAGGCCAAATGTTATGAGCTCATTGACCTCTACAACAAGGGAGAGCTGGAGCGCGATCCTGGTTGTGACGAAGAGATGACCATGGAGAACCAAATTTCTGGTATTCTCTCCAAAGTTCGTCAAGAAGCTGGTGATGCTTGTTTCGCTGAGCTCAGTCGCCGCAACTCTCCCCTTGTCATGGCCAAGTGCGGTTCCAAGGGTTCGAACATCAACGTCTCTCAAATGGTTGCTGCTGTGGGTCAACAAATTATTGGTGGTAAGCGTGTTCTGGAAGGGTTCCAAGACCGTACTCTGCCTCACTTCGCCAAGGGTAGCAGAGATGCACCTGCCAAAGGTTTCGTTGGAAACAGTTTCTTCTCAGGCCTGAACCCTACTGAGTTCATTTTCCACGCCATGTCTGGTCGTGAAGGTCTGGTCGATACCGCTGTCAAGACTGCCGAGACTGGTTATATGTCTCGCCGTTTGATGAAGTCACTCGAAGACTTGTCAGCTCAATACGACAACACTGTTCGTAACTCATCTTCTGGTATCGTTCAATTCCAGTACGGTGACGACAAGCTGGATCCCGTGGATATGGAGGGCAGTGCAAAGCCTGTACACTTCGACCGCAGTTTCACCCATGCTGTCACCACTACATGGAACCTCAACGATCGTGGTTTGAGACCATCTGAGATCATGCAAATCACAACCGACACTCTTGACCCCGAGAGAGCCAAGCTTGAGCGTATCTCTTTGACAGGCGAGAAGCTCGGCTACAACGACAAGAGCGATCACGGTGTTGATCAATTGGAGAGTGCTCGTGACTTCCTCGACACTGTGCAAAACTATATCCAGATCAAGTGTGATAAGCTGGCTGCTATTCGCACCAAGATTGGCATGGATTCTGGTATCAAAGACCTGGGCGACATTGATGCTGCCGTGGCAGACGATTGCGAGCAAAGAACAATCGCTGATGGTGTGCTCAAGATCTCAGCTGCTGCCCTCAAGGAGTTCCTCATGCTGTGTTTGACCAAGTATGAGCGTTCTAAGGTTCAACCAGGTCACGCCGTCGGAGCCACTGGTGCCCAGTCCATCGGTGAGCCTGGTACACAAATGACTCTCAAAACTTTCCATTTTGCTGGTGTCGCCGGTATGAGTATTACTCAGGGTGTACCCCGCATCAAGGAGTAAGTGGTTCTTTTCCAAATTGATGAAATCTGCTAATTTCGCATCGCACCGTCCAGAATTATCAATGCAAGTCGTGTCATATCAACTCCCGCAAGTGGCCTCCCTCCGTTCTTATCAAATTTTGCTAATTTAGTATCAGGTCATCTCCTGCACACTCGACTCCAAGTATGAAACCGTCGCTGGCCGCGTTGCGAAAGCAATGATTGAGAAAACCTACCTTCGCGACATCATCGCTTACATCGAAGATGTCTGGTCAGTCACCAGTTCTTACGTCAACATGCGCATCAACTGGGACACAGTCATGAAGCTTGGTCTGCGCCTTACCACCCAGGACATTACTTTCGCCATCGCCAAGAGCAAGGCTGTGAAAGCCCTTGGTGTACAAGTTGCACCAGTCGGCAAAACACACATCCGTGTCAATGTTCAATACGTCCCAGAACCTCGCGGCAAAGCAGCACTTAACAAGACCCGCAAGCCTCTCGAGATCTTTGATATTATTCAGGACTTGAAGCGTATCCTCCCCAATGTGGTCGTAAAGGGTTACCCTGACTGTGCCCGTGCCATTGTTAAGAAGGATGACAAACCTGACGCCACTGGCCGCGAACCTGTTTCCGTGTTGGTCGAAGGTTATGGCTTGAAGAACTGCATGACAACCGAAGGCGTGGACGGCTTAAGAACAAGATCCAACAACGTCATGGAGGCTAAAGACGTGCTTGGTATTGAAGCCGCTCGCAGCACCATCATTGCGGAAATCAGCTCGGTCATGGGAGGTATGGACATCGATCCTCGTCACATGCAGTTGCTCGCCGATGTCATGACCTACAAGGGTGACGTCCTCGGTATTACACGTTTCGGTCTTGCGAAGATGAGAGATTCGGTCTTGCAGCTTGCTTCGTTCGAGAAGACTCCTGATCATCTGTTCAACGCTGCAGTGGGTATGAAGAGAGATCGCATCGAAGGTGTCTCAGAGTGCATTATCATGGGACAAACGATGTCGCTCGGAACTGGTGCTTTCAAGGTGGTTCGCAAACTGGGCATCACCGAAGCTGAGCATGGAAGGAAGAAGTCAGCCTTTGAGTCTGCATTTGCTAGTCTACCAAAGACGATCGCTGCTGCTGCTTGAGAGGTTCGGGAAAAGAGGATAGTCACACGATGGGTGGGAAAGTCATGGTTATGAGCATTGCGAATGGCGTTATCAAGATGTTGTTTCTTCTTCATGAATAGTTTAGTATACCCGCACGACCATAAAAGCGATTGATCAAAGAATGCAAATGTTAGCTCTACAGTACTTCTGCCCTCACTTGTGTGTCTCTTGTACTGCCATTTATCGTCCTTCCAGCCTCTCCGTATGTGAAGTATGTAAAATATGTAGCTATGGAAATGCATAATACTCTTAGGGGACAGGACAATGATCACTGAGAAGTGACATTCAAAGAGCTCTCCTTGGTCATACCTCTGCTTCTGGAAACGATTGTGCCTTTCTATAGGAGTCTCTGATTACTCGATCAGTGCTGGAGCAACCGGAGATAAATTGCGGGGTTTGAACGGAGAGCTCTCCCCAAAGTTGTCGATGACGTTGAGGAGAGCTTGCTTACACAATCTCGAACGACCTCTTTTGTACCACTCTATCCTCCCATCCCAATGTTCCTTCGCAGTCCTATCCTTCGCCTTGCACAAACTCAGCGTCAATACGTTCGTGTAATACCTGAAGCTATCACTAAACCTATATCCAACATCATGTCTTCCGATGCACCCGAACCCACTGGCTTGATCGCCAACAAGGGTCTTGAGCTCTTGACCTTTGGCACTCCTAATGGTCACAAGATCACAATCTTCCTTGAGGAGTTGAAGGAAGCCTATGGCAAGGACTATATCTACCAGAGCGTCAACATCATGAAGAACACACAGAAGGAGCCTTGGTTCACTAAGCTGGGACCCAACGGTCGTATTCCTGTTCTCATTGACCATGACAAGGGTGGCCTTGCGATTCAAGAGGGCTCAGGTGAGTCGTATTTTGGGCACGGTGATCTTCAAGAGGAAGTGTCAAACTGACTCGATCTGCCTTCTCCCAGCCATCCTCGCGTATCTTGCTAGACACTACGGTAAGCTTCTCCCGATCTATGGGACGTAAAGTTGGATAGTATCCTGACTAGCATCAATAGACCCAGAGAACAAGTTCTCGTTCAAGGAAGACCCTCAGCTGTCCTACCAAGAACAGTGGGTCGCCTGGCAGCACGGTGGTCTAGGACCTATGCAAGGTCAAGCCAACCACTTCTACAGGCTAGCCAAAGAGCGCATTCCTTATCCTACACAGGTGCGTAACGTGAAGATTTCGGAGTGTGGTCCTATATAAGGTTTGAAGTTGCATACTGACCGCCTTTTCTGTCAAATAGCGTTATGTGGGTGAGACGGAACGCCTCTACGGCATCCTGGACAACCAGCTCAAGAACAACTCCTACCTCGTCGGCAATAAGTACACAATCGCCGACATTGCAAACTATAGTTGGGTCAACCTAGCGTACTTCTCTGGCGTCGACCTTAGCCAATTCCCGAACTTGGAGAAGTGGTGGAAGTCGATCAACGAGCGCTCGGCAGTCAAGAAGGGCCAGAACATCCCTGGACCTTCGCCCTACACCAATGAAAACTTCCAGCAAAAGCTCAAGGATGACAAGGAGTTTGCAGACAAGAATGCCGAGTTGCAGAAGTTGAGAGACGAGGCGAAGGAGCAGTACAACTACAAGTACTCGAGCCCTTAGGTCAATGTTTCACTGTAACACAGCTTAAACGGATACGGACAGAGAATCAGAATCTGTAACAGATCTTCAAACAGTCTGACATCGAAACCGAATACCTCACTTGCCCTATCATGCAATTTAACACAAGTGCCTTTCCCTCGTTTCCGTTTTCCCGGCCGTAAGTACAAGGTAGATGCGAGCCAGTAATGTTATGCGGAGACAAGAGCGGCAAAAGCTGTGCGTCCATTAACATGCAGACCGCGATCCAGAAGTCACGAGTAAATATACCGGTAGAAGTGTCTTGATAAGATAAGAAAGAACGAGATAGCAACTGCCTGCCATTGAAGTCATACGTACCAGAGAAACCAAGGAAATGCAAATCACACTCATCTGCTCGCAACAAACGTCTAACGATGTTGCCGGAGGTGCCGGCAAGCACAACAACAACAGTCCAAGAGCCTCGAGTCTTATGGAGGCATGCGTCAGGCAAAGACACGGTATGCGACTGCCCCAACGGCGAAAGGGGAGGAGGAAAAGCAGCTAGAGACCCTGCATGGCAGTTCGACTTGTTGACGGTGATCTGCAAAGATGGTCCACCACCCTCCTTGTCTCCCTTCTCCGCAAAAAGAGACCGCAGACCACGAATCGCCATCACCGGCAAGCGTCATGCAAGCCTTGTCTCACCGCTGCAAAGAAAATCACCTAGTTGCCAGTCTAGTATACTTTGCTCAGCCGCTGCGCATTTTTTACAAGCCAGTCGCAATGGCTTGCGCAACAGGCGTGTAGATCGATTAAATCGAGAGGCTTGAATCGTGATGCGGGTGTACGAATCAGGTAGCCAAAGACAGAGATGCATGAAAGGGAGAAAAGGCCGGCCAGGCGCATTTGACCGTTCGTGCGAATCAAGGCTTCTCATGCAGACATCCACACACACGCTGCATCACGAAGGACCCTATCGCGTCTTTTGGTCATTTTTCTTTCGCTGCTGGACACAAGTCATGCGGATGTTGTGTACGCTTGAAGAAGAGGGTGTGTAGGCCGCTGCCAGCCAGGCACCGGTGCACATCTTTTTGACTGCTGAACGAATCATTCATTTCATTCTTGGCTCTATCATTCTGCTGCTCTGGTGATAACATCGTTTTTTCAGCTCTGTGCTTTTACGTTGCGGTCCGGTCCTAAAGGGAAAATGGGAGATTTCTAGGCGTGCTGGGCTCCTAATTTATCGCGAAGCCTGGCTGGTGTTGACTATTTTCTTGTTCCCGGCCCTGTTTTCCTCTCCGTAATGCTCGCTCTATTTGCCTGTCCTCGTCAATTCATGCTTCTTGCCCTTTTGTGATGTACTTTTGTACTTGCATATCCGTAAAGAATGCATGCAATCTCTTTGGCTTTTCTGCTTCGCCATCATGATCATCATGAATCAAGCAAGCTTGACGCGGCGCAGATACACGAGGGGGCCAAGAGTCAGACGGCGCGTTGTCGCGCACGGCATGACTCCCCCTCAATCCACAGTCCAGTCCACATCTGATGATCTGACCTTTGGCACCTTTTGACGCATCAAAGAGGCAGAAGGACCGTGTCCCATATCGCGACCATTAATCCCAACGTCCGGGCGCCATCATGTGCCGGCTAGACGCTTGGTCTAACAGGTGGTCCTTGGTCGATCTACTTGTTCGCGTGAGCGGTGAAGGGAGAGCCGTTGTGCCTATTTCCAGGCCATTTCCTAGATGACCGTTTCACTTGATAACTGGTAATCATTCATATATGCTATCCGACCCTTGCGGTTGCCCCTCCTCCCACGCTCTGGCTCCCATCCACATCTACTACTCCTCGTATATCCCATTTTATATTAACCAAGTCCCGCGAAGAACCTCGAGTCTTTGCGTCCTCTTTGTCATACGCCTCGTCGTCACTTGGGAGTCCTGATCTTTTTAGCTTTTTTTGCTTTGCTCTTTTGTGACTCTTTCTTGTTGTACAAGTCTGTCATTTCAGTCACAGCACAGCCCACCATCCTCTTTCCACTCTGCTGCCTACCCACTACACTACTACTGCACACCTCAACGTCTACGACACCCTAAAAACAACTCCGCCTCACATCACTGCCTGCTGCTGCCTATACGCCAGCTTGATGTCCACCTCTGCAGCAGCACAAAAGCAATCTCGCCGTACAACATGGCCCAACCTCCAAACCATCACAACCAACATGTCGAAGAGCAATAGCAAGAGCCCGTCACCACCTGCAATGGATGACATAGACGAGGACCCCTTTTCACACTTCCTATCACCTGTACTCGACGAAGACGACCCCTTTGATGGCCTCGACTACAACGCCGGCATCGACAGTCCCTTTGACGAGGAAGTAGAGCAAAAGCGAACGACATTCCGTGTCAGGCTAGAGGAGAAATGGGGAAACTTCTTGTCGTCTCGCCGCACGCCGTCACCGCAAAAGTCACAACAGACACCGCCGAGGACACCGCCATCAGAAGATCAATTGCCTGAGCTCATCATCGACGACCTCGAGGGCTTTGGTTCACCGTCCTCTTCTCCACCTTCTCGCCTTCCCTCTCTTACAACACTCAAGGATATCATCCACGAAGAAGATGAGGAAGTGGATGGCTGGGAAGCAGATCGCCGACGCAGCCGTGTCCTGCGCCGCAAGAACAACTTCCACCTCGACGAGATGGATAGACCTGTCACCGCACCTTCACCACGAACTCACCGTCCCAAACTTCAACGTCCCAGATACAAGAGATTCAGGACATTGAGTGGAAGACCCCACTCCTTCGTGGCACCTTCTCCTCATCTCTGGACTGTGAGTGAGCATGATGAGATCTTGGAGCAATTGAGGAACGAAATGAGAGGAAGAAGATCTAGTCGATGATCCCTTCTTCTTTTGCGCTTATCAACAAAAACAAACCTGGTTTCGATATCATGATGGATGACTCTTTTATGACGACGAAAATACACGAAAACGATAACTTCTGGATGATGTTCTCCTTTCTCTCGTCATGAAGTCACGCAATCTCTCGTCTTTGCTCTGCTTTTCTGGGTTATACACAGCATTCTGGCGTTCTCGGTCTGATCTCTCTTGCATGTTTTCGCTCGCTTATCTGGTTTCTCTGCGGTGTTTCCTCTTTCCTTGCGACTCTCGTTTTCTGATCTATACCCAAGCTTCTTGTTTTGTTGCATTTTTGTTTTTCATGATTTATGGCGAATGCAGGTATGGCTGAATGTTTGCATGCGAATGGCTTTTTGTTTTCTGCTTTACCGACAGATATATATACATTGGAGTTTTCACGGTCTCGGAGCATCATGGAAAGGTTACAGCAAGCAAAATATACACTCTTGAGCTCACGCTCTTACCCTACTCATAGCATGATCTCTCATCTTCGTCTTTAGTGTTTTTCGACTCTTGTGATGTATCGAACTGGCATGTGATGATCGGCGAGTGACTTTTAAGTACACCTCGTGGCATGTACACAAGTCCCTATTCTCTCTTTAGCCCTTCTCTCGTGAGGGATATCACAATATCCCTCCCTCATTCCTACCCCTCTTCTTCTTGTCACAAAATGACTCAGAAGGTTTTGAGATTATGAGTCAAAGAGGAAGTTGACAGGGCTTTTAGGCCTCCCCTGCATATCACTGTCAAACCTACCAGAGTTTGTCTTTTGTTCGGGAATACCTTCGCATCGTCTGTGTAACTCTGGTTCAGGCCTCCTGTTTGCGGTTTTCTAGAAGGATTAAGGCGTCGATGGTATGGGATGCCTTGACCATTTCCCTTTCGTGTGCCTTTGACGGAGCGACGTCCTATCATCGCTAGGGTCTTTTCTTTGTCTTTGTCAGCCGCGTTTTCTCATCGCCATGACTATCTATATTGCGAAGGACGGCAGTTGTTCTGAAATAGGCAGTCTGTTTTGTTTATCTTTACCCCGCACCTCTTTGCTCATTCCACCCCCACGCTTTCTTGGTGTCTCAGATCGCAGCGATGGGACGTTTGTCTTTGAAACCGCCAATCCTTTGTACTAAACCTTCGATGATGGCGTGTTTGACGGAAGGTTTAAGGAGGGTTTGATATCAACACAAACCTCTGTTGCAACTTTAGGGGAAGGGACATTAGGATCTAGGGCTGTTTGTTGCCTACGGGTCGAGGAACACTAAAACACTCCCTCCCTTTTCGTGATGCCAAGGAAGAAGGTATGACACCGGGTCATCCATTCTCACATCCATCTATCCCTTGAATCCACTCTTTTCCCTCCTGGGAGATAACGCAAAAAGACACCGGTATAGCACCTCGGACCGGACAGTTTAAACGCGCAAAAACAAGAAGCGGGGTGCATGGAGCAAAGAAGCGGTGAAATAAATGCAACTACGCAAATGGCGTGGTCTACTCGTACTCGTACTTTAGCATCAAAGCACACAGACCAATCATGCCATGGCGTGTTCTTTTTTGCTCTTTGATATCATCAAGTAAAGTGGATGAATTTCTGCACTTACGGACGTGATGGCGTTATGGCGCAATAACTGAAGCTTTTTCTATTCTTGACGATAAGAAAAGATCAATGCTATGCGGAAATAAGGATGGTTGAATATGACGCCGATGAAAGACCTTGCTACTCTGGTATATACTTTTCCTTGCTACTCTGGTATATACTTTTCTGTTCTTGCTCTCGCTGCTCAGAGATGAGTACAAGGTATAGATAAGGTAGTGGTATTTTTTGAGTCCTGTACTACTCGAGAAGCCAGCCAAGCTGTCATAAGATAAGCAGTGTAACCGCTCAAGAAGACACAAGTACCGATATGAAAATCGAAAAGCCACTGGATTGTACGATTGGTCCTGCTTGCCTGTCACAGAGATCGAGTCGCAAATGTGACGGATGATCATAATGAACATGTTATAAAATGATAAAGATCATGATATACATGCATTGATACCTCTGCTAACGTATCAGTAGCTATATTGCCGCTTAAACTAATATACTGATCAAGCCTCGACAGTCTTTCGCCTTGCCGGCCGGTCGCTCTGATGTCGTGCATAGCAAACTAAATTAGACGCATACACTACGTCTACATCAAAGCCTCGAACGCATCCAGCGCGTCTTGGTTCTGCTTCTCCAAATCGGCGTTATTGGTGAAAGCAGCCGCTTTGCCCATGAACTGCTTCATCTTGACTGGGTCATCCTCGACACCTGGTAGCGCGAAATCGTACAGGCGGCCAAAGTCACAGCCCATGGTAACGACTGCTTGTGCACGAGGCCTTCGAACTTGATCATAGGCTTTCAGAACTTTCTCGATCTGCGAGACTGAATCCAGACGGCGGAAGAGCGCGGTGAGGACTGCGGCGTCTTCGATGGCTTGAGCTGCACCTTGTCCGACGAACGGCATGCATGCATGTGCTGCATCTCCCATTACAGCAATGTTGCGACGGTTGTAATAGGGTGCGGGCTCATGTTGTTGAAGCTCCCAGGTAATATGAGGATCCTCCGCAACAAGCTATTTCGAATATAGTCAGTATAGGGCTCGTCTCTTGTAAAGCTGAGTTCGTTGACTTACCTCGACAGCGGCTTTTGCATCCTCGCGGTAATCTGCAAAGCGCTCCTTCTCGAAGGGTGCGAGACTGCCATCGCTCGCGATACCAGTACGTGTCACGCAAATAATGCTCAATTTCTCACCCTTGTGGAGAGGCATCATGTTGACATGACCCTCTTTACCACACAGGATTGGCACTGTTCGCCTCCACTTCGAGTCGATTGTCTTCATCGCGATATCCATGGGTACTTGGCGCGAGTGTACCCTCCAGCCGTCAGGGTTCTTCGGCGGTACGGCTGGGTGATCCGGTCCAAGGATATGTTTGCGAGTCCCACTATGGACGCCGTCCGCACCAAGCAGACAGTCAGCTTCTGCTGTGGTACCATCCTTGAATGTGAGTGTAACCTTGCCGCTGGCATCGTCTTCCTTGATACTGTCGAGCTTCTTGCCAAAAGAAACACGATCCTTCGGCAACAAAGCCAGCAAACCATCAAGCAAGTCCGATCTAGCCACGGTCCTGCGACCTTTTGCTTTGCCCAATTCTGCGACTACTTCGCCGGTGTTGGGTCCGCTCACAAGAATGACTTGTGTCACCATCTCCTCGTCTTCCTCTCCGGCCATGGTAAGAGCTTTGGCGAAGTATGTCTTCTTTATCGCAGGGTGGATAAGGTCCATGGCAGTGATAGCGTTTTTGTGCAATGCAAGTCCGGCACCAATATCGGTATATTTTGGTACACCTTCATAGATGTGTACGTCCAGGTTGGGGTATTCCATCAGACCAACTGCAAGACAGAGGCCTCCGATGCCTCCGCCAGCAATCGCGATGCGAATTTTGTCCTCTGAATGAGGCATTGTGCAGAAAACAACTTATCAAGTGGTTGGTGATCCAAAATGACCGTGTTTTACGTATTTGAAAGTGGTGGTGATGAGAAAGAAGCAAACTGTTTGTGGTAGCCTGGCTTCAACGTCGAATGGACAGATGCCCAAGAGCAGGCTGACGGTTGAACGTCAACATATACGTCTCCCATGCTGACGATTGTCCGACAAGAACACAATGATGTCCGGATGCTAGGTTCGGAGAATAAGTGTATCGGCCCCAAGCCCTTGAAGCTTGCATGTCGTCAGATCATTGCTGAAACTGGACAGACTGTGGGGTGTGCTTTCCTGCCGAAAGAAAACATCGAAGTTGGCTTGAAGAAACCACAATTCTCCCCTCCATTTAGAGTGTGCTATCTTGCTGCTGTTTCAGACCGAATGCACGGGACGAACAAGGACAGAACATGTGGTGGGAAAGGCGGGCTCCCGCAAGTCGATCGCTTGCATTGGCCAATGCGGGCCCCGCATCACACACCCTCCTTCGACGTGCCGCCAGTCGACAGACTGAGTCCTTGATTTTGACATCCAAGAAGGCTCGTAGAATTGTGGACGAGAGGTCCTGACAGACCTCGACCGGCTGCCACAGGTATCTACTTGGACAACATTCCTCATGCGGCTGGCAAGGCGATATATAATGGTCCCGCAATGACCCGGAGATTGATGCCCATCATCTATTTTCCTTTCCATCTCATCTATCGTTGCAGCCCTACGACCCAGCATCCAGATCACAAGAATACTCCTTGCCTTTTCAGGCCGCAAACTGTCTCCAGATTGACCTTGGGAGATTGTCTCCACGCTGCGGTGCCCAAAAGCAAAGGGCCTCCATTCGCTGACCGGTCGTATTAGCCGAATCTGCATGTGCAAACGCCATTCGCCAGCAGTTTGGGCGGAAGTTCGCTGTGCGTTTGCCTGGTTTCTGAAGAGTCACCTCCTTCTTCTTTCTTCTCTTTCCAGAACAATGTCAATCTCCCTTTCTTCTGCATGTCTCTCTGTAGCAATGTCTGACTTCTCTCCAAGCCTTTCGACCATATTGACGATAATCGCCTACTGTATCTCGCGATAAAGGAACGTTGTATACTGTTGCAGCTGTTCCACCCCGCGTTTGATGCCTGACCGCATTTTGCGGGATACCCAGCATTCGATCGGTCCACCGCCTCCCTTGCCGAGTATCGACGTGAGTCATTGAGTGATCCTATCCAGACTACACCGCACCATGGCAGATACAAACCCTGCTGCCAAGCATCCACCAGCGGCCACTGTCGAGGATTGCGCAGATACAGATGATGAGAAAGGTGACTCCAGCGCATCCAAGCCGGCTTCCAACTCCAGTACCAAGAGGAGCCGCAAGACCTTAGATCCTAAAAGGAGCTCTCCCAGCAAAGCAAGGCCAGCTAGTGTTACTGGACCGCCAGAAGCTCCACTACCTCCCGGGGATACGGATGCTCCTTCGCGACAACCCGAAGAACCTGCATCTCAAGGAGGAGCAAAGGAGGAGGTAAGCTGCGAACCAGGGGCCAAAACGTCACATAGATCAAGACGACCTAGTCAAGCTCCTGCTCCATCCAGCCCTGGTCGGGTTCCCAGAGAAATAAGACAGGATCCAGAAAGACATCGTCGTGAAAGACGTCCTCCTAATGAGCCTCCTTGTGGTTGCAGAGACTGTATGAATGCATCCCATCATGGTACAAGACCAGGACCCAACCCTCTCCAGCAGGATCATCGTACCCACACATTCCCTGCGAGGCCTCCCCATGGCCCACCTCCGATCGTTCGCCATGGTCCACCATCTGGTGTCATGCCCCCGGGACATATACCACCACCTGGAGCGAGGATAGTGTATTCACCTGGTACCACTTTCGCAGGATGCCATCCTCCACCTCCAGAGATGATGCCCAGGTTCGACCCTAGGTCACAGCCAATGCATTCTGGTATGCCACCTCCTCTTTATCCCAGCATGTATGCTCCTTCTGGTGTCTCTATGCCACCACCCTTGCCTGGCGCAGGAGGACCGCCACCACCCATGAAGTTACCAATCAGGCCTGCGATTCATCATCCCGAAAGATCAAAGACCACGACCTCATTGCCAAAGCGTTCGTCCAAGATCTCGACATACGACACTACCTCTGCTCCTTTCTCTCCTGATGACGATGAGCACTTCTCAGCTCGAAACTTGCCTTCGAAACCGCAGCATATGCCGGGAGGGTTTGAATCGGATTCCTACTCTTCCGAGTCGCCGCCGGATAGTCCTGAATACTTTAAGCAGCCAAGGCGGCCCGCCACCTTTCATCGTGCCACTACGTCGGCAGTTCAGCAAATCAATCGGAGTGGCCACACAAGGTCGAGATCGGATTATCCGGCAGAGTCGGCATATGGTTACCACCGCGCGTATCCCACTGAGCCTGCTTGGGACCAGAACATACATGCCGGATACTCAGACCATGGGGACCAGCGATCCTACCCAGGCGGCAGACGAGGCTCCAACGCAACTACCTGGACGCAGCATACCTCAGCTTCTGACCCTCAACACCCAAGCTATGTCCACTACAACCAGCACAACTTCAACAATGATGAACACGCCGCCATAGACTACATGAATCAAGCTCGCGGCCACTCCGAAGAAAGAATTACGGCAGAAGCACTACGTCAACTCCCAGGAGGTCCCCGCAGTACGCGAAGCAATCACAGCCACCGCCGCAGCCAACACAGCATGAGCGAAACATCCTCGCGGCACCGCGGCGCAGAAGGCAGTGTAAAGCTGATCATGTCCATCGCCGCAGCCGAGGACACGAGGATCCAGCTGAGCGGCGACATGGGCGATCGCGAGGTATCGTTACGTTCGACCAATGATCCTGGCAGGGTGGAGGTTACAATCGCAACGGTTGCTGGTGGCGAGTCTAGGTATTTGAAGAGTGCGAGTCAGACTTCTCGTGCACCTACGAGGTCTTCGGGTAGTACGAGGCATGCTACTCGTGGTGGAGCTGAGGGGCAAGAGCAGGGTCGTGAGTATCGAGAGCATCGGGAGCGTCGAGAGAACAGGCATAGCAGTCGTGCGCCATCATCCAGAAGATCGTGATTGGAGACGGCACGGCGTTGGTTCTCTCAATCGGAAAGTAGGCCAGGAAAAGCTGGACAACACTAATGACATGATTTGATGATTTTACGAACGTGACGGGGTGGTTTCTTTGGTCTTGACAAAGTTGTTAGCATCTGACTTTTGTTTCTGCCGCGCAGCGTAGCGTTCCTGGTTTCATTTCTGCTTCTGCTGTGTTTATCTAGGTAGCATTCGCGTCTTGGACATTCTCAGCCTCACGGCGGCAGGCAGCGACTACTTCTCAGATAGTAATGAAAATGACTCGCAACAGAAGGTCTTGATGAGGTTCATGGGATTTTCGTAGTCATTAGATGTGAATGTTGTCAGGTGGACATGCTCGTGTGAAAAACAGACTCAAGCATAGCACGTGATATCAGAATCAACGCGCAAAACACCACAACAAACAACACCATCGCTGTTTGAAAAAAACAACTCTTCTTCAATCACCAGCTTACAAGCCAGAGTATCAATGAAAAGATAAGTGATTCGCGTCAGCCCGAAGTAGTGCAATACGAGCGACACTGTGCCAGAAGATGATGAGCAAGCCCAGAGCATCTCCCAGCCAGTTCCAAAAAGTAGAATAATCATGAGAGACGGTCCGTAGACCGGTCACAGCGATTAAACTATGAAGAACAGATACTACACTTGATCCTGTAGCGAAGTTAGCAAGATGTCAAAAAGCTGATTGGAAAAGGACCCACTAAGCCAGAAGGCAAGAGACTTGAGGAAAGAAAGAAAGAAGAGAGGGAAGATGCTGGTGGAGGAGGCTGCTTAAATACCAGTGAGAGCAGGGAAAGATTATGTAAGCATGTATGCATTGTTTGAATGACGGAGCATCCAGAATTGACTAGAAGATCGTGGAAGTGTGTTGGAGTGAAACTGGGAGCAGAATTGGAAGTGAAACTTGGATGAAATAGCAAACGGAACTTTGATAGAGGGAGGGGTGACCCTGGCTCTGGGCTTCACGACGACCTATCTCTGCTACGCGATTGCAGTATGTCATAACTACATGAGAGCTGTTCATCATAGTGTTTTTGAACTTATTTATAGGGTTGGCGATGCTCAATTGTCACAAAATGGCGAAGTTTCTCGATGCAATGGCCTTTTGTAAGGTGACCTCTTGGTCTAGCATGAATGTGAATTCTTGAACAGCACCTCCAGTGACCTCCACTGAAATCCCATGGGAACAGGCATGAAGGATGGTAAGAATTTTGTACTTTTGCTGTTGTAGTAGGTCCTTAAGAGATTATGGGTACCCCTTACGATCAATATGACCACCCCTGACTCTTCCGCATATATTCAAGCACCGCCAATCCACTCAACAACACAACCCTATCCCAATCATCACCACCCTCAAACTCTTCGAGTTCCCAAGTACCTCTCTTGCTTCCAAACATGAAGTTGTGCACGAACTTTGCAACAACTACACCAGTTTCCCTCTCCACCATTTTCAAGTGCAGCCAATCCATTTTCTGACTCAAAGCCGACTTGTTTTCGACCGCACTGGTGCGCTTCCAGTCAAATATCTTGCGACCAATGGAACCGCCCAGATCGATGCCAATCTCAAAGCCCGATTGTTTGGCTATCTCGCGAACGTATATGTCCTCCCAGACTACAGTATCCGGAGAAGCTACAGAGTCTCCAAAGCCGAGGTGAATGGGTGTGCTTAGGGAGCCAAAGGTGAAGTCACAGGTACCGAGGACTTGATTGGATGGGGATGGGGTTTGTAGAATTATGCCATGTCGTCCAGGTTTCGAGGACCGTAGGTCTGTTGTTGCGAAGGAGAGATCAACTTCATAGGTCGCTGTGCCGTTGTTGACATCTCTGAGTTCAGCCTTGGTGCGCTTGAGGTTGGTGGTAACCATTTCGTAGGTCTTGATGGGAGCCATGGTGAAGATTATCGTCGCGACTCCAAAAGCGATATGTGCTGATCAGATGCGAAGATAGGCTGAAGCTCTGGCGAGAACAAGTGTGAAATATGGCTCATGTCAGCGATATATGCGACTTATAATACTGCAATACCAAGACCAAGAGGTTGGTGGGTCGTCAGGCTAGTTGAGCTTGGCAAAGGATTGAAAATGACGATGGGCATACTGTTTCGTGCGTACGCGATTAATTGGCAGAACGAGCTGTATCTTCTGGGAGAGCATTCCAGATAGTATGCAGACTGGAAGCAAGACTTGCTTGACAGTGTAGGAGTAGCCCCATCTCAGCTAAGTCTAGGGATAGCAAAGGAGAATCCCTGTCTAGAATCAAAAGAACAAAGAGATATTGTGATTCAGAAGGGAAATTCCTCGATGCCCTCTACATATCTGTTCTAATAGTCCGGCTATGACTACGATGTTTTGAAGCCCTTCTCATTTGAAAACGGATTTGTGTCTTGTGTGAGATGTGGTAAACATCAGCTTCTTCTTGGAGATGGAGAAAGTCGGTTGCTTGGCGTGACGATGAACGTCAACTCGAGGCTCGATGCAGTCAATTCTTCCTGCATCACACATCAACCAAAATGCCTTTGATTCAGAGCTCACAAGATTATCTGCCTTGTAAGCATAAAGTCTTGAATGATTGATAACATGCGCTAATCAATGCGACAGACATTGACGCTGCGCCGTCAGAGCAGGAGCTCAATTCAGCACGCGCTCTCATCCAAGCCGAACTGCCACAAGACCACAAGACGACACTTCACCCTTCAATACCAGAGCGCAAATCCATCAAATTCAGTGACCTCGTCGAAGCCGAGCACGAGCGTCTATCTACCGGAGCAGAGAAAGAGGCTGGAATTGACCTGTCGCGGTACGAAGCCCAGGATGCGCCAGCGACAAACGACATCGAACAATGGCGCGCAACCCTCCAACAAGCCTATGCTTCCTCGGAGTACCTGGAGTCCCGTCAAGTCAACCTGTCACTACTGGAGACGTACGGCAAGAACGCATGGCTGATATCCAACGACCAACTCGAAGCAATTCTGCGCACTGCCGAACGCGAGGTTTCGCAAAGGAAGATCGAACTTGAGGAGATTGACAAGGCAAGAAGAGATGGCCAGACTGCTCGCAAGGGTGAATTGGAAGCGCTCGAGCAGCAATGGAAGATTGGTGTCGGTCAGATGCTTGAGGTTGAGGTCGCCGCCGAGAAGCTCAGGCTTGAGATCCTTGACAAGAAGCGGGCCGGCGCAAGATGAACATGGCCACACGACTGGAATATCCACCACCACCACCAACAGCACACGCTCTCTTCTTTAGGGCTCGCCTGTTGCATCCCTGCTCCTTTCGGCTAGACGCTGACCACAGCCGCACGGTACTCAAGACACCTGCCAAACTCATGCGCGGATGGCACATTTCTTCCTCGATGAAACGAGCGCTGTCATGCTCTATTGATGCCTGCCACTGGAGTTGTTCGTTTCCAGAGCTCAAAAAGGACGGCCTGCTTGGAGAAAGGCTTAGTACAACCAAGACCTGCGTATACCAACAATGCCTGTGGACTTCGTCTACTGGTTTCCAAGCGCGAGATATAAGTAATGCTACTGGCCTCGCCCCTTCAAAATGCTCTACATCCCTTTCTTACACGCATCTGGTCCTTTCTCATGACCTGCTGCTTCTTTTGACTGTCAATCACAAGTCTGAAAAATGTACATCCCACAATTCTTGCCAAATCCTTATATCCTTTCTATCATCTTCTGCCGCTGTCGTCATAGGATACAATGCTCCGTGTCGGACTTTGTATATCAATTCACTCGCGCACGGTCTCCATCTTCTGCCAGTCTGTCGCTCGTCACTACTCGGCGGTTTCTAGCCATACCCTCCCTTCTCCTATGTACCCACTCAAGTTCAGCATCAGTGTTATGTATCTTTGCTTTGAGAGATCGTTGCTGTAGTAGCTGGCATTCATACCCTAATTAATCAACCGAACCCATCCTTTGCGCCAACACGCTACAGCAACACCCTTTCTTCTCGTCCGGGCAGCCATGTCTTCTCAAAGAGAGCGGCACCGCCTGACAGTGGATCTGGAAAATGGCGACAACACCGAGCGCCGCATAGCAGAGTTTCGGCGCAACCTCCAGGCCTACGAAGACATGTCTCATCAGAACAGCGCTTCCGATCCTGATTCTGGTTATGGCACCATTACCCCTGAACCCGCTGCTGCTTTTGTCGCCGATCCAGATTCTCCTCATCTGGCTCCGAGCCCACGCCTGCATCCCAACATCACAACGCGTCCCCGCAACCGCAATGGTCGCCGTCTGAGTGGTCTGTTAGGCATCTCCCATCGTGGTCGTCATGTTCGAACACCCACCTTTGATCACGACAACAGACCCAAGATCTCAAGACCGATTGTCGATCAAGGAGAGATTGGTGTTCCTAATGATGGACCATACATCTACAATCATCCCAGTCGACCTCGTCTCGATGTTGAGATTCCGCGAAGCAGTTTCAGTGATCTCTGGGGCCAGAGATATGGTCCTATTGGCGATGAGGGATACAATGTGGATCATGTCCAACGTGATGGCAGGAACACTCAGAGTATGGATTTTGGTCGCCTTGTTGGTGGTTGAGAGAACTACAGACATGATACCAGGAGATATGGTGTCAGTCTTGGTGGCATTGCTGACTGGAATGCTTTCGTCACCGCCAACCGTGCATCCGGATCGTCAGTGAGCCCTGAAGATGAGGAAGCAAATGCAGGCGCAGAAGATGATAATGGTATGGACGTCTCATACCTGGCGCCCTTGGTATCTCCGACTCCTGCATCTTCTTCGACGTCGAACGTCACAGCATCAGCCTCACTTCCATCCATCTCCAACCTGCCGCCTCTGCCACCTTCAACAGTCGCCTTGAACGACGAACGCATTACCACCCCTGAACCAGAAGAAGACCGCGCCCGCGCACCCACCCCTCTAAGTCGCGAACCAAGTGAACGCTGGGTAAACGCTCCTCGCCTCCTCCTCCTTTCTTCACTCCCACTAACCACCAACCTCACAGATTCGCCACCCACTTCGCCAAAACCCACCAAACCATCATCTATCTCTGCCACCCCCTCCTCCGTCCTCACCAATACTCCACCCATCAACCCCATCACCTATCCCTCAGTGGCCAAACTTACAACACTTCCGTCCTTCTTGTGGAGTTGTGATTGCCAATATCGGCACTACAGCTATGGTGCAACCATTTATTGTTCTCCCTGATGATGAAGACAGTTTTGTCGATGCTTCAGACGATGGTGAGAGTTTTACTCACAGTTTTGGAGGTGATGAGGAAGTTGTGCATGTAAGGGAGGATACACCTCCTCCTTCTCCTCCTGTGCAGAGAAGACTTTTTGTTGATGCTTCTGCTTCTACTGCTACTTCCACTTCCCAACCTCATCAACGTAGAAGAAGCACAAGTGGAGGTCTTAGATCCCTCTGCTGTGGATTATTTCCACGCCGTTCTCGTTCTCGTTCTCAAACCGTCCACCCTTCCGCCGTCGTTCAACCCTCTGCTTCAACAGAACGTCCTGCCTTAATGGCGCAGACACGTGTACCAGTCACTCACACCACTATCCCTGAAGAAGACGAAGCGGATGAAGAAGACAACGATCAAGAAAATCAACCTCCCACAATCATCGAAACTTTGGTCGAATCAAACGATGGAAACGGACACATCCCTGAGGTCCGGCAGGAGCAAGAGGAAGAGCAGGCAGAAGGTGGTGCCAGTAGAAGACACTCTGTACGCCACAGTTGGGTTACCGTGTCTAGATGGTTGGAGTAGAGTCATTGCTGCTGTTGGTCATCGTTTGCCAGCCGTGTCATTGGGAGCTGCAAGTAAGAGATGGATGTTCCTACAGGTAAAAGCAGTTTCGAAAATTGTGAATGGCCGATATAGATTCAAATCCTGAGATTGAGAGTCTGGTTACTTCATTGTGGCAACAGCTTTGCATGTCTTCTATGCAAGAGACTTTTGTACAGCAGATGGATCTTGGGCTTACTAGGTCTTGGTCAAGAACACAATCCCTGACTTGGTCTGCTAACGTTATAAACACACAAGCAATGCCTGGCACACTCTTCGTTCTATATCAAAAGAATGTATCATTGTTACGAATGTGTCCTCTTATCTCCTTTCCGTCTAGAACATATCTATTTTTGTATTTCTCGTGTTCTCTTCGTTACTGAAGAGTGCATCTGGTTGGCGTTACTGAATTGTACCATGGTAACTTGCTGGGTGGTGGTGGACTCTGTGGCGGCGGTGGTGGCTCTTGTGGTTCACGATAGGTTGGGCTTATTCTGCTCCCCTCAGGAACATCGACGATTTTGGGTGTTGCATCATGTGACCTTCTACGGCCCTGCCCTTTGTTCGAAGGGTAAAGGCCGCAGGTGAACAGTCGGACGAAGTCTTTGCATGGTCTGCATTGAGCGTCGATGGTAGATCCCTGATCTGGGTCTTCCCCTTCTCTCAGAACAGTTCCTTCCGAGCCTCCCTGGTTGATTGGTGGAATTGATGTAATTTGATCTTGATCCTGCGCACTCGGTCCTGCGTTCCCGACTCTGACAGTCCCGTCAGGGTTCAAATTGTCCAGTTCGATGCCGTCTCCTGCGCTTGACTGTTGTAGAGGCATTGATGAAGCACAGGCGATACCACGACCTTCCGATTTGTTCGTGTTTAGGCCATAGTTAGAGTCACCTTCCTCCGCCAGGACGTGCGGAAGACTGATGCAGGGCCTCTAGTCCTCTTCGTGGTCTGTATCCATGTCTTCAGGACGTTCATGTTCCATGCCATCAAGCGGATCAGTCTCTTGAGCCAGCAAAGGTGCTCTCTCACCTTCTCTTCTACGGAAGTGGCTGGCTAGACTTAGTCCAAGAACACTTAATCCGTGAACAAAAGTGCTGCACATGACGACAAAGCATATGACAGGCCAGAGCATCTCAACTGCTTTTTCACGGTTCGAGTAGGGTGGCGAAAACTTTGGGGGATGAGGCAATGGCTCGCTGGTGCCAGTTTCGAGAGTTGCACGGGCTTCGATGGCAAGGAAGATCGCACCCAAGCCCATGGGGCCAAAGTGTCCGCAGAAGAGAGCTTCACGGAAAGTGCGGATGTCGGGATTAATCTTGTAGCTTGCGAGCATGATAGGAATGCGACGGAAGCACAAGACCAAGGCGGCGAATCCGAAAAGTCTCCATGGGGTGACATAAGGAGTAATGTCGCGAGCGCCGAATGCTTCCCAAGGCATGATAGTGCCAAGGTAGATAAACATGGCCGAGTTGAGCAGCAGGTCAGTGACATCCGGAAGATGTGCGTCCTTGATCTTCTTGCTGAACCAGCCATCTCGAGCAAAACCGTAGCCAGCACCGAAGGCTACGAGGAAGTCATCAGAGCCGAGTATACTACCCACACCAACGCTGAAGACTGCGAGGAGTAAATAAAACACAATCATGCCAGCGGTGTCCACGTAGCCTCGATTGTCAGAAAAGCGCAAGAGTCTGTTGAAGATTGTGCCGATGACCATGCCTGCAACAATGCCGAAGGTACACTGCCAGAGGACAGTGATGAGGAAGTACTCCTTGATAGCAGTCTTAGGATCAGCATGAATCAGTGCATACAGTCCAATGTAAAGAAATCTGTAAAGAAACGTCAGCCATGATTCGCGGTCATGATTATTGCGAGCCTACGGGAAAGATATGCCATCATTGCAACCAGACTCTGCAGCCAGCATATCCTTGATGCGCTTCGGTACCCTAGTACTGAACTGACTGTTGGAGAGAATGGACGATGACAGAACAGGATCGGTGGGTGTCAAACAAGCGGCGATGGTCAGGGCAGTGGCGATGTCTACCTTGAACATCAAGGCAGCGAACAGAGAGCAGATGAACCAGCCAAAGGTCATAACGATTGCTGGGTTGGAGAGTCAGTCTTAATTCTTCCTCAGAATTTATGTTCTGAGGATGGCTCAGAATCTCGATATGAAGTTGTGCAGAGATGTGTGCTGATAGAGATATTGCAAGATAGGGATTTAGATGTGCTGATTGGGATTCCATGAAAAGAGCCCATTGCTTCAAGCCTGACACAACAGACGATATACCGTCAAATACAGGAAGCTTGCCATAGTCCAGATACGAGATTGGATAGGGAAAGACTTACTCAATAAGATGCCAACACTTTTCCAGTGCTTGCTTGCATAGTACCTTGGCAGGCCGATACCAACCGTGAAGACCTGGACACCAAGGATGACACGAGAGATCTCCTGGACTTGGGTGTCTCCCCAACCCCATCTATCGCTTTCATCGCCGGTACATCCTTGCTGAGGGCAGGAATTTGGGTTCAGCCAGCCAAGCACTCTTGGTCCCAGAAGAATACCAACAAGAAGTGCCAAGGGTGGTTCTGACAGATGAAGACGGTTCCTGACGAAGGTAGCGAACAGGCAATAGACAATCAAGAATGAAGAAATGAGAAGGTATGAAAGATGAGGTGGTGTAGGTTCAAGCTGTTCCCAAGCCATCGTGCCGAGTTGATGGAGATGGAGGGTGAGAGCCTTTAAAATTGCGACTCAGTTGATCGTCGCGTCGGGTATTGGATTATAACGATAGCCGGACGGTGAAGGAGTTAACCCGATAATGTCAATGATGATAGTATAGACCTGCCGGAACGCCTGCAATGAAGACAGTCAAGAACAACAACACTTTTGTGAGAATACAGCTTGGAATGTCACCTCAGGAAAGAAAGATCCACACGCTTGATAGCGAACCTGCATACAGAGGAAGGTCCCACATGATGACGTTGGCGAAAATTAGAGTAAAGCCAAGCTTTTCGCATGACTTCCTATTGGTCAAGAAATGCCCATCGAGCACGGGCATTATTGGATCTACCAGCGCCTTCCCGACCATTTTCAGGCAAGACATGGGGGAACCACAGAGTCAGACAGCGGTCGCAATCGTATGAATATTAGGTGCGGCTGTGGCCGGCCGTTGCGCAGCCCGCTCAAGACGATACTCCGACAAGTAGATAAGCTGAGTGCTGTCCGCGTCCAGAAACAGCTTGGTCCAAATCCTTGCGTACGACACCACACGTAAGCCTGCCTGACAAATAAGACTGCCATTTTCCTTCGCACCAGCGTCTCTTCGACTCTCGGCCGCCAATTCAGAGGACTGCGACAGCTTGCGATTGGAATCTACGCCACACAATCAACCGAGGGTCTGCGACATCTCACATATTTTCTTCGCGACTTGACATATATCTCGAGGCACCATGGTTTTCTGGAAGAGAAGCGTTTATACGGTGGTCACACCATTGCCGGCCACAATCAGCAGGGAAACAGCGGTCGAAATGCTGCATTCGCACAGCGAGATGATTGAATTAAATCCTCTGGTCATCAATCACCAGCGATGCAAACCACCTCCCAATGCACTTCCGGACGAGTTTCACTGTCTCTGGTACGAGCTCACAGACCGTGTCACGTATCTGCCAGGTGTCAAGGGCCAAGTCAACTACAAAGCCTGTTTTCACGATTTGCCGCGCGGGCTTCAAACCCACGTATATGCTCCTGCTGGCCTCGAAATCAAGGAGAAATGGTCAATTGGGGGAAATGATGTGGTCATGGGCGAGGAAAGAGAGCATCAGGAGCTCGGTTTCAGTGATCTTGGTGTACCTCGTGAAGGACTGTACCTGCGGGAGGACGTCGATATGAACTGCAACGTCTTTCTGACCAATTTTGTCAAAAAGACCCTGAACAAAGCCCATCAAGTCCTCGTGGATCGATTGGTCGTTAAGGCAGATCTAGCGGACGACAAGAAATACAGGGAGGGCGTTCGTCGCGGCTCAGTTCTCATGGGTGCCAGTGGAGCCACCGGCCTTGGTCTCACAGTCACTTCACCAACAATAACCTCTCCACGAACATCACAAAGTCATAGCAGTATGAGTGATGTCCATCGAAGCCACAGCAGCATGAGCAGCGACGTACGCCGAAGTCATAGCAGCATGAGCGATCGCAGCTTGACCGAAAGTACAACACCAGCAACCACAATACGCGGGGACCACTCCGAGGGCGCTCCGCCACTTCAAAGCATCGCAGAACTGGAAGCCACGGACAAGAATCCCGAGTTTAAAGGTGCTGCGTTCGAGATACAACTTCCGCCACCTCCACCAGTCGAGATGCCGTAGCTGACTCTTGGAGCAGTGGAGTCCAAGAAAGGCATGACACTTTCTTTTTCTTTCGAGTGGTATCTTGGGCTGATCGGTGTCACTCACGCGCTGGCCTTTTATTTGTTTATGAGCGCTGATAAATACCCCATTTTTGTTGATTACCCTTTCCTATGTGGTTTTCCTATTATCTTTTGTATGGTTCTCATTTTCTGGTCCTTGACATGGTCTCCATAGTCATCTTACGCAATGCAAAGCCCTTCTGGTTTGCATGGAAAACGGATCGCACAGAGTGCCTATGTATCCAAGTGATCATCTATCGAAACGCAGGAAATATCAGTCTGTGGTCGGAGAGCAAAGATAGAAGACATGAAAGTCGACAGGCACGGACAATTTGTGACCGAGCAACTCAACCTCCTTGCTTTACAAGACTATAAATTAACCTTTACTTCTGTCTTCTGTTGTCTTCTGTTATCACAAATGCAGACTACAGAACTATCTTACAAGTTGTATAGCAGATGTTGACACAAGATCAAAATGACTGTGGCTCACACCCGCACGTGGAAGGTCGTCTGCTTGCACATTCGGCCAAACCACGTGCGAGATGAGCTGTCTGGATCGTGACTTCCTCTGCATATCAAGCACAAGCGTCACGAGGTCCCGTCCTGACCAGCGTCTGAAATCATCATATCCTTTGCAACTCTCATCCAAGAACTATATAGTCTCCCCTGCCGACACCATCGTTTCTGCAAAACACCATCATCCATACACATCCATCACGTATACCTGCTCCCAAAACAAGTCACATATCCATCATGACAACCAACCCAAACCTCCTCTTTGCTCTGGAACGCATCTCCAAAGCGCCTGTCCAGGCTTCGTCCCTTCCTACCACTATCGCTACTCCACTTGGACCGCACAGAACTCTGGCACGCCCAAAAGATCCTCGTCATGGCTGTATCAACGGCATCAAAATTTCCACGTGCAAGATGTGCGCTGGTCATGTGCTGAGAGGGTGAGTGATCTCCTTCCCCTGTTCTGTGACTTGTCTTTTACATGTGGCTGTGCAAATGCTGATGCGGAGTAATAGCAAAGTACCATGCACCGGATGCAAAGGTACCGGCTTCGTGGGAGCTAAATGCACTGCGTGTGCCATTGGAGCAATGCTTGCACAACGAGTGCTGATCAAGGAGGCTGCTGCTGATGTCCTGGCTGGGAATGACAAGAGAGCAAAGGACCTTCAGAACAAGACCTCAACTACGAAAACAATATCAACGTCGCCAGAGTCTTCAGCGGGAGAAGACACTCGAGCGAAGGAGACAACGGACCAGACTGTATTAGACGAAGAAGGCGAGATCTTCGAGGAATGATGAAGGCTTGAGCGAGGCATCGGGAGTGAACAAGTGAAAGTTTTGTTATGTTGTTGATGCGAAATGGAGCTTGCAGAAGAAGACAGACTTATGGACGAAATATGAAGAAGACAAGTGAGAGACAGAGCAGAAATTGTTATCCTGAAAGAAGCGTGGGTAGGGAACACAAGGCTGAAGAATGAGAAGAGCAAATTGAGAAAAAGAAATATCACAATCAAACCTGCTCGAAGACAAGGGTGCATGTCCTGCTTTCCTATTCTGCTTCACAAAGTGAGCATTCATCGACGGTCTGGGCGTCGAAGCTGCAAGGCTGCAGGACGTGACTTCCTTCAAGAGCCTGCGTCGGATGCATCGTTCTTGTCTCGGAAAGAGGACTCGCAAATCACACGATCATTCCCTCTACTACGATAGGATAGATGTCCGTTCGCAAACATGCAGAACAATCAAGACAGAGATAATCAAGGTCAAGGAGTGAGAGTCAAGATGGTGGTCTAAGGGCTTGGCACGAGAGGCGCACCTTCCATTTTCTGCCGGTTGATCCTCGGCACCTACCCTTTTCGCGCACGAAGTGCGGTCGTCTTCACATCTTTACTGATTGGATTTTGCAAGCGCCAGTCAATCGCCCACGTCTCACTCCGTCAGGTCAGCAAATACGCGCGCGAGCAAGCAGGAACACTTCAGTCTAACATACGAACTGCAGCGATCCTCCATAAGTCAACATGGCCGAGCAACTTGTTCTTCGCGGCACCCTCGAGGGCCACTCCGGCTGGGTCACCAGCTTGGCTACCTCGCTTGAGAAGTGAGCATACACAATCAGAAAGAGATAGAGAGAGGCAGAGATGCTGATTGCCTCGTTTTCAGCCCCAACATGCTCCTGTCTGCCTCGCGCGACAAGACCTTGATCATCTGGAACCTGACCCGCGACGAGACCTCATACGGCTACCCCAAGCGCAGCCTCCACGGTCACTCGCACATCGTCTCCGACTGTGTACGATATTTTTCTGGTCTCAATGACTACAAAGACAAAGCCTCTGACCATTTCTAGGTCATCTCCTCTGACGGTGCCTACGCTCTTTCCTCCTCCTGGGACAAGACCCTCCGCCTCTGGGAGCTCTCGACCGGCCAGACCACCCGCCGCTTCGTTGGCCACACCAACGATGTTCTGTCCGTCTCCTTCTCGGCCGACAACCGCCAGATCGTCTCCGCTTCCCGCGACCGCACCATCAAGCTGTGGAACACCCTCGGTGACTGCAAGTACACCATCACCGACAAGGGCCACACCGACTGGGTCTCCTGCGTCCGCTTCTCCCCCAACCCCCAGAACCCCGTCATCGTCTCCGCTGGCTGGGACAAGCTCGTCAAGGTTCGTACCCGCTCTTTCTCTTCGCCAGATCTTCCTCGACATGATGTTTTGCAATTATGTATTTGCTACTTCAGAGCGGCCATCTACCGCCATGAGACAACTATTCACCCATTTGCCCTGATCCTTCGCATAACACAAAAACTTCACAACGCTTAGCAACCGATTGATGAACAATGCGCTGACAAATTTTGTACAGGTTTGGGAGCTCGCTACCTGCCGTATCCAGACCGACCACATCGGTCACACCGGCTACATCAACACCGTCACCATCTCCCCCGACGGTTCCCTCTGCGCTTCCGGTGGTAAGGACGGTACCACCATGCTCTGGGACTTGAACGAGTCCAAGCACCTCTACTCGCTCAACGCCGGTGACGAGATCCACGCCCTCGTCTTCTCCCCCAACCGCTACTGGCTGTGCGCTGCCACCGCCTCGAGCATCATCATCTTCGACCTCGAGAAGAAGAGCAAGGTTGACGAGCTCAAGCCCGAGTACGTCGAGGTTGGCAAGAAGAGCAGAGAGCCCGAGTGTGTTTCCCTCGCCTGGTCCGCTGACGGCCAGACCCTCTTCGCCGGTTACACCGACAACAAGATCCGCGCCTGGGGCGTCATGTCGAGAGCTTAAATGCTTTGATGTTTCGACAGTGCTGTCAGGAGGAGAAACAGGATTGACTGAAAAGTTATGTTGCTGTTTTGCATGCCATTCCATCGTGGCTATTTTACACGAACATTGTTCCCGACAAGAAGAGCTTGTCGAGGCGACGCTGGGATGGCGAGGACGAATGGAGTCGGTTCGACGGAGTGCAGGGTTTAAACGGCGTTTCGTCCAACCAAAGAAAAAAGACTCGTTTCGTAGGTTTTTTTCATGCCAAAAAGATAAATGTTCAAACCTCTCTTGCCATGTGTGTGTCGTCTTGGTGATATTGTATTGCCGTCTTGTCAAATCACTTGTCCTTGGTCGCCTCAATCTAAACAGTCGGCACTCTAAACTTTTGACAGACAATGACCAGTATCTAACTCTTCTCTCAATACCATATCGCCATTCAAACCTATTTTCGTCATAATGAAGTTGACGAGCACTGTGGTGGCAGAGACGCCACGCTCCACATCTGCCAGGCTTCACTTCACGTCCAACTGCTAGCATTTCTACCTTTCCCTTGAACGCCAATCATGACCAACCAGCATTAATCAAACATGACTTCGTCAAAAAGGGATATCACGATTTTGCAACCGTGGCTGGGTGACTTGAAAGCTGGCTACAACAGAAATATAACATCGCGACCGAACTACTTCCTCCACTCCACTTCCACGTCTCTAATCACGACCTCTAACCTACACTCTCTACACCTCGGCACTGGCGAATCAATATATACTTCTCTACTTCCACTTCTGCGATCCGCAAATGAGGAGCTGATCCTGGTGACTTGCTTCTGGGCAACCTCTGCCACCCAAAGATTGGTAAATGATGCGCTCAAAACGCTATCGCAGAAGGGCATCAGTAAAGGCCGCAAGATTCGTGTCAGAATCTGTTTCTCCTCATCCTCGATACTCCAAAAGCTTCTGCATCCACAGACCCTTAATGGAAAGGTCTATCCTCCTGAATCATGGCAGTCTACACTGAACCTTCCACACCCGAATCAACTGCAAGGTTTGGATATGCAAGTCAAGAGTATCTTCCTCTTGCCGTTCTCGGTTATGCATCCGAAATTTATTCTCGTGGATAGGAAAATGGCGGTATTGCCATCCTGCAACGTGAGCTGGGAAGACTGGTTTGAAGGTGCTGTGACTCTGACTGGACCTGTGGTTTCGTGCTTCGTCGACTTTTGGAAGGAGTTCTGGGCACAGCAAGAAGATCGTGACGAACTTCTTAATCTCTCTCCCGAAAACCAGAACTTGGTTGCCGAGATATCTCAACAATCACAAGGACAACTGCCATTGCACAACACATTGGACTTGAAAGATGTACCAGCAATCTTCCTGCCCTCGCCCCATCACCGCAATCCAGACTTCAGATTACCGTGGCAAGAGCATTCTGCTCCACCGCCAACACCATTGAACACCTTTCTGCTTCGCAGTCTCCTCTCCGCCGAGCGAGAAGTCTACATCCAAACACCTAATCTCACTGCTGCGCCTGTCCTCAGAGCTATCTTATCAACCTTGCAACGCGGCATAAACATCCACATCGTCACCAGCGAAAGGCTCATGATACTCGAGCAACTAGTCACTGCGGGCACTACAACCTCTCGTTGCATCACAAAACTCATATCACGATACCAGGACGTTTCTTCCCCATCATCTCCTTCTGATCTCGAAGCCGGCAGAGGTAAACCAGGGAAGCTGAGGATTGATTATTTTGTTCCTAGGAGAGGTAGTGGAGATAAGGAACCACAGCAAAGCCATCTCAAGTGCACGATTGTGGATCAAGAGTTGGTTATTCTTGGATCGGGAAATTTGGATCGGGCGAGTTGGTATACTAGTCAAGAATTGGGAGTTGCATTCTTTGACCAGAGTTTTGCTCGGAAGTTGTTGGGAAGTCTGACGAGTGTGTTGCAGGGAAGGCTCAAGTCCGTTCTATAGAGTCCCGGTATGTATCAAGCTTTGAATGTCAAGCAAGTATTACGGTGGATGAGGCGAGCCACAAAGACGTACTAGATGTGTAAAATTTCTCGAGTTCAAGTGCAGTACATAGCACTCGTGTTCTGTCAATCTAATAAACACAAAGACAAAGAATGGGGCTGTAGTTGTGGTCTCGAAGTGTGCGAACAGGGTTGCACGCTCATCCACATCAAGGAGAAAAGAAAGGATAAAAAGAAGAAAAATCCCACCAGAGCAAGGTCAGCATCTACGTTACAATCACTAGTATGATCATGCAGGCCAGCAGATGAGATTTGTCGATGTCTGATGAAAACTAGTATCATCTGCACGAATGCCGGTGAGATATCAGTAGAGTATTGGAGCGTGCCCTTTGCAAAACGTTGCTTTGGGATCGATAACAACGAGACAAGATATCACAAGGTTTGTTCGATCCATCGAGCATTTCGCAGCACCATTGGCTTGTCCTTCTACTCAAAACGTTGACTATATGGAGTTCAGCCTGCAAACAGTCTTTGAAACTTGAATCCAGTTTGGGAAGGATTTGATGGGATCTACGAAAAGTATGTATCTGCAAGGCTTGGAGATTTCAAGTACAGCAGTGGTCTAGCAATGCAGCACTCTGACTCATTTAGTGTTGTCTCTAGAAACTTCATGAACGGGGGACGGCTTCACGTGGGATTGTCTGTCCAGTGCCAATTCCAGCCCAAGCATGTACGTGCCGAGTGACCGAGTCCCTGGACGGATGTGGTTGCGAAAAGAAGCGAAATCGGATTATCTTGAGCGGTAGAGTTTGAACGGCTCCAGGTGTTTTTGTGCGGCGGGTAAGATGGGGACACTCGGAGCGGACGGATGCCAACGCTGCCGAGGGCACGCATGACGAGGATTGTGTGCGACAAAAGCCACAACTCTTGGATGATGCGGAAGTGGATTGGAACAAGATGTTGATGATTGAAGGGATGGAGAAGTGCCCAAGCCAGTGTTTCAGAAGGACGGTTCACTGAGCATGATACGGGCAACTGTACCTGCATACGTGTTCGGCGAGCATTATTCAGGGTTGGTTGTTAGCAAAAAGCAAAATGAAAGCGACCAAGACCCTGGAGCGGAGCTTGGATGGGCGCATGACGAGGCGCTTGTCACGCTTTGTCGTATTGCCGTTGTTGACCAGTGAGCAAGGCTGCGTGTTTGCCAAAGAGGCTTGGTCCTTGTCCTTGGTCGGTACATGCGCACGTTTGTTTCTCTTGTTCCTTCTCTCAAGTCTCAGTCTACGAAATCAAGGTTCATTACGTGCCAGGGCCTTATCCTTGATCCTTGATTGTTGATAAGTGAGCCGCAGCTTTCCTGTTGAACAAAAAGAAAGCCCGCCGCACCCATCATGTCTGCTCGTGCCCACTCTCCGCCTGCTTCGACCTTCAGCTCGCAATCTGACACTGCCCCCATCGTCTCGCGCTCAGTCTCTCAATCGCCCACCACTACCGATCCAGCAAAGCCCACCAAGCGACGATTGTTTGGTCTGGTCAAGAGAAAGGACAAGGCCTCCGACAACACTGCCGTCATCGACGCGAATACCGACGCGACCCAGTCCGAGCCGACAGCTGCAGTTGCGTCTGCATCACCAAACATGAATCCTGTCACTTCGTCGCCCTCTCCGCCCAATCGCTTTGTCGCTGCATCACCGACCCGTCTACCGTTTGCGCTGACTTCGAGTCAATCCACCTCGACTCTAGCGTCATCGCAAATCTTCGAGCGAAACGTGCAAGAATCGATTGTACCTAGCGAATTGTCACCTGCTATTCCTGCTCATATTCAGACCGAAGATCATATCCCTGCTGTTCTTGAGGCGTCTTCGCTCGCTATCACAGATACCCATCTAGATCCGGACCAAGTCGAGATTGTCACCCACACAGCCCACCAACCCGCGATTGATAAGGTCGCAGAGGGCACAGCGAGTGCTCTCCATTCAGATGCACAGCTCCCAGTTTCACCACAAGATTCGCAACATGAAAGCTTCCACTCGGTACCCTCCCACCCGGCAGATCTTGATGATGCTGCGTCAAACTATGGTGCTTTAGATCCTGCAGACGTGCGCAGGCTAAGCTTCATTTCCTTTGCAGATGTTGTCCAGGCAGAACAGGCTGAATCCAAGGACTCCCTACACCACGGGCCACTATCTGCCAGCACCCACTCTCCTCCTCTGGCTCGCTCGCCATCACCGGCACGCTCGCCTTTATCCTCACATTATTCACAAGAGGTGACAACTCCACCGCTTGGGAGCAACCCAACATCGATCAAGGGCTTCGACATGAGCCCGGTACGAAGCCCAATTGGCAGTCCGCATCACCAGCAACATGGAGAACTCACAATCGAGACAATGCGCCAGGCACTACGCAAGACAGCCAGCGGAGACTTTACAGGAACCAAGATAGCACCATATCCAGCAAGCTCGACAGGCCTTGAAGATGGCGGTCTTGAGAGACAAGGCTTCAAATGAAGAATAACAAATATTTTACGAATGATAAGAAGCGGAATACGCTCCGCCGGCTGACGCGCTGACTCTCTTCACTTCTTAATCCTCCTTGTTATGTATTTGCTTATGAATCGCTCAAAGGGCTGGCTCTCTCCCGGTTTTGGTTTGTTTCTCTGCGCTCTGTTCCCCTTCTGCTTCTCAGGGGGCGGTATGGTTATGACGATACTTTCACTACCTGAAGCATAATTCCAATATTGATGATCTGAAACGTGACAGCCAACTAAGCCCATCATTCGCTCCTGTAGTTCAGATGATGTATATTGTCGATAGATGGATATTGCGCAAGCGCAGACATGATGATGATGTGAGATATCGATATATCTCGAGCGAAATTGGCTGGTGGCCTAGGAAGGATGACGGTGAGCAAGACGCACGGGTACACTGTACCTGAAACACGGCAGGAGCAGCATGTTGTGCAAAGATATGCAGGGCGTTCGAGCAAGAGGTCCCACAGATAGAGGCGGTGGAGCTTCTGTCAGAAGGTCTTTTGGCAAAATAGATTGTTTGACCTCGACAAGTGTTTCGCCAAAGGCGTTCTGCTCGAGCACCTTGAAACTTGGGCTGCTCGCCTGGTTCCTGGGTGTTGGTTGCTGGATCTTGTCGGCGCCGACGGCGCAGCGCGCGGCGTCTCAGCGTCTGGACCTTTTTCCTTGGGCTGACCAATCAGACCTGTCAGAGGGACAAGTTTGGGAAAGCTGCGGCTTCTTGCAAGGTGACAAGGGCAATATAGGAGTAGGGGAGTTTTCATCAGGCCGCCCTAGAGTGACAATTTGATATTCTTAAGCGGGCTTTCCTTGTCATGTGCCGAGGAGCAAGATCGAAGCAGCGGTCAAGAGGATAGGCAAGCAGAGAAGCGAGAACGAAGGGAAACGTTAGCAGCAGCTGGCAGTTTGCCGTCTTCATAGCGAGTAGCGTAGCAGACCAGGGCAGGCAGTTCGAGCGCGCCGTTGGCTTTCTGCACCCAGAGAGCACTGAGCACCAGTGCTAGCACAGCAACCACTGCAACAACGACGACGACGCATTCATCCTTTCCATCTTCTTCGCAAAGCTCGCCAACACAATTCACCCTTTGCCAACACATTGCGCTTGCGAGAGAAACTAGACTCGTGCATTCTCAGCGTTGCATCCATCCCCTCCCTCCGCGGCCACACGATTGTATATAACTGGACACCCGCTCCGCACAGCAGGCATCGCGGCCCCATGTCTGCTGTAGCGCGTCGTCTCGCTCAATCGACCACTACCCCATCGCAACCCTCAAGGCGCCGCTGCTGCTGACGGGCCCGATTGCTTCACCCCTCGCCAGTCGCGCGGGGCTCGTATAGCAAGCCTGAGCTCGCCTCAGCCTCGGAAAAAGCATGAGAGCTCATATGGAACCAGCCCCTCGCCAGAAATGGTCGGAGCAGTCGAGCCGCCGCAGGAAGCAGCCCAGCCTGTACGATGAATACCTCAACCAGGAGCGGTCCGCCATGTCACAGAGCCAGCCAGTACAACAAAGCATCATACAGACGACGACCGAAGTGCGCGAACAGCACTTCCCCGGACCTCGATCTGCTCGCAGCGACAACACAATTCGCACAGTGACTCCCGACTCGGTCGTCGAAGAGACAACGATTAACATTGAGGGCCACGTGCTGGGCTCTTCTCCCCGGACCAGTCTCAAGAGAGATCGCGATAGTCCCCGTTCCTTATTACTTGCACGCAGCGAGTCGACTGACAATGCGCGCAATCGCTTGCAGTACACATCGACATCGGCCACTCGTCGCAACCGTACGAGAACGCTCGACGAGGGCGCCTCGCGTGAAGTGTCGCCTGCGTCTGCTCTCCACCCCGGCAGCCGTCTGCGCCATGGGTCGATCCACCTCACTAGTAGCGAAACCACTTCGATCCAGCAAGCATCCACCTCGTCCTTCGATCCCTCACAATCCACGTCGTCCTCCGCTTCGAAACGTCCGCGCTCGCCCATCTCCTCTGATACCGCCAGTGTATCTGGTGCCCTGCCCAATTCAAGCGCCCGTCGAATTCTACATCTTATGAAGACATTATGTGGCCGTATGTCAGGCACGCTTTGGTTCCGTCGTGGTGCTTCAGCGATGTGGCTCCAGTCATACTGCTACATTCAGGAGGACACGGGCAGTCTGCTGTGTGAGGCTGATGTTCAATCTCCAAATCGCACCCTCATTCCCGATCTACGCGGTTGTCAAGTACGCACTGCCATGGATGAAGACACTCAGATGCCCTATCTTGACATCTCGGTGCCCAACTCGACATTACAATTGCACATTCGTCTCAAAGATCGAAAAGACTTTGACTCGTGGTTTGCCGCTTTACTTTGTTGGCAACCAATTCGTCCAAGAGGCATTCACAACAAGATGACAAAACCTCAGTCTCCTGTCGTGCAAGGCATCACCTTGACTGATAGCAGACGTAATTCCGAGATGTCTCTCACACTAAAGGAAGCCCCCATTATTAAAGTCGGCCCTATGATTTACTGGGATAGCAACATTTCATACGCCAACGCCGGCACTCCGAGATCGCTCAAACCTTCACCTTCGCGCTTCCAAAGTTACGGCTCGCACTGGTGGAGGCGTGTATCTTGTACTCTGCGTGAGAACGGAGAACTCAAACTCTACGCCGAATCTGGTTCTACACTTCTTTCTGTTGTTCAGCTCTCCCAGCTCTCTCGCAGCGCTGTTCAAAGATTGGATCCTTCTGTCTTGGACAACGACTTTTGCATAGCCATCTATCCTCAGTACACATCTGGTGCCACTGTCACCACCGCCATTCGACCCATATACCTCTCTTTGGAAACTCGTGTTCTTTACGAAGTTTGGTTTGTTTTGCTGAGAGCTTTCACGATACCACAACTCTATGGACCTAAACCTAATGGCCACTCTGACGAATCTGCTATTATTCCTGATACCCCTTCATCTACCGCCTTCGATACCATGATGGCCAATGAGAAGATTGAAATGTTCCGCATGGAGCGCGCTTTATCTATTCGCATAATTGAAGCCAAGCTACCGCATGCTCCTTTGAGCTCATTGGCTGAGTTCAACCACCACCATTCAAATCGTCATAACAATAACAATGCCACAAACAAGCCTGAACTCTCGGACGGATACTATGTTGAGATTCATCTGGACGGTGAAACCCGAGGCAAGACACAAATCAAACATGAATCAATGGCGCCCTTTTGGCGCGAGGAGTTCGACTACTTAGATCTGCCCGCCGTCCTTACCTCCGCTTCCGTCTTATTGAAGCGTCGCCCACCGGATCTCTCGAGCCCTCGCGAACAACACGAACTACGACTTGTGCATGAAGCCTATGGTCTACTAGACCCTTCGCAAAAGACTGGCGGTTCTGCTGGATTCATGCCTGTACAAAACGACCAAACACTCGGCAAAATCGAGATATACCTCGAAGAACTAGAAGCGAGCAAAGAAGTCGAAAAGTGGTGGCCCGTCATGAACCAGCACGACGAAAATGTTGGCGAAATTTTGATCAAGGCTCGCGCAGAAGAAAATGTCATTCTTATGGCCAAGGACTACAAACCCTTGAATGATCTGCTGCACAATTTCTCGAACGAGCTTACGCTGCAGGTTGCTCAGATGATCCCGACTGAACTGCGACGGTTGTCAGATTTGCTGCTGAACATCTTCCAAGTATCTGGCCAAGTCACTGAATGGATCATGGCTCTGGTTGAAGAAGAGATTGATGGCGTACACAAAGAAACGCCTGTTTCTCGTATGAGATATACCCGTCGCATGGCAAACAGCAACAATGAAGCAGACGCAAATGTTACTGCTGCTAGCGAGCGAGAACTCATGGTTCGTGATATGAACAAGAATGCCACACTGGAAGCAAACTTGCTCTTCCGCGGCAATACCCTGCTCACTAAATCTTTGGACTCGCACATGCGTAGAGTAGGCAAGGAGTACCTTCTTGAATGCCTTGGTCCCATCATCAAGGACATCAATGAGAAGGACCCTGACTGTGAAGTTGATCCCAACCGAGTAACAAACCAGCATGATCTCAAGAAAAATTGGGACAGGCTGATCAACTGCACCAAATCGGTCTGGAATACAATCAAAGTCAGTGCCAGGAATGCCCCTCCGGAGCTGAGAGTCATATTCAGACACATCAGAGCTTGCGCAGAAGACAGATATGGCGACTTCTTGAGAAGTGTCAGCTACAGCAGTGTTTCTGGTTTCTTGTTCCTGCGCTTCTTTTGCCCAGCAGTTCTGAACCCTAAGCTGTTTGGCCTTCTCAAGGACGATCCCAAGCCTCGTGCTCGCCGAACCTTCACCTTGATTGCAAAGTCACTCCAAGGCCTTGCCAACATGGCCTCGTTTGGTAGCAAAGAACACTGGATGGAACCCATGAACGCTTTCCTCACAGATCATCGGGAAGCTTTCAAGACTTTCATCAACGACATCTGTTCAATATCTGCTCCGGATGGCATGATTGGTCAAAAGCCGACCTCTTACTCGACTCCACTGGCCATTCAGTCTCGTCTTCCGATGACTAGTCGTGAAGGGTCCCCCAGCCTGCCATACCTCATTGACCAAAGTCGTGAGATCGCAAGCCTAGTCGAACTCTGGCTACAAGGCACGACCAACGGAAGTGAAGCGGAGTTGTTAGCAGCACAGATTGGCAAGGAAGATGGCGATCTCTTGACTTTCCATAAACTTTGCAGAACCCTCGATGCCCAGACAAAAGAGTGTCTGTCTCGTGCCGAGCGCGCTGAACGCCCTAACTCTGCGCTCAGCTTCCGCTGGGAAGAGCTCATCGACCAATTGCAAACCACATCGCTGCTAGACAATGGCGCTCGTATTGACGATGCGCTTGACGTACCAACTCGCGATTCCTTTGATGATGTGGGCCAGGCTGCTCAGCATGATTTGGCAAGAGGCCGTGGGTACAGCGCTGGAGGAATCGGGCTTGGACGCTACAGCGCAGATACCGAAGGCCACCCACCACCATCATGGGAAGAGGACCGCGACGGAGGTGCTCAAACGGCAGCAGTGAGTATTCTGAGCCACGACAATCGCCATTTCGACAAGACTAGCTTCGATATAGCGAGACCAGGCACGTCAACCGCCTCGGTCTCGGCATCTGGTTCGTATAGCAACAACATCGGCACTGGATTCATGCCTCCTGGCAATCCGGCACTTCCGCGCGATCTTACCTCTGCGAGCCTCAACATGCACTTCCCTCAACGGGACCGCGAGCGCAAGTCTACTGAACGTCCTCGCGACGGCAGCGTCAGTGGAAGTGTCGTTAGCAGCGAAACAGACACCACAACCGCGTTGCCTAGTCTAGCGCGCGAACGCGAGAGAAGAGAGCGCGAAAAGGAGAAGAAAGAAAAAGCTAAGCGCGAAGAAAGAGAACGACGACTCAAAGACTTTATACCCGGCCTCACTGGCTTACGACGAAAGAATGAGCAAAAGGACAAGGATAAAGACAAGGAGTGAAGCCTCGAAGGAATGGCGAGAGCTCCGAAAAGCATTTTTTTCATTTTCTGTTTACATGTATTGCTCTGGGTCGGGGTCTTTTTCTGATCTACGCGTACGGGAGGGTTGTTCTTGACACGATATGCCTGGGTAGAAGCGGGATGAACAGGATAGGGCGCGTGTGGTCAATTTCTTCTTTTTCATGTGTATGTTTTTCATTGAGTTTGTTATTCTTTTGTTAGAAGCGTGCATTGATGTAGCATTTTTTGGCACGTTTCTTGTCACGAAATAAATGTTCATATTTCCATCTTTTTCAGCTACGAATGACCTCTTGTTGGACAGCAGGCGCCTTTTCCTGCTAACATATATTGTGTGAAGATTGAGTTCAAGGCATAATTCCTTGCTATCTAGGTATCGCTCATGCTGCATTGACGTTCTTGACCGACGATGGTGAGTAGCTGGTAGAGGAGGCTGGGAAGCAATCAAAATTCTTGGCTTGTCGCGTCGCGTCTGTCCATCGCGGAATTTCAGCTCGGAGCATCATCCTGTCTATTGTCTACCAACTCTACCATACCACTCTTGCACACCTGACCAATTCTTGCATTCATCCATATTATTTCCCATTTTTTAACCAGCAGCGATCATCCTACCTTCTTACGGCCTTCAACAATACATACAACATCAACAACAATGTCTTCTCCGGCGCGTTCGACGCGCTCGAGTCGCGCTTCGACACCAGCAGATGATAGCTCTTCTATCGTATCAATGGCTCTCGAATCGCCTGGAACTAGGATGAGAAAGCTTATGGCTGCTTTTGACGAAGAATCTGACGATGACGCTGGCGTTCCTGTCAAGCCTACAACGAGACCAACTCTCACGGCACAATCAGCAAGCACGACGCGTACCATTAACGCGTCAATTGATAATGATGACGATCAAAGCGAAGAGGAGGATGAACCTGTTTTCAGGCCGAGAGGCAAATTGGCAGCTAGAATGGGAGGAGCGGCCCCTCCAGTTCAGGAAGAGTCGTCTTCAGAAGACGAGGATGTCTACCAAAAGATCAAAAGAGACCTTATGGCTTCGAAAAAGGCTCCTTCTGCCGATAAGTCTCCCATCGAAACTACAAGATCGATCGAGACTGCTCGTGCGGAAACACCTCAGCTCAGCCCTCCTCGCAGGAGACTTGTGAACCGAGCCTCCACTCCAGCAACTTCTACTAGATCAGAAAGTCCTGGCTTATTCATGTCGCCAGCTCCCGAACAGAGACGATCCGTCGACGACAACTCGAACCACTCAGGAGACTCGGACTCGGATCTTCCTACAGACCCATCGGCACCTTCTCGACTTCGCGATCTCGTCAACCGTCGCCGTGCAGAAAGATTGGCCAGAGAGCAGGCAGAAAGAGAAGCAGCGGAAGAACGTGCCACCACCGGCCAAGCTCCTCTATCAGACTTATTCAACGACGAGGATACAAGAGATGAAGCCACCGAACGACGACTCACCCAATCTGCAAGACCTACACGCAAAGCTAGTAAGAAGGCTTTGGAAGAGATGAACAGGGAGACACAGAGGATCAAGAGGAACATGCAATTGACACATCAAGCCAAGGTCAAGAAGCGATTCACACCACAAGACTTCCTGTCTGCTTTCAACCGTCCCAAGACTTCTTCTGGCCTTGCGAATGTCACAAACGCTGCAGATGTCACATCTTCCTCTCCTCCACCAGAACCCTTCTCGGAGACTGGCGCAGACAAGGACCGCGATACGCCACCGTCGAGCCCTCCCGGCATCGACGACTCTTTGAAGACCGTTTCCGCGCACTCTGCTGCAAACACGGCATTCATTGAAGAATCTGATGAAGAGTTGCCGTCTCCTCAGGAAGTTCTCACTCAACCCAGGGAGGCAATCGACAAAGGGAAGGCTCCTATGACCAAGGCACCTACCGATCAGAAGTCGATACCGATCCGCAAGGTCCGCGTCAAGATCCCTACCCACAGCAAACTCATTAAATCTAAGGAAGACGATGACGATGATCTTGAAATCGTCCACGATCCTCTTGCCATGTTCAATCAAGTCCCCAAGGCTCAAACTCCTGAGGGCAGGACCATGCTGATGCTTCGACACCTTGCCCAGCTGACTGGCAACGGCGACAGAATTCGCAGCAAGAAAGGACAGAAGCCATCTATCTCACCTCAACAACTCGAGATCCAACTCCGTCAACGCGCTCGTGAGATCGCAAATCAAGAACGTGCTGCGAGACTTGCTGAGTTGCGTGCCAAGGGCATTGTCATCTTGACCGAGGAAGAGCGAGAAAGAGAGCAGATGCAAATCGAAGACATGCTAGGCAAGGCAAGAGAAGAGGCCGAAAAATTGCGCAAGCAAGAGAAAGCTACTGCCAAAGCTAATGGAGAAGATGTTGCTATCAGCTCGGATGAGAGTGAAGATGAGGACTATGTTGGCAGCGACGAAGAAGGCAAGGCTCCAGCAGAAGAGGATGAAGAGGAGGAGGAAGAGGATATCGAACTCTCAGGTTCTGAGGAGGAAGACACTGGCGACCACGACATGATTGATGCCGAGGCTGGCGAAGAAGATCAGGACGACCTTGAAGAGACCGAGGAACAGGCTGAAGTCGAAACACCAGAAGACGACGAATCTCAACTGCCCAAATCTAGAAGAGCACGCAGGAAACATGTCATCGAGGACGATGAGGACGAAGATGAACCTACGACCCAGCGTCCAACGGGTGACGGTATCAATGATGAGCTTGCTGCTGCATTTGGCTTCGGACAGACACCTTCTGCTCCCTTGGACATGTCACAGATGTTCGCCGGAACCATGGAAGACACTCAAGCCTCTGGCATGATCTCACAGGATCAGGATTCTTTCGAGATGCTCCGCAATATTCCTACCTCTGCACCGATGCCTTCGCTACCCCTCTTTGAGGATTCTCAGGATGCTGTGGCGGACAGTCAAGTCGATGCGACTCAGGCTCAGGCCAACGAGCCTACTCAGCAGATGGATCTCCGATTCCCTCAGCCTTCTGTAGACTCGCCTGCAGTCCAACAAATGTCGCAGCTCTCTCAGATTCCAGACCCATCTCAGGATGTTGGCTTCGACCCTAACCTTACCCCTCTTGCTGACCGATTGCGTGCACCTTCGTCTACTGTCGAGACAGTCATGCTCGGTGTGCCGGAATCTCCAATCGTGCAGCGTCGTGGTCGTTTGGTCAGACGATCCGAAATCGACCAGGAGGAGGATGAAGAGGCAGTGCCGTCATCTGCACCTGCTGCCGTCGAGAAACCGTCTGATGCCTTCAGCGTCATGCGTCAAGCAGCGAAGAAACCCGCTCAACCTGAATTTGACAAGCAAAAGAGTAATGCCAAGGGCATGGTTGATGAGCAAGCCGAGGAATCAGAGGACGAATACCACGGTCTTGGAGGTGCCAGTGACGACGAAGATGCAGGCTCTGGTGACGAAGACGACAAGCAAATGATTGATGAAACCGATGTCAAGGTCGATGAGCGTCAACTAGCAGCTCTTTACGCCGAGAAGTCGCGCGTTCAAGATGAGGCTCAGACGAGCAAGTTGTACAAGGATCTCATGTCTGGTGCTTTGCGACGCAAACGCGGAAACAATGCTTTCGAACTCGACTCGGATGAAGATGATCAGTTGGTCGAAAGAAGACGCCGCAGGCAACGCGAAGAAGCTCGCAAGCGCAAACTTCTGCTTCAAGACGAGACATTGGGTAAACTTGGCAGCAACGACAAGAAAGAAGCCTTCCTCCGCGCTATCGAAGACAGAGATGAAGCCAACGATGTTGACTTCCTGGATGGCCTCGATGTTGATGACGATGCTGAGATGGTCGACTCACAACAACAACCTTCTGCATCTCAACCTACTGCTTCCCAAGCAGGCAACGAAGAACAGTCTAATGCCTTGAAACGACCAGCTGATGTCCTGGAGCCCAGCCAGTCATCGCAACAAGAACAGCCTTTGCAAAAGAAAAAGTCCGTCGCAGCGTCTTCTCTCCGCCGCTCCGGCCTCAGCGACACCTTCCGCAAACCCAAATCATTGGCTGAAGTCCGCGATTCGTTGTCTTTCCTCATTGACGATCCGTCGAACGAAGAGCTGGCTTCTGAAATCTTACTGTCTTCAGACGAAGAAAGAGAAGTCCGCGCCAAATCTTCTGAGCCCAGAGCTCCCGCCTCCGCTCGCAGAGTCCCCGCCAAGGACTCCATCATCGACCGCCTAACCCTCAAGAAACAAGCCTCGTCCATTGCCGAAACTGCGGACTCGAACCTCGCATTCACATCCCTCTCCCAAAACTCCAGAGGCAGCATCTCCTTCAAACCAGCATCTCTGCTCCGCAAAGCCACCGTCAACAATACCTCGTTCACTGAAAACAGACCTCCTCCTGCTTTGAACAGGGAAAGTAGTAGTGGGATCAGAAATGGAGGGTCGAAGAAGAGCAGTATCAATTACCAAGCCAGAGAGGCGGAGAGACAGGAGATTGTGCAGAAGGCGGCGAAGAGGAGGGAAGAGAATGTTAGGAAGATTGCGGGTTTGAGACGCAAGGCTGGGGGTGCGCTTGGTGCTTTGGGAAGGGTTGGTGGTGGATTTGAGTAGGTGGATTGGTTTTAATGCTTGTTGATGTTGAAGTTTGAGATAGCAAGGCATAAGCGTGGTCGTAATTCAATCTTGCATCTCTACATGCATGTTCTCGTTTCTTGCCTCTCTTATCGTTCGTCAATTGGTAAGGCTGCAGATTGAATGTGTCTCAGGGATTAGCAAGACTGTCATATCCATGATTGACCTTCATGTTCAACATGGGAGATATACAGTTGCACGCCTAGGTCAAAGTCTGGGCATAGGAGTGTCTCTATGATGACGACCTTTTCTTCTTTGAGAACAGCTCCAGCATCACAGCACACACACGTCGTAGACAGGTATAGACTCGTTGTTCAATTCATTATATTCATCTACCAGCAGTTATGCTTGCTTCCAATTACTCAATCCATCATCTTTTCCATCTGAAAGAAACGTCGTCAAACTCAATCACTTTACTCAACCTCGCTCGTAAAGTTTGTCTCGCCCAAATCCGTACTTCCAGGAAGAATAAACGGCTTGATCTTAGGAAGACGATTAAGCGTATCCTCGCTAAAGCCCAAATGCTCCTTGACAACCTGTTTAGGTGTCAAGCCCAGCCACTGCGCAACACTGATATCGTTATAAATCGGCGCCTGTAGCACCTCAATATAGATCAAATCTTCCGTGCCGGTGTTTTCGAGGTAGTGTGCGGTAACCACAGGAACATAGCCTACATCGCCGGCTTGGAAGTCAAACGTGCGCGAGGCTTGGGGTGCTTGGAAGAGAGTTAGACGGCCTTGGCCCGATAGGATAAAGTCCCATTCGTCGCTGGTGGTGTGCCAGTGGAGTTCGCGCATGGCACCAGGTTTGATGGTGAAGAGACCGACGGCGAAATCGAAGGCTGCTGGGAAAGTCTGGGTGTCGAGGATTTTTACACTGCCGCCGGGGACTTCGTAGGGTGCTTGTTCGGAGAAATGGTACGAGTAGCCTTTGGAGTTGGGGATGTTGCCTGCGGGGCCAGTGACGTTGTTCGCTGGGTCAGAAACATTGGCTGGGAAAGCAGAGCCGTTGAAAATATACAGCTGGTCCTGGGGAATGTGGTCGAGAGCTGAGATATCGACGCGAAGGTCCTTGGCCAAGACGGACTTGGGGTTTCTGGCAAAGAGTTCGGAGACGAGGAAGGTGTTGTCTTCACTGAAAGAGCCTTCGTCGAAGACGAGAAGGAATTCGACGCCGGTAGGGCCGGCTTGGATGCTGTGAGGGACTCCGGCTGGGAAGAACCAGACGTCGCCTTGAGAGAGGTCGTCGGTGAAGGTCTCGCCGGCTTCATTGACGGCGTTGATGCGGACGGAGCCGTTTAGGATGTAGGACCATTCATTTGCTACGTGCCTAGGAATTCGGTCAGACGGGTGGGTTGCTAGGAGATGGGAGAAGTATAACTCACCAATGCAATTCTCTGTATGCGTAAGGCTCGAGATGCATATCCACACCGGCCATGTTCTTGGCTACGGGGAGAATGTCAATGTTCTGTTGTCTTGCCCATCCTGCGCCGTTCAACCCGTGTCTGTTGTGGGAGAGACCAAGGGGCCACTTTGCGTTCGAAACATCGCCGGCGTCGGTGCCCTGTAGTTTGAGTGATTAGATGAGTCTATGGCGAGGAAAGCTCGGTGAAACTTACTGGAGGAGCATACAAGTCGGGGTTCTGCTTCTCAATCATCTCATTCCTTGGTCCAGGGTCTGTGGGTGATTTTCCTCCTGCACCACGAATGGGCTGTGGGTTCTCAATCTGACTGAGATCAAGGTAGAATCCAGTGTCTGCATCTGCAGTCTGGAGGGGACCTACACTGTAGGCACTTGATGGCACAACAGCAGGGTTGTCCGATTTGATGACATTGGTAGGGTTGAAGCCTAGGAGTTCAGATCCTCCTCTGAGCTGGCCGGAAGCACCTGCAGGTCCAAATGGAGTGGCGGTAGGGTTATTGATGTTGTCCAAGAATTGAACTGCAGACTCTTGTCGAGCCTTAAGACGGTCTGCTGCAGGTGCAGGAGCAGGAGCAGCAAACACAGAGCTCAGCAGGCCTGCAGCCGCAACGAAAGAAGTTCCTGTCCTCATGGTAGGTCGACGTAAAAATGAAAAGAGTCAAAAAGCTTTCGCCTCAAAGGCTCAGAGAACCATCTTATATATCAGGGTAGCACAACCAATACCCCGCGGCCACTCGGCTACACATGTCGTGAAAGTAGTTCGTCATAATGGTAAATTCTGAGGCGTAACCGCTCCAGGAAAGTTGCGGAGGCTATGCGAAAAGTGCACTAGGAGTACGATCGGCTGAAACGGACAGAGCGTGATAGATTGGAAATTCTTGCGACGGCATGTTGTCACTGTTTCAATTGGTCGTGCCAAACTGCCGAAGGACCAGGTCAAAAGTCAACTGCTCACAACGCTTCGAAGCCGCAAGCGGAGGTCGAACCCGATGACGATCATTCTTGATCTTAGGTCCTTGTGGCGGTATAAGCCGCACCTTGATGTTTGCTGACAGTTTACGGAAGCTGTTCTCGAAGAAGTGAATCGTAGCCGTTCGTATAAACCCTCGAGACTAAAAGGGAATTGGTAATAAAGCTCATTGAAACCTGTCGAGTGTTCAAGCAAGAGAGCTTCTCGAATCGATTTCCATAAGTTGTCCGTACGACAAGACCTCTAGCCTCATGTATTGCAATCAATCGCAAGCCGCCATAATCTCAAGCAAGCGAGGCATGATGTCGAGATTTCGAAAAGGTACAAAGTTACCTGTCAAAGTAGGCGTGCATGGAGGCTCAAACATGCGAGGACAAACGAACCTCCGCAACCGCAGAGGCACGTTTCCAAATCATGTCGTCACTTCTTCCCCTCATTTTTTAATTGCTCTCCCCAAGCTTTTGCACATCCCGAGCCTTATTCTTACGCTCGATTCGTCCGGAAGCATCGGCATCTGAGAGACATCTTGCAAATTCGAGAGATGGTACGCGTACGCGTGGCGATGCGATGCGATGCGGTGTACGAGATTCGAGATAGCATCAAAACGTATTGTCCACGCACTTATGATGGGTAGAAGACGTGATTCGTAAGTACGCGGCTAGTAATCTGGCGATGGACCTCTATTAGCAATACGAAGGAGATAGCAATACAATGATTCGGTGTGAGTGCTAGGGAGGTGTCCTTGAAGAAAGCATTGGTGTTGTTGTTTATATACATGTCCAACATCTCAGCCTCTTCTTCTGATCGAGGCCTCAATGCTTGATCTATTGCAGTCTTTAATACTGCCACCCACTATGCGCCAGGTCTCGTGTACTCGAGGTGTCTGACCCTCTTCCAGACTTCTCTTACCACTCTTTCCTGGCTTTGTCTTCCTGTCTCTGTTGCCGAAGGTCCAGCAGGTCTGATGGCAAGATACAATCTACTGCCCAACCTAACATCCTCAATCGCAGCTGTAACAGGATCTTCAGGAGGATTAGCAGTAGTGACCAAACCACCTGCTTCTTGTAGCAAACAGATGCCTGCTGCCACATCCCACTCCCAGCATCCGCCTTCCCACCAGATATCGAATGATCCCATAGCTACATAAGCAAGATCTAGAGTTGCACTGTTTTGCAAGGTTAGCAATTTGAGGAAGGTAAGATGTAAGATAGGATGAAGAGAAAACATACCTTCCAAGACTCCTCACACCATGCACCATACCACCCTTACCTCCTCTACCTCCAATCTCTCCCGCCATATTCAAGAAACTCTCAATCTTTCTGTACAGATTGCCATCAGGGACATCACGTCTATCCTTTCCCCATTCACAGCTGAACACACATCCCTTGGGTGCTTGCTCAGGCATAGGCGGCACCGGGTTGCGCACTAAAGGCAATCGTCTAGTCTCATTCAGCCAAGCTCCCTGGCCCGAACAAGCGGAAAAGATCTGGTTCAAAAAGGGTGCGTAGATGACTCCGATGGTAGGCTTGTGGTCGAGGATAAAGGCGATGGAGACGCAGAACATGGGAAATAGGTGCGTGTAGTTGACTGTGCCGTCTAGAGGGTCCACACACCAGGTTGGTGCGGAAGTTATAAGGTAGTCCTTTGAAGCGCCTTTGGAATATGTTTCTTCGCCAATGAAGCTGGAGCGAGATGTGGTTAGTAAATTTTTCAGATCCTCAGGCGTGACAGTTTTGAGACTCACGCATGACTGGGATATTTCTTTGTAATTTGTTCTTTGACAAAGGCTTCGACATCTGTATGATGTTTAGTTAGCCAATACTCCAGATAGCATGATTCACCTCTCCACGATTTTATGTCATATCTCTGAACTCCTTTTTCCGCGTTCAAGAATGTCAGAGGTGATGAATTGGAGACGATACAAACCTTCATCAGTTTGTGTGACAATATCGACCGAGCTGTCCTTCTCGATCTGTTCCTGCTGTACCCCGGCAGTGCTGTCGTTGCCGCATCTGGCCTCCACACCATCCATCAACATGCGTCCGGCATCTTTGGCCAATTGCACCGCAAAATCATAAATCTCTTTGAGATGCTCTGGGGTAAACTCCGTGTTCGACATGTCTGCTTTCACGATAAGAGAAAAGAGTCAGAGGCTCAAGAGCAAGATGATATCTCATGCCAAGGAAGACATCCGGAGAGTTGCTCCACAAAACGCACGAGAGGCGGAGGATCAGGGCCGCTTCCGTATCTGTGGGGCAGTGGAGATAAAAAGGCATAAATCGAAGTTGTGAATGTCATATTTGACAAATAGCTATTGTGTAGAAGTATAAGCGAAAGTCCCCTTGGGTATGAGAATATAATGTCCTAGCGCCTTTCATTCTTATCTCCTCAACTCAATATCCTAAACCTCCAACGCCTCGCTATGCTGCCAAATCGAAAAAGAATACCGGAGTAAAATAAAACAGAATGTACAGTCGTAGCAGAATCTATCTGCGTTCATGCGTGTCGTTATATGTTGGGAGGCCATCAGATCCTAGGTCGGTTTGTGTGGTTGTGGCAGTAGAAGTCGGCACAGTCAGACTCGATGAACCTCTGCCTGGAGCAACGGGAGAGACAACAGCCTCGGTATAGTCTGGAGGCTTCAGTCCAGTATGTTCTCTGGCCAAAGCTGGACGAGGCGCAGCCGGAGTAATGAGACTGGATGGAGAGGCTGGGCGAGCAGTCTCGAGTACAGTATCGTTGTGGTCCGGAGCAGATTTGTAGGCAGGGGGAGCCTCGCCTGCATCGTTCAGACCCTCCTCTTCTCTTCTGCGACCCCAGGAAGGCAGGCTCATTGCTCCTCGTGTACCATGCGGCTGACCATGAGGAGTCGGACCACTCGAATAGTCGCGTGATAAAGCTCCCCAACCCCAACCTCTGTTAGCGCGTAGGCGTTGGTCTTCAATATCGCGGCTCAAAGCAATCTGACGTGAGACATTGGCTTGGTGAACCATGCGCTTCTTACGACGGTAGAAGAAGCAGCCTCCGACAAGGGCAATGGCAATAACGACGGCGACAAAGACAAAGTAGTTGTGGTATAGTTCTCCGAAACTTTGCTCCCCGTCGTCTCGTTTCGAATGCTGTGAGGAAGAGACAACAGTAGACGTAAGAATGATTGGGGCGGCTGGCGGGAGTGGTGAGAATCGAGTCCAGCTCAGAGGGGCAGGCATGATGCTGATGCGGTGATGTGGATGCGAACGATGTCTTGCGGTGTCTCGCCGTTACGGCAGATGGTGGATGGCGGTCATGAAAGAGTAGTCTTGCAAGTACAAGGCACTGGGAGCAGGCGAAGGGTCAAGTAGTGCAGGCGCGGATAGCCCGGGATCCGATCAAAAGTCTCGCGGGAGGGCAAGATACGTGCGAAGCAATGCTCGAAATGGCGGGTGTTTGGACGAAGAGATGTCGGATATCGAACGTCACGAATACAGAAGGAAGGCAGGCGACATGGCGAGAAGCAGGCAGAGTCGAGACGACTTCTGTGTTGCAAGGACGAAGGGAGACGCTTTCATAGGCCGCGCTTTCCATGTCAAACCAACGTCGCGGAGCCGCAGCTTCCCGACGCAGCACGTCAATCAAATTCCATCACCATCAAGGTTTCTTTTTCTAACAACCATCAACATCGCCGTATCCAAATACTCATCAGCTCTGCACCTCGTCCCATCCCAACTCATCTACAATGCCTCGTGCTACCGCCGGTACGCCTTCATCTCTTCTGTCGTAAAGCACGGCACTTATCATTTCAACATCTACTAACAACCCTCCAGGCACCCTGGTCCAGTGCGACCCCTCTATCAAAGCCATCATCAGCAAAATCAACGAAGAGAATGGCGGTCTCTACATCTCTGAAGATATCGATGACGAGACCTGCTTGATCAACACCAAGAAGCTTGAGGAGCTCAAGCAAAAACTAAAAGACGTAAACACATTCATCTCATCTCATCGCAGAGCTCCCACTGACACCACACAAGGCCCTCAAAGACACTGTTCGTGAGGCAGAGGACTCGGGCTCCGAGTAGAGCTACGACCTGAAAGTCGCTCCAAAGACCTACCACAGGGCTGGATCCACCGTCGTCAACAAACAAGGAAGACCATCATCGGCATCTGCCCGTGAGACCACGACCAAAGACGAGAATCCCAAACCTGATGACACGACTACAAAACCACTCAAAGTAGGAACTCCACGTATATTGCGGCTTGCTCATACTGACTACAAGCAGTTATCCAAATAATCCAATTCATAGAGCTCTGCAGCTCGTCCAAAGAAGTTTCAACAACCATCAGCCCTAGACCACATTACATGGTCTCCTTCTGCTCAGCACCGTCAAGTGCAGAGACCCACTTGGGTCTTGTAGGAGCAAACAACTCGACGTTGGGCTTGCTCTGGTTCAAGACATCTCCATCCAAAGTACCAGCCTTGACAATCTTCATGCCAGGGAAGTTCTCTCCATCGCGGTACAAAGTGGATCCGCAATCACCGCAGAAGTACGACGTGATCTTCTTGCCGCTGTCGGCTGTCTTGGTGAAGCTCTTGGGGCTGCCCGTCACCTTGAAACCCTCGCCAGAGACGACGTTGTTAACGCTGTATGCGCTGCCGCTGATCTTTTGACAATCGGTGCAGTGGCAGAGTGCCTATTGACAATACATATCAGCTTTTATAGCATCACGTATTAGAACTTTGATATACCTTCAAAGCAGGCTCACCGCTGTATTCGATGCCGAATTTACCACAAAGACAGCTTCCTGAAACCATGATTGCTAGATTGATATGTTGAGTAGAGGTATTGCTGATGCAAATGTCGTTCAGGTAGACGTGTTGTTTCAACTCGAAGATGTAAGCGGGGTAGATTGAACGTTATTCTCCTTGCTATCCTCACGACCGAGGTGTTGCTCGTGATGTGCAGCGCGTCATCGTATCCAACCACGACTTTTGGCCAGTAATACAGAAAGGGCCACAATGCTTGTGTCAATGCCTTGTTGAGTTCGATGTACGAGTACCATCTTCCTAAGGCCATGAATAGTGATGTTGACAATTCACATGTATACCGGCTGAGACATTCATGGAGGACATCGATCAACAGCAGTCAAGGCAAGATATCAAACCTCATAGCGGCTTGAACTTCTGAAGAGATTTCGATCGTGTTTTGCTCTAAGACCGCAAAGTGAATGACTACAGCATCCAGGGAGATAGTTTTCTCCTGGATGCCTTGATCGTAGACATCGTGGTGAAGCACAATATGGTCGATATACACCTTCCCCTACCATGCTCTGCCTGCCAAGTCATCCGCTCCGACTAGCATGCTATCTATACCATGCCCATCTATCATATACATGAGCTATCGCGGATGCGACACAGTCTCGAACAATCTCTACATCGAATCTGGTCCCATCTGCGTGAATGGTCAGCTTAAAAGAATAGGACACCATGCACTCGACGGTTCTAACTCCTTCCACGTTGTAGCAAGATAGCTCAGTGCCACAACCATATGAAACCAACAGAACGGTGAGTGTGCCGTGCTCTCATAAACCCTCCTCATCACTAGCCGATCACAAGGAAGCTGCCTTTACATTCACATCTAGCTCAACTAATACAAAATGCAAGCCACACCTTCAACCTCGCAACTCTGCTCCTACCGATATCTGCCTCCGTGAAGCAGTGCGTGCCTGGCCTTGAGCAAGAAATCTCTTTATCATGCTCAAGATATGTAGGGATTATTCTGCCACCACCAAGGGCAGCATAACACACATAAATGACCAGGTCACTAGACCCTAATCCTTATCTGCCACTCTCCTCTGCCGTCATAGAAGTGGTCTTGAAGTTTCTTGATATGATCTACTTGACCCTGCGTTAGGAGAAAGTGTAGAGGATTGCAAGCTTACAGACCCGTGCAAATTGTTTCTCGCCCTTCGTAATATCCATCGACCAATAAGAGAACGAATCCTGGATCATGGGCCCAGTGTCACCAAGTCGAGTTGCTGGGAAACCAAGATACAAGTGTCGACGTCAATTTTATAGTAGATTCAGTGAAGCTACTGAGCTTCTGAAAACGATTGACTTGAGTGAAGCATGAGAGCTCCTTACAAGGTAGACATCAACAGTTCAGCACCATGGGCTACACGAAGAACAACTGAAGTAGAAACTTCTAAGCCGTTCCGTCTTACTTCTCTGTGATTACATACACGAACATAGATGACTGGCACACAAGATCAATGATATAGCAAATTCGGCCGAGCTGCTGATCTGGCGCGACAACATGACGAACCAGCTCATACGAAAAATCGCGTTTAAGTATGCAAGACAGAATGAAAGATAACCTTTTTTTTATCACTGCTCAATTAATCTTAGAATAATTTGTTTATGCTTTTTCCTCCTTCGTTCTAATGCAGGGTCTGGCTTCTCCTTGCACATGAATACCATGAAGCTTTTGCAATTCTTTGGGCAAACGTTCCAAATCACTTTGATACCAATCCCTGGTAAAACTTGCCCAAAGCGCTTCTCCCCGCTTGATAGCCTCTTCTCCTTCTTCCGCAGCTATAAGGGCACTTGTAAGACACCCTCCCTTCTCAAGCACAAAATCCAATATACCTCTTTCCGCATTAGAATCATCCATCAGCATGCACACACCAGCACGCTTCTATCGCTTAGCCACGCCAGAGGCCTTGGAGAACAAGAGCTTGAAGCCGTTCTTCAGAGCGCGCATGTCAGGGTAAGGATGGCGTTGGAGCTCGAAAGCGTTGGGAATGACCTTGACGGGCCATGCTGCGACCTTTGCTGAGGCGCCGGCTTTGAAGCATAGATCGAAGTAGCCAGGGTACTTGGGGTTAATGCAGAAGGCGTACATGCTGCGGATGGGGTTGGCCTCTGTGTAGGCGTTGAGCCACTCGTCTGAGGTACATGTTAGTAAGAATCGGGAGGGTTTAGTGAGTATATGATGATGCTTACTCGTCGCTTCTCTCGAGCCTTTCTGGAAGCGCTCGTCCGTCATGATCTCATCAACCTTCTTGGCCATTGCCTTGACGTGCAAGACAATCAACTCATCAAGATCTGAGTATGTGTATTTGCCGCCAACCTTGAGAGTTCTACCCACAGAGAACTCGTTCTCCTTGTCAAGCTCCAGCACATCAATATGTTGGAAGACATTCTCCGAGACTTTCCATGTGACAGCCAAATGGTCGAGTCCTTTTGATGATGGTCTGATGACAACATCGCCTTGTGCTTGTGAACCCAAGTACTCTTCGGCCTGAGCTGAGTTGAACGGTCTGAAAAGAGGGTGCTTGATAACACGTTGAGCTCTGCCGGTCTTGGCGTCCTTCTCGAGAAGGGCCTCCTTCTTATCCTGAGCTTCCTGTTGCTCATCCCATTGTCCAGGCTCGTGGTCGAACTCACGACGGAAAGGTTCCCGCAGGTCATCTTCTCTGAGCGAGAGTTTTGCCGTGAAACGCTTGGGCTCAATTTCGAGAAGTTTGGCCTGAACAGTCTGATGTGTCTGCCAGACATGACGAGGCTCTGCGCCACCATTGCCGACACCAGCAGGGAAGTCTGTTTCGTTGACAGTTCCATCAATACCACAGTCCAACTTGACATCGATGTGATCAGGGAAGGTGCGCTTGATCGAAACAGGCACGATCATGCCTGCAGTCAGCGACTCCTTGGTCTCTCCAGTCAGCATGGTGAAGACTTCATCAGTTGACAGCAAGTAGAAGCTGCGACGAAGTTCCTCGTAAGGTTGTTGCAATTCACCACGGATGAGCTCCAGGGTAGCCTTCTTCTTGAGACCAATCTTGCGAAGAATCTCCTCAGCATAATCGTCAAGCACAAGATCATTGAGCTTGTCTTGGGCGTCATCCTTGATAAGCTTGCGAACAACAGCGTTGGGACCAGCCTCGTCAATCTCAGCCTTAACATCCTCTTCATCCATGTCAAGGGTATCGGCCACAATCTTTCTCGCCGTCTCGTAGTCCTCGGGGTGCACACGAGTGTTGTCCAGGTAGTCAGAGTCCGGCTCGGAGTCGTCATAGTTGATGTACAGGAAGCTGGCACAGTTCTCAAAAATCTTGGGGCCAACAGCGGCTCTTCTGCTGCGATCGGATACGCCGATAAGTTCGTAACGAGTGTTGAGGTCACCTCCATTTGAGTTGACAACCTTAAGAAGATGTGCTGCTTTGCGAGGACCCAGACCCGAAACATATTGTAGAAGGTTGGCAGTGTATGAATCAGAGACTGCTTCATTGACGTCGACACCGACCAGGTTCACAGTTTCGATCATGGCCATTTCCAGATGCTTCAGCACCTTTTCTTGAGGGATGAGTGTTTGATTTGAGGTGAAGGAGATTGATGTGATGTCGCGACCAAGGGCAGCGTACTCCTTAAGAGGACTCTGCATGTATCTTGCAAGAGCGATACAGTATCTGGTAAGCGGCGGAACGGTGGGGTGCTCGGCGGTGGCACGATCGCTGGTGTAGTAAAGACGGGCAACTTCGTCGTTGGTGATGACAATATCAAGCTTGTCGCTCTGTTCCGAGCCATCTTCTTCTTCATATGGTGTACCTCGTAGGTCGTGGCTTTCGATGATTTCCTGGAGATCCTTGTAGAGTCTGCGAGTTTCAACAGAGAAGCCAGAAACGGCAACGACATCAGGCTTGCGACGCTCGACAAGGTCGACGAATGCTGCTACATCAGCTCCATCGGGCAGGAACTTCTCCTTATTACCCATGCGAATGTCAACGAACTTGCCGTTCTCAAGCACACGACCGTTTTCGTCAACGTACGCCCAGCAGATAGCATCGTTGCGCTTGCCTGCACCATTGGACAAGGCGAGTACACGAGGTGTGGTACCAAGTACCATGCCACGAGGCTTGTAAGGAGCTTGATCGAGCTTGTTGGCGTATTCCTCTCTGCAAGCGCGAGCAATTTGAGCTTCACACTCTGTCTTGAGGTTCTCCTTCACACCTTTGACAATTGTGCGGGTGAGCTTCTCCAAGGCCATATCCAAGACTTCTCTGCGCAAAGCGTTCCAGGCATCGGCGAGTTCACTGAAGTTGTCGGACATGATGTTCTTGTACAGACTGTCCTTGAACCTGTCCCAGACTTCCATGCGAACACGAACCTCAACAAGACCTTCATCTTCGGCCTTGAGCATGCGCAAGAAAAGCTCAGGCTTGGCGACAATTGATCTTAGGTCCTTTCCACGAAGATACTTGAACTCGTAATACGGGTGCTCCTCATCGATTCTCTTCAAGCCCTTCTCGGTACGGAAACAGTCGAAGACACCATCCATGTAGAAGTTTTGACGCAAAAGCTTGCGCATACGAGGACTTTGAGCGAGTTCTTCAGCAAACATGGCCTTTGCAGCAGCAAGAAGCTGTTGACTGCTGGAGTATTCAGCTCCGTCGACCAGCTTGTCGGCCATGTCGTCGGGTCTCTCAGTGGGATCCTCAGTGTACTGCCTTGTGCCGACCTTGAGAGCATTTTGTGCCAGAGCATCTGCAGAAATGCCGAATGCTCTAACCATGTGGTACGCTTGTCCAGCGCGGACCTTGTCCCAGACATTACGTGTTCCTCTTGCTCGTTTTTGTGTACCATTGGTCTCTGCATCGTATACGGTCGTATCCTTGAGTTGGGCGGCGTACTGGAAGTGGAGATAGTCCTGGACGTCTTGCAATTCCTCCATAGTGACAGCGGCAGGGATCATGTCATTGAAGATTTCGTCGTTCGAGTCAGTCATGGCATCGCGGATACTCTCGATCGACCTTGACAAAGCTTCGCGCTTCTCAACAAAGGCACGGTACTTGAGATCCAGTTCATAGATCTCCCATAGGTCGCTGTTTTGCAACAATCTCGAAGCCTTGATCTCGTGCTGAGGAGCATCCGGGTCGTTGGGGTTAGGAGATAGGGGCACACGCTCCTCGTGGATGAGATAGTCTTTGCGGTTGTGAAGGATGAAGGGAATTTCGAGTTCTTCAACGTTCATGAATCGCAAGACGTGACCAACGACCTCGCGGAAGGGTTCGATAAGGTCGCGGTCCAGACGCTTCTTGGGAAGCAGGAAGTTGGAAATCCAGTGTGTCTCTTCTTGCATGCGAGCATTCATTTCCTCATCCGACAATTCCATCTCCCTGAAGGGCTGGCGGGCGATCTGGTAGCGTTCGGGGACATCAGTGTTGCGGATGATGTTATCAGCCTCTGTCAACATTCTGTCGGCCAGTTGCGAAGGCTCGAAGACATCCTTGAGCTCGAGCGGCTTGTCCAGGCCTTCTTGGTTCTCATCGCCCTCCTCTTGTAATTGCAGAGCCCAGTCGTACTCGGTACCGTCACCGAAAGCAGCCATCATATCTTCCTGAGCCGATTCATCCAGGCCGCTCTGCATACGCAGGGGGTCGACATAGCCTCTTCCAGGTCGTCGCACTTCGGCAGCATCGCGCATTGCTTCGCGCTCCTCGTCGGGAAATTCATCCTCTTCAATAAAGTCGGCGAATTCGTCGGCATAGGCTCTTGGTTCGCGGCCGTAGGCTCTACCATCGGCGTCGGCCATCTCCTCATCGTCACTAAAGATGTCGTCGATGCCGCGCGCTTCGTTGCGATCTCGGTCTTCGCGATGACCCCGCTTCAGGCGCTTGAATTTGCTCTTCCAGGCGTGTTAGTAGAACGTGTGGTGAAGTAGACGGTGGTTGTCAATTACCTGCTCTTCTTGACGACGTTGGTAGTCGGGATGTGTTTCGCCAATCAGGTCCAAATCTTCCTCGTCAAGCAAAGCATCTTCGGCCTCGCGCTCCTCTCTTCTACGCTTCTTTCTTTCGCGACGGCGCTCACGGCGCTCCTCATCGTCTTCTTCATCTTCGTCGACGATGAAACCTTCGCGGATCTGGGTGGATTGTTAGAGAGAGGCTTCGACGAGTCATGTTTGTATATGCGCACCTCTCTTTCGGCTTCCTCATCGTCGTCTTCTTCTTCCTCACTTGAATCATCGATGTTTGCCTTTTGCTTTCTTGGGCGCGGTTCTTCCTCGTCACCCTCGAACTCTTCATCTTCTTCGCTGCCGAGTTCAGCGTCGAGGTCGAACAAGTTGGCTGTCGTCATGGCGGATGTGTATGTGATGTTTTGTTGCAAGCTGTCTGGTCGGAGATACAGGCGCGTGGATGTTGTTGATCGTCAATTCGTGGCAGCAGCAGCTGTGCTGGCAGAGGGGAGAGGGAAAGAATAGAGTTGGGCAAGCAAGTGCTTTTATATGGAGACGGAAGGAAAGTCAAGTGATGTTGGTGAACAGACGAGATGCTCCTTCACCTCTACAAGTTGCTGGCGTGTCTGTCTAGGTCTGGAAACTGCGACTGCCGTCACGGTCTTGGCGCCTGCGTCCGGCTGAACTGCGGCAAGATCAGTCGCAACTACCTGAGAGCTTGCGATAGACGACTCGAGCAAGGAAGGAAGTGGAGAAATGCTCAATAGGAACATCTTCGAACAATATTTGGTGTAATTTTATGCTAATCTATCAATTCAACAAATGCATGTTCATGAATCAGAAACAACAACGCTAGACACACACCGACAGAACAAAGAAGGAGAATTTGGCCGTAGAGACACGGCTTGGCAGGCAGTTTGATTTGCCAAGGGCGGAAGTCGGGTGCAACAAGGAATAGAAGGTCTGTAGAAGGTCGAAGCAGCGGTTTCAATCAGCACGAAGCCTGTCTCAAGTTTACCCTCTGTCGATTGTCTTTCTGCTAGTTGCTTCTCCTGGATGTTTTCTATATAACATGCCATCTATTCGTCACTCTTGATTACCAGCCGTCCGTCCTCGTTCTCGCAATCTCCCACGCTTCCAATCTCCATCCAACAAAGCCGAACTCTGGCAAGACTCCAGTCCCCTCGTTGACAACGTGCATACGCCCACCACCCAGGCTACACGACTTGATTGTACCTTACGAGCTGCCGCCCAACCTGACTACCCCCGATATTGATTAATTCCGCCAACAAGGCCGGCCAATCACTTTTCTGGCCTAGGGAGTCGACCAAAGCTTGCCGACAAACCAACAAGACTCCTTCGCTGCCAGCTTGAACACAATCACATACACAACCGCCCGCCATGTCGGACGCTTTCAAGACAAAGACGATGAAGCGTAAGAACGTCAAGGGCCTGGCCCTGAGCGCTCCCGCTCCTCGTCCTGCCCAACCTATCGCTCCCGATGGAGACGCTACTGGCGGCCAAGAGACAGGCCGCGCAGACACACTGGAAATCGGCGTCGAGTTCAGATTAGATCTCAAGAGCGAGGATCTTCAAGTCATCAAAGAGCTGGGAGCAGGCAACGGCGGCACAGTCAGCAAGGTCATGCACACGGCTACAAAGGTCGTCATGGCGCGCAAGATCATTCACGTCGAGGCAAAGAAGGAGATCAGAAAGCGCATTGTACGAGAGCTGCAGATCATGCACGAGTGTAACTCACTCTCCATCGTCTCCTTCTACGGTGCCTTCCTGAACGACATGGGCGATGTTGTCATGTGTATGGAGTACATGGATGTTGGGTGAGTGGCAGACGACTGTGATTGCGTGGAAGACAAGACTAACGGCATGCGCAGCTCACTGGATAGCATCTCTAAGAACTTTGGTCCCGTGCGCGTCGACGTTCTGGGAAAAATTGCAGAGTCCGTCTTGGGAGGCCTCGCATACCTGTACCGTATGCACCGCATCATGCATCGCGACATCAAGCCTTCCAACATCCTGGTCAACAGCAAGGGTCAGATTAAGTTGTGCGACTTTGGCGTCAGCAGTGAGCTTGACAATTCTGTGGCCGATACCTTTGTTGGAACGGGCACGTACATGGCGCCCGAGAGAATCCAAGGCTCGCCTTACACGGTCAAGTCGGATGTGTGGAGTGTTGGCTTGTCCCTGATGGAGCTTGCAATTGGCAAGTTCCCATTCCACAACGAGAACGGCGACGATGACGAATTGGCTGGTCCTCAGGGCATTCTCGACCTTCTCCAGCAGATTGTGCTGGAGCCTTCACCCAAGCTTCCCAAGAGCGACGCCTTCCCCAAGATCCTGCACGATGTCATCGACAAGTGTCTTATGAAGAATCCTGACGACCGACCTACTCCTGCCGAACTTTTCGAAACCGATCCCTTCTTACAAGCCGCTAAACGTACACCAGTCGATCTCGAGGCCTGGGCTGTCAGCATGATGGAGCGCCACAATCGCAAGTCTCACCTTGTGCCACAACTATCTCCTCAAACAAAACAACTGCTGCGATCTGGCGGCAGAGAGCCCGAACACCACCCCAGCCCGCCATCCTCGTCATCTGGCGACATTCCCATCAGCACACAGTCCATGCCGCGCCACTCACAACGTCCGAGCTATCCTATGCGCACTTCAAGTGCCGGTCAGGTGCCCATGGCTGCTCAGCAGTCCATGAACCTGCCCATCCGCCCTGCCCCTCCAGCTGGATCAATCTCACAACCTCGCTCTGCTCGCCGCGAACCTGTTCCTCTCTCTAGACCCGACTCGGCTTCACGCTCCACGCCCAAACGTACTCCGAACTATGATTACTCAAATTACGACGACGTTGTCTCTGGCTACTACGACACCAACAACAAGTTCTAGACGCGCCTGCCCGTTCTGTCTAGGCTGAGAAGCACTGGCAGAAATAGCCCAGAAGTACAGACCAGACATGCCCACCATGTGTACGCACAGCGTTTGTCATACAACACTTTATTGAGGCGTGGACATGTAACCGACGAATCACTTACAAGGTACATGGCACAAACGACTCCGAAAGTACGCAGTAGCACAATCAACATCACCACACCATACTCAGATACCCACGCATTGGCGACGACAGCAAAAGAGAAGGATAGAGAGCAAGACATTCATCAGACGCAAGAGGAAGTCCCATTATTGCAAGCATTTTTTTTTTTACAACTCATGGCACCGGCGTTTTTCCTTCCCCTCTTCTCTCGGATGCACATCAAATAGGGTAGGCGTTTATTTTCTTTCAACCATGTGAGCATTTCTCGGAGACCCCCTTTTGCAGACAATTCACTCAATACAACTTTTTACCAATCATGAGCAAAATATCGAGTTTTGAACTGTAATCAAAGATTGATTTGTGAAAGGAATACTTGTTGTGTGCTTTTTCGTTATCTCATGCTAACATAAAACTGCTCGATCCAATCATGCACCCTAATCAAAGAAACTCCAAATGACCATGTGTATGCCCAGCCCCTCTCCTCTGTAACTCCACTTCCTTCCTTGAGCCCCTATCCATTGGCCCGAAAACAAGTCCAACATCAGCATGGCCATCAATCTTCGTTGCTGCCATCTCTTTCGTCCCAACATCAAGCCATGCTCCCTCATTGATCATACAGACTCCATACTCTTCCCGTCATCCCCACCAAAAATCACACCCCTGCCCCCAAACCCCAACGCCAACGCCAGAACCCATTCCCCGAAACAAGAAACTTACAAAAGAAAACCAAATCAACACTTGACCCCATTGACACTTCTCCCAACAACCCTAAACACACCACTGTCGACTTCAGCAACAGCCTCCCAGCCATCCCCCTCCATCCTTGCAATAGTAACTCTTACGCGATACTCTCCCTGTTCCCTGACACACAAACCCTCAAACCCCGCTGCTCCTACAATCTCTCCTCTGGCAGATCTACCCAGAGCAGAGATGTCAGAACGCGAGGGTTCGCTGACTGAGTCCATGAGTTTCGCAGAGGGAGAAGTGGTGAGGAGGTGGCCGGCAGGGAGAGGTGTGCCGGAAGCAGAAGTGAGAGAGACTACGGCGAGCAGGTTTTGGGGTGTGCGGCGCCGGGGGGTGGTGATCAGGATGCGGGTTGTGAAGGGAGTAGAGGGGGAGACGGAGGAGGGAGGGGCACAGGTGATGGTTAGGGTATACGGAGAGGCAGAGGATTGTTGGCGAGAATGGGTGGATGTATCAGTACGGGTCGAACTGCGGCGGTGTCTATAGATGCATGTCAGTTGCAACACTGGAAGGCGGGACATGGAAGATGTGAGAAAAGTGGGCTAGGGCCGTGCACGATCATGATATTTGTTATGCAGAACTTGAGATATGCCAATCCATGGCAAGGGTATGCAGACAACTGGCCATGCTTCCAAACAGCCATCATATCATGCCATGTCTGAAGCTAGATCCATGCTTGATCTTGCAGAAAAGCACGGCTCAAGAAGTGACAGAATCATATGTAAGAAAGTGGAGCATGGCAAGGTTGAGAAGTGGAGCAAAAAGAGATCTGTGACAACTTACTCAACACTGCGAGGACCGTGGTCATTGCGAGCGTATGTGCGGCGTGCAACGTCTGCCATTGTAGAATCTTGATGCTGTTCTTGGGCCTGAGCTTCTCGTAATTGGTCTTGTTGTTGTCTGGCTATGCGTGCGGATCGTCTGAGTTCCAGAAAACGATCTTCTTCTGATAGATGATGTCGATTATGCTGATGCTGGCGTCTAACAGATGGCCTCCGGGAACGTGTGTTGTGAGCTCTAGCGACTGCGGTGTTTCTAGCCTGAGGAGGTGCTTGATCAGTATTCTGCCGCGAATGTCTGGAAGCAGAGCTTTGTGGACGAGCCATGGTTTTGAATGTGATATGGGGTTGAAGATGGTGCTGGGAAATAAAAGAAGCTTCTGATGATGGAGGGTAAGTGATCACAACATATACACTGTGATGGTAGGGCAATGGCTTTTTGAGGCTTGGAGTAAGAAATTGGAATGCCTCCTTGTTCTTCTTGATAGGGTATGGAACAGGTCAAGTAAGGCAAGGGCCGAGCCGGTGACAGAAAACCAGCCAGACGTTGAAAACGTCTCGAGTCATCTCTTGACACAAACGTACCAAAGAATTCAAAGGCGAGTTGTAGTAGAGGTGACAGATAGTGGAATGAAAGAAGACAAGAGCGGGGTTGTTGTCCGATGAAGTTCAGCTGAGACTGAATAAACTTTCGGCTTGGATTGATGACGGAGAATGGGTCTTTGAAGTAAAGAAATGTGGTAGGAGCTTGATGATGAACTGATCCGATCCAATGGTCGTTCTCTGGAGAAGACCTGGTGTCTTTATATCCCATTCCCGGCCAACAGGTCCTTGAGCTTTAGTTCCCTTCGGACGGGTCGATTCGAAGTCGATGTCGAGCTCATCATACATCTCACCCTCATTGACAAGGTTGATTGATCATCTAGCGTTAGCCAGACGATCGGGCGTCAAATCAGAAGTGGCTCAAAGGGTGCCACATGAACGACTAGGAATTCATACGGACGACACAGACATTGGGGTTTCCTCTTGCAGCAGAATCTGCTGCAACCAAGAAGGTCCGGTGCAGCGCGGACTGGACCGGATCATCCTGAGCCGTTGGATTGGGAATTGAGGATTGAGCCTTGTAAGGATTGTGGTTTGCAAGGAGTTGGCATGGGGTGAAGCATGGACGTTGCAGTACAAATCTGCAAATCAATCGAGCAGGAAAATCGTTCGAGATAGTGCAGATTCGGTGCGTCGCATATCAATGCCGAAATCCACCTTTCTCCAAACATCCATGAACATGGTGTCGGGATTGCGCCGTGGCGGGCTGCTAATTGATGCAGACGTCTTTGTTTGGAGAGAGGTCTGGCCTGAGCGCTGCGGTTCCCTCAAGACCGTTGACGCCAGGCGTTTGCATTTGACCAACCACAAGGCAGGACTGCATCCTCTCGGCGCCGGGTAATCGAGGAACAGACGCCAGCCTGTGCAACGACGCGCTTCTTTCAGAGATGGGCCACGCGAAGAGAATCAACATTCGCACGCTGACGGCGTTTGCATGAATCTGCCAAAGCCAAGAGGGCATGTCCTGGCACCATCGTTGCACCTCTACCTTTTCAGCTGAAGTGGCATCTATCACCAAACTATTTTTGCAACACCAGCATACCTTTTTGGCAGAAGAAGTCAGCCTCTACCTATAGCAGCCGGCGCTAGGCCAATGCCAAGTCCAGCAGAGACGACACGCGGTGCTGCTCTTTGAGACGCCGCGCGCAATCTCGAAGGACCCGACCTTGTGGATAGGCGCTGCAGATCTACGCTCGTGGACTATGCCGTGGGTCGCAGAGGTGTGACAAATCTTGTCAATCTGAAGGAGAACGACCTGCTTAACAATGCATCTTATCTCAGCTTGTAATGCCGCCACGCAGCACGATGCAATCAATGACTTGCAGTTTTGCATATGCGACCGATAACAACAACTTTTTTCCGGGGAACTATGACGGCTAAAATACTTTCACACATCTGCATGCTGCCGTGAAGCATGCTACACTCCCTCTCATTTTCCAGTGCCCGGTTTAAGTACATACCGTTTTGGAAACACACCTTCCATGCAGAAAATACGTCAAGTCTGTCAGAGCGTTCCGACTCAGGGGCGATGGGCCGCTCCTTCACGCCAGCTACGCAAAGCTTTAATATACGGCATCGTGCTTCCACGGGCCCGTCCGGCACTACGCAGCTCGTCCACACTCTTGGGCATGCTGGTCTCCCGCTGATCGCTTTTGGCCCTTGAAGGATCGGGCATCCTTGTCCATAAAGGGTGATTTTACCAATTTGGTCTCGGTATCATCGTCATACTACGATTCCAAACTAGCGGCTAAACTTCTAGATCATAGCGTGCAAGCAGCGTGTAGAGCACGCGCCGGCAGTGTTTGATGATGTTGGGTAAAGGGAGCGAAGACTCGACTACTTGCACCGCGTGTGTACGAGTACGAGTACGAGTACCTCGACATAAAGCGTACATGTCCTAGAGATCATTCTCCTCCACCACTCTCACCGTGGCACACTCGCTAAGAAATTGACCTGTCAATCGTTACACACCTTAGACATTGCATTTGCTGTTCTTTCTGCTCGGTTTCACGCCTGCAGACGCAGGTCCCAGGTACCATTCCACATATTGGTCAGAATCAGCGTCGTAACACATGTCGGATCTGAAAGTCGATTAGCGATGTTGCCAATGCTGCGGTTGAAATGTGTTTGGGTATATCCAAGAATCCGACGGACTGGAGAAGCGCTCGGCTGCAAGCCTTCGAGCCTTGTCGACCGCAACCCTGCAGCGACAATCTGGCTCATGCTGGTGCGAATATACTTAGACTGCTTAACACACAATCAGTTGCGATCACACGAAGAAAAGAACGTCATCAGCATCTGGAGCATTGGTCCCCTTCAGTGCAATAACGGGTCAGATCGGTTCAGCCTTATCCAGATGAGATTCTACGCACAGCCAACATGCAAGCAGAGTCATGTGCGAAAGCGGAAGCTGCAACGCTTTTGGAAAGCACCACTCATAATCACTATGGCTTCCATGTCATCGCAAATGCCGCCATTGGATGCTCAATCCATCGAAGTATTCCAAGTCAACCCTCTCGAAGACGAATTCACGATTTGAGTTGTTCCTTACATGCGCATTGCAACGCGATAAATCTTTGGATTCGCACCTCATCAGCCATGTGACTTTCTCATGTACAGTATACATCGCTCCGAGTGTTGATTCAAAGTTTCTCAGTTTTTGCTTATCAACATCACAACATGACCAGGAAACCGAGAGCGACAGCCCAGAATAGTCCAACTACCTATGCTCTTATCCACGTGCATGCGCGCGCCATGGGAGCCATGTCCCGGCAGTAAAATTCCAAAGATCTTGAAACACCTCCACAGATACCACATCTCTGGAGAATCCCTGTACGAAGATGGCTGGTCAGTGGCTGTAAGGTGGCACGAACGAACAGACGTTTCCGCGATCGGTTCGAACTACAATCTGTCTCACGAGATCTTGACCGTGCTCGGCCGACGATATGTAATGACCACCAACAACAACCAGATAGATTGCTTGCAGCTATGATTGCGTACGAGCATCTTCTCAATAGCATAGCAGTTCCGGGAAGGTACTTCCGATGAAACCGAAACACATCTCGGACCCTCTTGTTCGTACACCGGTACGCTTTGTTATGTCTTGATTATGACTAGATGATGATTTGATTACGACTTGATTGCTGACATCTCCAGAAACTGTTCTGACGGTATGATTCTTGCAACGTCACGAACAATCGTTTTAGGTATGTCTAAGTGGATGAACTCTCCGCTGCTCCTCCAGACAATGCTACTAGAATAGACAATCGTGTCGCAGAGGTCTGCTGCATATGAAGGTGGCACCAAACTACGTATTGATAAGGTGATAGGACTCGAGATATCACACCGATGCGAACACTCCAAATCATATCAAAATGATGTGTCAACCTGTTTGCGCTGTTAGTGCTGCACTAATTCTCATGCATACAAGCTTGCCAGACTATCGATCGCAAATCACTGTCGTTTGTGCGAACTTTTGCTCTCATAACCCCCAAGATACTGGGTGCGTCTGTATATCGTCCGCTCTGGCCAGTTGAAAGCAAGCTTACAGACCACATGTGAAATCGTCCTTCGAGCTCAAGCTCGCGCATCATCAATTTTGAATCACAACTTTATCTCAAACTCAGTCTTGCCATCAAACAACGGCTGCTCTACATGCACACTCCTATAACGCCGTGCCTGGGCGGGAGCACTCAGCAATCTAATTCATGGCTCGGCACCTACTCCGTATATAAGTTTTCCCTTCGTGACTCGGTCTATTGTCAGGAGTGCCCAACTAGTCGACCAGACTATCCCTTTGGCTCTATTGGTGGCTTTCGGCACTTTCCCTCCCGGTCGATCCCGTCTTATGTAATGGCACGACACCTCCTGCTCGAGCAGGTATAACATGGTTTTGTCGATATCTTGACGGCATGTTCTTGAGTTGCTATATGTGATAGTAATCACTCATCGCGTAGCACCTTGGCCCGTTCCCAAGACATCTTATTGGATTCCCAAGCCTTTTCCTGGCGTCCTGCTTGCTTAGACCAGACTCCTTGGCACTTTATTACCACGACACATCCTATCCGGTTCCCACGGCATCTGGACCGCGCATACATATCGCAAACCGGATTCAACCGCTCGAAACCACTACCTTGCACTAGTCTTTGGGAGATTTCAGAGACATATTACCGAGCACTACTCACTGAGTTGGTCTCCAGGATGCGGCTTGGATCATTCGTACAAGATTACGAGGGACTATGGCAGGATGAGGATGTTTCTGATCACTCAACAACACATCCACGACACTCTTTATTGCATCATGACTTTTGCACATCATGCAGGAGCAAAGCTGAGAAGCTATTCCTGGGATGTCTTTGTAGTAAGCAAGCACGGATTATGATGCTTCACTGACTCGACAAGTCTGATGCTCCAGATTTTGAGTGTCTCACGTATCAATCTCTAAGCAAGCGAGACTCAGAGATTGAGTGTCGCCACAGTAATTAGACTTTTCTGACAGTTAATCTCATGGGTTTGAATTGTAACGTTACTCTGGCACGCGGAGTTCTCCTCCGGCATCCTCTCGCAATGGCCTTGATGATTGATCAAAAACTTGTCTGAGCTTATCCGCGGACGTGATTCTGCGGCCAGTCCTTCGTTCTCTTGCCGCTCTGGTACCGATGCTACAGTTGCGAGACACAATTGATTCTGACTCCTGTGACAACTCAGTCGCACCCTCTTACCCGCATATGGAGACAAACTGTATACGCTGCTCTTTTACTCTTTTGTCATTCGAGTTCTGTAGCTTAAGATATCATGCTGTGTGATGGGATATCGAAGTTCTATCTGAGCAGGGTGACACGCACAACATCCTTGACTTGGATCGTTTTTATTATGACTGAGCCTCTAATGAGAACTGCTATATAGCACTTTGGAAGAGTATAATTATTGCTTGTTTCTTTTTTCGACTGCTCCTTCGCTCAGAAGAAACATCTGATGATATAGCTTCTAGAATACTCCACGACATTTCCAGAGACACAGCAAATCCTGGTGCCTAAAAATTAGTCTCGCCAGGTGTCCTGACGAACCATTTTATCTGTTCTTTACCATCCCTCCAAACCTTGTTATCCCATCACCATACCAGAAAACTCCAACATCGCAAACATGTATACCGGAAGCTGTTTCTGCAAAAACATAAAAATTGAGCTAAGTGGCCAACCGCATGCTATCGTAAGTTCAACCTCCACCTCAATACACCTTCACATGAATAGCGACAAGACAAACAGGCCATCTGCCACTGCACCGATTGTCGCAAAATCTCCGGCTCAGCATATAGCTACAACTTTATCGTTGCAGCCTCTGACTACAAAGTCCACGGCTCACCAGCAGAAACACTCAAAACTGCTGACTCGGGTAATAAAGTCAAGAATTATTATTGCAAGGATTGTGGTATGTTATTCTTGCCAACATAAATGCCGGAAATGTATGGATACTGATACTTTGGGTCTAGGAAGCTCACTATACGGTGGTGCTGTGGCGGAAAGTGGACAAGTCGAGAGAGTTGCAATGAGAGCGGGTGTTTTTGATGATTTGAAGGGGATGCAGGAGTGTAAGCCTTCGTTGGAGATTTATACTAAGCAGAGGTTGGAGTGGTTGAAGCCCATTGACGGGTGTATGCAGTTTGAAGGTATGCCTTCTTTCTGAGAAGGTTTTCTAGAAACACTTTGATGGTTGGAAAGAGAACTTTGGTTTTGGATCTCAATCATCTGTTGTTCGACGTATATAAACGAACAAACCATCCAATGTAACCACCCCCTCTTCGACGCATGTGAAAGGAAGGTCATGATCATTCACTCTTCGTCGTACCCGACCAGTCGAACGACGAACAGGAAGAGTCTACAATCAAACAGATCAAACGCTCAAGTCCTGCCATACAAAAGTGATGCCGGTTCTTTCATTCCCTCTAGGCAAATCCAGAAAGTCGACTGGAAACAGCGACATCAGGGAAGATGGCCACCCTCGCACGGCAGACTGCGGTCTTGCTGCTCAGCTCTTGCTGTTTTTCGGGACATGGCACGCAGATAGCTCGATCGTTGAGGTCCGTGATGCGAAAGAGCTCTTCTGAGAGGCTTCTATGGTCGATACATCGCTGAAGTCATTCAGAGCGATGCGGGTGACAAAGCACGAGCGCCGGAATGCAAAGGAGGTACGGTGACCTGGTTGTGCATCCCTTCCTGGAGGAGGTGGCCTCAGCTCCGGGACAATCGTGACTCGATATTGTGAACAGACTGAAGGTATGCATGGTCGTTTCCTCAAATTCGTATACGTATGAAGAGATGTCTATAGATTATGATGCAATGCGAAACAAAAAAAATGTGTTATCATGCCTTGGTCGATGCTGAGCCCACACTGACAGCGCTATCAGCAAGATGACCATTGAGCTCCAGATCAGCTACCATCTTCTCCCACGACTCAGCACCTCGACGAGCATGCTCAGCTGGCGTCTCAGGGCTGGGGTCAGCCATAGATCGATTGAACAACTCAAAGCTCAGCCATCCGCTGTAGCCCAAATCATGCAGGATGGCTTTCAAGATCTCGCGAATGGGGAGGTATCCACCACGGTCTTGCTCTCCATAGAAGAGTCTGCAGTTGCGTGACCATGACATACGAGGATTTTGCTCTGGGTCGTAGAAGGGATGTCCTTTGAGTAATGGTGAAGATAGTCTCTCAGCATCTACAACTTGAACGAAGAACAGCTTGTCGGGACGAACAAGCTTCGCAGCAATAGCAGCAGCGAGGTCTGCATCCGCAGTCGGTCGCTTGCCAGATGGTTGTGTAGGGTCAGCGTAGATGCGACCAGCAATGTTGAAAGTGTCAAGACAAAGTCCGAAGTTAGGGCGGTCGACAGCAGACACGATTTCCCAGCTATGCTCCCAGGTGTAGCAATGTGTGCTCCAGCATAGCGCTTCATACGCAAAACGGAGAGGTGGATTTTGTGCTGCACCCAAATCGGCTGCTTCCTGGAGGTCGGCGACAACAACTGACATGTCACCAGTACACTCTGATTCGGGCAAGAAAGACGCAGGAAGGGCAATCATATCTGTGTGCAATGCATGCGCAAGCTTGAACCAGAACTTGAGATCCTCGATCCGCTCGGCGTGTTTTTGGCGGTCGATTAGGCCTTCGTAATGCATAAATGGCTGGATGTTGATGATACTGATGTCCCGAGCTTTGCACATCGAGTAGATGTCTTCGGCGGCTCGCAATTGATTTTCTGGTGTTTCGCCTCCATGATACTTCTTAGCATGATAGACCAGATCTTCGTAGAAGATTTCAACGCCAGTATAGCCGTACTTTGCTGCTTGGTCGAGCTTTGGTTCAAAGTCGTGAAGCCAGGCTCGGCCCAGGGACATCGTCGAGATGCCGAGTTGATGTGTCATTATTGTAGTTGCTGAAGTGTCCAAGGGGTATCAAAAGGTATTGCAGAAAGACAATTGGTTGGCAAGGAAGTCACAACCGGTGATGTGATTAGAACAGGAAGAAATAGTAGAGAAAGTCGTGATCTGATAGCACCTGCCCCTGATACGAAAGCCCTCTGAGATCGCCACAATTAATGATTGGGTCACCCTTTCTCGCCTGATAGATCCAACACAGATAATCCAAAGAAAAGTCGTATTGACCACCCGCGAGAAACATCTTCCGTCCTGCATTGCACAGTACACCTCAAGATAAGCAAGCACAATGTCCGTGGCCGCTAAGGCGGCGGAGAGACACGGGCCGATTGCTTCGGCAGGGTGCCCCGTGATGGGTAAACCTTTAGCCGAGCTGACCATTTTTACTCCAACAAAAGATCGCCATCCTTAGCGAGGACTCTGCAAATTCCAGCACGAAATCGATTTGTCTCTGCGTCATCTCCAAATGGATACTTAGGGCTCAAGTCTAGGCGGGATTGGTGCCCGCTATCCCCGGCGGCTCCTAAATGCCGGATCCGTCTGACAGGGCCGCCCCTTTCGAGGGAGCCCTGCTTGCGAGCTCGGGCATGGCTGAGAGCCTGGAAGCAAACCCGGAAGTATGAAGCATGTTTAGACGTACACGTAGCGTGCAACGCACGTCGGGGCACAACCTTTTGCCACGGCTCTATATTGATGAAGGTCAGTAATTGGGTTCTCTGATCGTTGGACGGACATAATGCACTGGTAAGAAACGCGTTGAGCTGGATTTCGAGGGTATTTTGGCGTAAGTCTTTTTCTATATCAAGACACAGATCGTTATATACATTGAATCAGTAGCTGGTCATGGGATCATTATGAGCATCTAAACAGCGCTGTCCTCGATATGGGCAACCTTGCTCTTCTCAAGACTCAAGCCAGCACCTTCGGCATCCTCGCGGAACTCGGCTTCGGCTTCCTGCACCTCGCGCATGACAATCTTGTTGGCCTTGCTGCAAGGTCTGATCTCGAACAGTCTGTTCATCGACTCGAGAGGGACAGACTTGGTTTCGGGGATCAGGAACCACACAAAGAGGACAGAAAGCAACATCATGCCAGCGAAGAAGAAGTAGACACCACATCCTGACTTGCCCATGTTTGCGAACATTTGACCAGTGAATCTGGCAATAATGAAGTTCTGGCTCAGAGTTAGCACATGATTGTATGTCAGGTATGGAATTGGAAAGACTCACCCAGAACCAATTACTGGCAGCAGCCATAGCCTGGCCCAAAGAACGAACATTCTGCTCGTACATTTCCGAGTTAATTACCCAGGGTGTTCCGTTCCATGATGGTGTGTAGAACGCAGTCCACAGATAGAAGAAGAAGACAGCAGCGATGCCTCCAGAACTAAGAGGCCTGGCGACAGCTGTTGCTGCTGACGAAGTGTCGACAAGTGGACTAGCCAGGTATCCACCAAGAATGAGCATGCAACAAGCACCGCCAACTGCTCCAACGAGAAGCAAATTACGGCGTCCAAACTTGTCAATTAGGAAGAACAACCAGATCAAGGTAAAGACAGTCTTCACCACACCGAACAGGCCAGTGGTAAGGAATGAGGTGTTGCCCCCGACAATACCGAGAGACTTGAAGACTGTAGGCGAATAGTAGTTGATTGCGTTGATACCAGATCCGTTCTGGAAGATAAACAGTGTGGTACCAAGGAAGACACGCCATTGAAGACTACGGCTCTTGAAGACAGCCTTGAAAGGGTCGAAGAATCCGAGACCAACGGATGATTTTTGATGTTCGAGGGCAGCCTCAATGAATGAGATTTCCTCAACAATGTAGAAGTTGTCGGCAGGCAGGTTTCTGATCCACAGAAGGTTTTTAAGACCCTGCTCTCTCTTGCCTTTGGAGAACAACCAACGAGGAGACTCCCTAAGCCAGATTGAACCAAGGGCAAGCAGACCACCAGGAATGAGCTGCACGGCAAAGGGGATAATCCATTGTTTGTGATTGCTGGGGAGTGTTTCGGAGATTCCGTACTAGACAGAAGTTAGCAATGTTTGATGGTTTGAGACTGAGATTGACCTACGTTGATCCAGAAACCGACGAGACCACCAATCTGCCAGCCCAACTCATAGATACCAACCAAGCGACCTCTAACAGCAGGGGGGGCAATCTCAGAGATGTAGATGGGAACGACCATGGAGGCGCTACCCACGCCGAGTCCAGTAAGGACTCTACCAGCGTAGATTGGAGCGAGGTCACCATTGGAGGCCGCGAGCATGACACCGGCACCGATCATGAAAACAACCACGGAAACCCAGAGAGACTTTTGGCGACCGAGGTAGTGAGCGCTGATGTATGCACCAAGAGCACCAAAGAAGGCACCAGCTTGGTAGACGGAGACGATGTTCTCCTTGATGAATGTGACATCGTCTTTGGGCAGCTTGCCCCAGCCAAACTCCTTCGAGAATGAGGGAAGTGCAAGAGTGGTTCCAATGAAGGCAGAGTCATAACCAATCATGCAAGAAGCGAACGAGGCTACAGCAGCACAGGCATAGACCCGCCAGTTGTAGACCTCCTTAGGCGTAGGCCTGTCTTCGACGAGAGTGAGGAGACCCATAATGAGACTCTGCAAACGGTAGAGACGAATAGAGAGGGAAGGTCGTAACGGAGAGAAGAAAGAGAGAACAAGTTGGGGAAACAGATGGCCTAATATAATGGAGGTCTGGGGCTAGTGGTCTGGGGACTCCGCGGGGTAGGTTTGATGCAAAGATCAACAGCGTAAACGAAGCAAGTCGACGACGGACGGTGCGCGATCCGGATGCTGGACTTGCTGACCACCTGCAAAGAATCGAACAATTTTTCTCAAGGCCCAAGCCGTTTCAAGGGCTTGGACATCCATGTTCCCCAAGGTTATGCCAAGCGACGTGGCTGTCTTTTGACTCGAAACTTCGTGCAGATGTGGAGAGTTGGAGAACTTTTTCTTGCCATGTGTGCCGATCTCGGCAGGGACGGACATGGCAGCGCCGCAGATTCCAGGCGGCTAAGTATTTATCCAACATGTTCTCGGGCAGAGCTGGTATGCACACCCTGTGATGCGGTACCAAAACCAATGCATTCTGAACGACAACAAGTAGGTCCTTTGAGAAGATTGTGCTTGCGAAAAGGTTGGCCTTGGGTAAGAGCCAAGGTGGTGATAATCTCCTCCTCCTCTTCAAAATCTGTTCTGTGTTGTTAGAGCCTCTTCTATCTGACGAAGAGTGGCCATATCGAGGATGTACAATGTGTGGGTGTCATTACTCGAGGCCGAAGCCTGCGGATACGGTCCGGGGTTAAGTGACGTTAAACACATGCAACTTCCCAAGATCTTAGCCAAGAACGACGTCCGTGAACACAACGAACCACTTTCTCAACCCATTAAACCCTCCTATTCCAGGACCCGACATTGCTTACCGTCGTCTGAAGCTCGCGGGGTAAATTGCTGACCAAATTGAAGTTGACGACTGGCAGCACATCTTCCAATAGCTTGAAACTCCTTCCCTTGAAGATTTTCTGAAGAAGCTGTACTTTCGAATTGCTCCAAGAACGAATCAGATATGGATAACCAACGTATCATCTCTTGCGAGACTCCTGCTCACGACCATGTCGAGCGCTGTGGTTATTTGTTTGGATGGCCTATCAACCATTCCATGTCGCCCTTGATGCACAAGACCATCTTCGGCGAGATTGGCTACAACTGGGAGCAGTTCTTCTTGCCATCGACTGATATGTCCATGTTCCTTTCGTTGGTTCGCGAGGTCAAATTCTTTGGTGCGTTTCCTGATAGCTGTGGATAAGCATAGCAATTTGCTTAGACATACCACTTCACGAGCATGGTCTGACTTGTATGCGATCATAAAGGCGCCTCCGTTACCATGCCCCACAAAGTGGCCATCATGAAGCACGTTGACGAACTCACACAAGAAGGCCGTGAAGTCGGCGCTGTCAACACATTATACCTGCGCAAGCACGGTGACAGAACCATTCTCGTCGGCACAAACACAGACGTTATTGGTATCCGCGAGGCTTTCTATCAGAACATCTCAAACCCAGACGAGGTGTTCCACGGCAGACCTGGTATGGTCATTGGAGGCGGTGGTGCTGCTCGTAGTGCCGTCTATGCACTCAAGAAGTTTATGAAGTGCAGCAAAGTGTACATCGTCAACCGTGACAAGGCAGAGGTTGATGCTGTGGTAGCCTGGTGTTCGGAGCAAGGCTATGGCGATGGTGTTATGCATGCTGCGACTGTTGAGCAAGCGGAAGAGCTCGAAGGTCCTGGTGCTATAGTCTCTTGTGTACCCGACTTCCCTCCTGTCACCGAGGCCGAGCAGACCGCTCGCAATGTCATGGAAGTGTTCTTGGGAAAACCACACAAGGGTGCCATTCTGGAGATGTGCTACCACCCGAAGCCCTGGACTCAAATCGCCGAGATCTCGCAGAATGCTGGCTGGAACGTCATCTTGGGAACAGAGGCCATGATTTACCAAGGGTTGGAACAGTCAATGTATTGGACTGGAAAGACTCTAGATCAACTGCCAGTTGCAAAGGTCAAGGAGGTTATCGCAGCCCAGTTGAAGAAAGGTCATTGATAAAATTCATCCAAACTTATGATTGTCGTTCTGTAAACAGACCAGATATACGGAATCATTGCTGAAAAGCAAGCAATCACGGTAGCAAAAACGAGATAATACCTCCTGGGTGATCATGGGGACCTTTCTTCGTGAATTGTGCTGTTTTCAGGCATACTTCGGACACTGATTAGAATCGTGAACTCACTATCAACAATGCCGTTGCCCGTGGAGGTTGCGTTTGAGCTGTTCGAGCTTCTTGAGGGCAATACCATCTCGGCGAGGTAACAACGAGAGTCCGTACAAGACACTAGTGGCAGGTGAATGATCACTAGGGCATAGATTGAGCAGATTTCGTCAGACTGAGAATAACTACCACAGCCGTTCTCAGCTGCCGCAGTATCGGATGCCAAATCGGCAATGTTGTGAGGTTGCGGTGAACATAAATTTCCGCAGTGATTCAAGTAACGTACTCGAACTTTGATGGAGGTCTCGGACATTCCAGGAGAAGCGAGCAGGTGCTTTTTCTTACCGGAAGCGGGTGCAGTTACTGCTAAAGACGGAGATGGAAAGACACGACCCTGATCCGCGCAGAGATCCAGGTCTACCACTCGCTAGGGTTACCCACGTTGGGGTTATTGCGTGGCAACCCCCTCATCTGCTAGGACCTCCTGACCACGGCCCTTAGCGTTTTTGTCCAATGAAACCGACTCGCCAGGTGGAGTGCCCAATAAACGATGATGTGCTGATGGTCCAGATCGATGACACAGCGGCTCGAGCCTCAAGGGTTACGAGGTCCGACCTCGCTGAGATACAGAGTCGATGCCACGGTCCGAATGGAAGAAGAATGAACCGGGATCCTTTGTCAGATCGGGTTCGTCCTCGGTAGTATTTGGTCCTCCCTCATGATGTCTTGTTTGCTTTTGTGCTTGTTGTCTTCCAGATACCAGGATGTAGCCGAAGCTCTTGATGACGGGGTCCAATCTGTGTCGCAATTTGAGCGGCCCTTGCAAGCTCAACTCAGCAAGATTCAATCCCGTGCTCTGCTGTTCAGGTGCAGCTCTTCGGTGTGGGTTGTTTCTGCTCTTGGTCTAGGTCTCGGCAAAGCAGTTCAATTGGCGTTGGTCAAGTAACCATCGATAACCATGTCCACGCCATCGGCAGCATTGAATCTGATCCATAGGTTGTGTTGGTGCTGAAAGAATTCAATAGAGAAAGTAGTGATAAAAGCAGAATGTAACTGTGGTATATTCCCCGCTGAGGAAGGTGAAGTCGTGTGTGGTCGGCACTTGGACTTTCGATTTTTGGTTGCTTCACCTGCCTCCTTGGCTTTCTCTAATATCCTCGAGATGAAAGATGAGACAAGAAACCACGACCAACCACAAGGAGTTGTTAGTCTGTCAAGACAAGCAGTAAGCATTCATGATATCTGAAAAAGCCGAGATTCAAGATGGTATTGGGTGGACAGAAAGCTTTTGTGTGTTCTGAAATGCTGTAAGCCTTGAATCGCTACCAATATCTTGGTCTTTTGTAAGATCTTTGCTCATATTACATCAGATCAACTGTGAAGCTCTTTTATCCAGCAGTACCAAGACCCTTTTCCTAAGTCCTGTCATCGTTCCATGGCAGACCAACGTAAACAGTCCTCATGTTAGGACGCCCCAATCATCCCCTCAATGCTGTGTAACAATGATACGAATTCTCTTCGCAGCCATCTTCCAAAGATAGTTATCCGACTTATCAGCAAAGATCCTCGCAGCATCTAAAGGTCGATATGCAAGATGATCAGGCAAACGGCGCAACGAGTCCTGCTGTCTCGTCTTATTGTGGTAGTTGAATTGATTTTCTGGGCTCTGGAACACACCGAATAATCTGAGATCGTTGAACGTCTTGCCTGCAGCGATTTCCTTGTCTTTTTCGTCGTACTTGTATTGTTGTTTGATGTGGAAGAATTTTCGAGACCAGGTGAATTCGCCGTTGTGACTTGGAGGTCAGTAGGTTCGTTTCTTCTTGACTGGAATGATGGTGGTGACGGTGTTGGCCAAATCTTCGTTGCAGGAATCTTTTCTGGGGCGAGGTGGTGATGAGGATCCTTCGAGGACTTCATGTTCGTGGTTATCCTTTTCAGATGGTTCCCCAACATCTTCATGTCTTTTGGCTCCCTCGGTCTCTTTCGTGATCTTGCGAAAAGACTCCAGTCTCTCTTCCTCGGACACCGTGTTCGATTTGTCGAGGTAGTGCCATGGCTTTTGCAGACATTCTTCCAGCTTCTCGCCCAAGTTTGCAGCAGTCTCGGGATCGACCATCTGGATAGCCTCAATCATTTCTTCCTCCCGAAGAAGATGAATAATGTATTGATCCGAGTTGATGTTGCTGCAAGGGCTACACTCAAGAGTTCGATTTTTCTTGCGCATCTTGGACGGAGCACAGCGTTTTCGTGAAGACAGCATAGTGGTTGGCGGGAAGGGTTGATTGTTATGTACGCTTGAGATCAGAATTGAGACATGTCTGTGAGAGGTTCTTTCTGTTGAGTGTCAAGAGTGTGTCTGTTTCTCCGAAGAGACTGTCTCATGCCTATCGACTCTTCTCATTGTTCCTATTGTTTCAGCCCAGTCACAGAACTGACAATAAAGCTCCATTAACTATTGTCGCAACTCGATGCCTAAGCATGACGTATCAATATCAATGGCTTTGCCGAGTTAGACGTAGTGAATCTTCTACCTAGGTATGCCAATTGCTGTCAAGATTTCGTCGAGTTGTAGCCCGTCATTTCGTAAAGTGTTCCATTCGTCCTCCAGTTTGACCATCAGAGTACCAGCCAGCAATGTTCCGTTCAGAGCCACGCTTCCGACTTCGACACCTTGGCTGTTCTTGATCGCGGCGCCTTCCCTTCTGCGCGGGACTATAGCCATAGTCGATGTCGTCATGGCGAGGTTGTAGCTGATAGGCGATGATCCTCCTTCGGACGGCTGAAGCTCAAGGCCCGAGTTCTGGTTAGACGAGATGTAAGACCTGACAGCGGCAGCAGCTGCTTCGTATAACTTGTTGTATGTCGAGTAGAGGGTATCTGGACTAGGGTCTTGTGGCAGCTGTGTCGCATAATGAGCAAAAGGCAGATCAGGACTGGTCCTTAGTTCTACACGACAATATGTGAGCGTTTGTTCGAATATGTATTGGATGGGAAGACTTACCTTTAGCTTCTTTGGCGGGAGCTTGCAGCATCCGTTCGATCAGCGGATCCCAGCTCGAGGCGTCTTGTTGATCTCGCTTCATCTCCTCAACGCTCAAAAATTGCAGGTGCCTGTGTGCCTGACTGGCCCCACTGTGCTCGCCAGAGTTGAAGAAAGCGAACAGCTTTCCATTCTGCTTGTTCTCTTCCCAAGCCTTCAGACAAGCATGTGTGGCTGCTAGATCATCTTGCTCAAGCATATGAGTTTGTTGCTTGTTGAGCTTTGTGGCAATGATGAAATGCTGAGGGATGACAGGATATTTGTTCAAGACAAGCAAGTGGCTGGGGTTGGTAGTGGGAATATTCGCGATGAGCAAGTCTGAAGAGGGGTTGTCGAAGGGATCCGGCTTTGGACCTTTGACTTTGTTCTTGTCATCATTGTCCTTAGGCTTTTTTGCCAATGCTGGACAGTAACGAAGTTGGAACTGGTATGCTGATCAGTATCACAGAAACTTTATAAATTGTACGTTTCCTGTAATCCTGACAAGGAAGCGTTAGTGACTTACAGGTGCACCGGACTTGGTACGCAAGATAGAAAGCTCGGTGGACGAAAAGATCAACGCTTGACTGGCTTTCGCAGTAGCGAATTTGGCCTTCACCAAAGATGGCAATGCTTCTTCCAAGCCCAACTGCATTCTAAGCTTGATAATTTGTGCTGCGAAGTACGAATAGAAAGGACGGAGTCGTCGCGTAGTATAGAAACTCCGTGTCGTCACTGTCCGACGCAAGATTCTCGGTCCGAGACCAGAAGATGCAAAACGTCAAAGGACAACACCATCGACCTCATTATCACGACAAGCATCAAACATCATGAGAAGCATCAAAAAGAACGTTTACTCGTTCTGGCCGTGAGCCGCTATGTGGTTTAGGAGGCAAAATTAACGAGTGTTTGGCCAAGAGGCCTGCCGACCAAAGCAACCCTCTTCAGTTTGAAGAAAAAAAAAAAGAAAGGTCACGACTACTCGTAACATGTCAAAAGGAAATGAGAGAACACAAACTCAGCCTAGCCGCTGAATCAGTAGCCATGGCTCCTGGCTCTCGATCATGTCGACCTTGAGGATGATCTAGAAGGATATCTCACGAATCTGCTCCCATTTCTTGGCACAGGTCGCACCGGCGAAGGGATATGATGCACCGTGGGCGAGCATCCACTCGGCGACCTTCTTCCATGGCAACTTGCTCGCGGTGTTCCTCTGACGCATGTTGCCCTTGCGAGACGACGATTCTGTGGATGCTTCAGTGAAATGTTCGACTGCTCCAATGAGGAGCATGATCTGTGAAGTTTCGTTAGGTAAGATTGCAATACGAAACAATCATATGGACATACATCTGAGCGATTCCACTGTGGCTTCCTGACACGCATCTCCTTGGGCTTGGACAGGATGCGAATGCGGCCACGCAGAGTAGATTCTGCTTCGGTGAAGCCACCACGACGTTTGATTTCCTTGTAGGACAGACCACGTCGGCGGGCTTCCTGGAGATATTCATCTCTGTTGTTACGAGTCACCTCAGGAACATATCTGACTGCTTGCTCAACCGGCTGGGATGGCATTTCAAGCTCGTTGGTACTAGGGAGTGGCTCGAATGCAAGACTGTCTTCAGTCATAGGTTGCGTGGAGAAGAATACAGGTTTTGTGTCCACGAAGGTGAATTTGTCCAGCGTGGTGTTGAAGAGGTGTCCAGGCGCAACCAGTCCTTCTGCTTCGTAGCCTACGAAACCGGTTGCCATGTTTTGCTGCAGCGATGATCCAATGCTCGAAGGAAGGTGCGATGCGGTCGCGGAGGGCATGTCCTGGATAATCGAGGATGCGAATAACCCATCAGCTTGAGGCTGAGTGGATGCGGCGGAGATATGGCCAGTGACATTGAAGAAAGGCTGAGCTGGATCATACTGAGAGCACGACCACATTGATGAGTTGTACTGGGATGATGTGTTATAGGAGACTGCAGCAGGCTGTTCGGACCAGGACGGGTCCATGTTGAGACAGCTGTCGCCGAAGCTAGGCAATGGCGACAGGTCAGAGAAGCTTGAGTATGCTTGCATACCACCTTCACCGAAAGTCGGATCCTTTGAGTCCAGGCATGGTGATGGTGGAGTGAAAGCCCCTCCGCTGGTGAAGCACGAACCGGATGGGCTCTGCGAGGACTCGCTGCCAGTGAGCTCAGGGCACTCCATATCGAAGAAGTACCCTTTTGCGTCTTGCTCAAGAAAACTTGACATGTTGGCAGAGGGAGCAGCTGTTTGTCGATAGCCGTAATAGTTGGCGAGCGGGTACTGCATTTCAGTCAGCGATACTCATTCAATTCAGCGTCGATTGTCAAAACTTACGTTTGCGCGTGGATGTACAGTGAGGTTAGGCTGCAGTACCTGATGAGGTGTTGCTTGGTAGATTGGAAGATAACTTTGATAGTAGTCTGCGCAGTTTGTCAGCGGTCCAGAGCTGCTGGGTGCAGACGAAAAAAGAGACTGACTGCCATAGTAGTACTTATTCCTACTCTGCTCACCACCATTTCTCACCGCCATCATTGCCATTGAAGCGGTATGTTGTTAAGCGTTGTAGCAAAGTCTTTCTTTTCCCAGACCGTATTGCAGCCACAGATGTCGTCGCGGATTCGTGCAGCTACTTGCTGCCCTGCAGAAGTATAGCAGGTAGAATTAACGTGGTAAGGGTTAACGCTCGGCGAAGAAGGTTCCGGAGGCTCGACGATATAGTGAAGGTCAACAGTGAAATGATTGAGAGGCAATCTCAAAGTCAATGCTGCAAGGCGAGGGTCTAATTAGGTATCTATGACTGTGAGCAATGAACAATGGTTGCCCATAAGAATATACCTACCTGGATTATCTAGACAGACACACGAGAACGACTTCAATGCTCTATTACTGTGATTGAACAGGACGCTGCAGCAATGATAGAATAATTGAGGAAACAGAAGTGCAGAACGAGTGGTGACTATCGTTGACTCAATGTAGAAGTATGTAAAACATGGCTAACCAGACGGCCGACTATCTATCAGAGCATTGGTATCAAGATCTTGCCCTGATGTTCACGGCCCGTCATTTCTGCAAGAATTCCTTGATGGCGTTTGAGTGTATGGAGGATATTAGCGACGGGAAGCTCCCGCACAACACCTGCTTCCCGTCATCCTTGACAATACGACCAAGCCAACAGGAGTAGCAATACGCTCTTGCGTCCCTCAAGACCAATTTGACTGCTGTCTGAGTCAAAGACATCCCGGGCCAAGTGACTACAGTCGTAGATCAAAATCAGTCTGCGTACGATTAGACGAAGCTGTTCCACTACCTGATCTCAGTAATGAAACTTTGCCCATGACAGGTATCTAGACCCACGATGCAAGTCATTGAAGATGCTCTCCTACGTGAAGATCGGGATCTGCAGTGCAGCGACGTTTGATGGCTGTCATTGCGGTTAGCCGGGAACTCAAACATGTCAGTCCTGGTACACTGCCGTAGTTCGACCTTCATGTGAAGCAGGTACCGTCCAATCACGCCCTGATAGAGCAGGCAAGCAGCCGATAGTGGATTGTCCTTCTCAGGACCCACAGTCTTCACAGGATGTGACGCATACATAGATTCAAGTGGTCGACCAAGCACCAATGTCGGCACCGTGGCTTGTAGAAGAATAGCCGAAGCTCAAGGAGCCGTACGACTGACCTGTCAACAAAAAAAGTTCATGGTGACTCTGCATCATGAACACACTGCCAGAAGCCTGCACTTGCCGTGCAAGACCGATTAGAAAAGTCAACACATCAAGGATCTTGCTTTGCGGCTCAGAGCGTGTGCACGGTAGTTTGTTCATTTCTGTAGCTGGCTGTTACACAACAGCATGGCCACTGCCACTGCAAGCCCCTCCGACCAGTGGCGGGGACTTGCATGACAGTGTGGTTTGCATACTTCTTCATCTCTTGGGTGTACACGCAGGACACCATCCCCTGCATGTCATGAGTTCGATGGAGAATTAATCTTCATTTTCGGATAGGATTTTCGACGCTACAGATTGGAACCGTTCCAGAAGTTTGCACAAATATTTGTGCGGTCTCGAACATTGGAATGTGGTGCCGCATTCCATTTTGAGAGGACCTTGCTTCCCGAACGCATATTCTCTAGACAGGGATGGCTTGGAGAACAGTAAAACGCAAGAACGACCGTGACGCGGTTCTTTCTCGCTGCGAGAAATTACCAAAAGTCTTCCCTCGCGAAAATGCAGGAGCTACCCTCTTGGATGGGCAATTCGGCAGCAAGTGCCGTCGCCTTTGGACATGGTCGTCTCAAGCTCTTGTTTATAGCGATCGCCACGATGTTCCTTGGTTATCTCGTGACTTCCACATTCAGCTCGACAGAGCAGTACGACATCACAGAATATCGAGGCGATTTTGGAATCTCTGGCGATATCTTGGACGGGCCAGAATTATATCCAGGAGCGATCCAACCTCCAGACGGTCCTAAAGCGAGCGACAAACTCAAAGATCGCATCAAGTCCTATCATGGAGAAGATGAAGTTGGTGGCCAGCCGGTCCGAAGGCCATCGATCAAGGGAGCGCTGAAAGATCTACACCATGCTGTCTCGGACAAAGTCTCATACTGGAAGACATGGGGTCCAGAATCGGAGCTGGAAGTGAAGCTAGACGCAAATGCGACTAGTGAGCACAATGCGACTACAACCTACACAACCAGACCAACCTCATCGCCGCTCAAATCTGAAGAATCTTTCGAACCGGAGGTAGAGCAATGGGGAACCAAGACCAGAATAGGAAAATGTACCATTGTTTTTGGAGGATCGTCCATATACGAACGAACTGTCAAAACGCATGCGCTCCACGACCGACTCCATGGCTATCCTCTCTATGTGCTTCGACAGTCTATCATGGATGATGTCTGGTCGAAGCCCGCATACATACTGTCGCTTCTCCTGAGAGAGTTGGCCAAACCACAAGAAGAGAGACTGGAGTGGCTCCTTTGGGTTGATGCAGATACCATCATGCTGAACCCCTATGTGCCTTTGGAGATATTCTTGCCACCGTCGCCTCAGTTCGACGACGTGCATCTTTTGGTGACCAATGACTGGAACGGTCTAAACAATGGTGTATTTCCAGTGCGAGTCAATCAATGGGCCGTTGAACTTTTCTCTGCTATCATCTCTTCCAGATACTACAACCCAGACCAGGATTTGACATTCCGAGACCAAAGTGCTATGAACCTACTCTTGAAAGACAAGAAGTTCGCAGCGCACACGGTCGACGCTCCTCAAAGATGGTTCAATGCCTACCAGGGCGAGCACAACGAGACCTTGGCTCCCTACCAAGTCCGGCGGGGAGACTTCTTGGTGCATTTCGCCGGTGTCATCAATCGAGATGAGAGAATCCTTTTCTGGCTTGATCGAGCTGAGCAGCATTTGCCGGATTGGGAGATGGAGGTTCAGCACACATCCTACCCCGCAGAAGTGAAAGACTTCTGGAATCAGAAAGCGAGCGAACGAGCAGCGAAACAGGCAGAGCTAGCCGAGGCGAGACGAAAGGCGAATGAACTGCTCGCACAAACGGAAGCGAGAATGTCAGAGTATCAAGAGCGTCTTGTGCAAAGCGACACGACCTTCATCCATAATCGAGTGGCTGCACTCAGAAAGGTACTCGAACAAGGAGATTCGTTGGAATTAGCATCTGTGGAGTCTGAGATAGAATTGCTGGAAAAGGTTAGTACAGAATAGCTTATATGTGATCATCATGCTAACGTGGCGCTATTCAGAGCCTCAAGCCTCTTAAAGACATCATGGAAACTGCCAACAAGCTTCTTATGAAAGAAGCACACGATGCCATTTTCGCGGCACAGAAGGATGTTGATGGGCAAGACGCTACCTTCCCAGAAGTTGCGATTCTTGAAGAGAAAACTACAAATTTGAAGAGCTTGATTGTGCAGCCAAATTGGAAGAAGGAAGATCTCAACGTCCTGATTGAGGCAGTCAAACAAGCCAGAACGAACTTGCAGCAAAGGCTACAAGAAAAGGAAGCCGAAGATCAAAAGTTGAAGGCAGCCAAAAACAAAGCCGATGAAGAGCGTAGGAAGCAGGAAGAGCAGAAAGCAAAGTTCGGAGACACTTAGCTATGAAGCCCATCTCCATTGTTCCCTTCGCAAGGGCATGTATGCAATCTGCCGTCTCTCAAGGCAAGCATTGAGATAGAGGCGTTCCGCGATGCGGCCAACCATGCTTTGGTTTGTGAGATTCAGCAGTGAGTGCGCATCGATGTGCGCGACCAACATGGACTAGGTAGGACAATGCATGGGCTGCTGTATGTAGATCCGCGTCATCACTGAGTGGAGTCATGAAGCCAGGGGACGCACATCATGCGATCATCATATCGATGACCATTTAGATCTCAGGAGGTGGATCGAATCTCCTCTATGCAAGATACAGTACAAGTACCAGATAGTGTTGATCACTGAAGCAGGGTCCCCATTAGGGAAAGATGTAGGTCGGCGCGGAAGATCCGAAGAGGGAAAGAGAAGAGAGCAACTGCTCTTGCTCGTTCATGTCTGCGAGATCAGGTGGGGCGGCTCACTCTGCAACGTTTTGCGGCCCGTCGCGCAAGCGGTGCTGGGCTGAATCAGCAGATGGGATTCATGGCATGCTTCCAAAGAGGAAAATCAACACGTAAGACTGCAAGAGCACGATAATTGAATCGCAGATCTGAAGCACCTTGCACAGCTTGAGAAGTGTGGTGAATTAAAGCTTGAAAGATGAGGGTTACGCAGAGGGTGGTCGACCTCGGAGAAAGCGAGGGTCTCGACAAGGATGAAGTCCGGAGGCGGCGTCATGAATTTCAGAGCTGGTGTCGCAGAAAATGGGACTGCCAAAACTATACCACAACTCTTGAGCAGCTTGAGCACTCCAGACGCCTGAGCTGAAGCTGGGATATAGCTAGAAAAAAACCAGAAAATGGTCAGGGCGGACTTCGCTTATATCAAGAACCATCAGTTCAGGTGTCAGCTGGAGCTTGGGCGGGCGCTGTCTAGGCTCTGAGCTGAACTTTCAGCTTTGAGATCGGGTCTGGCGAAGTCCGGGCAGCGCTGTGCAGCCCATGTGCTTCCCGTGCCGCCTCATCTTTGCATGCGTCGCTTCCCCAATTCCGGTCGATCATTTGCAAAGAGTTGACACCAGCAAACCAAGCGTTTAGTGTGCCAGACGTGTCCGTGGATCCAGCCAGCATGCCTTCGATTGCTGGTGACCTTCCCCTGCACGACTCGAGGTATAACCTTAGGTCATGCCCGGGCTCCACTGGAAACCGCTCTACGACTCACACACTTCTCCTTACAAGTACAGCAGGTACATCTTGACCTATCGCGGTTTGACTTCTAACAGTACATGCGATCGACATGCATCGTCATGGTTTGCCATCCACTATCACCGTGGACATAAGAGATTCACAAAAGGTCCTCTTGCCTGGTCCACCCACTCCAGCCTCTCGAAACTCGAATGTTCCCAATTTCTCGAGAATCTTGACAATACACGCTAAAGGCTCAGATCCAACAATCAAGAGGCGAAAGAAGCCTGAGCAAGCAGTCATGAGAAACCCTTCCAGACTGTCAACTGTGAAGAGATGGGATGCTCAATCTCACAAGTCCGCTGACTGGGATGGTCTTCGACGGGTAAGTCTCACGTCTAGTGAATTGTGATAATCCTAGTTGACCATTTCCGCAGGACCAAGAGCTTTGGCAACAGGATGGCGATTGTCTTGTGCATCTTTATGGCCAAGGAAAATCAAAGAGAGGTGCCTCCTTCAAGACATCCTATGCTTTGGTGGAAGCAATGGCTGGCCCATCGTTTCTTAACAGATATATGGCATTAGACTCAAATTCGTGCAACGAGAGCCTTGATGGCACAACATCAAGCACTTCGTCAACACATGCCGAGTATGAGTTGTTCATTCCAGCTCCCGACGACGCACTCCGAGAAGAAGCTTACCGCTGGCATATCGCTACCCGGAATTTCTTTGCATATATTGCTAACAAGCCGCTGGTCGGATCTAAGTTGGGGAAGACTCTCATTGACCTTCTGGAACGTATGGAGCTGTTCTGCTCTGATAAAACCAGCAACCTCCAGGACTTTTTATCATACGCCCGTGAACAGGGTTATCTGAAATTTATCAACCGACCGGACTATGCACTGGCTTTTCTCAATTTTGCCGAGAAGTTCAGATTGAAAGATCTCTGGATTGATGCCTTCGCTCATTGTGTCGGTATGAACGACCAACTTGATCTAAGTACGGACTTCAGCGATGTGAGCAAAACGACAAAGGCTCTGATCACGCGATCGTATCTGGAGATGGATCTGCACTTGGGTCGAGTAAGCAAAGCCTTGCGAAATTTCTTGGAGGATGAGCTCGCCCCTACACATTTGGGACTACCGGCGCCTGCCCGAAATCACCTGGATCGCTTCCGCTCTTTTCTGCACTCATTTTATGTCAACAAGTTTGGATACTGGCCGCCAGAAACTGGTCACGTCATGGACAAGGGTCTTTTGCGAAGCATGCACCAAGAGTTCCAGATGCTATACAACTATCTAGTTGACGGCGAATCTTCTCCAAGCCGACTACTGACTGGAGGTATTTGTGTGGTGCAAAATGTCGATGCGTTCAACAGCCGCCACAGATACGAGCCATTGCCGCATTCTTGCCCTCTGCTACCTGACTACCACAGCCTTGAATACAGAACGTCATCACAGAAGGGTCTTCGATCATTGAGGTTGACTTCAAAGTCCAGCAAAGCGGACCAGAGCGTATCAGCACGAGCTGCACTGTCCGCTGCGACAAACAAAATTCCGTCTAGCTCAGCGCTCGTGCGAAACTACATATACTTCGAGAGCGAGCTGACCTTCAGGCCGGAAGAGAAGCTGTCAATTGGTGATGCACGAAAGGTCCGATGGCTTGCCATCTACACCATCTTGCAAATGCTTACCAATGCGATACGTGCTCCTAAGGAAGTGAGAGATGCGGATGCCGTGCCATATCACCTCTGCTTGTTGACCACAGGCATGCCACCATGGACCGATGACATGAAGACTCCTACTGCTTTGTCTTCGCAGGCGACACCAACTAAGACTGAAGCAGAAGCTAGTGATGAGCCTGCATTCACAATTGTTCCTGACTGCGAAGACAACGACTACTTCTCCCACAAGATGGTGCCAAAACGATGTGATTCGCATTCTTCTCTCCGACCTCAGCCGCTACGAATCAGTACGTCAGGTGCAGTAAACCGCAACAGTTCGATCAGGAGCCTACACAGAAGTCTAACGTCCAACTTCTCCTTTCCAACTCGACGTACCTCGGTCAGATCTTCTATCGCGTCGAGCAATGCTCAGAGCATTCCTGGCGAGCAGATTGGCTCCTCTGTTCCTGCCGAGTCGCCTGGAGGCAAACGCTTCTCTGGTTACTCGTTCGCTATCAGCGAAGAAGAATCTCTTGATTACCTCAACCCTCACCAGCCGCAATCCTTAATGGCTTCGCAATTCCACCATTTGCCCGAGGCCCGCACACCCACCCTCGATACCTTTATGCTAGATACCCTCGCTTCGCCAGAAGGACCCTCGACACCCTCAAGCTTCACATCTTCCACCATGTCGCCAGCTTCAGCATCAAGCAACATGTGGGACAGCAGTCCCCACAGCGTAAACAGCGATGACTTGGAAACACAAAGCTGGTACGACCGCCGCGGCAGCACAGGAGTCTACAACATGGACCATGAAAGCGTGTGCAGCGACACTCAACGCAAATCCAGCGGGTCCAGCTGCAGTTGCTCAGGAGCAAGCAGCCCTATACCCGACCTTTCGACCTTGACGGCTTCTTCTGCAGCAGCTGCAACTGCTAAGCTGCTCTATTCTCATGCAAATCAGCAACAGGCTGCTCAGATGCCCGCTTGGTGGGGCGTTCCAGGTGACAAAACCCCAACACGCTCATTTGGAGTGTCTGTACCTGAAGATGTTCCCGAACACGATGTCATGGCATTCAAACCCTACAGCCAAGAATTCATTGTAGAGAGAGGAGTGGAGAGCACAGTCGACATCTTCGACGCCGTTCGCATGTTGAACTGATATCCTTGCAAAATTTGATTACAACATGTCTGTATGTTTATTCTGGCTAGATGTGGAGGGGTCTGGGAAACAAAAAGGAATTGTCTCATAACGAATTCACTATTGCAGCAAAATATGATACCACTATTGATTTTTCTTTACTCTATACTTTCTGCCTCAGACTTGCTCGCGTGCTTGTCTATCTCTCTCAATACTTTTTCCCCTCCTGACTCGCAATGACCATAGTGCCTCAACTTCGCATGTCACTCCAGGTGTAAGTGGCTTATCGCCGATCAACAAGAGAGCAGGGTGGCCCTGCGTCATAGCGATCGACGGCGGCGTTTTACACTCTGCAGATCACCCTACCAAGCCTTTGTAAGCCTTCCTCGGAAGATTTCCGTGCATGATCAGCATGGACGAAAATCATACTCGATCAAGGAGAAGGACAGAAAGTTGCGCTGCACAATATAGGTAAAGGCATGTTGCTCCTATACGGTACAGGTAAAGGCATTGTCGATTATGGACCCTGAGGACGTTGGCTGTGACAGCTGTGGCTCATCATTTGCCTTTTGTATTGGGTTTGCACCTTCACCGTTTGTTACAGGGTAGGGTACTGTGGGGCTCTTCTTTCTAAGCACACACTCTTTTTGTTCATGCCGCCTTGTGATAAGACGATGATCAGAGGTGAACGGAAGGAGAAAAGGAGGGGATGATCACGCATACTCGGATGCAGACGGCAAACAGATCTGAAGTGAGGAAATGTCACTGCGATCAACGCGAAGCAAAACATTACTTGTAGAGTCGAGTTGATTTGCATTGCCAATCTTTTGCATACCACAGTAACGGCGATGCAAAGAGCTCATCCTTCCTGCCTCGTTAAGAATTATGATAGCGGACGTTCCCATCATTCCCTTCCTTCTCTCGAATATAGCAACTGAATTTCATCTCTCGTGAAAAAGAGTAAGTTCCCAAACACCTTGTTCCCAGCCGTAGCTTGAAAGAACCCCTCTCCCAATATCAGAAAGAAAGTCAACGCCATAAAACACCATCTTCGAAATCTGACCATTCTTGAAAACAATCTCACCACTTACGCCTTCTCTGGGCTCTGCGTCTCGCATTCGCCTTGTCCTTTCGTTCCCTCTCTGCTCTTTGCTCTTCAGTCTGTTGTACTTCTGCCGGAGCATTTTCTTCTTCGTTCGAAGTGGTGCTGTTTTCTTCAGCGCGCTTGATTCGAGCCGAGCTTCTGGTTCGGCTTTTGGCATTGTCGTCCGCCTCAACGGAAGCGCTGGGCTTATCGCAAAGAACGGCTACTTCCTCTTCGTCCAGGTCGGTAAGTTCTTCTGACATGGCGTCACGGCCTGACCAACGTTCCTCGTGTATCGTTGTGCCGTCTATGTCGAAGAGTTCAAGATACCATGGTACCCCGCCTTGGGCCCATGGATCGTTTGCAGCCGCATGGGTCGGTGCAACTTCTTGGTTGTGGTGATGGATAGTTTCGACGATGTTGTTGGTGTTAGCGACACTTGACGTCGAATTTGGGGGCGACAGAGGCTGCATAGGTTTGAACGGAGCTCCCTTTGTATGTATGGCCCCGGTATCGACCATAGCGTGTGCAGCAGTATTAACCTCTTCATCTGGTTCGCCTTCCGCGTCAGCGTCATCGTCATCACCATCTACCATGTCAACATCTTCATCGGCTCGACCGTTGGCTCGGCTTGGAGATGCGCCCGCAACTGCAGAGACACTTGTGTCTGGTGATATATTGTCGCCATTTTTGTAGTCGGCAGAACGCCGTTGGTCTGCACTGAGTCTTCGAGAAGTGCATCGAATTCGGCCCACTTAGGGTTCTCCTCCACTGGTATACATTTAAGTTCTGCTTCTCGAGCCGATGCCTTCTCCAAAAGTTCTCTGACAGGTTTGATTATACGTTTTCGGATCTTCTTAAGCTCTTTTTGTTCCGGTGTCAAAGCCCTATGTTCTGGAGTGTCGACAGGATCGTCGAGTTGCTGCTGCACATCTGGTGCATCATGAAGCTCAGTGACATTCTTGTCAGATCTTGTGTTGTCGCTTGACAACACTGTCAAGATGTCATTAGAAAACTCGGCGACCGAGATGTATTGTCGTTCGGACAGTTTTCGCTCAAGCTCTTCGAATCCTTCTTTGAAGAAACCGCTCTTCTCGTCGAGTCTACTCGAAGTTAGTCTTTTGTAACGATAACGAGAGGTGTTTTGTACTTACTTTTGTGCTCGTTGAAGAATTGGGCGAAGCAGCGGGATGATGGGGAAGTAAACATTGTCGATGAGACTCTTGAGGACTTCAGTAGTATCGACAAGGCTCAACTCTTCGCGTTGACGGATGTTGGAGATGAGATGTTCCAGCTTGTCCACATCCTCACTAAGGATGTCACCGAACTCGATTCTTCGAAGCAAGCGTGGTCTGCCAGCAGCACCCATGCCTGAAAAGTTGCGACGAGTGATTTCCATGGGAGAGAAAGACTCCAGTGATAGTTGGAGGCGTTTCAGCAGAGCGGCACCTTTGCGAGCTTCTCTCTTGAGTGTCCAGTATTTGCAAGCCTCAGTAACAAACTCTTTTCGCTTTCTGAGCGCGAATCGTCCAAGCGAATTATCCACCGTGTTGAAAACAACAGCAGGAACAACGGGTGCGCCTGATGGCAAACGCCAACCAACTTTTTGAGGTTGAGCTTTCTTGCGCTTGTTCGCAGCAACAACGATAGTATCGTCAGCATGACCTAGCTCGTCCACGTTATCTGCGGTCGAATCTGGCTGAGCCGCGGAGGTTACGACGTTTCCAGTACTGGAGCTGTCAGCCCATTTTCTATTCTTCATCGTGTGTCTGTAGTAGCGCTTGGCTTCTGCGACAGCAGTATCAACATCATGTTCATTGCGCCAATCTTGAGGGACGTGTTTGTCGCAGAAGGCCTTGAGAACGGAAGCATCAATACCTCCAGAGTGAGTGGACTTCATTCTTAGAAAGAGCTTGGCCCGTCTGGCGCATGTGACATGGAATGCCGAATAACAGGCCTTGTTGCCACATTGAATACAAGCACCCATGTTCTGTTGGCAAAGATAACATTTCAGTCTCCAGCGACTTTGAGGCACTTTTTCGACGTCGGTAATCGGTTCCATGAAGGTCATGTTGGCGATGGTGATTTCTGGAATCCATAGGGCGCAAAGCAGATGGGACCAACGCATCGTATTAGTCTGCTTGAAGGCGCCATCCACATTTGGACAGAAGATACAAGTAGGGGTACCGCGGCCGATTTCCTTGCATTTTCGACAGAACCACTGGCCTTCAGGAATGAAAGGTACTCCGTAACACTCCTGATGAACAGCCAAGTCACAGCCGTCGCAAAAGATGATGGCGTTGGCATTCTCACAGTCACCATCGTCGCATACAGCACATTTAGTGTCGGGCTCATCAGCAGGTCCGCTAGGCTCTCCGTTGACTGCTGCGGCCGAACTCGAACGGGGCCTTGTGATTTGAGCGTGTCTCGGATTTGGTTTCGGGATCTTCTTCTCGAGAGCGTAGTATTCACGCTCAATTTGAGTCATGGTGATCTCGAACAAAGCGGGTTTGATGGGCTCAGCCTGTTCCTCCTTGCGATGAGCATTGTGCATCTCGAGCCATCGTTCGTCTTGTTCATCCATGTCGTACTCGACATTGAAGACAACCGGCGGCCGTGCGTCTTCGATCTTGTCAGATTTGACAACGAGGCCTGAGATACTGTCGTCATCGTAGGGGCCTTCGACATGGCGAATCAGGATCTGTTTTGGTATATCGAAGCGGTCGCCTTCTTGGTAGCCAACATGGGCCATGGACTTGTCGACATAGTTTCTTTGATTTGAACCTTGTTGCTCATATTGAGCGAATGTGTCGACGGTGCGGTATGCTGGCTTGGGTAGGTTGAGGCGTTCCTTGGGGTTGTGCGTGGGCAGGGGCAAGATGCGAGGAGCTGGTGGTGAGCCAAGGCCAGAGAGCATGCTTTCTGGGCGCTTCGGAGGTCGGCCAGGCTTGCGCTTGATTGGAGTCTCCATCGCCACAAATGAGGCTACCGGAGGGGGTACATCGTTCTCGGCCATGAGTGTGTCTACGTTCCGGCCGTCTACATGGTCGGCTGTGAACAGAATGAGGCCTTGGTCAACATCAAGGTTCGGATGAAACTCTTCCCAGCTTCTTTCTTCTCGCGGTTTGTATCCATCGCTGGCTTGGCTTGCGGCGGCTGCAGCTGCGGCGCTGCTGTAACGGGGTCGGGGGGTTGCAGTTGGTCGGCGATCACGGTTGCGATCTCGGTCTCTGCGCGGACGTGTGGATGGAGGCGGGCGGCGAACAGTTCTTGGACTTGACATGTCCCCATCATCATCTCCAGTCAGGACAGATCGGTGTCGGCGCACAGAACTAGGAGGGCCTGTTGTCTCGTTGCCTTCTTCGTCGACCCAACGGCCACCACCCCCAGGTCCACCAGGAACGTATCTTCTCTTTTTCAAAGGAGGTTCAGAATCCATGATCTGTGATGAAGCAGCGCGAGGTCTCGCAGGGGTGCGCGTGGGCCGGCGAGGAGACGATTCGGGGGCAGCCATTCTTAGTCGACACGGCAGTTGTTGCACTGCAAAGGGTGTATTTGTTGTCGCATGAATCTTGGGAAGTCAACAGACGCGTCCGCTTGATCACAAGACAGCGACAGAGGCGTCTTTGATGCTTTCCGATGCTCGTCGTTGACCGTGTACGTCGCGTTCCTGAGTCGTGCCAAGCTTGACGTTCAAGCAAGCAACACTGGGGAACATGCACTAAATCCGCTATTGCCGAATTCTTGGCGCATCTAATCAGATCCCTGCACGCGCTCCTTCCATATCAAGATGGCGCAATTCACGCACATGCATCTTTTGTAGTTGCTTCCTCCGCTCGCTCGTTCATCCTTCCCATTTTTCCATACATATCAGACTCCGACTTGTCACACATGTGGGCACCACCACTATCGTTTGGTTATTGAAGTTTCCCTCTACTCATTTATCTCTGTCTTTGTCATATCGCGTACAATCTCACACGATGTTCGCAATCACGGGAGAAGAAGTGGCTCGAGCAATATCGTGGCTGCTTGGATGGTCATACTTCATCTCATGGTCGCTATCTTTCTATCCACAACCACTTCGCTGCTGGAACTTACGCTCTACCCGTGGTGTAACGGTTGATTTTCCTCTATTGAACATTCTTGGATTCACCAGCTATTTCATCTCGACTACAGCCTTTGTCGGTGCGCCTAAGATCCGTCAGCAGTATGCTCTTCGACATCCTTCCGCTCCCGAACCTACAGTACGATTCAATGATCTGATCTTTGCTTTGCATGGCACTATCATGTGTATCATTTTCTACAGCCAATTCTACCCAAAACTATGGAAGTTTGAAGCTGTCAAAGGACAAAGAGCCAGTTCTGTAGCTCTTGGTATCTTTTATGGTAGCATTGTAGGAGTAGCCATTACTGCTATGCTTGTGTTTTTGTTCAAGGGTGGAAGAGACACTCCCGAATCTTGGGCAGAGATTGATATCGTGCGCACTCCTTCAGATACCGTTCACAAAGACATCCGCTGATCCATCCAGATATACGCCTTCTCTTATGTCAAACTCATTGTCACTCTCAGCAAATATGCTCCTCAAGCATGGTATGTAGACCATGATCACGAAAGCTTCAGATCTAACTTCAACCTACAGGTACAATTACAAGATCAAATCGACCGCAGGCTGGGCTATTGATATGGTCTGGTTTGATTTTATCGGCGGGATCATGTCTCTTCTCCAGCTGGTCATCGACAGCGCGTTACAGGCAGACTGGAGCGGGATCACTGGCAATCCAGCCAAGTTGTTCCTTGCTGTCTTTAGTCTTTGCTTTGACGTGATCTTCTTCGTACAGCACTACTTCCTATATAGAGGCAAGGAGTTGCCTGCAGATGATGAGGACAAGGATGAGGATGAAACGAGACCTCTCCTCGCATAGGTAGTGAAAGATGGTGTTCAGAGTGCAAACAAGAGTGGAGAGTGCTGGCTGTCGAATCCACGGCAGCTTGGGCCCAGATGAAAGTTGCAAAGCTGTAGTCGGATATAGCTGCCGACAATTGGCACTCTGTATAGTCGGTGTGACCGAATTGAACGCCAAGTTGGCGCCGACTGAGCTTCTGGGCAGCACAGCATCAGCTTTTAGATGCTTTTGACCTTCTTGAATCGTGATCTGAGCTGAGCATATGCCTCTTCAGGATATCAAGAAAAAAAAGGTTTCCCAAGCAATCGGAAAAGCATAGTTTAGCGTGGTACGCCATGGCCACAATGCATGCATCATGCATGAGAGATCCGCAAGATGAGAGCCGATTGTGTGCTTGTGGAGGCTTCAAGACGCCCAACGATCGCGCGTCTCTTGCATACAGCAGACCTTTACTTCTCATGAACGTGTTCGTACACGGACGCGAGCTGTCGTGTCTGACTTTCAAACACACTGCCACTTGCGGCTTAAATATTTGTAAGGATCTTCTACTCAAAGTCCGGTTTCGGCAGTGAAGTACCGATCTAGAAAAGAAGGTTGGCTTAACGCAGATCGAGCCAAACATCAAGACTGCGATGGCACCGCACGATGGTCTCGGCACCCGGGGAAGTGAGCTCGAATATGACGGTGATGACCCTTGATGGTTTGCGCCAGGAACAGAAAAGGGATTGGGGTCATCAGCACCCTGCATACATAGTGAAGAGGATGGCTGGTCGCGTTTGCTCGGTACATCAATCTCGTGCCTGTGAGACTTGTTGTGAGGGATATCGAAATAGGGTCCTGACAAGATGAGTCCTCCCATATTTGCTTCTCTGAGGAAGGTGCGTACTTCAATGAGCTCTTGCGCTAGAAAAAAATCTGATGTTTGCACCAGCATCGCATCATGAACAAGAGACGTTCGGCAGATTCTCACAGCACAACAGAGGACTCAAGGCCGTCCTCGGTAGAGACCAGGATCAGAATCCCAAGTCCGAAGTCACCGGACATGGTGGAGAGCCCAATGTCATCAGCTGCCGAGCTTGCAGGGCATGAGCCTCTGGTTGAGGACTTCCAAACTCACTATGTGCAACCCACGTCGCCCAGCAGGGAGACTCCACCACGTCTTCCTATACCCATACGAGTATCTGCACCTGCACCTAATGACCACCTGCCGAGTTCGCCCGCCTTCGACTACTCTGACGACACTGACGACGACTTGGCCCCACCAGACATCTCGAGACGCTCAAACACTTCCCGTGCGAAAATGGTTGATGTTCCAAGAGTAAATCCTCTGCTGTCACCCGCACAACCACCAACTGTCTCGTCCCACCGTCCCACATCCAATTACCAACACAAACCTAGAGACTCAGGATCTTACATCAATACAGCTCAGCCAAATACTCCGGACCACGATCGTATGTCTATGGACTCGGAGTACTTCCAGAAGAAGCAAAAGCGTTATTCACTCGGTTCGGCCACGCATTCAAGAACTGCTTCAAAGGCACCCTCAATTGCGCCTTCAATATACACACTACCTCCTCTGCAGGCTCCAGGCCCAGTCGACGATGACGTAGACCGCCTGCAACCTTTATTAGAAGACGATCCAGCCAATTTCGATCTCGTAGCTGCACCACCAGAAGAAGTGAACCAGACATATCGATTGGACGAACATGCCGAACAACTCCTTTCGCGACAACATCTGGAAGCAATCTTCGCAGACCGCAAGACCTTGCTGAAGTTCACCGGCTTTCTCAACAGCCACCGTCCCTCAAGCATACCAATTCTTGTCTTCTATATGGATGCTCTGAAAGCCCTGCGTGCCATCAAATATGCGAATGCTGTGTCAAGTGCATTACATCCTATTTCCGGCCTCGATTTCACTTCCACACCGCCTCAGACTACTCAAAATCAAGAGCTGCAGAACAAGGCTGACCAGGCTTTCGACCTCTTGGTTCGAGATGATTTACCAGCCTATATCACATGGACATGGATCTCAATCGTGAGCACGAGCATCCAGAGAAGAATCACCGGAACATTGGCACCGCACTTGAGAGAAGCTTCAGAAGGGTTGGCCGAAGTCTTCTGCTTGACGGATCCGTCCAGGAAGGACAACCCCATTGTGTTTGCCTCGGAAGAGTTTGCCCGTACGACCCAATATGGTATGGGTTATTCGATCGGCCGCAATTGCCGCTTTCTTCAAGGACCGAGGACGAATCCGCACTCGATACGTCGTCTGGCCGAAGCGTGTACAGTGCCCAGAGAACATAGCGAGATCTTTGTCAACTATCGCCGCGACGGCAGCCCCTTCATCAATCTGCTCATGATAGCGCCACTTTATGACTCCAAAGGTACATTGAGATACTTCATTGGAGCTCAAGTCGACGTATCTGGGTTGCTGAAGGAGATGACTGGTATGGAAGCTCTCAAGAAGATGACGAACCGTGATGAAGACGAAGATGGTCAAGAGCATCTAAACAACGAATTTGAGAATCTGAGCGAGATGTTCAGTACCACCGAACTGGACACTGTCAGGCAATGTGGAGGTCGCATGCACCGCGAGCAAATCGACGACGAGCGAGATAACGGCGTGCAACCCAGGCCCCGGCTCCTGATAACTGACCAGTCCGACGAGAACATGAACCAATCGACGCAGCCGCCCAACAATCCAGCTTCTGGTCCCAACGGAGTGCAGCGCATGCCTGAGAACGGCAGGCTGGCAGGTGTATATGAGCACTACCTGCTTGTTCGACCGGCACCATCTTTGCGCATCCTCTTCACCTCACCGTCACTTCGTGTACCAGGAATCTTGCAAAGTCCTTTCCTCTCTCGTATTGGGGGTTCACCTCGTGTACGCACAGAACTCGCCCAAGCATTTGCTGAAGGCCGCGGGGTGACGGCAAAGATTCGCTGGTTGACACGCATAGAAGAAGATGGAGAGGACGAAGGTCGCAGCCGATGGATACACTGTACGCCGTTGATCGGCCATGGCGGCGCAGTCGGCGTGTGGATGGTAGTTCTTGTCGACGAGGAAGGTAGCCGAAGCAAACGACGATTCAGGCCCGCACCACCCGTTAGCCAGGTCATTGGAGGCAAAGAGTTTGACCCGAAAGCTATGAAGGAGAAAGAGGAAAGAGAGAGGGCTAGAATCGATATGATCGTCGATGGAGACGTAGAGAGACCTGGCAGTAGTGCTCGTTCAGGACTCGTGAGGGAAACGAGCGGTCTTAGTGGTGTACGCAGTGTCGCCGGGACTGATGATTCATTCCAGATACGATAGTTGTTTCTGCGGAAAGTTATGGTTTATGGTTTACTATAATGTCGATGTAGAGGTTATGATACCCAAGATTAATGCTATGTGTTATGACTTTCCAACGAAATCTTTTCGAGAAACTATGCATAGCTGTCTTCGCTAAGGATTGGAAAGCCCTTCTGAGCTGACTTGTCGCAAGGATGTTGCTCTCATAGATGTGTGGACCTCTCGTAGTGGTTTCGGTTCCGGTATCCAATTTCAACGTTGTCCATATGCGATTTTGATCATGTCGCAGGGCAGCCTCGAGACCCGTCTCTTCCTGTGTGTGGGCCTTCTGTTGTTTGTTTCGTCTATCCAAGCCATGCCTCTCCGCAGTGCCATGCTCTTCTGACGGCGGCCACGAGCAGCATGAACCAAGTGCCAGCTGAAGCACATACGTTGTATGCTTCGCAACCATAACCCTGCATGGACCTGATTGCAGGTCCTCCAAGCTGTTTCCTTTTACTCCATCACCACACCTCCCCAGGGTCAACTCTAATCTCCTCACCCCCCTCCCTAACCGTATCCCTCTTCTTATCCCTGCTCAACGGCTTCCTCATATCAAAAGCATCACTGCCATCATTGTAATAATCCACAATCCTTCTGTACACACTATAGCCCATTTTCTTGTACAGCTCAATGGCAGCTGTGTTTTCCACCCTTACGAAAAGGTCGACGAACCATGCGTTTTCACGATCGCCGATGGTTTCTAGGGAGTGCGAGAGGGCGGTTGCGTGGCCCAGGCGGCGTGAGGAGGGCGAGATGGTTAGGCAGGTTATATGTGCGTGCCAGCCTAGGTAGTTGGGGTATTGGGATTTGTAGGCCGCGTGCGAGGGGTCGTAGGGATGGACGGGGGCTGGGTAGGGTGAGGATTCGAGTTTGCCGAGGACTGTTGTTTTGTCGTTAGTCTGCTGGTGTGTGTGAGAGAGAAAGTGTGTCGTCAACTCACTGTATCCTTCAATCTCGCCGTGGCGGCCTTCAATCACCATGCACAGTTCGGGCCATTTGGAAAAGTAGTCTAGGTAGAAGCCGATGTTATATGTTTCCGTCAGGTGGTCGAGATTGCAAGGATTGAATTTCAGCAAGTCTGCTGGCGTCATTGGGCGTACTGAAGACATGATTATGGTTGGCGCAAAGGTTGAATTGGAAAGTCGTCAAGCTTGAAGAAGGGGATGTGCTTCTTGACTACAGCGTCATTCACAACTCCAAAGGGCACCCTGTCCTTGCGCCCATGCGCCATCTGGCCCGACTCTCACTTTCCTCACCGAAGACGAAATTGATTCTGCGAAGATGACTTTCGTTCTGCAAAGATGATTTTTATTCTGCAAAGAGTGTTTGATTTGTGCTAATGTTAAAGTGGTATCTAATTGTCTAATAATCACAGACCCAACCCAAACCCACCCTCCCGAAAACGCCTTGATCATGTGCCATCATAACTCACCGTATCGAGTGAATGTCATCTGCCATGCCATCACGTGTCAACCAGCTTCTCTTCATGAGAGTCAAGCTCATCGTTGCTCTTCGAGAATCCTTGCCCACGCAGCGTCTCATCCATCTGACCGACAAATCCTTCCATGTCTTCTGCTGTGTCATCCTGCGGGCTGGTGACTCTCCTGTTGGGCGCCAAGGGCAACCCGAATACCCAAGCATCGTCTGTCTCATCTGTTGGCCTCTTCAAGTCGGAGACCGTAAAGAGATTGACAGATGGTAAGCGGTGGTAAGGCATGTAAGACGGATTTGTGTCCTTGTCTTGATGAGGTATCCTTATCTTCCTCTTGCCCAGACTGACGTTAGAAGCTCGTCTCTCGGAGAGTCTTGGAGCAGAAGACACATCCCAGACACAAAATCCGTGCAAGCCTTCGCGAGCACATCCTCCGTGAGGCCCATCAGGTTCAAGCAAGCCGAGCACCGAAGGTGGTAGCAAATCGCTGGAAATAGTTGGAAGAGGCTGTGTATAGAGTGGCGTTTTCTCTACAGCCGGGCTAATGACAGTCTTCTTGTGTTGTGTATGACTGACGTTCTTGACGGCCAATAAGGTAAGGACACCGTTGCAGAGAGTTGCAATCATGTCTCGATCTTTGCCATGTTGCCATTGTACACATCTTGGTGAAACAAAGTGTTGAGCTGGGTGCAAACGGATCTTGTTGTCCTCGGCGTGTCGGATATGATGAGCTCCTTCAGCAGCCATTCCTAATCCTTTGGACAGTCCTTGGCGTACGGCTCTACCTCCTGCATACCTTGCAGCCATTGATGCGTTGCCAAGAGTACTGACAATGCCATTTGAACCAGTTCGTGGTCGAGTAGCCAGGCCGTGAATGCTCTGCCACCCAGCACGCATGTTGCTCATGAAACCTCCGGCAGGTGTTTGCACCTCTTCGCGTGGTGATGAGCCTGGGGAAGGCAAGTTCGACTGCAACATGACTGTAGGCTTGAACTCTAAAGATTGCAGACCATAAAGATGCACAGTGCCTTTATCAGTGACGATAGCGATGCGGTCTCCGCGTACAGTCCAGAAAGCATCAGTCACCACCGATGGTGACAGCCTGTGGAACCTAGATATCAAACGAACAGTGCCAATGGAAGATGGATCCGCAAACACTGCTCTACCATCATTGATGCGGGTCAAGTCCCATACCCTTGACTCATCTCCAACGTGGTTGGTAGCAAGTAGAGATAAACCGCCGGGAGAAAATGAAAGGAAAGAACATCCATCATTAAGGTGGAAGGTGTGTGGAGAAGGCTGACTTCCCTTGCTATCACGCTCTCCACGTTCCAACAGTTTCTCAAGATCGATGATTGACACAAGTGCTGGCTCTATTGGAGATGTTTGAGGCTCGTTGCTATGAGCATGAGTGGGTGGGAAGGCATTATGCTCAGTCTGAGGTGACTGAGTTGACCCATAGTAAGCGGGGTCGCCATTGGAGTTGGCCGGGCGATTGATGTATGTCTTCAATGCTTGAAAGCCTTGCTGAGCACCTTTGTATATTTCTCGAGTAGTGGTTTTGGCGACACGGCTGATGAGGCTTTCGTTGAACGGAGCATCGACTTCACAATTCAACATAGGCGGAGCTGGTGAAGCGTGACTCGCGATGCTAACAGGGTCAATATGGCTGATGGAGCCAGTGGTACCTTTCAAAGTTGTCTGTGAAGACGAGATGAGTGGGGGCTTGATGGCGAGCCAGCGGTCGCTCAGCGCGTACACAGCTCTCTTCGGGCTCCTGGGTCTCGCAGTTCCTGGATCGTTATTCGTCATTGCGTTTCTCACCTCCGAGGCAGAGGTTCTTGTTTGCAGACTTGACCAATACTTTCCAAGACATACGAACGGCTGTTTTTCAACAGCTGCCTGTTGATGTGGGACGGCGAATACGAACATCTCACCACTGACACCAGAGGTGACAAGAACGAAACGTCCTTCGGCTGCGACACTGAGATTGCCGATGGGTGGAGGAGGTATAAACCCTTTTGTCGCGACTGACTGGTGAATCTTCTCAGGTCTAGTCTGGAAAAGCCTGCTCACCGGTTGCCAAGTTCGCATGGAATAGACTTCAACAAAGGTATGATACTCTTTGATGCCGGGAGGAGAAGTCGGTTGATCATGTTCACGCTCGAGCACCGGACCGTGGATTACACAGGCAACCAGAGGACGTAGGTGCTCTAAGGGATCGTCACGAGCTGTCCATGGGAGAATCTTCGCGTCGATCACGCCGCCTTGCAAGCCCTCTAGACGGCCTAGCACCTCAGTCTTCTGTCGATTCACTTTGTGAACTTCCAGACCACCTTCAAACCCAGCGACCACGACCGAGCTTGTGCCTGTAGACGAGGCATTCTTAGGTGCTTGCCATGTGTCGAAGCCGCAGTAGTACCCTCTCGAACCAGCTTGCAAAAACTTGTCCGCATGTACGGGTCTGCTAAAGTCAAACTCGGCCAGTCTTGAGAAGTGACGCTGAGGCATGTGCGGAGGCAGAGGTTCATATGGCAGTATCTTATTGGTGTTGGCGAAGTTCATGGGTTGAGTCGACAGCGTAGAAGTGTAAGGAACGTTTGTCGCATCAGAGAAGCCTCTTGACGTGAAGCCTTGAGGCAGCCGAATGCCACCTTGAGGAGACGAAGACAGAGAAGCAGCATGGAGTGGGGAGCCAGTACCAGAAAGGCGTGAAGGGACCTTCGAGTTATCATGTCCCAGCATTACGCCATCTTGTGGAGGGGACGGCTCTGAGGTTGGCGCGAAAGGATGCAGTTGTTGCCTAGGGGATTGCAGAGCAGGTGCCTTTGGTGAAGCAATCTTTTCGGTCGGAGAGAAGTCTTGCGTCGGAGGAGACAGCTGAGTATCTAGCGGAGGACTGGGCGAACGAGAAGGTGGAGGTGAAGGTGCGATTGGTGCAAGGGTCGGTACCCTAGAGAGCTTGGTCAGCTAGGTCTGCAAGGTGGGTGGCCCAAGGCTACTTACAAATCGGGCGAGAAATGAGGGCCTTCAGACGACGAGTCCTTAGCAGAGTCATCTTCGGCTTCTAGTCTCTGCTTGGCTGCCTTCTTCTTCTGTTTCTTGCGGCTGGCCTTGGTTCCCTTTGCCTCATCCGGCGTGTCTTCAGCGTGGAGCACCTCGTCGTTGGATGATGGCATATGGTGAATTTTGCGAGGATGTTGGTAGACCACTCGCAGACCAGAGTCGGCAAGTGGGCAAGACGGCGTTGAGGAGAGCGAGACGGACGAGACGGACGAGACAGACGAAGCGAAGATGACGTTGGTCGCAGCTATAGCAGATGGCGTCCAGACTCGGATGAGCAGTTGTATGACACGCGGCACCTCAGAGTCCGCACGAGACCGAGCAAGACTGTGATAGTGCTGCAGCTGGAGCGAAGGTCAGGTCGTGCTGCCGCCTGCAGGACCGTGGTGGTTACGTGTGACGTTGTTATCGGCCAAGTCCGAAGGCTGTTCGACCGACAAAGAGATGGTGTCTTGTGAAGAAAGATGTGATGGGACAGTCGCATAGACTGTCCGAGACGATTCAAGAGGTATACAAGGTGAACAAAGAGGCGGGTTGTGCGAGAGTGTTGAGAAGGCGGTCTACAGGGCTACCTTGTTGGCTCTGTTGACGCATCCGGCGCGGGGTGTTGGAGAGTGCATCTGCCAAGAATCGAGGGGTCGAGGGTCAGCGTGACCATGCGGGCCATCACTCTTACATGACAGTCCAAGAACCATTAATCACCTGAACGATTCCTCATGTCCCTTCATGGATCTCATGTGTACGAGATCTGACCTAGATTGAGCTACAAGCAAGATACCGAGACATGGATTGGGCTTTGATGTTTGCTGAGAAACACTACCTTGATGGCACTCTATGACATAGTTCTAGTGTCAAAGGATTTCTGCCTCACAGCATCAGGCACTGTTCGGCCGCCATCCGCGGAAGTAGACTTCGGGCGAAGACAAGATAGGTTCAAGCATGTAGTGGGGCCATTCATCCATTGGAGCACCTATGCTAGACCTGACTGTATGGTCGAAACACCTCGCATAGAGAAGGGATGCAGACCAGATACAAAGCGCTGGTCTTGCCCATACAACAAATCGCATAGCGACGAGGTCATCAACACACACGACCCTGGTATGAAAGATGTTAGATACTGACAAACTGGAGATTGGAGACAATGGCCCTGCGCGCTCTCATTTCCTTCTGAACGCTTGGTCACCTTCAAGGTGTCGATCGTTGTTGATCCGCATTCATTATATTCATCCTGTTAAACAATGCTGCTGTCAATTTCTATTGTTAGCAAGTCAAGTAGCGGTAGAGAAGGCAAAGACATATACGCGTTGATCAGCTGCCACACTAACACCGATCACCTATTGTGACGATTAATAGGCTAGACTTGCCAGCAAATCTCATCATGTGAGGTACTCGAAAGCCAAGGGTGAATCAGTGGTCCTGCAGGACGACGCATCGCTGGATAATCGGACATATATCACTCTGGAATATATCCTCGTCGATACTAGGCTCATGTCAATAGCTGTCAGCGTCGATATGTTGACCTGTGTCGGAGTTGTCGATGACTAGGCGCGTACATTCATAATATAGCCTGAGTCGTGTCAAAGACAGCCCATCAATAGGAAGCTTGTCGGAAAATGCGACCTAACAGTATACGACATACGTAACGGCTGGTGACACAGGTCCCTTCCAGAATCACGGATGCAGTCAATACTAAGCCTTACAAGCATGGATACGAGCAAGGCGTTCAGTCATGGCGCTGGCTGAGGATGGACAAGGCGTGCTGGCGCCAGATTCTGCTTGTCTATGAGGAATTCAGAGCAGATTAACCTCTGGCGACATGTACAGAGCCGTTGATCCTGACCGAGCGACAGGCTGGCCGGCGGCGACACGATTGCAAGGCGGCCTAAGCGGAATAGAAAAAAAGAGCGTTGCAATTCGCATCGGCAGTTTTGGCCATTCCACAGCAGCTAACGGCGTGTGCGATAGCGAATGAATTGGGTTGCTGGAGTATTGGAGACAGAAGCAGTAAAAGACAAGCACATGCTATTGGAATTGGATCGTCTAGTTCCACCGTCATTGTTCGTTCAGGGCACCGAGTTGGGTATGGATATTCGCATGGAAGAAGCATGGAAGAATCGAAGGGCTTGGCATGACAGTCGCTGGCGTGCGCTTGGGTCTGGCGCGCTGTGAGATGCCCAAAGCATGCATTTCGAGATGGTTGATGCGAAGAGGACACATGGCGCAGAACACGCAATCAACCGGTGCAATACATAGAGCATATTCAGAATGCAGAGGGCAGACTCGAGGCTGAGCTCGAGACACAGTCACAGTAAGATGCAGCGGGAAAGACAACCGTCAACGTTCTCAATGGGATTCAAACGGGCGTCATGGCGTATGCGAGATTACTCAGGCGGACTCGAGGCTTGCCCTGCTGTAGCCTGCCTGCGTCGGTCGTCGAGTGGGGAAGAAGCAACCTGGGCACACCTCTCTGTACGCTTCCAGCTTGACACCGTTAACTCGACGTTGACTCGTTGCTACCTTACCTGACTTTGCCATACTCGCTGCCTCTCCTTTTCTCACATACCTTTCCTCGCGTGACATGCCCGCCATATGATAGTGCGCTCTTCATTTCCTTGCCTTTTGTATCTTTACTACAACCAAGACCCAAAACACCACCTCGGATCCCCCGTCACCACGCCCTGACTTTTCCTACATTCCTGGCCGAATTGCGTCGCATACACACCCCGGCCGACCGACCACTGTCCCCGACGACAAGCTCTCAATTCTCTGCCTTTTGGTTCATCGCGACGCGACAATTCCATCCAGCGCCTGCCTGTCTTAGCTGCTTTGTCGACGCTGAGACACTGCTTGCACTTCTGCCGAATGTACTGATTTGTCCGACCCTCGCGACTTTTATCGACTGCGCAATGCGATAGAGGCCTCGAGGCCGAACCCATCCGAATCGAGTAACCATGTCCGGCAATGCATTTGCTGTCGTCTATGTGGATCGCAAGACGCCCATAACAGGTTTCCTGAACAAGAATCTCGATGGATTGAAACAAGAGAACTGCTCCAATGAGACTGAGCGCAACATCCGCACCATCATGGCTGCCTTTGGCCAAGGTACGTCGCATTCGTCGCTACTTCCCTTCTTCTCTTCTAATTGCGTCGCATAGCTCATGTTTGTGCCGATGGCGTCTCTTGCTTGACGACAATTGCACAGCTCGATGATTCCCGCAACCCTAACCCCATTGTCGTGCTTCTCGATATGCCCCAAGACGACGAGCCCCCCGTCCGTAGGACCTCATGGGATTCCAACCCTCCTTCACCGTTAGTAGGGAAGCGCCCCAAGGTGGAGCGAAATGAGCCGAGCGATGTATATGGCGTCCACTTGCTAGCATACTTGTCTTCGGAGATTCAACAGCGCGTTCGTTCAAGGCTCGTCATTCCGATCGCTGTTCTTGCTGGCAAGACCGACGTAAGTTCTTTGTTACCACGGAGCTGTTTGGCAAAACCTGACAACGATTAGTTATTGGCTGAACCCACACGTATGTCTCGTTTCTTGGATGCTGGTGCCATCGATGTACTACCCAGTCCACTCGGGCTCGATAGAGTCCAAGGCCTGGCTGTTCACGCATACCGTACATATAAGGAGGTCACACGTGACGCCGCGAGCTTCGTGCTTGAAAAAAGAAACAGGAAGCTTTCATGGGTGGGAATCGATGAAGAGCGTCCATACGCCTACCTACGAGAGGTCATGGTTTCCGGCCTGATGAACGGCATTTGTAACCCTGACTCGGTCGGCGAGTTTATCGATCCAAGGTTAGTACTACGGATTTTGCAGTATTTGGGTAAACGGCTAACATTTACCTCTTCAGCGAACTCAAAATTGGCGATCAAAGGAAAGCTGCTGTGGAGCAGGCCGTAGGCACTTGGGCGTTCTCAGCTCATGACTTCGATTCGGACGAGCTCCTATACGCTGCTTTGACCATGCTCCAGCATGCCCTGCAGATGCCCGAGTTGGAAAAATGGCGCATTTCCATCGGTATGCTCGCAAATGCCACATACATCTGTTCCTCCAGCACTAACCTTGATTGCAGATGATCTTACCATCTTCCTCTTCGCTTGCAGGCACGCATACAACGACTTTGTTCTGTATCACAACTTCCGTCACATTGTTGATGTTCTACAAGCCGTCTTCTACTTCCTCCTCCAGATAGGCATTTTGCCTCCTTACCCTAGCTCACAAGATCAGGCTCCCAGGGCAGACCTTGCGCCAGTAGCATCATTGCTACAGCCATTTGATGCCTTGACTTTGCTCATCTCCGCGATCGGCCACGATGTCGGTCACCCTGGTGTGAACAACGCCTTTTTGGTCGCTTTGAATGCGCCGCTCGCTCAACTCTACAATGACCGTTCGGTCTTGGAGGCCTTCCATTGCGCAGCCTACTCGCAGATCCTTCGCAGATATTGGCCACGAGCTTTTGCTGATATCCCCATGCGCAAGTTGATGATCAATTCAATTCTGGCTACCGATATGGGCCTCCACTTCAAGTACATGATTGACATGGGCAACTTACAAGAAAAGCTTTCGTCGAACGAAGACAGCATCGAGGGTTGGACACCCAAAGCTCTCGAAGAGACTAGAGATCTCGTCTGCGGGTTGTTGATGAAGTGCGCTGATATCAGCAATGTGGTACGTTTTGATGACGATACTGCTCAATCGGATCATCGCTAATGTTGGACAGGCACGCAAATACGATGTTGCAGCACGATGGGCTGTCATCCTCACAGACGAGTTCTCCAACCAAGGCGCCATGGAGAAGGAGCTTAATCTGCCAACCTGCTTGTTTGGCGGCCCTCCAGACCGTGAGGACTTGGTAAAGTTAGCAGAGTCTCAGATTGGTTTCATGAGTATCTTCGCCGGACCTCTTTTCGAGGGTATCACAGCAATTTTGCCAGCCATGAGTTTCTCTACCGTTGAGATCGAGTCGAACAGAACCGTCTGGGAGGAGAAGATTCATATCGAAAAATTGAGAAGAGGAAACCTTCTGCCGACTCCAATGGCTCAACCTTCGCCGCTCCGAACCGAGCTCTCCGTGGCTGAGGAGGAATCTGAAGACAGCAGGGAGGATGACATTCCACCTGAACGAGATTCTCTCTTTGGTCCGTCTCGTACGTCACAAACACAAAACGAAGCACAAGCGATCAAGCCTGACAATGCTCGGGCCAATCCAGAACCGGCATCACCCACTTCACCTGCCAGAGTTCGTCCAACCTCGGCATCACCTCTTAAGAGCAACAAAAAGAAGTCGAGCACAGGGAGTTTCCATGCACCATTCTCTGTCCCATTTCACCAACATACAAACTCACGTCGATCTTCAAAGGATGCCGCACTTGAACAACTCGAACAATTGCAACTGGGCCAGCTAAGCAGTTTCTCTCGTATCGAGAACCAGAACCATGACGGTGCTCGCCGGGGCAGTGGCGATGCTTCTCTGACAACAATTCTTGTCCGCAGCCAAACAGCACAGAGCAGACAGGAACCCGACTCACCAACGAAGCCGCCGCCATCTCCTAACAGGCAGACTACAAGACCGCTTTCACCGCCCTCTCAAGCTGGCGTCTCGTCTTCTGTTCCTTCGTCTCGCAGTCATGCCACTAGTAATGCAACTGCAACGACTGCGACGTGTGCGCATTCACCGACCTCTACACGGCCATCTTCGGTAGAAGAAACGGAAGGTGAGACTCCGAAAGGAATACAACCACCTCCTGTGTTATCACTAGAAAATCCGTTCTTGCACCCCAACTCAAGTCCGGATCTACACGGCAGGGAAAGGATATCGCATTCAGCACCAGATATTAGCAACATCCCAGAAATGCGTACGAGCAAAGTTAGTTCAGTATCGCATATCACAGCAGACGGCGATGAGGGCGATGAAAATCGCGGCATGTCACAGACACCTCATGGGATTCGAGAGAGCCGTAGCCGAAGCAGGCTGAGAGGGCTTCGCTTCTGGAGGAAGAGGTGGAAGAGCCCTGGCCCCGGTACCGAGGTTGATACAGAGCTATGAGGCAAACGACGCTGCGAGCGACGTAGCTCTTCTGGTCTCCTTTGTTTTGTGGGAAAGGCAGGATGTAAGTCATGGGATGGAAACTTGCAAGGAAGGGAATGCTGAAGGCGTTGTCGGAATATACCACTGTCTCACGCGGGACGGCCTTATGATTTACAGACTTTACAGGAATGTCGTGGGCAAGAAGGGTCGGCAGTTTTCTTTTGATTGTTTCATTGCGTCTTTTTAGGTCTTCTTACACTCGCTTTTAGTCTCTTTTTGTCGATCGATGGTGGTCTGAGTATGGAGTATGGATGCAAGGACAAAGTAGTCGGTCTTGAGTGGATGATCAAGCAAGGAGAGGAAGTCGCGAAAGAGCGACTACATATAGCTCCCAAATAGAGGAGCGTCATACTTAATACAGAGTCAGAGTTTAGTGAAAAGAAAGCAAGATGCGAAGTGTTCGAGTGACGGCCATGTACTGGAGATAAATTCAGGGGTGCGAGGGAACAATCAAGATGACCGAAGCTTTGACAACACCCTGGCCTGGTGCTGCTGCCAACGCTGTTGACAGGCCAAGTCAACTTGACTCCTTCCTCATTGCAACACGTACCAAGAAGGAAGCTACATCTACGGGACGACAAGGCATCAAACTCGTGTCAGCGTCCTGACCGGGAGAAAAATGAAGCATCTGGCTGCAAGCCAATAGACCAACCCATACACTTGTACCACCAAACAGCAGGCAGGAAGCCGTCGCCGTCCCACGTCTCTCGCATACAGCAACTGGTCTCTTTGCACACATAGCATGGCGTCGCCACCCCTCACACCGCTACGGCGCTCTTTTTCACACAACAGTAATTCCTCGTCAAACCATCGCCTGTCGACAGCATCGCGCTTCTCCAATGGCAGCCAAGACTTCGCTTCACACCTGGACGCCTCAGCCGGAGCATCGGGCATGGGAAACCTTGCAGACGAACTCGACTTTGCCGATTCGGATGACGAAGACTGGGACTATGACGCTGAAGCCGAGCCAGATGCCGTGCAGGAGGCTGGCATAGAGCATGGGATGGACGACGGAAAGCAAGATGACGAAGGTCCGAGAGACAGTGGAATTCATGTTGAACAGAAGAATAACACTCCGCTACCACATCGCAACTCCTCTCGGCCAGCCACGCGTGATGCCGAGTCGGATTCCACCAACATCTTCTCGCACGAACTGGAGGATGCTCTGGCTCAAATCTCGCGCCTCGCCAATCCTGCCTCGCATCAGAACCCCGACACCATCTCCCGTACCCTCGTTGCCTTGCAGAACCTACCTCCTCAGCAATCTCTCGAAGCCCACACCCAGCGCCTTACCACGTCCACTAATAGTCTGTCATCACACATAATACAACAAACGAAACACTTCGCTTCGCTATCTGCTTCTCTATTCGCTCCTTTTGGTTTCGGTGCGCCTCTCGATTTTCAGATCATTGATGACGAAGTGCTTCCTGCCATCAGTCAGGTCGTACAAAACCTGCCAGCTCCTGATTCGCGCGCCCTGCACACTCTTTCACGTCTCGATCGCGAAACCACCGATCTGATACAAACACTCGCTGCCCTATCCGATTCGTTGCAAATGGGCCGTCAGACTACCGCTAGCGCTGCACGACACTTGAAGAATACTCAGCAGATGGTTTCTGAGATGCGTCGGGAGAGCGATCTAGCAGATCAGGCACAATGGCTCATCGAAAAGGAGGATTGGGACCGTCGTCTTGCTGAGAGGTATTGTGCCAATGAATGCCGCGACGTTGTTGGTGGCTTCGAGCAAGTCTTTGAAGGGTTGAGAAGAGGTTTGGAAGAGAAGATTGCGGCTTGATTTACATTTTTGGGTATCTATTTTTGGGCTGGGCATTATGGAGGGCATACTGAGCATCGCGGCGTTCAAATAACATGCACTTAGGAGAAGGATCATGCATGGGCCGGCGTTGTGGACCTGCTCTTGAGGCAGTGAGGAGTTATTGAGATCATGGGAGGTAGGCAAACATAGCCAGCTGGTTTGATCACATGGCAGAGATTAGATGGCAAATTCGCAAGACGGAAACAGTTTCATATCTGAGCATGTGTCTGTTTGGAAGCAAGTCTTTTCTCCGTCTTTGTCTCGCCTACAATCAACATAATCCAAGGAATAAGCAAAATACTTCTTGGTTTGCTTCACTTCTGTCTGACCTTCACTCTGCCTCGCATCTTCATCCAGATCAGCAACGACTCACATCACTTACTTCTGGTTCTGTTCAGTCTACAGTTCACTGTCACGCTCAAAATCATCACCTTGCGTCTCACCCAACCATCCCAGGCCATGTCAGATGCAGAAGATCGAATCGAGGAGCCATTCATCAACAGCACCATGTCTTCCCTTGAACACCACGCATCCACAGCCCAAAAGCGCAAAATGAGCCACTCTGACCACCTCGACGACGGCACACCACCCGTCCACATCGACCCTTCCCTCACCAACACATCCTCGAACGCAGCAGACGTCAAAGTCGCCTACAACGGACCCTCCAGCATTTACACCGTGATGCTGCGCGTTCACAACGAAAGCTCTGCACGTCCAATGCCCCAAGCTGCGTTTTTCGGCCGTGACAAGGCGCTGGGTTTTTCTTTGAGGGTCTTGTTGCAGTGGTGTGATGCACACTATGATGATTATCTTTGGAAAGGACCGGAGAGTTTGAGAAGGGGACTGGTGGAGAGGTATGCTGCGTATCATGCGCAGACTGGGCAGCAGCTTGCTGTTGCAGATGTGATTAGGGTGAGTATCTTTGATGCTAAAGAGACCGAGGTTGTTCTTAAGAAAGAGGATATGGAGAAGGATGAGAGTGAGGGAGATGAGGGAAACGAGGGAAAACTTGATGAGGGACACAACGCCGAACATCAGGAACAAGTGGAGGAAGGATCAGAGGAGAACTCAGAGGATACCGGTAAACTTGTTGGACCCAAGGCTAGTTGGCCAATGACTGACAATTGTACAGAGACTACTTCTACCCACTCGACTCAGACCCAGGGACCGATCTTCGGTAGGCTCTTGCTCGTAAAAGTCCTACCACATCAAAGACTTACCTTCACACAGAAACGACTCTCGCTGATTCGGCCCAAGCTGAAGAAGAAGAAGAAGAAGAAGAAGAAGAAGAAGAAGAAGAAGAAGAAGAAGAAGAGATTGACCTTGGTAAGTACCTAGTATCATGGATACTGCAAAGCCAGAGACTGACAGAATCACAGAAACGCTATCGGCACTCTTGGCTCACAGCCATCAAGCTGCACCTGGAATGTATACTACGGGACTGGCCACCAGACTTGCGAACTGTGATGAGCAAGACACTGTCAGTGGCAGCCGTCGTCGAGGCGCTTGGAAAGAGAATCACGAGATGAGAGTGTTTGGCGGATCCACGGAACATGATACTTACTGAGAGGAGGAACAGTCGGAACGGTTGATATCCTTTCGTCCTGGTCTGGATGAGGAGTGAGGTTGACAGGAGGAGAAAAATTCAGATTGTAAAGAGCACGAACGCCTTCCGGACTGCTGTAGCCTTTAATATTCAATTAAGCTTGCAGTGGTTAGAAGAAGATACTAGGTAATTGTTGAAGGATCGAAAGAAAAGATGAATCTCAGGTGATGACAGTCTTGGCGTGGTCAGCGGTTTGAGCCGAGAGCTTTTGACAACCGGCTCTGGGTCAACTGCAGCACATCATCACCCTCAGTCGCGCTCCGCCCTGTATAGACGAACCTCCTCTCTTACGCCTGCTCCCCGGTAACACACTAGACACAATGCGCACTTCCATGCTCCGCACCACCGGCACCGCCGCCGCCGCCCTTCGCTCGTCGGTCCGCGCAACCCAGACCCGCCGTGCCCACGCCATCTCCAACCCTACCCTCGCAAACATTGAGAAGAGATGGGAGGCCATGCCCCCTCAGGAGCAGGCCGACCTTTGGATGGCCCTCAGAGACCGCATGAAGGTTGACTGGACCGAGATGACCCTGCAAGAGAAGAAGGCCGGTACGTCAACTTTTTGTCGAGAAGCCAATACATGTCCAATTGGCGAGCTCGGCCGCGTCGGTCACACTTGTCAAGCTCGCCAATTGGATCTTTTGACCTTGGTTCGTTCAATTGGGTGCTGAACACAGCTCTGACACGTCATTCTTCGCGCAGCATACTGGATCGCTTTCGGTCCCCACGGCCCTCGCGCTCAAACTCCTCCCGGTGAGGGCAAGCAGGTCTTCTGGTACACCATGGGCGGTCTTGCCGTCACTGCTGTTCTCTTCTTCGGTATCCGCGCCGGTGCCAGAGGCACACCCCACACCATGAACAAGGAGTACCAGGAGGCCTCCGACGCATACCTCAAGGTTCGTGCTTTTGCCAATCCTAACAAAGCTGTGCAGCCGTCTTACAAGTGCAACTACAGGAGAACAACGTCGAGCCCATTACCGGTATCTCTGCCGAGGACTACAAGGGTGGCTTCATGGTCCAGTCTCCTCCCAAGGCCAAGGAGTAAATGCCTTTTTAATCGAAAGGTGATTTACTGTATTGACGAGGGAGCCGATCAGGCGTGTCGCCAACGCCGTCGTAGTCTTACAACTGACTGGACGAAGAAAAGGTTACACGTTCAATATATTTTTGGAGCCCGCTTTCTAGAAGCAACGACGAAGAAAAGATCCCTTGTACCTCTTTTTCTTTATATCATTCCAGCGTACTTGTACAAAGATTACAATTTTCATTTGTTTCCAGTCTCTTCTCACGCTTCTCGCAGCTTTGCTGCTCTTCTGTGCTCCATGAACACGATCGTGTTGGTTTGGCTTGAGATGCAAGGCAGAACCTTCACGTTAAGAAATACTTCAACGACCAGATATTGGTTCTCGGAGAAACCTGTAGCTCGAACGCATAAGGCCAAGTATCACTTGGTATACAAAGAAAAGTGACATGCTATGTGTCAATCACGATACCAGCCATCCGAGCAGAGATAGGGTTTCTAGCAATCTTAAAAGCACATGGTCGGAAAGATTTCAGCCCAACACTGTGGAAGTATTGTACAGCCCAGCTGAGTGCCGGTAAACAGTCGCCCAAAGCTCAAAGGCTCCCGGCTATCCTTTGATCCGTGCAAAAAGCAGATAGATTTTGGGCATCACAGTTGTTCTGAAAAGCCGATTAGATTGGGAGCAGAAACGGCTGTGCAGATTTGACTGTTCTTCCCATGGCGGGCCGACCGAAAGCAACCAAAAGATAGAAGTAGTTATACGAATTCTACGTATCCAATTGCCAAGAATTGGGAACTGCATGTTTTGGTGCAGAGGGAAGTGGAATTGGTGGTTAACAATGCATCCTTTCACGTGGGTGAAAAGAGGCTGGAAGCACGAGCTCGCATGATGTGCATGCGAAACCTCGTGATTGGATGATTGTTCAAATGTCAATGAGAGAATGGCTATGCCATAGCTACATGCTGGAATCTATTTGCAGAGACATTATTCCGGAGGTCAAAGAGGTATGCAAAGGTATAGTTCCATCTCGGATGGCAGAACATGGGTTATGATCATGATCTGCTGTATCAAGAAGATAGATGAAAGCCAAGAGCAGAGGGAGATTGCTGTCTACACTTGTCTGTGCGTTCGCAGGGGACCCTGTTTGTCCTAGGCTTCCAGCCTCTCGGGAAGCGTACCGCGACCTGGGTGGACTCGAATCGTGTAAGAGGTAGGTAGGTAGGTGTTTTTGAAAGAGATGGACTGACAAGACAAGGTGGGTGTAAAGAGTATGAACATGTGATAATCACAATACGTTAGTGGATGACGAGTCTTGGACGACAACCGGTCACGTCTCCATCGTTGGAGCCTAGGTAGTCATTTAAAGGTCCCGGTCAAGGGTAGTACGAGGGCAGAGGGTTTATCAAATTTGGTTGTCTGCGGCCTTGCAGCACCAGCACTTTTGACTGTTTCGAAGTCTCCAACGTTTCAACCGTCATACATACAGTGCTACAGAGCCTCTTGGTGCGGGCTCGACTTCCACTTCTGCCTCTTTGGCCTGACCTACTTCTGCGATTGCGACTGCGACTGCAGAGTGGGCGCTGGGGAGATAGCACGAGCAGCTATTCATATCAGTGCATCCTGTTATTCCCTCGGTCCCTCCTTCCTTGCTTGCGCCCTTGCCGTTGCTCCTGCTCCCATGCATAGAGAGCCCAGCCGTCCCAAATCATGGACACTGAGGATGGCCACCAATTCATAAAGGTAAGTGCTTGCCCGCGCCCAAGAGATCGCTGGTCGCCGGCTCACGTATACATCCTCAGCAACTCGCCTATTTTGTGCGGACGCACGAAAAGGCTCTGGCCAACGCGCTGCAATTGCAGAGGCGCGGATCCCAAAATGTCACCTCTCCTGTCTCGACCGCCGCCATAAGCCCCCCCTCTACCGCTACTTCCGCATCGTCGTCCTCCTCTTCGGCCAGCACCTTCGCTGCCGCCCTGTCGCTCCCTTATCTCAGCTTCACCTCTCAGACAGTCAAGCCCGTCAAGTTGACCCTGACTCCGCACCACCTCTTCTACCTACTGTCCCGCTTTGAAGAACTGGGAATCAATGTTGGGCCCATGACCATCCGTCTCGAGAACATTCATAACGACGTCGCCCCTGGAAACTATGTCTCTTTTCTCTCAGCCCCCAAGTCACGCGGTCGCGCCTCAGATGCCGATTCTGTCCGATCTTCTTCAAGTGTACGGAGTGTCATGTCGACCATGTCGACCATGTGGTCACACTTCAACCTCAGCGGACAGTCGAACAAGGAGGAGAAGCAAAAGGCAGCTGAGTTGGAAGATCTGAAATACCTGTACTCGGCATTCACCAAGATACCCTGTCTGCGGCTTTCCCCCGACCATCGCTCCAAATTGATCGCTGGTTATGAAGAGTTTCCCTTTGACACCGCCGTCCCGCTGTTCGCATTTAAAAATGTGAGCGCTCTGGAGATATGTGACCTGGACTTCCGTCAACTCTTTGGCTGGGACCGAATGGCCGAGCAATTACGCAGTCTCACTGTCAAGCGTGCTAGCATCGAGGATCTGGCTGATTTGACTATCAACATTATCTTGGACGATATGGACAAGCGTCGTCGAAGGTCATCAAAAGCACCTATACCCTCATCTCCAGCTGTGGTATGGCCGTCAGCGAACAACAGCGTCAGACATGCGGCTGAGTTGGCATCTGCGTCGGTGCCCAATTCGCCAATGGCTGAGGGAAGACGATCATCCATTGGTAGTCCTCAACCTTCGGCTGTGAATATGACACGGACTGCATCCTCCGACGGCAAAAAGACCCCTCGTCTGAGGCAGAGAAGTATCTCACCATCGAGACCTGTCAGCTCGCGACACAACTCCTCCTATGGCCATGGACATCAACCACGAAGCGGTACGCCAAAATTCAGGCGCGAATCTGGTAGCTCAGGCTCAAGTGTTCATTCAAGCACGCCACGAAACAGTACATCTAACCTCCTAGCATTGGGCATTGTCCCTGCGTCTAAGTGGCGCTTCTTGCGTCACCTCAGTCTTGCTGAGAACGGCTTGACATTCATCACAACCCATAGTCTTGCTCCGCTAGCCCAGACATTGCATTCACTCGACCTCTCATCAAACCTCTTTACCGAGATCCCTGAGAGTCTTGCCTCATTGACCAACTTGAGAGCTCTGAATCTTTCCAACTGCATGATCGACAGCTTGCACTCTCTTCTTCGTAACCCGCTTCCCGCCATAACTACCCTCAATCTCAGATCCAATCGGCTTGCCTCACTTGCCGGAATCGAACGCCTATTTTCTCTCGAACGTGTGGATCTGCGCGACAACAAGTTGACAGATCCTACGGAGCTTGCAAGACTTACAAGGATGCCTGAGATGCAAGACATCTATGTTGCGAAAAATCCCTTCACTCGCACACACTCAAATTACAGAATCACAATTTTCAATCTTTTCCGGGCAACACCGGGTTATACTGAGGATGTCAAAATCGACTCAAGCAGTCCGTCGTACAGCGAGCGGAGGCAGCTGGTTGATCGCGCGCCTGAACCACCGCCAGCGCCCATGCCACCTCCAGTGCCTGAGGATGAGCGATCAGACGATGCGTTGAACATGCCTGATGTTGGCGAAAGATCACGACATGCAGCGGCAGACTACGCTCAAGGATCAACAAGATCAATTGGCGATTACTCGACTGCATCGCAAAGAAGAAAGAAGGGAACTCGAAGGAGGATTGTTGAGCTATCACACGAGATGGGCTCTGAGCAATCTGGCCAGAATGATGCACCGCCTTCACCACGCGCAGTAATCAAAACGCCAGCATCACCAGAAGAGCAACGGTTTGTACGAGCGACGTCGTCACCGCCTCGGTTGCCGCCGTTGGATACTGGATCATCGAGCATGTCGATAGAAGGATTTACAACATCTATTGAAGAAGATGAAGATATCGGCATCAACAGCGATGCGTATCGACAGAAGATTGAGACATTGAAGAGCGACCTCGGCAATGGCTGGTTGACAGCATTGAGCGAAGACGCGAGCAAGAGCTCAGAAAGAGAATACAATGCTAGGCCGTCAATGGGAGGTCAACGAGCAGACAGTCGAGAAGTGACAGTTGGAGGTAGGAGGCTGGGATGAAGGAATGTCACGACGATTAGAGAGATGTGACATGTTTTCTGGAGGCGTTTTGTTGCTGTTGTATAGCGAATGATGGATTTCTGGACGTGGCCCATTTGGATGACATGATGGGCACGGACACAGGCATAGCGATGGCGTAAAGGAACAGGTTGATACCTCATGGAAGAATGACTATTTTATTGTTATGATGTTTACAGAGACGGCTCATGGCCACGTGATGGGTTTTTGTCACGAGGTGCGGGCACTCAACATTGAGACGAACAGTAGATGCAAGATAGCTATTGAGAGAAGTAGGTCGAATAGGTTGTAGCAGGCTATAGAAGAATGGATAGCTGTAACCAAGACAAAAGACGCGCAAGATTAAAGTGGGCACTGACTGGGCGGAATTGTTTTTTTGGCAGTTGCAAGACTGGCTGAAGCACGGCCTCATGCTGGCGGGTGGGCTTGGGCTTGGATTCAACTTCTCCCTGCCGCAGAACGCTGGGACTTCTCTTGCCTGTCTACCCATCAAACACGCAACCACTCAAGTGCTGTCACTGTCACGACCTCCAACAACCACATAAAGGTATGTCCACTGTTCCTTCCGCCTGCCAGCGCCTTGTTCGGCAGCACGCGCTGTCCGCCCGCCGTGGTCATGTCGCAGTCTGCCTGTGCGAGCGCTCCTTCCTCCCCCGTCTCATCCTCATCCTCACACTATCCAACACCTCGCTGACCATCGTGCCTACAATCAGCTGCGCTGAACACGCTTCCATTTAGCAATTTCTCTTGCAATTTTTGACGCTCGATAATCCCCGTCGCGCTCCTCCTCCGGCCAAAGCGCTCTAAATCGGCGTGTTTCCACCACCTACCTGGTTCACCACCAAACATCTTCCCGCGCCCTCCTCGACTCCTCTCCGGCATCAACTCTTTGTCGCCCGTTGCTTCACGTGTTTCGTCACCCCGACACGACCAGACTCTCAGCTCGTCTCCGCACCGGTCAACATCAGGGCTCCATACACAACCTTTGTTGCACCCGAGGTCACCTCCAACTACATCTGTGCCACACGTGTAGCCTCATCTACCAGCAAAGCATCGGAACATCAATTGAGCGCGAACAAGGGCCCCGGCGCTCGGCGAGAGACTTTTAGTTTTCCCCTCCTTCTTTCTGTAGAGCTTTCGTAATGGCGGACCAACAAGACGTCGATCTCGACTCCATCATCGACAGACTGCTCGAGGTCCGTGGCAGCAGACCCGGCAAGCAGGTCCAACTTCTCGAGACCGAGATCCGCTACCTCTGCACCAGAGCTCGCGAGATTTTCATTTCCCAGCCCATCCTCCTCGAACTTGAGGCTCCTATCAAGGTAGCTAACCTTTCTGACTTGTTCTGCCTTTCCTTTCTGACCCTTCTAGATTTGCGGTGACATTCACGGCCAATACTACGACCTTCTGCGTCTTTTCGAATACGGCGGTTTCCCTCCTGAGGCCAACTACCTCTTCCTTGGTGACTACGTCGACCGCGGCAAGCAGTCGCTCGAGACCATCTGCCTGCTTCTTGCCTACAAGATCAAGTACCCCGAGAACTTCTTCATCCTCCGCGGTAACCACGAGTGCGCCTCGATCAACCGCATCTACGGTTTCTACGATGAGTGCAAGAGAAGATACAACATCAAGCTGTGGAAGACATTCACCGACTGCTTCAACTGCCTGCCCATCGCCGCCATCATTGACGAGAAGATCTTCACCATGCACGGTGGTTTGAGTCCTGACCTCAACTCAATGGAGCAGATCAGACGTGTCATGCGCCCTACTGATGTATGTCTACAAGCCTTGTAATTGCAGAACTCTTACTGACTGGCTTCCTTCAGATTCCCGATTGCGGTCTCCTTTGCGATCTTCTGTGGTCCGACCCCGACAAGGATATCACCGGATGGAGCGAGAACGACCGTGGTGTATCTTTCACCTTTGGTCCCGATGTCGTATCGCGTTTCCTGCAAAAGCATGACATGGACCTCATCTGCCGTGCTCACCAAGTCGTCGAAGATGGTTACGAGTTCTTCTCAAAACGCCAGCTCGTCACCTTGTTCAGTGCCCCCAACTACTGTGGAGAGTTCGATAACGCTGGTGCCATGATGAGTGTTGACGAGAGCTTGCTGTGCTCGTTCCAGATTCTCAAGCCAGCAGAGAAGAAGCAGAAGTACGCATTCTCCGACCATCCTTTCCATATTATTGCATCCTAAATACTGACTTGATCTCGTACAGCAGGTTCGGTCGCAGATAGTGGAACATTGACGAGAAAAGGCCATTCTGTCCACTAGCAACACATTACATACAGCGCGGTTATCTTTGCATTCACTCTCCTCTACGCTTCACCGGATTCTCGCCTTTTTATGTCGTGTCATGGTGATGGTTGCTCTTTGTGCAGTTCTAAGGCCAGCCGTGATTAAATGGACAATCCGAGAAGAGAAAGATGAGCCAAAAGGGAGAGAGAAAGATGAAGGAGTCTTTGAGAAAGGAAAGCGATGATACCAGGGTCCCTCAGCCCAAGAGGCTTACTTCTTGCCGTCTACCGCCGTAAGCTAGCTCCTCTAATCAGGGCCACGACAGTTCTAGAGCCGAGTGGTTTTTCAGGAGCAAAACAAGACGGTTTGTTATGATAGTGGGGTGGAGAGAAAAGGGACCCTTCTTTTTTGGAATGACCCTCTGGTTCATTGCTTTTTGTTTTTCTTGTTGCTGTTGCTACTACTCATACGCGCTCTCCCGTCGTTTTTTTGTTATCTTGAATGTCATGGGGTTTTTTTCCTTTTTTTTTCTACTTGTGATTGCTCTACTGACCGACGGTCTCGTTCTTGGGTCTCTTTGAAAGAGATGATGCCTAGATTGTGTGTGCGGTGTGTTGACGGCATCAAGACTGCACTTTGTGAAGGTGTGATAGTAGAAAACATGTTCGAAGTAAGTTTATGGTTCGGCACAACAGGTAAGTACTCGACCATTGTGGGCACGAGAGATGACTTTCCTGTTGTTCGTTTCTCAGTGGAAGATGCAAGGGTTTGTCCACTTTGAAGCTTTGGTCACTGTTTTTGAGAGGATCTATCAGTGAATATGCATTGGGTGTTTTTTGATTATTGGTATCATGCAGAAGACACGCTTTTTTCTGATCTACTCCCAGCCATAAATGCACTCTCACAAACGCCAGGTACGCCAGATCCTTCCAAAGATGCTTAGCAAAACCATAACGACAACAGAAAAAAGAAGAAAAAACGACTATTGCTCGGTCTGCAAGACCATCTTTTCTCTCTCGCTCCTTCTCTTTGTCTCTCCCTTTCTGCTGTGCTTCCTCTCGTTTTCCTCTCTGCGCTTGATGGCTTTGAGTTCTTCGCCCTTGATCTCTGAGGCCTTTTTGACTTGCTTGGGCAAGTGTCTGTGACGGTGGATCCTTCTGATCTCAGGCATGTGCTTGTATCTCTCCACCAGTGCTCTATCGTATTCAAGCTGTTGACGCTGTCGTGCACTCTTGACGCCTTGTCGTTCAGAAGCGCGGGCACGCCATAAACGGATATTGCCATCGTCACTGCCCGAGAGAATGTAATTGTTATCTGGCGTCCACGCGGCGGAGAAGACGCGTTGCATGCGTTTTGTGTGGTACACGTCTCTACTGTGGCCTTCATTGCGTTTCCAAAGTCTGACACTGCGGTCGTAGGATGCAGACACCAGTTCCTCGCCTGTGGGTGAGAATTCGGCGTCCATTACTGCAGCCACATGGTCTTTTAGGACGTTCAAGGCGCGTTTTAGATTGCGCATGTCGAAGATGTAGATGTTGTGGTCTTCGTTTGCGACGGCGAGGTTGAAGGCTTCCATGGGATTCCAGGAGATGGCGTTGGAAGCGAGAGTCAAGATGGATTTGTGCAGAGGGGAAGAAGTGCGCATGTCGTAGAAGATGAGGGAGCGGTCGGTGGCTGTAGAAGCAAGGATGGAGGTTTCGGTCTGGTTGAACTTGAGAGCGGTAATAGTGTCGATGCTGTTAGGCCATTGTAGCGTCTGCAGGGGTGCAGAGTTTGGTCGGTTTAAATCGTAAATGCTGATCACTGACGAAGAAGCCGCAATAGCGGGTTCAGTACGGTGTTTAGAAACGGAGGTGAAAGCGGCAGGACCCAGATATGTCGACAGCGGAGCAGCATTGTTGGCTTGGTTGTAAGGGTCGTACATCTTGATACTTCTGTCACTGCCGCAAGACAGCAACTTCTTGTCGTGTGTCCAGCACATGCCCTTGACAATGTTTTCGTGTGCCTGTGCCTGCCAGATCTCTTCTCTTGTCGTCAAGTCCCAGACCTTGACTACACCGTCACCACTGCCCGAGGCAAATCGCTCGAGTGAGTTGGGGTCCTTGGCCATGGTGTATACTCCGTCGACGTGACCGCGGCCAAGCTGGGCCAGGAAGGGCTGGGCAAACATACGGTCCATCTTTGTCGCATTTAGGGCTCTGGTGTACTCGCGTGCTCGTTCAAAGGGGTGTAGTGCTGGATCCAGGTTGCGAGTCTGGCGCTGCACCGAGGTGCCTGGCGTCTGCTGCTGCGACGCAGTGCGAGTGAGGGCCTTGATTTTCTACGGGTCGCATGTCAGTCTGGATTTTCATGACGAACAGAACTCTGCGCATGTCCTTGCAACATCAAAGCAGAAGAAATCACATACCATGATGAAGGCTGCACTGTCGAGTTCATCAGTCGCCGAATCTTCAATGTTCCAAAAAAGTTATCGCCGCTGCAAGTCTACTCCGCATTCTTGGCACCTTCACATGTTTGACAGGGTCACAGTTTAACTTGGAATTTCGTGCTTATCATTAGTTATTGGCTTGTGGTTATGTAATTCTGTCTGCCTTAGTAGCCGCCATCGAGGTCGCTAGACTCGGTCGATGTTTCGCGGATGAATCGTTCCCACTCATCTTCAGAATCACACAGGTCGATAGGGCTGCTCTCTGGTCCTTCTTCAACCTTGCTTCTTGCTTTCTCTGCTTTGAAGCGCTTGACTACCTCGTATCCCAATGCTCCCGTCTTCCATGCAGTGCCACAATGGCCACACTCAATTGTGTCAGCTCTTGGACTGACCGTCGCCAATCTTCCACAGCGGAAGCATTCGATATCAGCTCGCTCATTTCTGCCTGGAATGCGCCGTGATAGCCACTTCTCTGGTGGATAATATTCATCTGAAGGAGGAATAAATCCACAATCCAGACTACATGGATCTGCCTGGATGCCCAATTTACGGGTCTGCTTGTTGCGTCGTCGATAGGACCTGAGTACTTTGTCCTGAAATTTCTGAGCTTTCTCCCTGCATTCGACTGCCTTGTCGTCTGCGCAATGAGGTCCCTTGTAGTTTGGACCCTGGACTACTTGCTGAAATGGCATCGTTCCTGCTGGTTTGATCTCCAGTGCTTGAGTGTCCAGCATCTTTTGACAGTCCCATAGTATTGGTGCAGGTTCTTCTTCCATGGGCGCCTTCTCAACGCTGAACTTTGCTGTAGTTCTCCTGTCAAACTTGGCTCCATCGTTACCAACAGAGAGCAGATTCAATCTGGCTGCATCTTCTCCTACCAACAGATGAGCAAAGTCTGGGCTGAATGCGCCTGACATGACAGCCGAGTTGAGCTGCACCACGTCGCGCACACGCTTGTCCGAAGCGGTGCGGTATGGATCCCAGCAAGCCACTACTCCGTCAGACGAACCAGTGTACAGGCGGTCTCGTTCAGAGCCCCAAGACAAGAAACGAATGCCTGTATCGACTTCCCACCTCTTCTTTTCGTGGGGCATGACGGCTAACGACTCTCCGTGCTTAAGCGTGTTCAGAGGCGATTGACCGTGTTTTGCAAAGCGGACATCCCAGATGTAGACTCTGCCCTCTGTGCTACCCACAGCAATGAGGTTGTTGTCGTGTGGAGAATAAACAACGTCGTTGATGTCCCACGCCGGGCAGTCAAGCTCCATGGTATGGTGAGCACGAGTCTGCTGCGGAGAGTAAAGGCGGACAATCGAATGGATGCCATGGCCAACGTGGCTCACTGGTCTGCTTGCCACTGCGAAGATGGATGAGTTACCTCCTGGATTTGGGTTCCAGGCAAGATCGAAAACATTCCTATTTGGCGCATCCGTTTCAATGCGCTGCTTGGTATTGATGTCCCATAGAGCAACCTCTCCCTCCTTGTCCCTGTGGTCATCTTCGATGTAGAAGATTTCGGCTTCCCTCGAGAATCCTGCAAGTAGGTAATTCTGGTGAACATGCGCCGAACCCCACTTGAGGGCGGACGGAGTCTTCTTAGCCTGCATGGTTCCCGAGAAGCAGATAGGCTCCGACAATGCGTCGTTGTTATGCGAAAAAACTTGAATCGAACGAGGGCCAGCAGAAGCACAGCCAGTAGCGATCAATCCACTATTGCTTACCGAAAGGAAGTCTACAGATGCTGGATGCTCGATCCTGTGAACTAGTGTAGTCTTTGAACCATCGACTCTATACTTGTGTAGATGTCGGTCGATGCCAGCAGAGTACATATATCTACTGTCTGGACTGAAAGCGACCATCTGTACTGTGGAGAAGAGTTCTTTCCGGCGTCCATCTGGCAGCGTGTGCTGTATTGTATGGTCCGGCAGCTCTTTTACATTTTGGGATGCAAGACTCCCCACAACGAGGTTACGAGGCTTATTGTAATCGATAGATTGCGCATCCGTAACAGCTACGGCACCTGCGGCAAAAGACTTGCCATCTGGCGACCATGCGATGGTTGAAACATCACCGGAGGCGTTATCCATGTAGGCTTGGGCTCCCATGCTGCCGTATACGAAATCTCGGACGCCTGCTTGGAACTTCCTCGGCCATTCTCGACCGCCAGCAGAGCCAAGTTCTCGATGTCGAACGAGAGAGCTCAGAGGTCGTACACTTCGTCTGCGGCAAGCCGAGTGATCTGCAGGTTCTGTAGGTTCGGCGCTATTTTCTTGATCTGCTACAGAGTCCACTGATTCCGTTTGAGCATGATTACGCCGAAGCTTTCTCGTTGGATGGAGCATTTCTGTCCTGTTGGTTCTTGTCGGTGGATGAGCTGTAGTGACTGGTGTATTAGCATCCTTCAACACCCTGGAGTACCTCGTTTGCATAGAATGCCACTTTCTTCCAGGAAAGAAAGGCTCAAATTCTTTCCAAGAAATTCTGGCGACTTCTTTCAGATGCACAATCAGAGCATCTTCCTCTGGGGTGAAAGGCTGTCCGTAGTTGTTGCTGAACGGTGGTATTTTCGAGATGTCTGCTGGGAAGGTGTATGCTGCTGGCCGTGTGTTGATCTCTACAGACTCCACGACTTCGTCTTGAGATGTGCTGTCTGCTCTGACTGAAGAGGAACGAGTGCGTCGAAGACGCTTCACTGGCTCTTCATCATCTGAATCCTCTGCAACTTTTCTCTTTTCGAGCCTTGGTGAGTTGTGGCTCGGAGGAGCACTTTCAAGGGATTTTGAACAGTCAGCAGCAGTCACGAGCTCGTCCTCACTTGAGGAATCGATCTCAATGACGCGAGGCTCATGTACAACAGGTAGAGGTTGTTTTGCAGGCGATAGCACCCGATCAGTCGAAGATGGCGGCATCTGTGGACTTGAGCGTGCAGCCATCGGCTCTTTGCGTGGCTGTGGCACTGCTGTTTTGAGTGAGGTGTTCACGGATGAAGATGACTGCATGGCAGGAATTTCTGAGGAAGGCACGATGCGTGACGGCACATCTCTTGATTGTGATGAGATTTCTTGAGGGTGGCCTCCAGTCTTTGTAATACCGTTCGAAGTATTCTGGAACAAAGCTCTGGAAGGCATGTTCAACGGTGGTGCGTCGAGTCGTGCGATGAATCTCGGTGCTGATGTAGACAAGGGTTGTGACTGTTTCACGGGCTCTTTGAACTGCGTAGGGTGCGAGGCAGCGGGCCCCATCGGACTTTTGGCAGTATTTGGCGGTGGCACATACTGTCGAATAACCTGGGTAGGTGGTGTTGGTGTTGGCAAAGGCTTTGCTGTGTGTGGCCTTGAAGAAGGTACTAATTGTTTTGCGCCAGGTGGAAGAGTCGGTCTCGTTGGCGCTGTCGAAGGTGTGGATCCACCAGACTTAGAGATGGCAGCCAGAAAGGCATTCGTCGCGGGATTCGCAATTGAGACAGGACTGTTGTAACGTGCTTGCGTTGGAATGGAAGGTAGCGGTGGCCGATGTGCGCTAAAGACTGTTGCATGTGGCCGAATGATTTCTGGTCGTGTAGGTGCTGGCTGCTTCGATGCTCGAGTGACTTTTGGTTGTGTGGGCAGTGGTTGGGCAGCCTGCTTGTGATCATTCGATGGTAACATAGGATGCGGTTTTTGGGCGGTGGGCCGGATTGTCGAAAGGTGGTGACCAGCATTAGACCTCAGAATGTTGGATGCGTCCTCGTCGGGCCTTTGCTTGCGCATTTCCCACAGGACTTCGATCTCATCGTCACTATCAGGCGTAATAAACCGCGAATCTGGTACATGCTGGACATGTCGTATTCTCTGGGATTCAAGCGGCGGTGGGCTGTCGTCGTTGCTGAGGTCGACCGTCACGCGACCTCGTCGGGACATCGTGAACGGGTCTGCGTTTGTGATAGTCGTTCCACATCGCCGTGGCAGGGAAGATATATGTCAACTCGCTCCCTTGCAAGAATAAGTGAATGTCGGGCGTTGGTTGTGGATTGCCAGAAGACGCGTTGTGGAGAGATATGACGCGCACGCGATTCACTTTATTTTATCCATGTCTCATTTGATACATTGAGAGAATAAGAAGGAAGCATCAAAGTATGCAGTTGGATCTTATATAGTCCTTCGTTCCATGTCCGGGTATCACTAGAATGCGTTCCTTCTCCCTTCACCTGTTCATTATTTTTTGCGTTGTCGCAAAGAGTACTACGACTTCACTTTACTTCACTACCCTATCGCAGGTCTGAAGCACCACCAAGGCTGGGTCTCCATATGGAAACTAATTTAGCCTGGTGTCTGGTGTGCTCACTGCTAGCCCCTCTCTGTTGTTCAGTGTTCAGACCTTTTTCCTCCCAGTCTTGTCACTTGCTTCGCATCGACCTGACTCAAGTCACAAACGAAGTTCCGAAAACTCTTCCAGCGACACGGGAGCCAACCATCCATAATCTCGTTGATAGGTTCGTAACTTCATGAACTCATGCCGGTAGCTTTTCCAAGTCTTCTCTTGAGCGAGTCGATCGTTTCTTGTGTTGTATGGCCCTTCTCCTTTTCGTCGCGGTTGATGCGAACAACGGCTGCAGATGCTCCAATGAACAAGGCAAAGGCTGGGTCGAGGTTCCTGTCGGATCCCATCAGTCACCCGTTTCGCATTGTGCATCCATGGCGGGTCACTACTGACTTTGAGATGATGTAGGCGTAGCGAGGGGCGGCCATGGCGGATCGTTTCTCTCGATGTATCCGGGAACTATGTCAAAGGACCACGGATGGTAGGTTATCGAACGATCAGTTTCGTACTTGCTTGCAAGGCTTGTAGACGCAGTTGTTGAACTTGTCGCGCTGGACTCGGAAGTTCTGCAAGCCGCGGCTACTTTTGGCTTCGGGAACGGCCCGTTTGAGCTGTCTGCTGATGACGCGCTAAGTCACGAAGCCGGAGATAAGCCCAGATAAGGCAGGGCCTCAATATCACCCTGATGGCCATCCGCCAGGTCCCATGTTGATGGTCTGCCTATTCTCGGACGTCGTCTGGTTCGATCAAAACAAAACAAGAGAGTCCACTTCTATGAACGGTCTTTCTCTCACAAGTATTGGCACGCTTCAGGCAGAGATGAACAGATCAGTTTACAAGGGGTTTCATTCAAAGCATGTGCATCTAAGCAGCTAAACGGAGGACGAGGCGCTGAGCGGTTGTGGTTCTTGACGAGCTCTGTCGACGTGACGAGCTACTAGTTCGTCCTGCTTGTTCCGTCCCTGTACTTGCATTCCTCCCTCAAATCATCCTTCCCCGTCGTGAGATTCCCAAAGACTCCGAAACTCCTGGTGATCCATGTAAGGATATCGTCGTGGCATTATGATAAGATGATAGAGTCGAGTGTAGTTCAAACGGCCTCGCCGAAGGTGTTCTCGCCCGAGTAACTGTGCAAAGTGTAAGCTCTTTGTCTTGTGAATATTGACATCGAGTCACATACGTGATGTAGAGGAAACCGTCCTCATCCTTGTGCTCTTCGTAGATACTGCTCATGAGGGCGGCGGTTGGGGGCAAGACCTCGTCGACGAAGATGAAGATGGCCTTCTCAGGCGAAAGCTTAATGCGCTTGCGGATCACGTAGACAAACTGTCCAACGGTGAGGTCGCTGGGGACCAGGTACTTCTTCTTGTCGATGGTGGCGATGTCCGACTTCTCGACCTTCTCGCAGATGACCTGTGTTGCCACGACGTCAGTATGAAGTCCCCAGCGACGCGACGGATTTGGCATAAGGGCTTACAGGAATACGGTCCGTGTACTTCTGGCGAATGCGCTCGGCCTCGGCCTGTAGGGTGTCAGTATCGCGTAATTCTCGGGGTGGTGATGCTGGCAGAAGAACGCACCTTGCGCTTCTCGAAGCTGTGATGGCGTGTTAGCGGTGACGTTCCTTGACCGCCTTGGTGTCAGGCAACGACTTACGGGTGCTCGTCCTTGAACTTGGATCTCATTCTGGCGATTTGGGATGGAGTGTTTGTGGTGGAGATGTAGCTGACGAAGGTTGTTGAAGGGACGTGGTGATAGCTAGGATGCAAAGGTGTTGGTCGGTAGATGAAGAAGGGAAGGAGGAGGGTAGTCAGGCGCAGGCTGCGATGACCAATGAATCGGATGCGGGGTGGAGCACAGACGAAATGAACGGTCGGTCACAAGCGTCAAGCTCCGTGTCTTATCTCCAACACAAAGACACCGCCCAAAGTGAAAGGATCGAGAATGACTCAATAGACGCATCAGTGAGGACAAAGGCACGTGTGAACATGTATTGTGCAAGATGATGGAAGGAGAAAATCACACGATCCTTTCTGCCTAGTGATCGGTATAGGTATCATTTGTTGGACTTTCATCATGCACCGCAACGCCATGATAGGTGACCCCAAATAGTCTTCAGACAGCCTCCAAACAAACGCCAACCTCCTCATAAAATCACAGAATCTACGTCACTGCGTCCGCCTCTCATCAACTATAGTGTTGCTGTAGGGAAATAGTACTGATCCCAGAGGAATTCATAATCCTCGATGATGCCACCAGCCATGTCAAGCAGTGGCTTGTTTCGGAGTTTGTTGGTCACTGCATGAATCCATGCTCTGTTCCGATTGTGTTAGCAGAGTCAAATCCGCATGCGACAAGACAATGTGAACGTACTTGGTGAAGGTCTCGTAGAATGCACCTCTCATGAGCCACCATCCAAGGCTCCAGCCTCTTCTCTTTAACTCCTCCTTCTCGAGTGCTGTCAACGCTCGGAGACCGCCTGCTCTGCGTTCTTGAAGATCTTTCTTTGCCAGTTGGCGTGCTCCATACTCTATCGTAACACCCAAAACCCAGGGTTGCCAGCTCTTCTTGTTCTTAGTGGCCCAGTAATACATTGCCGCAGAGTAGATGACTGGTCGAAGGATATAGAGGACCTCTGCAAGTTCGCCCATGCCATTCACCCGATGTAACAGAGCCTTCGGTGGCTTGATGTCGTCCGCTGTCAGAGCTTTGGACAATAGATAACCTGAGATGTCGGAAGAGGACGGCAGTGTTGGTAGAGAAAGTCCAGTTCTAGGCATTGTCCATTGAGTTTCTTCGGATTTTTCGGATGGTGGCGACTCTAATCCGCTTGCATCTTTTTCCTCCAAGGTGCTCGGGTCGGCCTCACGTTCGGGCAGAGGTGGGTTCAACAATGGCCGAGAGTTGGTCAGACGCATAAGAAGCAGCCTGCACATAGCCTTGACACTTTCAAGAAGAACGACAACTTTCCATCTCGCCTTCTCACCCCTTCTCTTTGCAGCCATCTCACACAGTAGCTCGGTATATTGTACTACTTGCAAAAGCGTGGCAAGTCGTTTGTAGGCTGGAGATTTCTGTGCCCAGAACCGAGTATAACGAGTATGCGGCGATGGATGGGGACGCTGTAATGCCGGTAGACGTTGAACTGCACGCGCGAGAAGGGAGTCATGGTATATAGAAAGTAGTTGGACGCTTGAGTGTACTGTGTTACAAGTTCAGCTCTTGTAGTGTGTGAGAAACAGCTGGTTCTTCTTACAAGATTCGGATGCAATTTCGGTGTCGCGGAACCGTCCTGAAATGTGTTAGGTCTTGAATCACTGAGTTCAGCGACTATCAATACCTGGTAGAATATAGGTCAAGGAGCGCAAAGCACCCTCAATCTGGCCGACGGCGCTGGCATTCTTGGTTACAAAGTCGCCATACATGCGCAAATACTTGGGAGGAAGTGCGAGCGCTTCTTGTGTCGTATGCGACACCTGTCTATACAGCTCCATGGTCTCAGAGCAAATTGCACCCTGGGGTTCCGGAACAGGAGAAAAGCAGGGAGTACTCGAAATGCATATGATCATGGACTTGTGGAGGAGCCTCGGCATACCCCAGCCAACCCGGGCTTGGCTTTTGATCAGCGAAGCGTCAAAGACAAAGTGGAAGCTGTTCTACAAGCAAACTCCTCCCTGCCTACACCCACATCGACGCGTTAGCTGCTCGAGCGCCTGTCGTTCATGGACTATCAAAACATGTACTCGTCTTTTGGCGACGAGCCTTCGGCTCAGAATCCACAAGACAACCCGGCCAGCTCGACTCCCAATTTCATGCAATTTGTTCTGTCGTCCTTTCCAAATCTCGCCCATCCTGGTCCCGCTCGCCAACCAACCTCTTCCGCGGCGACGGCTCAAAGACCGTTCCTAACGTAAGTCTATACAGATCCACGCGTTTGTTACGCATCCCAGCCAACGTGAACTGTGACAAGGCCTGCCAACTCAAACAACCAAATCTCTCAAAGCCCAGTGCACCAAGATTCTCCGACTGCCTCTAATGAACGTTCCACTACCACTTGGACCGAAGCAGAATGGCAGAAAGTATACAGGTAAGTAAGTCTCACAAAGAATTCAAGACTGCTGTATTCATTCGTTCATTCTAGCAACACACCTGATGGCGTTGCCGAATTACGTGCACGATGGGAAGCAGACCTCAGTCGTACTGAACTGCCTCCTCCACCACCTGAAGTGCATGCTACCAAGCAGGAAGGCATAGATGTCAGAGAACAATCTCATTATATTCCTGCGACGGATGATCCTAACAATTTTACAGGCTGTAAAAAACTTTGCAAAAGACCATGGTTATGTCCTGGTCATTGGTCATTCCTACAAGGATAAGGTGAGCATCTTTGTTTTTGCTGTGATTTATTGTTTTCTGCCCTCAACCTGACGTGTTCTGACACTACCTGCCCTGCTTTAGTTTGCTGCGGTACTATCTTAAAAGTGACCAAGTATGTTCTAACAGTTGACTGACTTGCAATTATAGAATGGCGAAACAAACAAGGTCTTGTTGACCTGTGAGATGGGCGGATACTTTCGCGACCATTTCAAGAAGAATCCAGGAACCAGAGTGCGCAACCGCATGAGCCGAAAGACTGGATGTCCAATGAAGATTCTCATCTCGAAGCGACGCTTTTCTGACGAATGGGTAACTGTCATCAAGGATCACAAGCACAACCATGGTGCCTACCGGGCCAAGGTTACACTCACTGCTTCTAAAATGCCCGAACTGGAGGATGCTTTGCATGAATGGCACATGGCCGAGATTGCAAGGGGCGAGGCAGTGCACGGTAACACACTCAAAGCCAGAGCACTGGCAATGTATGCCGAGATGCCACAATACCGCGGCAAGTCTCCGCCCAACCTTGACAGAGACTGGCTCGATCAATACCGTATGCGCTACAATCTGCCCGGCAAGGTAACAAGGCCACCGATACCAGGCATTGTTCGAGGTCCCAACAATCCCGAGCCTACGCCAATCAACGTCGAAGAGCAGATACCCTTGGAGCCCCCTGCTTTCGCCGACTTGGAAGGCATCTTTCCCTTGGAGCAAAACCTCTTCTGGCCTACCAAGCAGTTTGTCCAGGAGTACATGTCCCGCTACGACGCCTCGCACGACTTCAAGCACGTCACACGAGTCTTTGCCCTATCGAGACGCATTCTGGAACAGGAGACACAGACATTCCAAGGAGTTTCGTACGATCCCCAAGCTGTTCTTCTTGCGGCAATGCTGCATGATGTTGGTGATCACAAATATCACAAACCAGGAGAGAATCCAGAAAATCAGATTGCAGAGCATCTTTTGGAACATGGAGCAAGCCCAGATCTTGCAATGAAAGTCCAACTTATTGCTAAGAATGTGTCCTTCTCCAATGAGGTCAAGAATCCTCGCATGATGAAGGCGGTGCTAGACCAACATCCGGAGCTGGCCATTGTACAGGATGCCGACAGATTGGACGCGATAGGTGCGGTCGGTATTGGTAGATGTTTTGCGTTCGGCGCAGTCAAGCAATCAGACAGAGGATTAGACGGAAGCATAGAGCACTTTGTCGAAAAGCTCGAGAGGCTAGAAAACATGATGAAGGTTGGTGCTTTCGCTCGAGAAATAATGCGACATGCCGCTGACAAAGTACAGACTCACTCGGGGCGCGAATTAGCCAGAGAAAGGACGCAGCGACTACAGATCTTCAGACAGTGGTGGGATGAAGAGACATCGATGCAGGTTTGAGATGTGCAAAAGGATATGATTAGGGAAAAGGAGGCGTCTTTGAGGCTGTGGTTTATATCAGATACCCATTAGCATGAATAGTCGGGGAGAAAAGGGCAGCGGCATTCGCTGTGACTTCTCGGGTTTGAGAAGAACGAGAATATAATCCTTTTAAGTCACAAGATTGTTGTCGCAAGCAAGGTGAAGAAGGTGGAAGCTTCACCCAAACAAACGCCAAGTCTTCGGAGTTGGGAGCTTCGCCTTGCTCCGATGGACATGGCCATCGTCATCGCAATTGCACATTCACTTTCGTATACCCATCCCATCCTCTCTCGCCTGTGATCCGTCTCGACCATCTCATCGACGACACCGCACATACAATCCGCCATGCCATCAACTACCGCAGAAACACTCTCGCTCGTCAACAGGAACGTGTCAGTAGCGCCATTAGTGCTGCTCTCAGCAACAGATCACTACGCTCGTTCAGCAAAGGGCACACGCAAGCGAGTCGTCGGTGTCTTGTTAGGTCAGAATGATGGAAAGAACGTGAGGGTGTCAAACAGTTTTGCTGGTAAGTTGCCACTGCTTCGCTGTGCGCGCGACATACTGACAGTCGCCTCTCAGTGCCATTCGAGGAGGATGAGAAGGACCCGTCCGTGTGGTTCCTGGACCACAACTACATCGAGTCGATGAATGATATGTTCAAGAAGGTCAACGCCCGTGAGAAGCTGATCGGATGGTACCACACTGGCCCCAAGCTGCGCGCCTCAGATCTCGAGATCAACGAACTGTTCAAGCGCTACACGCCAAACCCCCTTCTTGTCATCATCGACGTTCAGCCCAAAGACGTCGGTGTACCAACTGACGCCTACTTTGCTGTTGACGAGATCAAGGACGTACGTTTGCACCCAACGCTAATCACTCTTTGCCTCAAGACTTACCAACATCACAGGACGGAACCACAACCGCAAAGACATTCGTCCACACACCCTCGACCATCGAAGCCGAAGAAGCAGAAGAGATTGGAGTTGAGCACCTGCTCCGTGATATCCGTGATGTTGCAGTCGGTACTCTTTCAACTCGCGTGACGTCGCAGTTGCAGTCGCTGCAAGGCCTGCATCACCGCCTGCAGGACATTGGCAAATATCTTGACAAGGTCGTCGATGAAGAACTTCCCGTCAACCATGCAATCCTCGGCAATCTCCAAGACGTCTTCAACCTCCTTCCCAACCTCTCAACTCCCAAGACCGCAAGTGCCATCGGCCTCGCTGGCCCACAAGCATCTGGCGACTCCGAGCTTGCCCGTGCCATGAGCATCAAGACCAACGATCAGCTCATGTCTATCTATCTCGGCAGTTTGATCCGCGCCATTACCGCCTTCCACGACCTCATTGAGAATAAGGTGCAGAACAAGCAACAGGCTGAAGACAAGGAGCAAAAGAAGGAGGAAGACAAGACAAAAGAAACCATTAAGAAGACTGAGAATCTGATGTTGAACGGAGACGCTCCAGCTGAACAGCAAGGAAAGGATGACAAGTCCAAGAGCCCCAAGGACGATAAGAAGAAGGGATGAAGGATCTGAGAACGCGCACAATCTACAGAGAAACATTGATCGTTCAAGGAGGTGTTGTTGTAGCTTGGTTGATACGAGAGAGCCAGCAGCGACGCCGTGCATGCATTGGGCGTTTGTAATATACCGAGGACGGAAGGGATACTATCAGAGGATGCATCTGACGCCAGTCGAGGAAACCAACTCGGGCGTCTTCTTGTCGCAAGGCTTCCAGATAACATGATATGAAAAGCAAATACGCCAACAACTGACCATCTTGTGATATTTGTCCATGTGTCTGCTTGATGCTCAGGAACTCAGCCGCCCCATCCTGCATTCCACCCTGCAAGCTCTTCCACACTGACCATCCTCGTCTTGACATACCTTTCAAAGAGCCCTCCCCTCTCTGCCAACACGCAAGCAAGCAAATGCTTACACAACGGCACATTCTTGCCCAGAGACAAGCCCCCAACCATCCACTGTTGCTCCTCACCTTCCCCTGCCACAAACTCATCATCCCCTTCTTCCTCATCCGTAGACGCATTCGCCGGAAAAGCAGAAAATGCGAAAGCAGGACACGAACAACTCCAACTCGAAGTTCTAACCTCATAATGCGTGCTCGCAGCCACCGGATCCCTGAACCGAGAATTCGAGGACGTTTGCTGTGCTGAACGGACGTAATAGACTGCATTCTTATAATCCTTATCCACTTTGAATTTGGTGGTTGTGTCGTCTGAAAGGGTGAAGACTTCTTGCTCTGAAGTTGTGCTCTCAGTTTGTCGTCCAGTCTGTGATTGTATTGGTGGCGTTGGGGTTGGAAGAAATCGAACTACTAGGTCTCGGTCTAGCAGATCTAGTGCCGATAGTAGTTCGTTTGGAAATAGTACGTGAAGGGTTAAGAGAGTTGAGCGGTCTGTTGGAGAGGCTTGTTTTAGAGGGTTGGCTTGTGGTGTGGCTGTGGATGTGGTTGTGGTTTGTGATGTGTTTAAAGATTGAATGAGTGATGTTACGAAGGCGCGAGATTGTGGGAGAGTGGTGTCATTATCATCGTGTGTATCCATCTGGATGTTGTCTTTGCGAGATTGTGAATTGAACTTGTTTTGTTAGGATGGTCGTGATGGAATTGTTGTAGATGTGGTTGGTATTGAGATTTTAATCACCTTCGTTCTCAGAATGGATCGAGAAGCCTCACATACCACTTTCTGGCGATCCTTACATGTTATATAAGAGAAAGGAGTACTTCATTGTCCACATCATGTCTTTAGTCTCATCGTTGAAGATGATATGGCTGTTTTTGGAGCATTACTCGATACGAACAGGGTCGTATATACAGCATCCTTACTTGGCAAGAATAAAACCCGGTCATTGTATATCTGTGCCGACCGACGAACGTCACGAAACGATTGCAATGGCGGAAGACATCTGTAAGCCCCTCTCATGTGACCATATGTTTTTGGGATATCAGGCTCTGTCTATCTTGCGAGAGATAACAGTCTTCAATCGAAGCTCCAAGATGACAGTAGAGCCACATTCTACCGAATATACAGATGATCGCTCATGATCTCCCGGCATACAGATGACCAGTATCACTTGAGCTAGCCATGGTCCTCGTATCTATTGCTTTTGTGAATTGATGGTACTATAGGAAGATCATCTGGCAAGAAGCAGGTTAGCAAGCGGTCACCATACGATACCCTATAGCTGTATCAAGTTACATCGGCCGATACAATGCTATGGGCTGGATAGAGCGATACAGAGTTAGCTTGTAGCCGAGTATGTTCAGATGACAGGCGAGTAACCACATGTTACGGTGGTTCGCTCGCTGTACGTGTACATGCACACGAGGTCCACGATAAAAGTATGCGGCCCGCCCGGCGCAGGGCCACCGGATCTGCATTGATCTGCAGCAACAGAACGACATGTCGATTAGGAAACTGTAACAATCTCCCCCATTCTTCTTCGAGCACGCATTGGAGAGGACCAATTGCTTGAAGGCAACTGGTAACTTGCTTCTTCTCAACCCTAACAGTGTTCGCTGTCGCTGCCCATAGCCGTCATGACTAGAGATACGGCTATCCGATGATTACTCGCATCCGCTGAAGTCATGAGCCGAAGACCTGCATAGGCCCTGCTGTCTGCTGCAAAGAACCGTGCAGATGATCACGACTAGACCGTGATTGGGTTCGAAGCAGTGCAATATAAGAGAAAGTCACGCACTGGTTTGGATGTGATCCCGTGAACGAGAGCAGGTCTCTTCGGCACGAGATTGTTTCAGAAGTGGTGTTCACCGGCACGGTGGTCCAGGCTGAAGGCTATCGTCAACCGACTCGGCCAGAATCCTCGAATAGAGACTGTGGATACAGGTCGTATATTATACCTTGCTACTGTTCAATTCGGTGGATGTGACTTGATTTGGTGCTATCGTCAACACAGGAGAACCTATGCATACGGACGTATCAGCGAAAAGGTCACCGGCCGACAGAATAGTAGCCTGTAGAATGCCGTGTGACCGTCGTTCAACAAGAAGAAGAGGCGGAAGCGGGTGGCCACAAGATGAGGGGTACCTTTCCAAGGCGTGGGGTGTGCGCCACAATCGCGCCGTTAATGCAGCAGATACCAAAGATACCAAAGTCAATTCGAGAAGGCTATGACTTTCACATGTCAGAATCGCTCGCGACAATGACTCCATAATGCATGAGCTCATGGATCAGTCGGCCACTTGATGGTTGATAGTGGGGGGTCAATTGACGATGAAGACATGGTTTTCTTGATGCACACCCACGCTCGACAGCCTCAAACAAGGCATTGAAATGCTGACGGCCTAATTAGAGTAGGATTATCATCCATATCGAGGCATTGAAGTCACTTGCTTGGCGGGGTGTGCAAGAGGGGGGCATGTTGGTCTCGCCGAACGCAGGCAGAATCCCGCTCGGGCGAATGCGTGATTGATGCTTGATCTGATGGCCTCTCCGCCTGATAAGCGGACAAATACTACCTAGGCGCTTGCCTACATCTGCCCCCTCTCAACCAATCTCGATCGCGCAGAGAAGGAAGAGGAAGCGCCGAGGCGGTGCGCTCAATCGCGTGTAGTTCGTCTCTGACCGAGAGCAGTAGCTCCATGCCTTTCTAGCCGGATTGTTGCCCAATGGGCGGGATCAATGGGCTGATACAGTCAACGCCATTCCTTGCGATTGTCATACCTCAATGGTTTCAGACGGTAAAGTGTTTTAAGCCGTGAACGAATATCAAAAACAAGCGGGCAAGAGAGGGGGTTTCGTGTTGAGCCAACGCAGCGATAGGGAGAGAGTTCGACAGCGATGGCAGCATCATCGTCGGTGAATGAATAATGCGACTCGCAGAGCCGCAGACGGAAAAGGCTTGGTGCAGGGTCCGGAGGCGGAGTCGAGCCGAAACCAAGAGGATGACTCAAACTTGGAATCACGACAACACAACCAACGCTTTGCGCCGCAAAAAGTAGCAGGCGGACCGGACTGCCAGAGGAGCAACATGACAGTCCACAGCCAGGTGAGCGGTGATTGATTTGGTGCAGCGCACTCGTAAACTAGCGCAGCCGCTTATTCGTTGGCCAATTGCTCTTCTGCTGGGCGGCCATTTGCCTTCTCTCATTCGAGCAGCTTCGATCTTCCGCGTTATTCCTTTGCCGCATCTATTCGTCAGCAGACCCTAGGTAGGTACTGCTGCCTGTTCGCTCTTGCATGATCAGTGTCTTACCCGGCCATATCATACGGACTCACCCCCCTTCCCCATATCTTCACAAGACTTGCTCCTTGCAACCCATTCATATCCACCACGGGCGCATTTTCTCCATTACATTTCCATTGGTCATCCTCGCGTGCTTGTCCACCTCAAACACCCTTGATAAGACTGGTCAACCAGTCCTCGAGCAATTGACTCAGCAGGCAGCGACTTTTAAGTGCAAAGCTTAAACTGCACTCAATTGCGTCGGATTTAGTCTCATCTTGCTCCGAGGACGTACATATTCACCCTTCGCCACTATTCTTTCTTCTCTTACCTCTGTTCTTCTTGTCTACACAGAAGAACTTCCCACCTATCAATTGGAAACTCATCTACACAACCATAAGAGCATTGGTTCCGATTTTGAGCCAATGGGTTCTGCTGCGTTCAACTCACAGTATTCCTACTTGAGGGAGATGCAACAATCTACCAGTAATCAAGCGGACGTGATGGCATCAAAAATGACCAAGGGCAAGGCTCCCGCCACCAGCGTCTATCCTTCTCCAGCAGACGAAATCAACCACACGTTTCCTCTGGCCTCTTCACCCGTATTTGATGATCAACTTGTCGCTTCATCAGTGCGCAGAGAGAAGATCACATTGCCACCCATTAGCAGCCTTGTCCAGCAGATGCCATCGCCATCAACATCTCCACAGTTGCCGCTCGCACACTACAGAAGCCCTACTGACACCCTTCTGACATCACCAAACAAGTTCAACAGAAGCCAAGATGCTCCACTGTTCCCCGATCAACCAACGACTTCTGATGACATTGCAAGACCGCAATTTCTCTTTGGCAGCGCTGTACGACCGCTTCAGTCTGTCGCTCTATCCGAGCAAGACCAGCAGCGATTCGCCCCATCAGAGCAACACAATTTTGATGGGATCACTGCGCCACAGCAACATCTTAGCAGCGTTCCTCGACCTGTTCCAATTGAGCCTTCTGTTCAAGTCGAACCCATTCAGCGTCCTGTGCAGAACAGGAGCAGTGCTAAACATGGTGCTTCTATGAGACCATCATATGCACCTGGTAGGAAGCCAAAGCAGAGACAGACTCCGTTTGACATCCATATGCGAAGACCAATCTCTCCAGGAACTCCGAGATACGGAAGGAATGATCTCTGGGCCAGGCAGATTGCTGATCCTGACACATATGTCACACCGATTCGTAATGAATGGGCTGAGTATCTCAAGGCCACAAAAGCCACTCTACCTGAGCCTACTTTTCCAATAGCGACACCTCCAGGTGTCCTCGCTGAGCTAGAGCGGATCTCACCTGCCGACGCCGCTATGTTCATCAGAAATCACCATCACCATGATAAGCGCAAAGTCGACAGTGGTGTCGAGATGCCACCACCCAAGCGCACAAGAAAGACATCTGCTAGCAAAGCACCCCAGAAGGCTTCGGTCTCGCCTCGTGAGGCACCCCTCGATGTGGCTGACAAAAAGTTCAGACGCCGCACGAACGACGCAAACAAAGCAAAGACACCAGCAGACAAAGTTGCACGCAACTTCTTGATCTATCCTGACTACTGCCCACCTACATCGACACTGGATAGCGATCAGGTGAACTTCCCAAACATCGAGTGGAAGGCAACGCCACAAGATGTGACCGACCACGAGGATTGCCACCTCCTTCACGCCAAGGAGATTCCAATCGTGTCGAAACTTGTTTTGACTCCGTCAGATTACATCTATATCAAGCGTCGCTTTTTTGCCCATCGTCTTGCGTACGCAAGAAAGGGTCAATCCTTCAATATCAACGCGGCTCAACTTGCTTGTAAAGGAGCGGATGAGTACGGCATAACCGGCATCGATGTCAACAAGACCAGCAGGCTGCACAAGGCTTTTGACAAAGTTGGCTGGCTTGACGAGAAACATATGCAGAAATACCTGTGAGACTTTCCGTTCCAGTCTGCTTGTTCTTACTCAACTATTTTTCCGGTTCATGGTTTCTTTCTTTTCTGGTTTCTCTCTTCTCTATACTCTCTTTATTATTTCTGTCCTACGATACGACTGACAACTGGATTCACGAACGACTATGCACCTTGATGACACTCAAGCGGATATATGGGATGGAAGGAGCATGGGACAATGGTCAGGCCAGGCGTTCTGATTTTCTCAACTCGGGATTACTCTACTCAACAGTATACGGCGTTACAGGTACTAGGATAACTCTCGGGCTCAGCACTTAGATAGCATCAGAAGCAATACAGCTCGCCATTGATTACAAGATTGACAAAACTCCGTAGTAACGTACTTGAGTTGATTGACATTTGCATGTGAAGACAGTGTGACGACGACGTGGTGAAGTCAAACAAAAGCCAAAAATAATCAGGGGGGCGGAGCCGGAATGGGCGGCTCTTGCACAAGCCGACTCGGACGAGGAGGTGGTCACCGGTGAGCACGGATGCTGCATTGCGACGCGACCCTTTGAAGCGTGGGTTGGAGAGGCTAATTAAGTGAATTAACTTATTGTTGCTGCTGCTTCTCGCATCATCGCGCGCAGACACACAAATGGATCAGGACTCGATACACTCGCAGGAGGCGCAGGCAGCACAGGATGGCAAGAAGGAAAAGAGCAGGAGACCGCCCAGTAGGTCCCCCTCTTCCCGGGCGACTCGACACTGCAGCGAACAGACATTGACCATGACAACATAGACACGGCCTTCCGACAGCAGCGCTTGAAGGCCTGGCAGCCCATCCTCACCCCCAAGACGGTGCTACCGCTGTTCTTCGCCGTCGGAGTCATCTTCGCCCCGCTAGGAGGTCTGCTACTATGGGCGAGCTCGCAGGTCCAGGAGATGTCGATTGAATACCAGCACTGCACACGCGATGCCACCAACGATTTTACCACCATCCCCTCAAAATACGTCTCGAGCCACTTCAAGAATGCCACTACCCCCTCGCAAGTTCCTCAATGGCGCACCCGCAACCAAACAATCGCCTACCATAACGGCCTTGTCAACATCGACACGCCCATTTGCACCCTGCGCCTCTACATCCCTGACGACCTGTCCCCGCCCGTCCTCCTCTACTATCAACTCACAAACTTCTACCAGAACCACCGTCGCTATGTCAAGTCGTTCGACCAGGATCAGCTCAAAGGAGACTTTGTTGATAACAACACCATCTCCAACAGCGACTGTGACCCCCTGCGTCTTGGTGAAGACGGTAAGGCATACTATCCTTGCGGTCTGATCGCAAACTCGCTCTTCAACGACACCTTCAGCTCTCCACGCCTGCTGAACGCGGGCAACGACGCCGAGGCCGTCAACTATACTATGGTCACAAATGGTACCGCATGGGCAAGTGATCGCGATCTGTACAAGCAAACCTCCTACACTGTCGATCAGGTGGTCCCTCCACCAAACTGGCGCATGATGTATCCCGAGTACAGCAACGATATCCCTATCCCAGACATCCATGAGTGGGAAGCGTTCCATGTATGGATGCGCACCGCCGGTCTCCCTGCCTTCAGCAAGCTGGCCCTGCGTAATGACACTGCCACCATGCAAAGTGGTCAGTACGAAATGGACATCTATGACTGTGAGCAACGCCTGCTTAGCATCCTTCGCCGCTTGCTGACCACGATCTAGATTTCCCCGTTAATGAATACCACGGCACAAAATCCGTCCTCTTCAGTACTCGCACCATCATGGGTGGCAAGAATCCTTTCCTCGGCATTGCATACATTGTAGTTGCTGGTGTCTGCATTGTTCTTGGTGCCTTGTTCACGGCAACCCATTTGATCAAGCCTAGGTATGTTATTTCACAATGGCACTTCGCAACCGAATTTTCTGACTCTGAAACTAGGAAACTCGGTGACCATACCTACCTGAGTTGGAACAACGATCAACCTAGTACTGCTACCACTACCGGCAGGGCCTAGTGTTTGTTCCTTTCTTCTTGATGCTGTTCATGTGTGTATGCCGTTGAGCTGTTTTCTCTACTGTATATGGCGTTTGGAGGGGGAGGCTGGCTGGCGGGGTCTTCAATTACTCTCTATCATTCTCGAGACAAAATACTCGAATCAATTGCTTTCGTTGTTCTTTTTGCAACCTACCACAGTCGAATATGACATTCGTCCAAAGCAGCCTTTGACCAATTTCAGCCTAATCAACTGAGTGAAATGTTTGAGTTGAATCATCAATTGCCTCGGATTCAGAGGCTGTGCGATGGATTTATGAATGCAACATTGGTAGAGCTTGTTTCGATAACAAATTTTGATGCACAAATGGATAGTTTTCTGAGAACCGATTCGAACATCTCACCATGCCACCAAGAAATGGTTGAGTGAAGCAAATTCTGTGCTGCGGTCATTCGAGCATCCGAGGTTATGACATGAGTGAAGAAGCCTTGAACCCTGAAGAGAACAATGACGGTGGCGCGCGCTTGGACCACCAGATTCATGGACAGGGTCTCGAAAGAAGCAGCCCTGTGAATCACAAACTCTTAGGAATGTCACTTCAGTAAAACACACAATTATTTTCATCTCTGGTTTGTCAGATGCTCAGGTAGAGCAGCTTGTCGAAGATGGAGTCCGAGTCATCAAAGCGTCGCTCGATTCGTCAGGCTATAACCCGAAAGCGAAGTTTGTACTTGGACCCGGATACGGATGACGACTTCGACATTGCCGATGCTCAGGATTCCCCCAGCGAGCATATCGAATTTCCAGAACCTGAGCAAAAGCGACCAAAGATAGCCAAAAAGCGAACGAGCAAACCATCTCCAAGAGAAACCAGGTCTGCCACGAAGAAGCCTGGTCAAAAGAAGTCGCCACCCAAACGCAAGACTAAGCGTGCCTCGAAGCCCACAAAGCAAGCTGCACCTCTTGTACCTGTAATTCCAAGTGACGGAGTAATACCTAAGTGGCATACTCTCCCCTACGAGATTCTGTTACAAATTTTCAGTTATGCTTTCGCTGCCGAGCTTGAGCACGAAACAGGTGGTGTTGCAAGCCGAAGAGTCCATCATCCGAACACATGGATTATGAGAACCGCTCGAAAGGTCTGTCGAGCTTTCTCAGAGCCAGCTTTGACAGCTTTCTACAGAGCTCCAAATCTTCTGGCATCCCGATGGCTTGAAGACTTTTCTACCATCATCAAGCAACCTAATGATCAGCACTTGTACTCGTATAATATGAAAGTCACGAGCTTGGAAGTGTCTGCTCGCAATCTGGAATCCTTTGCCAGAGTGTCTACATCATCTTTTGCTGAGACTGTGTCAAAGTTACCACGACTTTCTTCATTGATTATCACGCATCAGCTGGACGAACCACCATTCGAGTTCGAAGGTCGATTTCCTCGATGGAAGTATCCTCAGGAACTTTTCGAAGCGCTCGATTGCAACAACAATCACCTTGAATCTTGGAGATGGAACATACATTTCGCAGAGCAGCAAGATGGAAAGGCAGAGTTTCAAGGGTAGGTTGGCGACCAAGTGTACGTGAGTAGAATTCTGTTACTGACACACAAACAGATTTACTGAGTTCTTAGCTCAAGTCCACAAGAGACCTTCTTTCCAAAGCCTGCGTCACCTGACCATCTCGCATCTCCCACCCAAGACAGGAACACTAGATATTGAGGAGGAGACCGCTGCAGATCTCGCTTTCGGCAAGGTGTTTGCTGATCTACCCAACCTGGAAACTTTGTCTTTCGAAAGCTGTGATCGTATGTCTGAACACATCTTGCTCCAGCTACCACGTAACCTTAGGATTGTCAAATTCATCAACTGTATGCTTCTCGATTCGGACATGCTGAGCACATACTTGAACAGCCATGGTCATTCGTACGTTATCTTCCAATGCACACCTTCTCCACGGACATCGCTGACAAACAATTCAACAGGATTAAGGAGCTGGTTCTTGATCACAACCCTTTCCTCGACCTTGCATTCTTTACAGGCTTGCGCACGTCTTGTCCACAGCTCAAGTCGTTGAAGATGGATTTGTATGATCACAGAGAGAATCATTTTCGCCATTTCGGAGAGCCAAAATACGAAAACCTGCTACTCGAGGACGAAATCCCAACCTGGCCGTCCACTCTCCAAACCCTGGAGCTTGTTCATTTGCAGAAGTGGTGAGTCAGAGTATCTAATCCTATATTTGAATAACGCTGAAACAGTTCTAGGGGTGCTAATGCTGCACAAAATCTCTTCCGATCGCTAGTAGAATCTGCTGAAAACCTACCCGACCTTCGCAGGCTAGTTCTGCAAGCTCACATCAACATATCATGGCGAGACAGAGCAGCATTCAGAGACCAGTGGATCGAACGTCTACGCCGAGTATATCAGCGTTATCCTCAAGACCCTGATCCAAAGCTCGCGTCCCTCAGAGCTTTCAGAGAGTGGAAAGACGTCCAGGCTGCTAATGCTGCAGCAAAACTACGTCGCTCGCTGAGCCATGTCGAAATCATTGTTCGCAAACCTTCGTTGACTTCTCAAACTTCACAGGCCTCAGATGACGAGCCTCTGGCCAAACGTCGCGCTAGACGTGTCATCAAGCCAGCCTCTCCACCACCACTTCCCAGTCCGCCAGTGACGAACAAGTCTCGTGGTCGCCGCAAGCGTGGTCGCAGAGGCTCTGATGCCATATCGGTCGCTTCTGACGACAGCAACAAAGAGGGCGAAGAATGGCGGCACACGCCTGAGCGTTTTATCCAGGGACTCTGCAACGTTGTCGACGTTCGAATTGACAACCAGCGGCCACGTGAGGAGCAGTTCAACGAGTCGCACTTCCTGGACTCTGAGGCCAGTGGTGATGAGGAATGGACAGAGGGTGCAGAAGCCGATGAGGATGGCTATGCTTGGTAGTTATCGTTGTTGACGAACTGATTTATACGGCGTACCGGGGGAGTCGGAACTGAAGGACCAGATTGCTAAGATACCAAGGTGGGTTTGGTGGATGGGAGACTGGCGCTAAAGTTGCTTTGAAGCATCATGTCCTTGACCTGAAATCCTCAGATAGCTGTACCTGTTCAATGTTATGCTATCTGTTCGGTGCGTGGTGTATTTTCATGTGTCTCAGGTGTATGTAACACAAGACATATTGGCACAAAATTCGAGCAAAATTTCATTGCTGCTGTAGCTCAGTGGTAGAGCGTGGGATTGCAGTTTCTGCAACTATCCTAAGGTCCGTTGTTCGACCCAGCGTAGCAGCTTTGCTTTTTGCCATTTTCCTGTGCAGCAGCACATTATCGTTGAGGCTCAATTGAACAGGATGCAGCCTCAGCTGAGCTTCTTCTGCTTCAGAAGCCTCAATTTTGATCCATTGAAACAAAAAACATTCCCGTTCCATGAACTTTATGAGGCACTGCACAAAGGCATGACTTTGGCTGATGTCTGGCTATCAAAAGCAGAGAAAAAGTACACCGTTTCTTTGTTTGGCAAAAAGCGGCAAAAGAGAAAGCTGCTACGCTGGGTCGAACAACGGACCTTAGGATAACTGCAGAGACTGCAATCCCACGCTCTACCACTGAGCTACAGCAGCTTTTGGAACCATATCCAATCCATAGTCAATAACAAACTCGCTGCGCATCGGAAGCTAGAGGCAGTTGCGATCCAAACACAACGTCACAAACCAGACCAAGTCGCAACAACCACAAGAATTGGAAAGAGTCACCTGCACGAACGCAAAAGAAGCCACGTCTGTGTTCGGACTCTTTTGACAGCATAATCCGCACCACCAATCTCATGGCACGATAGCCACATACCTTTGCGCAAAACCCCATACCTCCACCTCCATCCACAATGGCATCAAGGTATACATCTCCTTCTGCCCACCACCCACCAAACCACACTCAAAGACTAACACTCCCACCCACCTCCACAGATTCCACCAACGCGACACCAACCGCTCCTCCCTCTTTTCGGGCTACGACCAACGCTCCTCGCGCCCAACCTCGACATCGCCAAACCCGTACGCGGCAAGCAACGGCTACAACATCCCTTCTTCTTCCTCTTCAAACAACACATTCTCTGCATACCCGGGAAGCAACCCAGCCATAGAAAGAAACAGCTCTGGCGCGAGTTTCCGCACAGCGACGCCAGATAAACGCGGTGCGTTTAGCGATGCAGTGCTTTCGGAGTTGGAGTCGCAGAATGATGAGCAAGTGTCGGAGATGAGTAAGAAGGTTGGCATGTTGAAAGATGTGAGTGACAGTCTCCAATACCACGAGTCGAAGGAGAGTGAAGTTGCTGACTGCGTATGTATTTCTACAGCTCACTCTGCGTATTGGCGATGAAATCCGCGACTCTACCGCGCTGGCGGAAAAGATGAATGATCAGTTCTCGAATACGAGTAATAAGCTCAAGGGAACTATGAATCGCATGCTGCGTATGGCGCAAAGCACGGGTGTGGGTTGGAAGGTGTGGCTCATCTTCTTTGCCTTTGTCATTTTCTTGTTCTGGTATGTCTGGTTGTTCTAGACATTGTCCACAGACGAGAGTGATCACGCAGCTTAGTTGGAGACATGATTTGGTCTTGATGTTTGTTTAGCGAAGGCGTTTCTGGGAATTCTTCCTCACGCTCTGTACAGAAAACCGAGGACGATATGGTTATGAGGGAAAGACGACTTGTAATATGATGATAATGGGGGTATCTTCGCTATAACGAGTAAAAGAGACGAATGCAAGAAAAGGTTCATAAAGAACAGAGCCATCATCTCTGGTAGGGTCTGTGGCCGGCAGATCTCAGACGGCCAACGGGTGCAGGACTGCTAGTAACGAAAGAGCTGTCGAGCAGCGAACTCACGTCTCTGCTCAACAGACTGCTGCGACTGTGTGGCATGACTGGTGCCATGATTTCGCTCTGCTCCTCTTCCTGCGGTTCCAATTGACTCTGCTCTTCCTCTTCCTCGTCCTCGTCCTCATCGTCTGAGTCCGAGTCTTCAAGCTCGCTGTCAGTGTGTTGATAGCTGCCAGCCTCTGGCACACTGTCATCCAAATCCCTTTCAATGCCTAGATCAAGCTCATCTTGGGCCACACCCGTCAACTCTGCCTCCTGCAGATGGCGATACCGTTCCTGCTCTCTAGACTCCTCGTCCAAAGCAGCCATACTAGTATCCGCAAACATACTTTCCTCGTTGAAAGTAATGTCCTCAGCAACAGGAATCTCGCTATGCATCTGTGACAGCATCTCCGACTGCAATTCACTCTGCATCTCTTCCCGTTCTTCCTCATCATCTTCTTCTTCATCCGAATCTGTGATATCCTCCTCATCCTCGTCTTCCTCTTCCTCTTCCTCACCATCAGCATCGGGAATCTCCTCATCCAAATCTCTCTCTTGCTCTTCCTCTCCTTCCGCTGCTTCCTCAGCTTCCGCAGCTCTATTCCTCGCTTCCTCGGCTTCTTGCTGTGCTTGCATATCCATCATCATTTGTTCTCGTCTCTGTAATGCTTCTTGCTCTTCCCTCTCGGCTTTTTCTTCAGTCTCGGCTTGTAGTGTTTTTGCTACGCCTGGTGGCTTGATCCAGCCAGCGCCAAAACGGCGGATGTTGTGTTTGCGGTGGGAGATGGCTTGCTCGTCGGCGAGGAGTTGAGCTAGTGATTGGCGTGTTGGTGCAGAGGTTTGTTGGGAGTTCTGACGACGGGATTGTTGTGCGACATTGTTGTCTGCCGCATTGGATGGGTCGTTGGTTGGTTGTGGGCGCAGGTGGGGTGAGAGGAAGAAGGAGTATTCCTATTGCATCTTAAGTGACCACGTCTTCGAAGAATTGCAGGTTACTTGTCGTACATTTTGTGGCGCCAGCAGAGGTAGCGATAGCATCTTTGCGTTGTGGTTGCTGTGTTGTTTAATGTTTGATTTATCCAAAAGATGGAGTGTTTTGACATGTGCTTTCCCCACACTTTCTCACTTGAGCCTCCACCTCACTCAGGATTACTCTATAGTGCAACATGATCCCTCAGGACATAGCAACCAAAACAGCTTGTTCAATTTCATTGCACAGTGTTTGGACACAATGAGGTCGTCGTAAATTACATTCCATTACTTTTGATTATTAGAGAAACTTCTTCTACTTCAGTCTTTCCTCCTCTCAGCATGAACCAGCCCATGCTTCATCACTTCTCGTTGTGAGACCATCATAGCCTCAGGCGCCATTCCTGCATGCCGCAGGGCCACTATCCACAATGAGCTTCCGCCTGACCGGAGTAATCATCATCCATAAAGTCGTCAGAGACGAAGCGTTTGGCGTCGCGCTGAAGTAAAGGTTCGGGCATGTTTCAGCTCCAACCACTCACTCTGCTATTATTACAAGTTCAGAGAACTATTAAAGGCCGTGCTCGGCGAATTTCTTGATGTCGTTGATTTGGCGAGACAGGCCAGAGACGATGCGCAAGGCAGGGTCCTGAGCGTTGTTCTCGGCAATTGACATGTATGCTCCCTGCATACGCTGCTGAAGAACATCCATGATCTTAGGTGCCACCTCTCTGATCTCAGGGTCGTTGAGGTTGATGGTTGACAGAACAGTGCTCAGCCAAGAGAGTCGCTCGTCCACGTGCTGCTCGAACGATGAAGTCAGCGCGGCCGAAACAGAGAGCGACACCAATGGGCTGAGCCTCTGTAGGTATTGAGGATTGATGCGGACAAACAGCTTGTCGAAGAGCTCGCCCTGACGCTCAGACTGAAGCCACTGAATGGTTCCCTCCTCGTATCTGCCCTGGGTCATCAGGGCTGTTATGCCGTCCAACTCGGGATCTTCGATAGAAGCCACGACATCAGCCTCAGTAGAGACAGCAGAGCGTGCTGAGTTGTCACCAGTAATCTGACGCTGAAGCTTGAGAATCTGCTCCTGGAAGGCTGACTGTCCAGCGGCCATCTCGTGGATTGTCTTTGACAGTCCAAGAACCAGGTCCGAGAGTTGCTCGATCTTGGCGTTGTCCTTCTGGCGCTGCACCTCAGCTTCGCGGAGCTGCTCGGTGAAGCGGCGCTCAACATCGGCGACTGCCTTCTTTGTCGAGGTTTGTGCGAGGTTTGTGAAGTTAGGAACAATTGAGTTGCGCAAAACAGTGGCGAAAGACTGCTCAATCTGAGGGGCGAGCTTGGAAGCGGTCTGTTCAGAGATGACGCGCTGGAGTTCCTTCTCCTGCAAGGCAGCAGCGATGGCGGAAGCCAAAGAGGCCTTGAGCTCGCCGGGGACAATCTTAGCGACATGTTGAGAGACTGCGGCGGTAAGCTTCTCGTTCAACACAGTGGAGCTGGTCTCAACAATGGCAGGAACAACGCTGCTGGTAATGTTGGTAGCGATGATCTTGTTGAGAGTCTTCTCGACATTGTCGGTCAGAGTGCTAGACACAAGGCGCAGGACGGCATCTTGCTTAGCAGCGGCGGCAGCGTCTTGAACACGCTTGTCCTCATCGAGTCTACGGTACAGCGAATCAATCTCTCTGGACAGAACGTCGCTAACAGCCTTATTGATGGTGTTGATGTCAACAAGAGCGGCAGCCTCGGTGTTCTTGGCGAGCTTCTCGACAGGTGCAGGTGATGGTGTAACAGCAGGAGTAGTCTCCTTGGTCGAAGGAGCAGTCTCAGTGGTAGAAGCCTTGGGACGAGCGGCCAGGGCGTATGAGGCAGGAGTGAGGATGGCAGGGTTGGTTGCAGCCTCAGTAGTGCTCTGTTCCGGAACAGCCTTCTTCGACTTCTCAACCTTAGAGGCGCCGTTGACTGCAGGCTCCTGCTTGGTAGCAGGCTTAGTAGCAGCGGGAGCAGGCTTAGCAGGCTCAACCTTCTCAGAAGCAGGAGGTGCAGCAGCCTTGGCCGACTTAGCAGGTGCCTCAGCAGTGGCCGCATTAGGAGAGATGCTGGCGACCGAAATGAAGCCCGAGGCCTCGGCATCGACAGGCTGAAGAACCTTGTTGTCGCGGCTCCAACCCAAATCCTCATGCTTGATGTTCATGCAAGTGACTCCCTTAGAGTGCATAGCATAAAGTTCGAAGAGGACGTCGTTGGAAGCCTCGGTAGCGACAGGAGTGTGGAGCATGTCTACGCTGCGCAGTTGACCCTTAGAAGCGAAGGACAGCTCGCGAATACCGCTCATGATAGCAGTAGACTCAGGACGAGGCAGGTTAGGGTCCTGTTCAGCAAGCATAGTTGTGTATCTTGCCTGGTCCATGCTAGGAATGTTGTAGCGAGGAGCTGACAGATGAATGAAGTAAATCGAGTTGCGTGTAGGGTGGCCGAGAGCGATGATTCCAGTCTTGGGGTGGTAGGAGATGCTGCAAATGGCGTCCGAGTCCTTGTCGTGAGGGAAGTGGAGCTCCTGGACAGGCTTGTTGAGGCCAAGATCCCAGAGCTGAAGAATGTGGTTTTGCTTCAGACCAACAAGCAAGTAGCGGAGAGCAACGCCCTTAACGCAAGGTCTCTCTTTGTCAACGAACATGATGGAAGAAGGGGTAGCCTTCTCAGCAGGCAGAGTTGTGGTCAAGGTAAGCAGAGGATCCTTGCGCTCCAAAGCAGGACGCTTGCCAGAAGAAGCCATCTGACGGGCTTCTTGTGCCAAGTCACGGATGTCCCAGAACTTGATACGTCCGCTCTTGTCCAGTGATGCTAGCAGGCTGTCGTCGCCGCTGAAGGCAAAATCCTTACCAGCCTTGCCGGTTGAAATCTTCAAGCAGCGCTCTTGCAGGTACTTGTCGTTGTCGACGACGCGGGTCTTCTTGTCGGTGTACTGGTTCTGACGAGCAACGAAAGGCGAAATGATGTAGATAGACTTGCCTCTCGAGATGGCGAAGAAGTCCGCGTTGCGCGAGCTCATCTTGGCTCTGGTCTTAACAGGGCTGCCAGAGGTATTATCGTCTTGGACAGGCACGGGAGGCAGCACGAAACCTTGCGACTCAAGGTCCAGGTCGTCAAAGGAATCACCCTCAACCTTGTTGATGCTGGTCCAGAAAACGGAGCCGTTAACTCCAGTTGCGAGGACTGTCTCGATGTCCTTGTGGGTGCCGCTGGCAGTGCATATCTGAACGTTGAAGATACGCTCTGCGGTGGAGCGGAAGACCTGCTTGTCCTTGCCAGAGTCCTGGCGGATCACACGGAAACCGCCGCTCTTAGACATGGCATAGACGATGTGGTTGGGCGAAGCAGTGACGAGAGCGCGGTCAATTTGCTCGAAATCCTTTTTCAGGCGAGCAATGTCCATAAGCGAGTCGGAACGCATGGCAGTAGCCTGGTTGTCCTTGTTGATGGTGATGGAGACGAAAGGTCTCATGGGGAAGTTGTAAACGCGAACAGCGTAATCCTTGCTGTCCTTACCAGACTCGTCAGCATCAGCGCTCTCCCAACTGTCCGCAACCTCCTCGGTGGCCTTGGTCTGCTCTTTCGAGACAGATGTGGCGCCGTTGGCTTGGGCAAGTGCTTTTTCAACTTGCTTGTCGACCTTCTCGCCAATGCCGCTGAGAGCTTCGGCCACGCTTTGGTGAGCAGCGGCCGATGGTTGGGCAGGGCGAGGAGAAGGAGATGGCGAGGGAACTGAAGATGTGATCTTGCGATTCTTTGCATTGGGTGCGTTGTCAGTGTCTTCGGGTTGAGAAATATCGCGCTGATGCTTGGGGCCTTCAATCTTGAGACCGGGCTTGGGTGACGAAGCAGTCATCTGCTCGAAGGGATTGACGTAGGTGAAGACGGGCTTCTTTGCTTGGGAAGGGCCTTCAAAAGGTGTTGTCTCACGAGATCCGGCGCTGCCGAAGAGACGGACAGAAGGGTCTTGGATATCGGCAGGTTGGGTGGAGGGAGCAGGCTCGTTGATGATAGGCCCAGGAACGTGAGCAGGCTGCATGGCCGGCGCCGAAGCGTCAGCAGCAGGGCCGTTCTTGGGACGATTAAGAAGACCAAGAAGGAAGTTCTGAGCATCTCCCAGAGGCTGCTGGGACTTTTGCTCGGGCTGAGGCGAAGCCATTGAGATGCGCAGAGACGAGGCGCTCGACGGTTTCTGGTGGAAGGAGGCGACCAGATCTGGAGCGGAGACAGAGCGAGACTGTTGCTGTGCAGGGTGAAGCTGAGGCGATGGGTTCTGAGCAGCAATGTTCTGCAGAGAAGCCAAAGGACTCATGCCAGAGGCAAGCTGATTGGAGTTGAACTTGAGCAAGTTCAAGAGATCGTTTGACTTTGAGTCAGCCGGCGCAGGTGTGAGATTGGGACTCATGATTGCCGAAGGGTGTTGCGGGTTGGGAGTGTGAATGGGCGGCGAGAAGAGGGGCGATGAGACAGAGGGCTGTTGGTACGAGTGGGGTTGAGGTTGGGCCCAGATGGAAGGGTGAGACTGTTGTTGCTGAGTTTGCTGGTCGTTTGAAGATGCAGCAGGGCTCTTCAGGCGGCTGAAGAGTTCTTGCAGGTCGGCCATGCTGGGTGGATAGTGCGAGGTTGTAAGAGCGCGATGAAAGCAGGCAGGTGGTACGTGCGGGAGTGAGTGAGAGGTGCTTGTTGTGAAGCGGATTGAACTCAAGCGCTGCGCGGGTATCAAACAAAGAGATGCGATGGATGCGAACAAGGAAGAGAGGGAGTGTGTTGTTGTCGTGTTCACCGAGTGAAGGTGACTTTGTCGGGCGTTGTCGACGTGTTGGAGGCAATTGAAGCTGCAAATTCGTGGGAGAAGCAGCGTCATCGACGCCCGCCAGATCCACCGCCATGCCCATCCTTTCACCCCACTGTCTAGCCACAAGACATAATAATAACGACTGGCATTCTAAGCAAGCATACTTATGCAATGATATCTTTGATCTCGAGACCAATTCCTTAAGTTGCTACTAAAGGCCTAAGAGTTCCTTCAAAATAATTCTTAACCTTATAGATATGACTAGGATATTCACTCTTCCTGGCTTGACGATCATTTAAAAACATGTGTGCGTGAACGGGGTAGAATCTTTCATTACTTCCCAGTGTGTCGTGCCTGTGGAAGCTGCACTGTCGCTGTACAGATGAAGTGCCTTTGGATTGGAGTCCACACTCTGATGGTACTGTTCATAGAGACTCGGCTGAACAATCGCTACGCGGATGCCGCCATCTTCTGTCTCCACGTCTGTTCTTGAACTGCTTTCGTGAGAAGCATGGGTTGCCGTTTGTCGCTAGATTACCATTGATGAGCCTAGAAGAGGGAAGATCTGAAGAGTTGTGTGCACTTACACTCGCTGGTAGCCGTCAAACCTATCAATTGTCGTCCAGTGGAACACGAGTGCTGCGATGTCTTCCTTCGTAATCTCTGGACTCATAGCGTCAATGGCGGAGCATGATGGATGTTTCACAGCCTTGTCCCTGTCAAATTTCCTCAAGGATCTCTGATGTTGCTTTCGCTTTGGCATACATATCTCTGAGATTGCCTGCCAGGCCTTCGTAGCATCCAAGGTTATGATCAGGCATGTGTAGTTTCTCAGATTGACACTTTTTAGGTGATTGTGTCTGCCTACCGACATCACTCCAGTCATCTAACCCTGAAGGCATGACGCTTGTGCTTGATCCATATTTCGAGAACCCTCTCTGCATGGGTGCTTCTGGTTGACGGATCTGTGCTTTGGTGCGTTCATTTTGAACAGAGATTCTATGGTCGATATTGACGATTGTCGCTCTTCTCTCAATCAAAGAGGTCCGAATGCCTTCTTGAACGCTCAAAAGGAAACTGTGGGAATGGTCAGACATCAGGATAGTCTTTGTGAACAGTTGGTGTGCATCAGACCTTGATCCGGATGCAAGTCTTGCGATCTGTCTAACGGTATGTAGTTCAACTGCAAGTAAGAACATCTCGAGACGGATGACGTTGCATCGAGTTCCTACTTCCTGAGGGAGTGTAACCCATTTGTTTTCGAAAGGTCCAATGAGAATCTCCATATATCTGATGTTGTCTAAGCATCGTTTTGCTCATGACCTGATCGTACAATGAGCACATAAACCTTGTCATTTCTAACCCTCTCACGGACTTCTTTCCCAATGCTTATTGTCGGGCGAATGAGAACTACTTGTGGGGTTCTGGAAAGTTTGGCAGTGAGTACAAATCTCTCATGAGAGCCATCTGCCCTGAACCTGGACTTCTGCACTGCTCAGCACTCAGGCTACTGTTCTCATCAAGTCAACCTTCGAGCTTATTCCAATTTTCGTTTGCAACCACGCTTCCGTTCAATTCTCATTGATCATCGCACTCAGACAACAGCCATGGAAGTCGCAGAGATCTTTGAGCGCCTGAGAAGAGAAGAGATCACTACCAGGTCACGAGGCCCTACCTTGAAAGATGTAGCTGCTCGATGCTCTAACGTCTGGCACTCCATGGCAGGGAAGACGAATGCCTATCTCATTACTGCCACGAACGCGGCATCGATCCTGTGACCGGCTCACGAAGGCTTCCGTGCCAATCGCTGCGAGCAGAGCTCGTGGAAGAGGCTGTCGCAGAAGACAAGAAGGACGAGTCCAAAGATGAAGCACTGGAGGCAATTCTGAACAACATTGGAGCGAAGGTCACAGAGGCAGATATCGCCGAACTGGTGTTTCTCTGGATGAAGGTGAAGACGTTTCTCAGGTTCAAGAGAAGTTGAGAAACGAGAAATTTGGGTTTGCCAGAGAGCTGCAACATCTTTGTTCTGGTCGAGCTCTGCGATATGCTCTGGGTTGCTTTATTCGTAACCCGTTTCCATCCTTCAGATGATGAAAGCTATGAATGTTTTTCTTCAAGCCAAGGCTCGTCGTTACATGAGACCAAATCACGTCACAAACTCACTCATGTTACGTGCAATCTCATGATGAGCTTCAAACGCTCATACCAGCTTTCAGAGTTGATTTCCAAAGCTTATCGGGACATGTGAGCATTGAGTGATACATCGCATTGACCTTGGCAGAGGATACAAGAGCTGTTCGAACTCCGGGTCCTGTCTGATATGCATTTGCCTTTCGAAGCTCCACGCGTCGGACGACGAAGAGATGTCGCTCTCCAGTATGCCAGCTCTCCAACACAGACACAACACAGTAAACATATCAGAGTCACATCTAGGTGCAAGTTTGACCGGCTCTGCTGATGCTTGTCTCGAAATTGGGCACCAAATCAAACATTCGAGCGACTTTGGAAAGTCTGCTGCGTGTATACAATCTGAACTCACCAAAGTAGCAGATGAATTTTACGGCATTCGATCTGCGTTCCAGGAGATCGAGCAGACCTGGTCTCATCTTACTGGTCAACAACTCTGGACGGAGAATGCAACGAAAACCGTCAAGCACGCCCAACATGTCGCTCAAGATATAGCGAAAGCTCTTCGGGATCTCGTCCGCCAATGCGACACTTGGGAGGTTGTCGTCCCAGATCATTTCTACTACCAACTGCAGGCATTTGAGATCTGTCTGCAAAGACAACAGCTGGTTCTCACTCTTCTGAGAATGGTGTTGTATGTAGTTTCTCCATATGAGTTACCAACATATCCCTACTACGGGATCCGCAAGAGCGTAGAAGAGATGTGAGTTTGTGGACTCTCCTGGACCTGAACCAACAGAGTCTGACAGATTAACCATACAGGGAACGTGAAAGGCTCAAACATGGGCGCGAGCAGCTCGTTCATGCGGTCCGAATGAGACAGGAGATGCAGGCCAAGTTGTCGAAAATTGCTTCGCTTGACCCAGAATACAAGGACATCGATGCGGTCGAATTTTGGGAGAAGATATCCGATACAGAGGGATGGCCCTCTCCGCAGACTACTATGGGCAACACGACTCCGACGGATGACTGGAGTCATGTCTTGCATAGAGATGATGGTGCAAGCGGCCCTATGGACTATTCGTTCTTGCCGATCCCCAGAGCTCATCCTACGAAACTGATCAAACGTCAACAGAGCAAAGACACTGGAGATCGTACTCTGGAGGAAATGTTGGACAGCTTCGGAGAGGGAAGAAAGCTAGATGGATCCTGGCCGATAGGGGGTATGGACCCTAGAACCAGAGGTCTGGCGATGTTGGTCTTCCATTGGACCAATGCTGAGGTTTTTGTTGGCGTTGAGAGAAAAGATTTGGAGCCATTGTAACAAAAGTTGACTATCAGCTTTCGTGACGGTTCACAAATATGCTGATTGTTTCTCGTCTCTTCGATCAGCAAATCGCTCAGAACTAGATCCAGGGGTTGACAGGTCTCGGCCAGTAGATTACCTGATACTTAAAACCAGCTCATACCTTGATCATACAGGGGATATGCTCACGAAAGAGATATTCAGCCATTTCATGTATCATAGTCTGCGATGTTGTGTAACCGACTCGAAGCCACCATAGAGTTCCGCGTCTCAAATATATTTTCAAAGTTTATCAGATAATTGCCCATATTTTGTCACATGCTGAGGAAGGAAGAAGCTTTCGTGACGCGGTTGCCTGACCTGTTTGCTGGCTGACATCGATCAGTAGGGTAACGCCGGATTTGACATGTTCGTTCCTGCTTCAAACGTGACATCGACTCCAAATATTCGACGCATTCTCGTCACCTTGTTCACATCAATCTATCGCATTCCAAGATACACGAACAGATCATGCCGTCCGAGCTCATCCAAAAGTACAGACAGACCATATCGATATGCTACGACAAGCTGTACAACAGCGTAATCGGATCTGCTCAGGCCTGCTCTCGTATCTCTGACGAACTACTGGAGACTGGCATGCAGAGACAAACTGCTTGTATGCAGCCGGCACTTGGTCTGCTTCAATCCGAGTTTTCGGCCATGCATTACGCTCTGAGGGATTTGCAATTCGTCGTTGGATCTCAAGTGTGGCACGATAATGCGACAACAACAGTCAAATGCGTTCAAAGAATCTGCCACCAGGTTGGCAACTAGTTGCGAGACCTGATCCAAACAAGCCAGATCTGGCATGTCGTCACTCCCGACCATCTCGCGGACAAGCTACACGCTTTGGTGATTACCCTCCAGGAACAGCAAATGACTCTCGAACTCTTGATCGTCGTCATGGCGTTCTTTGATCCCAGCATCAATGCACCACCAGCGGTTCGCCAGTATAAAACCCAGCACCAGTATGTTGAGAGGCATGCCTGTATGATACAATGGCTAACATAGATGTGTAGTGAGCCCGAAAGATTCGACAATCTTCTCAATGGTATCCTCGACGGCGTTGCGGCCAGACGTGCCATGAGACAGGACATCCTCAAGCTTCACTCCTCAAATGACGAACATGAAGACAAAGTCTCAGCCAGATCGTCCGAAGAGCTTCCCGATGCCGGTACTTGGTCCTCAAGTCGATCCACGGTCACGCTGAGTGCCATGACCCCAACAGGAGACTGGAGTAACGTCAGTTACAGCTCAGCCACCAGTGAAGACAGAGATCTGGAAGATGTTCTAGAGACCACCAACATGGAGCTCCGTGAGGAAAATGTCGCGAAGTTGGTCTTCCACTGGACCAATGTCGAAGAGTTTGGAAGGTTCTGTAGGCGCGACCTGAACAAGGAGAATTGTTCCTGAATTGCTTGTATTAGACTCTGCTCGACGCCGGGTGAGATGTTGAATCGCTCTGTCGATCATTCATTTTCTATGTAAGTTAGAAGTAGCAGCAATTATCTTGCGTTAACAGCCAGATCCAATCGAAGTGTGTTTTGAAGGTTTCAGTCGAGCTCGTAAGACCAAGTTTGACGCGTGAATAAGATCTTAAGCAAACCATGTCTGACATTTCCAGGAAGCTCCAGAGTTTGCAATTGCAAGTTTGTTGCACATCAGCAAACTTAATTGCAGTGCTCAGATCATACAAATGACCATCGCTCCGCCGTGCTCGTATCCAGTCGTCTGCCCTGCATTACTCAGTCTATCAAACATCATGCCTGAAGTCCTACAACACACCAGCCAGGATGTACGCGATCTCGAACTCCTGGACAGTGTCACTGGTTCTGCCGCAGCTTGTGCAAACATCTCAAGAAAGCTAGATGTAACCAGTCGAACCACAGCTGCCTGCTTGAGTGGCCCTCTGAGCCTCATCGTCTCCGGATTCAATGCAATGAGCCGCTCCTACATAAGTTTGAAAAGCTTGCTTCAGCGTCGTGAGCCAGTCTGGAGCCAGAACGTTTTGCTCTCGATTAAATTCACGCAAGAGCGCTGTCAAAAGATCGCTGCCGAGCTATCAACCATCCTCGGACATTACGATGAATGGGACATTGTGGCTGCAGATGGTTCCTGTAGTCATCTCAACATGCTATCGAAAAACCTGAAGGTGCTCGAGGGACATCTCGACTTGCTTTCCGAAGCTCTCGAACTTGTGCCAGTGCTTCTCAGAAAGCCAGCCGAACATGAATCTCCTGACTCTATCATCATACCTGACTGTCCAGAAGAAAGTTGGGACGAGGAATTCCCAGCAGCCGAATGGACGAATTATGAGGCTGCACAAGAACGTTACAGAATCGCGGTTTACGCAGCACAAGAGATGGGAAAATGGTCTGCAAACTACGCAAGCTCTCTCGACACCGCACAAGAAACCCTTCTGTCGATGAAGGAGCGTTCGAAGGAGTTGCTGGACTACCACGTATCCCGTGAATCGTTTCGAGGACAAAGTTTTCCTTCATCAGTCTTGGAAGAGCTTCCGGACATGGACGATGATACGTCGACTCAATCAACCATGGGCATCATGACCCCCACTGAAGATTGGAGCGACCTGGGTAGCGATACCACAGAGAGAGGTCGCGCACCCGCAATCACCAGGCACAGCTTGCAGCGTTGCGGATATGCCACAGCCAGCTTCCTGAGACTGGCGGAGCAAATCGAGTCCAGCTACAATTACCGATCGATTAGTACCCCTGTTGACACTGATGGCCTTGAACGCTCATGCAAAGCGTTCAGCAAGCTGGCCATCCACCTTACTGACATTCTGCGTGCACCGATGCCCTCTCGAGAACGTCACGCAAATGATTTGTTTGTCAAGAGAGAAGTCCTTTTTCCAGATTACCATTTTTGCATCAGACAGTCAAGAGAGTTCTTGGCATTGAACAACGAAATCGAGCAGAGTTTCGGCCATTTACCTGCATCGAGCCCTGTGGACTTAGCCGATATTCAAGCTATTCACGAAGCATACGAAGGTCTCGTCGTCCATTTTATCCAGAGACTGAATGTGCCGTGCCAGAATGACTATCCCACTTCTGTTCCTGTTCCGGTTGCGGGTACAACTCCAGCATCACATTCAGCTCCGGAGGTCTCAATGCCATTCATGCCAGAAGAACAGAAAGAGGAAGTCCACATCGACAAAGCTCTCGAAATGCTTATCAACAGTATGGAGACCACACCAATCGAGAGAGACATCATGAAGCTCGTGTTCCACTGGACCGTCCTGGATGACTGCAACGGCTTCAAACGTGCAGATGTGATGAAGCTCAACTAGTGACGCAAAAGTCATAGCCTCAAAGTTCAAAAGGACAGGAATTAGCCATTGGGAAGCTTTGTCGGTGACGGGAAAAGATGCGGCCAAGTGTGTTTGTGGTGAGATGAGAAAAGGACAAGGAGATGCGGAAGGTCGAGCTTGTTTTTTGAAGGTGGAAAAATGTTGTGCCTTTGTGGTAATCCAGTCTTTACAATGAATTGCAAAATCCAGTTCCAGAGGTCCAGCAGAGAAATAGACTTTATTGTGAGAATGCATGAGAAATTCTAGTAGTCCGCGAGTCCCACGAAGCTAGTCAGCAAGCATGTCCTGGACTCCTTCCCTTGGAGGCAACCACATACCTGTGCTCTGAGAATGAGAAGTCGCTTTCTCTCGTTCGCGACTGCTCCAGACTGCCTGTTATCTTTTATCACATGTTGAAGGTGTGCGAGACAGTAGAGAAATTGAGGACAGGGAAAATAAACGCTCGGTCAATTCATTGGTATCATGTCTTCCAAAAAGTACAAATAAGCTGTCGTCTTCAAAAAGCAACAGCTAGCAGCGCTGGGCATCTATTGAGGGGGCTGGAAAGGGGTAACGAGCATCTCGCTGAACCTGTAGAATGTGTCAGCATATCACTCTTTCGTGAACTCACAACAGGAGCAAAACTCACTTCTCAAGCTTCTCCTTGCCTCTAACCTCCTCAACCAACAAAGGCATCTTGACGACGTTGAACTCATCGTACAAATCCTCGATTTGCTCAAGATACTTCTTCTGCATCTTTCTTCTAGCATTGCACTGCTCGCAAGGGTTGCTCTCCTTGGGGAACAACAGCTGATTGACAACAATAGCATGTGTATCAATCTCATAACTGTTCAACTCCTGGATCATCCTCTCCGTCTCGTACAAAGACAAGAATTCAGGGATACACACACAGACAAAAGTAGTCAAGTCTGCATTCTTGAATTGAGTGTTGACTTCGCCGATGGTGGCGCGCAAATCCTCCATCTTCTTGATGATGTCGTCGAGGTTTTGGCCGTTGGGGAGGCCGCCGCGGGCGCCGAGGATGCCATTTAGCATGGGACCGAATTGGCCAGAGAGTTGGGAGATCTTGCCCAGGGCTTTTTCCATGACGGTGGGGAATTGGAGGAAACGGAGGGTGTGGCCGGTAGGTGCGGTGTCGAAGATGATGACTTCGTAGCTGAGGGATTTGACTTGTTTGAGGACTTCGGCAAAGGACATGGCTTCATCGACACCAGGGATCTGTTTGTGAGGCATGGTTAGCGGTGTTCTTGCTTCTGATCAAGTATGGATACTTACGCTGAAAGCAAGGTCCTGCATCATATTGCCCATGCCACCTAGACCAGCCATGGCATCTTGAGCATCCTCACCACCAGCATTAAGCATATCAGTGATGGAACCATTAGGGTCAATCTCCATAGCGCTCAGATTGTCAAAGCCGTTGACCAGACGGGCGTCCTTTCCAAACTTTTGGTTGAAGGCATCAGACAAGTTGTGTGCAGGGTCGGTCGAGATGAGAAGGACATTCTTGCGGTGCTTTGCGAGTTGAATGGCCAAGGAACAAGAGGTTGTTGTCTTTCCGACACCGCCTTTACCACCGACAAAGATCCAGCGCAGCGACTTTTGGTCGAGGATGTTCTGCAACGAGGGGGCCATCTCGTCGTCTGTGTTGATGAGGGCGGCCATTATGGTAGATTTGTGTCTTGTTGTTCTACGCGATTGAGTCTTTGACAAGTGTGCTTCTTCGCAGAAGGTGTAGGTTGTGTAAACACGTGGTGAATATGGCAGATGATTGTTTCTTGGGAGAGGCTGGCTGGAACATGCTCGAAAGCTGCAAGGCGGGGCACGAGCATTATCCACCATCGTCATGATATGCACAGCACCGTCATAATCAGACACAACTGTGTATAAATCTGGGTATCATTATTTTATGCATCCTTCTTATAAGAACTCCAAAGCTCCTTCATATGCCCCATCTACACCGCCATGCCATGCCGGACGCCATATGATCTATGCATCTTGCTCAAGCGCTTAGAGCTTTCAATGGCCGGATTGCCTTCACGAGCATTATTGCTTGCTTGTCCGTCCCATGCGTATAGCCACATCCGCCAAAATCGACATGCCCTTCCTCTCGGAGCGTGTCGAGGCGTATGTTGACCCGCGAAGGCATATTCAGAGGCTCTTAGCCGATTTCTCACTTCAATTCCCATCCCTTCTGATTCTTCATGCCCCGGAGACAAGCAAGTCAAGCATACCCTGAGTCGAGTATGCTGCTTGTGCCAACTCTGAGCAGTGTCTGACCTTGCGGTGAAGCTGGGCTAGAAGGTCGTCGATCTCTGGTGAGTCCATGGTCTGCTCTGAGTAAAGATCAAGGAGTAGCATAGCGACGTCGCTGGTGAGCTTGATGTAACGAGGATGACCAATGTACTTGATGACCCAGCGGAGGATGGGCTGGAGAGATGTTTCATCACGGCCCTTGAAGGCGGTGCGCATGGCGGACCTGTGGCGCAGAGCAGTGAGGAGAGTGAGCATGTTGGGGTTGTAGAATTTCTGCAGTGCATTAGTTCATGTCACATGTAAAACACTCGTGCTGGTTAAACTTACGGTAGCTCCGAGAACCATGTCAACGGCCAGAGCGTATTTGCCGTTTCGTAGAGCAGACTCCCACTTTGACTGGTTTCTGATGTTTCCACGCGCATTGCCATCGATGACGATATCTGCACCCTCTCCAGTAAAGTCACGACCACGCAGAGCCTTCTTGTCGCCTTGTCGAAGCTTCTTGGCCTTCTTTCTGTCGTACTCCTCGATGGTACCGGCAACCAGGGCTTGCATCTCCTTCTCCTTTTCTCTTGCTGCTGCCTTCTGTTCTCCTGATAGACGGGTACGGACCGATAGCAGACCAGACTGCATACCAACTGCGAGGTGTCTGTCTTCCCTGGTGGCACCAGCTCCGACAACGCTCAGCGAAAGAACAGGGCTAGGGTACTTGAAGCCAGCCACGACATTCCATGCTGAGGTCTCAAAGACCTTGACGTGTCCGTCCAGACCACCACTGACAAGTCTTTCTCCATTGTTTGCCAAGCAGAGCGATGTGACGGTCTTCTGGTGGTTCTTGATCAGATGCAGAGGCTTTCCAGCGACCAGATCCAGAACGCTGATCTGATTGTCGGCAGATGCAAGCACCTGTGTTCCTGAGGGCATGGGAAGGACGCTCTCGATGGCAGCAGCGTGCTTGAAGGTCATGACAGCACGCTTGGGTGCTCTGGAATCCCACAGACGAACAGTCTGGTCGTAACTACCAGAGACAAGCAGGTTGCTGCTCTGACCAGGCATGAAGGCACCGCTTCGGACATAATCCTGATGCCCTGAGAAAGTCGCGATGCTGGACTCGCTGGGCAGGTCCCACAGTCTGACAGTCTTGTCGTCACTACAACTCATGATAGAGGTGAGGTCGTTCGGGTTCCATTTTGTGACCCAGACGGGCTGCTTGTGTTCCTTCCATGTCTTCAAAATAGCTCTTGATCCAGTATCAAATGCTTGAATAGCACCACTGTCTCCACCTGCAACAAGCACACGTCCATCGCGACGGATCTCTCCCGAATGCGCAATATCATCGTATCCGAATCTTGTGATGGTCTTTAGAAGTTTGCGTGTTTTTGACGAGAAGATCTGGACTCTGCTTCCAGAAGTGACGGCGAAAGTGTCCGAAGGCGGCGTAACGAGCGGGTTTGTAGGCAATGGAGGAAACGAGATGTGCGTGATGGGATTTGAATGCGGCGAGGGCACCAGTTGTTGTGATCTGAATCCTTTCCAGTAGCGTTGGTCGGCTGTTATGGCCTCGGGGCCAGCAGCCAGCTTAAGGGGCTGCAGAGATTGTACTTCGGCCGCCATTGTGTCGTTGCTATGTAATCTTCTCGTCGCGAAAAAGATGGCCGAAAGGTGGAGACGCTTTGGACTTTTTTCGAGATCCATCTTATCTAATCCATCTATCATCGGCGCACGGATGTATCAGTCGGGTGACCCCCTCGACAACATCAGAAAACAGTCGACGACGTGCAGCATCAGCAACGTCGATAGGTTCGTTCCAAAATCATGTGGAAATCTTTCAGTTGCACATACATACTCAGCTTTGTGTTCTTGCATGCTATAACCAAATATTACGATCACAGCAAGCTGAACATCCCAAACTGATTCTTTCTTCCAGCATCCAAGTCCAGGTCGCTATGTCACAACCCTATTGTTGACGCGACACCCTGCAATCCATGATTCTTAACAATTGCATGTGACTATCTGCATCAAGGGAGAATCTAAAGATCGAATGTGCGAACGCAACATCCAGACCTGATTCATGTGACATCCATATGAAGGCATGCCGTCCACGGCTCTCCTTCGAATATTCTACTCGAGTACCTGCTGAGACATGAAGACACTACGAAGCAATGGACACGTATTACGGGATTGCCATGAGGAGAGAAGAAATGACGAGAAGCAAGAACCAAATCTCTGTTTTTATCCATGGATAAGCGCTCTCAATGATAAAAGGCCTGCCTCTTTGCCCCCAGACCCCAAACATCGATAATCTTGCCATAGTCTTTCTTATAACAGGTAGGTCAAGCGGAACGGACGAGAAAAGAAGGGAAACGACAACAATGATGACTCTAGAACAGGACCAGAGAAATATACGAACGGTGCGTAAAGCTAGAAAACATGACACTCAGGAGTCAGTCGCTTGGCCGACAGGTTCTAGAGCTCATCTTCGAGGAACTTGTAAGCGAACTTGAAGTCGCCCTTTCTACGGTTCATCCTGTTTGTCAAGAGTTAGAAGGAGAATAGTGATTTTGAATTGCAACGTTGACGTACCATGTGCTTTCGTAGTCGAAGAAGCGATATGTTCCTTGTTCGTACTCCTCGGTGATGTTCTTGGGCTCTTCGTGTCGTTGGAACCAAGTTTGGTACTGCTTGTGGAAGCGCCAACTTTGGCTCTTCAATGCCTTTGCTGCCAGATACTGCTGGTAAGTGCCTTGGCGGTAATAAAAGGCATAGAACAATGTGTCCGTTTCAATTCTGCTGTAGAGTCGCGGGTCGTCAAACACGGGAAGAGGCTCTTGAGGATAGTGAGCTGGCGTGTAAGCGTAGGGCGATGCTGGCTTGTAGTGGTAAGGCTTTTCCGCATCCATTGGCGTAGGCATTGTGCTCCGTGACAAAGAGAGCAGGTGTTCCTCGGGGACTGGAGGATTCGCCGAAAGAGCCCGCTGCTTTGTGGTAGTGAAAGACTCGAGCAGATCGCTCAAGCTTGCCGGCAGATGATAGTATGACACGTCTTCCTGTTCTTCCTCCTCTTCTTGCTGTTGTTGCTGTTGGGGCTGCTGGGCCTGCTTCTGGTTTCTGGAAGACTCGCCATTCGTAAGAGCAACACCAGAATCCTGCGATGGTTGTTGTGCTTGCTTCGCGCTCTTCTTGGCCTTGGGCTCCACGGCAGGGGGAGCGGGCTCTTGAGCGGGCGAAGGCGTCTTCGCCGGAGGTTCCTGTGGCTTCGCAGGTTGAGGTGGCGGCGGTTGTGCCGGTGAGGGCTGGTAAGTGACTGGCTGTGAAGGTGTCGGGGCGGGAGAGGCAGTCGAGCTGGGTCGGGCAGTCGCAGAGGTAGCGCCTGGCGGCGGCGGAAGAGGAGCAATGCCAACACCGCTCTTGTCGCTCGCAGCGGCGGCAGCGGCAGCCGAAGCGTACTTAAGAGTCTGTCCGGTGGGAATATTCGGCAGAGGAGCGGGCTTCATGCCCGGCGGCGCGCTGCCATTTACACTACTCGGGGTTGAAGCATGCAATGTAGCCAAGGCGGGTAAAGGTGACTTGAGCTGTATGGACGGCCGTCTCGGTTGGGCGCTGGGGATATCGACTGACGACTGCTTGGTGAGCTTCGCCGGCGTAGACTGTGCGACCTTCGTGACCGACTCTGGCTGGTCGGGCGTATCGTCGTGTTGTGATTGGTTGTCCTGTGATGACACGCGATCATCGTCGTTCTGCAGGCCAAACATTTGCTCGTCGGCATCGAGATTCAAGTCGTCGTAAATGGTGTCGTCTTCCATAAAGTCGACCTCCTGGTTGTTCTCGACATAGTACCTGATGCCCTCTTCGATGTCCTTGACTTGGTCGGTATCCACGCCGCCGTTCTCCAGTGATCGTAGTAATAGCTCGAGCTTCCCTTGATGCCATTTATGTCGCTCTGCCATTCGTTCCAGCTCTGCTATCCGGTCGGCCTTGGCTGTGTCCTTCTTGCCCTTCTTCATATTCGCTTGTAGCGTTTCCGCCTCGGCTTCTGTGACCTCGATCTGTCTTTCCAGCTCTTCAACCATATTCCCCAAGAATTCGCATATTTCCAATTTCTCTTTCTCTTTCGGATCGAGCTTTGCGGCGGCTGATAGACCTTCTTTGGAGAAGGCTTTTGTCTTCATTTCCTTTTCGACGGCCTTGAACTTTTCCATTTGCTTTGGCATGCGTTAGCGGCAACCGTGAGTATGTCGGGATAGCTCTCATTACCGTCTCGATCAGCTTGCGCTGATCCAGCAATGGTTTCTTGTCCTTGATATCATTTTGTGCGGCCCAAGCTTTGATCTGGTCTCGCGATCTTTGTAGCTTCTTGATTTCCTTTTTCAAGTTGTCCTCGAGCTTCTCCTTCTGCGAGGGATTCGTCGATTGTTGTAGCTTGTCGTAGATGCCCTCGAATGCTTGCACACCTTCGGCCACTCGTTTGAATGTCTGTCGCAAGTCAACAGCTGTCTCAGTTGTTTGCGCATTGTGTCGCGCACCTTGTCAATCTCTTGCTGTAGCTTTCGTTGCGCCATTGCTGGTTATGTGACCCTTGTGGGCGAGCTGGGTGGGAGTGCGGATGGAGAGGATGGCGAAGCGATTCAGCGTCGCTTCGGAGAGGAGATGTCGAAACCAGATAAACAATGCGGCAGCTCTCCATCAACTCGGAGCGATGGACAAGTTGACACAAACGGAGACGAGTCGAGATGTGGATGGTGCTTTGTGCGACTGTCGCAACTGAGCAGCGTTGGTTGCCGTCGTTCACTCGTCTGCCAAGCAATTACTCAGGTCGACTTTACGTGCGTTTCGTTTGTACCGTTTGACTTTATCGAAACCCTTCAAACCCACCCAGTAATCCCAATCATCCAAAGAGAGAAGCACAAGGTAGATCAGTTCGTGTTGTATCACTACCATTTCTTGATCTCTGTCTTTCCTTTTCATATCAAACCAACACCATGAGAAGTACGAATGTCAGCTCCCTTGTTTCCTTCCGTCATCATATTGATTTCCTTCAGCTGTAATTCAACGGGTGAAATCAGCCTCTGTCACGGTAGATGGCCAGCTTATCTCAACTATCGGCAAAGGCTTGCTCGTACTAGCTGCCATTGGCAAGGATGACACTCAGAAAGAGGTTGAATCCATGGCCAATAAGATCCTGAAAGCGAAGCTCTGGGACAATGACGAAGGCGGCAAATGGAAATGGGGCGTCAAGGATATTGAAGGAGAAGTTCTCTGTGGTATGTGTAGTTCATCTTGTGAGCAACCATCTTCTCTGACCTATGTGCAGTATCACAATTTACACTTCTTGCATCTGTCAAGAAGGGCAACAAACCTGACTTCCACAAGTCTGCGAATGGAGAAAAGGCAAAAGAGCTTTACGACCAGTTCTTCAAGAAAGTACAAGCTCTGTATCAAGCAGACAGAGTGAAAGATGGTGTTTTCCAAGCCATGATGGATGTAGCTCTAGTCAACGATGGACCGGTAGGTGTAGATTATACGTGCGAAGACGGCGCGGTAAATATCCTGACTTCTGCCAACGTACTAAATGCTAACACGATTCTGGCAACAGGTCACTATCCAGATAGATACGGATCCTCCCAAGATGGACAACCCTACTGGCTTCGACCTCCCAGGTGATCCGCTCACCCACAAGGGGAAGGTGCAGACAACATTCGAGCTTCCAGCTTCACTCCTGGAATAGTCGACTTGGCTCAGCACTTTACCTGCATATCTTCCTTTCCTCGAAGCCTTGATTGCTAGGCAGAGCTTTCGTTTCACAACCATGATACCATTTTACACAGAACAGATTCTTTCCAAAACACTCCAAACAGAGAGACGACCAAATAGAATATCGTCTGCTTCGTTTCACATTTTTATCTTCAATAGACAGTGGGATTGAGGGTCCGATATAGATATCCAAAACAGGCAGCTTTGGTGTTGATCGGACAGTGTGGGGTACAGATCTGGCGCATAGAAGGTCCTAGAAGCCATTAACATCAACATCTTTCACTTCGAGCAATTGCTCTACCTCTCGTCTTTCTGCTTGTCGCATAATTAATACATACTTCCACCTGAACATCTCCGTATTTGCTGCCTCGCATACATACATACTCGATCGAAAATGGCAGAGACCAAGCGTAGCCGTGTCTTCTTCGACATCAACATTGGCAAGTCCAGTGCTGGCCGTGTCACTTTTGAGCTGGTACGATCTTTCACTGCTTCAGGCTGGATTCGCATGTAACTGACTTGAATCACAGTACAACGACATCGTCCCCAAGACTGCCGAGAACTTCCGCGCATTGTGTACTGGTGAGAAGGGCCAAGGAAAGAATGGCAAGCCTCTCCACTACAAGGGCTCTTCTTTCCACCGCGTCATCAAGTCCTTCATGATCCAGGGCGGTGACTTCACTGCTGGCAATGGAACTGGTGGTGAGAGTATCTATGGAGAGAAGTTCGAGGACGAGAACTTTGAGCTCAAGCACGAGAAGCCTTTCTTGTTGAGCATGGCCAATGCTGGTCCAGGTATGTTGCATGGGCGCCGGACTACAAAGATGCACCTGCTGACCATTCACATAGGCACCAACGGCTCCCAATTCTTCGTTACCACCGTTCCCACTCCCCACCTTGACGGAAAGCACGTTGTCTTCGGCGAGGTTCTCGGAGGCAAGAGCATCATTCGCACCATCGAGAACACACCTACTAGCTCCAACGACAAGCCCAACAAAGACTGCACCATCGTCGACTGTGGTGAGCTCACTGGCCAAGAATACGAGAAGGCTGCCGAAAAGGTTCCCGACAGCACAGGAGACCCATACGAAGACTTCCCCGAGGACCAGGGCGAGGACATCCCTGGACTCGAGATTGTCAAGATTGCCAACGACCTGAAGACTAGAGGAACCGACGCTTTCAAGAAGGGAGATATCGCTCTTGGTCTCGCCAAGTACCAGAAGGGTCTGAGATACCTCCATGAATACCCCGAGCCCCTCGAGAACGACGCACCAGAGCTTGGCCCTGCTTTGGCCTCGCTCAGAATTGCTCTCCACTCCAACAGTGCTCTTCTGCAGTTGAAGCTCAATGAGTTCACTGACGCAGAGAAGTCTGCTACCAACGCCATCGCAGTCCCTCAGATCAAGGCACCGGAAAAGGGCAAGGCTCTCTACCGCCGCGCTCTGGCAAGAAAGGGCCTGAAGAACGAGGAGGACGCTGTTGCCGACTTGGAGGAGGCACTCAAGTTCGTTCCCGAAGACGCAGCAGTCAAGAACGAGCTCGCCGCCGTCAAGAAGGCCGCTGCCGACAGAGCAAAGAAGGAGAAGGCTGCGTACAGCAAGTTCTTTTCATAGAATATTTACACGACATCACGACCATCAGACGTTATAAGAAGCAAGCACGCAAAGGGGAGGCATTTGTGTATTACGGAAAAGGGAGTTCTGGGCAGCATAGCGTAGCCGACCTTTTCTTGTCCCCAAACAGATAAATCGATTTCATTCTTGTACCTCTTTTGTGTTCCGATCTGTTTCTGTGCAACTGCGATTCAGTGCAGCTTCTTCGTGTCTCACAAACCTCAGCTCTGTGTCAACAACCTAGCGAGCTTTGGTTCTGTTTACATAAACATGCCGTGTCGCGACCAAGCCAGTGCGCAAATCGCAGCTGTGGTGGAGCTCGCATTGAGAAACTCTACAGAACCTGGCTTATGGTCCTGCAGGGTATAAGCAAATCCTTGACTCGCGCACGGCGGCCCGGTAAATGATGGCACAGCACTAGATGGGAGGACAAAGAAGGCAGTCCCGAGCATCGGGTTCTCCTCCCCTATCTTAAGCCCCCAAATCAATCACCGTCTGCCAACCGATTGCGGCGTTCAGGATTTTGTGCCTCTGTCATTTCCTGGTATTATTGCTCGCTTAGCCGATAGCTGTCTTGGACGATCTTTTTGTTCGGAATGCGACCGCGGGGATTTGTGCCCTTGAAAATGGCTCTGCTCGAAATGGCTCTCTCTTATCATTCTCTTTGCATGACATCGTTGCTTGAACTTGCTTCCTTCTGCTGCAAGTCTAGCAAAGTCAGATAAGCGTGGCACTGCATGGTTACAGCATGAGCAACATGCGAGATGTAGTGGTAGCTTTTGCTGAAGAAAGCAAAATGGCATGGCGCCGACCAGTCGCGCGCGTGTCACGAGGCAGGTCGTGGAGAAACAAGTCTACAGATCAGCTGTCAAACCAATGGAACCATTGCTCAATCGCTGTCAATCCAGCCGCATCTGGATCTGTGCGCCCATCTCTTTCCAATTTCCGGGAAACCACAGCCAAAACCGCCGAGGATGAGAACTTGAGGACGATTTTGACGTTCCAAACACGACCAATGAAGATGCTCGTCTCCCCACGTTCCCTCGCGCCTTGGTTCGTTCGCGACACCACTGCATGTTGTGACGTTTCTCTCCTCATTTCTCTCTTCTCTCCTTGACTGAGCATGACAACTGCTTCTGGAAGTTCCAGCAGCCAGTGGATTCCACACACCTCTGCTTGACAATCGATAAACCCGTAGGATGCCAAGCAAACTAAGGTTTGTATCCTGCCAAATGTGGCGCTTTAGTATGCCGGCCAGAGAAACGACCCTCTTCTCCCTTATCGGCGCGTTTGCTGGCAAGCAATGTAGACACTCCCCACTCTCCGATAAAACCCTTAGCGGAGCCGTGGATCCTATTATTCAGTGCTACCATTGAATTTCCAATGCTACGGTAGTGTTTGTCTCTCTCTCATTTCTGTTCCTGTTTTTTCTTATCAAACAGAGAATTTGTTTTTCTGCTTTTCTCGTGTTTTCCAGTCACACACTCCTTTTACACTTCAAGCCTTTGGAGACAAAACGCTTGTCTTGGTCGATACTGGCGTCGAGATCGCTTCGAAGGATTTATGTTTCAGCACCCTCTGACGCGATCTGAAGAGACCCCCCCGGAGACCCTCGCCCGAGTCAGCTAGCCCACACACCCCTTCTGTTCCGGACCATCCCATGCCGTCATAGGTATTCAGTCATTCTCTTTGCTCATTCTCATTGATATATATTTGAGAGATGACAGCAAAAATCTTTACGAGCGTTGCACATGCAAGAGGTCCATTTGTCCCCCATACAAATTTTACCTCACATTCCACGCAAATTGGCCAGAACGAGAAATATACATCCAGACCAGTTTATCATAGGGCTAGGACAACGCCTAACGAACTGTTACGCGAAATGCAAGGACTTCAAATACGAACACCAGCAAATGCTGGCAGCTACAAGATCATGACCGAAACATCAAAGAAAGCATCAGAAGATCAAGAAATGCTCACTCCTCCTTCTACACCTGCACGGGCAAAGACCACTGAGCAGTTTCCTTCTCGGCGATCACTGGATTCTTGTCAATCTCGTGTCTCGGAACTTGACTTCACTCCTGACTTGTCACAAGCACAATTGCTAGGCGAGGGCGTGTGGAGTAAGGTGTACAGTATCCCAGCTGTTCCTCTAAGTCAAAGTCATAACGGACGCCCAATGACACCACCCTCAACACCACACAAAACCACATTCCTACCGCCTCAGCAGTATGCAATCAAGACAGCGACACGCTCTGATGCAGCCGCCGTTTTCCAAGCCGAAGCAGAAATTCTCACGCATATCCAGAACTACGATTCAAGTTCTGATTACGTGGTCCCATTTGTCGGTGTCTGCACAGGTACATCTTCGCCTTCTCTTCTCTTTCAACGCGCCGATGCTGGATCCTTGGAATCTCTTCTCGAATCATCATCAAATCTTTCCCTCGATTCGACCTTGGATCTTTTCCTCCACATTCTTCAACAATTAACCCACGGCCTCTACTTCCTTCACAATACAACAAATACCATCCACGCCGACATCAAACCCGCAAACATTCTCCTCTCCTCAACTTCCTGTCCTTCGACACCGACAGCACGCTATGCAGACTTCAGCACAAGTTTTGTGGCCGACACAACACCATCGTCGCATTCAGGAGGCGGCACCTATTCCTTCATGGCTCCCGAGCAACTCTCCCGCGACCCTGAAGCGTCTACTCCCACATATGCTTCTGACGTTTACTCCGCGGGCATCACCTTGCTTTCCTTCCTGTGTGGCGGTAACCCTTTTTCCTCCATGCTCAACAATGGCTTCCGTCTCAGAGAAGCGGTCAAGATGGGCGATGCGATGAGTTGGGCTATGCAAGAACCTGCGTTTGAAAACAGAGTTGAGCAATTGCAAAAAGTCTGGGAGGAGAGAGGTGGTGAAGGCAAGATCTTGGGTCTTGTGGCGCCTGCGTTGAGGAAGAAGAGGGAAGACAGAATTGAGGCTGGCGCGTGGTGTCGGAAGGTTGATGCCGCAATTGCAAAGCTGAATAAGGTCGAGTCTGTTGGGTTGGGTATCAGATGCTAGAGATGGTTTTTCTCGCATCGAGAAATTTTTATGACCGGAGTTGATGGAGCTTCACGAAAGGCGTTTCATGGGATCTTTTTTCGTTTTCTTTCTTTTCTTTCGCTTCTTTACTCCACGTCTAGGCACGATACCCCTTTGATACAATTTCAGGATACAAACAGGATCATATAGTTCAGGATATACAGGACAAGCAGAACCAGGAAATGGATCTACATCACACTCCTACAGCTCATTGATATCATCAAAGTCGTGACGTATATACAAGTCTATCTACTCTTGCCTTGTCTCTTCTATATCTAGATATTCTTTACAGCATCCCACAAGTGCAAGCTGTTGACCGCAACCCACCTGCAAAGATACCATCCAAGACCTCCATGCGCAACTTCTTCGCTAGCAAAAATCTTGAACCACATAGTTACTAACGACACCCTGACTGCAAGATCTAGTACGCCAATCAAACCCTCAAAACCAAAGAGATAATTGTCTGCAATGAAGACTCTCGTCACAGTATCTCTGTAAATATGCTCAAGCTGAGAAGCCGCCCACGCAGTGGGCGCGTTCTTAGTCAGTCGCTCAGCCGCGACAACAGAATACTTGTCATCATTGGCAAACCGAGATTGAATAAAGCAATCCAGATTTGAAAACGGCAGGGTCTCATTTGCTTCATCGCTTTTTACAGCATCAGAGTCGGGGTTTGCACCAGGTGGAGGTGCAGAACGGAGTCTCTGGAGCAAACGCCAACGATACTGATCAACAGTCCTGAGATCACTTATGGCAGGGCGAGGAGTAGTAGAATCCATCGTCGACAGAATAAGATGCAGGTTTTCAGCATTCTCGAAAACGCAAGTGCGGTTGTCGGGTTTAGAGTTTATGCTTTCAAGAATGAAGGCTTTGGAGGTGTAGGCGTAATGCACAAATTTCGTGTAGAAAACTGGAGTAAGTACTTTTAATCCCAACTGCTTAGGGACCTGGTTCTCTGCAATGTTCTTGGAGGTCAAGGTAATGCAGGTCCCTAAACCACCTGCTGGCGTGTACTTGAATTGCAGAGGCTCAGACGCAGAATCAACAAGAAAGCTGAGGTAGGAAAGAAAGAAAGCTTCCAGAACTGCTTCGGAGGATGTATGTGTGCGACCAATACTCGAAGCCAGGACTTCAGGTCGGAACCAGACGTGGAGTTTGCGCTTGAAGTATAGTTTGTATGCCTGGGTAAGGATTCTGGGAAAGGTGAGGAAGCCTACCCAGAACCAGGATGCTAGCGTTTTGATGGTTTGAGAGGAGCTCATGGTTGTTGCGTTCATGTGATTGCCGTCTGAGTATACACGAGCAACAAGTTTAGCGTGAGCTTGAGATGAATTGAGCACGACAAGGTTATCCAAGACTTTAGAGCCAGACTCTAGAGCAGCGACTGGATCAGCAGCTGTGAGCGAGTATGTGCCTTTGCGTGAATTGAACGGCGAGACATGAAAATCTTTGGCCCAGGAATTGGTAAACTTTGTAGCTTTGGCAGGAGCTTCGAAGCCATCTGGCACCGAGTCATCAGTGGCCTTCTCCTCAGCTTTCAGAAGATATAGTCGACGTTCTCCGAAAGTGTTGTTGACTTCCAAGACCATCATAACGAGATGCTTTGAACTGTCGTAGATGTACCAGAAAGATACCGGGTTGAACGAGTAACCCAAGAACTTTGGTGCTGTCACAAGATAGGCGAAAGACCAGGCTTCATCCTGGATACCCTCCCCGCGAAGATAGCATCTCAGCCGTGCTTCAAGTCCGCGCTCTTCTCCACCTCGATACAGATAGTCCGAAGCATTGACATCAAACCATCCTCTTCGTCTCCTACTCGGTGGCAACAAATCCAGATTGCTGGAAAGCATGGAGCCAGCACATCCCTTGAAGTTGACAGGCACTCCGACAGAAAAGTAAGAGTACGCAAACGAATGCTTCTGAGGAAACATTCGTGAGTGAGTAGTGCGTCCAGGCAGTAACAAAGGAGGTATCAACTGCTCTGTTGGAGACTCATCTGTTTGTTCTGGAGCCGCTTGATATGGCTCTGCTTCTCCTCTCCAAGTGATCAGACCAGCAAAGATCATCAGCAGTATTAGGAAGGCGAAGACCTTTAACTCCATGAACCTTGTTTCCAGAATCCATTGTGGAGGTTTTAATGCATCTATCCCGTGGAAGTAGAGTCCGATAGCTAGTACAGTCGCAGCATCTGTGAGACCAGTCGTGCTCCTTAATAGCCATAGTGGTTGTGTAAGCGCATCCCAGAGTGGTCGGATCGGGGATATCACACATGCATGTGCGACAGATAGTAACAAGACAAAGACATGGTATACGTTCCAGCTGACCATGTCATTACCGTTGTCAGTCTGTACCCCCATTCCGTTTTGACACAGCGGTTTGGCAGAGTTTGGATGGTCGCATTGTTTGATCAATCAGGTGGTTGGCGATCGTTGAAGCCTGAACACGCAGAGCCGCATCGGAAGCATCGGCAGTGTCAATGACGTCTCGCGACACGAGATATAGATTATTCTTTGACCAGACATCATCAACTTCCAAGTTTTGATAACTTAAGCATATCGAGGTTGTCAACACGTCAAACAATTTGTTCTGCAACAAGTTGCGTAAAGCAATGGTATATAAGATCGATCAGCAGTTTGCGAAATCCCGACTCCTCCATCATCAAACAACGAACACTGGATCAACCTCCTGCCACTGATCTTGCTGCAAGTCTCGCAGCTTCTCCTTTTTGTTCCAAGGAATTCTTCTATTGGCATCTCCAGTATAGGTCTCCATACCGCCACACCGACCTTGCATTAATTGCTGGACCTTTGCCAATAGTCGTTGCGGCGTCGGTCTCAGAAGCTGGCGGAATCTCATACAATCCTTTACAAGTCCTATCAACTCTGGACTGTAGTGGCAATTGCGATGCTGGAACAAACGGTCTTTGAGTTCTCGCCGATAGGGATCGTCGAAGTGAAGTTCGTCGGCTGGTGGGACTTGAGATGGCATTGTACGCCAGTCGGTCTCCCTAGAGCGCGAGGGTATTAGTCAACTGTAGTCTTTCATACAGACAAGAACGTGAACATGGGAGACTCACGGAAGGTAAACATCCAGACGCATCATGCAAGCGATTACCATGCCTATCTGCCAGACATTGGTCTTGTGTGTAATTTTCATGCCCGGAACTTCGTATCGTCCTCTCGGCCTGGCGAGTTCCTGGACAGCTGTTAGCTGGGTGATATTGAGTTTGTGGTCTATCTCTTGTCATTACCGGAGGTGTAAATGATACTTGCATGGCCTCTTCCCATTGTTCGAATCGATTTTTCGTCATGAAGTCGATGTGCCGCGACGAGCCAAAGTCCGACAACTAGGATATATGTGAGTACAATGCTCCAAATCGACACTGCTATCATGGCTTTACCTTGGGGACAGGCCAGATTTTGAATCTGTTAGGATCGCTCGCGCCCAAGAAAACTTGGCGGATTGGTTAGTACGAGACTTGATACTTGTGAAGACGCGAGAAGACTTACTATTCGTAGGACACAAGTCTCCGTGCAAAACATTCGCCCTCTCCATTGCTACCGCACACTTTGCCAATGCTTCAAACATTCTCCAAATGAAACCTTCGTGGAAAGGTACGTTCTGAATGACTTGTAACTTGCGCCGTTTGTTGCCTCCAGGTTTTCTTGCCTTTGTCACCCGGTTACGATTTTCTTCTCTAGTTTGGGCCTGGATTTGAGTATGCAAGTCGCCATGCGCACAGTATTCGAAATACAGTTTGTAGCTAGGTATACGGTAGGTGACGGGCTTTCCTGACAGTGGATTGCGTACTCTCGGTGGACCTCCTAAAATGTCTGCGTCTCCTAACAACGGATCGAGATAAGATAAAATCATGCCGTCGTCATCGTATCTGAAAGGATCATGTATGTTTCCATAACCTAGACATCTGGTAACAAATCGTCCATCTCCAGGATTGGCGGCTTCGAGTTGGTCGTACACCTCGTTACTGATCATGGCTTCTCGCGGCTCGCCTCCTATACGTCCATCTCGCCACAGGCTTGGAAGCGCCCAAGCCTCAGTTCCAGGAAATACGTTCTTGACAATGACACGGTCGATAACGCGATTGTTGGCATCGACGCAACACCAGAGGTGTACAACACCCAAGCCTCCATCTCCCAAAGGTTGTTCTTGCCCTCTGTCGTCACGGGAGGTTTGAATTGGCAACCACTCTCCCTGTTGCAATGCTGGTGCATTGCCTCTGTATTGCGGGCTTCTGAATCTCCATTTCTTCAAGAATCTCGAGGTCAATTCGTCTTGCACAGCTTGTGCTAGCCCTGAGAAAGGGTTAAAGTTCCCTTGTGGGAGCAGCTTCATGTTGTAGAGTGTGAGCGGTGACACAGATGGCAAAAGAGATTTTGTGTGCGGCTCCAATATAGGTCTCTTTCCCAGCACGAGAGTTCTTGTCCGCCGCATGCGGATACTGGTCTGTTGGAATTCGCAGACAAAGGGAATCGAACCGAAGTAAAAGCGTGGTCAATTTCTTATGGGGAATACAAAGCATGGTAGATCTTCTTTGTGCTTTCTTCGTGCTATGTAGATCGAACGGTCTGTTTGTCAGAACAGAAGACCATCTACACATCAAGAATAGATTTAATGCAGAACCAACGGCACACTGAGCGTGGGGTACTGTATAGCATCATGTCTAGATATCTCGTCCCAACAAATTTGACTATGATAATTCTAACAGAGAGCCAATCATGGTCTCAGACGAATATCAGTTTCTGTGCCAACCGCCCAGATATCCTTGAGTTTTCCTCGGAGTCTCTCTTTCTTATTCCACGGAATCCTACCAAAACCTCTCCCATAAGTATCAAATCCACCAACGCGACCATCCATTAATCGCCTTACTGCTTTCAATAGCTGCTTGGGACTTGGTCTCCGAGCCGGATCGTATTTCACACATGATCGCACGAGCTTTCTCAGCTCTACACTGTAGTTGGCTGAACTGTGTTGAAGCTTTTTGATCTCCCTTTGGTGTAGGATGTCAAAGCGGAGTTGTCGATCTATCGGTCGTGGCGGTTCGTCGTCAATACGAACGGTTTCCCTACGATTCGGTCAGTATGAGCTTTAACAAAAGAAACGCTGGGAACTAAGAGTGAAGGAAGACGTACGGAAGTTGTGGTTGCAAGCGCATTAGACAGCATATGATGAGACCAATGCTCCACACATTTGTCTTGTTGGTGACATACAAGCCAGGAACAGCCCAGCCGAAATCGGCATCGTCTCTGGTCAATTCCTAAACCAATTGTTAGAATACGTGCTTTTATAGAATTAGGCCAGCTTCTAGATTACCGGTGGTGTGAAGTACGGGTGCATTGCTTCATCGTGTCCCGTAAGCCGTCTTCTGGCAGCTCCATCGATGATTCGCGACGACCCAAAATCAGATAGCTGAGTTTTTTGTCAATAAGAGCTCAGATCATTTGGGGTATCTGTTCATCAAGCTTACCTTCGGTACAGGCCAGATCTTGAATCGCTCGGGATCACTATTGGATAGCAGGACTTGCCCATTGATCAGCTTCCTGTGGTACCTGGAGATACTCGAGGCAGGACTTACTGTTGCTTGTTGTGATATCTGAATGTACAATGTTGGATTGATCCATTGCCACGGCGCACTCTGCAAGCGCTTCGAATACCATCCAGATGAATCCTTCATGGAAAGGTTCCCGAGCCTCCCTCTGTCGTATGATGGCATCCCTTAAATCGCCAAATGGACAGTACTCAATATAGAGCTTGTACGCAGCTATAGCCCTGTACATGGTGTTGCTCGTCATTGCAGAAACTTCTGGAAGAGGATCCTGCATTCCACCATAGCCAAGGCACTGTGTAACGAATTTTCCATCGCCCGGGGCAGAAGCTTCCAAGTTATCGTAGACTTCGTTGCCCAACATGCTTTCTCTAGGCTCGCCGCCTATCTGTCCGTTACGCCAAACATCTCTGCGCTAAAAGGTTCTGGCTCCAGGATGTACTTGTTTCACAATAACCCGATCTCGAATGCGATTATTGTTGTCAACGCAGCACCATAAATGCACTATACCCATACCACCTTCGCCAAGTGGATGCTCTCCTCGCCAGAAGTGGGGTTGCATGGGCAGCCATTGTCCGTCTCGCAGTTGACGTGCGTTTCCAGTATGATCAGGACGACCAAAGGTCCATCTCAGGAATAGATCAACCAGTTTGTCTTTGGCACCATCGCGGAGACTGCCAAAGGAGCTCCTGTCGAAGTTTGGTAACAGAGGTTGAGGATTACGAGCTCGAGGCATACCGCAGAATTGGAGATGGTGATAGTCTCAAGAGAGGGTGGATTAATGTGAGTTTGGTGATCTTACAGAATTGTTGCGCTTCCATATTGGAAATCATCACTATCGCATTTGGTTGCCAGTCTTTTGCAAACGGAATCCGAACAAAGGCGAATTTGGTACCAAAGGCTTGTAAGGATTCTTTGTCATGATGGCTCTGGTTGCTGCCTTCACACCAGAACGAATTGTCACAGTTCGTCTGGACACAACGCTAAGATGGCCTGAAGTTACGCCAAATTCGTCAGACGAAGAATCTGCGATGGTCATTTACATTATAGATAGATGAAGAACAACTTGTCTCCACAATTGAGAAAGAGCGATGCAGCGTGCCTTCCAGAAGCAGCTCATTTCGCCAAGAAGCCCTGGAATGCTTTCTGGTCAATAACGACGTTGCCAACAGCTCTCAGCTTCTTCCTTCCTTCCTTCTGCCTTTCAAGCAACTTCCTTCTTCTACTGGTATCGGCTGCGTGAAGCTTTGCCAAAACATCCTTTCGGAAAGGCTTGATGGTTTCACGAGCCACAATTCTTCTGCCAGCAACAGCTTGAATGACAATTTCAAACATTTGTCGATCAACATGCTCCTTGAATTTTGTGACCCATTGCTTGCCGATGCGCTCGGCTTGACTGTGGTGACAAACACGAGCGACTGCATCAACAGGGATTTTGTTGACGTGCAATTGCAGCTTAATGATGCTAGATTTGCGCCAGCCAGCATCCTCGTAGTCGAGGGACGCATAACCTTTGGTCAAGCCTTTAAGCTTGCCAAAGAAGTCATCTACCAGTTGCGCTAGCGGCAGTTCGTATTTCAGAATGACTTGTGTTGATGTGAAGAACGTGAGCTCGTGTTGTACACCTCTGTTGCCTTCGCACAGTTCGATGACCTTGCCAAGATACTCCTCGGGCATAGTGATGGTGGCAAGGACAAACGGTTCTTGTAGCTCCTGTACCTTTTGATGCAGTGTGTCGGTTTCAGGAAAATCGTTCGGATTTGAGACAATTGTCTCTTTGCCCTTCTGGTCGATGATTTTGAATGGCACGGACGGAGGAGTGATGATGATACTCGCTCCATGCTCTTGTCGGAGACGGTCCTCGAAGACAGAGCAATGTAATGTGCCCAAGAAGCCAAGACGCCAGCCTGCACCCAGAGCTTCCGATGACTCTTTCTGAACATAGACACTACGATCGTTGAGCACAATCTGGTTGATGCTGTCCTCCAAGTGTTCGTAGTTGCTCTGGTCGACGGGAAAAGCAGCAACAAAAACCATGGGTTTAGGCTCCTCAAAGCCAGGCAGCATCTCCACAAGCTTCTCAGAGCCGACAGTGGTATAGGTGTCGCCAACTTTGGCATCTTGCGAACGCTTCATTCCAGGATTGAAGTAGATGTAGCCGACCTGACCAGCGCGCAGTACCGACATGGGCGTCTGCAGAGGATACATGATTCCGACCTCGCCAACATAGTATTTGATGCCAGTAGCGAATGATGTGACATGATCGCCAGGCTTGACCTGACCTTGGAAAATGCGGACCAGCAAGATGACACCCTTGTAGTTGTCGTACCACGAATCTACCAGGAGAAGACGCAGCGGCTTGTTTTCATCTCCAACAGGAGCGGGAATGTTCTCGACGACGCTAGGGAGCAATGCTTCGACATTGATACCAGACTTTGCTGAAACTAAAACTGCTTTTTTGGGGTCCAACTCGAAAGTGTCCTTGATCTGTTCAAGTGCGCGCGGGGCGTCGGCTGTAGGCAGATCGATTTTGTTGATAACGGGAACAAGAGTGAGGCCCTGGGAGAAAGCGAGGTAGAAATTGGCGACAGTCTGTGCCTGGACACCCTGACTTGCATCAACGACTAGCAAAGCTGTACGGACATGGTCAGCGCATGGATTCTGTCGAGATTGAGGCTACTAGGCAACGCACCTCCGCCGCAGCTGGCGTAACTTCTTGAGACCTCTGCTCTGAAGTCGACGTGGCCAGGAGTATCGACCAGGTGCAACATGTAGTCCAGGCCTTTGTGATTGTATAGCATGGTACATGTCTGGGCCTTGACAGTGATACCTCTTTCTCGCTCGACATCGAGCCTGTCCAGACTCTGGGCATTTCCACCTTTTTCAATGACACCAGTAAGCTCGAGCAGACGGTCACTCAAGGTACTTTTTCCATGGTCGACGTGAGCGACGATGCAGAAGTTGCGAAAGCGCTCTATAGGGATGGCGGCAATTCGTTTCTCGAGGTCGGATTGCACCTTAGCGGCCTGAGCTAGTCTGCAGGGCGATGCGTGGAAGAGGCGTGTATAGGCATGGTTGATTTTGGGCGCGTTGACGTTACACGCGCCTAGGCGTCTATGAAGGGCACGAAAGAAGCATGCTTGCATCTGGTCCTGCGGTCTGCCTGCCCGGGGGAAGTCGAATGGTCGTGTAGTTGAATGTAAATATTTCGAGTCTTGACTGCGCTGCTTTGCGACTTCGTCGTTTCTCGGCCCGAAGCTGTCCAAGCTCTCTCCCTGCCTGTCACCATCAATTCCACGACTCGCTAGCCATATCACTCTATCACACTGTTTACGACACTTTCTGGTCCATCAGACATCCGTCATCTTCAATTCCTCGGACTGCTACACTCCCTTGAACTTCGTCTTCTTCTCTCTGCACACTGTTGACCCGTGATTCACTGCATAAACAAACTAATCTTTTTCGTTGGCTACCAACATCTTGAACTACCACTGCGCTAGAACAAATCACACACCCATCATGCCTCCAGCAAAAAAAGAGCCTAAGGAGTCCAAGGAGAAGAACACACACAAGCTTGCTCTGAAAGGTGCGTTGTTCAGACGGACCATCAGACTCATCGAAAAATTAACCATGTCCAGGCTCTTCCAAAACAGTCACAGAATTTGTACATCTACCTCGACCTACTAATTCTATGGAGCTAACTTGATAACAGTTCGAGTATTGTATCAACACAATCCTGTAAGCTGATCGTCAGAGTTCGAACTGAAGTCTCTCCCTCACTGTCATAGGTTCCAGCGTGGTGTTTATCCACCTGAAGACTTTACAGCGTACGCACTCACATCCTGCAAGTATACCTTCTGTCTCTAACAAGGTTTGTAGAGTCAAGAAATATGGTCTCAACATGCTGGGTAAGGTGACAATCTTTACGATACCAGGTACTTGCAATGCTAACGTCTGTCACAGTCTCCCAAGATGACCAAGTCAAAGCCTACATCAAGAAGATCATGTCACAGCTGAACAAGTGGATGCTGAAATCGAAAATTTCAAAACTCATCATTGTCATCACCAGCAAAGAGACTGGCGAGCCTGTCGAAAGATGGCAGTTTGACGTTGGTAACACCCTGTCCTCGAGATATACCACTGAGCGATTGATCATGGTTTAGGTTCAAATATTCGGCAAAGACTCCAAGAAGAAGAGCTCAAGCAAGTCCGCCGATGAGAACGCTGCTAGGTACGACAAGTGTGGCACATGAACGCAGATAGTTGCTGACCGTGAACCTAGCACAACTGAGCAAGCACCTGAGAAGTCCGACCAAGAGGTGCAACAGGAGATACAGTCCATCTTCCGTCAGATCACAGCATCCGTTACCTTCTTACCCATGCTCGATGGCAACTGCACCTTCAACGTACTGGTCTATGCCGACCAAGACTCAGAGGTTCCTCTAGAATGGGGTGATAGCGATGCAAAAGACATCCAAGATGCTGAGAAGGTGCAACTACGCAGCTTCTCCACGAACAACCACAAAGTCGATACTCTCGTGAGCTACAGGTATGATTGTCACCATAACTGTCATATGTCTTGCTTTGTGACCATCTCTGACGTGCTCTCAAACAGATTGGCCGAATGAGCGTTGAGAATGAGGGACCTCGGAAGAAGCATACTGTAGAAGCAAGGTTCGGGCGGCATTGAGCGTTGAATTCCTCAAACAATAAGAAAATGCCGGTTTCTGCACTTACAAAAGGCATTTTCAGACGGTTGAGATCTGTGAGACAGGCCGAAAGCAAAATCTGTAGGATGATACGTAGATGGGCCGTTGAGAGAATCTGGCACTTCCCCACTCATGACTTGTATGCCAATCTGTGCTATTCGACATTCTTTCAAGAGCAGCGACGCTTCATGACAATCATAACTCTGCCCCTGATCGAATAAGCCATCTGTCAAGCGTTCGTGTCTGCATGCGAAGCCTCAGCCACGCCATGCCCAACGAACAATCTCCACAGCCATGATACCAGCTCTTCAGCTCTCGACGCACAAAGAAGTTTGATAACACTGGACTAGACACACCCTTCAGCTGCAGCTGCAGCAACGGTAAAGCCGCGAAGCGTAAATAGCTTTTACCTTCAACACGGGCGACGGGAGCGGATAAGAGCGAAGGAAGAAAAAGGGCTGAGATTAAAACTCGACCCAACCTATCCTCAAAATCCCATGAACCATGACTCAACCGAAAGCAGCGGCTGAACGCAAAGCAATATTGCACTGCAAGATTTCCAACTAAAAAAGACTGGGCGTAATTATTGCTCAGCTACATCTGTGCCTCTCAGCTGTTCCTACTTTTTTTCACTCATCGCGATGCACGCACGAGCATCCATGCACACGAAAGGGGGGGACCGTGTGCATCAATAGCTGATAGAGTGGAGTGGAGTCTCTCGCGCTATCATGCAATTTTTCCTTTCTCTTTTTATCGAGTACCTCCATGTGTCTCTATACTATCATGTGTTTTCAATAAACCCAAATGTGTGGGAATAATCGCGATACATGATGTGATGGGGTTCATTGATGCAAGGAGATCATCAAAAAGGCACGAGCCGAAACAGCGCGCAAAAGCACAGAGCTCGCGCGATCATCGCGTGGCTACAATTACAAAGAATTGAAATCGTGGTGCTGGCATTTCTAGGGTCGTTCGAGGTGGAAAAATGCGGTTCCCCAGCCTCTCTATATATCAAGGAGCAAGAATCCCATGAATGCGTTCGCATACAACAGTTGGATACCTGTCGTGTTCTTATCAAAACGTCGAAGCCGAACGGTGGGTAGGAAAACCGTGAGGAAGAATATTGGTGAGGACAGCCCGCCACGGCATCATGCATGAACAGACTATGAGATGCAACTCAAAATAGCATTGAACCTTGGCTGCGTTTAGTGTATTTTTGGGTGCCAGCCGTCGAAACCAAAAGCATGTTCCTTGGACCTGCATAAGTAACCCAGTACCATAACGCGGACTTCTCATCACAAGCAAGCTTCGGTCGTCAAAACACGGAAGCAACAAGACTTGTCAAGAGATCTGTGCCGTCGACAAGGTCTTTGATAAACCTGCCGTACGGGTATTGCAACGAGACCCAGCCTCTTGTACAAACGATCGGCCGGGCCGTTATGAGCAAACGCCAAGTGCACGGCTGCACCGGAGAACAGCTATCGAGTCGGAGGGCAGCTGAAGGAAAACACATCTGAGACATCGACGAGACCAGTCTCGTCATAGTCTACACCTGAGAGCCATGGCGCGGTCTCGCAGCTCGGTGTTCTTCGACGTGGCGAAGAACGTAGAAGGAAAATCGTTTCTGTTTAGCGACGGGAACAACAAAGCTTCGCGATGCGCGCTTGCAATCAGGTTTCGGCCTGCATGTGCCATCCATCGCGCGAGGCGCTATCCGCACGCTGGGTTTCGCTGGTTGCGATTTCCGTTGAGCAGGTGGTTCGCTAAAGGCTCCTGCCAATGCTGCATGCAGACATTCACCTGAGAATGAACCCCTGCAAAATGACGAATTTCCACATTTTGTCGCATGTCGGCGGGCAGCTGCGTGGTGAGACCACGAACTCGCACGATTGCATCTTTGCTTCGGGTCCTCCGTTCATCAATTCGAAATAGTCAGCCACGGACGGTCGATGTCGTTATTCCTCCGCACTGGAATCTCAGAGATCAGCAAGATTTGAATCAATGATCAACGCATGGCTTTCTAATCAGCTCGACGTGGAGAGCCTCGGCCGTTGGCGGCACACAGGATGCCTGCTAGATTGTGTCGAGAAAGCAGTTGAGCGGCAGAGACCTCTCGCCCACTTCTCACCGGACCATTGCCGATGTCAGGTACGCACCACGGGTGATAAGGTTAAGACAGGCAACCGATGTGCATGGCCGTTAGCGTCGCCTCGGCCGCCAAAATAGGACAAGACTTTTCACGCTACGCTCGACCGTGCTGGATCAAACCCGTTTTGGGACGTTCTGGCTCGGCCATGTCTGGCTTGGCCTCAGCAGCTGCTGGCATCTACACTATCAAATCCAATCTCTTGGCGTTGTGGTCTCGGACTACTAAGTAGTCGTGATGCCGTCCTCGACCACACCTTCTTTCCGCTCTTCTTTTTTCCTTCCAACTATACACTATCACTCCCCATCTTATCACAACATCTAGAGGTCTTTGCTGATCCTCATCCTCTCGTTTCGAGCTTGAGACAATATACTAGTCCAAGCCTTACAACAACTTGACACCCAGGTTTATCGAAGCATTCGACTCGGAACTTACTGGACGTTAATCAACAAGCTTGGCTATAGCCAGCATTACATTCATATCTTAACATCACATTAATCCTCACACAATGGGTCTTAAATCATATCTGGCCCCAGGCCGCAAGTCTGACAAGAAGGAGGAGAAAAAACCCGAGCTCAACGAGAAGGCTCCGGCCACTGGCACATCAACACCTCAACAAGCAGTCTCTGGCGCAGCAACACCCTTCGGATCAAGGCCAGTATCTGTGTTCCCCGAGGGCGATTTCCGCAACCACGCAAAGGAGGAAATTCTCGACATCAAGTGTGACATGATGGTCAACAACCTTTACCAAAAGCAGATGGAACTTCTCTGGACTGCTGGTGGACACGACGAGGGTATTCTGCTCAAGAAGTCAAGAGGAAAGTACGCATGCTGCCCTTCAGATCTCGAGAGCGAGCCTTTCGGCTTCTTCAAGGCAATCGAGACTCTCAACGTTAGAGTGAGTACACGCTCCTTCTATTTCAATTGCTCCTCTAATTGTGTCTCTAGTCTGCCATGACCGTCAACACTCGCGTTATCAAGCTGTTCCTCCACGGAAACGACAGCCCGTTCATCCCTCTGAAGAGTGGCCTTCGTCTCCAAGTTCTCCCCGACATGTCTTACCTGCCACGATGCGCTAAGCACCAGTTTGCTGCTTTCATCGCCGACCGTGGCATCCTCGTCGTCTGGGATGATGACCCGAGACATTTGATCAAGCGTGCCGAGGACATCGAGCAAGCACTTATGAAAATGGTCTGGCGTCAGGAGGGAGAAGAAGAGGAAGAAGAAATCTCAGAGAAGGAGAAGGCTGCTCAGATCAACATCGATGAGATTGGTGCCGACAGCGAAGAGGCTGGTGCGTTCGAGAAACCCCGTCGCATCGTTCTCACCCAGGCTATCTGCAACGCACTGACTCTTTGCCTCATTATCGTCGTCCTAGGCTTGGGTTGGCGTAAAGTTGCTATCGAGATTGGCTACGACGGTGGCTATGCCCGTATTGCCTTCCTTCTCTGCTTCCTGCCTCAGTTCTGGGTCTCGCTCTTCTTCTTCCAGGCTCTTGTCGGAAACCTTGCTCAATTGTTTGGTCCAATCTCTCAATTGACGTCCAACACCAAGTTCTACTCGGGTGTCGCCCCGAAACGCCTCAACGCTGATCTCGTCGCTCTGCCTCACATTACCATTCAGTGTCCTGTTTACAAGGAAGGTCTTCAGGCTGTCATCGAACCCACAGTCCACTCTATCAAGGCAGCTATCTCCACCTACGAGATGCAAGGCGGCACTGCCAACATCTTTGTCAATGACGACGGTATGCAGCTGATTTCTGAGGAGGAGGCTCGCGCCCGCCAGGACTTCTACGATGAGCACAACATTGGATGGGTCGCTCGTCCTCGCCACGACCCCAAGGGTGAGCACGGTGATCCCTTTGTCCGTCGCGGAAAGTTCAAGAAGGCTTCGAACATGAACTACGCTCTCTGGGTCAGCAACCGTATTGAAGACAAGATGAACGCAGCTCCCAAGCACAACAACTGGAGCAACGAGGACGAGGCCGAACTCTACGTCAAGGCTCTCAACGAGGTTGTCGAGGAAGACGAAGGCCGCACCTGGGCAGATGGTAACGTCCGTCTTGGCGATTACATCCTTCTGATCGATTCCGATACCCGTGTTCCTACCGATTGCTTGCTTGACGCCGCTAGTGAAATGCACCAATCTCCTCAGGTCGCCATTCTCCAGTACGCTTCCGGTGTTATGAACGTTACCGACAGCTTCTTCGAGAAGGGTATCACTTTCTTCACCAACCTCATTTACACTCAGATCAAGTACGCTGTTGCCAGTGGTGATGTTGCTCCTTTCGTCGGTCACAACGCTATCCTCAGATGGTCTTCGGTTCAGAACATTGCCTACGACTGCGAGGATGATAATCGCGAGAAGTACTGGTCTGAGGCGACTGTCTCTGAAGATTTCGACATGGCCCTTCGTCTTCAAAATGATGGTTACGTGGTCCGTCTTGGTGGTTACACTGGCGATGGTTTCAAGGAAGGTGTCTCGCTCACCGTCTACGACGAGCTTGCTCGTTGGGAAAAGTACGCCTACGGCTGCAACGAACTCCTCTTCCACCCTATTCGCTACTGGCCTACTCGCGGTCCCTTCACCAAGCTCTTCCGCAACTTCATCACCTCTGCAATGCCTCTTCCTTCTAAATTCACTATCATGGCTTATATCGGTACTTACTACGCTATTGGTAGCGCCTGGATTCTGACTATCCTGAACTATTTCCTCCTCGGCTGGTACAACTCTTACCAAGACAAGTACTACCTTGATTCGTTCCAGGTTTACCTTGCTATTATCGTTGTCTTCACCGGTCTCGGTAACGTCGCCCTCGCTATCCTCCGCTACCGTACCGACGAGCAAGGTCTAATCCGCGGCCTCCTCACCAACTTCATGTGGATTCCCATGTTTACCATTTTCCTCGGTGGACTTTCCATGCATTTGTCGCAAGCTCTTTTGTCACACATGTTCGGTATCGACATGAACTGGGGTGCCACTAGCAAGGAAGCTGAGAACACCACCTTCTTCAAGGAAGTCGGAAAGGTCATCAAGAACTTCAAGTTCACCTTCCTCTTCTGCATTCTCATGGCTATTGGTATGATCGTCTGCGCAGTTGCATTGCCCTGGAACTGGCGAATTACACAATTCTTCGCCATCTGGCCGCTTGCTACCGTTCTGGTCAGCCACTTCGCACTACCTATCGTTCTTAACCCCAACCTCATGCTTTTCACATGGTAGAGGGGTTTCTCTCTACGTTGTTGTCATTTCTTCTTTTCCTTCTTTCAACTTCATGTTCATGACGGCACACGATGCTCTCTTTGTCACACACCATTTCCATCTTTGCAGTTTGACTGGATCCAAGCGGCGGCGTTATGTTTTTGCAAGAACCAAAAACTCTCTTTTTGAATTACCACAGAGATGTTCAACCCTATAGACTGTCGTTTTCTTACACCCAAAGCGTTATATACCAGAGATCTTCTTATCTAATTTCTTATCCATTACAAAAGACCAATTCGCTATTATTTCTCTTGCCTGCTTATGTGATGGAGTCTGAACAGCCACTTGACAGTCATCTCGTATTCATGAATTCAAAGTCTAGACCTTTTGAGAAGACCTTTTCCCTCATTGGTGACGGATAACTCGGGTGGCTGGGGGTCACGCAGGGTCGTGAGAGTGTTCTTCGTTTTAAACGTTTGTGTTCAGCGGCTTCCTTGGTTTCAACGGCCAGTGTCATCCCATGGTACCTGATTGATTGATTCGGCGTTCTTTGTGTTTAATATATTCGGTAGGTGGCTGGGCGAGAGACTTGTCGGTGGCTGGGTACGATAAGGGTTCGTGAACTGTGATTGTTGCTGAGGGTATACATGACTTGAGTGGTATGGGTGGTGGTAAAGCATGACACCATGCCAGGGTTTCCGATGTGGAGATGGTTTTTTGAAGCTCATGTATGACATTTGCATGGGCTGTCCGATCACTGTCGAGTGGTCGGTATGATGATCCAAGTACAACATGAGCTACAGAGAATCTCTCTCTCGAGTTCAAATACCTTTGACGCAAAGACATAATGAGCTTGTCGTCCAGCACTCAACCAAAACCCAATTTACATTTCAGATCAAAAGGTTGCTGATGCACGTGGAAGATGCTGAATGCTGCACAGGAAGTGCTCATAGTGTGCCTGACGCCAATGCTATGCTAGAACAGTGTGGTGTGTAAAATGCTGTAATAAACCCATTCCCTTGCTGGTAACCTGCATTTGTCTGCAATTCGAACTCAAGCCAAAGAAACTCGAGACCATACTCTGCATGTAAACGCGCTGCTTCTGGGCATTCACACATCAACATCTTCCAAGAAGTTACCGATGAAAGAATCGCTAGGTGTCATGTCAAACACTTCGCCGTCCTCATCGAATCTGGCCAGCTCCAAGCCTCTGACAGTGACAAAGCTGCCACCCTCACAGCCGACAGCAGGATAGCCAAACTGACGCGTAGAACCTGAGCCAGATAGAACGACAAAGAGATATGCGGGGTGACCAACAGGGACTGGGTTGGAAGGTGCTTGCTTGTCGAAGTTTCTACGGGGGATGAGCAGGACGCTTGACGAAGGAGGAGCGCCAGGTTCGCTGCGAGAGAAGTCGCCGCTTTGAGAAAGTCGCGAGTGTTCATTGCCAAATGCCCTTACTTCCTCACAGAGATCTGAAAAGACTTTGTCCATCTTTTCGTTCATGTTCTTGAAAGTTTGTTCGAGAGTTTGTTCAAACTTGTCGAGGGTCTTCTTGATGTCGGCGAGATGCTCCTCAATGGTACCCAAGCGATCTGCGAGGACATCAATAGTGGAGCCAGGTGGAGAGACTTGGTCAGAAATGCAAGAATTACTGGACTCGGTTGCCTCGTCAGCTGCCTTCTCCTTCTGAGCCATGATTGGGCTTGAGGATGGCCCCAAAGTGCTGCTTGAATTGGCCATGCTAGAAAAGACGATTAGCAGTTGGTGAGGAGGTTTGATTCAGGCAGAAGGTAGTGCTCGTACCTCGCGAGGGCGTCGTGGTCCGATCAACGCGGTTGATATATGACTGTTTGGTTGGATTGTTGTATTAGTTACGTGATTTCCTGAGGGAAGAGAATGTGTGCGAACGTGAGAAATGCTTGTGAGAAGGCGCGTTGCGCGACAAGAGTGTGAACAACAACAAGAGCAACAAAGGGAAAACAGTACCGAGTGCGAGTGAAAGCAAATTCGGACAAGTTTTCCGTGTTGTACCACGGCATTTAGAGAAGGAAGGTTTCATGGCAACAAGAATCTGCATCTTTCAAAGCTTTACATCTTGCAGATTCCACTCTTGACTTATCTTTCGGTACTACTGATTTTCGTGAACCTTTACGATCATCATCACCACCCAGCCGAACTGCATGATATATTGCGATGTCTTGGTTCGAACCCCTGGAGCTGGCCATCAAGCTCTACAACGATGGCAACAACGAGGTTTGCGTTGCGCAGGTTGAAAGCATCTTGAATGACTCACTGCCTCCTTACCCACGCATGCGCTGTCATATCCTCCTCGGCCACGCGCCTGATAATTGGTACGAAGCTGAGGTATGCGAAACCAATTCTTTTGAGGTGACAATTTTTTGACTCACTGTTACGCAGACAGCACGCTTTCGAGCCGAGAACTACCTGGCACACTGGCACCTGCACCGACCGGCTGCCGGCACTCCTGCCAGAGCTCGGAGGGAAAGGCTCGAAAAAGAGATACGCGATCTTCTCGATGACCTGGATGAAGAGTTGAGATCATGGAGACCTGACGACTGGTATGAGCATCAACTCTTTTGGACTGAGGCTGACGCACAAGACCGCAACGTCGCTATTACTGAAGCTCTCAAGGAGTGGTACGGTGAGCAGGTCGAAGGTGAAGATGCAGAAGAAGAAGCTGCCGAGGAGCCCGAAGGTGAAGAAGAGAATATTGTTAAATAAGCCGAGGACGAAGGAGAGGAAGATGTTGAACAGGCTAAGGACGAAGAAGAGAATACTGTTAAATAGACTAAGGGCGAGGCAGAGAAGGTTGCTGAACGAGCCGAGGGTGAGTACGAGAAAGTTGCTAAACAGGTCGAAGACGAAGGGAAAGTCGCTGCCGAACAAGCTGAGGGCAAGAAGTAACTGGCAGCTGAATAAATCGCGGACGATGAATAGAACGCTATTGACCTGTGACCTGAAGCAAATCAATGTACTCAGAAAGGAAGTCGACGATGCTTTTGAATGAGACACTCGTGGAACGCCTGCCATTCAACCTGACATCAATAACGCTTCTGATGCGCAAATCAAGCCTACTACTCAATTAAAAAATGGTTTACTTGTATTACTTTGTCGAGGCTAGAATGAAAGGAAGTTGCTCCAAAGGGTCCGCAGGTCAAGTCACTCTTGCCAAGACCACACCCTATACCACCATCATCACGACAAATGCTCCATCAAGCAAACACGAACAACCAACTCAAGACAGATGAGTTTATTTTTTTTTTCGTACACGGAACAGAGTAGCTATGCAATGTGAATAATGTCCGGGTTGAGATGGGTCCAATTCAAAACCAAGCCAAAGTTTTTACCGAAAGTGGAAGGCACAACGCTTCGGATGAGATGGAGTCACATTTGGACCTTTGGAAGTGGACATCAACGGAAACACAGGTTCATCAATTCAAGTACAATCGTCATAGGTCATGTCTAGCTAATACGCTCCCTCCTCAACATCCAGAACGGAAGCCTCCGCAGCAAAGCTTCAAGAGCTGGAGGTGGACGAGGTCTCAGCACGCTGAACAGCTCCGAATCTCTGGTTGCCCTGATCGAAGACAGCGTAGATGCTACGCAAGCACACGTCACCAAAGATGTCCATCGTCATGTTGCCACGGCTTTGAATTCCACCGTAAGTCATGCCATTTCCAGCATCGGCAAAGCCCAGGGCATCCTTGTTGATGGTGTATTGGTGATCACCAATGGCAACAGTGACAACAGGAAGATCAGAAGCAGCAGTGTTGGTAGGGAAGACATAACCCTGTTGGCTTGAGTCGTACTTGGATCCAGGAATGGCAGCGTAGACAGCCTTCACCAGGGAGTCGTCGACGAGGCACAAAGTGGTGCCGGTGTCCATGATGGCAGTGTTGTTGTTACGGTGAATTTGCTTGCCATTGACGTGAGCGGATGTGGATGAGATTTGCCAGAAGCCTTGAGAGTTGTCAACAGGGGTGTAGTTGACGGTCTGGCCGTTGGTGACAGAAGTGTCGATGTAGCCGAATGTGTAGAAGCTGTCTTCACCACTCTTGACTCCAGAGAGGTAGGCGGTGAAGAGTTCAGCACTCTGTGGGATGTCATCCTGCTGAATCATGTTGGTGACTGGAGTATTGACAGGCTCAGGCTGGACTGTGTTGATGGAGCCCCAAGCCAGGCCCAACAGACCATCACCAGCGCTCTGGACAAACTGAGCAGAGATCTGGTTGGCGATTTCGACAGCCTGGTTCTGGATTGCGAGACCGCCGACGGTGACAACATCAGTACCCACAGTACCGCTTGCCGAAGACTGGTCTCCGTAGGAGATCTGCCAAGTGCTGCCTTGAGAGTCCTGCCAGGTGCTGCTCTGTGATGGGTCAAAGATGGTGTGTCCAGCCTGAACACCTTGAGATTGAGTGCTCTGATCAAGACTGGTAGACCAGACCCTGATCGATTAATTGATTAGCATCTTTATGGTAGTAAATAATAGCCACGGTACAACTTACCAAAGGTCAGATGAACCAGTGTCGAAATCGAGGGTCAGTGTCTGAGCAGGGGTACCAATGGAGACTTGACAGAGGTACTCAGAATCGTTCTGCTGGTCTTCGGCCGTGACTTGGCCCTGGTGACCAGTGCTGAGATCCTTCTTCATCAGAATGTGCTGCTGTTTCGAGTTAAGTTTATTGCACAGTGCTGAGATGGTCTTTGTAACTCACTTTGACACGAGCCTTGCCGCCAATGTGAGTAGCGAACTTGCTGGCCAGGATGGGCTTGCCGAGCTGCTCCACAACATTGCCGACGAAGTAAGGTCCATCGAGAGTAGGGATGAAGTTGTATTTTCTGAGCAGGTAGACGTAGGATTTGATACCAGAGCGCTGGTAGTTAGGGTTGTGAATGAGCTTTACACGAGAGAGGTTGTGCTTGATGCTGGATGACATGTTGATTTGTTACTTTGGTATGAATTTGATAGTTAGGAAAAAAGGTTGATGTTGGAGTGATGGTGCAGGTTGATGGCAGGCTCAAATACAATCGATCATGTTTGCGGTCACCGAGCAGATGATCAGGGAACTTCAGGGAAGGCACCATCCTGTTTCCAGATGCTCCACTTGTTTGGGAGCTGCATGTTCACGCGGTTGCCGATCCAAACAAGTAACGGCGATTGGGCAGTGCTTGATTTGCACGAGACAAGCTTTTAGGGTCACTGATTGCCCCTGTGGCTGCCTGTTGCTCAGGAAGCTTGTCATGTCTTCACTGATCAAGCACAACTTACTCTATTCCACCACTATGCATCCATGGCAGAACAGAGAGTCTAGGCTTGCTCGATAGAGTTTCGGTGTAGAGGCTGTCCAAGAATTTAGTAGTCAAGTCTGCCAGCCCACAGACAGAACAGGAAGGAGACCTGAGGATGTGGGGTGTCCATTCCGGCACGGTCCTTTCCTCCCTTCTGCCACAACCCGACACCGCGCGTCGTCACCATGCGTTCCCTGTAGATGAGCTTTGATTCATGTGCCTGTTTGACAGCCCTGGAAAAGCCCTCAGAGGTGTTCAAATCGCTATCTACACCAGACACGCGACTGGTTGCCTGCTCGATGGTGTTTGGACCTACGTCATAAGAAGGCGGCTGCTTGAGCTTCGCCAGCGGCGGCAGCACTACTCCCTAACGTACGTAGCGTTTGACAGCAAGCAAGATTTGTGCACTAGACATGCAAAGGCGTGATTGGGTGATTGACTCATGGCAATCCTTATCTTCGGCGTCACAAGTGCACTTCTGGAACGGTCAGTCAGATGATGAGACGGCACCACTTGTCTGTGATGCTCGTTTCTGCAATGCATGCATGATTAGCGACTAGATAGCTATTTACTACAGGTTCTCTTGATCGAAATGACGACGTCTACCCTCCGAGACTCCAGTGTGTAGATGCAAGTCTGATAACGCCTCTTTAATAGTTGAAACCACAGATGAATGACGCCAATCCATGCAAGCGAAACCCCATGCTCATGCAATACGAAATAACAAAGGAAGTGCTTCGATCGAAAAAGTGTATGCTGCCTCGATCGTCATCAATATTCGTGTCGATATGTGCAAGTATCTCCTTTCTGGCATTGTCCCTTTTTGAAGTACTTGCATGGCACCGTGAAGCGCTTGTCGGTGAATGTGCCTCCCTTCTTTCCAGGCTTACCGCGGCGCATGTGGTCGTTGTTGTTATCTCCGCCGCCTTCACGCCAGCGACGACGCTCTTCGTTCTCGTACGGAGGTTGCTGGTTCTGCTGCTGTCCCGGAAATTGACCCATGTTGGGCATAGGGAATCCAGGAAAGGGGAACTGGTTGAAGTTAGCTCCCGGTCCACCATTTTGGCCTGGGTTGAGCTGTGAGAACAGGGCTGCAAAGGCAGCTGGGGATGGATCCATCATAGGCTGCTGTCCAGGATTGAACATGTTTGGCGCTTGAGTCTGAGGGTTCAAATTGGCAAAGATGCCAGCAAGATCAGGAGCCATGTTGGGCTGTGCAGGCTGCTGGATGGGCTGCTGAACATGCATAGGCTGAGACTGCTGCTGTTGAGATGGCGCCTGTGGTATAGATGCCAGAATGCGCTGGATCTCTGCCATTTGATCTTGATTCTGGCTTGGTGCTGAGATCGATGGAGGAGCTGAAACGGGCTGAGCAGGTTGGGCGGGCTGAGGAGCTTGACCTTGTGGATTAATCATGGCCAAGATCGCAGAAATGTCAGGGCCAGCACTTGGTTGCTGGGTCTGCGCAGGTTGAACGGGTCCAGCAAGCTTTGCAATTCTCGTCTGGGAAGGGTTAGTGACAATTGTGTATGAAGAGTCGATGTGAATACATACAGCAAGTGGCTCTTGAGTGCCCACAGCGCCGAAAGCTTTTGTGCTGACCTCTTCGCCATTGTAAGGCTCTGCTGGCTCACGTGGGCTGGGTGGAATATCACTTGGATCTGTGTAGAAGACCATCAAGGTGCTAGCCTCATACTGCTCACGTTTAACACGCTCTGCAGACTCCGGCTGGAGATCGCCACCAGCGTAGCGACTGTAGTTCCTCTTTCGCTCTTCGACATCGACGGAGCTGAAATCAGTCACTGGGAAAGTTAGTTGCTGGCTCGTTTTCAACACGATTGCTATAGTCAACTTACACGTCGGCGTGACATATTCTCCAAGGTTCTCTTCGCCCGTAGCAGTATCGTCGTCTTCATCAATGTCCATCATGTCCTTGTGCTGCTTGAACATCCGGCCCTCACCACCAACATCGCTGACATCGCGAATCATGCTCGCGTCATGGCCAAGTTCCTCCTCAGCGTCGTGATGGAAGATACGGGTTTCGACAAGCTGACTATCAGGTTTGAAAGTGACGCGAAGCTTGCGTCTTTCCTCTTTGCGTAGGCGCTTTGCCCTCTCCTCTTGCGTTTCAGGCGCCTGTTTCTCCTCGGTCTTCGAGGGACTGGGTTCCTTCTCCTTGCTTTTGTTCAGGTTTGCCATTGTCTCTGCAAAGGAGAAAGCAGGCTTGGCGGGTGCTGCAGGAGCTGCCTTCTTCTCGATCGATTTGCTATTGAACATGAGTCAGGGTGAATCTTGAACAAACGGTTCTAATACTTACATGGCAGCGGCCACCACAGAGGGTGTCGTGGTCTTGGCAATTGCCTTCTTAACGCCTGCGCCCGTAGAGGCAGAGGTGACTGACTTGGTGACAGCAGGTTTCGCTTTGACAGCAGCGCCGACGGCGGCCTTTGCAGCAGCACCAACAGCAGCAGCGGGTTTCGAGTTACTGCCAACGGGAAGCGCACGCTTGAGAGTGGACGGCTTAGCAGCTGCATTGCCGGTCGTAGGTGTCACAAGCATTCTCTTCGAAGCCTGATCGGAAGATGCACTGCCAGGAGCAGCACGCTTGACACCAGCAATGGGCTCAGGAGTGGGTCTGTTGCTTGGAGGCGATTTGACGCCTGACTGCTGTTCAGTGCTCGCTTGGCTCTCTGCGCCGCCTGTGACATTGCCCTTTATACGTTCACAGAGATCATGAGTTTCCTTGTTGCCGTTCTTGCTCAGATTGCTGATGCACTTGCCCAACTTGGTCACGTCGTAGGTTCTTGCGGGGAAGGTGTCGCAGCGCACAAGTACCTGAAAAATGTTAAGGGGATACACATAGTAGATAGCAATAAATACGTACCTCGAGGATTAGGCGCGTCAGAGGTCCGTCGTAGTCGTTTTTCTTGATTCGATCAATCAAGAACTGCGCAAAAGAGGCCATAATCTGAGCATGTTGGCCAAGCCTAAACATTTCGTTAGCAGACGGCCAGATTACTTGCATGCAAGAGTGCTCACTGTGCCATGATGTCCCTATTTCCATGATCAATCGCAGTTTGCAGTACGATCTTCAACATCTCAAGCTGATCATTGACCCTGCTCCTCAGAAGAGGTAATTCACTGTTTCTCTTGCGATCAATTGCGTCGGTGAGAGCAACAGAATCAGCCTTCCATCGGTTCTTCACGGTTTGCACAACTTCATTGAATTCTACCATGCCAGTTCTAATCCTGTCAGCGACAATGCCAGTATGACGGCTCTCCCAAAGAGCCTTGATAGTATCATATCTGACACCTTCGCGAGGGTCATCGGGTCTCTGTGCAGGTAGAGGGGATATCTCGGGCTCCTCGTCAGAATCTTCATCTGAATCATAATCTGATGACTCCGACTCAGAATCTGACTGCTCCTGCTTCACAGGCTGTGATCGGCCAACCGAAACCGAACCAGTAGGTAATGCAGCAGGCTTTCTCTCTTTCTTTCTCAATTTTTCTAGGCATTGTCAGCTGTTGTATTGACTATGTTGTTGGAATGGCTAACCTTGAAGCTTAGGATCATTCCCAGCAAGACGGCGAAGCTCAGCTCTGGACTTTCTGCGTGCTACTGGTGCAACAGTTGCTGTGTGTTGTTAGTACGAGCCTGAAATGAGTGAGTAAGTTTAGGGACACTAACCTCTGTTGATGGGAAGCTCAAATTCGGTCTTGCCGATGTGGGTGAATGAATTCACCTGACTAGAGTTGGTTGCTTCGTTGAGTTGATCGATGTCCTTCATCCAGAAGTTTCCAGTGCGAGTACCGGCTGGGATAGCATTATGCAGTGCGGCCTGGTCCGCTGCGGGTGCTGGAGGAATGACTCTAGTATAGCTCGAAGGATCCGTGGTGGCAGGACGCGAGTATGACGGATCCAAAGCCTGGTTTGGACGGACAGAGTGAGCACGTTCGTGCTCTAGAGCTTGTGGGGCAATAGTGCCATGTTGCATCTGTTGCGGTTGACCATATGGAGACGGACCAATTTCGAAAGATCCATTTGTAGCACCGGACACCAACGAAGGATCATATGTAGAGTGTGAGTATTGATGTGGATTTCCGTAGCCGGCAAAGGAGGTTGTTTGAAGGTTCGATGGGCTCTTAGTAAAGGCTTGAGGAGTGTAGTTGTCTAGTCCGGCATTCGACTGCCAAGGCAAGTATGGATCTGATTGAGCATTTTGGTTTGGAATATGGGAGGTAGCGTCGAAGCCCCAGTTGGCGAAGTTATCATTATCTCCGCCATTTGAGAGAAGGTTGCCATATTCATTGACTTGATTATAGCCATTCTGATACGATGAAGATTCATGGCCATGCGGCGGCATGTGGTGATGGCCGTCCATGATTGCGATGCAGCAGATGTGTTCTCAACAATGACAATGTTCTCAACGCGGGATCGAGCACTGTTCCTCAAGCGGTATGTGCGAGGCTGACAGAACCAATCACAAACGACGACAATCTGCCTTATGGCTTGAGATTACGTGAGACGGCGGCTCAAATCAAGTGGGAATGTCTTGTCGGGGCGATGTAGAAGCGCTGGCGACCGTGTAGAACTTTGTGTGAAGAAGCGTAAAAGTGTATGGATGTCGATACTTCTCCGAGCTGATGCGAATCGCGCACGCGCAAATGCCTCGGACAATCGCGCTGCTGTTATGCTAGGCAGCCCTTGACTGGGTGTGCAAATCAACAAACGTCGCTCCGCGCTGCAGCACAAGAACGCGACCAAGGCTCGATGTGGCAACAGAAGGCCGCAAAGCAGAGTCCTTCAGGACAATTATTGATGATAAGCACCACTGACCAGAGCCAGAACGGGCTTGTCTTTCACCGTAAGCAAGTAGCAGCCTAGCGGGCGCAAGTCACCGTCGCAAAAAAGAACCTTGCGCACTCGTAAGGAGAGCGAGCGCTTATTCTGCTCAGATCCCTCCGACTTGATCGTCCGTCACTTATTAGACCACAAATGACAAACTTTACAGACGGGCGTTCAAGCGCCTTGCATTAGTGATGGCAACGGAGCCAAGGGAAGATCAATTTCACAGAAGGGTTGGTTGATGAAATGGTGTTGTGAGGTGTGGAGGAGAAGTTGGCAGACGGGGAAGGGAGAGGAGCGCAAGCTTGTTGGAAAGTCGCAGAGAGAGAGAGAGGGCTTGGCAGAGAGCGGCTGTCACCGCCTGGCTCTCATGACGCTCTGGCTTGCTTGTGAATCTGGAACCATCTTCATTCATGTGGGGAGACGATGCTATGAACGTGTTAACTTATTGAAGCTTCAGCTTGTTTGTCTCGTACCCAGGACAGCACACACATACTTCTTTCTCTACGTGTCTCACTGGGTGAACCCATCACGCAACACACGTCTGGCGAGCTTTGTATGCACTAGAGTCCTCGGGTCTGGCAGAAAGACCTGGCCGTTCGAGCAACATGACATCCCATCACAACTCCCTTCGCGATCGTCAAATTGGTAGGCAGACTCTCAATCTCAGCACGACTTTGTGTGCTCACATCGCCAGCGTCCATCGAGAAGGTCTTGAACCTCAACCATGCCTCCCCAGAAAGCGCAGATTCACAGCACGATGCCACTCTTGCCAATGGTCTCGTAACCAAAGCCACTCCTATCCTCAATGCCGACGGCGAACCAATCTGGAAGGTACTTGTCTTCGACAATCTAGGAAGAGATATGATTAGCAGTGTCCTCCGCGTCTCAGACTTGCGCTCTTGGGGAGTTACCATACATCTGTACGTCGACGAATTCAGCTGCCTGCTTCTCCAAGCCCTGCGCATGCTGAGTCTTACTATAGACCTGCTGCTGACAGCAACGTGTCAGACCTATCACCTCGAAGCGTCACCCCATCCCTGATGTTCCCGCCCTCTACCTCGTCGAACCTACCCCTGAGAACCTGAACATAATCGCTTCCGATCTCGCCAACGGCCTCTATTCCTCTGCATACGTCAACTTTCTCTCGTCAATATCGAGACCTGTGTTGGAGGATTTTGCCGCACAGATTGCCGCAGGGGGAACATCAGAAAGTATCGAACAAGTCTACGACCAATACTTGAACTTCGTTGTCAGCGAACCCAACTTGTTCAGTCTGGGCATGGGCAAGGATGTTTACTACACCATGAACAGTGCGCAGACTAGCGATGAGGAGATCGATGCGAAAGTCGATCGTATCGTTAGTGGTTTGTTCAGTGTAGCCGTGACCATGGGTGAGTCTAGCAAATGCTCCTGCGACCCTTGTGCTGATCAACCCAGGTTCTATTCCTATCATTCGATGTCCAAAAGGCGGCGCAGCGGAGATGATTGCAGCCAAGCTTGACCGTAAACTGCGCGATCACATTCTGAATGCAAAAGACAACCTTTTCTCCGGCGCCAATGCTCGCACTAACACTGCAGCTGCCACCCCAGCTTCGCGACCTATCCTGATCATTGTCGACAGAAACCTTGACCTCGTTCCCATGCTATCACACTCCTGGACATATCAATCGTTGGTTCACGATGTGCTCAAGATGCACCTCAACCGCATCACAGTTGAGTTACCAGGAGACGATTCGGATGCATCCAAGCCTGCGACAAAACGAGCATACGATCTTAACACAAACGATTTCTTCTGGACCAGAAATGCAGGAGTTCCATTCCCACAAGTCGCTGAAGATATCGACACCGAATTGACCCGCTACAAGGAGGATGCCAACGAGATCACTAAGAAGACTGGCGCCTCCTCAATTGAAGACCTACAAAATGATACTTCGACCTCAGCTCAGCATCTCAAGGCAGCTATCACCCTTCTGCCTGAGTTGCGCGAACGCAAGAACATTCTTGACATGCACATGAACATCGCGACAGCGCTGTTGAAGGGTATCAAGGAGAGACAGCTAGACAATTTCTTCCAGTTGGAAGAAGACATCAAGAAGCAGACCAAGGCTCAAATGCTGGAGTTGATTACAGACTCTGACAAAGGCAAAGAACCTTTGGATAAACTCCGAATCTTCATCATCTGGTTCCTGAGCACCGAGCAGGACGTATCTCGTGCAGACATGGATAAGTTCGAAGAGGCTTTGCGCGGTACTGGAGTTGACACCACACCTCTGACCTATGTGAGACGGTAAGTAACACTTTTGCGCATTTCTTGGATGCTAGTTACTGATACTGTGTAGTGTACGAGAAATTACACGCATGACCATGATCTCATCCGCTCCCACTCAGCCTGCTCAATCATCAACATCGAACGATCTCTTCCGAGGCTTCAGCTCACTCTCCAAAGGATTGACCGACAAGTTTAAGGAGGCTGGTATTGGCTCGAACTTCGAAAACTTGATTTCGGGCGTCAAGAACTTCCTGCCTGCCAACAAAGACCTGACCCTAACCAAGATTACGGAATCATTGATGGATCCATCCAACGCCAGCACGAGCGCGCTTCAGAAGACAGAAGGGTATCTTTACTTCGATCCTCGCAGTGCAAATGCTAGAGGCACGATGCCGCCATCAGCGGCTCAGGCTAGAAATCCTGGTGGCAGCAGTGTGACGCGAGGCATTGAAGCAAGCTTCGGTCAGCGGAGACAGGGTTACAGTGAGGCTATTGTCTTCACAGTTGGCGGTGGCAGTATGGACGAGTACGGCAACTTACAGGACTGGGCCAATAGGACAAGTGGACAAGGAGCAGCAGGCTCGGTGAGCAAGAAACGTATTGTGTACGGCAGCACGGAGCTTGTCAATGCGGAAGACTTTGTGCTCGGGGAGTTGACGAAGTTGGGCAGCGAAAGCGCATAGACGACCTTCAACTAGCTGTATGAGAGTGGTAAGCCCACCTACCTAATTTCAATGTATCAAAGAGGCTCTTCTCGTGGATCTTCGAGGTAATTGCCCATCTGGTATGCAAATGCTTGGCCGCGGGCCGTCAAGATGATGGGTGTTCGGGGAAGGAGCTTTGGCCACTCCCCCGGGTATGACAGCCCCAATGACATACACACTCAAGTGTCTGGAGAGGAGTCAGTCTATCTCTAATCCTCCTTTGCCTTTGGCGACTATTAGCACTGCGACTGCTTGAATGTCCGTCGTCCAACATCTGCCGTTTATCTGAAACCGTCAGAGCGTTTCTCCCATTCGATCCTGCACAGAACGTCTTCGCCAGCACACGCGTTGCCCGCATATACACGTCCCTCGGCCGCTGCCTGTTCGACACCTGTCGACGCCAAACAAAGCAGAATTCAATGGCACCTCGTACATCGCTGAAGACGCTCGTGTCCAGACGCAGGAGAGCCGATGGCGACGAAGATGAGGAATCTGTTACTGGTGTCGACGACTCACAGAGCGAAGCCTCGGTCGCCAGTGATCTGGACAGTACGATTGATACATTAGGTGCGGATGCCGATGCCAGCGAGTCTAGTGAGACTGAGAGTACGGCGCCGGCACCGATCGATTCGGCAGTGGCGAAATCTGGTGGAAAGACTGGACGTACACGTTCGAAGAAGTCCAAGGGCACAAGGACAGACAAGACAATCTCGAATACCAATGGCGATGAGCATATCAAACAGGGATCCGTCACTGGAGAATCTGTTGCAACTGACATTTCCGCCAGTGCGGCCGGTGCGCCCATTGTCTCATCCGAGAGTGGTTCAGCAAGAAGAGGGGAGACGGTAGCAGATCGTCGAAGGCGGGAACACGACGACTATAGAAAGAAACGAGACACAGACCCGACTTTCATCCCCAACAGAGGCAACTTCTTCATGCACGACGCTCGTACATCGGACCAGCGAGGCTTCGGGGCATACGGTCGTGGCAGAGGAAGGGGAAGAGGCATTCCCCAAGCTCCCAGCAAGTATGTTTGTGCGGATCTGTCAAGTTGGTAAACAGTGCTAACATCTATCATAGTTATGTGCAACCAGCAGAGCGGACGGCCGATGCGCCATGGACACATGATCTCCATGAGACGATCAACGAACGGGGTGGTCCACCTACTCGCCAACGACCATCACAAAGCCTCAACAATCCCCCTGATAGCGCTTCTCGAAGCGTGCCTGTGGTTCAACAAAAACCGCTAAACTTTTCCAAGACCACTCAAATTGGCAGTGTGCAGATTCGCGTTTGGTTACCTGGCATGGCCTCGGCTATTCCTTTTGCTGCTGTACCGGTCAATTCACACACTCGACTGCCCGATCACAGGCCTCCCCTTCGTCGAGACAAGCCTGTACGCGTATCTCTACCTGATCACCCAGTGCGCTATGTCTTTCCAGCTGCTGAGCGTTCTTTCATCTTTATTCCGAGAGCACTAAGACCCAACCAGCAAGGCTTCGGCAAAGCAAGAGGTAGTTTTGGTGCATATGGGGCTCCTTCGAGCAGACGGCCTAGTCTCTATGGTGGTAGTGTGTACTCACAAGCCATGTCCATGAGTCGCAGGTCTTCATTGGCTCGTGAAGTGCCTAGAGATACGGCGTTTTCTCCTACCGGCTCTTACACTGCTCGTGCTCCTACTGGGCCTGGTCGACCAATCGTACGCTTACCCCATGCTGGATCTCATCGATCGTCAAACCCGTCGCCTGCTGGGTCTGCCTACAGTCGTTCGTACCCTCATTCTTATCCTCGACCCCAGACGCCGGCCGTCGAACACTGGGCCGAGCCAGACACTGTACATCAACCTCGCCCTCAGAAAACAATTTCCATGACTGGGATTGAGTCACCTGCTGGGCTTGCTCTTCATGCTCCACAGCAGCAGGAGCAACAACCATTCCACAATCAGCTGCCTCAACACATTGCAGAAGGTAGTATTAGCACTCTGTCGGCTTCTTCTGATATGGCACCTCCCCCACCCGGCCCATCAGCATACATGTACCCTGGCGGCACACCACTCTCCAACATTCCAGAGAGGGCAATTCATGCACAGCCGTTCCAGCCGCCTGCACCTAACTACTATTCATCATTCGCCTCTACTGGATACTACTATCCAGGCCAGCCCACACAATATGGTGCCATGCCATCTTACGCCCCACCTACAGCACAAGCAAGCTATGCGCTTCCTGAAGCGTCTATGGCAAGCGATCCTCAACAGGGAACCATGGCGCATGAGAGCAATGGCATGGTGTATTATACACAGATGCCACAATACACATCTCAGGATAGTTATTTACAGCCACAGAGCTATGCGGTTCATGGCATGGGTGGCATGATGACACCGAGTCCAGAGGGTGCTTATTATTATGCTAATGCCGGCCCAATGTTCTACTCGCAAGCTCAGTAAACCTATATTCGCATCATCAAAAACTACTACAGTTGTTTGGTCCTATATCAATCTAATACCCTCTCTTGTCGCCATAGGTAGTCATAGCAGATGTAGAGGACCCGCACACGGCAAACGAGACAGGCCTCTGAACATTACAAGTATTGAAATAACCATGAAGTAACGCGTTAATTGATTGCATGTGAAACGTCACCAGTATTAGTGGGTACACCTCGATGCAAGGCAGCGATTGGAGCTTGACTCAGCGGCAGGCGGAAGCGCAAGACGGCGCGGGGAAACGCCGTTAGGTCCGACAGTCTAACCAGCAACCAACCCGCGACCACTCGCTCACCTCCACATCTACACGACACCTCGTCGCTAACCTTTCTCACTCCTCCCTCGTACCATCATCTCTTGTCTATCACAGCTGTGCTGTGTTCCTGCGTGTGCTCCTTCTAGAGCTCGACACCTAAGCACTCTCACCACACACTCATCCTCGAGCCACCGCCTCCAGCCGAGGCTGTTGTACGTCACTAGGCTGCCATCCACACGCCGCTCGACATGCCTTCGTCTACAGGCCCCGTGAACGAGGATACCCTCATCACCATCAAGATCTCGTTCGACGATTGCACCAAGAGACTCAAGCTGCCGCTCAAGGATCTGAGTGCAAACACTCTTCCTATCAAGGTACTATCAAGCTTATCGTCACATGAAAGTCGTGCATTTCGACTGATCATTCTCACAGCTCCGCCACCTTCTCTGCATCGCACCCGAGCAACCCGTCATCTTCGAGCGCTATTCCGACTCCGCTGGCGGATATGTCGTCCTTGATGACTCCAACCCTGCCGTCTTCAAGACTCTTATCCGTGCTGCCAAGGCTAAGCTCAAGCTCAAGCTAAGGGCTTCCTCTCCCTCGCAGCACTCCAAGATGGATGCTCCTGCTTCAGAGCCATCTATCGCTCCCTCTTCCTCGGTCGCCCCTTCAAGAAGCGCCACTACTCTCGACCAACATTCTATCGGTCCCGGAATCTTTGAGTTCCGTGAAGCACTTAGCTCCATGAAGAAGTCCGACATCGAGGCTCCTCTCCCTCGTCCTTTTGGTAAGTCGAACATCGAGACCGTCTATCCTGCAGTTGTTGACAGATCAGACTTCACTGCCAACTCAGTCGCTCAGGGTCCCAAGCATGTCCTGCCGCTCCGTGTCGCCGCCCCAGTCGAGGTCGCCAAAGGACCATGGACTATCTTCTGCAATGCTTGTGAAAAGATTATGCCCAATGTCCACTATCACTGCAGTGCCTGCGACGGCGGTGACTACGATCTCTGCGAGACTTGTGTCAACCAGGGTGTCTCTTGTCTCGGTGAAGGCCACTGGCTCGTCAAGCGCTCTATCCAAGATGGTAAGCTTGTCAGCAGCACGACAGAGCGCTTCGCTCCTAAGTCTAAGACGACCACTGCACTCGCACCTACCTCTTCGCCTAAGCCCGAGACTGTCAAGGAGATTCCTGGGGCCTTTACCGAAGACATCCATCCCCTGTCCGAATCATCCCGCACTTGCAATGCCTGTGTTGTGACGCTTCCAGACCGCGACTTCGTCACATGTATTCAATGTGATGACTACGACCTCTGCTTGAACTGCCACACCATCAATACCCATGGCCACCACCCCGGTCACCACTTCAAGCCCGCGGTCGATGGTGCTGCTCTCTCGCTTGCCCAGGAGGCCCTTCTGCCCGCTGGCCGCAACTTCAGACACACTGCTATCTGTGATGGTTGTGACAAGATGATTCATGGTGTGCGCTACAAGTGTTTCGACTGCCCTGACTTCGACTACTGCAGCGAGTGCCTCAAGAATGCTCGTCACACTCATCCTCGTCACCGCTTCGCCGCCATTTATGAGCAGTTCAAGGGTCGTCCTGCCTCGTCTGTCACCCACCACGGCATCTATTGCGATGGCCCTCTTTGCAAGGGCAAGTCGCACCAGTCTTACATCCAAGGTGTGCGATACAAGTGTGTCGTCTGCCACGATACAGACTTCTGCCAGAATTGTGAAGCTCTGCCTTCTTCTTTCCACAACAAGACTCATCCTCTCGTCAAGTTCAAGACTCCTGTCAACCACTTGACTATCTCGACAGAGAGTGAGACCAAGCATGGAGTTCGCAAGCTCGGTGATCGTGACCCTGCTCGCAGCTCGAACACTCCTGCCATGTTGAGCCGTGGACAGTCAGCCAATGCTACTGCTCCAGTCAAGACTGTCGCTGATATCAAGCCGTCGCCTCAAGCGGAAGAGAAGGTGTTCGACGAAAAGAAGGCCGAGGAGAAGGTGGCAACAGTTTCTGAGCTAGCCGTGGCCGCTTCTTCGCCCAAGGCTCCTTTGCGCCTGCCCGAGGCTGTCTTTATCGCTGACCGTGTTCCCGACGGTACCGTCATTGCTCCTAATGCTCGCTTCGTTCAATCTTGGACCCTTCGTAACCCCGGCCCCCTCTCTTGGCCTGCCGGTTGTAGTGTCCGCTTCGTTGGTGGTGACAATATGCTGAACATTGACAACACACACATTGCAGCTGCTTCCGACATCGCCGAAGCTAGTGAGAGCAACGTGATTGGTCGTGAGGTCCTTCCTGGCGAGCAAGTGCCCTTCACCGTGACGATGAAGGCACCTGCTCGTGAAGGAAAGTGCATCAGCTATTGGCGTCTCAAGTCTGCAGACGGCATGCCTTTCGGTCACAAACTTTGGTGTGACATTGATGTCAAACAAGCTCCATCAACTATTGCTGAAGCTGCATCCATGCCTCGTTCTCCCATTACCGTTCAGCCTTCGCCCCAGGCACAGAGCTATTATGCTCTGTATAAGGAGCGCATGAACGCCTTGAAGACACACCTTGACCAGACCAACGCAATGCCTGCTGCCGCTGTTACATCAGACACAGTCTCGCAGGAGGCACAGCAACCCGCTAAACCTGTCGCGCCTGAATCTTCCAAGACTCCTGCCGAAGCAGAGGTTGAGGTGCCCGAGTCAGAGCATGAAGAAGAGTTGAAGGGCAGCCACATGGTGTTCCCCACTTTGGACAAGGAGAGCCCTACGAGCTCAACCTACCAGTCCTTCAGCGGCTCGGGTATGAGCAAGAAGGCACACGAGCAGACCGAGCAGGCCTCTCAAAGCTCCGAAGTTGCCGATAGTGTCGCTAGCGACGACGAGGGCTTCGAAGACATTAGTGATGACCTCGAAGTTCTCAGCGCCAACGAAAACGAGGATGAGTCTGAGGACGATGGCTTCCTCACTGATGATGATTACGACATTCTTGACGCCAGCGACCAAGAGACTGTTGCATCGATGAAGTAGAAGCAGCGGCTTTTTTTAGACTGAGTGGCGAACTTACTCGACACGAGCAACTCGCGTTTGACTTCTCTTTTCTTTCTTTTTCCCTTTGTTCTCTTTCGGGTCTCTTTGCTATGAAATTGCTGGATGGTGGGATTTGATGGTCACTCTCTAAGGGCTAAGGATTTCTCTTTGAGAGGATGGATAATGGGGCGTAGGGACACACACGGACTTTCCTTTACAGCAAATGATTCACCTAGTGCAGGTAGTTTTTTTACTCTTCTCTTAATCTCTTTTTACAGTGCTTGCCCGGTGGAATGTTGTAATTTGAAGAGGAACGTGGAGTCGTGAAGGTGAGATGATTATGGGAGATTCTTGTGCGACCAAGTCAGGTTGTAAGTTGTATGACCCTGCTTCTGACATCTTACACTTTCCATCTTCGACAACGACACGCAGTATGGCTTTTTACTGCTATGGTATGAAAAGGCAACTCAATGAAAGTCTCTTCGATTTGCGAGATAGGTCTGTTGCTGTATTTGGCCTATTTCTGAAGAGAACCTCGCAAAGTTCATGTTTAGCAGAAAGAAGCACGTTGGACTATGCTATACAGCTTCAAGATCAAGTGTCCCAGACCACCACGCTTGCAAAAACACGAGCCAAAGAAAAGATTGACGAATACAGAGTGCAAATAAGACGACCAAGAGATAAAACGAGACAAGAAAAGGATCCATGAATTAAGCAAGTTTGAATGTGTAAACATAAGAACAAGAAGGCGGCATACAAAGAAGCAATAATCTCACAATCGACAGAGATAATAGGTATGTTAAAGAAGAGATTGAGATGTAAAATATGTAAGTTTTTTTTATTCGTAGCTTCGTACTCTACGTTTCAAAAGAGATCTATAGGAACAAGAAAAGTCGTTCTTTGAGATGAGTAAATGCTGATCAATCCAGCCTGCCAAAACGCCTGTGCTGCTGCTGTATCGCGAACATCCTTGCTTTTCAAATGCGATATTTTTTTTTGTAATAGTTGCGTTTCTTCCTCTTCAAATGTCAATGTCAATGCCCAAATCCATATCGGCAATGATGTCTTCATCTTTGGGCTTCTTCTTGAATCCACCCAGTGTTGTCTTCTTCAGCTTGTCGTTGATGGGCGTGCTGGTACCAGTACCGTTGGCAGGTGTACCTGTTCTGCTGATATCGCTGGCGTCGCCGAAGAGGTCATCAGGAACTGCGAGCAGCTTCTCCTTAGCAGCCTCTGCTTCCCTGCGTGCCTTTGCAGCAGCCTCCTCTCTGGCTTTTTGGATGATGCGCTTCTCGGCCAATTGTGCTTTACGCACGTCTTCACTGTTGGCTTTGCGATTGGCGCGGTTGAGCGCGGCGAGTCGTTCCTGTTGTGCGAGTTTGCCGTTTTGCTTTGCTGCATTGGCGGCGGCTTGTGCTGCTTTGGCTGCACTGTTGCCGGACCCCAGAGCTGCGAGTTCTGCATCGCATTTGGCGACTGTGGCTTCATCACCACGGGATGCTGCTTCTTCACGGCGTTTCTCGATCTTCTCGCGGCCGTAGTTTGCGAATTTGGCTTGCAGGGCGTTTGTGCGGTTGATCTTTCTTTGGATGTCTTCGTCGGTCCATTGGTATTCGAGGAGAGCGTGAATGTCGTCGAGCTTGGAAACCAGCGCTTTCTTAGAGGGCAGGCGCAAGGAGTCGGTAGCCAAAGCAGCCTTGAAACGTTCGAATTCGGGCTCGGTGAAATTTGAGTCGGAGCAGGCGATGAAGGGCCATTCCTTTTCAGCCTTGCCGTGGGCTACAACTGCGTATTGATCGGTGACGAAGGGCTTGCCGTTCAATCCTTCCATTTGGTAGGGCTTGCCAGAGGTAAAGCCTGCAAGGGTCAGCAACGTTCGAGTTCGTGCGCAGATGTCATGACAAACCTTTGATCTGAGCCATGCGGTACTGTGGTGCTCCGGTTTCGCGATTAACACCAATGCTTACACGAGCATAGCAGTTCCTAATGCTGGACTCGAAAGTTGGGTAAAAGCAGACTCTGGCGAAGTTGGTACGGCCGATACGAGCACGCTCGAAGTCGCGCAAAGTCGCAGGGGCTTCGTCGCGTGCAGCAGCAGCTCGAGGCTTCTCATCCCACTCAACCTCGCTGTCACCTTCGGCGTCTCTGTCCGAGTCGGCATCGTCTCGTGAAGGAGAGCGGTCTCTTCTGCGATCATCCTCACGGTTTCTTTGTTGGCCCTTCATCTCTCGCTCTCTCTTGTAAGCTTCCAGAGGCCCACTGGCCTTGACCTTTGGTCTGCTGCTCTTACGCTGGTCATCATCGTCCAAGTCGGCGGCAGCAGCCTTGCGCTTTCTCTTATCGGCACCAGCTTGCTCTCTCTTGCGTTGTTGAAGGATCTTCTTGAGTTGTAAATCCTGAACTCTTCTCTCGACTTCTGCAGCGCGTTCGGCAAGGATTTCTTCTCGACGGATTTCGGTCATGGCCATGACTTCGGCGCGATCAGCCTCGGAGCGGAACTTGCCCTCGATAGGGTACAGAGGAGCATCCTGGTCGAAGTCGATGCCGTCTTCTGAGTCGGATTCGTCCATGGCAGCAGAGCCTAGCGAGCGAGGAGATGATGCGGCCGAGCTGAGATGGCGATCAGTATGCGAAGTCGAAGAGTGTAGCAAGGCAGGCAGGCTGGAGAGAAGCTGAGAAGGGGAGTATGAAGCATGTGGACTTACGCTTCACCTTCTTCCTCGGAGTCATCCTTTCTTCTTCTTCGCGCAGCAGCAGATGAGCGCGACTTTGATTTTTGAGCAAGAGAGCGACGAGGGGGAGAGCGATCGGGCTCTGAGGACAAGGCGGCATGTTCGAAGGGAGACGAGGGTTGTGTCTGTCTGTTGTCCGGTCTTTCGTCGTCGGAGCTGTCGTCGCCAGCAAGGGCAAGAAGCTCAGCATCAAGCTCGTTGTCAGACATGATTGGAGATGTGTGGTTGGTTGTTGGGTGGTTCAGGAGAGAGAGGTATTAGTCGAGCGAGGATCGAGTATCGAGGGCGCGTCTGAAAATGGAAGAAGGATGGAAATGAAGGAACCAGCCTTGAGATGTCGCAAGACGTATAATCGGCGTGGCTGGGGACAATAATTAGCGCGACAATAGGATGGAGAGTGAGAGATTGAATAAGTTCAAGAGAAGCAGCGTCGACGCTTCAGTTGAGCGACTGAAGCTTGCCAAGCACGTCCAAAAGTGTCACGAATCGATGACATAGAGACAACTAAATGTTGCTTCACTTTCTGCAATCCCAATCTTCACACTCAACATCCTTGATCTGTCGCCTTCACCTGTTTGGACAAGCCCGGAAAGACGAAACTTCACTCGACTTGTCTTGAAAACAATCACAATCGAAATGTCACTCCGTCAGCTGAGCCGGTGCAGCAGGGCCATGGCCTTCTCGCCTCGTTCTCTGCATATCGGCTCTCTGCAGCATGCTGCACCTATCACAACCTCGTCAGCCCCGCCGAGTACCGAACCAAAGCCCAAGACTGTCGAGACTGGTACTTCAGGGAAGAGGAAGCGTCCCCTGACTGCTGAACAAGAACGCTTCCTGGATTCTGCTGTATGCTAGACCCATGCACGACATAACAAGTTCAATCAGTCTTACTGTTTCTAGCTCCGAGTAAATCAGACTGGTGAACTTGCTGCTGTTCTCATATACCAGGCACAAACTCCACCCACAGTCAGAGCACATCCCCATCTCCGCCCGCTCATGAAACACATGTACGATCAAGAGGCTGGTCACTTCAAATACTTCAACAAGATCATAGCAAAGCATCGCATCCGTCCGACAGCCATGACTCCAGTATGGGGTGTTGCTGCTACTGCCTTGGGTTGGTCCACTGCCATACTAGGTCAGGAGGCCGCAATGGCCTGTACCGAGGCTGTCGAGACCGAGATTGGTGAACATTACAACGCACAGGTGCGAGAGCTTCTGGCATGGATGAAGGATATGGAAGAACGGGGAGAGGAGCCCGGCGAAGAGATGACCGACTTGCTTAGCAACCTCCGAAGAATCAGAGACGAGGAGCTTGAGCATCTTGATCACGCCGTCGAGCACGATGCAAAAGAGGCTCGTCCATACGAGCTCTTGACCAACGTTATTCGAGGTGGCTGCCGTGCAGCAATTTGGATTAGCGAGAAGGTTTGATCATATCGAGGGGCTCCTTCTGTGAGTTCTTCCGCACCCACATGATTAACCAAAATTTATCGTAATCCAAAACCCCATCGCACTTTCTGCATTGTTTCACTCGAGTTCTGTCAGAGCTCCCAACAGTAGGTCGTCGTTGAGACAATAGCCACGATTGAATTTGTTCAATAAGAGAGACCAACAACAATACTATTGTCGGCAGTCTCGTGTTATTGTTGAGTGATATTGTGCTTGGTCAATACCAGGCTCACTTGTCTCACTCATGCAGCTGTTTCTCCCAACTTCTACATCTTATGCACCACAGATTTGCTTCAACATCAGAGATACCACTTCGCAGCAGTGTGTTCCATCCTCATCTAACCTTGCTGAGCCCTTCCATTTCTTCTCTCCATCCCTGTAACTCCTGCCCACCAACTTCTCACTCTTGCTCATCACCATGGCTTCCATTTCTCGTCGACTTTCTCCCAAAGCTCTCGCCAAACACCTGCGCGAGCTCGGGTTTGTGAACAAGCTGATCCGCAAATTTGTGGACTCCCCCTACGACGTCAACTATGCTACGGCTCTGCTGAAATCCTACTCGCCACCATCTCGCAAACCTAGAAAGGGCAGGTATAACGACCTATGTCTTCACAAAGGCGCGCGCAACCAACGTAAGTCGATACTCGAGATGACAGACTGTGTCCCATCTCCGTACTGAGCCCTCCCAGTCTGGGTGGTCTACGATCCGCTCAAGCACAAGCCTATCTTTGACAACGATGCTCTGATGCTCACCGTTCGCTTTGCCATCTTTCAACCCGGCAACCCACGTCTCATCGAGTACAACACCAAGACCACATCTCTTCGCATCCGCTCATCAAGAATAATCGTGGGTCAGCAAATTAAGTACACCGCCAACGGACCAGTTCTCGAGCCCCTGGACCAAGAAGAAAGCGACTATGAATCCAAGCCTGCCACCACTGCCACTACCAAGAAAGGACGGAAAGCCACCAAAAAATCGAAGTCCAAGTCTAGCAGCGATTCAGAGCTTACGGAGATGGAGTCTGATACTTGATCGACTTTGGAGGAGCTACGGTTCGCAAAGATGGCATGCACGAATGTTAATCCTGATTAGATGTTGGTTAGACCTTCACCCCTGCCTCACCAATCACAACTTCCTTCTTTCTATCCTCCTCCCAATCGACCATGCCTTTTGTCTTTTTCTTTTTTTTTTTTTTTATTTTAATTCGTAGTTTCCTCTATACTTATACAACGATATCACGTATCCCATTCCTGCTTCCTACCTCCAAGACTGCTGTTTATTCTCTCGCTCAGACCATCAGCAGCCATATTCTTTCTAAACATGTCACACAAGTACCGAAGCGTTCTGGTCATTACTCCGAGACCGAGAAAGACGAGCGGGCCAAAGGAGAAGCGCCCTTGAAAGGCATGCTCTCATTACGATCATTACTTTTTTCTGTTGCACACCTTGCCAATAACACTCAATCGATCTCAGCAACAGCTATCTGCTTACACTTATCTATTCTTGATTATCGTTATAGGAGGAGAACTCCGGTCTAAAGATTGGCACCGGATACCGGGTACATGTACTGTGCTGTACGTCCGTTTCGATCTGCCGATCGGTGGTGTTTCAGAACCGATAGCAAACAGGTACAGACTCGATAGAGAACGTTACAGTGAACATCTCGTGGCTTGCCTTTGTTTCGCTTCGTGTTCTACACGAAGTCGTCCTACTCGTGTCTGTTGTGGAAATCCGTCCAGATCCTGAGTGCTAGATGGTCCTAAATCTGGACTCTTCATCCCGACGATGTTGAGCAAACCTGCCAGATACCGAGCATCCCGCCTCGGCTCGGCGGCTGAATGATTATCAAGCAGAAACCCCGTTCGATAGCACAACTCTGTTCTGTCAAGTCACGTGCACAAAAAAGCGGCCCACCATTCCTGGCACCTCAAAAACGTCAGTCTCCCTCGCGCCTTGTGCTTTTGCGCCAAAGACGTCACTAAAGACATCATCGCAGCAAGACGACCAGCACCGTGCGGTACAGCAAAGAACGCAACGCGCCTGTACGATCATACGCCGCAGCGATCAATTAATCCATACAGCCTCACCACGGTGGCATTTTGAATACACGCGCGTCTGAACACTCGAGAAGCTTTCGCTGAGAAGAAGCTCACCTGTTTTTTCGCGCGCGACCGAAGGACAATTGCGTCACCAGATTTTCAAAGGAGGAATACGCAGCTACCCAGCAGAGCCTCAAGTCGGAAGGCCTCAGGCAGAGACTCGACAAAGAGACATCGAATCTTTACGCGTCGCCGCCGACCGTAGAGCAAACCATCTCGTTGCCGGTAAGTCTTTTTGCCACTGAATGCGACAGGAGCGGAGTGCGACGCGATGGCGCGAGTGGGGACCGAAAACCGACTGACAGCCGGAGCCGCACGCGCGCACGCTTCGTCCAAGAATATATGTTGGGGTGCCGGACTGACAATATTGTTTTGACAGAAACATCGTTTTTCGAAAAGGTTGCTTTTTCTGATTGAAGTCGGAGTTTCTGGCCTGTCAGTTTGAGAGTTGAGAGTCAGGAGGAACACCTCCCAAGAAGCCCAGCCAGCCAGCCTATCGCACCAGCTTGCAGAAAGTGCGATACGTCATCGCCTCTCGGCCACTACTTCCCATTTCATTTTCCATCACAACAACAAACATGTCTTCTCCAGCTGACTCGAAGACCAAAGATGTGTTGAAGGTAGAAGGTAAGCAGGCTTCCATTTTTATTATTGTTGTCCTGTCATGGGTTGTGGTGCTTAGCATCATCCCCGCCTGACGTCGCCTTGCCTCTTATGACGCACGAGAGGATCTGATGACGATGAATGCCATTTCATCTACCACGTACTGACGCGACTGTCAATCGTAGACACTTCAAGCCAAGATAGAGCACCCTCTCCTTCGCGTCAAGGTATGTGATGATGCCAACTGAATCGCGACTCGAGTTACTTGCTGACATCCATCTCAGACAACAAGCAGAGCATACCTGCTATTAACCAGCCAGAAGACACCAAAGCATCTGGCGACGGCGCAAAAGAATCTAACGCTACTTCGACCAATGCGCCGCTTGCACCTCCACCCGTTCCGAATAAAGCCTCTAACGGAGACAACGACTATTTCAGTGGAGCTCACAGTGCCGCTCATCTAACCAAGGAACCTAACCCTTTCGAAAGCGCTTTTGGAGGTTCTACCGAGACTCCTGGCAAGCCTCAACTTCCTGGAGTCAACAGCCTGACATCTCCTGCTCCTCTGCTTCCCGGAACTACTCCCAATTGGCCTGGCTCTCTACGTTCAGGACCTCTTAGCCCTGCCATGCTAACCGGCCCCGCAGGGTCGTCCAACGACTACTTCAGCAACGACCATCACTTTGGCGGCAGTTTCCCTACCCCTAACGAGTCGTCTCTCAGGACTGGTCTGACTCCTGGCGGCGGTGGGTCTATGTTCCCCCAGCCTAGTCCTAACTCGCAAGCAATCTTCAACGCAATTCAGAGTGGAGGTGCCACTCCTGGTACTCTAGACTTCCACCGTACTGCTATGCACGCACGCGCTTCTCAGTCAAACGTGAACGGAAACTTCAATATGCCTCAGCCACCTACTTCCGCCGCTGCCGATCCTAACATTCAGCCCAACCTTGACAGCAAGGGCTTCGGCCAACAGCAGCAGAGCGATACTTTCGAGCAGCACGATGCCAACGATGCTGCCAATGGTCTCTTCATGCTTGCCCAGGCCAGGGGCAACAACCGCAACCAACCTCAGCAATACCCGCCACCTCAGTCACAGCCTCAGATGAACTACATGGGCAACCCTCCACACCTTCCTGGTGGCCTCGGCCAACAAGGACACGACGGAGCGGCCAACATGTCAGCCCGCGCCAACAAGAACTCTATCGGCAGCAACCTTTCGGGATCAACACAGAACGAGCACGGCAACTTCTCCGATAGTGACGGTGGAGATGTCAAGCCCACCAGAGGCAAGGGAAAGAAGAACAATAACACCAAGAACGCAAACAACGGTAGACGTAAGGCCGAGGATCAGCCCAAGGGATCCAACAAGCGCCAAAAGACTAGCATGGCATCTATGGACGAGGACGATTCTGACAATGACGACATGGATATGGAGAGAGGAACGGATAACAAGAAGATGACCGATGAGGAGAAGCGCAAGAACTTCCTCGAAAGGAACAGGTACGTGCCCGAACAAAAAGATGTATGACCTGGAAGATGCTAACATCGAAAACAGAATCGCTGCCCTTAAGTGTCGTCAGCGCAAGAAGCAGTGGCTGGCTAATCTCCAGCAGAAGGTTGAAATCTTCTCAACTGAAAATGACGCGCTTGCCGCCACTGTCACTCAGCTGCGTGAGGAGATAGTAGGACTCAAGACTTTGCTCCTCGCCCACAAAGATTGTCCTGTCTCGCAAGCACAGGGGATCAGCGGCATGGCAATGCAGAGCATTGCTGGTGAACCCCATCAATTCGCTAACCCCTATGGCATGCAGATGCCCCAACATATGCAGCAGGGAGTACCATCGCAGGCCAACATGCAGAGACGGTAGTCCCCTTTCTCATAGAACAGCCAGAAATAAGTGTTACAGGGGCGTTTAAAAGGCATGACTGCAAGGCAAGGCAAGCTATTCAGCCAACAGCAGTATGCGATAGCTCAGGCAAATGCTGGGCACAGGCGTAAGGCTCTTTTTGGAGTTGGCGCACTACTACATTCTCTCTCGCCAGCTCACGACTCCTATCATTCAACTTGTACATCTTTCATTGAAGGAGCGTTTTTCCGCGCTGCACAAAGGGTTTGGCAAACTGTGGGAGGTGTGGGATTCGGCGTAGTATGGATTGGTTTTTGCTTATTAAGTTTTGTAACAGTCCTTGGTTTTGTTTAATTATACACGAATAGTACTTCATTGCAATTACTTCTCCAAACGCTGTGTTGTTCAGCCAAAGTTTGTAGGATTTCTGACAAGAGGAAGAGATCGGTATAGACTCTCAAGCTCGGGCTTGGCACAAACAACACGTCCTTCTTGAAAGGCGCGTCTAGAGCACAGCACAATTTAAAAGAATCTAGCTTCTCCATCATCAATGAGCGATGGAAAATCGGGCGCAGCGCGTGGATAACGCGCTGCAACAGTTACTCTTTCGATTGATCCCATGGAACCAAGATGACGATGAAGCAGTCGAAGACCAGCGCTTCGACGAGGCACTGCAAGCGGCCAGACAAACATTAGGCAGGCACGCTCCTTTCGTCGCAGACTGAACAGGAACACCAAGCTGACTGGAGCACCACGCGCAGATGACCAACCATCTTCGGCAGCCGCAGACGATGTCCATCACGCCGCCGACTTGATCAGACAAAAGCTGGTACATGAGAACAGCCGCCCGGACAAAGCCCTCCACTTCTCCAACCTTTATTCGCGACTGCTGAGCCAGCCTGTCCTCGACCGAAAATGGGCTATCTTGTACTTCTTGTATCGGCTCTCAGATTCTGAGGCTGGACCAGCACCGGATGCTGTCCCCTCGCCTACACCCCGCCCGCAACCTCCCTTGCGACAACAGAGCAGCGACGCCCCTGCTTTCAACGATGCCTTCTCTCGCAATGGTCTACCCAGAGTACCCGATTCCGAAGATCCAGAGCCCGTACGATTATCACAAACTCGAGAAAGAATGCCTCTACGCGCATCAACACGCTCAATAGAACCCTCACCAGAGCCGACATACTCGGCAAACCCGCTGGATGCGCCAACCGAAGCTCAATTGCTGCGCGACCTGCCATTTACATTGCAAGGTCTCTCCTCGACCAATCTCGCATTCTCCGATTCTTCGCTCAAACTACCTTCAACGTTACCTGTGCCTATAATAAGTTTGCTTCACACGCTTGCCGAGCCTTCGCTACTTTACCGGAGTCTATCAACATTCGTCGAGTCTTCTGAAGGCGGTCTGGTGGGCCAAAGTTTGCGCTCTGCGATCGGCGTCGAGTTGAGAGCATATCTTGGATTGGTGGCCACGCTCGAAGCGCAAATCAGAAGAGCCTTGACCCAATTACAAGAATCGCCAGGAAACTTGGGTCTGGGAAAGGCTGGCGTGACGTTGAAGCGATGTGTTGTGTGGACTCGTGAAGCGACAATGGGCTTGAGGTTGATGAGTATGATGGTCGAAGAAGCAAAAGGTAGGAGTTGCGTCGTCATCATAGGGATATTGGCTGACAATTCGACAGAGAAGAAAGGAGGCGAGCTGATATCGCTCATACACTCCTACGCCTCATCACACGGCGATCCCTTTGTGTACACTTTTGCGGAGCGACTCTTGATCCATGTAACCCGGCCTTTCTATACTATGCTACAACACTGGATCTACGATGGCGAGCTTGAAGACCCTTTCCTGGAGTTTTTCGTCTACCAAAACCGTGATGTTGACTTGGACTCTGACCCTCGTCGTGGTGGTGCGACAAGTGTCTGGGAAGACAAATATCGTCTCAAGGACAGCATGATACCTACCATCATCACACAGGATTTCGCAAAGAAAGTTTACCTCATTGGCAAGTCACTCAACTTTATCCGCTATGGTTGCGGTGACTCGGCTTGGGTCGAGAACCATAGCAAGAGCTCTATGCGAGAGCTTCGTTATGGCGATACAGCTACACTTGAATCATCGATTGACTCCGCATACAAGGGCACCATGGCTCGTCTCATTTATCTGATGGAAGATAAGTTCAAGTTGTTTGAGCATCTGGCAGCACTCAAGAAGTACCTCCTGCTGGGACAGGGTGACTTTGTTGCCTTGCTGATGGAATCTTTGGCATCAAACCTCGATAGACCAGCCAACAGTCAGTATCGACACACCTTGACTGCTCAGCTGGAGCACGCCATTCGTAACAGCAATGCCCAATACGACTCCCCCGATGTGCTTCGCCGTTTGGATGCTCGTATGCTTGAGTTGTCTCACGGCGAAATTGGCTGGGATGTGTTTACACTCGAGTACAGAGTTGATTCTCCTTTGGATGTTATTGTCACTCCGTGGGCATCAAAGCAATACCTCAAGGTCTTCAACTTCTTGTGGCGTGTCAAGCGCGTCGAGTTTGCATTAGGAAGCACATGGCGGCGAACAATGACCGGTGCTCGAGGAGTACTTGGGGCTGTCGGCGACAAAGTAGACGCCGACTGGAAGAATGCTAGAGGTGGCATCGCAGAGATGATCCATTTTGTCTCACAACTTCAACACTACATTCTCTTTGAGGTCATTGAGGCTGGCTGGGAAGGACTGCAAAAAGCCATGCGTACACCGGACGCCACTCTCGACGATCTGATTTCAGCCCATGGAGCCTATCTGCGCAGCATTACTCGCAAGGGCCTTCTAGCCCCTTCAGGCTCACAAGCCTCCTCATCCACAGCACCAGATTTTACAGCCCAACTCCACGAACTCCTCAAACTGATGCTAGCATACAAAGATGCGGTCGACAGCCTATACTCATACTCGGTAGCCGAATTCACACGCCGTCAAGACCTCGCTGCTAAGATCGAAACACGCACAGCAGCAGGCACCTGGGGCGTGACAGAAAAAGACGAGAACGAGTTTGGCTCCTCGCACATGAGCAACACCCACAAACGCAGCTCTCGCCACCCCAACGACCGCGACAATGATTCTCCTATCCCGCCTTTACTTCCCATCACCTCATCTGGCAATGCAGCAGCCGACGAAGCAGCTATCTTGTCTTCACTGCGCCAACGCTTGCACTCTCTAGCTACAGACTTCAGAGCTCGCGTTAATATCTTGCTTGGAGATTTGGCGTATCAGCCAGACGTGGATATGAGGTTTTTGGGTGTGGTTATGAATTTCAACGATGTGTATGCACCGGTGAGGAGGGGTGGGAGAAGAAGACAGGGCACGCATCATCAGGAAAGAGAGGTTAATGAGAAAGCTGCAAGGGAAAGGGGGAAGGAAAGGGAGAGGGAGAGGGTCAAGAGGACGAGGGAGGAGGGTGAGGTTCATGGGGGTGCTTCTAAGGAGGGTTGAGCGAATGAGCCGTCTCCTGCCTTTTCTTGTTTGACCTTATTGACACAACTGGCGTTTAATGGCATGGAGAGGCATGGAATTCTTTTCAACGCAGAAATCGTATAAACCACCCTTGCACGTACACGGTTGAACTACTTTCACGGTGAAGAGGATATCGAATGGTGTGGAAGAATTGCTTTTTCTTATTCTTTGGCTTCTTGACTCTTTTTGTCTGATCGACCACCATTCTGAGATTCTGCATGTGTCTTTTCTCTGGAAGGGCTATATGGCTTGACGTCTATATCTCGTTGTAACCAAGAAAGCCTGTTCCTAGTCTTCGAGACTGTTGTATTCTCGAAGCCTCTACTGGCGGAAACCGCGGTAAAGTCTTGAATGTAAACTATCTGGCGGACCGAGCTCTCCAGATGTTTCCACCCAAGAGCAGCAAGACATCTGGTTGCCAACTTTATGACGAGCATTTCGCAAAGAGAGAGGAGTAGCACCAAAGCTTAGATGATTTCAAGTGTCGTAATGTTTGAGATATGTAGGGTATGTACAGATCGGAACGTTCAATCGATAGGAGAAGTCTTTCAATCGCTGTCCGAGTCGCTCGAAGAGTCTCCAGACGAGGACTCAGACTCCGACTCTGAACTGTCGTCTGAGCTGGATGATGAACCTGAATCGCTGTCCGAAGACTCGCTCTCGGAAGAGCTAGACTCGGTCTTCTTCTTGCCCTTTGTGCTCTTCGCCTTTGTGCTCTTCGGGCTCTTAGCCTTCGTAGCCTTAGCCTTAGCCTTTGCCTTGGCCTTTGCGAGTTCAGCCTCGAGTTTTGCAATCTTTGCGTCTCTGAGCTCAGCCTCGAGCTTTGCGATCTTGGCCTTCTTTTTTGCGGGCTTTTCGTCGTCGCTGTCGCTTTCGCTACTGCTGCTGTCGTCGCTGTCACTTTCGCTGTCGCTGCTATCGCTGTCGCTGCTGCTGCTATCACTGCTGCTACTGACACTGCTTTCGCTGCTAGAGACATCGGTTCTCGACTTTCTCTTCTTGCGCATAGCGCGTGCAGTCTCAACCTTGGGTTCTTCCTTGACGGCAGGTGTTGCTCTTGCGACTGGCTGAGGTTCACCCTTGTTCATGGTGTTCCAGACCACTTGCACACGTTCGTCATAGTCCTTCTGCTCCTGAATAACCTTTGTCTTTTCTGGCTCTGGATCAATGCCGTTCTTGCGCAAAATCTCCTTCTGTCTCTCGAGGGCAGTGTCATAAGCAGCCTTCCTGGCCTCTGCAGTCTCCATGGGTTCGTCCTTGACTTCTGGGATTTCGGAGCGGATGAAGGAGACGATATCGATATTTGCAGATTGAGCTGCTTGACGTAGACGCTGACGTGCGGCTGCTCCTTGCAATCCGTCAAGGTATTCAACCAATGCCTCGTTGCAGGATGGAGGGACGTGGTAAATGTTCCAGATGTTTTTGAGCAAGTCGTTTTGTTTGGATTTGTTAAACTTCCAGGAGGGTCGGTCGTTGTGGTATTGTTCGAGGTAGCGGACGTAGTCAGGTACTGGCTTGTTGGTGTTGTCCTTTGGCGTGCGTACCTTGACCTTCTTTACAGCAGGTGTCTCGGTCTCAGAGGTGGTCTGTGGTGTGTCGTCCTTGTTTGTTGCTGATTGATCTTCCTTCTTCTCCTGCTTCTCTTTCTTCTCCTTCTTTGCCTTCTTCTTTTCCTCCTTAACCACGCTCTCGTCCTCCTTGTTCGCTGTCGTGGACGTCAAGTCGGCTTCCTGAGTGACTTCAGGTTGAGTTGATGTGGAGTTTGTAGATTCCTCAATCTTGTTCTTCTCGGCGGCTTTTGCTGCCTCGGCAGCGTCGTAAGCGGCTGCTTTTTGTGCGTAGTACTCGAGTTCGTCGTTGACCCAGGCTTGGAAATAAGTCTGAGCACTGTCCCCGTCTTGCTTCTTGGTGTCGTTGGAGAAGACGACGGACTTGCGATGACCTTGCTTGCTGTTGGGTGTGGCTAGGATGGACTTTTCTGGTGAGGCTCGCCTATAAGTCGAGTTAGCGCTAGTGAAAGGGACATAGAGACTGACTCGACCAAGACACAATTCATCACTATCATAGGGTTCGTCGAACAGGAAGATTTAGAACAGAAAAAGAAGAAAGGCATACAATCTGGAGGGCATCGGACTGGATATCGGAGCTACTGACGAAGACTGCAACTGCTTCTGTGCAGGGCTAGATACATTGGCTCCATTCTGAGATTGGTCGAGTCTCTGCTTCTTGGAACCCTTGGGTGTATCGGCGTCATCGCGAGAACGTTTAGTCGAGGTAGCAGGAGAAGCAGGTGGCGGAGCGGTGTCTTTGGCGTTTGTGAGACTCAAACCCAGTCTTTTCCAGGCAGGCACGCGTTGTTCGGTCATGGTTGCTGCAGCAAACAATAATCACATGCACGACCAAAAAAAGAAGGAACAAAAATTATGCGGAAGTCCATCTTCGTCCGGGGAAGGCGCGGGAGTGCCAAGGGTCGGCGTTGTTTCGCCAGAAGCTCCTCCATGACGAGAGGGCAAACGCGCGCTCATTCATACAGAGCTTCACTATCACCGCAATCCCATCGCCATCCATCACCTTGTTGTTTTTGTCTTATTGGCTTGCTTTGGCTGGAGTTTTCACACGGTTATAACCTCGATACACAGATCAGTTGCCCATCATGAGTGCGTTTTGCCTTGGTCCTACAGCTCGGCGTAGCTAACTCCCGCAACAGGCAGCGCAGGCTACGACAGACACATCACCATCTTCTCCGATCAGGGTCGCCTCTACCAAGTTGGTGCGTATCTGAGTCCACCATATCTAGGTAGCGCATTCCCTGGCTTACACTGAGCAGAATATGCATTCAAGGCCATCACTGCAGCAAACATCACCTCGGTCGGCGTCCGCGGTAAGGACTGCGCAGTCGTCATCTCGCAAAAGAAGGTCCCCGACAAGCTGATCGATCCCTCGTCCGTCTCGTACATCCACAGACTTTCGCCGTCAGTCGGCTGTGTCATGACTGGTTCCATCGCAGATGCAAGAGCTTCGGTCATGAGAGCGCGTGGTGAAGCTGCCGAATTCAGATACAAGAACGGTTATGAGATGCCCTGTGATGTTCTGGCCAAGCGCCTCGCAAACATCTCCCAGGTCTACACACAAAGGGTGAGATGCTCAACCTTGAGTGCCTTTGCGACTCGGGACTGACACGACGCAGGCATACATGAGACCCCTAGGCGTTGCCACGACGCTCATCTCAGTCGACTCCGAGTTCGGTCCTCAGCTTTACAAGTGCGATCCTGCAGGCTACTTCGTCGGTTACAAGGCCACCGCATCAGGTCCCAAGGCACAAGAAGCCATGAACCACCTCGAGAAGAAGCTGCGAAACAAGAACTGCGCTGAGGGTAACTGGGAGGAGGTCGTTGAGCTCGCCATTACCACTCTCAGCACAGTGCTGAGCGTTGATTTCAAGAAGGGTGAGATTGAGATTGGCATCGTCGGCGGTCCCCGTGCAGATGGAAAGGAAGGCACCACAAACGACTTCAGCACTCTGACCGAAGAGCAAATCGATGAGCGTCTGCAATCGATTGCTGAGAAGGACTGAACCTAACGACCTCCTACCTTCACGACGTCACATAATCCACCACATGCATGCTATGCCATCGCTCTCGCCGGCTCGCTTGCACACCGCACCGCCAGCAGTGTGGGTTGTTGCACGCAGCTCAGCGTGCGGAGCAGCCGGTAGCGTCATCTTATGAATCGAGCTGTGTTTTTACCCTTCCGTATCAAAGCATCATTTCCTTCTTTGTTCCACTAAACGTTACCCTTCCGTGGCCCTGTTTCTGCTTCAAGTGCCGGCGCCGGCGGCTGCTCGATGGTAGCTCTGATTGTGGCGCTCCTCCCCCACCTTTACCACTGAAACGCCCTCCGAACCCAAACAGCTCTAGGAATCGCCGACACCTGACATGGCCATGCACGTACGCTAGGCTTGCTTTCTCGTGCATCTGCCACACGTGTGTGCGTCTTCTTGACTGGTCCGTCTGAGCTGTCGACCGATTCACTTCCATACCTGGCGGCTTGGTGACGTCTTGGCCATCCATCCTCTGGCGTAAAACTGCCATTTTAGATCTGAACCCTCTTCCAATCATGCCTGCCCATAGCTGCAAAGACGACCATTTCCCTTGTTGGTGTACTTATTAACGTCTCTCCCAATCCATCCACAGCCTCCCCTTCGCTTCTGCACACCCTGCCTTGACTGTTCTATTCTTTCTTCTCCACCCGATCTGTTCGCATATTACCGACTTCGTTATATGTGTGACAATATGAAAGATACTTTTTCGGGACCCGCAAGAACCTATCCCCAGAATAACCACCTGGAGCTGTAAGGGTCGTTTATATATCTGTCGATCACTACCCATCCAGACCCATCTTCTCAACACAGCTGAAGTAGTTCCTTCTTTGCTCAATGACTGACGGATGTAAGATGTCCTTTGTACCCTACTTTACTACCAACCTGGAACCTCCCTCTCTGACATGCATTGCCTCAGTGAATGAGGCACGCGCCATGCGTATCGCCGAAATTCTTTCTGATTTCAGACATCTGCAACATTACATTGCAAACATTAGAGCAAATCCTTCAGCTGAAGACTACTACGAGGAAGGCTATTGCGTGCTTCGGCAATGTGCTGCAGAAGCCCAAGCCCTACTCTCTCAACCATTCGATTGCCAAGGACCGGAACCAGATGGTGATTGTGAGGAAGAGAAAGCGCAGCTCCAACGGTATGTTCTCCAGCTTCTTGGGATCCTTCTGATTTGAATCTGATTTCGAGATATAGGATTATGCTTGATGCAAGCATCCGACGCTTCAAAATTCAACAGATATATCTCAAAGCAAGTGCAGCTCTACGCTGGGTCAACTCGAGAACTGCCATCCTTGGAACAAGTCGGCCACAATCTATTCACACACCAGCGCTGCAACAGATAAACAGCACTATGCGAGCAGTAAGTCCAACTTTCTTCATCGATTTTCTTCGGAATTACCTGCTTGTGCAAGAAGCTCAGGAAGCACTTGATCCGAACCATTCGGCTGGGTCACTAGTGAAAATGCGGTCAACTGACATGGTTCTCCTTGCAGGAACTTGCATCGGTGACACCAGCTCGGGTTGAGCTGGCTCTACGATCCCAGGACAGCGTTCAGGGGAAATGGCTTGCAGAGGATCCTACATGGAGCACCATGGAAGAAACCATTCGGACCGGTCGATGATCGCATTGATCACTCGACCCACCAGCACCAAACGACCAAGCATCGGCATACTCTTGGAAATATCGATCGGTGGTAGACCAAATCTTTGGGTCCGCAAACTGTCGAGTCAAGAACAGCGGACTTGCAAAACTTTCTTGGCCGAGCCGCCGACAGAACCAACACCAACGGCATCAAACGTCGGATTCGGTTTCCTACCGCTCTTTGCGTCAAGGTCGTTCACCAAGTACACGTGCGGACACTCGGACAGATCCGCCGGTTTAGCTCCAAGCCCTCGGCGACGCCGACCTGCCACCGCATGCATCATTATCTTCCCGGACGGTTTATTCCCCATTAGTGCCATCGACACCATTGCCTTATTTCGAAGAATGGCTTGAATCATTTCGGCACACGGAAAACTACTGAGAGCTGCACCGGATAAAATGAGAGATGAAACAAGAATGAGGTGAGGTGAGGTGCTCTTCGGAATCTGGGGGTGGGCACTACCAAGAGACGAAGGATCAGTAGACTCATCTCATGCAGCTGCTGTCATCTCTGCAATATCCAGCTTAGGAAATAAATCTGCACAATAAAACGCATGATAATATTATGATTACACAGTACCTCGTGGCCTGACTCGAACAACAGCATATCTTATACTCGTTTTCGTACTCGCAAGAGGATCCGCTCTAAAGGTGCAAATTCTGATCCTGAAGGCTTCTTCCCTCTCAACGCTCTATCATTGTCCGCATATAGCATGACGTGCATAGCCTTACGGGAGAGCCATGCTTATTGACAGCCTTGTGATTTCGTGATTAGTAACGTCTGCGAACTTTGGTTGACTTCTTGACTCGTTCGTTGCTTCTTTCCCTGAAATTTAAAACGAAAGCATCGCTGCTGCAAAGTCTGGATGAATATTATAGTGGGTCTGTCATGAGGGTTAGAGTCAAACGACTCTATTCCACCGTCCACGGCCTCAAAAGACAGTCCGCCGAAGAAGCTTCTTCGATAACCATGATGTCTAGTCTCACATTGATTAGTCTTCAGCACTTCAAGGATCGCCGTGACGCAACTCAGCACCTGCATCGTTGCTCGAGAGACAAAAGAGGCTATCCGTCTCGATTGACGATCCTCATCTTCGACCAGGTCAAGTGTGCATATCGCACCTGTTGCCGCGCCGACTGACTTGAACCATCATTATCATGGTTATCACGGAACACTGACAGGGTAGTAATTCAACTTCCCAATATCTCATTGGATACCATCCACTGAGCACGCTAGCACACCTTAACTCTATGCACCCAACTGGCAAGATGGTGTTGCACTCCACGACGCTTCACCGCTCTTATCAGAACTTACTGCCATACATCAGCCGCCAGGTCGTCACGAAGATTACCTGATCATAGCTAAGTGATGCTTGAACGTAAAACATACCATATATCGCAAGTAGATCCATCAAAGTAGCTTGACTTAGAGTTCAGGAAAACAGCGCCGCCAACAGCTTTCGATCCTTCGGCCCTACCGAAGTCTCCCACTTTAAGCACACACTCCAGCCATCAATCCTAGCAATCGGGTTTTGACTCCACTGCAGACCCTTTGACCCCATTCCTCTGCAGTCAAGCAGCAAGACAGCCCCTCCGAAACGACGTCACAATAATCAGTCCCAGGTCAGGGCCAGGGCAAGGTACCTGGAAGATGCTCTATGGCAAGTCACGTGGAGAGGTACGCAGAAACTCCCAAGTCATCCCCGTACGTCGTATTAGGTATCGATGTCACTTTCCTCTGCTTTTGGTGGTACTGGACAAAAGTCACAGCAATCGAACAGGGAGACTCATCCATCGCGCCAGAGCATGTTCGTGACCCTTGCAATCTCGGGATCGCATGGAGACGGAACTTCTCAACCTATAACTGGCGTTCTTACGATCAGCATCTTAGCGAGGAAAGCTACCTAATAGTCAATCAGATCAACCATCCTATCATGAGGTGAGGTCTACTTCGGAACCTTGCAACCGGATCTTCATGGTTGCATGGTTCACGGCGCATTTCACGTGGAGAAGCAGTCTTGAGTTTGTGACACCATACCGGCCTTGGCTAGAAAACCCTCCGTCAAGCTCTGATTCGCTGGCTGGTCTGTCATGTGCTATCGTCCACCTACGCAGGTCATACTCTTTAGTCTCGGCCTTCGGATACAGTAGGTACCGAGATGCCCCCTCCTTCTGATCCCCTGACTTTGCACCGCCTTGCAAGATCCTCTGGTCTATATTGAAAAGACCAAGAAGCAGCCTAGCAGGAACATCAAGGTACGATTGATTGAGCTTGGTGATCTGTCGGGTCGGCTAGGTTTTCCTTACGGAGTTACTCCCCAAGGATCAGGTAAATTCGTGAGGTGGGGGCAGGGTTTCTCAGCCCCCACCTCACGAATTTACCTGATCCGCACCGAGTACTGCACGTTACCAAAAGCCCTATGGCAGCCCTACCCTTAATAAATGCATACTTTCAACTGCTTCCCGTCGGCACTGCGCCCGCAAACGCAAAGGACAGCAGCTCTTAATGTAGAATATGGTGGTCAGAGCCGACATCATCACCTTGACTCCGTCACAGCGACAAAGACCATGGGGATCACCGAAAGCAATATTGTTGTTGTTACAGGGCCAAGCCACATGTTCCTCATTTCCTGCATTCTCAAGGCTACTTGAGCGCTGCAGCCGCTCGGGGTCTCTTGCATCGCAGCTGCATGCGTAATGCACTGTGAAAGGGCCAGCTATCATGCGTGTGTGCGCAGACCTGATTTCCCAAGACCAAACAGGTGTTTGACATCGCAATTGGATTGGCAACGACTGCTCTCCTGCGAAAAAATAATGATCGTCAAGACATGGTCATCCGGTCTGGCTTCTGAATAATTCCGGTACAGCTATTCATAGAAGATGCATGTCAGAACGCTGTTTGCAACACGTGAAACCATATTGACAGTAAACTTGTTGTCGGACTCGGCGGCTGATTCACTGGTCGTGACAGATGCTCCGTGGTAGGTACAGTATCGTGGCAGGACTTTCATATGTCATCACGCACGAAGTGAATACTAATCACAGGCACAAGTTCCTCGTTGTCTTGTAAGAGTCTCTGCAAGCGACAAGGGCAAAGTCATGAATCGATTTGGCCCACAAATACTGACTGGACCGTTGCAATTCGACCTTGCATCATGAACGATTATAAAAGCTGTCATTATTGCTGTTCATCAAACCGTCTTCCTATGACGAACGAGCCACACTACTACCGTTGGTTCTCTCTCCAGCCCTTTCTCCACACTTCCCGAAAGGCTTGTTCCTGATCGATCTTCAGAGATCATCCAGGTACCGTCCCACTCTCGCTTGCAGCCATCTATCAAGTAGAATATTTTCATCAATGCCTCTATGCAGAACCGAAGACTCCATTTGTCGTTCTGGGACTGCCGATATTATAGCCGTCTTGCGAGCGTTTCGTGTCGACGCTTCGTACTCAGCAAAAAGCCTAATAAAGCACAAGCAATGACACGGAAACGGCGATATCAGCTTATGAGTGCGTGAGAGTGAGAAGGTGATCGCCGACCAACAGGAGTCGCGCGCCGACGGCGACAGCTGAAAAATCGTGGCTTCTTTTTGGGCAGAAACGAACATTTTCTGGAAAGAGAAGGAAAAACATAAAAACATTCCTGTGCGCGTGTTGTGGCGTGCTGAACAGCCCAGCTGAGAGTGGAGCTTGGCGCAATGTTTGGTTGACAGCGAAAAGCCATTTAGATCAGGGGTGAGCAGTGCGGAAGATGATACTTTTTGTCATCTTTGGCTGCTGTTTCTGCTGCTGAAGATTGATGAGAACGGGTGAACCGTGTTGTTGTTGTTATTTCTGCTCGATGCATTGAGGGCGCCTTCGATGACTTCAGGAGAATCATCCGTGATTGTGATTGTCGATTCTCTGTCATCATGAGGCTGGGACGTGATTCGCTTGCGCTTGTTTCGTGACGAGGTGGTTGGTTGTTGCTGGGTGATCACTGCCTTTTCCTGAGCAGACCATTTCGCGAGAATGGCGTCTTCAGATGGGTTGTCCAGATTGTGGTAAGAAGCATGGTGGCTGCAGCCGTCACACTCAAACGAGGTAGCAGCCTGTGAGATGACACGCGGGTTGGTATGAACAAAGTAGGGAGGACCAGCCGAAGCTTTCATCGTGGTGTAGAGTAAATGGATTATTGACCTACCTTGACTGGATGCAGCATAAAACGAAGACAAGGACATTTGTTGGATATCATGCCGTTCTTGTAATTACATGATCCGCGAGGAGGCGTGTAGTTCATGGAGCTCCAAACGCTGTTTGGGGGCACTTGCATGTTGGACATGTTGGTCAGGATGAATACACAAATTCCTGCGAATCTTGATCATATGTAGTGTCTGCCTTTGAGTGAAACTGCGGCGGCGCGTTGCGATGAGTGGTGGAAGATGGTGAGATCAGATAAGATATGACGTGCCAAGACCTTGATATAGGCCCGTCTGGGGTTCGAGCTGCCTTGTACTGAAGCCAGACAGCTTTGCGCCATCATCCATCTCGTCGCATCTGCTATTGTGATCAAGTCGTCAAGATGCCGAAATATAAGTCCATCTTCTCTCCAAGCGCTGTTCTCTTACTGACCTTCAATCACTCTTCTGTAGGTTTCCAGGCCATGGCCGAACAAGAATCGATCGAATACTCATGCGAAAACAGGCGATTACTGCGATGTCTACCTCACTCACGACAGTATGAGCGTGAGAAAGGCCCACAACAGCGGTCGCAACCATCTCAGAAACGTAGTCGACTACTACCAACGTACGCGCCGCCATACGGGACCAACCAGGAAGAGATGCGACTAACACAGCAGCACAGAGATCGGTCACGAAAAGGCTCAATCAGTCATCGATAGCATTACTTCTTCGTACGCCGCCGAAGGACAAGCAAGCGCGAATCCCATGTTACCCGGCGGAACCCATGCTGGTGTAGCAGCCATGCCCTTCGGTTTCCCTCCTGGCATGCCTCCACCACCTGGCGGTATGCCGTTCCCTCCACCGGCTGCAGGTCGCGGTATGCCACCATTCCCATTCCCTCCCAATGGAATGCCTCCTTTCCCTCCGAACGGAATGCCACCGCCTGCAGGCATGCCTTTCCCTCCTCCTGGCGGTATGCCCTTCCCTCCACCAGCTGGTATGCCATTCCCACCTAGCCCTGCTCCTGGTGCCGGCGCCCCTCCACCTGGAATGCCCATGTCGCACGACCCAAGACGCCAATAGGATGGTCATTGGAATCAGCACGCACGCAATCCATACATGCAGGAACAAGCGCCACCAAGAAGGCATTAGGAAGCTCTCGAACACCCAGTACACCCGAGGCACTTTGCAGAACAGCACGTCGTGGAATCTGAAGAAGTCAGGAAGACGCATGCAGGAAGAGTCAAAAGGGAACGGAGCTCTAGCCCTGACGTGGGTAGGCGACAAGACACGAGTGGCAGCAGAAAGAGAAGACGCTGATATTGCTTTGGATGGCGTTGAATTCGAGATGAAATTCTACAGGCGTATACGGAGTCGGTCGAGGTAAGAGGGAGCAAGCAACACATCAGCATAAAGATATCCTTCGAGGTTTTGTAGAACCAACGCGCTCTTTAGCAGCTGCGTAATAAATTATCCTCCATTTCTGTGAATATTGTTTCAGCTCCGTCTTATGCCTGATCAGGTTTGACACTGTTAAATCTATGTCTTGATGCCTCGGCCCTGGGCAAGTTGTGATGGTCTTCTGGGGCTTCCAGAATTGGTGACGTCTGAGTGCAGCGCGCCGAACATTGCATCTTTCACATGCGAACATGCAAACACCAGCCCATACAAGTCAACAACCGCCGCCATGGGTCTGATCGAGGCAGTCTACATCTTCAACGAGCGCAAGTACAGTAAACCCTTCCACCCTGACCGTCGCAATCTTTCCACTGACGCCATCTACAGCAATGTCATCGTAACTCATACTTTCACTGCGCGCCCACCACCTGCTTCCACTCTACTACCGCTATACCTTGCCCATGCAGAACCGAGACCGTCATGTATCTACCTGTCAGGAACAAACCCGCCGACACTACTGTTCTCCATGCTACAAGATGGCCTCTTGTTCATGAGTCCCTGCTCGACCGACACGGAACCACTCGTCGTCCTCGAGTTCTTGCATCGCGTCGCTGATGCCCTTGAAGAGTTTCTGGGTGCACCTTTGCTGGCTAGTAAATTGGAAGCAAACTACGATGTTATCGCCCAGGTCCTGAGTGAGATGTGTGATGGAGGGTTGATTGGTGGTACTGAAGCCAATGCGCTCAGAGATGTTGTCGACACACCGTCATGGATGGGCAAGTTGCTGGGAGGTGTAGGGCTACCTGGGTATGTTGAGGACTTGACAGCGCTATCACGAGTCCATCTAACAACAATCTCGCAGCACGTCTCCCGCCTTAAACGCTGGCCAAACACCATTTTCTGGCCTAGGAAGTGGTGGCAGTGGAAGCCTTACTCCTACACTATCAACCGCTGGCTCTCAGATTCCCTGGCGTCGCTCTAATGTCCGTCACACAAGCAACGAGATGTACGTCGATATTGTCGAAACCCTCTCCGTCACCTATGCTCCTTCAGGCCGTCCTCTGGCTGCCTTTGCAAACGGCAGTATCGCTTTTACCAGCAAGGTCTCTGGTGTACCCGACTTACTGCTATCTCTACGTGCCGGCAGTGGACCCGGTGCCGATAAAGTCAAACGCACAATGGAACGTCCAGTCTTCCATCCTTGCGTAAGACTTGCCCGCTGGCGCGACCACGCAGAACTTAGTTTCGTCCCTCCAGACGGCCGCTTTGTACTGGCTGGCTACGATGTAGATTTGCTAGACCCTTCAGCCTCGCCTCTGTCCGCCAAAGCCAATGATCTAAACTTGCCTGCTTCGATAGAAATACGCACAGGACTAGGCGCCACAGGTTCAGATTTCGAAGTCCGTCTCACAGTTAGTCATCGCTTTTACACCGGCACTGGCTCTTCTTCAGGAGCATCTTCAGGAGCAGGATCCGCAGCAGCAACAAGTCTATCAAATAACCTAGGTGCCCCTCGTCCAGCCACCCTCCGCGGCAACTCTGGCGATGCAAAAGCACCACTTCTCGAGGATTTGACCGTTAGTATTCCTATAACCGCTGCCGTACGCAATATCAGCGACTTGCGCGCTACAAAAGGCGAAGCACACTGGAGTCCCGGCGATACCTCCATCGAATGGAAGATTTCCGCAAAGGAAGCTGCAGGAATTAGCAGTGCTGGTTGCATTCTACGCTGTTCAGTAGTCGGCACCTCCTCCGATGATGACGAAGACTCAGCACCTCTTTCCAACGGCATGAAAAGCAATACCCACGACTACGACGACGATGAATACCAAATCCCCAACACCAAGCCCAACGACACGAACCCAGCAACAAACAAAAAGAAAGCAAGACAAAACGCAATTCTCATGCCCGGATCTGCGAGTCTGAGTTTTGGCGTCAAGGGATGGTTAGCCAGTGGTTTGAAAGTAGATAGTTTGGTCATTGATACTAAGAGGAGTAAAGGGCTTGGCGAGGGAGTGAGGCCGTATAAAGGTGTCAAGTATTTGACTGTGTCGAGGAAGGGTGTGGAGGTTAGATGTTGAGTGAGGACGGTTTTCAAAACATCAGATATAAATACAGTACGATATCGATTCTGGCTTGACTATGCTCAGTCCAAAGCTTGGAAGCATGAGAATGCGCATCCTTGCCCAGGACGTGAGAAAGAGTACATACACATGGTTTTCTAGTCACAATCTCGCGACTAAGGACCTCTTCTCCGTCCGAGGCATAAGGATTGTTATTGGAGGCTATCAAAATGCACAGTAGAAACTTGAGCATGAGTTTGATCATGGATATGGCCTTTAATGAACTTTTCTGTGTGGAGACAACATCTTTCTAATGTCCATCTTGAGTGACATGTGCCTAAACAAGCTATACATGTTGTTGCATCTTGTGTTGGCACGCTATACAACGATGATGGATATCCTTTGGCCAGCCTGAACCCTGCTAGAGTACTGCATAAACTCGTCAAAGTTTTTGCTAAGTTTGAGGAACCGCTACTGCTTCTCTTTGGTCATTGGTGAAGGGAGTGTGCTATCCCTGAGAATACATATAAAGTGTTTTCCACAGGAGCCTTTCTTGTCTGACCTTGCGAGCAGTTCATATGGTGGCATGTATCCACCGTAGTCTGGGAACGGATCAGGGCTGGCAGTTAGGGTGGCCAGTCGATGACGGTAATGGTTGCCTAGAGGCGACAGTGCCGCAACAAAGTGGAGGTTAACATGCATGATAGTGCTGACAAATGCCTTGCCAATGAGTCGAAGGGGAAAGTCTCTGTTGATAACGCTTGGATGCTTGTTGTGCAAGTTGTATAACAGTCCCATCCTGATGCACAGCCGAGGGTAGAAAGAGTCGTCGAGCTAACAGCTAATCGGTGTAGACACGAGAATGACTTACCATCCCTCGTTGTACATTTGACAGGATCATAGGCGCTAAAGCCTGACTGACATACCTCATCCTTGGCGAAAGTGTTTGGACCGTCATAAGCAGTCTCTGCATGGTAGTTACGCCAGTGTGTGTAGAGCCTGGCGTCTTGAGAATTGCGCTTGTGGTTCGCACTAGGCACCTGCCATTCGCGGTGTAGCTCAGGACGGTATATAAGAGCCTCTACTGGATTGCGACAGTGAAAGGTACAGTGATGCCAGAGTCTCGCTAGAGTATCGGCAAAGCCCTTCTAACACCTCATCACGCAGCGGAAGTGGTCTTCTTCATATAGCGCGTACTCGTGGGCATCGTCATCACGGTGACTCCAGACGTGGGCAAGGGTAGCGTTGGCCTCGAAGATCTTTGCACATGCAGGCACCGGACACTGAAAACGAGCGTCTTCATCGTTGTCGGCAGTGAGTCCATAGGCTGTTTCTACCAGAAGCTCCTCAATGAGAGTGCTGTAGATTAACCCTCAACGACCTGCGGTGAGGATCGAGAAAGGGAACTTGTTCCTCTGGCTAGCAGAGGCGGCTGATAGTTTCTTGACGGCAGTAGTCTTTCGTAGATGAGAGGGAAGATCTGTATTGTGTTGGTTAGCAGTTGCATAAAGGTGCAGATACGAGGAATACATACTCTTTTCGAGGTGTTCATGGAGCTTCTGGGGGCTCGTGAACTGCATGGGACACCAGGAACACTTGGTCTTTGATCCACTCTTCCTCAATGGAGCCTCAACAGGAGCAGGGATGTCGACAGCGTCAGACTCGATATGGTCGTCCAAGTCACTCTCGAGAGCAGTTGAGTCTTCGTACTCGGACTCCGAGAACTGAATAGCATCGGTTTAGTCAAGTTGTCCAAAACGAGTAGTCCTTTGGCGTTTGCGTGCAGGCTGGTGCACAGACGAGACTGGACTTGCCGATGTGGTTGAATGGTGAAAGTGGTCAAGGAGGTGAAGGAATTGGAAGAGAGAACAATACAGTCTCTCGAAGTCTGAAGGAAGGTCAAAGATGAGGAAGGTGTGACGTGCCGATAACGCGTGGGCCAAATGAATCACAAATGAGAAAGAGCAACAAACAAGAAATAAGCGGTGCCATGTGCTAACAGAGAGAGGTCAGCACCTGCTGGGCGTTCGAGCTGACACATATGACTTTGAACCTACATTTTACATTGTCATGCCAAGCAGCATACAAGTATCGAGGACAAGTGCTTTCTACTGTTCGTTGGAGACCACAAGGCAAGGAAGAGATTTGGGTAGTCCTGACCCATCCAAATTACATGATCAACAGCACCATAGAAACCAACATATCCTCGACAAAATCAAGGGAAACGAAACAACCAGACAGACGAACCAAAAGGGAATAAGTGCGATAATCTTCATTCTTTGCCATTTGCTTTAGCTCTCATTTCTAGAATGTACAATTGCCTCCTCTCTCAGCCAGTGGTATCAAGATGTTGTCGGGAGAGTAGTTTAGAGCTGGCCAAGGGCGGCGGCACGCTCGTCTTCGAGCTTGGCGTAGAACAGATCGCGGCGGCGGACGGCGGGAACGTGGAAGCCTGTTGTTGGGGATCCTCTGTTAGTCTTTTGTTCCTTTCTCTTTCTCTCGTGATTTGTTCTTGGAGATGTGGTGAATGTGTAGCATTGGTCGAGGGGGTTCGACAGTCGATGGTGTTGATGTGGTATTCGTGACTCGAGATTCGGGTATATCGTCCGTATGTTGCATCCAGCCCAGTATTGCGAGAGACGTAACCAGCAGTCGAAAGATCGAGCGGAAAATAGAAGGTAACGCATCGTCGGGGAGTAATGAGAATGGTTTTACGTACCGTACCACCAGAGGTAACCGGCCGAGGTACCGAGACCTGTCAGTTGTCAGTCCACTTGCTCACGATTGCAATCTCACAGAACCAATCTTACCGAAGGCGACGGAAAGGTCGAGGACGAGGCCTCTGCGGAGCATCTACATAGTCCACACGTCAGTAAGCTTGTTCCAGATTCGGTCGGTAGTCGGTTGTCGCGCGCGACGATCGATTGCGCAAGGAAGTCGGAGGGCTCAATTGGACAGGACGTACACCGGTGATGGGCTTGACAGGCATTGTGAATTTGTGGTTTGGGGTTGTATTGCGGAGTGGAGAGGTTGCGCGCTTGCAATTCAAGGCTCTATCGGTATGCAACCGCATGAGGTGACGACGGATTACTCCGGCAGTGCCAAGCCCGTCTGTCAGCTGTTTCCCGCCGATTATCCTTCCAATTATTCTTTTTGTTTTTACATGTCTGTCTCGTCGTGTGCTCACATGTGATAGATCGTGATCTGGATAGAAGATGTGGTTTCATGTACAATATGGATTGATTCTGTTATATGCAACAGACGCATAGCCCTGTTTCCGCCTATATCTTACAACAACACACGACCACTCTCGCGTGACATGTTCAAACAAAAGGACATGTACAAGTCAAGACCTCTCAAACAAGGCCCCGATAGATAAACAACTCAAGCCCTTTCCCTTAGAAACACCCGTGAAAATGCAAAAATGCTTTGCAACTTTTTTCCCTTTCTCCACCCAGAGAGAGCCATCAACTTCAGACAGCCTTGCCCCAGCTCTGCTTCCTGGTCTGCCTGTCTTCACGCGCCTCTCTCTTGGTGCGTCCCCACTTCTCCTTGATCTTTTCGAGCTCAGCCTGCCTCTCTTCCTTGATCTGTGGTGCCGAGCAGCACAAGCTGACGAAGAACTGGCTGCACTCGAACTTTTCGGCCAATCGCACTCGTGTCCACTTGCGCGGGTCTTCTGCTCGGAGTCGTCTGATTTCTTCAATATCGGCTTCCTTGAGATGGTACTTCTTCTCGTAGATTGGTCGCACTGGAGGAGGCAAGGATGTGGAGGTTTCTGCGGAAGAGGCAGTGGATCGGAGGAGGGTGTGTAGGCGACGTCGCGGGTCGTCCTTGGGCAAGAACTTCAAGGGGGTGTGGTAGACGTTTGGCGCAGACGAAGGTGGGTTGTAGATGATGTGGTCTTGTGAGCCGGTGTTGTCGGTGAATGAAGGGTCGGGCTGGACGAGCAGCATCTTTTTTGTGCGGCGGAAGGACGAGACGTGGCGGCATTGCTGCTGCTGGAGCGAGCGCAGGCACTGCTGGCCATTTTGTTGCAGCGAGTGCGATATCCTTAATGTCGTGTGCATTGTGATTGTGTGTGTAGAGTGGAAACGAGGGTGGTGCTGCTACTGGTGCTTCTGCGAGTCGAAGCAGCGAAATCAACTGGAAAGTTGCTCCGACCCAGAGCACAGACCTCTCCCCCATTCGACTCGTCCTCTCGACCCTTTGATACAGACAACACTCGATCACATGCACAGTACAACAGACGTAAAACAGAATAAAAGTGTATATATTGTCTTTGGCATGCATGAAATAAACATGAGCCACCATCCGTGGCTCGCGCTGTCGCCATAGACATGCCTGCTATGGCGCCGCTTGTATAGAAATTGAAGCCAACATGACAAAAGAGGAAATTCGCTTGTATCGATATCGCAAGAAAGAAAACGCCTGTCGTATGCCACATCAACTCTTCGTCCTCGTCCTTGTCGTCCAGCATCCTACTTCATGACGCGGTCGTACGAGATGCCCTTGACGCTGCCACCAGCCATGCTGGAGCGCACGTTGCGCTTGAATCCATCACGGTCGCGTGCCAGGTCCTCGGCTGCCTCCTTGTTCAACGGATCGCTGGCATTGGGCTCGAGGAACAGGAACTGCAGACCGACGATGACAGCGTTCAGATTGAGCACTGGCTTCCAGTCCTCGCGCAGGATGTTCAAGCACACGTTTCCCTCGAGGTCGATGTTGGGGTGGTAGATCTTTTGCGTGCACTTGACCTTTGGCGGCTCGTGTGGGAAGTTTTGGCTGATGTTGAATGTGAAGTTGAAGCTGCCATTCTTGTACATGCCCTCGTCGGGTGCGATGGTCAGGCTGAAGTGCAAAATGTCATCGGGGTCGGGGAAGGTCGTCGTCATGGTGCTACCGAGCGACAGTTCCGAGAGATCTGTTGCGGTATCCGTCAGCACATGTAAGGCGATTGTAGTTAATGTCTACTTGCCCTTCTGCACACGCAGTTGTGCGGCCGTGACCTTCTTCTTCTTTGCGCCACCGGACGCAGCGGCTTGGTCCTTCTGCTGCTGTTGTTTCTGTCATGACCAGTCAGCCGTGGCTTGTCGGCAGTGCCCTCACACCATGCATACCATAGACCAGATCTTCAACATCTTGAATGTGTGTCTGAGGGGTGACTAGACCGACGAGGCCGTTCGAGGTTGGTGATGTCCTGAAGCGAGAGTGGAGCTGGTTGGAAACTGCAGAAGCCGGGCTGGGAGTGAAAGAGCAGGTGCCGAAGATCGATGGCAAAGGAGACTTGACTTGATGTCGTGTGTTACGACTTGCGAGTTGCGAGACAAATCACCGTCACATCCAGTCCCAATGAGGCCCCACGCTTCACCGCCTTCGCTGTTTCGTCATCACCCTGTCTCGAGTCTTGACATTCTCTTTTCATCTTCACTCTGTTCATCAGATTGATTGAGACAAATCAGACCAAAGAAATGGCAATGTCGAGATACACATACTGCTTGGTCTCCTTACACTCAAGGACATTCGAGATGAGTGGTCCAGATTCCAGGATGAAGTCAAGTTGTGTGTGGTGTGACCCTGTTCCATACTATCACCTTTTTGATAAGGACCATTCATACACTGTGAACAAATTGATTCTAAGAGCTTAACTGAGATCCGAGTTCGTTAAGCATTCTGGCTTGTAAAGCCGAAATATCTAGTTATACGGCCAGCAAAGATCACCGCCGCATGATTACGAGCTTTAGGTAACTTTGGAAGCTATAGTTTGGTGTGTTCTCTATCCATGAATCACAAGCTTCTCAACTATCTCAATATGGGTGAAGACAGCTGGTTCATTCGCACGTATGATGTTTCCTGCAAACAGTGCACGAAAGTGAGGTGTATGAATATTTGTTCGGCGTTCGAGGATACACCAGACCACAAATCTAGCAATGACACCAACATCTGTTTCTCTCAACAACCTACTGCTGTTGAGCAGTGGCAACCTGCACCACCATTTTCATCCTCATCGCACTGTTCGCCAGAATCTTGACAGCTTTCTCTTCTTCGGCTTCCTTGACGCCTACCAACTTCCTCACGCCGAACTTTGCCTTTGCTTCTCTGGCCTTGATTCCTTCATCCAGCTTTTTCTTTAGACTGTTGTTAACAGTCAGTGCAGAGTGTTTGAACAACAATCTCAACAAGGCTTCTACCAGCAGACTGACTCGTGCGTTCTCGACATAGTTGGTGTAGTTTGCAGAGTAAGGCAAAAAGTGTTTTTCGAACTGGATCTGTGACATGGTGTCGGCATGATAGATAGGCGCTTCTGAGGAAATGATTGGGCGAAGCAGATTTTGGCAGAGTAAAGCGTGTGAATGGGGCTCTAGCCAGGGGGTTGGTGGTGAGACGAACAGCATAAAGATGTCCAATGGCAGAGGGCGGAGGAACTCTGTTACTAGGTCGAAACAGTCTTCGACTTCCATAAAGGCATGTTCGTAGTGGAGCGAGATTTGCGTGAGCTACTGGGCATTAGATGGCATGTCCGCTACCAAGAAGAAAAGGTGATGCTTACCAGAGCGATCAAGCGCTGACGCAGTCGTACGGCTTCGTATCCACCATAATCTGAAGATGCGCTATACTCATTGTCCACATCCGGATCTGGTGTAGACGAAGATGGCCGTCCTCTCTTACGCGACTGACGTGTCGAGTTTGTTGCTTTAGGCGATGAGGGCAGATCATCTTCCTCTTCTTCAGATTCATCCATGTCCATGTAATCAGCGTATTCTTCCTTGTCGAAATCTATCGTTTTCCTCGGCATTCGTTCTTCCGCTTTCTTCTCTTTAGGTGGTTTGGTCTCGTTCTTCCAGATCTCACGAAACTCATCCAAGTCTTTCTTGCAACCGTTGGCGAGAATCGCTCTCATGACTCTTCTTTTGCCGGCTCTACCGTCACCTGCCGTAAGACAGTACTGCGCAATCAGACTCTCCGATAGCAAGGTATTGGCTGCTGCTTCCTTGTCATTGTCTCTGAGGGGTTCGGCACCTGAGATTCGTTCGCATAGATCATCTTCAAGCACGTCGAGCATAAAATTGAGCCAAGATCTCCACCTCTCCCATCGCTTTGGGTACTGACATGAACAGTTGAAAGCCCATCCAATCACAGCCCAAAAGTCCTCGGCAAGATTCCAAAGTGCACCTTTGTTAGCTATGTTGATCGAGAACTTGTGTTCATCTTCTGTGCCGACAGCGTGATCTCCAGTACGTCGTCGCCTGTCCCGAGAGTCAAACTTGTCCAGAAACTTGAAGGCTGAGGTGAAGTTGGCGTTGGCAGCACCAACAATCGAATTGACATGTTTGAGGAAGAATAGTGCATCGTTAGCTGTCTTTACACTATCCGGTTCTGTGGCTCGGTTTGTCCAGATAGGATGTACAGCTAAGGTGGCAACGACTGCTAGTACCTGAGGAGATGGCACATAAGTGGGTAAGGTTTCTCCATCGACAGTGCCATCAGTGCCTGCGATGAGTGTGTTCAACAGTAATGGAAGAGCTTGTGAGACTAGGCCAAATTAGAGAAGCTTCAAGCAGACATTTTCAGGCGAGATTGTACAAAGCTTTTCTTCAATATAGACATTGATGATATCTCGAAGCTCAAATGGTAGTGGCTTTACTGGTCGATATTTCTTGAGCTTTTTTGCTGGCTCAGGTGTTCCAACCATTTGTGAGCTCGGAATTGGCACAGCGACCTGTGAAGATGGCGGTAGTGACATATTCACGTCGCCTTTCTGTGAATGTACATATTAGTGGTCAAGAAGTTCTTGGGAGACGCGTTTCAAAGCAACACGGAAGACGCGACCGATATTGGTGCCAGCTCCCAAGAGCAGGGTTACCCGCAGCAAGCTCAGGCCCCACAAGCGTCACCGCTATGACTTAGTGACATCTCCGAGGCCCTATCGTCGTCCTTGTTTGTGACCAACCAATATATTTCTAATCCGCACGAGACCTACGTGGCTGGGTCACGGGCCTTTCTTTGTGCTTACAATCGATTCTTGCGACCTCACTTGAATGATATTTTCTGCATCTTTCGAGCGTTTTCCTCAACATACATCTTTCTGCATTGCATCGCATATCAGCGAAGAACCATCATGATGGCATCTATCTATTCTCATCTGAGGAGCGTGAATAAGCACAACCTACGCACACTAAGAAGACAGCCGCTGAACGAACTTTCTGGAGCTCTAGGCGATCTGGGAACTTTACTACCTCTACTCATCGCTCTCACTTTGACTAAGAGCATATCGTTATCTGCTACTTTAGTTTTTTCTGGACTTGCAAACATAGCGACAGGAGCTGCATTTGGTATACCACTACCTGTTCAGCCTATGAAAGCTATAGCCGCCATTGCCATCAGTCAGTCATATACCAAGACTGAGAATATCTCGGCCGGTCTGTTTGTAGGAGGAGTTGTGACACTTCTCAGTCTCACAGGCCTTCTCAAATGGTTCGGACGTGTGGTACCTATCCCTGTCGTCAGAGGTATTCAAATGGGCGCTGGCTTCGCCCTGGTCATTTCAGCAGGGACTAGTCTTCTCAAGCCACTCGGTTGGGTTAGTCCAAACTGGTCAGACAACTGGCTATGGGCAATGGCTGCTTTCATCTTTCTCCTTGTATCTTCCTTGGTGCCACGAGTCCCATACGCTCTGCTGGTCTTCATACTCGGACTTATGTTCGCTGGCATCCAACTCAGGACCTCCCACTCATCAACACCCTCAGGCTTCCAAACCTGGCACCCAAGAACCTACGTCCCCTCACCCAAAGACTTCTACAAAGGCGCCTTCGAAGCCGGTCTCCCTCAACTACCCCTCACAACCCTAAACAGCATTCTAGCTGTAACCTCCCTCTCAGCATCCCTATTCCCCTCCTACCCTCCTACCCCCTCAAACACTCAAATCGGCCTCTCAGTAGGCATCGCAAATCTGATCGGCTGCTGGTTCGGCGCCATGCCCGTCTGCCACGGCTCCGGCGGCCTCGCAGCCCAATACCGCTTCGGCGCCCGCAGCGGCGCCAGCATCATTCTCCTCGGTCTCGTAAAACTTGTCCTCGGCTTAACAGCCGGCGAATCCATTATCCCCCTCCTCCAACGCTTTCCCAAAAGCCTCTTGGGGATTATGGTCCTAGCTGCTGGAGTTGAGTTGGCTAAAGTCGGTCAATCATTAGATGACGTACAAGATGCCTGGGAAGAAACAGAACAGGAGAATGAAGATGGAAATGCGGATAAGAGACGTGAGTTCAATGAGCAGGAGAAGAAGAATCGGTGGGCTGTTATGTTGGTTACCGTGGCTGGGTGTTTGGCGTTCAAGAATGATGCTGTAGGCTTTATTGCTGGTATGGTGTGGCATTGGGGTTTGCAGATTTCGGATTTGGCGAAGCAGAGACAGTGGAGTGGCCAGAGGAGGTTGACTCGTTTCTTTACTTCGCGAGAGTACAGGGATGGTGAGGATGCGCCTTTGTTGCACAGCGACGATGCTTGAGAGCTGGATTGGCATAGGTCACTTGAGTAATTGTTGCAGTAGATCCTTATGACTAGGAAATTATTCATCGAACCTGTTAAAGCCGTATCAAAGAAAGCTGGAACGCGAAGAACATTGAACATCAAATGCAACAAGTGCTATGTACTGGATATGTGAATGCAAGAGTGAAAGAGACAAAGTAAAGACATTATATTCATTGCTCGCCACCACGCTTGTGCCGTGATCCCATTTCATTTCGTGACGAAGAAAAAAGCTCGAGATGGTCATGAGAATAGCTATCCACAATCTTAAACCTCCTCCTCGTCGATCGAGTAGGCTCTGTAGCCCTGCTTGACAATATCCTTCAATCTCTTGTCCATGACATTTCTGCCGTCAAGAGTTCTCCAGACCTCGTGGGGTGCCTTGTTGACGACATCCCAGCTGATCAAGTTCTCAGTCAGCTTGGTCAGGTCACGTTGCTTGCGCTCCCATTCGCTGTCACGGCGGTTGCTGATGCCACTGCTGATGATGACGAGAGGAACATCAGGAGTCTGGATGGTACGGGCGCTAGCCACTTCGTTCTTGGTCAAGGAATCGGCGACGAGGTTCTCCTGGAGCTGAGCCTTGATGAACTTGCCACCCTGGTAAGCCGAACGACCGTAGACGCGGTCCTCACGAGTGCGTCCGTTGAAGATGGCGCCAAAGTTGCGCTGGAGACCAAGTGGTGAGAGGATGCCCCAGCCCCAGAGAACAAAGCCTCTGTACGGGCCTCCAATACGGTGAAGAAGGTCTTCATGGAGAGGGTCAATCATCATAATACCGGCGATGTTGCGGACATGACGAGCGGAGAAGATGCGTGAAACAATGGATCCGTAGCCAGCAGAAACCAAGATGAAGGGACCCTCCTCACCAGCAACGGCCAGAGCCTCAGACAATGCATCGGCAGACATACCAGCGCTGTGAGGGCTAGGGGCGCTGTCAGACCAGGCGTAGCCAGGACGATCCCAGTAGCAGTAGCGGTCAATAGTGCCATTCTTCCAAGCAGCATAAGCCCAGTGCTCAAAGTCGTACTCGGAAGGACCTTCGCCAGCCTCGAGCAGGAGTGTTGGGTTGGCAACGCCATCAGGGGTGTAAGTGACGTTACCCAGACAAGCAAGGTGGACCTGGTACTTGTCGCCGTCGACATAGTATTTGTCGCCGTCCATAGGCAGAGTAGCGTCACGAGCGCGCAGGATAAGAGTTGCGGTCATGAGGACGGCAATAACAGCATAAACAATGAGGATCAAGGTTGCAATAGAAACGGCCAACCACTCACGCAGTGTCCTGCGTGTCTCAGCACGACCAGTGAGACGCTCCTCCTCTTCCCTCTTGCCCCAAGCCACAACTCGATCGGTAATGACACACCAAAGGCCGATAAGAGTGGCCCAGGCAATCGAAGCAATGCCCGGCCAACCCTCTTCAACTCTCAGGCGGGGAATGGCAAGGATCATGATCAGGTCGATAGCCAAGATGGCGGTGATGATTCCCATAGTGATGCGCATGCCCTTGGCGGGTGCGGCAAAGAAGAGGATGGCGACCAGAAGATTACCAGCAGTGAGGGTGGTGTAAGAGAAGTCGAAGAAACCAGAGCCTCTGGTGTGCAGACCGGGAGGAGAGACGAAGATACTGACGAACAGCAAAACCCACCAGATGAAGTTGATGAGGAAGAAAAGGACAGTGATATATCTCAAGAAGCGAATAGTCCACAGGTTGTAGGGAGAGACCTGTGACAATCAGCACAACTATACGACGACATGATAGCGTTGACTTACAGCTGGGTCGTCGGGATCTAGGTAGCCATCTGAGTGAGGAGGACGAGGTTGAGGCGGTAAGAGTCTGGTTCTCTCGTCTGCTTCACGCTCTCTTCGTTCGTAGGAACGTCTCGACGGAGGACGTCTGCTGTCTTCGGTCGAGCCTCTGGGCGTGGTTGAGCCATCGTCGAGCTGCTCATCGTCATTGTTCTTCGAACCCCACAGAGAGACCATCTTGTTATAGGTGCGACAGGTACCTTGTACTTGCCGGCGAAAGTTTAATGTCAGAATAAGAAGAAGAACGAGGGACGGTCAAGATCTTGTAGGAAACGCTCCATGGAGCTCCAGGCAGCGCAGCGGGAAATCAAGCACCCAGCCACAATGACGCTATGCATCCCCGCGAACGTCAATCATGATCAACGTCGCCCTCGTATGGAACGCATGTGATTTTCATAACCGATGCGTGGGCCTGGAACTTTGAAGTCAAAATTGGATCGTATGCTCGTCCGTATCACAAGAGCTGTAATCCCAAATCTCTTGTCCTCATTCTGTCAGACTCACAGCTTGACATGCCAGCATCTTCATATCTTACTATATGCCGAACCGTCATATCAGAACAGTGACATGCATGCAATCTTTGTAGTCGGGATCTGGGCCGCTTTGCCTTACGCTAGTTAAGCAAAGCACATCTGTTTGTTATCCACTTCTAATTGAGCTTGGAAAACTATGTCTGTGCTTCAGAGAAGCGGACGGGCAAGTCGGTCGATCATAGAAGCTTAAGGCGATCGAAGCGCCAAGGGCGGTGGATAGATTGAGTAGGGGAATGTCAACCGAAGCGATTGAATGACCATCGAAGGTTTCGACTCCATTATGAAGGCAACAGATGAAGGCATCGATGTGGGTCATCCTCGCTGCCAAGCCACTAGCTCTTCGGCGGAAAGAGTGACTGCGGTGTCCTCGCGAAGCGCGAATGCCAAGCCAAAATGTTCGCCGCTGGAGGTGAAGCTCAGAGTCGAAGAAAGCAATCTATCAAGGCAGCACACGCGTAGGGAGCCATCCGTCTACGTCTGTCGCCCGCCCCTCCATACCATCTAACCATTATACAACATTCACAATGGCCGAAAATGAAGATGCAAAGCGCCTCAACCAGTACAAGTACTCGGCCATGTCCAACCTGGTCCTCCAGGCGGACCGTCGATTCATCACGCGCCGAGGTGATGACAGTACTGGTGATCCCGAGTCGCTCGCTGGTCGCATCAACTTGAACGATATGGGCTCGCGCAATGCTCGCGAAGCCGCTCCTGCTCAGCCAGCCGCCCAGGATGCGCAAAGGAAGCGCAAGAGAGCAGAACCCGCTCAAAGTGCTCGCGCCTCTGGCATTCTTTCACAAGCAGACCTCAACATCGAAGGTCTACGATATCGTCCTCGCACACCTGCCACTCAGGCGACTTACACATTGATCAACACATTAGTCGCGCAAAAGATGGGAGGCGATTATGGCCTCCACATCACTGCCAGTGCCACTGACAGCATCTTGGAATATCTGAAGGACCAGGACCTGAAAGACTTCGACAAGAAGAAGGAAATCGACGATATCATCGGTGTCAATCTTTCATCAAAAGAATACAACGAACTTGTCAACTTGGGCAAGAAGATCACCGATTATGACGCACAGGATGAAGACGAAAATATGGGTGATGCAGACGACGCCGGTGAAGGCGATGATATCGATGACCGTCAAGGTGTCGCTGTTGACTTTGGCGACGAAGATGAGGAGGAAGGCCAAAATTACGAGGTTCGCGACGGAGAAGGAGATTCAGATGATGAGGATGTCACCGAGGATCCAGAGAACGTCGTTGCAACAGGTGCCGAAGACGCGGAAGACATGGCTGCAGAAGGCGACGAGGAGGATCTTGTTTTCTCTGCTCCAACCGCCAGCCGTTCAGCAAAGGCCGACCAAGAGGATATTATACCCGCTCACGAAATCGACGCTTTCTGGTTACAACGACAAATCGGCCAGCTTTACGAGGATGCACATATCCAACAAGATAAGACATCACAAGCGCTAGATATGATGTCTGGCCTGAACGAGGATGGCGAGGCAAAACAATTGCGCGACGTTGAGAACGATCTGATGGAACTTTTCGACTACGAGCACCCCGAGCTGGTCTCGAAGCTTGTCAAGAATAGAGACAAGGTCGTATGGGTGACGAGATGGAGAAGAGCTGGTGAGGATGAACCTGCTCGCGTGGCTGTTGAGCGCGAGATGGTGCAGGCCGGACACGGAAGCATTCTCAAGGAGCTAAAGACGCGTCAACAAGGGACCGATGGACAAGCTCAAGGAAAGATGCAATTTGACCTTATGGATCTGGATACCGCAACTGGAAAACCTGCCGCCCTTGAAGAGAAGAAAGAAGGACTTGTTGGTGGTTTGCAACCCAGCCGAAATATCAATCTGGAAAACCTCGTCTTCGATCAAGGAAACCATCTCATGACTAACCCCAGTGTGAAGTTGCCGCAAGGATCAACCAAGCGCACTTTCAAGGGTTATGATGAGATCCATGTACCGGCACCTAAGCGTAAGCGCGAAGACTTTGAGACTCCCAACCTTCCAACAACAGAATTGCCTGAATGGGCTCGTATTGGATTTGGAAGTTCCAAGGAGCTCAACCGCATTCAAACAAGATGTTTCCCCACTGCATTCAAGGATGATGGCAACATGCTGATTTGTGCACCTACTGGATCCGGTAAAACAAACGTGGCTATGCTCGCTATGCTGCGCGAAATCGGCAAGCACCGCAATCCCGAGACTGGTGAAATTGATTTGGACGCCTTCAAAATTATCTTCATTGCTCCTTTGAAAGCTCTGGTCCAGGAACAGGTTGGAAACTTTGGCGCGCGTTTGGCACCTTACGGCATCAAGGTTTCAGAGTTAACTGGTGATCGTCAACTCACCAAGCAACAGATTGCCGAAACTCAAGTCATCGTGACAACGCCGGAGAAATGGGACGTCATTACTCGCAAGGCCACTGATACCAGCTACACTAACCTTGTGCGTTTGATCTGTATCGACGAAATTCACTTGCTCCATGACGACCGTGGCCCGGTTCTTGAGAGTATCGTGAGTAGACAGATCCGTAAGATCGAGCAGACTGGTGAACCTGTTCGCATTGTTGGTCTCAGTGCCACTCTTCCCAACTACCGCGATGTCGCCACTTTCCTGCGAGTCGATATGAATAAGGGTCTCTTCCACTTTGATGGCACTTACAGACCTTGTCCACTTAAGCAGGAGTTCATCGGTGTCACCGAGAAGAAGGCGATCAAGCAACTCAAGACCATGAACGACATCTGTTACAACAAGGTTCTCGAGCAAGTTGGCCAGCAACGTAACCAGATGCTGATTTTCGTCCATTCTCGTAAAGAGACAGCGAAGACAGCGAAGTACATCCGTGATAAGGCCCTCGAGCTTGAAACAATCGGCCAGATCTTGAAGCATGATGCAGCCAGTCGAGAAATTTTGACTGAGGAAGCTGAGAGTGTGACAAATGCCGACCTCAAGGATCTGCTCCCCTACGGATTCGGCATTCACCATGCTGGTATGAGCAGAGCCGATCGTACCTCCGTTGAAGAATTGTTCGCTTCTGGTGATGTTCAGGTTCTTGTTTGCACGGCCACTCTCGCTTGGGGTGTCAACCTTCCTGCTCACACAGTCATCATCAAAGGTACTCAGATCTACTCTCCTGAAAAAGGTAGCTGGGTCGAGTTGTCTCCTCAAGACGTACTTCAGATGCTTGGCCGTGCCGGTCGTCCACAATACGACACGTATGGTGAAGGTATCATCATCACTACGCAACAGGAAATCCAATACTACCTGTCGCTACTCAACCAGCAGCTTCCGATTGAGAGTCAACTTGTTAGCAAGTTGGCGGATAATCTCAATGCTGAGGTTGTCTTGGGCAATGTCCGCACCCGTGATGAGGGTGTCGAGTGGCTGGGCTACACGTATCTCTTTGTGCGTATGTTGCGATCACCAGCATTATATCAAGTCGGGGCCGACTACGAGGATGACGAAACTCTCGAACAAAAGCGAGTTGACCTGATCCATTCCGCGGCTTTGCTTCTGGAGCAGGCAAACCTCGTCAAGTATGACAAGCGCGCAGGACGAATCGTCTCTACAGAGCTTGGTCGCATTGCATCGCATTACTACATCACTCATAAGTCTATGTTGACGTACAACCAACAGATCCAGCCATCGATCACGCCTATCGAGCTGTTCCGTGTCTTCGCACTCAGTGAGGAGTTCAAGTACATTCCCGTTCGTCAAGACGAGAAGCTTGAGCTTGCAAAGCTGCTTGGCAGAGTCCCAATTCCTGTCAAGGAAACCATTGATGAGCCCCACTGCAAGATCAATGTCTTGCTTCAAGCATACGTGTCTCGTCTCAAGCTTGACGGTCTTGCACTTATGGCTGATTTGGTATACGTCACACAATCTGCTGGTCGTATCCTGAGAGCCGTCTTCGAGATTGCTCTCAAGAAGGGTCTGGCTTCGGTGGTCAAGGATGCTCTCAATCTCTGCAAGATGGCCGAGAAGCGCATGTGGCCAACCATGTCGCCCCTCAGGCAGTTCCCAGAATGCCCTGCGGACATCGTCCGCAAGGCTGAGCGCATCGATGTGCCATGGTCGAGCTACTTTGACCTTGACCCTCCACGTATGGGAGAGCTTCTCGGTCTGCCTAGAGCCGGTAGACAAGTTTGTGCTTTGGTACAGAAGTTCCCTCGACTAGAAATCCAAGCTCAAGTACAACCTATGACACGTACCATGCTTCGTGTTGAGCTCACCATCTCACCCAAGTTTGAGTGGGATGAGGCTCTTCATGGCAAGTCTGAGAGCTTCTGGATTCTCGTAGAGGACTGTGATGGTGAAGAGATTCTGTTCCACGACCAATTCGTCCTTCGCAAGGAGTACGCCGAGGCCGAGATGAACGAGCATCTAGTTGAGTTCACCGTACCCATCACCGAGCCCATGCCGCCCAACTACTTCATCACTGTTCTGTCGGACCGATGGATGCACTCTGAGGCTCGTCTGGCTGTGTCCTTCCAGAAGCTTATCCTTCCCGAGAAGTTCCCTGCCCACACTCCTCTCTTGGACCTGCAGCCCCTCCCTATCGCTGCCCTCAAGCGTGATGAGTTCATCAACCTCTACCCTGATTGGGAACGTTTCAACAAGATTCAGACTCAAACTTTCAACGCCTTGTACTCGTCTGACGACAATGTGTTTGTTGGCTCTTCGACCGGTAGCGGCAAGACTGTCTGTGCTGAATTCGCTCTTCTCCGCCACTGGAGTCAAGGAGATGGCAAGGCTGTTTACATTGCACCTTTCCAAGAAGCGATCGACGCTCGTTACAAAGACTGGCAGTCTCGCTTAACCGGAATTGCTGGTGGCAAGCAAATTGTCAAGTTGATCGGTGAAACTACGGCTGACCTCAAGCTGCTTGGAGAGGGTGATCTTATCCTTGCTACTCCCCAGCAATGGGACATGATGTCTCGTATGTGGCAGCGCAGAAAGAATGTTCAAGCTGTGACTCTAGTTATTGCCGATGATCTACACATGATCGGAGGACATAACGGTTACGTGTATGAGACTGTCGTCTCTCGAAGTCACGCGATCAGCAAGCAACTCGAGAACGGCCTGCGCATTATCGGTTTGAGTGCTTCTCTTTCCAATGCCCGTGATGTTGGTGAGTGGTTCGGAGCTAGCAAGCACACTATCTTCAACTTCAGCCCTCAATACCGCCAGATTCCTCTCGAACTCCACATTCAGCCTTTCACCATTCCCCACTTCCCCTCTCTCATGCTGGCCATGGTCAAGCCTGTCTACCAGTCTATCACACAGCTTGCTGCCGGTCATCCTGCCATGGTATTCGTCCCGAATCGTAAACAGGTACGCGCAACTGCTGTTGACCTACTGGCAACTTGTGTCGCCGATGACCAAGAGAATCGCTTCCTAAACGCCGACCTCGAAGATATATCTTCTGTTTTGGAGAAGATCAACGAACGCGCATTGGCCGAGTCTTTGTCGCATGGTATTGGTTACTTCCACGAGGCTCTTAGTCCTTTCGACAAGCGTGCTGTTGAGCACTTCTTCAAGGCTGGCGCCATCCAGGTGATGCTCGTGTCAAGAGATTGTGCTTGGGAGGTGCAAACTCCAGCTCACATGGTCATTGTCATGGGCACCCAATTCTTCGAAGGTCGTGAGCACCGCTACATCGATTACCCTATCAGTGAGATTTTGCAGATGCTCGGCAAGGCTGGCAGACCCATGGAAGACAAGAAAGCACGTGGTGTCCTGATGTGCCCCGCTGTCAAGAGAGACTACTATAAGAAGTTCTTGACCGAAGCACTACCAGTTGAGAGTCAGTTGCAAGCCTTCTTGCACGATGTGTTTGTCACTGAGATCAGCACCAAGACGATTGAAGACACCCAGGATGCAATCAACTGGTTCACCTACACCTACTTCTACCGTCGTCTGATGGCCAACCCCAGCTTCTATGGTCTCACTGATACAACTCAGGACGCTTTCAACTACCACCTCTCAGAGCTTATCGAGTCCACTCTCAAGGACTTGACCGACGCAAACATCATTGAGGTCGACGAGGAGGACGATGGTTCAATCACGCCACTTAACGCTGCCATGATTGCCGGATACTACAACATCTCTTTCATTACCATGCAGACCTTCTTGTTGTCATTGAAGAAGACCACCAAGCTGAAGGGCATTCTCGAGATTGTGACTGCAGCCACAGAGTTCGAGGACATCCAGACTCGTCGTCACGAAGAGCGTATTTTGTCGCGCATCTACGACCGCGTGCCTGTCAAGCTCGCCGAGGTCAATTTCGAGTCCCCTCACTTCAAGGCATTTATCCTGTTGCAAGCCCACTTCTCGCGCATGCAACTACCCGTGGATCTTGCCAAGGATCAAGAGCTGATTCTCAAGAAGGTCCTCGTCTTGCTCAGCGCTTGTGTCGATGTACTGTCCTCAGAAGCCCACCTCAACGCCATGAGCGCCATGGAGATGAGCCAAATGGTTGTGCAATCCATGTGGGATCGCGACTCACCACTCAAGCAGATTCCCCACTTCGAGCCCGAGGTTATCGAAGCTGTCAACAGCAATGGCATCAACGATATTTTCGAGTTCATGGATGCCATGGACCCGTCTGAGAACCCCAACTACGAGAAGTTGGTCAAGAGTATGGGTCTCAGCAACCAACAGTTGGGAGATGCCGCTCGCTTCACCAACGAGCGATACCCCAATGTCGAGCTCAACTTCGAGCTTGAAGATGCCGAGAACGTTGTTGCTGGCGAGCCTAGCTTCATCAACGTCAGCATTGAGCGCGATGTTGATGAGGATCAAGAACCTAACCTTACTGTTCACGCACCCTTCTACCCTGCTCAGAAGACCGAGAACTGGTGGCTTGTTGTTGGTGAGGAGAGTACCAAGAACTTGCTCAGCATCAAAAAGGTTACTATTGGCCGTGAGCTCAAGGTTCGTCTCGACTTTACTGTGCCCACACCTGGCAAGCACGACTTGACTTTGTTCTTGATGAGTGACTCGTATGTTGGTGTTGATCAAGCACCCACGTTCAGCGTGAACGCCGCAGAGGGCGAAGAAGAAGACGAGGATGAGGAAATGGAGGAATGAGTTATATAACCACAAGCAAATAAGCGTGTTGCTGTTCATTCTAGATGTAAAGGATTCGGAGAAAAGTAGAAGTTCTTTCATAATTCAAAGCGTTTCTGTACATTAATGCAATATCATGCCTTCTTCAATACCAACAATCGATGCCATCTCAACGCAAGAAAAGTGAAGTAGTGCTGTCTTTATGCTCTCTGCTTATCAATGACAAGCAGCGCTCTTTGTAACAGTCGAATTGCCAAACACCAAATAACCCACGAATGCACCCACAGCAACAGACAACATGATCCAACCATTATAAGTCATGAAAAGCAACCTATAGCCATGAGTATACCATTCCAAGCAGCGAAGAACAAGAAGTAGGAAACACTCACATGATAAAGAAGGAATAAAACACCTGAATGGCATATAGAGCAGCCTTGATAGTTTTCGACTTTGCATACGCGTCGGCAGCGTTGCGTCCTGATGCGAGCAATGAGCTTTCTTCTTGGTCATCTTTGGATAGTTAATGCCGATTTAGCCAAAATATCTCGAGTTTGACACGGCAAAAAGAGACAAAAGACAAGGTATTCAGCAATGGGATGAGGTTAAGCACTTACTCGGCATATCATCAATCTCCCTCTGTACTTTAGCCTCATAGCGGCGAGACATTTCGCGCACGAGTTCGTAGCCGGCGGTTAGTAGCATCACGCCAACCAAAGACCAGATCAGAGACATTGTGGAGGTGATGCGCCAGGATTTGAAGACGATGCAGAGGTTGTTGGTGTCCCAGGTGAACAACATCTATATATCACGTTTCAGCTGTCATCTTTTGTACAGGTCGGGCATGGGTTGCTTGGTTGGGTATGGGTGAGGGACAAGGAGCTTACGTTCATGTTGCACATGTTGCCATGATCCATGCCGCCATGGTCCATACCGCCGTGACCCATGTTGCCGTGGTCCATGTGTGAGTGATCCATGATTTCTAGCTAGGATCTCGAAATGTTGAAGAAAAAAACACGAATGAGTGGTTCGACAGATAGAATCGATATTCCAACTCGTCTTACGATGCTCTCACCGGCTCCATCAGCACCGCTAGACCGGTCGGAGATAGCACCCGCTTCCGACTATCTAATCGCCGCAACAGGCCTTGCTTCCGAGCCCCTCCATGTTTCTATGACGCGGAGCCACTTCCTATCCGAAAAACAGATACATTTGTCATCGCAGGACTGGGATTGTCACTTCTTCTCTTTCTTGTAATTATTCTCGAGACATCAAAGCATGCAGACTTTCAGGACACTGAGCAGAAACACATTACAGAGAACTTCCGCGTTACGAACACCGCTTGCACCACGAGTTGCTGCCTTTACACGACTGGCAAACATGACTACCACAACACCTACAACCACTAAACTGGGCAACCCTTTGAATATCCCTAAATGGTGTGTTTTTCGCCTTTTCCTCCAGCTCCTTCCCACCTTTTGGAACTGCTAGCTAACCTCTTGCAATCACAGGCTCGAACAAAACTCCCACCTCCTCAAACCCCCAATCAACAACTACTGCGTTTACTCGGACCCTTTGACGGTCATGATCGTCGGCGGCCCCAATGCACGAACAGACTACCACATCAACAGCACCCCCGAATTCTTCTACCAATACCGCGGCCGCATGCTTCTAAAAACCGTCGAACCCTCTGGCGAGTTCCGAGACATTTACATCGATGAAGGAGAGATTTTCCTCCTGCCCGGAAATACCCCGCATAACCCTGTCAGGTTTGCGGATACGGTTGGTGTGGTTATTGAGCAGCCTAGACCAGAGGGAGAGGTTGATAAGCTCAGGTGGTATTGTCAGGGGTGTGGGGGTGTAGTTCATGAAGCTGCGTTTGTGTGTACGGACTTGGGAAGTCAGATTAAAGATGCCGTCAACAACTTTGGAGAGGATGAGGAAGCGAGGAAGTGTGGAAACTGTGGTGAGATTTGTGATGTTAGACCTAAGCCGGAGGTCATGGAAAAGATGAGAACTGGTCCTCATGCTTGATTGAGGCGAGACGGACGACTTGGAAGCCGAATACACTTGGAAGACTTTGTGTCTCTTGCGCTTTATAGATCGATGATTCATGTTATTCATGAACTTAGACTCCTTTCCACGAAATCTTCATGACATGGTCTGCTTTCTTCCTCGTTCCTCTTACCAGTCCAAGGTATCGCAGCTCGGCCAGAGAACGTTGGAACAGGGCACTGAGATGATTGATTAGCATATGATTCCTCAAAGGGACACACTCTTCAGGAAAACACTCACTTTGTCAAAACCTCATCCTGATCATCACCAAGAATCGTGACAAACGCAGTCCGTAGATCAGCAACATTCATCAAAGCTCCGCCTTCGAGATAGAGCTGATAGAGGATGGCGGTTGATGGCTGAGTAGAGGCCAATGTATTCTCTTCACCCGTACCCACATCCGGCGCACAGCACTCGCAATCCAGATAATCATGAGGAGAAGCCAATGCACGCTCGATCGCAGCTCGTGGCTTAGGCATGAATACATCGCGATGCGGTGACTTGAGATCGTACATGAAGATCTCGTTGAAGACCAGGTCTTTTGGATTGATGAGTGCTGCATCAAAGTGAGTTTCCAGAGCTTCCACAAATCGACGAAGAATGTCAGAGTAAGCGGCATCGCCCTTGGTGAGGGTAGATTTCTGCTTGCTCAGCTCGACCTTTTTGGCAACGACTGTTGTTCTCAGAGTAGCGTTATGCAGATCCTGTTCGCTGCGTAGAGCTCCACCGTCTTTTTGTTGGGCTTGCAGTTTTTGAAGCTCTTTAAGCAACTTTTGACACGTCTTGTGCAGGTCCCCAGAGGTGGCTGACGACACATACTGCAATGTCAGCAGCATAGCTTCAGAGTTCGCCTTCTTCAGGCACATGATCATGTTCCTCTCAAAGTTTGAGTCTCGAAGTTCACCGGCGAGAGCATCAAGCAGAAGAGTTGATTTCAGCTGTTGCTGTAACGCAGGTATGCGCTTTTGTAGCATCATGACCATGTCCACCGTGCTCAAGATAGTCTCCAAAGCTTGACGTCCAGCCAAGATCTGTTTTTTGACATATTCAAGGAGGTACTCGTTATCGTCTAGTAAGCGTTTAGGTATCGACGCTTCGCCATCTTCGAGCAATGTTTCTACGTGTCTAAAACTGTCAGAGAGATTGGGATCACGAAGACTATCAGGACTTACTGCTGAAACGAGGGCAGGTTCCGTAGCGCTTCTATGTGTTCAAGTGAAACATCGGCCAGTGTGACAGTCTCGTCCAGGAAGATACTAAGAGCATTGGCATAAAAATGTGATAGGTATGCATACTACAACAGATCAGCACACATTTCGACAACCATCAATGAAGAAGTTTACCTGAACACTATCCACAAAAGCATCGAGACTTTGGATATGCTCACGTTGACGTCGCAGTGTGGCAGAACAAATTCCCGGGCCCATCCACAGACTGAGTTTGTTCGAGTCGAAGGGCGAGTACAGCGCATCAGTGATTTGCTCAAGAGCACTTTCAGCCTTGACGACATCAAAGCGTTGACCTTTGATGCAGCGAGTAGCCTTCTTGGATAATTTGACAGAAAAGTTCTCGATGGACGTAGCCACACCGAAGAAGAAAATAAAAGGAATTCTGTCTTGCCATCGACTGCTCGAAAGGTAAGCTAGAGACATGTGTGCTGATTCAGATGGGTCTTACGTCAACAGCTCGATCGCATCCGACAGGAGAGCACCATCAAAGGCTTCACAGTCCTGGAAAGCAACGACCACTCGAGACAAGCCTTTCTCCTGAGTGCAATCGTACAAGAGTTGGAGGTCATAATTCAACAGACGTGTACGTTTGCGAGTTGGCTTGACAGTATCAGCCTCATCTTCATCGTCAGATTGAGTCTCGGCAGAAGTTCCCTTTGAGATGAGGTTTTTGAGTAGGGTCTTGAGGTTTGGTGCTAGGTTAGAGGTCAAGGGTACGAATATGCTGCCATCAGCTTGACCAATGCTGGTAGATAGTTGAGAAAACAGTAAAGCATGTGATGCAATACTTGGACCAGTGAGAATGATTGCTGAAGAAACTCTGCCAGGGCTGGGTTGGGGATCTGTAGATTCGACAAAATTCGAGATCTGGTTGATGGTAGATTCGTTGATCTCAAGGAGCAAGCTCTGATTGACTTGTTAGATTGTGATGGTAGCGAGGAAGGAACAAGCCAACCTTTAATTGAGCATGCTGTTTGGCCCACAATCGTTGATACAGGGAGCGACGAAGAGGCCATGAAGTTTGTAGACCTTGTAGAGGTTCAACGCGGCGTTTCTTCACCGGCCTGTCCTTATTACGAGCGGCTGGATCATAGACGTAGCAAGTTTGGAAATCCATATTGTCGTGAGTGAACCTTTAGTTCTTTCCCCAAGGTGTAAACAAGATTCGGCATAGGCTAGACCGAGTGTTAGACAGGGTCGTGTTGGCAACGATGCAATCCGGCTGTGTTGGCAACCCGAAATGACGGAGTTGTCAGAAGCAAAAAAGTTGATGCTTCTTGACAATCAAACCGCTTCACCAGAACTTTCGCTTGCACCGACATTTTTATGCTCAGCAAACTTGATGCACGTCTTCAGCCTGAGGAGAAGCACTCTACAACCGCGACTGTTCCAGCAAGCATGTCGCCTTGCCTCTACCACAAGCACTAGACGCATTATCGCGCGCAACAGACGACTCGCCGCTCAACAACCCACTCCTGTCCCCAGATCTAGAAAACCTCCACAAGACGAAGAGGAAGAAGCCATTCGCTGGTTTGAACAGGATGTCGACACTGGTGCTACCCGCCGTATAGCTGGAAACCCCGAAGAGCTAGAAGCTGCAGAGCTGAGACAGAAGATTGCTGCCCTGGAGAAAGAGCTTGCTGAATACCAAAATGAAGAGTCGGACGAGGATATGCTGGCTGCCCTAGAGCCTGAGGATCGCGCAAAGGTAGAGAAGGCGCTGAAGGAACGCAAACAGCTCGAGGCAGATCGTGTAGACGGTCTCAATGTCAGTCTGGACATGCCTCCATTGACTGTGCCTCTTCTCAAGAAATTCAACACAGCTCTACGAGAAGCTGCTCTTCACCCCAATTCTGTCGCCCGCAGAAAAGACTTGTGGAGATGGTATGGCCGTGCAAAGTACAGCATTCCTGCTCTCTCGAGCATGATCCCCAAGAAGGCCTGGCAGCTGCTCTGGGACATTCAGTCTGCCGAATCAGATACCAACCGTGAACGCCTGAATCACATGGAACAGCTTCTACGTGACATGGCTTCAGTCGATGTCGAAATCATGCCCGACCAACCCCTGGTTCTCATCGAAACCCTACTCTCCCTCGAGAAGTTTGAGCAAGCCATGTACTCATGGCAGCACGCCCATGATGCTACCCCAACTCCCTCCGAGAATCTCCTTTCCCTCGGTGTGCGACTCTTCTCGCAGAACAACCGCCTCGAAAAAGCGAACAATATCATGATGCAGCTGTTCGACCGCTATCCTAAGCATGATCCTCGCATCATCGTGCCCATCCTTACCGCGGATCTTCGTGCCGGAAAAGACGAATTGGCTTTCGGTTGTTACATCCTTATGAGTGAGAAGCTCGGTGAAGATATGAACATGGAGGATTACGATGTTGTCTCGCTCACCTTCCTCGAGTACGGCAAGAAGGATTACGCTCTGGCTGTCTTCCGTGACATGATGTTGCGTGGTCCCAACAAAGAAATCTCGGAAGAATTCCTTGGTGCCTCGGGAATGGATGAAGCCTACGAGAGAGTTTACGAGCGCATGGAACGCTTGACTGAGGGATTATCGGACCCTGCCGAAGTCAACGCCATTTCCTTGAAGGCTTTGAGTGCTTTGCCTGTACCATGGCAAAACAAGTTTTTCTTCGGTAGCTGGCTCAAGAAGCTACTCGGAATGCGACAGCTCGAAGCTGCAACGAAGGTCGTCGAGTTGATGTATGAACGAGGCATCGAACCAGATGCCAAACATATCAACGGACTGATTGGTGGCTTTTTCCGCTCTGGCAATCCAGAACTCGAGGACCGAGGTGAAAAAATGGCCTGGAAGATGATTCAGCGAAGACTAGAGGCAGCGTACAAACGTCGTTGCTTGGCAAGAGGTGAACCAGTCGAGAACGTTCCTTCTATTCGGGACACGGAAGATGATGGTCTTCAATTGCCTGCTCATCTCACACGTCCTGTACCCATTGGAACCATGGAAACATACAACGTACTGGCTCTCCATTATTCCGTCAAGGAGAAATGGGCACTCATCCACCATCTCAACCGCATGAGACGTCCGGCAGAATTCAAGATGGATACCTCTTTCTTCAACCACTACCTCAACATGATCTTCAACACCTACCACGACGAGAAGAAGTTGTGGCAAACGTTCCTCACAGAGGCCAAACACGTCTCCCCTGACATTGAGACTTACAACATCCTCTGGACTGCTCAACTGGAGCACTTGAACCCCAGAATGAACAAGGATAAAAAAGCCACCAAAGGTTACCCAACCCCTCGCCAACTATTCGGCCTCATGACATCTTGGTTCCACAGCAAATCCCTCTTGCACCAATCTTGGACCATGAAAGAATTTACCCCTACAGTGCACACCAAGATCATTTCCAGTTTCTGTCTGAACAAAGACTTTGCTGGGTGTTTGGTTGCTCTGCATGGTATAGCTCGAATGTACAAAGAGTTCCCTGATCCGGAGTTGGCTCGTATTGTTCTCATCGCTGTCGCCAATATGTCCGAGTCCCAACCTCTGACTATCCGCGCCCGCAGAGGACGTCAACAAGTCCCTGCCTCTACCGTTCGGCTGAAGAACACATCTAAAGTCATGGCATCGCTAGCTCAGAAACGTGCAGAAGCTGCTGCAGAGAATGGAATCGATATCACAAGGTTGAGTGTCGAGGCTCGCAAGGAGGAAGCTTTGAATCTGCTTTCTGAATTTATCAGATTGGTGTTGGTGAGGGTGCATGGAAATACTGATGTTGCGGAGGATAGTATCCGCCAGGCTGCCATGGCAATGCAGTTGCCGGATATTGAGACTGGAGATAAGGATTGCTCAAATGTTGTGTAAGATATATGTTGCATTTGCATAAGGTATGGAGTTGAGCTCCTTGGTTGGGTATCATACTGTATAGTAGCATCTCAGTGTATAAAAAACACCGCTCTGCCTTCCTTCATTCTTTGCTTAATGGCGCTCAAATGTCTTTTCGTCGTCTTTGTTCATTTCAATCATGCTCCTCCTCTGTCAAACCAGGACATCCTTCCATCGTCTCATCAGCATACCTATACTTGCACCAAAAGCAATAGTGATAAGTACTCCTCAAATACCTCACCGTCTTCTCGAGTCTCTCACCCACCTCCAAAGCATTAAACTCTTCCAGTTCTGTATCTTCCTCATCTTCAAGATCTTCAACTTCAACTCCCATGGCCACTTTATCGTCTGCATCTGCTTCATCGTCAGTCCACCTCGAAGACAGAGAATCCAACGCTCCTTTTCTGAGCACTTTTTCTTTGTCTCTTTGGTCTCTTTGTAAGGCTAGGGTGCGCCATAGCAGATTAACCTTCTTCTTATCCTTCTTTGACTCCTTCCCTGACTTCTCAACTTCTTCCTCGGTATCAAACTTTTCACACACTTTCATCGCACCCCACCATTGCCCTTCCTTTCTCTTTTCCTCTCTTTCCCTCGCAACCCTTTCGCGATATTCTCCTGCTTCTGCTTTTTGTCTCTTTTCTTTTCCTTGTAGTTCCTCCATTTGTTCTCGTATCTTGCGCTTTTTTTCATTGTCCATGCCTATTCCGCCTTTTCCTTCTTTGATGCTGATTTCTATGGGCTCGGTGCGTGCGTTTGCAGACTTGCCTAGTGCGCCGCCTTTGAAGCCCATTTTTGCCATCATGAGCGCGCCTTTTGAGGAAGGATTGCTGAGTGTCGAGGTCGCGAGGGCGGTTTCTCGGGCTAGCTCTGCTTCTTTTTCGAGCTCTTTCTTGGTCTTGGGTTGTGACTTTAGAGAGGCCAGACGGCGTCGTTCTTGTTGCCGCTGTAAAGAAGTCTTTGGGGCCGAGGGAGCGGCGTCCGTGAAGGTCATGTTCATGTAATCGTCTTCTGCGTCGCTCATATTGGCGGATGGTTGGAGGGCCTGTCTTCGATGCTTTGCTTTGTGACCTTCTCGAGGAATGGGACGTTTGGCGAGGTTGTAGTTGTTGCGCAGGTGTGATGTTGTTTGCAAGTGTTCTGGGCTTGCGCTGGTGGATTGTGTAGGTATTGTCGCCTGAGATGCGAATGTATCAAAACGATGAGCTCTTGAGTTCCTCTTGAGAATGATTTCGCTGGACCAGCAGCCGTTCAGAGGATTGTCTGTGTGAAGATGAGTGTTCTTGTGCTCTTTCATCAACATTCACTGTCGCAAAGTTCCTAATTGGGAAGTATCTTGGCTCGTGCTTTTGTGCAAGTTTTCACAAGCTATGCATAGTCGTAGTTGAGTAGTGAGTATGAAGAGATGGAACACACCATCCATATCTAATATCATTCAAGGGTATATTTATGCTTCTAGCAATCCATAAACGCCATGCTCTGCTATCCCAAAGAAAAAGAAAACCAATAATGTCAAGGACTCCGGTCTTCATCCCATCATTCCTCATCATCCCACGTGTCTAGAGCACCTCCCCAGGACCATTCGTAAAGCCGTGACCCTTGACATGCAATGAGTGTTGGTGTACCATTGGGCGTTCCAATGAACCTCAGCCTCGAAATCCTTCCCTTTTCGTTGCGTGGATTGGCTCCTGTAAGACTTCCCACCAATTTGCCGCTGCACAGCGAGTGCAATTGGATTACATTGTCATCGTCAGCGGTTGCTAGTAATTGCGCATCTGCCAGCAGATCCATCGCCACACTAGGTTGCTCTGTCTTTGTAGGTGCCAGGCGTAGCAGAGCTGCTGAAGGACTATGTGGACCCTTTGATTTGGATGCCATGCGTGTGTCGTAGATGGATGTGCCTTTGAATCCAGAAACTAGTACTCGTGAGCCATCGCCTAGGCTGCGGACTCCAGTCACACCGCTGGTGTGCTTGAAACGTAATGAAGTGCCTCGCGCTCTTGCATCCCACAGGTATACCGGACTTGATCTTGTGCCTCCGACAGCCACATTTGGAGTAAGCCAGTCAATCGAGCGTACGTCTTCTCTGAGGGGATGGTGTTGGAGAGGGTCGCCGTTTGAGCTGAGCATGTATACACCTTCCGAGCTGCCAATGGCAATCACATCCCTCGCCGACCCTGCAGGCGACGGACTTGCCGTCCAAAGTGCTGTTTCAGCCCCTCCAAGCATGGAATAGCTTGGTGCCGGTGAATCAAGAATAGGCGGTGCTCCTTCCATATCAATACTCCCCGCCATGCCTGCCACAAACACATTTCCCGGATGTGCCCTGTCATACGCCGTCGCAACCAACGTCCTGCTTTGCGAAACCGCAACTGAAGAAATATCCGACCGAAAAGCCGCGACATCATACGTATTCTGCCCTTGCCCTATCCACTGCACCCGTCCAAAATTTCTGGAACCTAATGCCATCAAGATCGCATCCAGTTCCTCATCGATACAGAAATCGTGGATGTTATCGCGTTTTCCGCAACTTTCGCAGCTTTTTAGGGAAAGGCTTTCGTAGCCGCGGAATTGGGAAGCCAGAGCCGAGATACGTGCTTCGTAGTTTGCAAAGTGCGAACGGCCTTGTTCGCGCCAGAGGCCTATGCCGGCTGCTGATGCCGAGTCTAGAATTTTTGAACGACGTACGGTTTGTGTTTCACGTTTCTGTCGGTGGGCTGCGGATCTCTTGCGCTTCTGCAGAATATGTCAGAATCTGATAATGACAAATTCCTCGATCGAAATGCATAATGATAAGACAGAGGGAAGTGTCAAAGGTAGACATCATAGTAAAACATCATGGTGATTCGTGAAGTGTGATTTTGTCCACTCCCATCGAGAGAGCGACTGCATTTCGAAGGTCCAGTTGGTTGGTTTGACTTGGTGATGCATAGAAATTCAAAGCCGTTGAGGCTCTTCGTCGAAATCAAGAGTAGTTCCATGGGGCCCAAAAGATTTCCACGGGAACGTCCAATATCTTTCAGAGTGAAAACGAGAAAAAGACTTACTCTAGACTGCTCCTTCTCCTTGCGAACATTTTCTTGCGAATACTTAGCACCCTGCGGCGCAACATGATTTGCCTGCACTCGAAAGTATTTGCCCTTCTCAGCATCTGCTCATGTCACCGTTAGAATACCCATCATTTCTTATCACAGACATACTTACCGAAGTAAAAACCCGGAATCTCTCTTTGCGCCATGTTTCAAAGATGGCAAAGTGGTTGTGAGATATGAGAGGAAGTGAAAGGCTCGGGCAAGCATCAAGATTGTGGATCTCGGCGAAAGCGTCATTTGTACGTGCCTCAGCGTGCAGCGGCTCGGCCCGGTTCTCCGAAGGCTAAAGTGATTTTTTTGATCAAAGCTCATGGCCTGGATGCACCTCAAGGTTGAAGAAGGTATGGATTCAGTACACGAATGCTAAGTGGCAGAACTTACCATGATTCTCCGTGGTTGTCATGAATGCGAACAAGTTAAGGTCAGGTCGAGTGACTTTACCAGATCATGTAGATTCGAATCAAAGTGCATAGCATAATCTTGTCTACCTATTGTAGCAAGGGGTATCAGAGTACATCAACAGCAAAAAGACCATATAACAAAAGAAAAGAGGGAGAATAGGGTGGATCTCTAAACCTCTGCTGCGCCAAAGTGGTGACCTCGTCGACAAAAAGCGACCATGTTAAGATATTTCCTGGCTCATCAAAAACGCCTTACCCACCAAAGTCCATGCTATGCTTCCTCGCCCATTTCATCTCCGTTGTTGTTATTATGACGTGACCAAGCGTTTCCGTCGCCTAAAGTCCAAGCTTCATCTCATATTTCAATCCTTTGCTGGCACACCATTCTCTCAGCAGTGCATATCCAATTCGAACTGCAATGAGAGGCTCAGTGTCCATGCCGAGTGGTAGACTGATCTCACCAGCATAACGACCAATCTTGACTTCGTCCTCTGCCCCTCTCGCATGGGAACCGTTGTTCATAGCCTTCTTCCACAACTTTGGAAAATTAGACATAATGGCTGAAAGAGGTAGTTTCGAGTTGCCGTCTTTCGAAGCTTTCAAGGCTGCTGACGCAGCATTGTGCAATGTACGCGTTTCTTCGGGCGTCATGTCTTGTGGTCGTTCGCGTAAAGTGGTCAGTCGTAACATAATGAGTGCATTGCAAACCCCGCCTAGATGACAAGCAACACCGTCAAGAGGTGCGAAATACTGACAACGCGTGCGGACGAAATTGAGGAAGGCGGGTATGGTTCCCCAAGTCCGACTTGCATCCATGGGTGCAGGCGGGTTGCGAGCAGCAAACGCACGGTCTGTGCAGTAGAAGGAAAGCATGAACAACAAAAACGACTCCAGGGACATGGCAGCTGCTGTTTCGCGGAGTCTTGGTTCGTCGTGGCTGCTTCTAGACTTTGGATCCTCCAGTGCAGAGGCGGCATGCTTCAACTCACGACCAAGCTTTCCTACTCGTGCTGCTTCGGTGTCCCAGGCGATAGACTCAGCCGTCTTCGTGTTGCTTGACGAGGGAGACGGTCGAGTGACACCATTGACTTGACGCGAAGACTGTGGTGTGCCATTGATAATACTATCAGACGACTCGACACGCCTCATCGCAGCAGATGTGCGCAAATCTTTAGTGGTACTACGTGCAGTGGGTGTGGCCTTCTGCGCTGCAGGTGTTGCGGGCAAAGGTGTACTGGGCTCTGCTTGTGTGCTGGTCGGCTCGGGCTTGATAGACTTCTTGCGTTTCGATTCTGGAAGCGGGTTGTCTTCTTCTGCCGGACGTGGTCTTTTGGATGATTGTGGTGTGGGTTCAGCCTGGGCTGGGGGTTTCTCTGGAGGTAGCACACGAATGACTTGTGGTTGTGGTTTCATTTGCAGATATCGACAGAGGTTTTTGCGCATGCTTTTGGGGATCCTGAGTTTGACAATAAGCGAGGGAGGCGTGGAATCTTTATCCTCTTCTTCTTGCGGTGAGTCGCGTGTTTTGGGTTCAGGAATGTTTGGGGGATGCTTGCGCGACTTCTCGGCGACGGGCGGCAGTGGAGAGGGTAGGCGTTTAGAGGCATGCTTGTGTCGCGAGGACTGATATGGGTTCGCATCCAAGGAAGCAATTATGCTTGGGGGTAGAGTAGGTGATATTAGGCGAGGTGGTAGGAGAGATTGTTTGGGCGGCTTTTGTTTTGGTGAAGGTCGAGGTTGTTGTGACTGTTGTGAGCGGTCGCGGTGGTGAACTTGTAGTGGAGAGAGCATGCGTGGGAGGTTGGCAGAGTCGCGCGACTTGGGCGGATGTGAAGATGTCGATCCAGGAGGGGTCTTGTTGTGGTGAGGTTTGTTGGGTTTGTCGTCGTCCTTGGAATCGGGCAGTGTCTTTTTGTTAGCATAAGCAGCCAGACTAATCTTCTTCTTAGGGAGCATGCTAGGAGTGCTTTGAGTGCTGCTCTCCTTTTCGCGTGGCTGAGAAGAGACGGAGGCATTGTCCTTTTGGTAGTGAGAGTTGCGATGTAATTGAAAGACATCCGACAGAGGCTCGTGATAGTAGAAGGTCTGGTACTGTTGGTTCGGGTCGTCGTCGGCGCGGAAAGGAGTATTGGTACGCCACATCTGGGACGAGTGATGGGAATGGTGGTGGTATTTGGGCTCGTCCTGAGGGATGCTCAGCACGTAGGGTTCGTCTGGCGTGAAGGCGCGCATGCGGTCGACACAAGCATCGATGCGCCGGAGCAGGTCGCGCTCCCTTTCCGGGAGAGATGCAGCCATGGTGCCAGTCTAGCTGTTCTGTGCTCCTGTCAGACCATTGCCCTGAAGTCGAGTGTCGTGCTCAATGCATTGAGAGAGAGTGAAAGCCGAATGCCGCACCGTATCGGTAGGCGCGACAATCGGCAGCGCGACGGGACGCCGCGCCCGTTGGATAGCGGCCCCACAGGAACAAGCGCCACGAAGCAACCCTCTCTCCTTCTTTCAGCCTCGCCCATTTCACCCACTTTCCTTTGTGTGCCTCGATGCTGCGTCCTTCTTTGTCTCAATTACGGCTCTGCAGCTAACCGCCAGCACAAGTTACACACGTCCCTCCCCGCTTGTTCTCTGCATATGATCCGGCCTTCTATACAGACTTCTGTGCTTAGTATCTCACTAATTTGGTGCTGCACCTTGAATTCGGTCCAGCCAAGAGCAACTGCTTTAAGAACACCAGGTTCTTTGCTGCATGTTGCACTCTTTGTGCCAATTCCCGTTTTAGATGTGAAAAAGATCAAATAAGATGGACGCTGTCTGAAGGCTTCATCACACATTGAACGGATGCCATAAGATGTTCCTTTCTTGCAGAGAGATCAACCCTTGAGTGATTAAATAAAGTGAATCTATCATACAATGCTCTTGAGGGACTGACTTCTGAAATTGCGGGCGAAGTTGAGGGGCAGCATGCATGGCAGCATCAGGCAGATGCGGAGAGTCGGGCGCTCACCGCCTTTGAATCTGCCCAGGCCGCAACATCAGAACAGCGAAACACCGACACAATTGACAAGACGAATCAACAAACCCCACCACGACCGCCCACCTCGACCACCCCATCTACACCACAATCTGTGTGTTTCAGTACACCACAGCTGTCTGTTCCCGTAAAAACTCTTCTCTCATCTGGTGGCGAGCATGGATGCTCAGGTAAGTGTCAGCCCACGTGCCTGCCCGATTTTTAGGAGCGACCTACTAAACAGCCCTCGCTCATGCTTGACAGGTCGAGAGCGCCATCCAGATTGCCTTTGACCCGCGGGCCGACCAGAACCTCAAAGCTCAGGCTTATGAGTTCCTGCAGCAGTTGCGCGACGATGCGTCAGGTTGGCAGGTCTGTCTAGCCCTCTTCACCCGCGACCCCCCACCAGACGAAGTTGTGCGCCACGTCTGCCTCGAGCTAGTCAGTCATGCTGTCCAAACAGGTCGTCTGGACGAGCAAAGCCTGTCCTATGTCAAGGACCAGCTCATGACATACATCCATCAAACTTTTGCAAACCAAGCGAACCGTATCGACTCGCCCAGTATCCAGAACAAGCTCACCCAAACCGTTACCTACCTCTTCACTTCGCTCTATGCCACTGCCTGGCCGACCTTCTTCCAAGACTTTAGAACCCTGGCTGGCGATGCAAACACAATTGGCTCCGACAACCCACAAGGAACCATCCTCTACCTCCGCCTCATCAACTCGATCCACGACGAAATCGCCGACGTCCTGATCCCTCGCACTCCCGAAGAGCTCAAACGCAATGCTGATCTCAAGGACTACGTTCGCTCGCGCGACGCTCAGAACATCTCGGCTTTTTGGCAACAGGTTCTTGCTCGGTGGAGACAGATCGATCTCGGCATTGTCGAGTTGTGTCTTCGCTGCGTCGCACGCTGGGTCAGCTGGATCGATATCTCGCTCGTTGTTAACGAGAACATGCTCAACTTCCTTCTCGAGATTGCAGGACAGTCAGACATTTCGTCGGCAGAGAGTCCGCAAGCAAAAATCCGCGATGCTGCCATTGATACCTTCACCGAAATCGTGGCCAAGAAGATGCCTAGCCAGGACAAGATCCAACTGATCTCGTACCTCAACCTAGCCAACGTCGCTGGTCAGCTCGTCGCTAGCTCCGCTCTGAATCAGTCTAGAGGCACCTCCAACTACGACAACGACCTTGGCGAAACCGTGGCCAAGCTTGTCAACAACGTGGTTTTCGATGTCGTCAAGGTTCTTGACTCGGAAGGTCTGGACGCAAACACCGCTGCCCAAGCCGACGAGTTGCTCCAGCTGTTTGTCCCGTATCTTCTGCGGTTCTTCTCCGATGAATACGACGAGATCTGCTCCGCTGTCATTCCTTCCCTCACCGATCTGCTCACGCTCTTCCGTGTTTCGTCTAAGCGTGGAACCCTTCCCGATCAATACCGCGCCATGTTGCAACCTATCCTCGACACGATTATTCTGAAGATGAAGTATGATGAGACGGCGGACTGGGGTGCTGAGAGCGATCAGACTGATGAGGCCGAGTTTCAAGAGTTGCGCAGAAGGTTACACGTTCTTCAACAAGCTGTGGCTGCAGTCGACGAGAACATGTACATGGACACACTGAGCAGAGTCGTTGCTACGACATTCAACAGAATTTCCACAGACAACAAGCCCAACTGGAGGGATTTGGATTTGGCTTTGTACGAGATGTATCTTTTCGGCGAATTGGCTGTCAAGAACGGCGGTCTCTACCAGAAGAGCTCACCTTCTAGCACTGCATCTCAACATCTTATTGAAATGATGGCTAAGCTAGTCGAGTCTGACATTGCTTCGTACCCTCACCCTGCAGTCCAGCTCCAGTACATGGAGATCTGTGTGAGATATTGCACATTCTTCGAGCACTCTGTGGAAAGCATTCCCCGTGTTCTTGAGAATTTTGTTCGTTTCGTCCACAGCGACCACATCAAGATCAAGACTCGTTCGTGGTATCTCTTCTTCCGTTTCGTCAAGCAACTTCGCAGTCAGCTCGGCAATGTTGCTCAAACCGTCATCGAGACTGTCGCTGATCTGCTCACCATCAACGCCGAAGTTCCCAAGGAGAGCGACGATGATGACATGTCGTCTGAGGAGAACGATCAGTCTGCAGATGCAGTTTTCACCAGTCAACTCTACCTCTTCGAAGCTGTTGGAGCTATCGCCTCTACGACCTCGGTGCCACTGGAGAATCGTATGCTGTACGCCCGTACCCTCGTCAGCCCCTTGATCGCAGATCTCGAACGTCACATTGCCGCAGCCAAAAGCGGCGACGAGCGAGCAATCCTCCAGGTTCACCATATCATCCAGGCAATCGGAACACTGGCAAAGGGCTTCTGTGACTGGATGCCTGGCAACACATCAGGTGCACCTCCACCTTCAGAGCTCGCCAACGAGTTCTCACCAGCTGGTGAGGCCGTTTTGACTGCACTTGAGTCTCTCAAGAACTCCATGCTTATTCGTACTGGTGCACGCTTCGCCTTCTCACGTATGCTGGGTGTTCTTGGCTCTGGTATCTTGCAAAAGTTGCCCAGATGGATCGATGGTTTGCTCGCGCAGTCTTCCACTAAGGATGAAATGGCTACGTTCCTCAGATTGCTGGATCAAGTGGTCTTCGGTTTCAAGGCAGAGATAATCTCGATTCTTGATCAACTGCTTACCCCTCTTCTACAAAGAGTTTTGGCTGGTCTTTCAGAGCCTACTACTGGCACTGATGATGCCATTCAGCTTGGTGAATTGAAGCAGCAGTATTTGCAATTCATTCTCGTCATCTTGAATAACGACCTAGCGCCTGTTCTCGTGAGCAGCGCTAACCAGCAAACCTTCGAGACCATCCTTACCACGTTGGAACATTTCTGCCGCGATAATTCTGACTACCCCACCGCTCGTCTTTCTCTTGCTGTCTTGACCAAGATGACACAGGTATGGGGTGGTCCGGACCTCACCATTCCTATTCCACCTGGCGCCGCTCAGGCTGCTGCACCGACAGTCCCTGGCTTCGACACTTTCATCATGTCGCGCTTCTCTCCTCTCACCTGGGCTCTCATTACACAACCATCTTTCCAACCAAAGGATGCTCAAGCACGCAGTTATCTTACAGAAGCAGCCACTTTGCAATGGACCATTCTCCGCAAGTGTGGTGCAGCATACGAGGCTCACTTGCGTGAGTCTGAGATGTCGGGATTGGGTCTGCAAGGCCCTATCATCGACGAATACATCAAGCATCTGGAAGCCAAGGACAAGCTTGACTTCAAAAAGTTTTTCATTCAATTCGTGCAGCAAGTTAGGTCATAAGAAGGAAAAGCAAAGGAATCCAAATGAGCGTTTTATTCTGCCAGTCATTGATTGCATGGAGGAGTAGGATTCTTGGGATGTTGTTTTCTTTGTTGCTCCACACTTTTCCGATATCCATTTTCCTTCCCCCTCCACGATTGAAGATACCCTACTGAAGCAAAAGAAAGAATCAAAATATGTTTAGCATGCCATTGTTGTTACTTCTGCTGTCGATCTCAATGAGTGAACGTGTTTTATGTTGCTTCCTTCGTCTTTCTGTTGCTTTGTCGGTCATTGTCTCTAACACTGGATTCATCGTGACTTCCGACAGATAACGACTGTGGGTTGTCATGGTTGTGCGGAAGGCACACATTACATGACTTTTTCTTGCTTCTCCATACTCGTCCCGTTGCTCCTCCAGCGACTGCCTTGATCTGCACAGCATCGTGAATCACGTCAAGCAACATCACTAATCGTATCGCCCAGAGACAACCAACATCCTCTTTCGCGACGAAGTCTAGGTTCCACTCATCATCAATCAGCAAACAACATCGATCAAAGCGCACCGGGTACATTTACCTTTTCACTTCTCACACCCAAGGCTCTCAACGTTCAATCATTCCTTTGCAGCACTCAACGAAAGCGCCATCCCTTCAGCCAACTCCAGACCCTCTTCCACCAACTCCTCTTGACCTCTGGCCAGGTGTGTGGTCCTTGCATTTCCATCTCTACTACACCATCGGGTGTGTGGGGGTTAGGAGGTCGTCGATGGGTGAAGGGGCGTAGAGGGATAGGGGTAACAGTGGCTCGGTGATGGCCATTTGGTGTCAAGGTGGCGACGGTAGTGGGTGTGCTGGGGTGGGAGGGAGGGGTTGAGGGGCGATTGGTAGTCGGAGAAGGATCGGAAGGCTCAGGGGGGATGGTGCGGATGGTGGACATTTTTGTTTTCGAGAGTTGGTGTGGGTTACAGGCGGTTCAGTATGGTGTTTGAGGTGTGGAAGGAAGATGGGAAGGAAACAAAGGATTGGGGGTTATGTATGCCTAAGACCGGGGTTGTAGACGTGTTGGGTCGTTAAAAGAGCTTTCCGGACAAGGAGAGAATGATGGAAGGACATCGTGTTATATTGATATGATGAGATTGCTCAGGTGTTGGCAAGATCAAAGACTGGATGGTTTTAGCACTCTCCTGTGAGTGCCTATCTTTAAGATACTATCCTGCGTTGTAACAGTGATTGAAAAGAATCTTGAGATACACCTTTCAACAGTCTGTGTCAGAAATCCAGCGCTGGTGTTCCCTTTCCATATCTTTCCTCAGCAGCAGTCTCAGCCTTGTAGCCATTGCATGTGACTGCTCCTGTCGCACGCCCGTGCAGATCGGATACTTTTGGTCAAGATTGGTTCAGAGGCCTGTTTTTATAGTTGGCCTTCGATGATGATTCTAAAAGGTTCTTGCATGTCTGTTGGTCAGTGAGAGCAAAGATTTGGTTAGTGCCACGTCAGGAAGGAAGCTTGACCTCAATCTGGCTGCTTGTGTCACTAATGTTTCATAGAGGATATTATCTTTTTGGGTCTTCAATTGCTGCATTTCAATCTCTTCTGTATTCATTTACTTGTTACTACAATATTGTCCCCTTTCGCACCAACTGCATCATTAACGGTCAGCTGGCTCTGTTCCTCAACTCCGACTTTCTCGAAGACTTCCTTGTTACTATGTTTCTGTCCTTCTCAGCCAACTGCATCACTAACGACTAGTTGACTCTCTCTATCATTCTTCCTTCTCCGCTGTCCTCGACCAACTTTCTCTCCTGTCTTGCACCAAGACGAATCTAAGCCATAGCAGTAGAAGTAGGCTGGACGGTTCTCCAGCTGATAGACATGCCATCTGCGTCTGCAGTCGGCTTAGCAGCAACATGAGTTTCGCTCCAGTGGCTCATCAGCCTCGATGTCCAAGCTGATTTGTACGATTGCGCAATCTCGTCCTGCCACTTCTGGTAGAGTTCAGGAGTGCAACCTCCGTCGACGAAACAAGCCAAGTTGCAGACATTGTCACAGTCAAGTTCGGCGATATTGGTAGGTCCACTGGACCAGTGAGGATCTCTGATACCATCGGATCTTTTGACCACTGTGCTGGCAGCTGCGGTGGGTGAGGCCTCGATAGTTCTCCAGCTAACAGACATACCCTCTGCATCGGTAGTTGGTCTTGGTTCAGTGTGAGTAGAGCTCCAGTGTTCAAGCAGTCTCGAATCCCAAGACGATTTGTAGTCAGCTGCCACAGCGGACAGCCAACTCGAGTAGGCTTCGTCGGTGCAGCCGCCTTCAGCCCAACAAGCTCCGTTGCAGACGTAGGGACAGTCCTTTTCGGAGGTGTGCGTGGGCTCGTACACGGTTCTTCTCACCATAGTGCCTTCGGTAAAGGTTGTTGTGATTGGGCTGAGGCGAGTGCCGGTGAGAGTGAGCACGCTTTCTTTGGATGTGCGGGTTGGATGGCTGACGGGAATGGCTGCGACGAGGGCGATGCTGCTGAGCAGAGACAAGATAGTGGTTGAGACCTTCATGGTTGCTGTGTTGTTGTTCGTGTGTGTTAGAGTTTCTCTGTTTGCTTCCTCTCTTTCTCGCTTGGTTGAAGTTGTAGAAGAAGTTTTCGAGAAGGAAGAGTTTTTAACCTTGCGACGATTATCTTATAATTGTTTGTTGAGTCATGGTTCGCTGTGACTGTAGGGGTGCGAGGTGGTGTTGCTCAAACTAACTCAAGTCATGGTCATACCTGCTTGGCATTGCAAAACACCACGTACTGCAACAAAGACCATAGATATCGCTCCTTACAATATACCGAGTACCTTGCCGTATAGTCATAGGCATACACAATAAATGATCCAAGTACTGGAAGATCCATAGAGAAACTTTTCCATGGGCTCTCTCCTCAGATCCACTTCTATCCGCAAAATATATGCGACTAAGTACTCCAAGCAGATTGCGTGGTCTTGAGAGTGCTATGAAGTTGCCAGATAGTTAACCTGAATGCGTCTGCTAGAAGGTCGTAGCCATTAATCAATAAAGCACTACAAGTACTTCTTGGATTAAATGAAGTTGAGTACTTCTTTCGGATCTGAATTAGGCTTGTTGACATTGTGCATCAATTCATCTGCAGAAGTGGCCATTATCGAGATGGATAAACACTCAAGATCAACTTTCAGACGACTCCTGATCACTTTTCAATATCACTCTCCGGACGAGACCTCATCGTCTTGTTATCCCTTATACCAACCTCATCACCCTTCAGAGACCCACATTGCGCTCCAATATCCTTCAAAGCGGCTGCAAACACCATGAATTGCATCAACACCATCTTCAACACCATCTTCGCCTTGTGCCACAACTTGGGCGGTCGGATCGACCAGCTGTACCAACGCATCGTGCGCAACGACGTCGAGCAGGCAACCATGAATCAGGGTTTGATTGAGAGCCTCGCTGGCGCACACCAAAAGATCAGGTATCTTGAGGCCCAGCAAGCAGACTTGGTGCAGCGCCTCGCTCTGCTCGAGAGAGGTGCAGGAGTGAAGATGGAAGGCGATGGAGATGTTAAGAAGGAGGTCAAGCAAGAACCTATGAACTAGACCTACCTATATATGCCCCTGGTAAGTGCTCTCGAAATTGCTAAACATCCATGCTCTAACTCATCTGCCGATCATAGCTACCATACCAAACCCCTCCCAGACGAGGCAAGTAAAGATACAGACTCTCATGACGGAGAGAATTAGACTGGCAAGGCTTTCATGGTCTAATAGGAGACCACATCAATTCAATGGAAATCTCTCTCGACTTTGACATATATTATTCATTGATCATACTGTTGTGTGAGAGTGTGAAAAACCTGAAAGATGTTGTAATCGAGGTACAAGTGAAAATGATGTTGATATATGACGTTCGTAGTAACCTAATGCTCGACTGGAACCTCGATGGTCTAAGCCATTTTCGTTTCGATCTCAATTTACATCTTTCCCTTCTCGTTTCAACATTGACGACAACAACAACGACCATTCATCTCGTGCCTTCTCTCAAGAAACAACAAACACTATTTGCTCTACCCCCTATCGATACAGAGGCACCACGCACTCCCTTCTCCCACATCAGGTTCCCAAACTCAAAGATCTCACGATTTGAACGTATTTGACGACGACACTGTGCCCTTCAAACATCATCGCGACGCCCCGGACTGGATAGCTAGGACCATGTCGCATTTCAGGATCAACGCGCTCCAACGTCGTTTTGAGGGCGAGCTTGCCCGCCAGCGCAAGACCAATCAGCTACAAGAGGCAAGATGGACTGACTTTGAAAATGGGGCTCGGCTCAGTCTCCAATGGATGGAGGATTTCCAGAAGGAGCAAGACGAACTCAACAGCGACCACGCATACAGGATTCAAGAACTTGAAAAGCGTTGCGCACATCTGGGAAGCTTGATCGATACGGGAGTTGATGATCGAGTCGTTGCGGACGGCGCCCTGGAAGAGCGTATCGAGGCTCTCGAGAACCAACTGGGAATCGAGAGAGATGAAGAAGAGTCATCACCTTCCTCGCGCTACTCTGCATCCGCGCAAGGCATTGATCGATTTACCTCGCTGGAGCAGGAGGTGGAACGCATGAAACGTCGGTTCGAAGCTCAGGCCCATGAGCTCAAAGCTCTCAGAGCTCAAATCAACACTCAGCTGTCCGGTCCAAGCGCACAGAGCTATGAGGTCAATGAAGAGATTGACTGTGCTAAAAGCTCAACCAAGAAGGTGATACTTGAATGCCAGCACGACTCCGCATTTGCTGACTACCCATGTTAGAGAAAGGTGATGGAAACCAACGATCGTCAAAACAGCGCCAACATCCGACCGAGACCTACTAAAGAGGATGTGACGACTTCCGTAGGAAGCTCTGAAAAGGTAAGATTTGAATGCCGGCACGAATCTACACTGGCTGACTATCTATCTCAGAGAAAGGTGGTGAACTCCAAAGATCGAGCAGAATCTACCAGAGTCGGCTTGTCAGGAGTGTGGACCAGTACACTTAAGCTATTGACTGAGACGGAAGATGGTCTCGTTCCTGTTGGCTCTGGCCCGTTGGTCGATGCATGGGACCAACAGTGTAACATTTGGTCCAGGACCGATCCCAATTGGCAAAACTACAAACCCTCGCACACATGCTTGAACTCGATGCTCTGGTTCCAATTCGGAAATGTGATGGAGAACCCTGAGGCTCTATCATTCGCCTGTTCGGACTGTGAAAGCAGCCAAACGTTCTGCGTTGTTTTTGACAACGAGAAGAAGCTACTCAAGTTGCTTCCTCGTCGCAACGCCCCTCGATCAGCAGCCTATCAGCTCGTTAATCTGACGACCTTCATCAATCCGATCCAGCGTCAGATAAACTGAGGCTACCTGAGCAGAATCAGTACAATTTCGGCGGGACCAGCTACTGAAACGACAAACAGCAGACGTAGGAAGAAACAAAGATCATGATTGACAGTCGTCAACGACGATCTCAAGTCGGCAGCGCAGGATCCTTGACGGGTAAAATATTCACAGGAGACGATCGAGATTCGACATCATACCAAGACGAAGACGAACGAGAGTATACACAAGGGAAAGACGGATCTGTAGTCGCAGGACGACAGACTACAGCACAAAAAAGATGATGACCAACAGACATATCAAAGCTCAACGACATTCTTCACAAGACACCAAAAAATACCGTACTATACTCAGGAACAAGAAGAAGGAAGGGTTTTCGGGGAGGATGAAGAATTTCGGTGTCTCAACACAAAGCGCATTCATGCTTTTCTTACTTCCGCATTGTCTTCCTTTTTGCAGGCGTTCTTCTTTCTTATTCACAATTATTTCGCAGAATAGCAAGATGCTGTGCGCTGGGTCACACAGCAGAGACAGCAGAACGCGGCACAGGAGGTCGATTTCTCTATTTCATTCGGGCTGGCTTTTAGCAACAACACTGTCGTTGATCACATGAACAGACTCAATCTTTCTTATACGTCCTTCTCGAACCAAATCATACCATCTCTCCACTGACTTTCGTCCTTCTGCAACATCTCTGGCTCAAGTTCCACACCGAGCTTCATGATCACGCCATTGAGATTATGCTCAAACACAGCCCGAGTCTTGATCAGAGGCTCCAAGAAGACCTCTTGTCGACACTTCACTTGAGAGCTTCCAATTCGTATGGATCCACCCTTGATGCACTCGTCTCCAACGTCTCCTTGGCCATGAGCCCACTGTGATTGTCAGTCAACCTTTCAATTACCCTTAGTAGGTACCAGAAACTTACATAGATCTGAGCCGCAAAGAGAGTATTACTTTCATGTTTGAGGCTGATTTCGTAAGGCCATGTTCTCTGAGAAGGTCGAATGCGTAGCGAGATTTTGGTCGAGGTCGACGACATCGGCTCTTGAGAACCTACAGCATGTCCTCCGTTGTAGTCATTCTTATCCTCGACCAATGACACGTTGAAGACACCGTATGCGGGATGATGGTACGAGCCAAGGTAGTCGACCAAACTTCCAGGAAGAGCTAGCTTTGAACCAGTCGAGATATGCTTATCGCTCGTGGCTGAAGACATCTCCTGATAAGCCCTCGGATAACTCACCAGACTTTCGTGCAACGAGTTCAGATGAGCTGTATCATTGGCCGAAAATACCTTGCCCAACCTCTTCATAAATTCGATGAAGATCAACGCTCCAGCCTGATTACTACTACCCATCGTATTTGCCATAGTCACCAAGCCAACCTCTTCTCCAGGAAGAATGTAGACATTCGCACCAAAGCCGGTCACAGACCCGGAGTGGGTGATAACGTCGTGAGGGCCGGCCATAACATTGATCCAACCCAATGCATACAGAGGTGGGAGAACCTGGACCTTGTCGAAGAGACCATCCATGATAGTCCTTGGCCCGAATAGATCTCTATAGATTGCTTCGTTGATTGGGGAGGAGTCATTTGTGCCAGCGTTTAGCAAAGTTTGTATCCACAAAGCATAGTCATTGACTGAGGAGATGGTAGCGCCAGCGCCAGCCAGAGGGCCAAGGTTGGTATATGGCTCTGGTAGGTAATGATCGGTGTTCCAAAAATAGCCTCTGGAGAGTCGCTTTTCTCCATTGTCGTCTCTAGCAGCCATAGCTTCCTTCGTCGAAGTAGTAGTAGATTTCATGCCAATAGGCTCCCAGATAAGCTTCTTCAGCACATCACCGAAATTCATGCCACTCAACGTCGCCAGCACTTGTCCAACTGTGCCGTACATCAGATTGCAATACTGCCACTTGGTTCTAGGTTCTGCAGTCAGAGGGAGGTGTCTCATAGTGCGGATAACGTCAAGGGCATCAGGTTCTCTGCCTTCGCTCCAGCCGTATGCCAAATCATGTCTAGGTAGTCCTGATCGATGGGAGAGTGCGTCCTCGAGAGTTATGTGGGACGTGTAGTAGTCATCTTCGAGAGCGAAATTTCCAGGCAGTAGTGTCGACAGTGAGCTAGACCAACTGATTTCAGGATACTCTATGGTGTCCTGGACCATAAGTGCAGCAGCAGCGGCCGTAAATGCTTTGGTTGTGCTGCCTGTGAACCACAGAGTGTCTGGTGTGGCTTTGATGTCAGGAAGTACTGCGTAGCCATAGCCCTGGACAGGTCAGATCAACAAAGGTTGAATGATAGTATGGCGGGAAAGTTCACCTTGGACCCAACAGAGTGCTTATGGACCACAGCCACACTGATACCAGGTATGTGCAGAGTGTCGCACAGCTGCAGTATGAACTTATCAAATCCAGCATCAAGCAAAACATCCTCCGATTCAGGCAACGCAGAAACAAAGCAGGACGCAAAAAACAAGGTCAAAATCAGACTGATAAACATCATGGTCGAGAGTTGGATGTAGTCGAAATCACGCGAGGCAGCAACTTCTAGGAATATAGCGGGGCGCCTTGGCCGAAGGATTTGGCAGGATCATGGTCACGTTGTCTCGTATTCTCGGCCATAGTAAGTTATACCACTTTTCCGGGTGCTCAAGAGCGTCACAATGCAGCTATGCAACTCTACGATAATCTCATAAACACTATGATCTTCATAGGATGGGCCGCATGGTCTTTCGCTGTCACGACGTTTAATTGATTCCATTGCTGGTATGAAAACGGCCGGCATCTTCAGTCATGTCAACAATTCTATCGCAATCTTGATTATCTTAGACTTTTGAATATCATCCGACTCGCATGGATCTTGTTCTTTACAATTGAGACTGGATCGAGAATTGATAGAACGTTGGAGAGATATGGATTAAGAGCAGGGTCACCCAATCAGCACAGATGTCATCGCAATTTACAACAGCAACCTTGGGGTCAACAAACGGTGCTTGATTGAAGTCAAGAGTATGTGAATATTGTACTTGGAGGATCGTAGTCTCATACGACAAATAGCTGACTCTGTAATTCAACAATCCATACGTTCCAGCTTCCTGAGTCGCCAACGCCAGAAAAGCTACTGACTTTCAAATCGATGATTAGAATACATAAACACACAAAGGACAGTGTTCATTACTGAATGAAACAAGGTGTGTGTGAATTTGAGTGGCATCACATGCATGATCTAGTGATTCAGGTATGCGTGGTGGTATCATCTTAGTGTTGTATTGTTAGTGCCATGATCTTAGTATCCATGATCATGGTGCTTTGATCTTGGTGCTATGTTCTCGGTACTATGTTCTCGGTGCTATGTTCTTGGTGCTATGTTCTTGGTGCTATGTTCTTGGTGGTACGTTCTTGCCGGCAAGCATTGCTGTTGGTGACGTGCTGTAGAGAAGAAAGTCTCAGACAGAGGCTTCACCGTCTTCGGACTGATCACCGATATGCTCGGCAGAGCACTCGCGCTCCTTGCGTTGCATCTGGTCGAGGTCCGGAACGTCGTCATCTTCCTCCTGGGTGGAAGAATGTTGCAGAGGGGTGGTAGAGGAACCTCCGACCCACAGACATGGTGACGGAGTGAATGGGGTAGTCGGTCTCAATGGAGATGATGAGACGAATCATGCGATTGAGTGCATCCAGTTTCCAGGTGTAGTTGATCTTGGCAATGGGAGACTCGCTTGAATCATACATACTGCCTGTAGTTCTTGACATCCCTGGCAGTTGAGGCCTTGCAAAGCCACGTAGCATACTGGATAAGCCCTCCGCTAAAGGTATTCGAGCTGAACAAGTGTGGTAAGCTGGAGAGATAGGTCTGAACGGTGTTGCGGGCTGGAAATATATAATTGTTCAACTTGAAAATGACACTCAAGGAGTGACCGCCGGAAGGAAATCCGTTCTCGGCAACGACAGCATCCGAAATGTCCTTGTGGGCAGGACGAGCAGAACGAGCAGGACGAGCAGGACTGACACGTTCTCTGCCAGGACCGATGTTGTACAAGACGTTCAGTTGATCATGAACATAACCCAATCAGGTAAGCATCGTCATTTCCGAAATACAGACGCGCTTGTTTCGAGGATGGATATAGTATGCTTCCTCAACAAGGGCGAGATTGGCAATGAGCCAGGGAGATAGATTACACTTCTTATAAGCATCTCTGAAGGCCTCGATGAACTCATGCCTGGAACCAGCAAAGAAGTCGTATCGACAAACGACATTCTTGAGCAAGAACAAATGCAGCGTGCGTTGTTGACCGACAGGAGTGCGCAAACATAGACTTGTCGTTACTGGCGTGCATCTGGAGCTTCATCTCACAACTTTGCAGGAACTGGATGCGTTCCTACTCGGTAGCTTGGAGACCTGAAGCAAGGGGGACGGCGAATAAGAGCGAGACGAACACGAAGTTACCGAGGGCATGAACTCTGCTAGTGTGCAAGTAGAGCTCGATGGCTTGAGATACATCTTCTGCTCCTCACGCAAGGAGGAGGAGCCATGATGAGATAAATCGATGCCTGCTCATGACTTCTGAAGCAGGCGGTGGCAGGCATCGGCAGACCATGATGGTGAGGTGCAGGCAGAACCCTTTGACGGCTCTTCACTCAAGAGAAGAGAAACCTCGTGTATACCAGTATGACTCATGATGCTGCTGACCAATATATAAGCATGCCGGGCCATCTGAACACAAGCAATAGATTCTCGAATCGCCCATGGCTATATATAACAAGAGTGATGAGTTCAAGATGAAAAAGTGCACCGTTGCATCATACTTTTGCCGGTGCCCGCTGAATCTCGAAGCGATTGATCATTCGCGACAGGTCAGCCTGCGGAACGTCATGCTTGGGATCCCAGAAGGCTGCTAGAGGCTGGCTGCGATAAGGGCTGCCTAGAGGCTTTCCACTCGTTTCGATTTCCCAAATGATGATACATCAAGCCAGAACCCATCGATGGCATTTCGTAAGCATGAGGCGATCTGAACTCGGTATTGTTGTAGGGCTAGTCATCCCACGGAATACCAGCAGCCTCAAACTCATCCAGCTGCCAAGGATGCAACTAGATACATCGAGGAGCATGGCAGTGATGCCCATGCCTACACTCGACCCAGACACATGGAAGCCCGAGAGCCTTGGTTCTAGCACACCAGAGCTCGTGCGTGCGAGGCTCAGCGAACTGCCGACAGCGTGTGCATGTTAGCCAACTGTCATTGGCTTCGTTGTCGTGCTTAATCTCTATCTCGTCGGATGTGAGATACTCAGCCTCATATCGCTGGCTACACCACGGTTTTCGCCTGGTCTTGACCTGTCGAGCAGAGACAGTCCAGTGTGACCCCAGCAGATCAACCGATGCTCGAAGCGCAAAGGCTGTATATAGATATATGAAAACGAAAAGGGTAAACAAAAAGAGGAGGAAGAGATGGAGAATGTGAAGATTGTTGACTAGGGTTACTCGCCGTCCAGAATGCAAGGGAAGTGTGATATTATGAGTGTCTTCCTCAGTGTCAGCCAGGCAAACGTCTTGGGCAGTAGTCACAGCGGCAGGCATGCGCAGGCTATGATGATGAGGTGTCGAGAGAACCTGTTGACGGTTGGGATACATATTCATCTTGTTGGCCAAGTTGCTAGTGCCAGCGCGCTAGGCGGGATCAGAGATCCTACGCGACGAGCTTGGGACGAGAGCGACCACCAGGTCATCCATGACTGTCCTCTTCTCCTTGTCTTGAGGAGCCTCATCAATCTCGATAACCTCCAATGTGACCTTGAGCTTGGAGCCAGATGCTAAGAGGCCAAGGCGACGAAGAATGGTAAGGACCTCGTACTCATGGGTCGTGAGCTTGGAGCGCTTGTGAAGATGGCGCTGATTGCTCGACTTCTGTATCAGCACCAGAATCAAAGGCCGCTATATATGTAAATATGCAAGTTCGTGCTGTGATCACAGACAGTCTCTCGAGTTGATGAATTTGACCATTTGAGATTTGATTGTCCAGTACTGAGTTTTCGATGCGGCTCATACTCTTCACGTTGATGATAATGTATGGCTTGCGGACACTCAAAGCATCAGGTGAGACGTAGTCGTCAGCCGTAGCGGTTGTGGGACCCGTTGATAACGCAGTGGCAGTGGTAGGAGCACCTCCAGAGGTGGTGCCTGTGCCTTGAGGGATCAGCATTGGATTTTTTAAGCGACCCATGCTTTTGACGTTGACGATCACGTAAGGTTCCGAAAACTCAAGTGTTGATGTAACCATAGTCGATAGTGATGTTCTGGTACTTTGGGTTGTCGCGCTTCATGATTTGGAGGAACTTGCGGACATTCTCTCTGTCGACCATAGTCTCGTCGTGGAATTGAGACGTGCCATAGCCTGAGGGACGAATGACCGGGTAACCGACTTGACTGGCATGTACGGGCAAGATGTTATATACACGGGCTTCCTCGAAGAGATGGGTGATGACCTTGCCACTGTTCCGACCAGGTCGAACTTGTGCAATCTCACTGGAGGTGTGCAGCGTTGAACAAATTCTCTCCTCAAGAACAGAGAGGCAGCGTTGATGCGGAGGCCTGGAGCATTAGCCATCCTCAGGCGTGAGACGTTGTACTGGTCCACATGCACTGTCATAGATGCGGACAGCCTCCTCGGAGTCATGGATCTCGCGTGTCGAAAGCAAATATATACACCTGCTTGCGAACAGGTCGCAGCTACGGCCCGAAACAGCATTGTCAAGAAGCTCGTTTAGGATGAACTGAAGGCTGATGTCGCTACTTTGACAAACGATGCGGGTTATAGTCTTGTCGAAGCTCCGATAGACTGTCCAGAATACCGTTTCCTGCGGAGCTAGATCATGAGTTGCATGAAGAAGCTTGCCCATGACAGGAGGCAACTAAGTGGAGCCGCCGGTGAGCAATACACACATGTCTTCAAACGGCCTCTTGCTGTTTCAGATCTGCTAGTACCGCTGATCGATTTAGTACAACAAGCGGAGATCTATCATGCTGTTCTCATCAATGACGATAAGATGGACAGAAGCATCATCATCTTTCAGTTTCTTGCATGTGGCATCATCAAGCGGAGCGAACTGTCTTCCGACACGGATTCTAAAGGCAAAGTGGATAGTATGTCCTGAAATGCCAAATGCTGCGGCTGCCGTGGTGACACATGAAGGACTGGATTGCGTTTTTCCATGTGGTGTGCGAGAGACTCAAAATGGAAAGAGATCGTGTTGATGAGGAACTCTTGCCGCTTCCTGCAGGACCATCAACTTGTACTCTGAACAGCTCGACGAGAGAGTTGAAAGCTGTTTGAAAGTAGCTCACGCTAGATCTGCTGACATCGCAGATCAACATGGTGCAACAGGCGGAGATCTATCATGCTTCTCACAGGAACATCTCGAGCATACTGATAATCAGAGCTTGAAGGATCAGTCAAGCAGTCCGTAGAGTAGTATGGCGCTCTCGGGGAGCGAGGCAGCGATCTTGCAGTAGGCGATGTATGCCTCGGCAGACGGAACATAGCCTCCAACCTTGATGCTCAGCGGCAAGACCGATAACCGGTCGATATATACATAAATAAAGGAAGAAAGCCCAAGCATTCGAGAGGACGTTCAGTTGGGAGACTTCGCAGGAAGGAAATTCTCAATTTCACCGTCGGTGGAAATAGCATCTGAGTGCAAAAGTTTGCTGAAGTCATCAACGGCAACCAAGGCGGGCATGTACCGTCGCAGTGCCTCCTGTAGCTTTGCCGCATGGCATGGGTTTGGCAGACGCTAACGGTATAGCCGTCTTCGTTTGTGGTAGCTAGGCGAGCGAAGTAGAGCCGGTACGGGCCACCCAACAGCAAGATCAGATATGCGCCTTTGTAGCGCTCGTTCAGATCGGCTCCCAGGTAGTCTGGAGACTGAATTTTTGGGAGATCTCCTTGTTCTTCAGATTGACCATCGTGCTGACAATGAAGGGGGCGTCTTGGATAACCCTGGCGCGAGGAGCGGCGTATACGTACTTGAACAGACGAACATGCTCTTCCGTCTAGTAGTCGGTGCTCACCACCGGCGGCATGTGATTTTTTACGGGGTTCTTGACGACGTCGAACTGGTTTAGGGACTTCCTTTGTTGGCGAGAGCGCTTGTTCTTGTTCTCGTTATGGGCACGAAACCTCAACCAGAATCAGCTGCCTCACGTGAACCGAGATATATATAGAGAATGGTAAGGTGCCGTTCAGACTCCGTCTCATCATCCAGAGAGTCGAGCTTCCAGCAAGACCTCATCAGGATGTTATATAGTGGCAACAGATGAAGAGTCTGCATCGGACACAGGTGCGGAGTCGATCGTGGAGGGACTTGAGAGAACATGTGCCGTAGGCTCAGGCTTGTGCCGTTCTTGGATGGCACTCCGACAACGAGACAGATTCGACAGGCCGAACTTGTCGAACAGAGGAGCAAAAAGATCAATGAGGTCCGTTGAATCAATTGGTCTCAATCCGTCGACCAAAACATCCGCCCAACACGCACCGGTGACTCTTCGCCATGCCCACGCTTGCGACTTTCTGCCAGTCATTGGCTGCAATATGACGCATGAAGAAGACGTAGTCGAGTCTAGAGATGGCTTCAGACCACGAGTATCTCTTGGAAGCTCTGCGCAAAGTGTTCCGGTATCTGTCTTTGGAACCGAACAAATTGAAGTCCGAGGCCATCGCAAAGAACGGCCCGTCTCGCCAAGCGCTGATAACCGTCTTCCACGTGGCAGCTAAGGTGTCACGCTTCTTCAATGCTCGCCGAAGATCCTCTTTGTACCACTCATGCTGCTCTGTTGGTAGACAGCTGCTGTAGAGGAACTAGATTAAGACCATGCCTAACCTGAAGGCACATGATAAAGGCTTCCCATATATAGAGAGGGAAAATCCTAGTGACGTTGCGACTGTATCCCACAGTTCGAGCAGTCGAGCCTCTGCTGAGGTTTCACTAGGGCGTTATATAAACGGCCAAGCCGTGTTTTGCGTGATCTCTTTACTCTTGAGACTGGTCTGCAAGAGGGATCTCAAAAGGGTGTGCGAGAGATCTGTGAAGTACTGACCGAGCCAGGAATGGAAAGACATCGGAAAAAGAAAATGCAAGAAACGATTCTCTGGAAGCGATAGCGGCCTGAGGCACGAGTCTATCACCATCAAACGAGCCGATACTGATAGCGGCGCACAAGGTCACAGCCTTGCAATAAGCAATGTGGGCTTCCATATGCGAGTCGCGCTCTACAGCTTTGATGAACCCCTTTCATACCAGTTTTCGATGTGGGTGAAACATCAGAGTGGTTGAAACAAAGCTAACGATCTCTGTTGAGGCTGGGCTTGCAACGGGAATGATTGTCGCAGTGTCGTTTCTGGGACGCGAGGGGAGATCAGTGGTACGACCATGCTGAGATTCAGCTGTCGTTCAACGAAACACCTTCCCAGACTACCATGAACGAGTCGTTTGTGCTAGGAAGCCTCTGGCATCGAGAAGCAATGACGTGTCAAATTCTCTGCTCAGAGAAGGGCCGTTCATAAGCAAGAGTCCTTCTCGTCTTAGCCTCAGTCTTACCAATGTACCAGTCAATGTGGACAGCTCCGCAAATAACTGGGCTTGGTTGGCTATTTGAGGTGACCGCACGCTATAAATCATATGGGAGAGGCAAGCATAGTAGGATCCATGCGCCAGCCTTGGAGCGATCAAAGACCCCTGTCAAGACAGACGAGTCAAGCCAGAGGAGGAAGCCAAGGTCATCGTGAGGGGCGTCGCTCAGAAGAAGAGACATGTTGTGGGCCCCTTTGAGCAGCTCCAGAATGGTGACCGCGCGCTATGGGACGTATGGGAGAGGCCGGAAACTGTCTGCGAGGGTATAGGAAGGGGCAGGACAGACCTTAAAGTCGACCAGGGAAGCAAAGCGAGGATCTGATTGCTTCAAGATCAGACTGATGGCATACGCGAGGATTTCGGAGCCTGAGTTGGAGGCAAGAAGCTCGACCAGTGCTTGAGTCCAGATGTTATGGGACGTTTCTAGCCAACTCGTAAGATTCACAACTTCGGACCCTGCTTGCTCGCGCTCGTTCTCGGCATCCTTGACCGCACTCTCCACAGAGGTAGCTTAGTCGAGAACATTGACCGCGACAAACATCCAGTCTGTGTGCCTAGGAAATCGACGGCCAGGATGCATCAGGAGATATGAAGGCAATCAATGAAGGTGATTGGCTCGGCATTGGAAATATTCGCCATTACCACCAGGAGAGGGTGAAGGATAGGCCACGGCAAGAAGTGGACGAGTGGAGTTTGAGATCAAGGCGGGGAATCTCGAAGCCTTCGTCAGCCCTTTGCTTGATGACATGGAATTCATGGCTGACCGCAGTCGAAGCTCCAGCTTCTCTGTCTTTCTCGAGACTCTCTGCTCTGAGAGAGCACTAAACCGCGCCAATTCTAGCCCCAAGTACGCTTTGCCGGGTACTTTACATATACGCATGAGAAGCAGAGCAGAACAGATTGAACAACCATTATGAGCTGAAGATGACGTAGGAGAACCAAACGTCAAGACCTGGGTTTGGAGATGCTGGGCTTGGTACTCAAAGCCAGGTATATATGTTGCATCGCTGGTATACAAAGTCAGGTCCTTCCTTGAGTACGTGAACAATTGACAGACATAATGGATGTCTTGTGTAAACTTTCAGTCGGCGTCCAAACAGCTCGTCCAGTCTGCCAGCCTCCAGGAATCAGCAATGAGCAAAGCCTCAGGAGAGAAGATCTCTCTACGGTGAGAGAGTCGGAGTCTCGCATCCAGATTGCTTGGCATCTGTATCATGCTGGAGGCTTGCACGCGTGCCATGGCGGCCTCTGACCTTGTGAAGCTTCCTCTGTGGTACTTGATTCGGAGTGGGCAAAGGATTCTGTAGTCAAACGTTGATTGATGTCATTTGGGCTTGCTTTTCTGACGAGACCGCCCTGCTGAGTGTGTCGAGGGCTGAAGGAAGCTTGTTGTCACCGTCAGGTAGTCTGAAGATCGACGATACCGGAGGCGATGTCACCATCATCGTCGTCTGTGAGCTTGAGCGAGCTCCTGTCAGCACTGACAGCACCTGCAGCCCCCTGAAGACGAGACTGTATCGAGTCGGTGCCTTGCTCAAAATCACCACTGATCATGAGAGTGATGGTCGTGTGGGCATGACGATATCAAGGACTAGTTGACCATCGCTTTGTTGCTGGGATATTCAAGTCCAGCAAGAGATGATTGAGTAGGAGAATACATGGGCATACGAGGGTCCTCGACTTGGGAAGATCCGCTGCTGCCAACCTTTCCAATCCGCATCATTGACACCAACGCAAGAGAAGCGTGCTTCGACTAAAGCCACAGATACTCAGAACATGTACGTAGGGCCTGTGGCAAAACCAATTTCGCAGGCGACACCTATGGCATGATGGCTGATTTCGAAACCCTAGTTGGCACGCAGCTTGTCTGTGCAATGGTTATACTGAATAACTCGACCAGCCTTGGTCAAGTCGCAAATTTAGGTAAGAGACTCTCCGTGGCGAAAGCTGTCATTGTTGCTATTCATGAAACATGTTAGATTCTTGGACCAAAAAAAAGAAAGAAGGTTCATATGGACTTACTCCGCAGCAGACAATCTTCCCTGTGTTTCGTCCTGGAGACGAGATCGAGGATCAAGGCAAGTTATCGACTGTTTTGGAGACCCTAAAGTAGGCTGAGTCGACCGGAACAACGAAACATTGACCTTGGAAGTAGGTCGACGAGTCTCTTGGCTGTATCTACAACCAAGACTCTTCCCCTCGCAATATACTCGTCTCTGTTGTAGCCTTGTGTTCACTCACAAGACTTGACGAGGCCTCTGGGCCGATGACGCTCTGTACCACAGCGTGGGAAACACCCACACCAGGCACCTGGCTAGGTCGGCAGAATGAAGCACCCGGGCCGATATATATATTCACTGTTACCCTATCAGTCAAATGGCTTTCTCGATCGTGTTCGAGACAAATCAACTTACCAATCTCTGAAGATCGATTGCAGCATTTGATCTTGACCTGTTGAACAGTCTGTGGGCGAACAAACCGCACAGACAACGACCTCGACAGTGCTTCGAGCCCGGGGAGTTGTGCCTTCAACACGCCATCGAGATCAATATATAAAGAAACAAACAACGAAACAGAAACAAAACAGTAGAAGAAAAAACGAGGTCGGAACGCATCCTGACATGCTGCATTTCCTCCATCTCATCGCCATCATCTGCAGCGATGACAAAAAGAGCAACGAGATCAGGTAGTCACGGCTGAGGATGACAGTCATTAGTGCGCCAACAAAGAGAGGCGTAGCAAGTGAACAATCTCGCTCGAATCAAGCAGATTGGCCAACACTCAGACATCAGCCTGCTCAAAGTGTCTTGAGGAGCGGGAAGGGCTCAAGGTTCCAAAACAGTACTTTTCGTAGCAACCAGTGTTGTGGATTCTGGCTTCCCTTCTTGTAGTTCTCCAGAATATCTGATGACAGCTGGACAGCCATACAACTCCTTGAGGTGTCCCGGAGCTACAGCCGTCACGATTGCTGGAACTGTTTCGAACCATGCTACCCGATCTAGGCAGAGCCACCCAATATAGCTCTGCGGAGGCTCGGAGTCGGAATTTGATAAGATTGGATGCGCCACCCCGACCAGCTTTTTGGAATTGATCAATTTGCCAGGGGTAGATATAACTTCGACCCACGTTCCAGCATCCGAGAGGATGCTTACAGAGAGCTCATTGCCATATAATGTTTCTGGCTCAGCATAGAGGACAATGATGTTGGTGGTGTGGCTGTTCTGGCACCAGTGATGTCCGGAGTCAGATGGTGACAAACGGATCTGTCCATGACCTCGATCCTCAGCTCTAGGGGTGTGAGAGATAGAGCCTCATATATACAAACAAAAAAAAAGAGAGAGAAAAGCTGAAGACAAGAAGACAAAGCAAGACCACGCTCAAGCAGGCTTGAAAGCATACATAGCCAACCCAACTCCCTTGTGATGTACGCGAAAGCTGGCTGCAAGAGAAATCTGCGCGAGTATATACCAGAGCAATGTCCAACAGCAAAGGATCAGAATGTCAAGCACTATAAGGAGAGCAAAAAGAATAGGTCAAGGAAGAATGAAGACGAGAGAGAAAAGAAGAAGGGAAGGAACGAAAGTTGACGGGAAGGGAACTTCTCGCGGCGACGCTCAACGCACCTACCTCGTCAGACCCAGCAACACTTGCCACCCACTCTTGACTACAGACCTAGCTCCACCAAATTTAGCATTTCTCAGGCATCAGCCAGCACGCAGAAATTCAAGGTTCTCGTACCGAAGGCTGGATACTGCAGAAACAGCTCTGACATGTTGCAGACGGCAGACTGCAGGCAACCGTGCGTGAGGGTGATTCGATTACCGCCAGCCTCTTCCAAGGTTGTGAGAGTATGAACCTCTGCATCGTCAAGGTTGCCAAAGCCACCGGTTGCCACGGATCGTTCTGTTGCTTGAGCTCTGTGCGTGGTCGAGCGGTGATATAGATCAATCTAGATGGAAGTAGTTTATATACTGAGAGCATATCTGAGCAACGCATGTCAGCGCTAAGTGGCACAAGCGGTAGAGCGCATCAAGCCGTCGGGAAGAGAAGCTCGTGAGCAGTCATAGCCGTGGTCGATGTCTCCGAGCGACTTCCCGAGATGCCGTGCCCATCCTCGTCGCCCGTTCCGCGCTTGCAAGTCTGCTGCTTAAACCCAAACGGCAGCTTTTAGCCAGTGTGTCAAACGATCGACAACAACCCAGAAGCAGAACATGCACACGAGCCGTGGCCGAGCGTCATCACAAGAGAGAACTTGGTCATACCGTACACAGGTATCTGCATGGAGCCGCCGGCTTGCAAGCAGAATGATGGCCGCTCGTATCCTTGCACATCTGAGCCATCGTCACCTAGATCAAGTCAATGTTGATGTTCTCACTTCAAGCTCCACAGGCCCTTTGAAAGTGCTGTTCTCAGATGCGACTGCCATTCAAGTCCACTGCAAGAGGCGAACGAGAGCTCCCAGGGAAGCAAGACCAGGTTGGTACAAACGCAAGCGTCCATCTGATTGTTTCCCACGAGAAGATGCATGAAGCCGTCAGGAAAGGCTCGTGCAGCAGAGCTGTCACACTCCGTTGCGGCCAAGCCAACGACAGCTTCAACTCGACATTTCAGCTCCAATTCCACCACTCAAAGTGCGTCAGAATGAGGCGGACGGGACAATATTTGCGGAATACAATTTTTGTAAAAGAAAACGAGATGGAGCGAAGAGGTAGAAGTGAATTCTCAGTCGGACAGTCATTCCCCCTAGCGCTCGTGCGCATGCATGCAGGGTCCGGACCGACCCTGAAAAAGTGACATGTCAGTACCTGTAGACCAGCTGTTGATTTGCTAACCAAGTGCTTTTGAAGTCAACTTGTGCATGATCAAGATTGAAAGCATTACTGGTGCACAAGGAGAGGGGATACTGAGGACAAGATTGAGTGTAGAGTGCATAACCATTGCGTAGCTCTACATATCAAAATTATTAGCGATGAGGAAGACGTACATCTTCATATAACACCACCTTGGCCTTATCAGTTGCGATAAGTCCAATACCAAGAACATCTTACTCATAAACAACATCCTTGATTCTGGAGCCACCAGCCATATAAGTTTCGACAGGACCTTCACCTCTCAGAATAGAGACGACCTGCTTCCACTCTTCACCACCAGCTTCCTTCATCAGCTTGACATTGCCAAACATGATAAATCCTTGTCTGGCACGCGACAGAGCAACACAGACACGATTGGCGACTTTCAGGAAGCCAACCTCTTTGATGAAGTTGTTGCGGACAAGGGACAAGATGATGATGTCGTTTTCCTCGCCTTGATAAGAGTCAACCGTGACAACCTTGATACGCTTCTCTGTGACTGCGCCAGTCACCTTCTTCAGCTCGCGGGTAAGGAGACGACGCTGGCCATTGTAGAAGGTTAGAATGGTGATTTTGTGCGACTCGACGCCTGCGCTGATAAGGCCATTGACGAAGTCTAACACCAGCTTAGCCTCCTGTTCGTTGTAAGCAGACTTGAACTTGTCGTGAGCCTCGTGGTATTCGTGATGCCAGAAGTAGGTCTTGCAGTCTCCAAGGCTAGGAACAGGAGGACGATCGAGAGTACATTCATGGTCCTTGATCTTGTTTCCGTAGATAGGCCATAGGAGACGTCTGACTTCAGGTGGCATGCGTCTCTGTATAGTAAGCATTTTGTAATCAACGGTGTTGCTTGCCAGACGTTCAAACAAAGAGATGTCGTAGTGTTTGAAGTTGTGGGTGGCCTTTTGAGCGCGGGGACGAAGTTGTTGATGGTCTCCAACAAGAATAAGATGTTGGAGAGATGGCAGGAACATGCTCATCATGTTGGCTTCGAGACATTCACCAGCTTCTTCTACTATGACGATGCGAGGTTTGAGGGCGTAGATCATGGGACGGTATTTGGCAAAGCCAGTACTGGTACAGCCGATGACCTTGGTATCGGCAAGAACTTGGAGCTTTTTGACGAACTGGCCGCGCGTCCAGTCTCTCACTTCCTTGGCCCATCTGAAGGCCAAATCTCTAGCAGCCTTAATGATCTTCTGCTTGGCTTCTTTGACAAAGAACTCGTAAAGGCCGAGACGGTACTGAGGTGGTACCTTGTTGAGGTCGGAGAACTTGCTGCTTGCCAGGATCTTCTTGACATCCTTCTCTGAGAGGTGCTTGATGGAAGTGGCTTTGAGAACACTGCAATCAAGGAGAGGGATGAACGATCCGCGAAGCTTCTCAATCTCATCGTCTTGCTTAGCCTTCTCTGCGGTAGCCTCGTCGACTTCTTCCTCCTCTTCTTCATATGCCTCAAAGCCGAACTCTTGTTCCGCAGGCCAGTTGTCGGTGCTGGCTGTCAGCGATGCCTCAGGACCGAGCCATTTGATGATGGCAGGAACTCCAGGAGAGTCGTCACTTGTCTGCCACTTGGAGTTCTTGAGAGAATCAATGTGCTGAGCAGAAAGACGGCCTTCGAACATGTCTTCATCCATAGGTCTGCACGCCTGACTGCTGCTATCGAAGGGCGCCATCACTCGCTTCCAGTCATTCTCTATCTTTTTCATGTTAGCTCTGGCCGATCGAAGTCCAGCCGGCTCCCTGAGGGCGCGTGGGTTGCTTTCCTTGAGTTTCTCCATGATCTCGAAGAGTGTGTGTTGTTTGACAATTCCAGTATCAGCTGAGCGACCACCAAGACGAATGAAAGAGTCCTCGAATGCGGCGATGTGACGAAGCAATTGATCGAGGGCATGATTGGTCTGGCAGGTCACAATCAGAGGAGGAACAACCTCGCCTGTCTTTGCGTTCCTTCTCTGTTCTTCCATCTTGAGCAGCATGATACGAAGTGCCATGACCGACACGTGAGTTTTGCCTGTACCAGGAGGACCCTGAATGAGGGCAAGCTCCCTCGTCAGAATCTGGTGGAGTGCATCCATCTGCGATTCATCAAGCTTGGCAGCATCCTTGGGCACGGGCCGGTTGACAACATCGTATTGAAAGTCAGAGACATTGTCCGTTGCAGAGCTAAGGTCCATAATGGGGTCCTTCTCAACATACTCAGGAACGCGGACAATGTGTTTGGTAGCCTGTCCGCCAAGGAGCGAGAGATTCTCAACTTGATTTGAAAGGTCGATAAGGGTCATAGGTGGGCCAGTGTCTTCAACAATTGGGGAGACGACATACTCCTGAAGGGGGGTGCTCTCCTTGGTCATGCGCTGTAAAGCGAGCATATTGTGACGTTGGGCCTCGAAGAAGGACGACGTTTCCTCGAGAATGACATATTCTTCAGCTGGATCAAGAATGATGTCCTCGGCGTGGGGAAAGAAAACATCAATTTTAGGGGGACCTTCTTCTGATTAGCGTTGCATCAAGTATAGTATACTGAACACACTCACTCTCGTTGAGTAAGTCCATAGGTCTGGCACCGACGGTAGCGATGATTATGTGCTTCTGGAACTTGTCCGAAGTAGGTGAAATAGCAAGTAATGAGCCAGCCTTCAGGCGCTTTGAAGTCTGCCAGTCGATCTTGACACCAGCACGGAATGTCGAGAAACACATTCGAACGCTCAGGCCGCGATAGGATAAGATGACGCCAGTTGCGAACGCCTGTTCCGGTCAGTCATTCAGTCCACCGATAGAATGAACAACAACTACCTTTTCATAGATTCCAATACCAGGCGAGGTCTCTCTGTGTTCCAGTTCTGATGAGTGAGGTTGGTTACGGACAAGCTCTATGGCACGGCGAAGAGCGAAAGTCGACTCCTCGCGCAGAAAATGGTAATGCGCAGACAGGTGCTCGTTTTTGCATGACCAGTTGCCCTCAATCTGGTTCTCAGGCACGCATGGATCGTCGCTGACAAGAGGACGGCTCATCTCGTGCATGTCAGGAACTTCAGCGCAGAAGACCCACTCGTCATCGGTCGTAAGAGGAGCAGCATCACGATAGTAGCTGTTAATGACAGCTTCATGTGCTAATTGCTGCATTGTATCAATGGTGGCCGGGGGTGGTGATGATGAGGATCAAGTTGTGCGCAGAGTGAAGCTGAAGAAGTGCGCAAATGGATTTGTTATGGTGCACAGCACTGGCCAATTTTGGGAAGGGGTGACAGAAGGGGTAGTGATGGAAAAGATTTTAGCTGTACTCTCCTGGTGAAAGGCGATGTTCCTCCGAGCTGAAGAAATGCAGAAACTTGAGCCAGAACGGAGCTTGGCCACTGAGAGAATTCAAACTCGGAGTTCTCAGTGGAGGGAATGGACGATTCAATAGGATTGTGACTTTTTGCAGTAGATTTGAGCGATTGTGTAGAGAGCAAGAGTTGACACAAAGTTGATTTGCGCCTTGCTGCAGTTGTTTGGGCCCCTGGCGGGAAGGTGCAGCATGTCTCAAAAGCGTACTTGCCGAGCTATCAAAATTCATGAACATTTCACTTTCGAGCGATCATGGTTCGATACTCTGCTTCACTTCAGATCTGACATCTCACACACGAGTCCTCCAAGGAGAACTGTATGTATTGATGATAGACAGGTGCATTGCTGCTGATGGATATAGTGATTTCAGAGGCCCTAAGCCTGGTACTGCAACACATCTCGATCCCAAAGCTCACACAAGGGCTCGGACGTGATGTTCATCGGGATGTACAACAATTGTTGCTCGAAGGAAGAGGGAGGGAAGAGACTCGAGACTGTCGCGCAAGGTCGCGATAGCGATGGATAAACTTCGGACAACCCCACAGAATGACCCTCATCGGCGCGGCCTCCGCGTCTGTCGCGATGGACATGGAATTGTGGAACAAGACGATCGCGACATCTTTGAATATAGGCGGTATAGGTACCTGCATTTTACCTTGGTTATCTCTCTTGGACCTCAGCAGCTACGCGACAGCATTCATCCCTTTATTCATTGCGTGCGACAAGCCCCAACATATGGTCGAACAATAGTAGCGACAGCCTCAGGAGTTCTCGTGCGGAATGGTTTCTTTCGAGGATGACGACCCGATAGAAGGTGCGGATTCTCATAGCCTCCTGTCGAGAACAAGAGACTAATACATCACAGGGTCAGAAAACGAGTCGCAAGATGAAGACGAGAACATGGACGATAATGACAACGAGAACGACGAAGCAGAAGACCAAGACGAGGGCGAGCCTGATGAAGAAGGCGACGATGATGATAACGATCAAGATGACGAGGGCGACCAGGATGACGACGAGGAAGGCGATGCAGACGGAGACGCAGAATCACCTTCACAATCGCGCCGCCAGAGTCGAGCCTCCCCTTCGACATCACGACCGCCGAACCCTACTGTTATGCTGACATCGCCGTCACCACGCCCTTCTGCACATCAATCGCCGAGTTCCCACCTAGCCTGGCCTTCAGTACGACAAGAAGCCCTCAACGCTGTCACGTACGACATTGTGCCTACCATGGCAGCACCACAGAGCACATCGATTAATGCCGTCACAGCAACACCAGACATGAGATGGGTATTCAGTGGTGGTACTGATGGTTATATTCGCATGTACAATTGGGTTGAGACGGCCAACGGAAAAGTGCCATTGACTGTGGCGCAAAAACACCCCTTCGTCGACAGCGTCATGAAGGCCGGAAGCTTGACAACATATTGGGAGAATGAAGAGACATCAGTGCGTACTCCGCCTGCACAATCTGCTGAAGAGCCGAAAGACTCGTCGCCAGTCTACTCTCTGGCTACACAACATCAAGCGACATGGCTCTTGTCAGGCCTCGAATCAGGCGCCATCAACCTACAAACATGTCGTCACCAAGCCGGCACAAAGATTACAACATTACGCGAACATACCTCAGCGGTCTCAGTCTTGAGTCTGGCTCAAGACGAGTACTCATTCTTATCAGGAAGCTGGGACAAGACAATTCTTGACTGGGATTTGAACATGGGCAAAGTCAAGCGCTCATTTGTCGGTAGTGGCGGCCAGATCTCAGTACTCGAGCGTCGTCCCGAATCTTCGTTACCAGTACCTCACGTCGCCGAAGACACGCAAGTTTCTAGTTCAACCTTCTCCTCGAACAATGCCGCAAAACCTCTCACAAACGGTGTCTCGGCACCAGAAGAAAGAAGAGGAAGCAAGAACAGTCAAAATGGCACAGAAGATGCGGCAGGCTCGCCAGATGGGTCTTTGTTTGGTGACGACAATGGGTCTCTGTTCGGCGACGACAACATCAATGCCGACAATAACAATAACAACAACGCCTTCGACGACGATGACGAGTTTGCAAAAGCAATAGCCACAGGCCTGCAACAGTCAGAAGAACAGGAAGATACAGAAATGCTCGACGCAGGAGGGCCTGTTCAACCACCTCAAGACTCGACCACCGCTCAAGATCCTATGGACATTAACTCACAACCACAACCTGATGCATCAACTACAGACCAACCAGATCCTCTATCAACAGGCAACCCTCATTCTGAAGAAATAACTACCAACGGCAACCATGCCAACACAACAGAAGACGAACTGCCCCAAACCTCATCCACAACTTTCCTCGACGCGTCCATCGAAGGCACCATCCGCATCTGGGATCAACGAGTTTCTTCTCCTATCGCTGTGATTCATCCGACCACTGGCGTGCCTCCTTGGTGCATGGGCGCTTGTTGGTCCGTGGATGGCAACAGCATTTACGCAGGCAGGAGAAATGGCACAGTCGAGGAATACTCTCTACACAAAGGTTTTCAGATGGCGACTCCCCAGCGGACATTCAAGTTCCCTGGTGGAAGTGGTCCGGTCAGTGCGGTCAGAGCTATGCCTAATGGCCGTCATTTGATTTGGTAAGTTCCTTCATCTTTCTTCCTTTCTCATTATTCTATGCTAACACTCCACCAGTGCATCTTACGATATCCTTCGTCTGTACGACTTGCGCGACGTCGAGAATACACGCTCGACCGTACCTTTCCTCATTGTTCCTGGCCATCGCACAGGTGTTATCTCTGCTTTGCATATCGATCCGGCATGTAGATTTATGATCAGCACAGCTGGTAACAGGGGTTGGGAAGGTTCAAGTACTGAGGTTCTACTTGGTTATGAAATTGGTTGTGTCTTGCCGTCTTGATTCAAGCGTAATCAGGATAGGAGCAAGTGGTAGATGGATGGGAAAAACTACCTAGGTAGCATATGTCAAACGACTCTAATGTATATGAGAAGAGAAGCAAAGGGCACAATGTAACTTTCATCGTGCTGCCAAACTAGCAAAGAGCAAAGTGTGCACTGTAGAAAGGCACAATTGTATCTGAAACAGGACATCATCCACTGAGAGGCGACAATCCATCTGCTCTCTCTGATCACACCTCGATTTCTGAATTGTATTGTGCATATCTACAGGTACATTGTGACAGTCTCCAGCATGGAAAAGGATTATCTGCACGAAAGAAGAATCGCCGACAAAGGATGGCAATCAGAAACATAAAACTCAGAGATAGAGATTTGATCTTCGACAGCCGTCTCCATATTCAATGCCATTGCTCTGCAACTGCTCACGCTTGCCGAGCGTCAGGTCTTACCAAAGACAAAAGGCAAAACGTACAGCAGCAGGGATTCCCCTGTGGTCACCCACCAGAGTACTAATCTGCCGTTCAACTGCTTATGTATGGCAGAGCGGACGGGATGCCCAGTTTTCAGCTGACTGTGGCCGTACGTGCTAGACTTACCAGCCAGTGGGAATACATACCCCTGTCGAGCGAGGTGCTTCGAATCGCATTCAACCGACTGTCTCAATTTCACTGGACATGGCTTGGGCGACCTGCGCCTGAGTTGTAACTTTTTGCATCGAATTTTGATCTATCCATGGCTATGAAGATGTCCCAAAGATGTAGGCTCATCGCAGACGCCTGTCCATGCATCCCAATAAATTCGTAGAATTGACTCCAGTCGCAGACCAGACCGTCTACACGGGCAGGTTGAACTTCTTGCCTTGGAAGACCCTGCGAGAAAATCAGTAAGTCGTTCTGAAGAGTATATGTGGGATCAAAGCGTACTTGGTGTAGTAAATGTAGAAGAAGTCCGAGTACAGAACAGTCTGAACCAGACCTGCGATGACAGAAATAGGCTCAAAGTGGCCCTCAGTGAACCAGCGGTAGATCCAGTTGGGGATGTAAAGGGCTCTGTAAGCACCGAGGGCGAACAGATAGTGGGTGGTGATAGTCTCTGCTTCGCCGGTTCTCTGGAGCATGAACAATTGAGGCAGAATGGCGACTGCTTCCAACCAGATCGAGAAGGCCCAAAGCATCTGTCTTGTATCAGCATCATCTCTTTTCCTCCCCAGACTCTTTCTTTTAGGAGGGTTGCCTACCTCGGCAGGTTGGTATTTGTAGGGGAATAGAATGCCCAATACGGCACTTCCGGCGACCAAGTACTGAACTCTGAAGGTGTCGAGATTTGGATCGTGGGTAGGCTTGTAGTCGTTGAGCATCAGGTAGATGATATAAGCGGAGGTGCCAATGAAAACGAGCTTGAAGGTGGTGTTCCACAAGCTTCTGAAAGGGTCTGTCCAAAGAAGGTCTGTAGAGGAAATCTCAGTACGCGATGTGTGGTCTCTTGAGGCAGGCGGGCATACCAAGGTATCGGGTGACGTATACGACGAGGTAGAGGAATTGCGACTTGAACGAGATGCCTGATGCGCTCTTGGGACATGGTTAGGATTCGAGAGTTTCGTGACAGGGACAATAGACGATGATCGGAACATACACTAGATGTCTTCATCTTGTGCAGCAGGATGAGGATGGAGAAGAGATGCGACAAGTCGCCTGGTCATGACAGTCAGCGCATTGCATTGACAAGCGGCTTGAATGAACAGTGAACCTACCGAGTATACGGAAGATGTTCATCATTGCTTTGGCCAGAACAAAATGGCTAGATTGTGTTGATTTGGTTGCGCAGAAGCTTGGAGGAGGCTGTGAATGTGCTGTGTAGGGGCGTGCGACACAGTACAGAGAAGACCGGCAGCAAGGAGAGCAAAGGAGGAAGATGCAACTGTTTGGACGCGAATGCTCGTAGCATTTACGAACAGCTTTCGACACGTTGTCCAAACACGTCCGTGCGTCGTCATCGTTCTTTCCCCCTTCCATCCCCGTTTCAGGAGGAGCTTCTTTGGAACTCCTGCCAGAGCCTCATTCATGCCTCTTCCATTCATACACCTCCGAGATGTGTGAACCTGCTTTTCTTTTGTGACTTGCAGCCAGGCTATCTAGGAGAGAGCTTCTAAACTCGAGATTATTACGTGTTCGATGCCCTTCGTTCGTCACGAAACATGACTCAGCGAAACGCCAAAGAAATGCTCAATTGCTTTCTGATTAAACGACATAGCTCCAGAGATACCTTGACACAACGACATCTCCATGGACGGTATTCCACCAGAGAGTGTCGCGCAATGCGATAGCTGAGCTGCAACAAATTTGAGCCGACGAGATTGGGAGAGCAACACAGGGAAAACATCCAGGGTCGCCTGTCTTGCATGAGTCTCGGCTGTCCCAACTCACTACCTCGACTACATTTGCATCGGGTCCTGGCAGTCTTGTCTTTTTGTTCTTTAAGTTCCATCTCCTTCCCTGATGATTATAAGTAAGCGTGCCGATCCTCGCTCAACACGTCTTTCGAACAACAGGGAGCGATTGATTTCAGTGTTCACCCTATGTAATGATGCTCACCAAAGACCGTTTCCCCAGATTGTACTACCTCATCGACACTCAAGCTGAAGGCCACGGGCACATGTTTCAGCAGGTCAACGTAGCTCGCATAGACTGTCCATGCTCCTCAGGTGTCAATACACGCTCCGCTGCGCCGATCTTGCGTATCTCTCACAAATGCGACAAGACGATCAGCCTTTTGATGAACACTATACGGTTTACACTATTCCACACTTCTCATCTCATTCCACGAACCCCAATTCCAGTGAAGCTGCTTCCTTCTTCCGATAGACAGAGTGTGTGGGATAAATTCGAGAGGATTGGAAGCATGTGACGCTCCAAAGTTTGAGATGTAAGATTGTTGTAGTATTACTGATTGAACATGCTGTTTCCGATGTATCAGGTATTCTTTGAATGCACACAAAGGCCAATACCACCAAGGACTAGAGCCATGCCTAGCCATGTATCTGTTGCAAGAGAATGGTTAGTAAACATTTGTACTAACACAAGGATGAGAAGAGGAAGACATACCTTTCGTAATGACCTTCTTCTCTGCCCACCACTCTCCGAGCACCGTGAAGAGGAAAGCAAGTGAATTGGTAATAGGCACCGTAAGACTGAGTTCTGTCGTTTCGAGTCAGTCACCGATAATCCTTTGCCCCTCAGACAAGAAAACCTACCAGCCTGACCGATCAACAGGAAAAACCACACACTCCCCGTAACATTAATCAAAAATGGAATAGCATAAGCTGGATTCTTCAACACGTCGAAGACACCGTATAACACACCCCAGACCTTTGCTTTTAGCCAAGGAGTGTGTGGGTGTTCGAGCCAGGCGCGGGATTCTGGTGTTGAAGATGATGAGGAAGAGACGGCGGCGCGGCGCATGAAGGGTGTTGTTAGGCCCCATGCTGCGCCTACGAGCAGGAAACCGAGCACATAGCGGAAGAGACCTGGGGAGGGTTGAGTTGTTGGGGTGTCTGGGTTGGGATCCATGGCGAAAATTTGCTCAAACAGATTCCTCAATGTATGTGAAGGGGGGTCTGATCTTGTTGTGACTTTCGGAGAAAATTATTGATGTTCGAATGCCTTTCTTTTGGAATCGAAAGCTTAAAGGGAGGTCTAGTCGAGTATCAAGGTACTCGATCGGCAGAACCTCGGCAGTCCGCGATTGCGAAGTTTGAAGATGAGACCCCCGAAGCATGTGGCAGGCGCAAGCAACAATTAATTGATTATTTGCTGTCTGTCATGCAGAGAAGGAGCGAATGCCGCCACGTATCACTCGCCTGAAATGGCCTCGACTGTTTCCACCACATGAGCCACTGCCTTTTCTCTACCCCCGATGGTACTCGATCGAGGTTGCTGCCGCCGAGGCTGCCAATTCGAATACACCAGAAGGATCATCCACGCCTGCTAATGGATCAGGCATGTCAGCGCAGCAAGAGCTAGGAGATACACCACAGAAGTCTTCGATTGCCCCATCGTCTGGATTGCAAAATGGAGACATCAACACCAGGCGCGTCCCGCAATCGCTTGTGCGAAAAGTCCAGATCCGAAAGCTAGAAGAGACGAAACGCAAAGAGCTGCGTGAAAAGTCCTTCTATGCACAGGACTGGCGCACCCCCTTGATGCTGCTCCGGAAGCACACACCAGCAGGAGAACAACACCATGTTAAACAACTGGCTCGGCTGGAAATGCCTCAGGGCATGCGAGGCTTCTATCCTGGCAACCTCTCCGACCTCTTCCTGGATATCTATCTGCATACGGGCTGCCATGTCCAGATCTCGCGAGGCGACAATCATAAGTATGGCAAATTTCATGCCTTGGAAATATCGGGTACTGCTGTGACAATCAGTATGGCCAAGCACATTCTGAACGAGGCGCTACAGGTTGAGAGTGATGAGGATCTCAACGACAAAGGCACTATGGGAAAATACACTACAACTACCACACCCATTGTCCAGGATAAGGTCATGCCCCGTTCCGTCTGGAGTATGCCGCATACGATTGCAAAAGACCTCTCGGACGTTGGCGAACCAAATTCCTGGTCCTTCCAAAGATTTGCTGCTCACGTTGCCGAACTGGTCATCGCGACTCCCACTCCAGCTCAATCACGGTTAGCTGGATCAGCAAATCCTCCAGAGGACAAGCCACATGTCGACCTTGTCACGGACAAGCTGGTGACGCTCTACACAAATCCGACTTCTGTTCGATGGGCCTCCATGCACGCTACAGTTCAGACTCTGCAATACCTTGTCGAACACCGCAAAATCCCCGAAGTTCGTCGTGTTCTTGAGGTGATCGAGTCTGAATCCAAAACCCATCCCTATCTTCGCTTGGTACTGGCAAATCCATCAGTCTTCAATGTACTCCTGCATTCGGCATCTGAAGCCTTGGATCTGCACACTTACAATTTCCTACTTCGTATGATGACAGATCGCAGTGTGGTCCCTGATGTGGAAACATGGACTTCCCTGCTGCAGTTGGTGCAAAAGGTCAGCCCACGAAACGCCAAACATATCATCACCACAATGCGACAACGACAAATGATGTCTTCTCCAGTGGCCAAAACGGGCACGGCGCAAGCGTTATCGCAGAAAGATGTCATGGAGTGGCTCGGCAGAGGAGAGTCCGTTTTCGACTTCATCGCTCACTACGACAAACTTTGGGAGGGCAAAGAATGGCTAGACGCACGTGTCTGCAACCAGATTCTCCTCGTTCTCATCGAGACTGGCAACCTGCAGGATGTCATGCCTCTTGTCAAAGAGCTGGAGAATCGAAACAAGAAACCCAATCTTGTGACAATACATATCCTGATCGATGCCGCGTCTTCCTACCGCGACTTGAGATTCGCGAACGACGCTCTGCAGACCATTCTTGGCCAGGATGAACATTTACAACCTGGTCCTCGCACCTTTGAGAAACTCGCATACCTCGCTTTCCGAGCAAGAGCGTACAACACCCTTCGCGTGGTGTGGAGATATGCATGTCTGTATGGCGATGTCTCGCGCGATCTTCTTTTGAAAATGCAAAAGACACTCAGCACGTCTTTGCGTGGCGAGAGCGATATCGTCCAGACACTGAACGTCCAGACACTGAATGTTGGTGTCGGCGTGGATAACCAGATTAGTCGTCACCAACGCTTCAAGATGCTTGCCGCCATCGTCGCTGTCGGTATCACAGCGAACACACCTGTATCTTCACCCACCAACCTGACTAGAAACCTCGAAGGCCCTCTGGGATTCATCAAAACTAGGTCTCCGAGCACCGACCTAAACAAGACCGACTTGAACACCGCCACAGCACCCAGTCTCCAACCGAGTGTCACTCTTGCTGCTGATCTTAATGCACCCAAGTTCTATTTTGCAGTTGAATCCTTCGTTTCCGCTTTCCATAGGGCTGTAGAGCAAGATCTTCGATGGAAACAGTCCGGATACGACAAGAACGCCACCTTGGAAGTCCTTCTCGCAAAAGCTATCACCGTGCGGGTCAGAAAGAATGCGCAACTCTTGATCAAGGAAGAGAAAGAACAGGAACAGCGAGAACAAGAACAAAAGCAGCGCCAGAAGGACAAGGTGAAGGCTCAGGAGGAGCTCCAAGAGAAGAAACGTGAACAAATGGTAGCAGCGATGAAACAAGCCGTGGAAGTACAAAAGCAAACAGTTGAGGCCGCAAGAAAACAGGTCGAAGCACGCAACAACAAAGCTGAGGCCAGAAGAAGAACAAACGCCAAACTTGAATGGCAAAAGCAGAACGAGCAGATGGTGGAGGCGGCAAAATCAACAGCAGAAGCCATAGCCACAACCGAGATCGAGAACGAGGAAGACCGCAAAACAAGAGAAGAGCAACGTAAAGCCAAAGCCGGGCAAATCGCCCTCGACAAGCAAAAGGCTACGGAAGCACGCGAAGCCAGAAGAGCCTTGGAAGCCCAGAAGAAACTGGATATGGAAACCCAAAGACTCGAGCGGGAGGCACAAGAAGAACGAAAAGAAAGGGCTAGAGTTGCACACCAAGCAAGGAAAGAACAAGAAGCGAGAGAAGAGGAGAAGAAGAGAGAGGAAAGGGAAGCTGAGGAGGAGTGGAAGAAGTTGCATGAGGAGATGCAGGGATTGGTCGGGAAGAAGTAGCAAGGGAGGTTGGCACTGGGAATGTATATACTTGTACTATTATCTGTATCATATGGCATAAAGCTTGCTACACTCTCTCTTCGCGTGTCAAAGACAGTCACAGTGTAACTAACGAAAGGCACAGTTGCTTTTTCATTGAGATAGCCAGTGATGGGTTGACTTTGAGAGAGGAAAAGGAAATGAAAGTTGTCATTAACGTCAACAAAGAAGACGGAGTCCTCTCGAAACTAAAGGAGTCAAAACGCAGGAATGCAGAAAATGCAGACAAGTCCTGTTGTTTTCCTATTTGTCGCCCGTAGCTCCTCCATCAAGGCCTGCAGCATGCCCATCCTCAGGGCATACCTTCCCCCAAAGGTCATGACTGAAACAGCTTAGAGAAGCCCTCTTCCGGAGGTTGCAACCAGTTCTTTGCATCATACTCATTTCCACCCTCGATACAGTGGAACGTGTAGATCATTCTGCCCTTCAAACTCGTGTTTTTCTCACTCTTGTGCAGCAAGTTTCCATGAATGAGCACTAAAGTGCCGGCTTTGACTTCTCCAAGCTCGTATACTTCTTTCTTGACTTCGGTATCTTCTTGAAGCCCTTGTGGCCATTGCGAACCGTGGTTTTCAGCAAAGCCAGTTCCTGTAGAGTCGGGCGAGTCTGATGTCCTGACGAAGCGAGAGCGAATGGGAGCACGTTTATGGCTTCCAGCTGCGAAACTCAAACACCCGTTTTCTGCTGTTGCGTCCTCGAGGGCATACCAAAAGCCGACTGCTGAAGGAGGATCCGTGTATAAGAAGGTAGAGTCTTGGTGTGGAGGGACGCGGCCGCCGATTTCTGGTTGCTTGCAGATGATCATGGATTGCAGGATTCGTGGGTCGGTGTATCCGAGCGATTTTGCGATTGCGGCGTTGGAAGGAGAGAGGGAGGCGCTACGGTATAGAGGAGAGAGACCGTGGAGGTAGTGTCCGATCTTGTTGATGGCTTTGGATTTGGGCTTTGTGAGGTGGCCTTCGGCGTCGAATGCGTCTGGAATCACCGCATTAATATGTGTGTAGCTGGGGACGAGAGGGATATCGACACACCTTCTTCGAAGAAAAAGCGGACCTTGTCGCCAGAGTCGAGGAAGTAATCGTCACCGACATGATCGCTCTTCTCGCCGGTACTGAACTTTGTCATTGGATGGTCGTCGAGGGAGAAGTTGTCGAGCATGGTGTAAGCTTCGTCGAGCAGGGCTTTTGTGGTTTCTGGGCTCAGGGCATCGGGGATGAGGAGGTAGCCATTTGTGTTCCAGAAGTCGAGCTGTTCTTTGGTCAGGCCGCTGCTTGGGTTAGCTGCGGGTGGTGGCGAGATGCGCGCAGGCATTGTCTGTGTGTGCGTGTAATGAGATGCAAATGAAGGAAGTTTGAGTAAGAGTAGTATTCAAGTGAGAGACACAATGCAGAAACAGCGAGAGCAAGGGATGCAATGTGGTGGTTGTGAAGATGCAGTGAATGGTTGCGTGATTAATTCACCATTGCATCTCCGCTTCCCTGTATCAAGACGATAAGAACCCCACCCCGCCGCTTATCCGAGCTTCCGCTGTGAAAGTATGTAACGCGTGTAGCTATGAAAATGCACAATGTTATTGGGAAGCAGGAAGGTATCTACTGAGGCGCGACAAACAGTCGGCTCTTGGTCGACTTTCTGAAGGATGTCTCTTGTCTCAAAATATCTGTGACTTTTTACAGTGTAGATATTACTTGTCGTCAATGGCGGAGTACAACAGATGTGACAAACTTCAGAGCATGGGGAATTTAATCTTCTTTGATCTTCCTTTTATTCTTCGTCATCTCAAAGCTTCCAGTCCGACGCCTCTCTCTATAGCACAATGCGCCAATGATCTCCGGACCACTCTTCTTGTGCCTGTGGCTAATCACTCTTGCTGTTGCCAATGATGTCGGTCCCGGCTACTACCCTCCGAGTGTAGACGCAGCTACTTGGGAGACCAAATATGGCTCCTATCCCTTCAAGTCGTACCGATCCTCCAATATCACTTCTCCTGCCGTGAGAAAGGCCGTCGACTCGCCCTTGTGTTACGACGACAACTACATTTTCCTGTCTCCTCGAGGCTTCCGAGTTCCGAATCCTTCTGTCACCATCCTCGACAACCATGGCGACCTCATCTGGTCGCATTTGGTCAAAGGACAGGCCTACAACCTCAAAGTTCAAGAGTACAAGGGAGAAAAGGTCTTGACATATTGGGTCGGTGATGATGCTGTTGGCGGACATGGAGAAGGTTACTTCTACGTCCTCAACACCAAGTACGAAGAGATCGCTCGCATCAGAGGTGTCAACAATCTTCGTGCCGATCTCCACGAGTTGACCATCACTCCGGAAGGCACCGCTCTTGTCACCTTCTACCAAATCTACCCTCTCCACCATCCAGGCATGTTCAGAATAACTGACACTGTCTACATCTGGGATTGTCTGTTCCAAGAGTTCGATATTGCTTCCCAGAAACTCATTTTTGAGTGGAGAGCCTCCGAGCATCACCAACTTGACGAATCCTACACCAAAGTGGATACTGACGGCCTTTCCATCGATCATCCCTATGATTGGTACCACATCAACAGCGTCCAGAAAGACGACCTCGGCAATTATCTTGTCTCTGCTCGCTTCACATCAACAATAACCTACATCAACGGTCGTACAGGCGACATCATTTGGTACCTTGGTGGAAAGCGCAATTCTTTCTCTGATCTTAGCAATGGTCAAGCCACGAACATGGAGTACCAACATGTCGCTCGCTTTGCTCCCCTGACCACTTTTGCCTCACTGATGGCCAAGGAAATCGTCGATCACGGAAAGAAAACGCACAAGGACGGTTTCACAAAACAACTGCTTACCCTGTTCGACAACGGCATCCCACCACGTCCTGCTCGAGGTCTTATCCTCGAGTTGACATATCCTGATCAAGGCATCAGTACCAACGCACCCTTGACTGCCAGAGTCGTCAAAGCTTACGAACATCCCTTACACATCGACTCTGTCTCTCAAGGTTCCTTCCAAGCCGTTCACTCGAACCTGACCCAAAATTCTGATCCGCATGTCTTACTCGGCTTCGGCTGGCAAGGCACATGGACCGAATACCTCGCCGACGGAACTCTCCTCTGTGATTCCCGCATTGTTGTTGAGAAGGGTCTTCAGACTCCTGGAAAAGGATATGTCCAATCTTACTCTGTGCTCAAGTTTCCTTGGAAAGCTACCCCACGTTACCCTCCTGTCGCTGTCCCCGGCAAAGACAAGACTAGTGTTTTTGTTTCGTGGAACGGTGCTACTGATGTCCACGCTTGGCAACTAAGTGTCCTGATCAACGATCAATGGCAGTTGCACAGAAAAGAACTCAAAGACTCCTTTGAGACGGAGATCTATCTTCCTAACAAAGATCTTGGCAGAGGGCTGATTCGTTATGTCCTTGTCGAGGCTTTGGATGAGAATGGCAAGGTGCTTGGGAAAACGGAAATCGTGGACCTGTGGGCCAAAGGACTGGTCAGTAGGATTACGAAGATGGGTGATGGTGGCTATGGCTCATGGTTTGGGCTGCTGCTTGTCATTGCCGTTGTGGTTTTCATTGCCGACCGTGTCATCAAATCGAGAAGGAGTGGCAGAGCTTATCAGAAATTGAGAAAGCACTGAGACCAGTTACCGTGTACTTTTTATAGATATACTGGGATGTATAGTCAGTTGTATCCACCTATCTCTCTGGAACATCACAACTCTGAACAATAACTCTGCATCTCTACAGCTTGATATATCAGGCGTGGTTCGAGAGGGGTCCAAAGCTAGGCAATGCAACAACCAGGAAGAAAGACATAGAGCATCTGTCTCTTAATTGAAAAGAGATTCAAGATATTGTCATAAAAATGCACAATCTTTCTCAAGCAGGAGGTAAATCCAGAGAAAGTTTCACGTTCTGTCCATAGTCAAGGGTGCATCTCATGTTTCTTCGTCAATTTCCTTTGCTTTCACAGGCAGTGCTTTTTCATGTCTTTGTATCTATGTCTCACATCCCTTGTCCTGCTGTCTCTCCGTGTAAGATTGTTACGATACAACTATAGAAATGCACAAGTCTTTGGCGAACGAGTCGGCACAACTACGCTCATCGTCGGACACAGCTCAAGTCTTTCTGTTCCTTCCAAGTTCCGATTCCAAAGGCTTCGCGGCATGTCAGAATTTAATCCAGCCCTGGTCACCAGAATTTGATCCTCGCCGAGTGCAAGGTCTTGCTGATTTGGTCATCAGTGGGCCCAGCCCTGACTTGCCTGTTTGCAAATCTACTGGCTGCGTACTGGTCGTCGCATCCGTCCTGCTCGCCGTCTTGCCGAGGAGTACGGTCTTCGACAACTTCTCATCTGGCGCCAATCCCCGATTCGATTGATCGCACCCCTGACTGCTTCGCAGGTCGCAATGCCCGCTCTGCTTGTCCTCTGGCCGACCACTACACCCCCTGGATTCTCTGGTCCCTTGTTCTCGGACAGTGATACCACCTACCAGCGCTTTCCTGCTGTCCCACATGGCTTCTTCCGTCCTCGCCGCTGTCGCAGATCATCCTCCATCCTCGACGAGGCTATCCCGCCGAACACCGATGTCAGGACCGGCTAGCCTGCTGAGCGACTGAACGACCTGCTTGCACATCGTCGTCGTAAACGTCACGGCCGGCTCTACTCCTGGTTGTGCTCGCCGCGACGGACCTCTCGGCAGTGCTGCACTTGCTCATGTACAGAATTGGGAGGTGGGAAACACAATGCTCGGGAATGCTCAATCTTGTCTATGCTTCCATTCGAGAATGGTGCTCTTCTGTTCAGTTCTATCTGATCTCATGTCCTTTGTCTTGCCATCTCTCGTGTCTGCAACAGATATGCTCTTCGTCATACTGTATTGTGGTAAGAAATTGTCGGGTGACATCGCAACCTTGCAATGCTTTCTTTTCTTGTTCCCTCTCGTCTCGGGAACAACCAATGCTCTTCGTGATACTGCCTTGCATCAGAGTACTGTGGAGGGCTATGGCAATCCTGAGATGCTCCATCTATCGTCTAGCAATGAAGCCCATACACCTTTGACCTAACACTGTCCTAGCTCTAGGAGTATCACTAGGCTTACAGGGTGTTGGTCTTGCTTGTGGCAGTCATAGTCATTAGCGTATAAGGAATGAATGCTAGAGATGTGGTCGCGGAAGAGTGTCATTAGGTATCGATACTCAGAAATGGAACCCTAGGAACTGATACTCCTCCGTTTCCAGGCGCATTAGGATCATTAGTCCTAATGCTAGGTCGAAACCTGGCTCCACCTCGAGGTACTACTTCGGGTGGTCTGACGACCGTCTATCCCAATACCCATCCCGATCTATCCTAGCCATCACCCTCTCCCCATCCAACACAAGATACCGTGGCCCATTAGCCAAACGCGACCGACGGACTATAAGCTTAGCCCATTCACCAGTACTAGCCATATTCTTGAGCTCTAGCTCTAGGCGTACTAAGCCTAGCACCCGATGTCGCAGACTGTGCCTTAAGAAGCCGACGAAACGTTGCTCTAGACCGGTATAAAGAAACCAGTCGAGTCCGCCCAAGTGAGGTATCGCGCTTAGCAGTACGTTGCTAGCGTTGTTCTTGACGACCACGGTATACTCATGTGCTGGGAATGGCCTAACGATGTCTAGGCTTTCGATGGAGAAATGCCTGATAGCAGGCTCGGTGGTAGTAGGGTCGTTAGGCCTAGCCGTAACAAATTGGGGGTACTGTCTAAGCCGAAAGACTCTAGCGGCTTCTAGCCTAGTGGTAGAGGTGGCGATTTGGGAGGTAACGCCTATACCCGGGTATAAAGGAGGGAGTTCTAGGGCCATTTCTGGAGTTTCGGCGCTAGGAGGAGTTTCGGATCTTAGGGATTCGAAGGTGCGTCTTAGGGAGCGACCGCGGAATTCTTGCATTCTTAAAGCTAAGTGATTGATTTCTAGGGATATGCTTAGAGCGAGTGGCAGCGGTACGCTATAGATATGGTTGTTTATCTAGGAGAAATGGTCCGAATTGTTGTAGTTGTAGTTCCCCGGCTTCTAACTCCGCAACTCCGGAATTTAGCCGTTTTACACTACTATTCCTATTCTATTAGGACTACCTATATATTTGTATATACTATATACTCCAGCTAGATACTAAGCAGTATAGACTTAGTACCAACATAGAGATATCTAAAGCCTCTAAGTCTACTTCAATTATATTTATAATAGCTTCTTTTGCAAACATAGTGACAAATAGTTCTTAACCTGCGGGTGTATACACTTTACCAGCCAATACACTTGCGTCTGCTCTATAACTTGAAGCAAGTTTCTATTGCATCCGCAGCTTTCATACCATACAATAATATCTATACAGTAATCATTACAGAAGCGTTCTTGTACCAGCTCAACAAGGGGTTCTCTCCATTCCTCGTCTGAGTATCTTCGACGTACGCCCATCTCTTGAAAAAGTCCTCGTGCTTCATGACACGGGTGAGTTTGCCAGTGATGGCGCGGTAGATGGCTTCGTTGACTGCAAAGTCTGTGGGGAACAGAATATCGAAGAACCCTTGGTGGACCTGTAGATATTCATGTCAGTCGAGTGAATTGCACGTAGATGGGGAGAAAGCATATACCAGAGGTGTAGTCACTGGAACCATGCGACGCTGATAACGGGTCTGAACCACAGGAGCATTGACGCCTTCCACTGCATCAGGCAGAGCATGGAAATCTGAAGTAACCAATTTATGCGCAGGGAAATACTTGTGCAAAATATCGAAAAAGTGCATCAACCTCGTAGGAATATACTCTGGCGTGCTCAGGTTGGGAGCAAAAGGTAATTTACTCCTCAACTTTCTGAGCGTGGCGGGAGAGTTGCGTAGAGGATGAGCGTAGTTGATGTCGCTGCATGCGGCATCTCTGACACGCAGGAAGCGTGAAGCCACGGGGTCTATGTCCCTGGAGTAGAATTCGAAGAAATCGCCATTTGCGTCGATGAGAGCGGAGCCTTGGAGTGGTTCTTCGGTGAATGGATCGTATCTGATAACATCGTGGGCAAAGTTGTCAAAAACTTCCATGGCTAGGAAGAAGCAAGGAGAAGCCTCATAGATGTCCCAATCGAAGATTGATTTGTTGATGATGGAAACGTTATCCGCGTGACCCTTTGCCTGGGCGTTCTTCATCAATTGACTTCCCTGAATTGAAGCCAGAGCGGAGGAGACTTCAATGACACGGAACCGGGTGCGAGCGTAGACTTCAGGATCTGTTTGACGAATGTAGTCGAGGATGTTCATCATCAGAGTTCCATTTCCAGCACCCATTTCATAGATGAGAAGGTCATGATAAGGATATAGTTGCAACTTGTAGTTTGCGACCAGATGGCGGGCAATGGCTTCACCATAGTATGGGCGGAAGAGTTCTGTAGGAGTATGCCATAATTGGCGAGTCTCGTTGTATTCTTTTGCATCCAGCTGATCCTCAAAGTCGTTGTACCTTTGGCCATATTCGCGGTAGAAGGATTGTTCGTCAGGAAGTTGGTTGAAGTCGAAAGGTTCACCAGGAGTCCAGATGACGACGTGCTTTGAAAAGTAGCCGTATTGTGGGTTGTACAGGCTATCTTCGATGAAGTCGCGCATCAGCATGCGTACTCTCCTCGGTCGCTCCTTTCTTGCGCGGAGGCCATCGGAGGTGACTTGTGGGTATCTCTTGTATTCTTCGAGCTTGTCCGGAGGGAAAGAGGAGCTGCGTTGTTGCCAGTTGCTCTCAAGTTTGCTGTCTTCTTTTCGGCGTCCTTGGTAGTTTGGGCTAGTGTATTGCTTCTGCGAGCTGTAGAGACGGCGTGGGGCTTGTCGAACGTGGCGCGTGAGACATGTCTGGCATGGGCGATGTTGGAAAAGCTGCTTGAACAGCTGCGATACGGCGGGCGTCTCCATCATCGAATATACACGAGGCAGGAGCGACTATACGATCCCAAAGAGACAGACAAGCTTGCGGGAAAGTCGACATGTGGCTGGTGAATAGCTGTGGCTCAAGCTGTGGCTGCTCCTTCTCGACACTGACGCAACTTGAAACTTCCCAAATTCGAACAAGTTCGTTGTTGCAGCATGTGACAATGAAGAAATGTCGCTCGACCAGCACACAAAACTCTACCTGGGTCTGGCATTCGTTGCCGGCATCCTCCTGACCCTAGGCTACAAAGACTTCTACCCTGACCTCGAACGCCGCTATCACGATCGTCTACGGAAGAATCAAACACGCCGCCGATCCAGCACTCAAGTCTCATTACAAGTCAACGAACCTCAGGATGATTCGCCCGCCGCTCCCCAACCAGCAGCTGCCATCAGAGAAGGCATTGAAGGTGCAATCGGCAATACTCCCTTGATCCGCATCAAGTCTCTGTCCGATGCTACAGGCTGTGATATACTTGCCAAAGCAGAATTCCTCAATGCTGCTGGAAACTCGCCCAAGGATCGTGTTGCTCTGTCAATGATCCAGATGGCCGAGGCCGAGGGTTTCTTGACTCCCAATTCAGGCGACAAGGTTTATGAGGGAACTGTTGGCAGCACTGGCATTTCGCTTGCTGCCATCTGCCGCGCAAGAGGTTATACCGCACACATCTGCATGCCAGACGACGTGGCCATCGAGAAGTCTGACTTGCTGCTCCGACTTGGTGCTGTTGTCGAGCGAGTTCGTCCTGCCTCGATTGTCGACAAGGGTCAATTCGTCAACATGGCTCGCGCGCGTGCCCAACAGCATACTTCAGATCCCAACCAGAAAGGTCGTGGTTTCTTCGCCGATCAATTCGAGAATCCGGCAAACTATCTGGCACATGTGCACGGAACAGGTCGCGAGATTTATGAGCAGACTGGCGGTCGGCTAGATGCCTTCGTCGCAGGTGCAGGCACAGGAGGAACCATTTCTGGTTGTGCTCTCTACCTCAAACCTCGCCTGCCGAACATGAAGGTTGTCCTCGCAGATCCTCAAGGAAGTGGTCTGTACAACAAAGTCAAGCATGGTGTCATGTTCTCACCTACGGAGAAAGAAGGAACCCGTCGTCGCCATCAAGTCGACAGCATAGTCGAAGGCATTGGTGTGAATCGCGTCACCCACAATTTCGAGGCTGGCAGAGAGCTCGTCGACGATGCCGTCAAAGTCACTGATGAACAAGCTCTGATGATGGCCCGTTGGCTGGTCGAACGCGATGGTTTGTTTGTGGGTAGTTCCTCGGCTGTCAACTGCGTTGCTGCTGTCAAGACTGCAATGGAGCTCGGTGCTGGGCACCGCGTTGTCACTATTCTCTGCGACTCTGGCACAAGACATTTGTCCAAGTTCTGGGCCAAGGCTGGTACCATTGGTGGGAACGACGAAATGACGATGGACGCCATTCTGAATCCCATATCATCAGCTTCATGAAACTATATCCCTTCGACGGGCTGCAATCCATATCCATAGACAATACACAACCTCAACACAACGGCACTATACACCAAATGGTTATCCCTACAAGTCACTTTCCGCATCCACCAACCAAGCTTTGAGTTTACCATTTATTCTGATTGTTATTTGGCCACAAAATCTTGGTTGCCGAGAGGAATTGCGCAGGTTTGCAATCAATCATGCTCAACAGAAGAGGGAATTGCATCACGATCCACGTGAAACAAACTCGACTATTACAGCCATAAAGATTCTCGAGTGGCTCGGATGTTTCTGGAGGACCTCTCCAACGCCTGACCCGGATTGCCGTCACTCGAGACCTATCTGCCCATCTTCAAGCTGCCATGTCTATGTTTCGAATGACCTCGCCAAGACTTCTGCTTGCTATCCATACTTACAGAACAGTTACAACAATGCGATGCTATCAGACGTAGTGCTTTGCTTTGGGGACAATAAAGTGTACACCCATAAAATCATTCTGATAGCCGCATCTGGCGTATTTCATGCCGCTTTCAATAGCAAGTTTCCAAATGCCGACCAAGGTACCTTCGAGATCAAGGGACAATCCGATAACGCCGTCTATGCTATGCTTCATCATTTTTACAACAAGCCTCTTGATAGATCAGTACTTACTACCGATTTCGATTAGGAACTTAATCGCTTTTTGGCGATCTATTTCATCGGCGACGAGTATGAAGTTGAGTCTCTCTGTCAATCCACTGCACGGAATGTCGTTCAAATGATCAAGGAAATACCTCACCCAGAGCCATTGCCACTCTATTACCAAGAATGGCCCTCTGAGGGGAAGTTTCTGTGCTCGCGTCAACAATTTTCCCATCTCTATCGGTCGCGCTGTACATACACTCCAGCATTGCAGACCTATCGCTTCTGGATGCAGTTATCCGGATTTACTTGGCTTGGATTGGATGGGATTTCAATTGGAATTACCTCGCGCGCTCGAGCGAACGGATGTCTTCAGTTCACGTTTGGTTCCAGCCTTTCAGCCCTGGGTACTAGAGCATTCCCACATACCAGTCTTCCTTTCGACGTCGACTCTTTCTATCCGAGTCATCTTAGTGCCCTTCACAACGCGCGCAGGTTCGAGATCGATATTGCATTTCAGGCTTGGGTATTAGGCACCTCAATCGACTCGCTGGGGTAGCTCAAGCCTTCGATGTTCAGGGAGGGAAATCAAGAACCGAGCCTGATACGTACGTCTTATCGATAGTCAGATCACCAACAGTCATCACATTGAATGGTCTATGTCCAGCCAAGCACATGCTACAATGGGCGCATTTTTTGCGAGCAATATTCCAAGACAATGCATACATATCAAAGCTTCCACATGACTCACACTTTCAAGTATTATTTGAGTATACCCTTGTGCCATGGTGGCCGGGCGCTCATGATGTCGATGTAAGATGTTCAAGTGTAGATGAGTTCCAAGCTGTATTTCGGTGCACGGTGTAGAGCCTCCGTTCGCAAGAAGGATTAACGATGGTTTAATCAGAAATGTCCCAGCGATGGATTGTGTTGGAGTGTTTGAGGAGTTAGATGTGAATGTTGAATGCAGGACATTGTCAATACAATCAAAGAACGCAATAGTGAATGCGAGATGATGAGACAACGCTGTCCATGCAGTTGTGAGAGGCTTGAAAGGGTTTGCAGCAAGCGAAGATACTGTCGCAACCTACGATTGGCAAACATTAGAATACACGATGGGAATCACGACATTATAACCGCCTGGCTTGAAAGCATATGGTACTACTGTGCTGCTTGGCTTCCACAGGAGCACTCCGGAAGGGCATGATGTCCGGGTAAAGATAACACCAGGTTATTTAAATGGCCACGCTTCGGGTTTAAGAGTATCATGGACGCTGCAGCGGAGACTGTGACAGTGCTCAGCACATGAGGAGCAACGAAGGCCATCCATCTGACTGCCTCGGCTGAAATGTACAGTAGCGAAGATTGGGACTGCAGATCACAGACCGCTTCTTCTCTCTAGTCATGGCTACACCCTCGCTTTCGAGCTGTGTGGAGAATGTGGGTGGCATGAATTGACGTGCGTTGTGATCGCCAAGCTAGTCGGTGCTGCCGACCTTGGTGACTATTGCGACCGTAGAAGCCACGAAGATCTTTCTTTGTCGGATGATCGATCTTCATACTTCAGCATCGGTGGTGCTGCGGTGCTTGAACACGAGAGTCAAACTCTGGACCAGGGAAGCACAAGAACCAAGGGACAAAGAAGTGCTTGCAGATCTGACGTCTTCAAGACACGTGGTGGGGACCATAGCTCCGAGGATACATATCTAGATGTTCATACTTTCAGGGCAGAGGCGGGAGCATGACAAGTGGCATACTCTGAGTAGAAATGGAGCAAACGGTCGATAGGGCTGAACCCGGGGATGAAAGAATGTAAAAACCATTGTCGGCAGTTAGACCATCCATGACGAGATAACTTCGAAGGTGGCACGCCTCTGAACAAAATTCCATGGAGACAACAGACGACCTCCCGGAAGAAAATCAGCAGTTTATGGTAACAGGCAGCGAGAGTTGACGAGAAAAAGAGTTTGATTGCCCATCAACCGTTAGACACGAATGTCAGGCTCGCGTGTCGAAGGCAAAGGTCTTGACTCGAGAGAGCTTTGAAACGGCAGAAAGATCGGATAACGTCTGGAAGCACAAAGTAAAATCAGAACGGTTTTCGGTTTCAAAGGCCAACGATTGGCAGAGCCGAGATTGGAGATGGTGGTGGAGATAGGAGGGTTCAGAGCAGCGAAACATGTCTGGTCTTTTGACTAGCAGTGACGGGAGGCATGAGCAGAGAAGCGGTTGTGCGTGGGTGGAAGAATGGAAGGTCGCCGGACAAAGGGCAAGAGGCTCCAAGACTCGAGAGACGGAAGCCGGCGTTTGTAGAGCCGCTCATGAATCGCAGCTACCAACGGTTGTGACTGCCTTCTGGAAGAAACAAGGAAAATGCGAAACCCATGAGACATGGACGTTCAGGTTCATTCTGTCCGTAGGAACACTTTTATGCCATCAAGATAGTTGTCCATCACGACTGAGAACATCAGGATACGACTCTTATCATCATCAGCAAGGCTCGCTCTCACCCATTCGAGTCTACGTATGCACCACTTTGACTCGGGCTCTGGAGGTGGGTGTGGCCGTGCACTCGCTCGGTCCACTTGCGGCAGACGGTTAGATTCGTACCGGCGTTCGACTAGCAGCCACCCAAAGAGGAATCGAAATGGAAAAACGTACGGTTATTATGCCGGCCATGGTCAGGGTACGAATAGATAGATGGCCGGACATGTCGTCGTCGTCCTTGTCGTCGCTCTCGCTGTCTGTCGTTCGTTGATTTCACCTCGACGCTGGTCGGCCGGACGATCCTTCCAAGTCGAATCAAGTCTGTGGCGCTGCTGATGCGAAACATCCGACATTGTACATTTTGAGCCAACGCGCACCTGAAACGCAGACAAAGTCCGGGCCTGTCGCAGTCTTGGTCAGCTCAAGACACCAGATCTGACTGTGTGCAAGACTCTGTCGTGTTTCTGCAGCATGACGGCGACTGTAGATTCGTCTTCTGCACATGCGGCAGTGTCTGCCTCTGCTGCACTTACAGCTCCCACCATGGGAACCTCATACGCCAATTCAACTGCCAGCGACGCCCCCTCCCTTGCTTCGGCATCCGCTTTCACCACCACACCGTCAATTGTCGCCAACGTCAAGCCTGCGCCCGAATACATCTCGCTATCCAGCGCCTCCCAGCTGGCAACTGACGTCGCTGATGCTCGTGCCGACGAAGAACACTCATGGCGACTCCATCACAGAGCCACCGTAGCCGAGACCGCTGTCGCTTCCGTCAACCAATTCCTGGATCGCCAGCTTTACGAGTACATTGGTGTCGCCAGAAGCACCTCCCTACACGCCTTGAAGCCCGCCGTTACCGAAGTCCTCAAGAAGAATCTCGCAAGAGATGCAATTGCTAGGGCTGAAGACAATCTCGAGGACCTCCTCGCTCTGCAGGCAGACGATGAGTTCAACGATGAATCCCGCCCTTCAAGTCAGAGCGGCGCCAAATTCAACCTCGATTTTACATGGAAGAGATCGCGTCTAAGAGTCATGATGCGCACCGAAAAGAGCGAGTTTGACATTGATGACGATGAGCGCTATGTGCGCGAGGAGGGTCTCAACACAACCTTCTCAGAAACAGCCGGCGTCATCAGTCTGGCATCAGAGATCTTCTTGGCTGGCGTACTCGATTTTCTGGGTGAGATACTCCTTACTATGGCGTCTCAGGTCGCCCTTAGTCGCATTCAACGCGCAGGTGCCAACTCGAACCTCCATGGAAACCGTGACGACGTCACGTACGTCCTCGTCGATGATGCTGACTTGGAGCGAGCTGTACTCAACTCTCCTCTGGATCGTCAATGGCGTGCCTGGAAGAAGTCAGTCCGCATGTTAAACCGTGGTTCTCAGCAGAGCCACTCTGTCGCAAGCAGTCCAGTCGTCGTTCGCAGAGGCAGTCTGTGGGACCGCATGTCAGATCATCCTGAGAACAATTATCCCGAGCATGTACTGGCTTCAAACATTCCACTGCCTGAGAATAAACGCGACGTTGATGAAATTGAAGTACCAGGCCTTGCCAGAGATCCTGATCGGCCAGAGTCTGCTCAGCAAAATTACTCTCTACCTCGATCTTTCCGCCCGCAGAGCGCTGGCTTCGCTGCCCATCGACGATATCAGTCGGAGAGCCTCGCCAAAACTCGACCTGTCTCGGTTCCTTTGCCCATGACAACTCCCCTCGTTGAAGCTCCTGGCGCCTGGCCCACTGATACACCTGTTGTAGAGATCGTAGATCCTAGCTCACAGTTCGCCGAGGGACAAGCAGGAGAAGGTCTCCCCAGCGTACACATGGACGACTCTGAAAGACCGGAGTCAAGGGATAGCGCTCATACAGAAAAAGCTTCAGTATCCTCTCAGCCCACAAGTTTAAATGAAGCCATGCCCGCTATGAAGGTAGTGCAGCGACCTAAGAGACTCGCCATCTACGGTTCTCCATCAGCCAGATCCTTTAACCTTTCTCAAGAAGGTCTAGAGCTTGCAGCAGACTTGGATCGTCCTTTCAGCCCCGAAGACTTCTTGGCAAGTCGTAATCTGAGCGGCTCTCACTCGGCTTTAACGCCTACATCCAGTCACAGCAAGCCGCAAGCGCTCGGATCCCCTGCCGAGCTTGCTGCTGAAACATTTATGGAATCCGACAGTGGCAGTGATACAGAGAACGACCCTGAGCAGATTGTTCACACAGCTACAGACAAGGGCCAGAAAACCAACGCTCTTCCGCACAAACTCGAAAGAGAACCCCAAGAAAGACAGCGATACCCAATCAGTGCGTTCTAACAGCGCAAAGAAGGACTCAAAGCCAGTCGAGGAAACCAGAAGAAAGACTTCGATCAGTCGTCCCTCACCACAGAATTTGCATGCGCTACCTTCAGGACAGATAGCGCGTGAAGCAGTCATGCAGACTGAATCAACAAGGGACCTCGCAGACTTCATCCGTTCCACTGCTCCTGATAGGGAGCCGAACCCAATTGTACCTGGTCTTGCTACTAGCCGCAGTCTGTCCTCTATTCGTGCCACGGCTCAAGCACAAGCTGCCAGCGCGAGAGACGCTCCACCAGTACCCAAGCCATCTACATCTAACGGCAAGTACATCCCAAGAAGTCCTGCAGGTCCACCATCCAAGCGTTCTGCCAATCGACCCAACTTGACAGCTAGAGCCGCAACCGGATCATCCGATAACAACAGTGACTTGATCGACTTCATCAGAGGTGGACCACCTGGCCCTGATGGCAAGGCTCGCGTCCCGACTCACATCGCTCCCTTTGCAGACTGGGACGGTGGTGTATCTGACAAAAGTCCAAACTCAGGTCTCAACAGACCTTTGACGTCTTCCACTTCCGACTCTCGTACTGGTCTGTTGATGAATGGATCGTCAAGCACAAACTACGGCAGTGGTAGTACTCCTAAACTGCCTATGTCACCTTTGACTCAGCCCGGCTCTCCTGCATTGAATCTTCTCCTACCGAAAGCAAGTCCTATTGTCGGAAGCGACGGCCGTACGCGAAGTAGAATCAAGGACCCTTATGCCATTCCTGATTTCTCGGATGAAGATGATGATGAAGAAGACGAGCTTACTGCATTGCCGGCCGTTCCCAGCAATAGTGCTACTGTTGCAGGTGCTGAGAGGCCACAAGCTGGTTCAATGACCAATATGCACTCTGCTGCTGGACGTTCCCCTGCTTTGAGCAATGGTGCCACTCCTACCTTGTCGCCTAATCCGGGATATGCTCCAAGCATCAATAGCGTTCGCTCAAACACCTCGACTACTGCAGTCCGTCCTGCACACATTACTTCACAAATTTCGAGTGGCAACGTACCTCGTAGCAACAAACCGAAGATGGAAGTTCGCTCAGCCGGTGTGGTCAGGAATGCCAGACTCGATCCATTCCACTCTTCGGGTACAAGCGATCTTGCTGATTTCCTCATGTCATCTGGCCCTCCTGAGCCTGTGCAGAGACCCGCTCCTGCACCTGCTGTTGGCAAGAATGGTAAGCCGGAGAAGGCCGAGAAGAAGAAGAGCAAATTTTGGCAACGATCGTCTTCTTCCAAGAACACCTACGTTGACATGCCTTGATCATTTTCTCTCCTCTCTGCCCTCTTCTCTTCAGATCTTGTACATGTTGGATCATGTATCTCCCCGTTTCTTCAAATTTGACGGCGAAAGGAATGCAGGGCCGAGCAAATCCGTCTTTCCGAATGGTACATTACGCTTCGTTACACGGCCAAGAATGCGCGACAGGATCCTGGTAATGTTTTCAGGATGAAACAGGTGGAGTAGAGAGCCTTTTTGCGGATATGAAAAATTTTCCTTTGTACTGTAGGCGCGGATGGATACCCCTTTTGTTCTAGTTGTATAGTAGACAACGATTTCTCGGTTTTGACCATTTTTCCTAGTCTACTTCTCTCATGCTTATTTGTGCTGCTTTGAATCAGGAGACCAGTTGTGAGTGTTTTCGATTGATACGGCATCCCGGTGATGTCAGAGAGCGGAGACCCTGTCTGTTTCGGGAGATCTGCGGGCTGTGCCTGCCTGAAACGTGAGCTCTGAACTTACCACTCTCTTGTTTCTATCTCTGCAGTCTGCAGTGACTCCATGCGGCGCAATCGTTATCCTCTCTTCTCTCACTCTATCAGCTTTCCAATCTTCGTTGTCGGTATACAGAATTTCTTGGAGTGATGACTCTCTGTAGGTACCGAGAAGAAAGCCCGACATAGTAGAACGCCTAAAGAATGCAAAATGTCTTTTGCTGCTGTGACGACCGATAGAGGGTAGAAAAAAGGTTTGCGTTTCAGGCCTCCCCCTCGTGTTCATCTAACCTTCAGATCGAATCAATGTCTTACGATGCCGGACCTGGTAGCTGGGACGATGGCGACAGCCAATTGCATCTCTCAGTCTCGTAGACCTGTCAATCCTTCCGATTTGGCTCTTTGCTCGGCTAGGAGCACTTGATAAGGATACTTGTTTCGTCTTTGGAGCTTATGAACCCTGAAGTGGGCGAAGAAGGGATACTTGGACCTATGTTTAGGCCTCCAACTACACATGTCATCGCCCACATGGCGCAGCCCTGCCCAGCTTGATTGACTCAATCCTCTATACAAGATCTGGTTCGGGCAGTGATCTCAATGGAACTTCCGCATCCGAGAGCGTACGGCATTCTCGGCATACCAGTTGCCAGGTTGAAGAATCCCCACTTTGATAGCTGCCATGTGTGCAGCCACGTTGTCCCCGAATATTCCTTTGGTAGCTCGGTCTCGTACCACAGTATGTCTCGAGCATACCATGTCAAGTCTGTTTCTCCTGACAACCAGCTAAACTCTTTACAAGGTCAGATCAACAACACGAACCCGTGATGACCGCGTTCCCGTCGCATATAGCCTTGCTCGAGGGATTCTTATGGGTCGTGTTGTTTCATCCTCACCAATCTAATCCCACCCATACTACTTTCTCCACTGAATCATTTCCGATAACATCATCTGCGGTGCGGTACCTCAATTTTCGCACATCTGAGACTGCCACCCAAACCCTATCCGAGACTCCTTCTGCTGATATATATAACGACGAGGGACCTACATCGCAATGTCCAGACCTAGCCTTGTCAAATCACATATTTCGACGTACAGTCAAATCAGCAGTAAAGATCCGGATACTGTCATGTCGCAGAATCCGTATGGCCCCACCACACCTTCCTCAAAGAAGTCTTATAGACAGCTTGGGTACGATCCCAATACGCCGAACGGGACAGGCGCACCGCTTTTGCGTACATCCCCTTCTCAAGACACTCCCCAGCCCTCGAGTTTCGTGTCTCCTTCACCTGCAAATCCAGGTTCTCAGCCAAGCACTTCCGCTGGTGGCCCTTCAACGGCTGTCATTCCTCGTCCAGACACCGCACAAACATACCAATCCAGGAAACGGTCAATGAGTCAATCTAACACGCAATCTTATTGGGGTCCTCCGCCTCGTGACTATAACAGCGACAGCTATGACTTGGGAAGCCGTCCATCTTTCTACAAACGCCGCTCTTACAACGACTACGAGAACATGGGCGCACAATTTGAGGATTCTGATACACAAGCTTTGGAGCCTACTCCTCGCACTCACGCTCATCAAGCTTCAGTCGAGCCTTTCAACACTGATGTTCAGAGAGTGCCTGTCAATGCTGATGGCTCATTGCATCAGTTCCAGCAAGTGCATCGCGCGCCATCAGACTCGTTCAGGAGTCTTCGCTATGATACAAAGAAACGATCCTACCGCTTTGACAACTTGTCTGAGATCCAGAGCGAACGCAATGCTGGTCGAGGGGGTCAATCAGGCTCCTTTTACAGAGACGGAAGACCTTCCACTCCTCCTATGGAGGAGATCTTGCGATTGCCGTTGACTTGGTGGATGAATTCGACCGCGAAGAACCGTAGGTTACTTGTTGCTTCCTCGACTGTGAGAATACAATGATCGCTAATGCAGTCACATAGATTTCGTAGCCATGATTGGCGAATTTGTCGGCACTACCATGTTCCTTTTCTTCGCCTTTGCCGGCACCCAAGTAGCCAACATTCAGGCTACCACAACGACTACCACGAACGCGACTAATGGTTTTTCTCCCCTCGTACTGCTTTATACAGCAGTTTCCTTCGGCTTCTCGCTCATGGTCAATGTCTGGATCTTCTTCCGCATTTCTGGTGGTCTCTTCAATCCTGCCGTGACCCTTGCCATGGTCATGGTCAAGTCTCTTGATTATGTCCGCGGCTCTCTCCTCTTTCTAGCACAGATCTCTGGATCTCTGCTCGCGAGCGTTCTAGTGAGAGCGCTCTTCCCCACACCCCTCAACGTCAGAACCACCCTCAGCGCCGAAACAAGCAAAGCCCAGGGCGTCTTCATCGAAGCAATCCTCACCGCCGAACTCGTCTTCACAATCTTCATGCTCGCAAAAGAAAAACACCGCGCCACCTACATAGCCCCCGTGGGCATTGGTCTCTCCCTTTTCATCGCCGAACTCGTAGGCGTCTTTTACACCGGTGGTTCACTCAACCCCGCAAGATCTTTTGGTCCTTGTGCAGTCACAGGGGTTTGGGATTCCGAGCATTGGGTGTATTGGTTGGGTCCTGCCATTGGAGCGCTTATTGCGGTGGTTTTCTATAAGTTTATCAAGATTCTGGAGTATGAGATTGCGAATCCCGGTCAGGATGCTGAGAGTGAGGTTGAGGTGCAGGTGCCGCAGAGTAGGGATGGGGCGTGGAGGAAGAAGGATGAAGAGGCTTGATTGAATGTGGCGGCGATCGTAGTTGCAAGAATAGGAGCGGTAGAGGATGTGTTTGGATTTTGAGATGAGGTTATGGTGTAAGTATCGGGTTTTTCTACTTCTTAATGACATGATGAGGATTCTTCTTGTTCCCTTCCCGTACCAACCGTCGCTGATGACTTTGCCTTGTTGTTCAGCAACAGCAAGTAAAAAGTGACATAGACTTTCTGTGGATATGCTTGCATTTTCGCAAACAAGTGTGCCTTACCATAGCATGTGCTCTGTCCTTTAACAAAATCGGAGTGTGTTCAACTCAAACGAGGACCACGCACTTTGACACACGGCTCTAGGAAGCATAAAACACTCCAGCATGCCGTGTTCTAGGAGTGGCTAGAGCGACTGCTGTAGACCAGTCTCCTGGAGGCTCTAGGAACCTCTGGGTTTCTGTTCATGACCACGAATGCGGCTTCATTTGGAATGTGTTGGACATACTTATGCTTAAAATACTGGACAGGGTCACTCTGCTCGTAACAATTTTTTTTGCAGAACACTGAACGATCATCACATCACATCCGCACATAACACGTAGGTTTCCATCTCACAGAAAAGATCAAGCGCAATCTCAAGGAATTCTTTTGAAGAGCTCACAAAGCCTCGAAGCCCACGCTGAAGTCAGGTTTCCCTTTCCGCTCCGCCGAAAAAGCCCCGCAGCACCAACCATTTTTTACTCCCACCACATCAAAAAAGTTTTCTTTGTCTCAAAAGAGAGAGTGCAAGTTGCAAAAGAAAGATTCCGACACGGGGAATTGAACCCCGGCCTCCTCGGACCTGATCGCTGTACAAGATACAACTGTTTGAGAGCGAGAAATCCTAGCCACTAGACCATATCGGATGTTGTTGTGAAGAAATTGGTCAATGTGGAATATGACCGTCATCCTAACATCCCCTACACTTTCTACGGAGGCTTCGACTGGATTTTGTGGCATCGCTTGCTGGCGATTGGCTCAGACGTTAGAGGAGGCTTCTGGCATTCAATTATCGAATGCCTTTCCTTGAATACTAGTATCGATGACTCGACTGTTCTGTGAAAGCCCTGGTGTCTATGGCGATGGCTCTTTCATAGCCAGTGTCACTGCTCGTTGATGCGCGATATGGCTGGCCCCCAACTAGGAAGATCAGGTCTTTGAGGCTGCCAGGCCTTTCTGTCGAATTGACTCGGTTCTCGTCGATATTGAAAACGTTCTTGTATCGTCAGTGGATGATAGCAATAGTTAAGGTCTGAGTGATTGGTGCGATGGGCGAGTGCAATCTTCTCGGTCCGAGGATTCCGACGTCAACTGCTGAATTGTGTAGCAACACCAATTGTCTGCTCGACACGAATATCGATCATTTGGCTTGCGACAATAAGTAACAGTACAAATCTGCTATTGTAATAAGTCTCTATCAATTTGAGCGTAGTATTGATCTCGAAGGCAGGAATCAGAAACTTCTATCCATCGAGAAATGGTCAAGGAAAGTTTATGTAGTAGAAAGGGCATCTTGAAGTCTAAGCAAGAGCTCTCAATGATATGATGATGGACGTAGTGAGAAGATGACCTGATCGCGATGAACTATCATATGAGAAAAAGTGCTCAAAGGGTCTGTTTCCGATTAACTGAATTTTCTCGTAAGTCTTGCTGAACGGATAGATCGACGGATTTCGCTGCATAGTCAAAGCAGTTGCGATTTCACGCATACACCATAGGGTTATCACTAAGCTATGAAGCCTGCGATGCCTCGATACGAGACGTTCTCGAGTCGCTAGTGGTAACTGAAAACAAAGCAGACTCGCATTCATTGTGTCGTTACGAATGCGGCGTCTAGACTCAACAAAGAACTCCGCAAGGTCGGTCGATGTAGATCTCCTCAACTCCAAGGTCTTTGAACACGAAACAGACTCTATGGTACAAAGCTAGGAGACTGCCGAGGGACACTACAAACATGCATTGGCTTGGGATTGACGTGACCGTGGCCCCTAGCCCAAAGATTAAGCACGCCCCGGGGCCTGGATTTCGCGGCCGTATCTTCGCGCTGGCTAGCTCTTGTTTCTCATCCCGTTCCATATCATTGGGAGTGCCTTTTGAGGGTCGTCGATTGCTTCTCCTCAATGCTTGCCTTGGCAAGTCTCGTTTGTGTCGAGGACTGCGGCTCCTGAGCTTCCAAAGTTATCAACGTAGAAATGAATTGGCTGACCAAATACCTGGGTCTCGGGTTATTGCGCGCCATCTCAAGAAATCCATGTTGATCCCTTTGAGTTCTAGCCGGTCTCTCTTGGGAGTGCAGGGTAGGTCAAAGATAGGTCAAAACAAGAGCAAGAGTAGAAGAGGACGATGTAGCATCTACATATGTGCCTCGCAGGAAGGTAACAAACCCAGAGTTCCTTCAAATCAATGGTCAGTCTCTTGATTGATATTCGGTATCCATTCAACGATCTTTTCGCAGACAAAGATTTGCTGTGGTACTGTCGTCGAACCAAGCACAGCCTGATTGGGCTAGCTCCCTCGTGGTGAGCATTTTCCGTCTCAAACATCTCTACACACTCGCTTGACGCGTCTCATGACCATCTTACAATCTCATATACTCCTTACACTCAGGTAGACCAATCATCATGCCTCTTGAGCCCAGCATCAAGATGTCCATCAACAACCCTACCGACACTCCCACGGACGCTGACGACAAGATGGACATTGATGCCGCTGATCAAGACGAGAATGTCAATGTCACCAAGGGCGGAAAGGGCAAGCACAAGGGAAAATTAAGCAACCCCAACATGGCGTAAGTCTACTGTCCTCTATCCCTGTCTCGTGTCACGTTTCGTCTTTGACCGTCGATGTAGTATACTGATCCTTTCTCGCAACAATGGCAAGAAGAGCAAGCCCAAGAGGAGCACCGAAGTCACCCCTGCACCCGCCTCTCCCCTTACCTATGAGACCAACGCGTAAGCCAATGCTCCGTCTAGGATCTCCATGCTAGGTACTGATTCTTGCTGCCAAACAGACACCACTACAAACACACTACATACGAGTGCGGCCATGAGATCTACGAGGACAGGGATGGCAACTATCTTGCGCGCTGGGAACTCCCTGACAAGTTCACAACCACCAAGTTTGTCGACCGCGGTAACTGTGGCTGCGCGATGAATGCCTCAGGCTGGATCTGGGGAACGTACGTCAAGATACTCACGCTCTCAAAGCGTTTTGCTGACCTTCTGACCTAGTATGACTGAGCGTCGATCTGAGCCTGATGTCTTTTACAAGGGCAAGCCAGTCTACAGCCTCAGAGATATGATGCAGGCCGAGGAGACCGGAGCTGACTGCCCCGAGCCATGCCGTATGCAGTGATGGTAATACTCCAGGTGATTGAGCAGTCATTCAAGACAGCTAGAAGCATTCTGAAAGGGAGGAGATCATACTGTCGATCCATCTATCTTCAGACACTTTCAGTAGCGTGTAACAACGGGACAGCTTCTTTTCCTATGTTCCTACGGCCCCTGACTATACGTGACATGGCCTGCGATGTGAAAGTCGACCTAGTACTTATGATCAGATGTAACAAACGTCTCTTTCTAGTAATCAGTATTACTTGGTCAACATGGAGCATTTGTCCTCTCTGTCACTCAGATGCCAAGACTTTGCTGGGTGGTCGAAAGATGGGACTATGTTGTTCGCCTTTCGTCAACCAAAACACATCAACTTCCCCCATGCAACATTACCATCCCATCCGACGTACGCTGACGCACATCTTTTCTCCATCATCACGTCCTACAAACTGTTCCAGAAGTGCACGACATCGTCATCTAAACTTTGATCCACGACTTCACGCGCAGCACCTTGTACGTTGAGGTACTCAGGTATCTGAACGCGCAGTCTTACCTACGCCTTCCCTCTGAGGCACTCGAGAAGGAGCATCACAACGTGCAGCCATGCCGTGAGTATCCCGCCCCGACCGCGGCTGCTTTCCAGGGGTACCGTACTGACACACACAATCAGCCTCGTCTGTAACTTGTGGCCACGCTGCCGTCATGTGCTATGGCAAGACGCGAACGGAGCACCAGTTGAGCCCACTATCGAGATGCTCGCTACCGTTGATGTTGCGGTGTACCCCTGGCGCTGCCAAACTTGTGCAGACCTCGGATATCCCTACTACGTTCCCAGGTAGTGCACCACTGCACGCCCTCGCCCTGAGAAGCATGACTGACATTGTCCACAGAAGCTCTCATCTCACCAACGCAGAGATCGCTGCCGAGACCGTGCTTCGCGCTGCTCAGCCTGGAGACTCACTCAAGGAGCTGTTTTCCGAGGCCGACATGGCTGCCTTCTGTGAAGCTCCTCAGTGAGACACAATCTGTTTGCTTTGCTCAGACCTTGACTAACAACTTCAGGGATCACTACCATGAAGGTCCGCTAGGTGGTTGGGGTCCCGGAGCTGGATGGGACCCAGAGATCCCTGAGCGTGACATGCCATCAACTACTTCTCGTGGTTCCAAAGAAAGGTCCTCGACCAGCGCTTTCATTGACGATGCCTCGTTCAAAGTTGTCAAAACTGTCTCCTCGACCATAACTCTTGATGACCAACCTTCCATCACCATGGCTCTCAACGATCGACCCTCCACCAACGTCCTAAGCAGGGAGTCGCCCAGCAAGAGCTCCTTCCACACTACCACTCCCACTACCTCCCAACATCACGAAGTTATTCATCTGGCTTCCGAGAGTGAAAAAGTTCATCGCGCCGGCCCTGAAAAACATCGTATGGTAGACAGCACCCGTTCCAGCCGCAGTGAGTCTGGTCATCACTTTGGTGTTCCTCAAGGTGCCTCTGGACCCTTTGACTATACCTATCCCATTGCTCGTCCTGATCCGCTTGCCATGGTTGCTCCGACCTTCCGCAACATCACGGCGACTACTTCCCCATCAGACACTCTGGCCTCCGCAACAAGTCCCCTCGCTGCTGCTGCTGCTTCACCTTCCGATCACGCACCTGTGACCAGCGGCACGGGTAGTAGTTCCGCATCTGCCACAGTGGGATTGACTCTTGTCGTCGGTGGTGTGACCTACCCCCGCATCGAGAACGGCAAGGAACGCTGGTACACGCAGCGTTCCGGCCACAAGAATAACTACTCTAGATACAGTGACTTGGCGAAGTTTGATACTTCCAAGGGCATCCGCATTGCTCCAAAGGCCAGCAGGGCTCAATTGGAGGCTGCTCGCCGTTACCGTACATTTGGTTGAGTGGAGGCATGAGTGAGTAACGGGGCTTGGTATTTTCTACAACTTTGGTACCAAGAGCATTGTTGTCGAGCGAGCTGGGATAAAATGGTGGTTTGTGTTCTTCGCGGGGAGAAGGAACTTGGTTTTTCTTTTGTTCTATTCCATCATGCTTGGGCCATTGAGCGAGGAGTTTTTGGGGAGCCCGCAGAGTGATTCATAACTGGAAGATACTGATGGGCGATACTCTCAGTCTATCGAACGTATCTGCTGGAGAGGGTTTGGGCAGGTCTTTTGCCTTACTATAACAGTCTTTACCCCTGAAATTGCCAACTCCAAAATGGGACCTTCTTTCAAGTGTTTCGAAACCACACAACCATTGTTCTGACTTTCTATGCTCCGACCAGAGACATTTTCCATTCGAGATTGGTGATTTGAACTTCATTGTAGTTGTTGCGCCAAGACTTGCCTCGAGTGGTCGCAACAAGGTGTTTCTTTGTCCTCGCTGTCTCTACTTGATCTTCGTCCTGTTTCTTTGTCCACAAGACACCCAGCGCAGTAAGTCTTGCGCTCCCAAGTCATTGATCTAACCTCATGCTTACTGCTTCCGTACATCCAGAGAACAAAGCAAGATGCGCATCCGTCTCGTCCACAAGGCCAGCAGCGCCGGCAGTGATCGGTAAGTGCTTGACGCTGTTGTCTTCCGAATGCATCTATCTGACCATATATATTCTTAAGTGGTCATTCTGCTGCCAGCAACAGCACCAAGACTGAGAGAACAAGCATTCTCGCAACCATGGGTAAATCTAGCCAAGACCCCTCGGCCACCGATCTCGATTCAACAGACCACTCTTTCGCTCTGGATCAGCCGCCAGATGGCTTCGATGCTGATGTCGGTCCATACGACCCAGACAACGACTATTTTCCCGAGTAAGCACCTCCTTTGCTAGCCTTTTTGAGACGCCTCGACTGATCTTGATGCTCTAGTGAGAACATGACAGACGCAGAAGCTGCAGAGGAAGCTGCCCGTCTCAGACAGGAGGAAATCAAGGAGGCCAAGGAGTTTAACAAGAAGAACCACGGAGACCTCCTCCCTGAGCCCAAGCAGAAGAGACGCCGTGTTGCAGCAAGCAGATCTGGAAACCAGTCTGCTGCGTCTTTCGCCCGTCCTGTTAGAACCTGTGACAGGTGCAAGACTCTCAGAAAGGGTTGCGATCGAGCCGTTCCTTCTTGCGGCAGGTGTCAAACACGCGGCCACGCCTGTGTCTATTCGCGTGGATAGACGACTACTTGGATCACTGGGGTCAATTGAGCTGAACGAAGAAGGTTCGATGAGAAGTGGATCTTCGACGTGGCATTTTGCTAGCAGCACGAGTTATTGCTGCTTTTTGTCTTTCTTCATCACAGAGTGCTTTACAACAATTGCTCAAGCAAAAGAGACTCAACTACACACGCGTCCTTGTAACAGTGATTGATTAGGCTTCTCGTCTTGTGCAACAATTCCAAAGCCAAATCTTGTAAAAAGCTCAGAACATCGCTGGTTTACAGTGGGAACCATCTATAGAGTGTCCCGGACGCTGTTCCCCTGACCTCGCAAGATCAAAGACCAATCATCTACTGAGTGACAATGTAGCCTATGTGGATCCCTAGTCGTAACAATGGGCATGTACATCCTCTAGCAACTTCACGTAGTCTCGGCACGAAAGTTGTTCATTGAAAGGATACATCTTGTCCATGCTGCTCCCTCATACGATTCACCTTTCACACCTCTACTCTACTCTTCCTAACACCGACACAAGCATTCTCTTCCATACGAAAACCTCGCTACATCCTCAACATGGAGTGGGATCAGCTCTCCTGGGAGCGCAGCATCCTCGATATGCCATTCCTCGACGATGAAGAGCTGCCCTTCTTACGCGAGTTCGACGACCACCCTGAGGTCAGCCTAGAAGAGGTCCTTGAGATCCTCCCACCCACTACTTTCTCGTGAGTCATTGTCCTCTAGCAGTAACACTACGTGCTTTGACTCATGGATCTACTCCTAGTACCTCCGAGATGACACGCGAGCACTATCACGCAGTCTCCAACAGAGGCCCTGGCGAGACCTTGTACTCTACCCTCAACCCAGGCCAATCAATGATGAACAGGTAAGTCACGCCCATCTGGGTAGCTTTGGTCAACCCTTATCCGCAGGAAGGCTGACAAGATTGCTGCAGTCACGACCACTCCTCAACCTATTCGCTCGGCGCTGCTCCTGCGGGAGAAGCACGTGAACCCCTCTATGCCTACGCTGCTCGCAACCAGTACCCTGCCTACAACCAGTATCCTATCAACGACCAGTACGCTGCCAACAGCCAGGGTGGACCAGTCGTCATGAACAAGTAGGCCGCACCCACCTGACTATCCCCCTTTTCGAATCGAAGCTGATTCCAGTGCTGTAGCCCTTCATCAACTCACGCTCCCAACGCTACCCCTGCTGGAGGAGGATCCAACGATACCAGCAAGGCTCAGGTCAGCAATAGCCGCTCTCCGCGCTTGAAGCGCACCTGTAAGACCTGCGCCCAGCGCAAAGTCAAATGCAACCTAATCTCCGAATCGGATCCAATGGTCTGCGAGCTTTGTAGCAAGAAGGGCCTTATGTGCGAGTTCGAGGAACGAAAGGTCTTCACCAGATCGGGAGCTTCGACGAGGGTGATGGATACTTGAGAGCAGCACAGGGGTTTGTTCGAGCTAGAGAAGAACGCGGAAGATCGAAGAAGAGGAACCATTTGCTTCATTGGCATGTAGAACCAAAAGTCCGAGTCTCACTTATCGTGCACTAGTCCAAGATTGCCCTTAGCATAACTTGTTGTCGAAATCAAAACAAGGTCTCGTCAATCTTGCCAGCTTGTTGTTCTTCATACCGATACAAGTGAAAACTGAGTTGACCACACTTGTCCACTCTCGCACGCTCTCGTGCGCTCTCTTCTAATCTTGTACACGCTCTCGCGCGCTCTCTATCTACCTTGTAACTACCATCGTACCCAAGGTCTTTACGCGCTTTGGCAGATCCTGCTTTCGATCTGTCGCTGACCTGAGTGCAGGAACACACCATGGCAGATGACTACCACCAGCCAGGCATAGCCGCTTTCCAGGGCTACGTCCCCATCCTGTACTGCATCATCCCGAGCAGTGGTCTTTGTTGCCGCTATGAAGGCTCAGTATGTTTTGGCTAACACTTTCTACAGTCCACGACCTCTTGCCAGAAGTGAGAATCAAGCAAATGCACAAATCGATGCTCCAGGAAACGCCCACGCTGTTTCGATGCAGACGCCAGCCTCCGATCCTGTTCCTAGAGCCCTTCGTACAACCTGCGAAACTTGCCGTCTTCTTCACCGCACCTGCCGCGGTGGATCACCTACCAAACCCTGCGACGGATGCGTTAAGAGAAAGGCAATTTGCGTCTTCAAACCTCTCGGTTCGTTCGTCAAGAAGAGAAACAGAAAGCGCAAGCACGATCCCACCACAGGAGAAGAGCCTGGAGCAGTTCCCAAAAGGGTGGCCAAGAATGGCACAGTTCATGCACCTGGTTTCGATCCCCTTTCTCTCGGCCTTCGTATTAGATGCAACTACTGCCATCTACGTGCCCGCTCATGCATTAACGGATCCAACACTACTCCCTGTGACAACTGCAAGCAGAGAAACTTGATCTGCGAATTCGGCCCCCGCAAATCAATCGTCGACAAGGAGACCTTCCGCACCATCATAGACGAAGACCAGACTCAAGAGCAGAGCTTGCGCAAGACCACGGACGAAGGCCACACTCAAGAGCACAACTTGCGCCAGCTCACTGACGAGAACTACACTCATGAGCACAACTTGGGCAAGATCTCAGGCGAGAACTACTATCACGAGTACGACAATGCTGCATTTGCTCGCCTATTCGACAGTAAGGAGCAGAACTACACTCAAGAGCACGGCTTGCGCCAGCTCACAAACGAAGTCTACACCCAAGAGTACGATGATGTTGCGATTGCTCGCCTATTCGACACCACGGAGCAGAACTACACTCACGAGCACAACTCGCACAAGACCACATATGAGAATTACTATCACGAGTACAACGATGCTGCAGTTGCTCGCCCATTCGACGTCAAGGAGCAGAATTACACTGAACAGCACAACTACGCTCAACAGCACAACTACACTCAACAGCACAACTACACTCAACAGCACAACTACACCCAACAGCACAACTACTATCACGAGTACAACTACTATCACGAGTACAACGATGCTGCATTTGCTCGTCCATTCGACATCAAGGAGCAGCAGCAGGTGGAGGTTGAACAAGACAAAGTTGGTGAGCCAAAGGTTGGCATGTTGATGGTTCCGGGCAACGATGGTCAGGACATCAGCGTCAGTCAAGAGGATCTTCGCGTCCCAGATGAGCACCTGATGCATCCCTAGGAAATTTTGGCTGCTCGCGGCAAGCTGGTGTACGACTTGGAGGGCCTTCAGTGTGAAAGCAGCAAGGAAGTGGACGAAGAGTAGGGGACAGAGCACAGGGGATGGAAAGGCACCAAAGCAATCACGCATATCAAGACCCTGGCAGTCGTTTGCAAGAAGCAGAAGATTAGAATAGGTCTATACTCTTGATGCTATCCTCAAAACACATTCACTTGGTTTGTAGTCTAGTCTCACAAATTTCCTAATAGAGCCAAGCTATGACCGTATGAGTGGTTGTTCGTCGTGGCTTCGTTTGAGGCTGCGCTGTTTCGTCTGCGCTTCCAAAGTGTTCTCCCTCGACGCGATCTTGACAACAACAACATCAGATGTCTGCGCACTTGTCACTTCTACGCACTCAACAACAACCACTGCTTGTCGTCTCAGCACTGAAGATGTCTTTCTTCCACAACGACACCAGCGACGTTGAGATGGATCAGCAATGGGAGTACGACTACCCAGACATGGCTGCCGCCCTCTTCGACAATGATGGTATCTCATCTGGCCACCTGAGCAACCGTCTGCCCCCAAGCCCAATCTACCTGTCACATGAACCCATCCACTTCGTTGAACAAACCATGCCCTCCACTTCGTCCAACTCCCAACCATTAATGGCCGTGACTCCCGCCCTCGAGTGCCTTCGAAGCTGCAACACTGCCCTCCGCACTGCGTACCAGCTGCCCAAGACCGACACCACTGAGGGTCCCATGTACACTGAAGACAGTAAGCATCCTCAGCTGCACTATCTACGTCAGATCCTAACTTGAGTCCAGGCATGAACAAGAGCTCCAGCATCTCTGTTCCCCTGACTCCTGTCGAGCGCTCTGAGTAAGTTTATGTACCTTCCTCCATGAAGTTTCCAGCCCTTACTAACGTTCACAAGCACTGTTCACCAAATCGAAGAGCAGTCCGCGTCTCTGCCTTCTCCCGAGGATGGCTATGACCCCTATGGGGCTCACATTCTCAGCCAGATGTCCGACATTGCGCAATCCCCCAGTAAGTCTCTCAACCTGTACTTCTGGAGTGGAAGTTAACCTGATCTCAGACGACGCCGATGCTCCTCTTCCCGTTAGATCCAGAACCAGAGCCAAGATCCCAGGCGTTCGTGCTACCTGCGAGGCTTGTAGAAAGCTCAAGGTCAAGTGCCTGCCGGCACATGACGACGGCCCTTGCCAAAAGTGCACCAAGAAGGGCGAACGCTGCATCCGCATGCCTCGCGCTGCCTACGGTTCTAGAACCAAGAGGCGTTGAGCTTGCAATGAGTGCTCTCTATCCCATCATTGGGCGCGCTCTCTTACTCTCTCTTTTGGCTCATCCCAGACATTCTTGTCCGGCCTCGCACATCGTCTTTCACTTTCAACTACTCTCAACATCAACACCTCTTGTTCGCTTGCAATCACCCTCATCGACCACTCCAACCAACAAGCCCCCATCACAACGCTCTTCTCTGTCATTATTCAGGTCGCTGGCAAGACAGTCACATGAGCGAGGTGTTTCTCTGGTTTCTGGCGTTACAGACCTCGCGTTTTTAGATGGTTGGGTTATCTCAGGAGCTCAGGCTTGAGTTCTTTTTCTTTCTTTTGGTTTTGCATTGTACCCTGGCAGAAGAGCAGGAGCTCAGTAAAGGGTCGTCTTTTTGTTTTCTTCGCATGGTACCCCGGCAGCAGACTAGGAGTTCGGGGTTAGGTTGTTTCTCTGTTGTCTTCGCATGATACCCCAGGAGGAGAGCCAGGAGTCCAGGAGTTTGGTTTGCCTTTTTGCTTTTGCTGATGATGCTGGCTGGTCTTTCGTCTCTCATGGCCATTATTGTAATCCTTGATACCCACCATGAATACTGGTTTCCCAATCAACATCCATAGAGATTATACGTCTGAGCTTCTTGTGTCTGTGACCCTTGTCTGTGATCAGTGATCTTCGTAGGTTCGGAGATTTTATTGCTGGTCTTGCTACTTCAAGTCACACACCACGCCTTCCTTTTTTCGATCATCTCACTCGCAACCACTGACTTCGTCAAGTACAAGACACAGCACAGCTAATCGCTTCAGCGCCACTGTTTCTGTGTGCTGCATCTCTAGTAAGTCCGTTTTCTGACCTGTGTCGCTGTCGCGAGATCACCCCTTCCCTCTCTGCGCACCAGTGCTTTGAGCGCTGCTTGTCTGATCACTATTGCCGACGCGCTCGCGCAAGACATCACATTCCTCTCCATCTCATCCAGTAGCCCTCGAGAGAGCCCTTGAACGACAGCGTGATTGCTCCTGTGTGCGCATCGCTGACTTTCGATCCCTTAGCGCCGTATCTCGACATCAACCACAACGCTTGACTACCAGGTACGCCCCCCTGATAGGCGCATCCACAGCACCATACGGGCACTTCAAACCATCTTTTGCTGACTCTCGATGCACAGCAACCCTGAAGATGTCGTACAACCAACCCGACAACGAGCGCGCCGCTTTTGCTCCCGAGTATGTCTCCTCTCCACCACCGCTGATCCATGCTGACTTTCAACCAGCGGCTACGCTCCTTTGTTCTGGGGTGAGCACCAGAACCAGCAGGACAACATGTTCGTGGACACCCTTCGTCCTGCAGGCACAGCTCCCACTGTGCTGCGCGGAGACCAGATGTCTACTGAGAACGAGATCTTCGTCGAAGCTAACCACATCTTAACTGGTGACCCTGTGTAAGTGCTGACTTGTTTTCATACCTGGTTAGAAGACTTTGACTGACCCATTCGGACAGGTGGGTTGCTGGTGTGATGGAGGCTCCTGTGTTGGGCGACCTGCCTGTGATTTCGCAGCCTGTAGCGCGCGTTCCTGGACATGATGTGCAGGGCGGTGGTTATTACGCTGCATCGAAGCAGACTGCACAGCGCTGGGGTGGTCTGCAGGGTTACGGTCGTGGCTACAGTGATGGCTATCGCGCTGGTGCAGCTCAGGCTGCCTATGGCCATCACCCTGGCGCAGCTCCGTCTGCACATGGCCACTACCCTGGTGCTGGTCAGGTTGGGTATGACTACAACAACTCAACCGCCACCCACCCCATGGCTCACAGCAGCACCAATATCGCTATCCAGGGAGCTGGCAACACCACCTGGAACGCTTACCTTGGTGCCTTTGACACTCCAGCTATGCCCAACCTTGCTGCCAACCCTCAGCTTCAACGCCGTTCTCATTCTCCTGTCAAGCAGCAAGCTCTCGCCTACCGCAGACGCTCACCTCAAGACCTTGACCCTACGGCCCCTTCCTTTGCTCCTCCCTTCGTCCCCGCGCCTCCAGCTCATCTCTCCTACCCTCCTCTCTCCACCCAGCCTTCCTACCCCACAGTACAGAGCCACAACTTCACCCCTTACCACGGCGCTGCCACCAGAAATGGCGCCTGGACCTTCGGCGTGGGTGTTCAGACTGGTGCCCCTTACCAGACCCGCCGCCAGGAAGCTCAAATGCTTGTCGGACAGCAGAGACGTTTCAGCCCTGGCTCTGATGATGTTCGCAACCACATCTCTTCCGAGTCTTCTGCTGCCAGCAATGACGACGAGCACGAATCTGACGCCGACCAGGCTGCTGAAGATGAGGCCGAGGAAGACGATGTTGACGGAGAGCACGAGTCAGAAGAGAACGACTTCAGCAACGAAGAAGAAGACGAGGCCGAAGCCCACATCCCTCGCAAGCACCATGGCAAGTTCCACGCAGGAAACAAGCGCCTCGTTTGTGACAACTGCCATGAAAAACACTACAAATGCGTCAAGCCTGACCCCAACAAGCCTTGCGCTGGGTGCATGAAGGCTCGTGGGGGTCCCATTGAGTGCAAAGTCACCAAGCGTCCGGGCACCTGAGCAAGCGACGAGCGCTTGAAAATGTCCCATTTCGAGTCCATGGTACTACAACAGAGATGTTGGTATCAAGGCAGGGTGTGTTGGCTTTGGAAGATGGCCCTGTACGAGATTCAATCGGCAGCGACTCGGAACAGAAAAGACCGCCTTATCCTGATGTCTCTTTGTTGCTTCGTACCGCTTGCGGCCATCCACAGCATCATCACGTCTTGCAGGGCCAAGCTGGGGAGACCTCATCCAGCTTCCACAGCAGTAGCTTTTCTTTGTGCCTTTTTTCGTCGGCTTGCTTTTTCATTTGGACTTTGGCTTCTGTGTCTGTTTTTTCTTTCCTTTGTTCATCCAAATGCAAGGTTTCGCGTCAAGATCCTGAGAGAAATGGGTAATAGGTAATCGGTAATAATAGAGTATCCTCCTCCGAGGAAATGCCAGTTTTACTTTTGCACTCTTTTTGCCTCTCATTGTTCAATCCTTCAATTCGAACAACAGAATCGAAATTGGCATGTATGGTTTGACGTTTGGATAAAGTAGGTACGCGTTCTTTGTAGGGGGTGGCCGAAGTTTACGCGTGAGAGCCCCTGACGTGTTATCCTATCTCCCTGCAACTCCATATGCAGCCAAAACAGAAACAGACGAAACAGATTTCACCTTGAACAGCAATTGTAAGATGGAGAAAAAATGTTTTTCGAAGCAATATCATTTGATGAGGGAATCGTCTTTGACATTTCTCCTCTATCTTCTGTCTAAGAATATTCTTTCATCCCTCCTTCGATTCCCCTCAAGCATTTCTAGCACCATCAAGTGCCTTCCTCAAATCATCAGGTCTAGGTTTACCACCCCGAGTGATAACAACAGCATCCACACTCCCCGCCCTCACAATCTTGACAAACAGCGGTGTAACCTCCTTAGCCATAATCTCCAAACACTTAGCTCCCTCATCATCAGAAATAGGATTGCGCAATGAATTCTGCAAATGCGAAATCAAAATTTTGGTGGAGAAACTTGCGCGGGCACGGCCATTGGCAAGGACGTCAAGGACTTCTACGATGTCGGCGATGCGATCTATGGCAGATAGACGAGCGAGATGGGCAGAGGAGGGGCCAGATGCTTTGTTGGCGTTTGCGGCTTGTTTGGCGAGGATGCGGTCAAGGAGATTGGCACCGCGGCTTGCGACTGCAGCGGCGGATTTGTCAGAAGATTGGACGGTAGGTCTTCTAGCGGAGGCTTCTGCAGCGCGTGCAGCGATTGAAGCGGCTTTGAGGTCTTGGAGGCGTTCTGAGCCTTTGGTGAGGTTTGCGGTGGTGCTGGGTGCGACTTGGCTGGTGATAATTTCGCAGGTAGGCAATTGGGAGAGGAAGCCTTGAATGTTTGAGCGGGCGGTTGGTGATGAGGACACCCATTGATTCCAGAATGCTGTCAGACGGGTTTGAAAGATTTGGATGAGCTCGGGCTGATTGAAGTGGCCGGTTGTGGAATTGTTTGTTTCTAGAAGCTCGATGCAGAGGCTTCCTTCTCCGTTGTCTGCCAACTCAAAGGTGTTGTTCTTCCCAAGGATACCGAGGATTGTGTGCATGTCGCTCTCTGTTACAGCTCTTGTCTTCCAACTCCTTGTGACATGTGGTAATAGGTTATTGATGTACATTGGAGTGCCGAGGCCATTGTGGGCGCAATATAATGATGTGCTTGTGAGGAAGGCCTTGAACAGCCGAGTCAATTCTTGTAGTTGAGCGGGAAGCTCGGTGGTGGGTAATGATGATCCAAGACTCTTGAAAGCGCGCGGAGTGAGTGGAGGAGTGTCGTAGACGGCTTCTTGTGCTGCATTGGTCGAGGCAGGAGCGGCAGTATCCAAAATCAATCTCTCAAACAGCTTGGAAGCACTTTTAGATGGCGTTTCTGCAGGAGTGGGCGGCAGAGCATTTCGAAATCTCTTGTTCTGTGGTGTCGTGACTTCGTCGTCCGTCTCTCTTGATCTCTTCTTTGATTGTGCCGACTTCACTTGTCCTTCCTGCTCTTCCTGTCGCGTGGTGATATTCTCGGTAGTGTTTTGTGCTGGTGATGATAACGTATCAATGGTGACTGTATCCAATATTCTGCGCTTTTTTGTCGACTGGTCGGCTTTCTGACTTTTGGTGACACGTCCAAAGGTGTTGATTGACTTTTGGCTGGCGACGGTATTTTGTTTACCAGTGTCGGGGCTTACGGCCTTGCGTTTCCTCGTGACAGGCATGATAGCGAATATGATACGATATGATTGGTAAAGGATGAATTGAGTATGGTAATATCAAGCAATGGTGGTATCTGATGTCCTCCTGTCAATCAATGACGACCCAAAACAAAGGATCGTGGTCGTGGTGGCCCGGTGATGCGCGTCCTTTCGTGTCAGCCTCGCGACCGTGTAAAGTGCGCCAAGCTTTTGGAGCTTTCTCACCGCAAGTCAGGGTCGCATCCATCTCAATCTTATTGAACAGCATATTCGTGATGACTCGACGGTCTTTGCATGCTACATGTTGTAATAAAACGAGAAGACGCAGGTAAGATAGGGATTCATGCTCCTATGCGGCGCGGTAGACTTCCTCCGTTGGTTCTTGATAAATTGTGTCGTTCGCTGTTCCTCCCAAAATCTCATGAAGCTTGTCTGAAACCATTAGTACCTCGAGCTACGATCCTGTCTCCTCACGCTAAATCTACTGGCACGACCTTTTTGATTGCAAGTCACTGCCGTCCTGTCCATCATCCTCACATGCATATTAAATCCGAGATTCCAAAGCCATAAAGATAAATGCGCAGTCACCGGAAGCCTTGCACAAAATGGACAAGACAAGATTGGTAGGATCATTATTCAATTCATATTGTCGCAACCTAGGGTCGTCCTTTGATAATATAGTACAATCGCTGAAAGTGCTAATGAAGCGGAATTAAAAGTGTTCATGCCATCCGAGACTCATGTTGCGCGCAGGATATTATGCAGCAACCAGTTTACTTGCCGCCGAACCAGCTGGAGAAACCGCTCTTTGCCTTCTCGGCATTGGCCTCGACAGTGGCCTTTGCGTTGGCAGCGGCATCACCGACCTTCTTGTCAAAGGTGTCAACAGCGCTGTTAAACTCCTTGTTGGCCTCCTTTCTGTATTGGTCGATGTTCTTTTCTGCGTCGGCGCGGTACGACTCGAACTTGGCGTCGAACTCGCGGGTCTTTTCGCGGGCGTCCTTGACCTGGAAAGAGTTTTAGCCATGGAAAATGGAGTGGTGAATTGTTCAAAAACGTACGGCGCCATCAATCTTCTGACCAATCTGCTCGCCGTAGACCTTTGCCTCGGTCTTGAGCTCCTTGGCACGGCCGGGCAGCTCATCCTTTGTTGATCTCGAGAGGCGGGCAGCATCGTCTGAGAGAGTTAGTGACAGGTTCAGTGCTAGAGATAGTAATTTTACATACGCTCCATCTCCTTCTCGGCAACCTTGGGGCTGCCACCAGCTCTGTACAAGTAGTAACCACCAAAGGTGGCGGCACCGAGGCCAGCGAAGAGGGGCAGACGAGATCTAGCGGCCATTGTGAAGGTGTTTGTAGGGGACTGAGGGTTGTTTGAAACTGGAAAGTTGTGTGTGAAAAGTCTTGTGGTATAGAAGAAATGAGAAAGAGGCAGGGAGCAGCGGCAACTTATTTGTTTGACAGGTGCTGCTCTAGAAACAGGGAGCTCTCAGCCACAGCTTCGACATGGTTCTGGTGACGCAATGGCAAGTGTGACGTTTGATCGCGTTCATTGGCGCACATCTCCCGTCTCCGCAAAATGATCGACGCCAGCTCTTGCCCGTTTTCGAGGCAGTCGGAGATCGCAACTTGGACGCAACTGAGACGACTGTTTTCAGGCTGACACTTTGCTTGACACCTCAACAGATGTCATGTCTTTGCCCCTTGCTCACATCCACTCCGAGCATCGCCATGTGTGAGCACCATGTCGACTACAGACCTCCCTACAAATTCGACGCCCGATAGAGGCAGCTCGGCCACTCTGCCAGACTCTTTTCCTCCTCAGCCTTCGCGCAGGTCGACAGCTCAGCAAATCACTCTCGTCGATCGCACAAATCCTGATCGTCCCGAGATCCAAAACCCTGGCCAAGTCCAAGACGATGAAGACACTCCTACAGAATCTGGCTCGTTATCTAGAAGGTGGACCAAGCAGTCGTTGACCGGCCATGCTCAGTCGCTCCAAGGCTCCGTCCAGAATCGAATGACCTCGCGCAAATACCGCCATTACCGCGAAGGGCGATTCATAGGTCCTGACGATCCAGAGAATCCTTGCTCCGGCGATGAGCTCTCGAGCCATGCTGCTCCTGGCAAGGTCGCTCGAGGCAAGAATAAAGTACGAGGTCTGCTGGGTGCCAGGAAACAAATGAAGCTTGCCTTGGAAGAAGATGCCGTAATCGATATCCTCTACGAAAACCAACGAGGATGGTGGTTCTTTGGTGTCCCACACTTCTCGTCAAAGACACTGCTCAATTTTGATCCCAAGCCGTGGTTGAACGGCAATAAGAAGCCGAGCCCGGTCAACATTACAAACGCTCAGGTCCCGGATCCTAGTTGGGAATGGGCTTGGAAGTCTTGGTACGTCGACATGTCTCGAGATGTGGATGAAGAGGGCTGGGAATACTCGTTCTGGTTTAGCGACGGCACAGCATGGCATGGCACACATCCTTGGGGCTACTCATGGGTGAGGCGAAGGAGATGGTTACGGAAGCGTGTGCGAAAACAACCCCAGAAACCTACTCAGCAAGGACACGCTTTCACCTCTGAGTACTTTACCATACACCCTCTCAAGGCTTCAAGCAGATCCAGCAGTTTTATTGTCAGCGAAGCACGGCAAAATTTGGCCAAGGCAGAGCATTACCTGGAAGATCCCGAAGATGTGCGCGATATTGGCTCTTTACTCAACAGCCTGAAGAGAGCAGCCATCGACCGCGAGAAAATTGTATTGGTCCGTCACTTTATTGACAATGGTGGCGATGACCTTCATTACCTAGGCGAGCAGGTATGTCTGTTTCACCTGCGCTTTCGTCACATTGACTAACAATTTCACCAGATGGAAACCATAATGGCTCTCTGCGTATTCCAAAACTCTCGTCGCTATATTCTGACCATGCTCTCCGAAAAACTTACGGCAGCCGAAAAGCTTCGCGATGAACACACAGCTCACAACGAAGAGATTTCAGCCCAAGAACAACAGAAGATTACAAATCTAGAGACTGCCATTGCTGCTGCAGATGAACAAGTCAAACGTTTGGAATACTGGAGCGACGTCCGCGATATGGCTCGAGCAGGCACAACATCCTTTGCTACAGACGCTGGTGTATGGGGTTATGCCAAGTGGAGAGGATTAGACGCTTCAGGACCAGAGGCTGATGACAAAAGTACTGCGAAGGAGAAGGGAAAAAGCTGGAAAGAGGTCAAGAAAGAGGTTAATGGCCAATTGAAGCCCAAAGACAGTGTTGTAGATGACAAGGAGGAAAAAGACAAACCAAAGAAGGAGGTCAAGGTCGAAGGCCATCTGGCAGAGTCGAGTGAGGAATATTATACCACAGCTGCAGAAGATGGGACGAAAGATAAGGGGAAGCAAAGGGCTGAATGATTGGTAGGCATTTTCTTTTCTTCTTGCGGCATCATGGCATTGTCATTTTCTTTTGTACAAACTTTGCTCTTTGCATTCTCCCTCTTCAGACTCTCGTTCTCAAATATGTTTGAAGGAGGAAGGCGTGAGCGACTAGTGCCTTGGCACCCGAGTCGCCAGCTTCCATCTCTTTGATTGAAACAAGATCCTTCCTTTCCCTCCATCACCATAACATACAGACATTCTTTCTGTCACCCATTTCGTCAATCTATATATCGATATCATGTCTGCATTCCACTCGGAGCTCAGAAACAAAAAACGCTGGGGATTTGTGATCTACCGCACAGATTACTCATCCGAAGAGCTTTGGCAAAAGTTCATGACCATAATGCAAAACTGGACCATGCACATCATACGACACAAACGCTCTGAGGCTGCTGAGATACACTCCTGGCAAAAGATGTGGTATTTCGACAACCAGAGTCAGTTCGACAATGCTTCCATCGCGTCCCTCCGCGATCACTTTCAAAATACCTGGTTTGCTGGATTATCAGCCGAGGAACGAAGAAGAACCTGGCCTGAACATTACATGTTCTTGACTGTCGACAAGGAGGCGCTCGAATCTGTCCGCCCTCTCGAGATAGAACTCCCACGGTTTTACTTTGGCGAGTATCCCTACTGCAAGGTCTGGGACAAGGATGCACCATCTGAGGATAGCGATTACCCTGGGTGGATGAAGATCAGACTTCCTGAGGTCTTCTACCTGTATGGGCTTGCCTTGCAGACCGACGATAAGAGCATGAAGGCACTCCGGTCCAAGTCTACAGACTGGTTCAGTAGGGACTTGGTCTGCTACGAGGACGACCGTTACGGAGAGCAGGAAGAGGAGGTGGATGCAGAAGAGCATGAAGGTGGTTCTGATTGATTTGTTCTCTTGGTCGTTCCAAATTGGAGGGCGTTCAACTAGTGCCTTGGCATCTCGAATCTTGACCTGCAATCTCGCTTGGTCAGACAAAAGTCTCTGCCCTTTTATCCTCCATCTCTTCTCGGACTATTCTCTGATGTAATCACAGGATCAACAGCATCAATTGTGAGAGGAATGGAGCGCTGTTGAACTTTTCTATTCAACACCCCATCTCCATTTGACGACATGTCCTTGCTTTACTGCAACATCAGGCATAGACAACGCTGGGGATTTGTGATTTATCGCACAGATTACTCCACTGAGGAAGACTGGACTAAACTCAAAGTTATGATCAATACATGGAACCGGGGTGAAGACAAGGCCTCTGAAGAAGAGATCCAGATCCAGTCCTGGCAGGACCATTGGTGGTTTGATGATCAAAGCCAGTTTGCCAATGCTTCTGTTGCGCAAATCCGTCAACATTTCAAGGGAACATGGCTCCCCAGCCTTTCGGAGAGAGAAAGAAGTCATTGCTGGCCTGAACACCTCATGTTCTTTGTCGTTGACAAGGAGGTGCTGAACAGCGTACACCCGCATAGTACCAACCAATCTGACCATACTGGCGAGTACCCATACGTCAAAGCCTGGGACTCAAGCCCATCCATTGTAGATGAAAGCGGCTACCCCGGCTGGATGAATGTCAGAGTACCTACCCTTCTAGATCTTTACCGAACAGCTATTTTTGTCGATGCTCAAGACATGAGAGCGCTTCGCTCCAAATCTACGGACTACTTTGGCAGTCAACGTGTTTGGTTGGAGGATGACCATTACGGAGACCAAGAAGAAGAAACAGACGCATTAAGTGATGCTGAAGCAAGCTCTGCTCTTGGCAACTAATGTCTTGGCTGCAATTTCGCTTCTATGGTCTGGATTTTCTAATCAGCAACCTTCTCGTTCTTGGGTGCTCTACTGCATCAAGGATCCGCGTCTCGCACATCGAGACATCGCTGCTGGACCACGACGCCTTCAACGTGGAACCTGTCCAGTGTTAAGTTATAATCAGTCCGACATCCCAACCATAACGCCATCATGAGTTCAATGTTCTTCTTGGAAGTCAGGCTCAACGAACGTTGGGGGTTTGTTGTTTATCGTACGGACTATTCATCCGAAGAAGACTGGATCAAGTTTACCAAGATGCTCGAGACGTGGTGTCGGTCTACTATCGAGAATAAAGGACCTGAAGAAGCACCTCTTATCTAATCGTGGAAGCAGAACTGGTACAGGAGCGACAAAGAAAATCTCGAAAACGCGACTCCCAGCCAACTCAGGCAACATTTCCATTCTTGGCTTGCTGGTTTGAGTGCTAAGGAGCGAAGCATGATGAGGCCAGAACATTACGTGTTCTTAGTCGTTGACAAGGACGTGCTCGACGCCATCCACAATATAAGTCCAGAGCCCGACTACAGTCGCTTCCCGATTCCTTATTTCATGACTATAGACAAAGATGGCCCGGACGAAGATTGTGGTTATCCGGGTGCGATGAAAGTTCCGCTAGAAGATCTCATGTATCTCTACGAAGAAGGTCTTGAGAGGGACAGTATGCGAGGACTTTGCTTGAAAAGCAGTGAATGGTTCGAGAGAGATGAGATCGACCTTGAGGAGACATATGCGGAGCATTAAGATACATTTCATTTCGAGAAAGTCTGGATCTCTTTTTCTGGTAGCCTAATGGCTTGGCAGCAATTTTATTGTTGTCTTGGACTCGACATATCATCTTCAACGCAACTCTTGTCTTCTTTGTCAGCAACTACCCACATCTTGCTCATACTTCTTGCTCACACTTCTTGTTCTGCATCTTCACGCGCAAAAGAGTGTCTTAGGCAAACAATCAGAACATCACATCAGATCTTCTTGCGGCATGAGCAATTACACAACCATACTCGCCCGAAAGCAGCGCTGGGGCTTTGTCATTTATCGCACGGATTACTCTTCCGAAGCAGACTGGACAAAATTCCTTGCCATGTTTACTACTTGGTCTCTTCACGGGTTCCCCAGCCCACACCTCGAGAACGGCCGTCTTGCTAGGTCATGGCAACATCACTATTGGATGAATGAGCAATCGCAATTTGACGGCGCCACAATCAAACAACTCCGACAGCACTTTCAAGAATGGGTATCGACTCAGGACTTCGTGGAGCAAAGAGCCTGGCCTGAGAGCTATATGTTCCTAGTTGTTGACAAGGATGTACTGAACAACATCCGTCCGCAAAACCCTGAGATGGATTTCCTGCCTCGGGAAGAGGTGCCATATGTCAAAGCTATAGACAGAGACTGCCTGCGTGAGGGCGAGGAGTACCCTGGCTGGATGAAGTTGGGTTTAGAGTCTCTACTTGATGTTTACAGTAGAGGCCTGTACTTCGAAACCATGAGGGGACTTCGTTCTCGACACTCTGAATGGTATAAAGGCCGTCTTCCGGAAAAAGAAACGTATCTGGAGGAAGATGATGAGTCTGACTCCAGTTTGAGTAAGTCATCTGACTCTGAGGTTGATATCCAGACATCCGCAACCTGACATGCGATTAACAGACGGCTAGAGTGAAAGCAATCGCTTCTAGCAGGCTAATGGCTTGGCGCAATTTCGTTCATCTCCTTTAAGATGAGATCACACATCGGAAAGACTAACCACTGTTTCCCTCACTGAACCGCCTATCAATTGAAGCACAAATTCGAGTCCACTCTGGCATATCAATTTCCACGACCATGAATCTGGGCGAATGGTACCGTCAATTCATCATCGATCATCCCATGCCCCCGATCGATGGCTCGAGAATGGTGGACAATTCATTCACTTTACAACTCCATCATAAACAACGATGGGGCTGGGTCATCTATCGCACCGACTATTCTTCTGAGGAGAATTGGACCAAGTTTCTAAAAATGTTTGCAACGTGGACCGCGACAGGCTTTCCGCCTGAAGACTGGGTTGTAGGTCAGACGGTGCGTTCATGGCAGCAAATGTGGTGGATGGACGACAAGACGAAGTTTGAGAACGCATCCTTGGAATCTCTTCATGCGGATTTTCGCTCGTGGCTCGCAGCTCAAACCCCCCAAAGTCGACAGATAACGTTTCCTGAGCATTACATGTTTCTGGTGGTCGATCGTGAGGTTCTGCAGGACATACAACACCAGAATCCCGGGACAGAAGACTTGGCTCGCGATGAACTGCCATACATCAAAGCTTATGACGCGGACTTATCGGAAGATGACCCTCAATACCCTGGTTGGATGAAAGTCGAATTGACCTCATGTTATGCTTTGTACCACGAAGGGATGAAGCATGGAAGTATGCGGGCACTGCGTTCAAGATATTCGGAATGGTTCGATGAAGATGTGCTTGAGGAGGAAACGTATTTGGTGGAGGAGAGTGAGTCCGACGAGGAGTGATTTGAAGTCGCAGGTGTCAATTTCCAATCCTTATTTCCAGTCACATACCCGTACTTCATGTGTGAGGAATAACTGTGCAAAGCTCTACCCGGCATTACTATACATCCGGAAGCCACCCATCTTCCAAATCCTTGAAATAGTCATCCAACTCATCCTCATAATACTCATCCATCTCACTTCCCCAAGTGCCACTAGGGCTCACACACAACGTCGTTCCAATCACCAAACCTCTATCACAATCCCCTCTCTCCAACGAAGGATTAGCCGCAACCAGTGACCCGACATCAATCTCCTCTTTCATGCAGATAATCGTACAAGTCTCTTTTTGCTCAACTCTATGCCATTTCCAACAATTTCTTGTTGCGTTATGAGCTAGTTTCGTGCCTCGAGGGGAATATTTTGCATCCACTGTATTGCCGGTGGAGGGGCGCGGTTGTACGTTTCCTCCGCGTGTTCGTGGGAGTCTAGACACATCTGTAGATTTCCCGCCTTGGGGCGATACACAGATTACGGACCCGGTGTCTTGGGTTATGGCTTCTAGTACAGAGCAAGAGGGATCGAGCCACGCATTATAGATGCGCAAGGAAATACCATATCCGCGGATTTTCTGGGTGTATTGGATGTCGATGCAGAGGTCGTTCGGTTGTACTTCATAGACTTCGCAGGGCAAGGGAATGCAAAACTTTCTGCCTGGTGGTATTGCGTTGACGTTGTCACAAGGGCCGTAGATGTTTTCTTTGTTTGCTTCGGATAGGGCGTATGACGATACGTTGTAGGATGTTGAGATGGAGGTGCAAGTATCGCCCTCTCGGGTGGTGTGGTAGATGTTGGATAGGCAAAACGGCTCTTCAGAGACTGGTTTGGGGATCAGAGGTGCTGGTGCTGTGGTTGGGAGGGAAAGTCTGCAGTGCTTGTTGATGTGGCCAATTCTGTAGGGGTCGTGGATGGCATCGAAGGTTGAATACTGTGATGCTTGCAGCATTTGGTAGAATTTTGTGTTGCAGTAGGAACACAGTTCGTTCTTGAGTTTCTTCATTAGTAAGAGCAAAGCTATTGAGTAGGTGGGAATAAAACGTACATGAGGCATGTGGTAAATATCCTCGACTTCTGTAAATCCATCGATAATTTCTATCTCTTGTTGTTAGCGCTAGAATAGCGTTCTGTGATTTTGAGGTGTTATACCATTGCAATAGTGACCGCTCTGCGGCTCGATATAACATGTTTCGTTCCAGGCTTCCCACATATATCCTCCATACATCGATTGCGGCACACCACTCGTATCGTAGCCAGCACATGCTTGAGAGACTTTTTGGTAGTAGGACCGTAACGAAGCACCACATGAAGCTTCGCAAACTTCATCATAGAGTTCTTTGTCCGCGATCGAACCTCTCCAAGCAGGACCATCATATTCCTGAACAGTATCCTCACAGAGAATCTTTTGTGTAAGTGCGGTTTGGCAGTCTTCTGGAAAATTCAGATTGTCTAGGTCTGATGGTTCATAGACAGTGAAGCCTGTGAATGTCCTTTGAGAGGAAAGATCGGTGGCATTGGGGAAAGAGGTTTCGCTGAGATGTGAAGTGTGGTGTTTGTGGATTGGAAAGTGGATGGCGAGTTCGTAGCTCCCTACTATGATAAGAGGAATTACAAGAAGTGGAATTCAACCCCATCGGAGAACGAGAGTCTTGACCGGTAACATGAGAACTCGAGTTGACGAACATACAGCTCTATTCTACGTATACACTCAAGTAGAACCTTACCTTCAAAACAACAGCTGGTCCCTCGCCTGGGCATCATCACCAGCTGATCAGCACATGGTGCGTGCCCGTCGGGTATAGAAGTTGTCATCACTCGACAGCTAATTCGGACAGCGCCGGAGCGGGTCTATATCGCTAAACATGATCCTATTTGCACAATGATAAGTCCACACTGGTTCGTGTCTGCACCACTGGTTGTCTCGGTGCTGCCAAGATACTTCGCAGATTGCCCAAGAGATTTTCTTCCACACGCGGGTTTGTGGCGTCGGATCTTTGCAACCTCGATTCATGCTGCAAATTGCTGTTGAGAGCAGTATTTGCAGGTCGGCGCAATTTGATGCAGACAAACATCAGTAAATGTCGTGTATGATGGCGGCAGTAAACGTTATAGGGACTTGATCGCGTCGTCAAGTGCAAGATAAACTCTGATCTTGGCCGCATTCCCTATTGGCAATCTCCACCAGATTTGTCCTAAAATCTATCACGAGTTCGGCGAGTCGAGTTGATCTACATTGACCTCGCTCTGTGAGTCTAGTCACAGTGCCTCGGTCAGACAGACCACTCTTCTAAGAAGTCATGACTCTGACTTCTGAAATGACTCCTGATCGGGCTTCGCCAATCCGTTGGTGTATAAGCTTTGCTCTTCCTGAATCCACCAATTCTAGCATGTCTGGCTCAGCCCAACCATGTTTCCAAGCAGAATATCCCCCACAGTACTGCTTTTTTGCGTCTCTGTCCTCTTGTTAAACAGTAACGCACAAGCACAAGTAAAGCGGCCATCATGCACCAAAACCGGAGGCCTATCCAAGATCGTCGGGTACTATGAAGGCTGGAGTTCCCAGCGACCTTGCCGTGAAGACAAATTGCAAGACGTTCCCATTGGGGTCTATACACACATCAACATTGCATATGCAACAATCGACCCGCAAACATTCGAAGTCCTGCCGCCAACCCGTGGAGACGCAGATCTATATCCCATGATAGGGCAGAGCAGATGGGACCCTGATCTCGCGATGTTCATCTCGATCGGAGGCTGGACATTCAACCAACCTTCAGGACCTACCGCAACCACTTTCTCGGACCTTGTAGCGTCTGAAGAAAATCAGAGAGCATTTTTCAAGTCCTTGACTTCCTTCATGTCGACGTATGGGTTTGATGGCGTGGATTTGGACTGGAGTTATCCAGGTGCCAAAAACAGAGGTGGAAGGCCAGCAGATTATCACAACTTCCCAATCTTCATTCGCAGATTAAAAGAAGCTTTGAGAGGAACAACTGGTCGCCAAGGATTGTCTGTCACCCTACCAGCAAGCTCTCGATATCTGCAGCACTATGATTTAAAGGCACTGAATAATGATGTGGAGTGGTTCAACCTGAAGTCATTCGACCTGCACGGAACATGGGACAAAGGCGATCAATGGACCGAAGCTCGCATGGCAGCACACACGAATTTGACTGAGATACAAGGCGCTCTAGATCATTTATGGCGCAACAACATCTACCCATACAAAGTAGTCCTAGAACTTACCCTTTACGGACGTGGTTACATAGCTACTAGTCCGTCATGCATGGAACCCGGTTGTCCGTTCGAATCAGGTTCGCTGTGTGGGAACTGCAGTCTTGAGATTGGCGTCTTGCACAACACCGAGATCGACACTTTGCTTATCGAAAAGAACATTGAGCCAAATTTCTATGAAGATGCTGCTGTCAAGGTAGTCACATGGGATGATCAATGGATCGCTTATGATGATGTGGAAACCTTGGGTATCAAGGTCGATTTTGCCAAAGGCCAATGTTTGGGAGGCGTGATGGTGTCTGCGAGTACGTATCGAATGAGTATAGTTCTGGCTGGACGACGTGCTGACTACGTCTTAGTGACCCATGATGACTGGAACGGGACATGCTCGTATGCGCTCGACAAGGCTGTTGGTAGAATTATAAGATCGGTGCATTGGGCGGGGACACCAGATGTCTAGTCCTTACATTCCGAGCAGTCTGGATGCCAAGCATTATAGTCTGTTGTACTTCTTCTCAAACTGTCCACAGCTTCACCGTCCTTTGATCTTCCGGCTGCTGGCGCCAGAGTGATTGGTTTCTAGCAGTTCTGCCTCTTTCATGAGCATGAAGCGGGTCAAGAGCCATGTCACCGATTAGGACAGGCTCGAATGCGACAGCTGACTGGAAGTCACTGGCTATGCTGGTCACCAAAGACAAAGCCCTTTGTTTTTGTCGTGCATTCAAAAATGGGGTTCTCTTTGTTGTTCCCTTCCTACTCTGAAGGTATTGTACTTTGTTTTCAAGCGATTATCTCAAGGTCTTCATGTAGTATACACATCTATAACAGCTGTGACAGTATCACATGGCACGGTCAAAAAGTATTTCGGTGACACAAACGATATTCATTGCTATTGCAGTACGAAAAAAAAAGAGACCATTCCGTATACCGTGCTCTAACTCGCTTTTGATCGCGAGAGCTGAATGCCAAAAAGTATGTCCGATCCTGATGAGGCCCCGACACAAAAAAACATCCCAGATACCGTACGCCTAAGAATCCCTCTCAGCCATCATGGAGAACAGCGGTAAAACCACCTGCCACAGGCTAAAAAGCCACTGCTCCCTCAAGTAGAGAAGAATATAGGATAGTACAGAGGAAAATCAAAAATCCAAAAAACCACCGCGAGAAGGGCGCGAAGAGAGACTAGGAAAAGAAGAATCAGTAAAGGGATCTTTCTTGACCTTGTAGGTGAACCACGTCTCCAGGAACCTACTTCTTCGTGTTTGCCATTCTCCAGAGAAACGCCTCCTTACTCTCCTCCTTGTAGAACTTCTTAATGACTTGAAGCACGATTCTGGTTTGGTTGGGGCTGGAAGTTCCTTTGGAGACGTCGGAGGCGCCGCGACCAGTGTCGTTAGGGACCTTCTCGTCAACGTCCACCCAGGAATCATCTGCGCCGCCAGCTTCCACCGGAACCCACTCCTCGTCGTTGGTAGAGCCTTTGTTGGGAGTGTCGGAAGGCATTCTCGACTGAGTTGATTCTTCAAAAACCAAAACGACGCCAGGTGCTCTTGTAGCAATGCAGAGTTGTTGTGGTGATACGGCGGCTAGGGCGTCGGAGAAGAGCATTTTCTTTGTGGCATTGTGCAAACTGTCAAAGCAAAACAAGCCCATTGTCAGCGTTGAAAGAGTAGTATAGTATGATCAAAGGACATACAAACGGGTCATGAAAGGGGCCAGGTACAGGCCTTCTGAGATAAGGTACTCAGGCATTGTGGTGGTGGTGATGTGGTGGTATGGGAGGGAAGGAGACCGGAAACTGTCTAGAGTGAGTGTCGGCAGCGAGGGAGAACGACCTCGTCGTCGCTGGTCCGGGAAAAGCACTGACCAATCGCGTGGTCTGCCGGTGGTGGTGTCAATGTCGTGTTCGGGCCTTGGTATTGTTTCGTCGTGCAGCACGGAACTTCTTCACCACTCTACTCTCTCGTGCCTCAACCATTCCCTCATCACAGCACATACCACCGCCAATCAGGAACTCTGAGCACACAGAACCACCCAACATGCCGTCTAGAAGACTCAAGCATACACGCCCCAGCACCAGACACCTCCTTCCCTGGGTCTTTGACGCGCCCAAACCTGACAACATCTCCCCCGACGCCTTCATCGACATAATCACGCAGGAGGATGATGGCTGCTCATCAGAAGTCAAGAATGTACTAAGCTATTGGGATCGCGGGGATCTTGATAGAGGTGATGAAGCAAAGCTGGAGGAGATGAAGATCAGCTCGTTGTGAAGCAGACCCATGTTGCCAATGCCTACTGACCTCTTCACAGCGATATTTTGTTCGCCCATGTGCTCGACAGCCAAGAGTGGTTCCGTTATCGCTATCCTAAAGGTGACTGTGGTAAAGAGAAGCACAGTAAGTATCGAATGTTTCTCCTAGTCCCTCGTTCCAGGCTAATTGAACTCTTACGTTTAGACCTTGGAGAGGCTGCCTGGATGATTGGTGTCCAGATGACAACTCAAGCCGAGCTGGACCAAATGACCGACACTGAACGCGAGTACAAACTTGGCGCCATAAGACACAATGGAGCGGGAGACAGCTACTGCACCGTCCGCGTCACCGCTGAGCTCGTACTCTTGCGCATCGCTGAGCTCAATGCTGTAGATGGTCGTTGTAGAACGATCAATTCAAAGTACTGTTTCTTGGGACTTGACTTGCAAGCAATCTGCCGGTTCTCAGCCAGATCATCTTGTCTCTGACCTCTAGACAGTGAAGGCGGTGGTCATATCGGCCAAGGAACTACTGAGATTGAACTAACAAAGCTCTGGGCTGCTGATCTCGAAGAGCTCGGCCGGGACTGCTGGACCACAATCAGCAGTCGTCATGCGATTATCCTAGAGTCTTTCGATGACCACCTTTGCAGAAAGGCGCAAGAGGGAAAGATCGCCATCGATGACAGACTGGATACCTACCGGCGGTGGAACTTCCGCGGGGGACCAAACACCACCAAGAAGTGCGTCTATATCTTTCAAACCGCACACAACACACCTCCTAAACTCTTCAGCATCTCCATCGACTCTGAAATCATTACTCAGACCAATATGGCATGTTGGATTGTTCACCAGATCCCTCCTCGCCAGAACACCAACGAACAGTGATTCCCACCTCTCTCATCGCTGGCGCATACCCATCTATCACCATTGTCGACAGCCAAAACGAGATTATTGCTCTTCGCCTTGCCCAACGCCAGCACCAGTTTCCCCTTGTCGTCCCAGACCTCAGCAAGGCAAGAAGCGTCGCCATCGTGTTGAGGAAGAAGATTGGTGCATGTGACTGACTCGCATCACGAAACTATCTGACTCAGCAGAGTCAACTAACTGGGGAGGCTGTCAAAGTGTGACAGCGCGATGTGCGCGGTACTGAGAAGGGGGGACAGAGACGGCACGCGTGTCAGGGGTGAACTAAACTCGGAAGCAGTCTCAGAGAATGAACTCTTCGTTCCACAGTATAACAGTAGAAGACGGACTGGAGAATGATAGCATACGAAGCACAGAGCTTTGCGGGTAGAAATTATCAGGAGGAAGTCAGCGCACATAAACTTGAGAGCAGGATACAGATGCTCTGCCAGCATGTCGGAGCGAAATGGCAATTTGTCACCATCTAGCTGCGTATAGCTCTCGTATCGTTTGTGGCAACCACGCGAAGTGAGATGCTCACATGTAAAGCTGCCAACGAACTGTCAAATAGATTCCGTCTTCGTTTGACCTGGTTCTCCAGATTAGTGCAGAGATACAGCGGATTATCATCGTCGATTCGTCGGTGGCTATTCCGGAAGCCGTTGCCTCTTAATTCGCAATGATGCGACGAACCGTTAGAACGTTACTGCAAGTACCGCAAGTACCCGAGGCGGCCTTCACTTTTTTTGGCATTTGCAGGTTGAAATTGCAAGAGAGTTCGAGATCGACTCCCCAGATCTTGCTACACGGCCCGACAAAGAGTTACAGAGGTCAAGAATCTAGACACTCATACGAACCTACGAAGCTCAAAGATCTCGATTCTTAACTCTCATATGCATGAGGCTTAAAGCTTATATGTCTATGCTTGTAAGAATAAACAATTCGACTTGTTTGACTTTTTGATGAAATACTCTATAAGGATTCGACGCCTTCTAGACATTTTGTCTGTAAGGGAGAGCGGAAGGAGAAAGTGACTACACGCAGGTACAACGCGGGAAGAACGTTGCGCTTGCGGGAAATCACGCGGGCATGTACAAATACTCTGCATCTCCACATTTGAGGCTATGCCACTCTGACTTTCGAACTTGTTAAATGATTTGTATCGCATCGCCAACATAGTAACCCATATCATCGCCGTCTTCTGGGCGATAATGTCAACTCAACTTTTGCTCTTCCAGCACAACATGACAGACCGAAATGATGGACGGCCAGTTGTTTTTCGGCTCAACAAGCATACAAGATCCCGACAAGGTTGCCAAACTTGCCGTTCACGAAAAGTCAAGTGTGACGAAGAGCACCCACAATGTCGCAACTGTATCCGAGCAAAGAGAGAGTGTATCTGGACTCGTCCCTGGAATCGACCATGTACTGTTGTTACATCCAGCTCCATACAGGCAAGCAAGGTCGCGACCTGGCCCTCACATGGCGTATCAGATCTCATGCCCATATCTCTCGAGGATGGTCGCAAGGGCACTTGCTGCGGGATCGCTGATCGCACAAGTCCGGATGATCATCTTTCTCCGACTTCTTGGTCCTTTTCCCGACCGGTGCCATCGAGGCGGAATCATTCACACATAGAGCTATTATACCCAAGAGGATTTCGGATGCGACCCATGGTTGACACTGCGGAATCCAATCGCAAACAAGCGCTGGCTGTAGCGCTGTCACATTATCTGCCACTTGAAGAATCGTCTATGCAATCCGACGACCTTGAGAATCAGTCAAAAATGTCATTTCTAACTCCTCATAACAGCTCGCTATTTAACCCTCGTTTACCTGCTCTCGCTGCGGCTGTTGATACTCTCAGTCTTACTCAAGCTGCTGTTAGATTGCAGGACGGACGACTCGCCCAACAAGCAATCAAAAATTACACAGTCTCCATTGCACTACTGAGACGGTCAATTGAGCATATTGGTGACTACGATCGCAATGAGGTCCTTCTGACGATTATGCTTCTTCAAATCTCTGAGGTATACCCCGTGTACAGGCCTGAAAGATAATCATGAGATACTGACCCGTTGTAGCCATTTTCACCAATATCACAGGCGGGCGGATGGATCTCACACGTAGACGGAGCTGCTCAAATGATCCAGGCTGAAGGACCAAAACCTCTGAACACTCCATACGAGACAGCACTTTTCAATCACGCCCGTCAGTTCACTATCATTATCGGCATGTTGCGCAGGGAAGATATCTTTTTCAACCAGCCGCAATGGCTCGCCATTACCAAATCCGCACCTGCAGCCTATCATGCAACTCCTCTCCTAGATATCGGATCATCGATACCTGGTATGCTCGCTAAGACCGACAAGATTCTCGCCAGCAATTCCTCCGAGCATGTCGTCTACGAACTGCTTCAAAAGCTGGAATCTACCGGTGAAGCGGTTGTCACCTGGATAAATGACTTCTTCTCGTCAATGGCACATGAAATTAGCACTACCATTGATCTCAAAGAGCTGGACTCATACAATGAAGAAATGAATGGCGACACGACCTTCCTGCCGGTTTACAAGTTTGCTTCCTATAGGACTGCTTGGAACGTCACCCTGGGCTGGGTTTTCCACTTCGCGATTTTAAAAACAATTCACAAAATTTTAAAATCGAGGGCAGACATCCACTACAGACTCACCACATCAGAGCTCGAGCTAGAGATGTTCCGAGTAGTCACTGATCTTTCTATGGTCATACCACAATACTTCGCCAGAAGTTTTGGAGCCATGGGCCGGGCGGTAATTACGATACCTCTCGGAATTTCGACCGAATTCTACTTATCTAGTGGTCAAACGAGGCAACTAGAGTGGTGTCACAGGGTAGCAAAAGCAGTGTACAACCCACGCGAAGGACTGGAGCGAATCCAGAAGCCTGGACCGAAACAGTGAATGCATCTCCGCTCAAGCAAACTGTGAAAAGAGGCCTAACAACTGGATCCGGATGCTGTCTCTTCGATCGACAACTAGCTTTACATTCAGGACAACATACTCTTCATCTCACAAAAAAACTTCTCGAACTTGGTCCTGGGGCAGCTTTTGGGAATCATCGACTCTAGAATTGGTTCTAGACCTGTCTCATCCCTCGCAGGATCAATCACAGTAATCACGGTTGAAGCCCACACGACCATAATATCACAGTCTATGTGAGGCTATCCTCGACACCTCATGCTCAAGATTTAAAACTCGAAAAATGATCTTATAAGATACATTACCCTTGGCAATGAGGACGCAGGTCGTTCATCTGCTCACCGTCGGTCGATCTTCGAGAGCGCGCAGGCCCTTCATTTAACGTCGCTCTCTTTTGGGCACAAAACCATCATACATCATGGTTCATGGTTCATGGTCCAACAAGACACACGCCTTGGTGATAGTCAAGAATTCTTTTGCAGGTCCTCGTAGGTCGCTAGTATTCTTGGCTCCTAGATAAGTAGAATCGTGGCGTCTCACCTCATTTCCTCAGACGCACAATTCCTCTCATCACATCCAAGCTTCATAACCAACTTCACAAGCGAACTTCACAATGGTCACTTCAATCATTGCGGATATGCATTATGTCAGTTACAATTGGAACTCCAACCTTTAGAACTGGGTAATCTACCGCACAACCTATACACCCGAATCCGATATCCTCTGGCCACAATGTCTGGATCTAATCTCCAAAGCTCACTAAGCACAGGAGTAGCCAGAAACCTAAAACAGAACGAAGATGCCCGCGACCACGATTCCGAAATGGTTTGTCTGAAAAAAACATTCTCGTGGACGACAGAAAATTCATGGAGCTAGTCACGACGATTTACGAGTCCATTTTGCAAAGTGGTTAGAAAGCCATGTTACAGAGATTCTAGAGAATAAAGAGGGAGAAGAAATTTGTCCTCCTCATCCTCGTTATAACAGATTCCTCATTGTGGATGAGGGAGTGCTACGAGACTTCAAAACCTCACCTTCGTTGTCTCCCTACAGCAAAGACTTCAAGGAATCACCCTACCTCAAAGCTGTCAAGGCATCCCACAACGATGCCGACGAGGACAGATTGGCACCGAGATACAGTGGAAGAAATAATGTCCGAGAGGACCTATCACTTCCCGGCTCTACGAGAATCCCACTGATATTCCTGCGTGACTTTTGAGAAGTCACGAGTGAATACCTAGATATCATTGAAATCTGTCCTGTCGCGTTTAAAGAAGAGTCTTGTTGAGATTCCAGAGCAAGACGTATCTCAAACGAGCTATAGTTAAAAAGAATCAATACTTACAAGCCTTATCTCCAAATACACTGCTCAGAATCTTCATACCGATGTTTCAGGCATCGAGAGGCCACACTTTGCACACAAAGGGGGAGTTGGGACTTGTCACACAAAAAAGAGTGTTCTTGCAGATCTGGAATTATTGAATATGTCTTTTTTTTTCTTTTTTCGGATTCGCTATCGGGTTCGCATTGGTGGTGCAAGGATACTTGTATACTTTTTGCTCGTTCGGCTGTTAAATCACCCATAGTAATCACAAATCTGAGTTTCAAGCCACTGAATCACCCGTCGTCAAACCTCTGTTGATGCATGGCAAAATAGGTCTAGAACACAAATCAACTCTGGTTAGACAAGCAACTTGGAGCAAGCATCGACAGCTTTGGACGTTCGTGCCAGCTGCCGAAATAAGCGTTATATCTTTTTGATTCCATTTAAAGGGTCAAAATGCGAAAGACGACCCCAGGCTTGACAGCCGTCTGATTATCGTTCGCGAAATGCTTTTTAAGACGCTTCAGATTTGGGGTTTTTGCCATCGCTGCGTCTACCGCATTACTACATTTTCAAGCACCTTTTTCAATATCCCTCTCCTCAGCAACCGCAGCTCCCGTCTTGCCAGGTCCAGCAACACTAGCCTCCATCTCGCCCCTCTTGATAGCTTCCTTTTCCATCTTGCGCAGATACCTTTCTTTCTTCTCATCTGCTCTGCGTTTGTCTTCCTGCATAGATCTGATCAAAGCACTCTTCGCTCTAATCTTTTTGCCGTACAGGTAGAACACCACAGGAATAGGTACACAAGCCATTTCGATGAGTCCAAGTGTACAACCTGCCCAATTGGAGCCGAGGGTTTTGTACATGGCCGAGCCGGCAAGAGGGACTGTGGCGCCCATGATTGAGCGTAGGACGGCGTTTCCAGCTAATGCGGAGGCTGCGTACACAGAGTAGGAATGCACCAAGTAATTATTGCTGTAAATAAAAACACCGGCATTGCCAGCTCCAAAGGGGATTCCCGCAAGAATGGGCACAATCCAATGGACGTTCGGTGTACAAGTCCATGCGAACCAGAGCTCGCCGGCTGCGAGACTAACAGCCGCGATACAAATAACGGATACCATGGCTTCGGGAGGGATATCTCCGGTTTCTGGGTCTTTTTTGTGGGAGTTGATGAGGCGGCGGCAGAGTGGTTCGAGAACGATGGTGAGGAGGTTTCCGATGCCGATGCCGCAGAAGGCGAGGCCGCCGATTCCTGGAGCCCAGCCGCGCTGTTGTTGGAAGACGATGGGGTAGGCGACGAAGGAGAGGTATAGGGTGCCGTAGACGATTGCTACGTAGACGTCCCAGAAGATGCTGTGAGATACAGATTAGCAATTGTCTATATACGCGGAATTGGTGCTGCCCGCTGTTCAATGCTTTGATGCCCGCGTTCGAGTCGACGGAGATATGCAGACAGGACAGAATGCAAGCAGAGATGGAGAAACAAAAGACAGCAAGAGACAAGAACAAAGACTCACCAAATCGGCTCCGTAACCATCAGCACGAACGGTCTGCTGAGATTGACCTTGAGCAGCGGCCAAAATGCCTTTTTCTCATCAAATCTGCTCCACCACCTCGGATCTCCCGTCTCTTTTCTCAGCTTAGCAGCTCTTTTGCGCAACAAAGTAGGTCCATAAGTCTCTTTGACAATAGCCACAAAAGCAAATGCCACGCCTGCGAGAATCATGACTAGCCAGTTGGTCCTGTGAACAAACTCGTTAGTGTGATGGGATGATGGGAGTTAGAGGTAGGGCTTACCATCGCCATCCCAAATACTGATATGTAAAGCCTCCGATGATAGGTCCAACAACCGGTCCATTCAAAGGTCCAATACTCCAAATACTAAACGCAAGCGCCCTATACTCTTCCACCACAATATCATTAATAGACCCCGGAGCATTAGATACCAAACTCGCCGCCGCAAACGCAGCAAAGAATCTCGGAATCAACAAACTCTCGATATTCTTCGCCAATGCACACGGCAGAATCAACAAGACAAAAATCGCAGTCGAGAAGATGTATACAGGACGGCGTCCATACATTTCCGAGAGGGGAGCTAGGACGGTAGAGCCAGCAGCCATACCAATCAGATAAGTGGTAAGACCTAGTAAAGCGACTAAATGGCCTACATCAAACACCTGTTCCAGTTTTCCCACTGTAACAGTGTAAGATGTAGAGAAAAGGACTGTGACCGTAGTGGCATAACTCATTGCAAAAACAACAAGGCTTTTATATGCCATACTCCAATTCCTTGGATTTTCAGGATTGTCTTCCGTCCAGTCGACTTCAAAGTTTGGGTCATTGCCTGTTGCGATGGAGTTGAGTGTTACGCCTGTAGTTGTGGGTTTGATATCTGTGTATTCTGTCTCGGGGGCGAATCCTGAGTAGCCGGAGGCATAACTGCGGACGAGATGTAAACGATTGGTTTGGTTTTCGTGGCGGATGGATTGGGTCTCGTGGATTGAATCGGTGTCGTGGGAGGTGTGGGAGTGAGTGGATGGTGTTGAAGCCTGCGGCGAGGGTTTTTCTTGTTCTTCGACCATCGTGATGGTGTGTTTGTTGTGTGTTGTGTATGCTTCGGTCTTTGCTCTTTCTGTCCTTGCTCTTTCTATTTCCCTTTCTCCTCTCGGGTCCAAGTCTCTTTCCCGTCCCTCTCTCTCTTTTCCACCTCTACCAGCGCAAGTGTGTCGCAATCGTGATCAATGCTGAAGTCCAGTCTCCAATCCAGTAGAAACACCAGTAGTCCAGTATGGATATTCGGCAATTGCACCCCTCACTGCCCCTCAATAATGTCGCAAGAATTCGTGGGCAGAACCCCGAAACTCTTTTGGGCTTGATCCGCGATGTCGGGGCGCGCGGAAGAGGGAAAGAGGGCGTTCGTTCCTCGATCCAGTACTTTTGGCTTCTTTGTAGATCCAAGTAATTCCGAGTGGCAGCAAAATAGAAATAGCCAAAAACTTTCAGCGATTGAAAGACGCAAAACAGAACTTTTTGCAGATGCAAAAACGAGCGACAAGTCGAGTGAACGAATTGGACCCAAGTAAAAGGGACAAAATCAAGATGAGTCAAAAAAGACAAAAGAGAAGAAATCTCAAAAACACTTTGCAAGTTGCAACACAAACTCGGAAAACGAACCACGCAGGTTGCCCGAAAATGGCGGCTAAGGTACACGGCCCCGCATCCGCCCTAAAAGCCTACACCGCAGTCGCCCTATAAATGACAAGTACATTGTACCCGTACACCTTTTACTCCCTGAAACCCTTCTCCTGTATTTTGATTTTTCAGACGCTGAATGAGCACTTTGGATGGGTCTGCATTGACTCAACAACCTTACAGATCTGCACTGTCACCACTGTCAAAAACAGCTGTCACACGACAAACGAACAAGTCAGTCAGGGAACAAAGATCGAATCAAGAAACTCATCGCGATGGATGCGCGGCAAGAATTCCGCGTTTCGGCTATGACGGCAAAACGTGCTAAGCTTTGAATGCATCAAGGGTCCATAGAGCCAGCACAGCCAGGGTGCTCCTCTTGACAATGTTGAAAATCACAAGTCGGCGGCATTTATGCATCGATGCTACAGAATCTGGTCGCTGTATCGAGGTAGAAGAAGAGTGTTGGTACTGAACATCGAGATACATGAGCATTGGCTATATGGATGCCAAACTGGGTGGAAAAATTTTCGAGGAAGGCGTTTCTTTTCTAAAGCATCCTGTTTCGACCAGGGCGTTATTGCAAACTCACAAACAATTGCCATGACCACAGCATAAGCGTGGAGCTTCAATTGAATCTAAACGTGAAAGGAAACATCATGTGCGGCATAACCTTGCGGGTCTCACGTTTGTCAGAAGAAGTAACTGGGTACTAAAATGATTTTCCATTAGAGGTAATGTCCCAGGTATCGAATATAGGCAAGTTTCTTCACTCGAATGCAGACTATGCTAACTTCGCCCTTTTCACTACTAAAAAAGCCCCTTTGCAGGTTTCGCTCGCGTATGTATAAAATTCTAGGTCCACTGCTCATATTATGCAGGCATGCTCCCTCCGTCTCTGATCCTCCGCGCCGTGACCTCTTTCATTCTGCATATGACTACGTCTCAAGTCGTCAATCGTGGCTGGTCTTGCATTTCGTCAATGATGCGTTGTGACTTCTTACAGCGCAGTGGCCTTCTTGTAGGTCTCCCACGGGGTCAAGGCACCGACTGCACGGCGCATGTGGGCATCGAGAAGAGCGACACCGTAGACATAACTGGCGTTCACCCAGCCAAATCTGCAGCATGTCAGTAAATTGCTTTGTGTCTGAGGGATGATGTTCAACTTACCCTTCCTTGGCAACACCCTTGAAGTCACTGCCCTGGTTACCGTACTCGGCAGCAACCTTGTGAGGATGTTGAGGGTGACAGACATCGTACTTCTCGACGACAACACCATTGAAATCGACAAAAGCCTTGGTGACCATGTACACCCAGCGGTAAGCCAGTCTCTTGGCTTCATCTTCGTAACCAAATCTCACCAGACCGGTCCAGGCGAGAATCTGTTGAGGTGCCCATCCGAAGGGGTAGTCCCATTGACGGTTGGGACGGCTGAGACCAACCTCACCACGAGATCTTTCAGTTCCTGCAGCAAGACCACCAAGTTCTTCGAAAAGAGGGAGGGCCTTCTCAACAAGAAGACCGGCTTGACGAGGAGTACAAGCACCAGCCCACATTGCCCAGAAGGTTGTGGCGGACTCGTATCCAGTGTGCTCGTTCTTGACAACGTTGTAATCGAAGAACATGCCCTTCTCCTCATCCCACATGAGCTTGTCCATGGTCTGCTTGCGACGTCTGGCACGGCGATCCCAGGTTGCTGATGTCTCAACATGACCGGGCTTCTGGTCGCCGACACAAAATTCGGCAGGAACAGCAAGGCTGTCACCAAAGTAGTTGCGAATAGTGCGAGCAATGTCAGTCTCGTACTTGTAGAGAAGCGAGTTGAGATCGACAGTGGCGAGGTGAGCGGCAGAGCCCTCAAGACGGTAAGAAGTGTCGTGACCAGACTCACGGACAGCGCGATCGTGGAGGAAGTATTCGTCAAGCTCGGGCTCGTAGATGTGACCATAGTTGTAGGCGTGAACAAACTCCTTGAACTGCATGTTGTGCTTCTTGCAGTAAGGCTCGAGCACGTGGACGAAGTGAGTAGCTTCAGTCTCTGGCGGAACACCGATACCACCGGGTCTGTAGCATGAGAGACCAGTCTTTTGGTCGATGCGAGGGGCGGCAGTCCAAACACTGTGGTACTCCTTGATGGCAGCAAGGATTGAAATCTTCAGGAACTCGCGAGCGTCAGGCTGTTCCTTGATGCGGTCATAGACACGAAGAGCCATGTCAGTCAAGAAAGGAGGCTGAGTACGGCAAAGGTAGTAGGATCTGTTTGCGTTGAGAATCTTGCCGTAGTGCTTGATTTCGAAGCAGAAATGCTTGACCATGTTCTTGGCGAGATCTTCACGATCGTGGATGAGAAGACCGAGGGCAGTCATGTAACTGTCCCAGCCGTAAAGCTCGTTGAAGCGACCACCGGGAACAATGAATGGCAGACCTCTGTAGTCAGGCTCGCCTTCGGGAGTGTCCTCGACTCTTTCCATCTCAAGAGCGAGCAGACCGGGAGCTTCGTTCAAATCGCGGACATACTCTTCATTGTCGGGATGCTGGGCGAGCCATACGACATCCAAGTTCATATCAGGGTGTTCGCGAGCAACGCGGCTGTAGTATTGGTGTTGTTCGGGAGCTCCACGAGGGACGTAGATGCGAGGTCGAGGGTTGTCGGTCCAGTCTTTGGCGTCTTTTCCGACTTGAGCAATGTTGGAACCGTCAATGCGGCGAGTCAAGTTAGGCCAGAAGAAGTCCTTGACAAGGCGGCACAAGCGGCTGACAGGGTTCTCACTGAGACGAGCCTCGTCTAGGACAATCTGCTTACGACCGTGCTCCTTGGCCAGAGTGAGCTCCTGTAGCAGGTTGGAAAGCATGTATGTGCCACGAATGTCAAATGTTCTGTAACCTCCTGAACCAGCAGTGCCCAATTGGATTGTCTTGGGACCGACATCCTCGACGGTGATTTGCTGGTTGTTGTCCGAGTCTTCGCGGTGCAGTAGAGCTTCAAGGGTATCGGCGACGTTGATGAGATAGCGGCGTGGTTGGTCTCCTTGTTCGTCTGGTCTCCCAGTCAGTCTTGACATTTCTCTGACGGTACTGTTTCAATCTACTCACCATGACTCAAGCGGCGCTGGGTGGCATTCTCCATCTGCTGGGCAATGTTGGCGCGAGCACCAGGGTCAACCTGCAAGCCGTCAGTGGCGGAACATCAATGTATGCCTTGTGATGGACCTACAGCCGAGTATGTACGGGCTTTGGCGACATTTCTCTTGTTGTGCGAGGCGCCATAGTAGATGTGCGAAGCCGAATAAGGGTCGAGATCTGGAGCGGCGCCCGACGATCTGCGTGGGTGCATGGGAAGCTGCTGCGATGAAGCACCAGCAGCGGCAGGCTTGCCTGTAGCAGCCTTCTGTGACAGAGAGTCGGCATTGACGGCGGCAAGCGAACCAACACGCTGTCTGGTAGATGCATCACCATTGCCATTGCTGTCGCCAGCGGCTGACGTCTTGTCGCCGCCGTGGGCTGGTGTCAAGCTCATGGATGTAGGTCTGAGGGGTTGGTCGTGTGAGGTGTCTCGTTGCAGAGGGAGAGATAGGTAGGTAGTACTAATACACAGCTGTCGAGGGGCAGATGCGGGATGCTGATAAGGCTGGGACTGTTAGAGTTACGGTGAATCGTCAGCTCAGCCGAGTCTCGGATTCGGTCAAGAGGCGGTTGTGGAAGGAATTGAGAAGTATGAGTAAGATGATGAGTAGGGATAGAGACAGGCGGCAGAAGTGGATGGGTGTGGGAAAACGCCTCTGACTAGACCAGTACCCACCTATATACGTAGATTGATCAGCTCAGCGCTTTCGAACAAGCAGGAAGCCTTGACGTGACCACTGGCCAAAAGGTCAACGTTCGACGACGGCTCCCATCAATTCTGGGGAAGCTGCAAGACCACGACGTCACTGACCTCTTGTCAAAAATTGAAGCTGGTCAAAGCTGCGAGCTCGACTCTACCAAAACCGTTCAAGAGAAAGAAAGGCTGAAAGACGAGAACGACGAAAAGTCTTCGAGATGTATCTTTCTCGACTCGAAAAAAAGAAGCTGCAAGGAACAGAACTTTGGTGGACAAGGACCGCATCGAAAAATCCTCGCCCTCGTGCAGCAAGACTCTTCTGTGTCCACACCGCTGTTGCTCCGTCGCCTGACCCTGCTTTGTAGTTTGCTTTTGCTGTGTGGCTCCGCAAATAATTATCATTGCTTCGTGAAATTCCTGTAACGAGAATGAGTTCCTACACCATCTTCTGACATCGACAAACACTGACGAAGAGTCGGAGACATGGCTGACGAGAAGGCAAAGCCACACCTGAAAGGATATGTAGGTAGCCGAGTCGACATGTCTGCAAATTCCGATGTTGCAACCAGATAGTGAAAGTCTGATGCAGCCAGGGTCGCGCAGGGTTGTATATAAGCACCATGTCCGACCGCGAGGCTACCCTGACGGTACGTTACACCTACATATGGACCACTTGAACCCAGCTACCTCCTTTGTACCCCGCATCATGCTCACTGATCCTGTCCAATAACTTCAAGTCCCATGCTCGCTTGTGGGACAGGGCGCATTGCCTTGAATTCTAGTCACATGTGTGCAAGTATCTTGGTATGGGAAATGATTCTGTACATCCTGGTATCTCTATCGAATTTCATAAATGCAAAATGCAGGTCATATCTACAGCTTGGCCTGAAGGACAGTCTTCATGCGCTTCTCGACAGCATCGAGGTATGCGGTGGTGGTGACATAGTCGTCCTTGCCCTTCTTGCCCATGGCAAGAGCAAGATCCTTGGTCATGATACCCTGCTCGTTGACGACGTGGATGCAGGCCTCCTCCAGCGACTCGGCGAACTTGACAACCTCGGGAGTGCCGTCGAGCTCACCACGCTTGACGAGACCACGGGTCCAGGCGAAGATGGAAGCAATGGGGTTGGTTGATGTGGCGTTACCCTTCTGGTGTTCACGGTAGTGACGGGTGACTGTGCCGTGAGCGGCCTCAGACTCGAATGTCTTGCCGTCGGGGGTGATGAGGACCGAAGTCATCAAACCCAGACTGCCGAAACCTTGGGCGACAATGTCAGACTGAACATCACCGTCGTAGTCTGCTTCCTGTTAGTTTTGTGCTTGATATGGATCACAGTCACGGTTGCTCACTCTTCAAGGCCATGATGTAGCCACCCTCGCTCTTGATCATCTGGGCGACCATGTCATCAATCAGACGGTGCTCGTACCAGATACCGGCCTTCTCAAAGTCGGCCTTGTACTCCTTGTCGTAGATCTCCTGGAAGATGTCCTTGAATCTTCCGTCGTACTTCTTCAGAATGGTGTTCTTTGTGCTCATGTACAGAGGCAACTTCTTGTCAATGGCAAGCTTGAAACTGGCATGTGCGAAACCAGAAATACTCTCGTCAGTGTTGTACTGGGTCTGAGCGACACCACCGACGTGGTGCTTCTGGAAGTTGAAGACCTCAATCTCCTCGGGCTCACCGCCCTTGGGGGTGAAGACCATCTTGAGGGTACCCTCGCCCTTGATGACATGGTCCTTGGCGCGGTACTGGTCACCGAAAGCGTGACGACCAATGATGATGGGCTTCTTCCAGCCGGGTACGAGACGGGGAATGCGAGGGATAACGATGGGCTCACGGAAGACAGTTCCGCCGAGGGCGTTTCTGATGGTGCCGTTGGGAGACAGCCACACTGGGATTGTCAGACTTGTGCTGTTCGTGCAAGCTCGCTCATACAGCTACTCACTCTTCTTGAGGTTGAACTCCTTGACACGGGCCTCGTCAGGAGTGATGGTAGCGCACTTGACACCGACCGAGTACTTCTTGATAGCCTCGGCGGCATCAATGGTGACCTGGTCGTTGGTCTCATCTCTGTAGGGGAGACCGAGATCGTAGTACTTGAGGTCGATGTCGAGGTAAGGGTGAATGAACTTGTCCTTGATGTCTTGCCAGATGATGCGAGTCATCTCATCACCATCAAGCTCGACAACGGGGTTCTTCACCTTGATCTTGTTGAATGCAGCCATCCTTCGTCTCTGTTCAATTGCAGCAAAAGCGGGTCTAGAAATGAATTGAGGTCGTACGGCAGCGTTGGAGTATTGGAAAAGGCTACGGGCAGCAGCAGGACGGAACGAGGCGCTCATGGTCGCTGATACGGAAAAGGAAGGAAGGCAAAAAAGATACCTCGGGAAAAGGGAAGGTGCAGCTTGTCAAGAAGGAGACTCCTCTCGTGTGTTCAAATAATTCACCAGTCATCGCGCTCCAACCCCGCAGAATTCAACAGCAGGCCGATGCCGGCTGATAACATGGGCATCTGTGTCATTTCCGTCACGTCCTTTGCGACATACTCGGTCGAAGTGAATAGGCTGGCTTGTGGAGCGTGGCCGTATACGTTACTTTCTTCCGCCGGCTGAATATGAACGGAGCTCTACCGTGGCCGGCCTTGGGCGATCGAACCCGAGCTGATGGGCGGATTTGTGTGACGGCAAGGAATTAGACGACACAACAGCTCCAAGCTCGCTCTTTCCCGGCGAACGCGACCGTGCCCAAGTTGTGACGCGGGTTGCTGCTACCACGGCGTTAGGCCAATTTATCCCCGCCCGAAGCTACCGCGGCAGGAGCGACGAGCGAATGAGACTGTTCGGCGACTTTTTGATCATGACTTGCTCAGGTCGCACCTTCCTCATAGCACAACCTGTCGGCAAGTGTACACAATGGCGACTCCCAATCCTTTAGCAGACTCGTCTTCGGATCCCACACCCGTCTCGTCCAAGACATACACAATTGCCGGCTTGGTCACGACTGTCTACGGACTCGACGAGCTTGCTTCATCAGCGAAAGAAGTTGCCGTATTATGGCTTCTTCACCCTCGACTCCAAGTACAGTCCATCATGGCGCCAATCGCTGCAGCCTCGATTCATGATTGGAACGGTCGATCTGCCTCCAAGTCCAAAGGTCTGATTGCTGTATCTTTTGACCAGCGTAACCACGGCACAAGAGAAGTCAACGCCTTGGCGAATGAGAGCTGGAAGAAGGGAAACCCAACTCATGCCCAGGACATGTTCTCCGTCTTCCGTTCGTTTTCTAGTCCCCTGCTCTGTCACAGCACAATCATGACCATGACGTGAACAGACGGCACAGCTCAAGACACCTCAATCTTGATCGACTTCCTCTCCTCGTACATCTTCCCCGACTCTTCAAGGACCATCACTAAGCATCTTGCCCTTGGTATCTCGCTTGGCGGTCACTCGACATGGCAATGCGCCCTCCATGAACCTCGCATCACCGCTGCTGTTGTCGTCATTGGTTGCCCAGACTACAAGTTCCTCATGACGGACCGTGCAAAGAAGTCGAAACTCTCGACATGGACAGCTTCAGAAGGCAAGGACTTCCTTGGCTCAACAGACTATCCCAAAGGTCTTTGCGATGCCACCGACAAGTGGGATCCAATGTCTTTCCTGGTGGGCGACAAGCTTAAACCGACGGATGAGCAGAAGAAGACACTGCGACCTTTGATCAAAGAAAAGCTGGGAGGAAAGCACATATTGTGTCTTTCAGGAGGAAAAGACAAGCTCGTGCCATATGCTTGCAGTGCGCCTTTCCTCGATTGGCTGAAGACCGGACTTGACAAGCAGGAAGGTTGGTTCAACGATCAGGGCATTGTACTCGAAGACATAGTCGATGGAGACGCTGGTCACGAGTACAGTGCAAAGATGAAGGTCGAAGCAGTGCGCTTTATTTCTGAAAACCTCGCTGGCGAGGGTAGCTTGAAAGCAGGCACCAGAACGTCAAAGATATGAGTCTGCTCGACGCGCTATTTGTCAGTATATACAAATACACATCGTATCCTGCGTCTCGGGTATTTGAGAGTTATCACCACATGTCGCGACCGGCGACATTTCATAGTGGCCGATTCTGTTCCGAGAGAAACCGTATGTGAGTCAATCAGGTACACAAGCACTGGATTCTTTCGGTACTTGGCCGATGCCAGACGTTGCAGAAAGCAACAGCCTCGGTCATGAACATGCTGCGATCTAGATCCGTCTACGAAACGTCTCTGCTCGTGAAAGGAACGTCCTCCAGCTCTGCTTGTCAAGCGCATTTCAGACACACTGTGATGCATTCCTCAAATTTGTACAATACAAAAGATAGAACGCGCACCGCAGAACAGCTCATATGCTATATTGCCACAGCCTGATCAGACTGGGCACAACTCGATGATTGCGTCAAGCAAACAATATTTCGATGCGATCGTCTATAGCTCGGCCAACGTTCGGCAGCAAGTTCCCCAGACAAATGGACTTTCATGTGCTTTTCCCCAGACGCTTGGCTTTGTCATTCTAGGTTCTCGTTCTTCAAAGAGCCTCGGATGAAGGGAGTCAACGTCAAGTTGCAACCGCTCGGGGCCTCGTCATGGCCAAAAGTGCAGGCAAGGAGCTCTCGCCGAGGTACAATACCTTCTTTTTTGCTGCGAACGTCTGAGTCTACCATCGTAGCCTCTGACCCGATTGGCTCCGGTCGTGTTTCTCATTGGTCTGTGACGCTAATTGTCCTCATCGAGTACCGGTAAGTCATATGAAACCTTCGAGTCTGTCTAAGAGGTATATATGAGCTCTTGTCTCCCCACCTTCATAGCTTCTACATCATTTTTGTGCCCCCGTTCCATCTCGAGTGTCTGGTAGATTTGCCAAGAACAAATCTTCCAATTGAATTGTCGACCTCTACTACACGAGTTCACATTCCATCACATCACCGCCAAACTGGCAGAAAGACTCAAGAACATCTTGGGCCACGTTAAAGAGGTTCTTCCGACCATGTCTTCTTCTCTCACCGCCGAAGAGCAGCAGTACCAGGATGAGGTTGCCGCCATCAAGCAATGGTGGACCTCGCCTCGCTGGAGATACACCAAGCGTCCTTTCACCGCTGAGCAGATTGCAAACAAGCGTGGAAACTTGACCATTCAGCACCCTGGCAATGTTCTCTCCAAGAAGCTGTGGAACATTGTCGAGAAGAGATTTGCCGTAAGTTGAGCTTCTAAGAGTCAAGAAGCTCCAATTCTGACACACGTCAACAGGAGAAGGATGCCAGTTTCACCTACGGATGTCTTGACCCCGTCATGGTCACACAAATGGCCAAGTACCTTGACACCGTCTACGTCTCGGGTTGGCAAAGTTCCTCGACTGCATCATCAACCGACGAGCCCGGTCCCGATCTTGCAGACTACCCCTACACGACCGTCCCCGACAAGGTCCAACATCTTTTCATGGCTCAGCTCTTCCACGACCGCAAGCAACGCCACGAGAGACTCACAGCCTCCCCATCCGAACGCAAGAACCTCCCTAACACCGACTTCCTCCGCCCAATCGTTGCCGATGCCGATACTGGTCACGGTGGTCTCACAGCCATCATGAAGCTCACAAAGCTTTTCATCGAAAAAGGTGCCGCTGGCATTCACATTGAGGATCAAGCCCCTGGAACAAAGAAGTGTGGACACATGGCCGGCAAGGTCCTCGTCCCCATCAGCGAACACATCAACCGTCTTGTTGCCATTCGTGCCCAGGCAGATATCATGGGCAGCGATCTCCTCTGTGTTGCCCGTACCGACTCTGAGGCCGCAACCCTCATCACTTCGACCATCGACCCCCGCGACCACGCCTTCATCGTTGGTGCTACCAACCCCGCCCTCCAGCCTCTCAGCGAGCTCATGGGTGCTGCCGAAGCAGCCGGCAAGTCTGGTGACGAGCTCCAAGCCATCGAAGACACATGGACCCAGCAAGCCAACCTCAAGCTCTTCTCCGAGGCCGTCATCGACACCATCAACGCTGGTGTCCACGTCAACAAGGCCGAGTTGATTGCTCAATTCACCGAACAGTCCAAGGGCAAGTCCAACGCCGAGTCCCGCGCCATTGCCAAGGCTCTTACTGGCGTTGATGTCCACTTCGACTGGGAGTCCGCCCGCACAAGAGAGGGCTACTACCGTTACCGCGGTGGTTGCCAATGTGCCGTTAACCGCGCTGTTGCCTACGCTCCCTACTGCGACATGATCTGGATGGAGTCTAAGCTCCCCGACTACGCCCAAGCTGAGGAGTTCGCTACTGGCGTCCACGCCGTCTGGCCCGAGCAGAAGCTCGCTTACAACCTTTCACCTTCGTTCAACTGGCAGACTGCCATGAGCACTTCCGACCAGGAAACCTACATCAAGCGTCTTGCTAAGCTTGGTTACTGCTGGCAGTTCATCACTCTTGCAGGTCTGCATCAAACCGCCTTGATCGCTGATACCTTCAGCAAAGACTATGCAGCTCGTGGTATGCGCGCTTACGGCGAGACCATCCAGAGCAAGGAAGAAGCAGTAAGTTCATTTTCCTGCCCCCAACCTCTTGTCTTTAGGTCAGTTACTAACGTATTTCGTAGATGGGCGTCGAGGTCCTCAAGCACCAGAAATGGTCTGGTGCCAACTACGTTGACGAGTTGCTCAAGATGGTTTCCGGTGGTGTGTCCAGTACCGCTGCCATGGGCAAGGGTGTCACAGAAGACCAATTCAAGGCTGTTTCGCGTCCTGGCGAAAGTGGCTACAAGGCTGAGGAGAACCACTGAGTGACGCAAAAGAGAAGAGGGGTGTTTAAATCTGGGATTATGTAGTAGCATTCTTATGATATTTGATGGGTTTCAATCTTTCTTTCGGCTTAGACATGTCCTTGCCGTCGATGTAGCTTTTTGTTTGAGTTTTGTGACCAAAGAAAGCTGGGTAGTCTTTTTCATACGGAAATGTTTTCTTTGCTTGATTTTTGATTTGGTTTGCTGCCCTCAAACCCACGAGTCCCCCAATCTCGACATCTGATGTTCGTCTTCCTCGGATTGTGATTGAAGATCGTCTCCCACTCCTTTCCGAGGAGTGAATCCTTCCACTGCCAAGACGCGTTCAGGATGGATCTCCTCATTGAGCAAGTTATCAAAGATGCCCTTCAACTTCAAGGACTGAGGAAATTCGTCCTTTCATCACTTCTTACATGCATTCGCCAGATTGAAGAATGTCCACCACGACGGAACCACCTTTCCTCAACTCCCTACGCGACATAGGTGTTTCAATCAACAAATTCGCTGGACGCGAACTCATCCCTACTGGCAAATTATACATCAGCGCGTCTCGAGAAAATGCGACCGACGAGGACAATGAACATTTGCGCAACGACTATAAACTCAAAACTTTAATCGATACATACAAAAGCCTTGACATTGGTGCCAATCCAACCAGATCCGGCAACATGCTGATCAGCAAATTCATGGGCATTACTCGGTGTCGGGTTGATTTGCGATCGGCAGTGTACTATAAGAACTTTAGAGCGAGATTCTCGATGTGGACTGCGTGGTAAGAACATGTCATTTCCTTTAAAGCCTCAGAGGTCTTTTTGTCAAGCTGACGGGTTTTGTACGTCCAGCAAGATTTTCTTTTCTATGTTTACATTGAATCTCGAAAATCCCTCTGTAGTAGCGCCTGTGGCAGAGGCTGTGTGGGTCAATGGCCCTATTGGCGAAACCTTGGAAGTACTTGACACAGGTGTGAAGCATATTTGTGACTTGTTCAAGGCTCCGTTGTGTCAAGCCTCAATATACCCTGTTCTGATCTGTGGCGCTAGATGGATGAGAGAACAGAATTTGCTGGTTGTTCTGATACTCTTGGTGTTGAGAGTGCCGGTGGAACACATTACGGCCGACTACATTTCCTGCGTGCAAGGCTTGCAGATTGATGAAGGGCGTTTCAAGAGTAGAGGCGAGGCTGATCTTGTACGAGCTATGGTTGAAAAGGAGGCGGAGTGGGTCATGGCGGTCAAGAACCATGTGGATGATAGTTATGGTGGTGCAGAGGGGTATCTCACGCGAGGAGGCGTGACTTTGGAGGAAATGGGTAGCTTGCGAGACGCACTCCAAGCTTCAGGTTCGAGGAAAGAGGCCGACCATTACGAGACCGCTGAAGACCCTTGATCCACGATACGGCAAAGACCGTAAAGAAGACATTGTCGGGGTTTACAGTGGCGATCCTGCTTCCTCGGTCTAGTTGGTCTACGTCTGTCAGCACACGTAGGAGAAGACATCCGAACATAGTTCTTTTGCCTTATTCCCCTCCCCAACACATCAACGCTTTGTCATATGCTAGAGCCCGCCGTCTCCAACAAACCAGCCAATGAGATTTGAAGCAGCTCACAACTCAGAAAATGAAGCTTCAGTGGACACTCAGACTCAGCATCTCGCAAGACACCGAGAAAGTCATTAGAAGAACGACAAATCTGCTTTGTTCTTACGGTCATCTTCTAGCATAATATGAGTTCAGGTAAGAGCATAGAAACACCGACAAACATTCAATAAGATCTACCAGCTACAAACCCACCACATTTCAGAGATTCATGGAAACAATCTTGAGAACAAGATCTTCAGTGAAGAAGTCGCCAGATATGATACTCGTGCGTCGCTTCCACGTCACATTCGACGTCAAATTATTAGCCGTGAAAGGGTTCATGATACCGGCAAGAACCCTCGGACTGAAACTTGGATTCTTCGAGAAGCCCTCATTACCAAAAGACGGAGTGAGCTGGCATTGAGCTCCCCAGAATCGGGTCCGAGATGTGGTCTCTGGAGTCTTGTTCATGAAACTGTTGATGTCGTGCACGACTTTGTTGGGATCGAGACTACCCCAAGACTCTTGGTTCCAAGGTCCTTGGAGCATACTGCTCGAAGGCCAGATGTGCGAGTCGAAGGTGCTTGCTAAGTTTGAGTCACTTGGTCGTAGATTGTTTTTGTCGCAGAAGAAGATAATCTGATGGCCGTCATCTCGAGCTTGTCGGACTGTAGGTACGGGGTTGTTGTCGCCGGGATAAGCCAGAAGTCGTCCTTGAACGGCATTGAACACTGTGCGCCAGAACAAGTCAAGCTTGCCTTCAGCATTGTCAAAATCAAGTTGAACAATCAGAAACTCAAACGGATGTTCTTTGATGAACTGGAGAATCTGGCCCAGAAGCGTGTCATTGGGAAACTCATGGTCATTCTCTGCCAAAGCATCTCCAACTTGATGTGCTATTCCATGTCTTGGCCAGAACCTATTGTCATCTTCATATCTCAATCGCAAGTCAAAGTATCGGATGCCCTTCTTGAGTTGTCCATAGAAGTTCTCATCATGACATTGCCAATTTTCTTGAGTGATGCCCAGGATGGCAGGATGTTTCGGGGTGCCAAAACTGCCGGCATCGTGCGAGCCGGGATAATGGAGTTTAGCTAGATTCCAGTTCAGTACGTCCGGTTTGATACGTGTCAGGTCTGTGAGCCAAGTGGTGACTGACATATCTTCACCTACGAGGTCGCTGTCTCTCAAGGTGATGCTGATCATGTTGTCGCTGGAGTAGCTACTGCCGATCTTGCCTCGGGGGAAGGATTGACTTCTGGGCTGAAAGCAGTCAGTAAACCAGGCACAACAACATGAAGCAGCAGATATTGACTCACCTTTGGGTCTCCATTGACAGACAAACCCGCGCCGTAGTCACCAAAGTCTTTCTCGGACTTGACTAGCCCGTAAACAAAGAAGGGGATCTCCTTGTCGCCCACAAAAGTGAAGTAAAGCCAGCCTTGAAGACAAAATCAGCACCTGTTTCCCAACTTGATGGATGATTTGGCATTCATACCCCAATGATCGCTCTCAAAGACGCCTGGGTCACCCATGGAGAACGTATGGTTGCCAGAATTGCTACCAGGTTCGATGGTCCAGTTCTCGCTTGGCAGATCCTTCCAGTCGGAACCAGAAGAGCCTTTGTAGGAGATCTTGAACGAGGTATCGTTCTGGATGTAGAAAACGGTTCTGGTCATGTTGGATGATTGCTAATTGAGCTTTCGTGAATGAGTTTGGTTGAAGTATGTCCGACCTGAAGATGAGGCAGATGCAGCTTTATATGTTCGTCTCTGTGACACTGGGCGCTTTATTTGCTATTGGACAACGCAACTGGAAGAATTCGGTGAGCTGCATTGACCAATTATACTCTGTTGCAGCGTTCTCTACCATTGAAGCATGGATGTGTCGTAAGTTGGTATTATCTTCAGCTGATGTCTTTCAGTTGATATTCTCGTTGCCAGCACAAACGACTGTCCAGATTTAGTAAGACCGTTGCGAGCTGAGTCTGAATATAGCATACGAACCAAAAATATGGTCTTTAATTGGCCTCCGCTTGCTTGCCGACGTCGCGTACACGTGCTGTTCCCCCGAACATGCATCAAGTGGTCAATCAAGGTTCGATGGCCCGAAGCGCTGGCGCCCCAGACTTGAGCTGAAAAGTATGCGGGGGACTGTCCATGCAGGGTCTTGGAGGTACCACTGTCCAGAAACGGAATACCAATCAACATCTGCTTGTATGCATCAGCGCCTGCTCCTGCACAGATGACTGATTTTCCTGATATTAATAAAGCCATCAGATTTTATGCTTTGTTGTCGCATCTCGTTACACGGGCGTGTTAAGGACCAAGACCTTCATTGGGCAGCTTGTTGCAAAAATGCCTCAACCACAATGCTTTGACAGCTTCGATCAGTCGACCTATCACCCAGGAAGCGATCCTTTCAACCGCGCAAGGCGTTCTTGAACATCCTTTTCCAACCCTCTCATCGCTGTATGGTCAGGGGAACCCGTTGTTGAGAGTGATAGAGAATCTGGAGGAGCAAGATATACTTGCACAGCATTTACTTGACGCTGCATCAGGTAGCCGCACATCTGTGCTACCATAGCTGTACGCATTTCTCCGAGCGGAAGAGAAAAATCCTGTGCATTGGGACTCTCACTGGCTGACTTCTGCTTGTTCACCGCATGTTGCAGGGCCATCACAGCAGCGAGATATGTGTTCAAGAGAAGCATATGATTGGCCATGACCATATGCCTGATGATACTGTCTGACCAATGGTTCGACGATACAGAGGGCCCACCAGCAGGATGGCCATCGTCGCCAGGAACCCTGCCAGTTGTGTCCGTATGTTGGTCCAATTCTCCTGGCACTGGTCTGTTTTGTGGTGCTGGATCAAGTCGTGAAGCTTCTTCACTAAGAGAGTGAAGAGTGTCAATAAGTTTCTGAGAGGCCGAGAACACGTTCTCAAGAAGAGCGCAGCCGTCATCAGTGGCTGCGGGTGTTTTCGATTCCTGCTCGGCGGCACTGACAGATGAAGCATTTATGTTGGAAGAAGCACGCACAAGCCAACTAGTCAGTCTTTGAAATGCAGAGTCATCTGCAAACGGTCCTTTTCGGAGAGCTGCAGTATCCGCTTGGTCGATTGCATCTGGGAAATTGGCAAGTTCGAGAACTGCACTATATAGAGAGTATAGGTATTGGCTCAGTCGAGATAAGATGGCGATTGCGCTCTCAGGTTCGACCTTCTTTGGAGGAGTAGTCTGGTGGGAATTTGCTCGGACTGCGTCTTGGTCTATCTGCGCCTCAGGTCTGTTGTGGATGATTTCAGACGATATGAACGATGATTCCACTGTGTTGTAGCTAGACATTTCATTCTCATTGTCAAGACTCGGAAGATCAAAATGCCAGTGCACTGGGTCCGTAAAAGTGTTGTCAATATGATCCATCCAGTCAACAGGCATCGAATCATTCCACATGTCGGTGTTCGTGCTGTCCGGATGTTGCACTACATTTGTGACCATCTCCGCATCAACAGCCGAGTGTCCAGCAGTAAATCCCTCTTCACTGCACTCAGTAGGCTTTCGGGTGACTGAAGCAGTCCCTCTCGCTCCTCTGGGTCGACCCTTGGGTAGGCTTGCGCTGTAGATACATTGTGTCTTCAAACGATTACAGCGCTCGCATGCCCCGCTCTCACCGTTGGATGGGCGCAGGCATCGTAGTTTTTGCTTGTGGCATCGGTCGCAAGATTGCCGCTTCGGAAGACTCCTGATCTTCTGCATCTGCTGCTTTTTGGAAGCAGATCGCAGGTGTGCTGAATCACATCTAAGATGAACAAGATGACGATGCTGAGGGAAGGGGGTCTAGGCGACGGCCGAAGGAAGGCATCATCCCAATAGCAACAAAACTACCGAATATTTGCCGATGAGATTGCGCTCCCAAGTGCCCGGATTCGGAACTCTTCCTTGTCTTCAACCTCGACATGAAATAAAACAATGGCTTTTGAACAGCTTGCGGAGAAGCTTCTGACATTTAAGGAAACAAAACTCCAAGGGTCATCATACTATTATTGCCGCTTGACACGCCATGCCATGAGCACCCGACTCGTCCATCATGAGAATGAGCTGCTTGGCCTTGGTCCCAGACCACTTTTCTCATAAGCCATATCGATCATCTTCATCTGCGCGATCGAATCTTGCCCATCCACCCAATGTTGGGTCTCCCAACCTCGAATCCTATTCACAAAAGCTTCCAGCTGATACCTGTACGACATCCAGAATGTCTCACCAGGAAGATCAGCAAATTCACCGCCTGCTTCCCTGAATGTGTAGGCCTTGCGAGACTCGTTTTCCTCCCACTTCTTGACAACTTTGCCTGTATCTTTACTGCGGATCTCGAATTTGGTCTTGACGTCGATGCGGTGCCAGAAAACACCATGAATCATGCCGTTCAGCGTCAGTATCTGCGTTTGAAACTTTTCCTGGTCTTCAGGAAGGGTACTGTCGGGCACAGCAATCTCTCTGGTGGTCACAGTCACAAAAGACGGCTTGAGAATGGTTCCGCCCCGAAGAGTACTGCTCGCCTCACCAATACCGCCATTGGGGAACCGAAACTTGGCTTGAAACTCGTAGTCGCACTTGTCGTGGACTCCATCCGTGTAAGCCCCAACGTCGCAACTCATACATTCAACAGGGTCGGCGTCAAACAGCAGACGAAGTGCTGCACAGTTGTAAGTGCCCATGGCCATCATGGTACCGCCAGAGATGTTGTAGTTGAAATGGATATCGTCCTTGGAAGAAGCCCACCAAGGGATCATCGAGTTCGAAGTGACATGAACCACATCCGCAGGATTGATCATTGACTTGAACAGATTCCAAGATGGGTAGAAGCGATTGTGGAAAGCTTCAAGTATTACCGGACCGTTTGGCTGAGAGAGCTCAGGCATATTGAACAGAATCTTAGCTTCAGTCGAATTCGATGTCGAAGGCTTCTCAAGAAGAACATGCTTGCCAGCACGAATTGCACGAACGGCCCATTCGTAGTGGAGGCCGTTAGGTAGCGGGATGAAGACGCAGTCGATGTTCGGATCATCAAGGATATCTTTGCTTTGTCAGCGCTTGTGGATGAACAGATCTCAGGAGGCATGACGAACCTTGATATGTATCCTTGACTTCTGGGATGCCGTGCGACTTTGCAAATGTTTCTGCTTTTGATCGGTCACGCGCTGCGACAGCTTGAACAATGACTTCAGGATGAGATTTGGCGGGGATGATCAGCGAGAGAGGACTGATATCTGTGTTTAGTAGAAATTGATGAGGAATTGTTCAGCGAAGCGACTCACGCGATGCTTGCAGCACCCAGAATACCAAATTTCAGAGCGTCATCCTTCTTGGTCACTTTTGGAGGATTGAAGGCGGACCAAACACGGTTGGTCATGGCTGCCATATTGATGCAAGGTGTTGATAGAGTCGTATCGTGTTGGATTTGGTGTACCGTCTTGATGCCGCACCCGAGGAATGTCGAGTAGTTGATCGAGTCTCATCGTTGCGGTTCGGCCAGGCTATTTAACATTGATCGGGACCGTAGTCGGGGATATCTCCATTCGCGCTCTGCTGTCCGGTCTGATAAACAACCGACCGACTTCAAAATATTCTATGCAAAAACAAGTAGCAAGATTCTGAGCTCTTGCGATCGGTGTTAATGCCATCGGCGGCGGTCAGATCACGTGGCAGAAATGGCCGAATCTTGGGATTCTAATCGCCGAACGTGCCATTTCTGGCAGGGACATGTCGAGATGACCTTTCCATGATTTCGCCAGACAGGCATTCATACTCTTATTGCATCCCAAATCATATGATCAACTACCTGAAAAAGAGCCGTGTTCGAAAGCGATGCTTCTAGGCGCTGCGTGAGACCACCGTGCGCATCCTGAGCAACGCAACAACGTAACGCTGTTGTTCCGTGTAACTGGCAAGGCTGAGTTCTAGCATATCTCCCTGTTGGAAGATCGTTCCCCTACGCAGGGTTTAGATTAATTGATCCGACGACTGAGACGCATGGATCTGAGACTTCAGCTGCCGATGCTGCATGATCCGAGTTCCAGACTCCATGCGACCAGACCAGTGCAAATTGATCGCATACAGGTACAAGGCACTCAATTATCCAGTTATGTCCCCAATCTACGATAGATATGGCGCATCTTCACCAGCTTCTTGTGAGGAATTCAGATCATTGCCATTCGAACTTTGCATCAAAGTCGCACTCGAGACGGGCAGAGACAGCTACCTTGTCAAGTCTTTGTTTGGGAGCATCATTTCGCTCTGTAAAGAGATCCTGGATCCGTCGGTATAGCCTTGAAATGTTGTCGCACGAAAGTCCTCGACTTCTGTTAATCCGCGCAGTGTTACATCCCGACTGCAACAGAGTAACATCAATTCTGCAGCAGTCGTGCCTCGCCAGGTTCATGCATTCACGGCTGCATTCTCATTTCCTGAATGGAGATCTTTCAAGCCCGCAGTCATGCAGCTCCAGGTATTATAACGAATCAAAGATCCCACCAAGTCCCAAATTGGGAACATGCCGCTTTCTTCAGCCTTGCCCCAGCCTCAGAGCTGAACCTTTCGATCAAGCCGCAAGCCAAGTCCGATCCTGCAGCACACCACATGGCCATACAGTCTATTGCTTGGGCGAGTCCTTATCCATAGGCTTGTGTGTGGCTTGCAGACTGTTTTCTTTTTCGGACTTCATAAGTTGGTAACATCTTCAATTCGCTGCTATATCTGCATGTGCAGACCCATGGATGCGTACGCTATGAAATGGCTGTGTTCATACCTTGTTTATGTGCCTATAGCAACTCTCGACTAAGTTTTACATAAAGCTCGCAGGGTTGCGCTCAAGAAGATCATTGCATCGCACGTCTTTTCACCATCTAGTCGGTCAACTTGTATCCTACATCCAGCGTTTCCGATTAGACAGCACAATTGAACGACATGGGCGACACCTCGTACCAGAAGTTGCTTACTGCAAATGAGACTAAACTCGGTCGAGGGCTCGTTTCAAGTTCTTTGGAACTCATGAGCCTGTCCAACACGACTTCTTATGAACCTGACGGTTTCTCTGCGCTTACGCCAGATGTTGGTTCGAAGTGAGTAGGAAGAACTTGTTCAAAAGCTCTCTGCTGATCGGAATGTGATAGATGGACTTTCAAACCGAGAAGAATGTCTACAGCGCTCGGCCCCAACCTGGCAACATGGACGCAACAAGCACTTCGCAGCTTCCGACTGCTTCTCCCTATGGCCGTTGGACCCTGGAAGAAGAAGGAACAGCCCAAGATCGCGCTATGCACTGGATTGGTGCCCGTCTTGACCGGACTTCTGGTCCACGTATTGCCCCTGGCCACATGTATCGCTCTGATCTATCTGAACGTGACGTCCTACTTCATAGGCACTCATGTCTCCACATTGACTTTCCAGTTCTTGGCAAAGTTTCTCGAGTTACTTGTCCAGGCTTCTTTGGGAAGTGCTGTTTTTGTTTATCTTCGCGCTCTCTTCACTGGTCCAGATTCGGTTCCCTTTGGGGCACTATTCGCTGGATTGCAGATAACAAGTATCAGTTACCTATGGTCCCTAGAATTCGCTGGCGTGGTCACATCCAGGGAGTTCAAACGAGTTAGAAAGCTCTCATTCCTTCTTTTGATAGCTTTCAGTGTTGTCTTAGCTGCGGGTATTGGGCCATCGATCGCTATTGCTTTGACGCTAGGAGGCTTTCATAATGGTTGGGCCGTAGCATGGCTCAACGTCACAGAGGACCAGATCTTTCCCTCAACCCTTAGTCCAAAGGGATCCGTCCACAATATTTCATGGACTTGTATAGAAGCCGATTGTCTAGATTATGGATGGGAAGCTGCCCTGACCATAGCCCAGTCGGCGTTTGTGTCCACGGTTGTGCACAACATACAACAGGGCACCCTCGGTCTGACGCGCGATTTTCTGCCATACAGAGAGATCCGATGGAATACCAGCGATGGACTGGCCGACTCGTCCTTTATAAGCAGTGTGTTTTCCTTGTCTGCGACTGTTACACTTCCGAGTAAGATTGTTGCCTGGTCTCTGAATCATTTGGCTGAACAATCATACTCTATAAAGCTTTGGCCCACAGGCAACCAGAATTTCACTACAACGAGTCGCCAACCAATTGTTACAGCAAGCTGTGGAGAAGCAGTCTGGTTGGACTCGACGACTTTGCATACAACCTTCCGGAACAACTCGGATCAATACATCCTTCAATCTGATTCTCTGGGCAACTTAACCGGCCTTGACCACCTCCAATTTATGTTTCTCGACCATGATCAGTTAGTCAATCAAGGGCCCTCAAAACTCAACCCATCAGTCTGGGTACTGTCTCGCTATTATAACGGGGACTCATTCATATGGGGGATCTGCGCTGTATATGCAGGCTATGCCCACGCTCACACTACGGTGTCAAGTAACAAGGAGACAATTCGTGATATCAACAAGGTCGTCACCAGTCAAACAGACCACGTATCTGCTTCGAACATTGCCGTTCCAGCGACATGGTTAAAACGGACCATGCCAGATATGGAAACTCTTCTGACGGCCGGTGAGGGTATGGACGGGGTAGATATGGCCACATTCTTTGCAACATTCACAGCTATTACGATGGCTCAATGGCCAGATTGGGTCCTACATACCCCGGATAATTGGTTTGCCTTTAGTGGTGGCGATATAATTATCGGCAACCCCAGAATCAACAACAGCGGATACGCTAATCCTTCGCTTCGATGGCTTGACCCCTCAACAGGAGATCATGTTTTCTATCCTGATTCGGAACATGCAGATACTCAGGGCAAGTACAAATTGGAAATGGATGTCAGCACTCGTGGTTATGGCTATCATATCGACCAACCGACCAAAATTATTGCGATAGCCGTGCTTGCCGCATATTGCCTTTTTATCGCAACCTTCATTGTTCTCACACTGACGCTCAACCAAGTCCATTCTAATGCGTGGGATTCCATTGGCGAACTCACTGCCTTGGCAATCATGTCGCAGCCAGACGACAAATTGCGAAATACCAGCGCTGGGATTGAGACTGTAGCTCTCTTCAAACTCCCAATGAACATCAGAGCAAATGACAACAACCATCTGGAGATTGTCTTCAAGGATGATGAAAGGGCCTACAATTCTGGGGTAGTGGAGAAGAACAAGAAGTACGAATAACAAGTTGAGACTCTGGAGGAAAACTCAGAGGACCATCAAAAGTGCATGCTGGTGACTGGTGTTTATCCCATCACGATAATTGGTTCTCACATTTGGAGTCAATCTTGTATCAGATCTCGATATGTTTTGGTCGTTGTCCTTCGGATAGCCAGTCATCAAGGAGTCTGACTTTCTCACTGTTTCCAAGACGCAGGTTCGTCCGTATCCTCGACCATTCCCATCCTTGTTCATATGCCCTATCAAGTATTTCTTGCGTCTTTCGAATCCACTCCAACTTTTTGGCCTCAAACAGGTCACCATCAAATCCTCTCTGAGCAGCTTCCAAGTCAGCAGCCTTGTCATCCCATCCAGCAGCCAAGTACACATGTCTCATGCTGAACTTGATGAATTGTGCCTGGTATTGATCCAAAACATCTACGTTGACTTGTGTCAGATATTCTTCATCAGGCTCTGAGCTGAGTTCCTCTTTGTAAGGTACCCATTCCAGCCTTATCAATTTCGCTATCCAAGGACTCATGATCTCTTTTACTGGCTTCGCATCGTCTAGCTCGAAGGGGTTCTTAACCTCTGGAATCTCGAGATCGACATGCTTTCCCCATGCCAGCCAAGGCAGCAGTCTTTCCGAGACAGTATCATAAATCAAAGAAGTACCATAGATATTCGGATTGCTCAGCACAAAAGCATGTTCAGAGATCTCTGGTGCATCCTGATAAGTCGGTGTCCGCGCCCAATCGAGGTTATCATCAACATAGCACACAGGCTGTGACCCATCAGGAAGGATTGCTTTCGAATAGATCTCGCTCTTCAATTGTGGTAGTCGTTGCAAATGAGCGATCACCTCGGACGAAAGTCCAGCTTCATGAGCGGCAGCAAGGTTGATCGGAATTGGTGGGGAGATGATGTCGTCAGCAGAAATGTAGTGGAGAGCAGCGAAGGTTTGATAAAGAAGGTTAAGGTGGAAAATAAGGTCTTCGTGCGCCATTTTATATCCGTGTGTGGGAGCATGTATTTCCAGGTGAGGTTGTCGAAAGAGGCTCGGAAGTCGGGACGATAGCCGTGGTGATCGGCGTCAACAAACAAGCTCTCGCTGTTGGGGAAGTGCTGGGGAGACAGCGACGACACGACAAGAACACCATCTTCAAGTGCACGCCATGTCACTCTCGAGAGGCACAGTAGAGTCCATCAAGAGATGATTGGGCGAAAGAGAAATCTCGACATTCATTTTATGAAGGGCGAGTAACCCTGACAAAACCAGATACGGTTGATAACTCTACACTGAATTGCCCGTCTGCGATAAGCAGCAACAAGCATTTGAGGAGCTCTTGTCGTGGAAAATAGACATGGAGCGCTTGATCTTGCTGTCAACGACGATCGATCGGCAACAACCAACTTTGCTAGAATTGCGAATTCACTCCCGGCCATCGCGAATCCGCGACGAAACAACACGAGACAACCACAGCGACCGGCAGTCTGGTCAAAAAACCTGCGTCCAGCGACAGTAGTATACAGTATCACTACAGTATGAAAACCCAATTGGCGGCAAGATGAGTCCAATGTCTAATATCGCAAATTTTGCGAAGCAGCAGAGTCGGCCGTAACATCGATTCTCAAAAAGCTGACGACATGGCGACGCGGCTTCAACCACAAGCTTCGCGGCTTTCTTCAACGGTTTTCAAGACCCTGCGAAATTTCTCTATCGTCGCAGCATAATGAACGATAGAAGACGCGTCTGCACGGCATTCAACAAGGATGGATGTTGTCGCCAAGTCGCCGTAGCATGTTGAATTTGATGAGGAAGGCGCCCTGAGGCATTCCATTCGTCGGTGGCTTGTTTTGGCAGAAAGTTACGGAAGGATCGATATATGAATGTCTATCACCGTTAGTTGGGGAAGCTGTTGCCTTATATTTGTTCGCGCTCTCTCTTCTTCACTCTTGAGCTCCATCCACATCCATCATGTCGAAATTCGAGCACAACATCGATACGGAACCCCAGGGTTACATGCCCCAGGGTCAAACACCCACGGGATCAAAACTCAACCCTCTACACTGGTCACGGAAATGGCAAAGCATCGGAGCTGTTGCAGTCATCGCAATCATCGTCGCCGTAGTCGTGGGTGCTGTCGTAGGCACAAAAGACTCAAACTCCAGCTCGTATCCGGACTATTACCCATTAAACTACACAATCAATGAGCGTATGAACGGAACCACTTTCTTCGACCACTTTGACTACTTCGACAAAGCCGATCCAAGCAGCGGAAACGTCGTGTATCTGTCTTCAGCGCAAGCAGCATACAGCAACCTCACCTACGCCGGTGAAAATTCAGCCATCCTTAGAGTCGACGATACGAGCACTGGTATCACAGACAGAAACTCGATTCGCATCACATCCAAGAACCAATGGAACAATGGACTGTTCGTGTTTGATGTCATCCACTCGCCATATGGTTGTGGTACATGGCCTGCTGTGTGGCTATCGGACCCCAACAATTGGCCTGAACATGGAGAAATTGATGTCATTGAAGCCGTTGAGCAAGGAAACAAAGGAAACCAGATGACACTGCACACTTCCAAGGGCTGCACGATGAAAACGAAGCGCAAGGAAACTGGCACAGTACACAGCACAAACTGTTGGAACTCGACAAACGAAAATGAAGGATGTGGCGTTTTCGGTCCCAAGAGCAGTTACGGCGCGGCGTTGAACGAAGCAGGTGGCGCAGTGAGTCAAGCTTCAATCTTTTGCTACTTTTCTTAAGCTAATTCCTTAACAGCTTTTCGCCATGGAGCTCCGCGATGCAGGCATCCGCATGTGGACTTTCAGCCGCTCGGACCCGCCTTCTGATCTCGTTTCTACCAACGACTCCTCACCCGACCCATCACAATGGGGCACCCCTGTCGCAGACTTCCCCAGCACTGATTGCGACATCTCCTCACACTTCAAGAACCAGTCCATCATTGCCAACATCGATCTGTGCGGCAGTTGGGCAGGTTCAACTAGCGTCTACTCCACAGAGTATGGATGTCCAGGTACCTGCGCAGATCTGGTCAAGAACAATGCCACAGCTTTTGAGAACGCATATTGGGAGTTTGGAAGCTTCAGAGTTTGGACAGCTTCATAGATATTCATTTTGCTGATTGTACCGAAGATACCCTAACCCTAATACGAAATTCTTATGTCACGTCAATTCCTTGTCTGATTCGCCAACAACTCAGAAGCAACTCCTTGTGCTGCAGCCAATTCTTCGTCCGAAGGCATGTCGACGATAAGCAGGTACAGAACATCCTGTTTCATGGTCAGTAAGGAACCAGCACAGTGAGCTGATACGACGTACCTTCTTCATGACCTTTTGCACAATTCCCAATGGCCCGGCGCTACTGCCGCTTCGGCCACCACGCAATGCCCCTGAACTTTGCTGCATCCTCCTGGACGAGTTTGAGGGACGTGTGTGGGGTTGTGCAACTTCGAACAAGCCACCGAGACCCCTTCCCAACGGACCTCGACTGCTCATGCCTCGTCCGGAAATGGCATTGCGGTCGAAGCGTGCACCATGCAAACTGCCACGACCACCGAGAGGTCCACCGCGCCCGCCTAACATGTCGTTACGTTCAGGTATCTGAATCGCTCCACCCGACAGCAACGCGACCAGCGAACCGTTGTTGGCTGGATGACTTGGGTCAGCAAAACGAGAAGCAAACTCTGGCTTTGGACCTGCAGCAAGAGCGCTGTCCGGGTTGTCTTTCGCCTGTGATACAATTCCGTCAGTCATCGGTCCGCGAACAGCTTGACGTCCCAACTTACAAAATGGGCTTGAGCTCGTCGGTCCATGTAGTCTTCTACGAATCGCCTCTTCTTCTGCAAAGACGACTTTGTGGATGATGCGTCTGGACCTGTTGACGAGACCAGAGCATCCAGACCTGGGTAGATCAAAGGTGCCGTCTCAGGCCATTGGAATTCTCCATAAGTCTTACCATTAGACTTGCGAAGCGAAGTCATGAAACTTCCATTTTGTGCATTCACCACTTTTGCCGCCATGCCGTTGAAGTCTACAGCAGTCCTTGCCTCATCTGTATCAGGGTTCCACGTCAAAACCAAGCAAAACAGTCCTTTTGGAATAAAGAATCCTTTATTCATCTTGTCCAGGAATTTGTTCGTCTTGTACCGGCCTTGAACCTCCATTGCTGCTGTGGTGGTTGCAGTGATGGCCATGGACACTAAAATGGATGTGACAGTAGGTAACCAGATTGTACCGATGGATGCGAGGTTGAGGGCTGCGATCCACTTTGTCGCTTGTGTGGACTTGTTGAAGGTCTCGATGAAGTCGATGAAAGTGGTTTGGTCGATACCGCGGGACTCGAGGATGGGAGGGTAAGCTCTGACCAGACCGCGGCTGCGATCTTTCGGCCGACGTTGTGGAATTATGATCGGGAAGGGCAGCTTTTCTCTTGGAAGAGGTGGTTCAGCTGCAGTCAAGGAGGGTGGCAGTCTCGAAATGAATGCGTCTGCAAGAGTGGCCGGATCAGTCGCTTCGTCTTTGTTCTGAGCCTGAGGTTCGCCAATGAGGTCGTCCTGGGCTTCATCAAGCGCCCATGCCTCTTCTTCGGGATTCAGCGCCGAGACTGCATCACCAATTGAGTTTTCTTGCTGCTGCGAGTCCGTCTCGGACTTTGATTGTGTCTTGTTTGCCTTGTGAGCTTTGTACGCTTCTGATACAAAGCCAATGCCGCCTCCGACATTCTGAACGATATTGGTGATGATTTGAGCCATGTGATCTGATATAGGTGATTCAGGTAATGATAAATGAGAGACAAAAAGATGTGATCAGTCCCCTCAGCAGAACAAGAGGCATACATAGCTTTTATAGATCACCACTCGAGGATGGTTGCAAGTGTGGCTTTGGCTTGTCTGAATTGCTGCGGCCGTAATGTATAGTCGGTCGTATGTTCACAATCCATCAAGGTGGCTGAGTTGATCCTGCGACTCCCTCACTTGACCATTTTCGGAGCATGGTCCAGCCCTCTTCTGTGATAGCTTCAATTGGGCTCAGGCACCCACAAATGCTTGACAATGCTTGGCCGAACTGGGCACGCTTTCGCCTGACAGCTCGCTTTCGGTCTCGCTCTTGTCAAATTGATACACGAAGGATTGTTGCCAGACTGGGGATCCTTTCTTCTGACATCTCGGATTCGGTCTCGCTATTGTCACTTGCTACACGAAAAGACGTTGTGAGCATGCACTCTGCTGACAGCTCGCTTTCGGTTTCGCTCTTGTCAGATTGTTACAGGAAAGTATGTGGCGCAAGAGCTGCAGGATGAGCTGTGTGTTGCTGATGCTCGGTTTCGGGTTCGCATAATCCTTCACCACCGCTGCCTGTGGAACGTCGCGACTTCTGACCAGTCCTCAAGTTCCACGGAGCGTCCGAAGTGTTCAGCATCCTTCAGGCAACCACTTTTGAAACCCTCCATGTTGTTGGCATGACCAGTCTGAGACGTTGTGACGCGAACCGTCGTATCGAGCACCTCAAATTCTCCTGACACAGCCAAGTCCCGCAGGATTCAACACCGCACAGCTGGCATAATTTGCCGAGGAAAACTTCCGTGGACAATCCCTGGAGTTCGAGGCATGACACCTGCTTGTGGCTATGTTGGTTGGTCCGACAGTATTGGTTACACCAAAAGTCCGACCGTCAAGTGTGCCTCAATGCAGAGAAAACGATGTGTTTGCTTTCCTGTTGAGTAATGGTATGTCGGAGAGTCGATGCATCAAATCCAGTCGACCCACGTTCTCAACCGCCACGACTTTTGGCCAGTCGGCGTCGCTGTTTTATGCAGAGCAAGCTCGCCGAAGCGGCCGCCCAACGTCCAAGGCGACTGCATGTCATCTCAAGCTTCTGTAGTGTCTGATAAATGGTCAGTACAACATGAAGTTGCCCTCTAAAGAAGGTGTCTACCACCGTTAATATCTGCTGTCTCTTGCTGTGTCTTACTCAACATTTCAGACATATTCCGCTTCATCAGCGGCTTGGTTCTCATCATTATTGGGACTTTTCTTCTATAGTATGTTTCCAACAGTGTCCAGCCACTCTCAAGTGCAGCCATCTCTGACGCCTGTCAAACATAGCCCATACTCGCTCATTGTATACCTGGTCGCGGCAGCTATTCTTGCGGCGACAAAACAGCCAATTGCATTAGCGCCATACATTACATGGGGGTTCCGCCTTACATGGGAAGAAGGGGTCTTGAGATTGAACATTGAGCAAGAATCAAGGTGGATTTCGCATCTCCATGCTGTCATTGTGGGATCAAGTTTATTTTATACGGGATGGTGTATTTTGCCATACAGAATTCAGGGACGCAACTTAGTGCATAACAGCTGGGGAACCGAGGCATGGTGCAGAAAGTCATGATACGATTCATTCGGACATCAAAACCGCCATATTACAACAGTCCAACGTCGCCTCCTGAAAGCCCAAGATCCACAATGGGCCACCTTGCAGCTATCTAGGAAACTCTGTCATTGATGACGACACCTTTCGGATCTTGTGTCTCGCTATCGCCCCAATCAGCAACCCAACCATTCTCTTCCAGATACTTCTTCCAATTCTCATCTTCGTCTTCCAGCTTTCTGCCAACATCTGGGATGACGAAGAATGCTATCAGCGCACCTAGTACAGCAAACCCCGATCCAACCAAAAAAGCACCTTGATCACCTGCGCTTGACGTGATTGGAATGAATACTTGAGTACCGATAGCAGCTCCAGCTTTCGAGATCGCCGAACAAAGTCCCATCATCTGTCCGCGAATGGCAGTAGGGAAGCTCTCAGAGGATGCCAAAACGACAGTAGATCCAGGACCGACTTCTCCGAGCGTGAGGAAAACGCCATACATGACCACGAATAGGGGGAAGATGGGCACGATTCTGTGGTATGCTCCGCCCAGGACAAAGCCAAGCACAGCTTGCATGGCAAATCCAAGTGCCATGGTCTTGCGGCGACCAATCTTGTCTGAAAGATATCCGCCGATGAATGGACCTGGGATGTAGAAGCAGTTGATCACGACACCCCAGCCAAGGTTAGTGATGAGTGAGTCGCCAGCATTGACTTTATTTGTGATGGTGCCAGAGAAGATACCGAAGGGCTGCAAACGTGGTCAATTTCGATACTCAGGATTGAGGTTATGACAGGACTTACAATTGCGATCCAGTTGTACAAGAACCATGTTGATGACGCGCCGAGCAAAGGTCGCCAATAACGCTTGATGGCCAGCAGATAAGGAACTTTCTGTTTTCTCATTGATGCTTTGCGGTAAGCGGTCGAGACTGCCATTTTATATCGGAACCAGAAGATTGACACTGGCGGAATCAAACCCAGAGCAAAGCTGAGTCGCCAAACGATATCATACTTCTCCTTCTTCTGTCCCACACAGAGTAGAAGGAGCAGAGGCACAAGACCGCCAAAGACGTAGCCCAGAGAAGCCGAGAGATCTGCGATCATAGCGAACATGAAGCCTCGGTGCTTGCGCATGCCTTTGTTCTCATCGCTTGCCTCAGCCGCACCAGCACCACTGACTGGATATTCACCGCCAGCACCAACGCCAGCAATACCGCGGGCGATGATGAGCATCCAGAACATGCCAGTCTCATCGGTTCCTTTTGCAGCAGTCGACAACACGATGCCCAGAACCAGCAATGCAGTTGTCGCTACAGCGCCAGTCTTGCGGCCAAGTTGATCAGCAATGACACCAAACATCAGCATGCCCACGATCATGCCGATAAGGAACGCATTCGAGAGTCGGGTGTAGATTGAGTTCGTAAGAGATTCTGGATAGAGAATGGCCAGCAACAGCTCGACGTTTCCGATGACTGCAGCGTTACTGCAAAAGTCAGCGATGAAACACGCTCAAACGCCAAAGACGACTTACTATCCGTCTGATCCAATTGCAAGACCGGAGAAGATGACCATCATGACCACAGATACTTTGCTGTAGAATGTCTTTCCCGCCTCTCCTTCCTCCAAGTCCATGACTTCGACCACTCCAGTAGCACCATTTTTCGATCCATCTATTTTATCAACATCATGCACAGCATCTTGCTCCGACGAGGTCGCCGTGATGCTTTCCACTGAAGCTGACATGGCTTCTTTCTTGGTTGGTGAAAATAGGTTGGATAACAATCTACCATGGAGTGGGGAGTTGGAGCCAATATCTATAAGTCCTACTTCGGCAATCACACGGTACCTCACATTGTATCTCCTACCGAAAAACAAACTTCTCAATATCTATGTATCTGCACGCGACAAGCAATCTGGCATTCGACATGCATCGTGTCAGGCCCCGCCGGCAGATCGCCCGAATGAGGGGCACGGCCAAGCGTCGGGCAAGCAGCGGGCAAGCCACGTGGGAGATAGGCAACTCGGGAGGATGCGATAGCTATCTTGTACTATTTTCCGCTATCAATTGTCATGCCGGACCAGTGACAACTTTTTTTCTGATCGATCCTTTGCGATTCTTATCCTTGTACAGAAATCAAGAAGCTTTGGAGGACGCATAGCTCCTCACGTCGACCAGTGCCCTGGAATATACGTGTGCATCCGGACCTCGAAAGCCATGGATATCAAGATGGAAACCAATGTTGATTCCGCAAAATGGTCTGATAGCCGGAAACAGGCTCGCAAGCGTTCGAAGTTGTGGATCGCAGCGAGCATTGCAGCACTCTATGTGACATGGATGGTGGTGTGCCATATTCCTCTCGCCCACCATCGACTGCCTGCTAACATTTCCATCAGAAGCCTTTCACCACAGAATCACAATTCGATCGTGTGCAGCAATGTTCGATAGACAACTTGCACAAAGATCTCTACTTTCTGGAGAATGCGCGCCCAATCGAAGCTCAAGAATTCCTTGACAGACGCGACAATCTAGCTAAAGCCTTACATGTCTCTGGTGTTGATGGGTTTGTCCTTGAGCCAGGATATACGTTTCAATACTATGCGAACATCTCGCAACCACAGTGGGAGCCATGGGAGGTACGATGAGTTTGATACAGAGGTTTTCTAGAGCATAGTTAACATCGACGCAGCCAGAAGAACGTCCTTTCCTGATGATTGTACAACCCTCTCTGAACACCAGTACAGGAGAAGTCAAAGCCAAAACCTCTTTCCTAAGTCCACATTTTGAAGAAGGCAGAGTGAGAATGCTAGGTATCCCTTCCGAAGGTGAACTCGATATCATCGTTTGGGAAGAACACTGGAACCCTTACCGCACTCTCAAAGACAGTCTATTTCCTGACAAGAACGCAACACTGATGGTTGACGAAGAAATTCGCGATTTTCTTGTACGAGGGCTGGATGCTAATGGCTTCAAGACAGTCGGTCTTGGTGGTGAAGTCGAGGCTGTGCGTCAAGTGAAGACTCCTGCTGAGATCAAATTGTTACGAGCAGTCAACACAGGGACTATCGAGGGTATTAGAGCTATGCGACCATGTCTGGAGCCAGGCTTGATAGAAAACGATGTCATCAAGATTCTCGACAACACTTTGAAGACCATCGGCTTCGACCTCTTCTTCGATATCGTGTTGTTCGACGGTAACGCAGCTCTGCCCCATGGCGGCTTTGCTACTGGAGACAAGGTTCTGACTCATGAGACAATGGTCTTGATCGATGCTGGGTATCACTATATGGGCTACTCATCTGACGTCTGCCGAAGCTTCTTCATCGATCCTCCAACCAAGTCTTTCCTTCATCGCCTACTGCGTCTACCTACGCCAGAGATGCAGAAGAGCGAGCTGCACGCCGAGAAACTCAAGGTGTGGGATATTGTGTTGGAAGCTCAGACAGAAGCCGGAAAAATGTTTGTACCGAATGGAACAGCAGCTAGCGTTGACATCGCAGCCAGAAAAGTCATCGATGATGCTGGCTATCAAGGAACCTTCACTCACCGCTTAGGACATGGTATCGGAATCAAAGGTATGACTTTGAGCACTTCACTGATCGTCCACTTCGCTGACTGTAGCAGCACACGAGTCACCTTACTTGAACAAGGGCAACCACAACACTCTGCTGCGAGCGGGAATGACGTTCACCGCTGAGCCGGGAATCTACCTCGAGAACAAGTTTGGTGTCAGACATGAGGATATCTATCTTGTCAAGGGGAACGGGCCTGCAGAGGTTATCAGCGGGAAGCGTGCTGTATCGCCTTACGATCCTTGATTTCAGCATTGTTCGGTAGGATTGGCATTGAAAGCTATCTTCGCAATGGACTCTTATAATAAGAAACGTAGTCTATTGTCAGAGCATTGTTTGCAGAGCATAAGATTTTGCTTTGCGTATGCTCTGATATGACACTGATGCGTCGCATGGACTCGATCCCAACAAGTAACAGCTATCCATCCCCCAACGTCCTTTGATAGTCCCAAAAATCCCCCACCTGAGCTTACGTATCTCTTCCCCTCTGATTCCTTAGCAAGACCACAAACCCTCTCTGATAATCAACGAAACTTAAGCCACCATCAGAAAGCCCCACGAATGTTGAGCTTCTTGCTTTGGCGATCAATGGTTGCGGGAATCATAGACACAAGTTCACATTTTCCCTTGGCCTTCCTTGTCCAGATTAGCCGTCATTGCAATTTTGTGCAGGGTTGTTCCTTATCCCTCCTAGCGTCCGAAGAAGTTTGCGCGATTGATGCGAGTTTGAGAGCGAAGCACCAGAAAGCCGTGGTAGTTTTCAGCCGGCTCGGGAGCAGCTCTGATAGATCTTCGAGGGTTAGGACGGAGAGCCATGGTGAAGGTCTGAGAATCAGCAGAGTTGGCAGCTGATGGCTCCGTTTTGGGCTCAGGAGCAGGGACGACAACTGCATCGGGTCTCAAGGCTTTGTCATCCTGAAGCTGTTGAGAAGGCTTGATGGTGGATACGCGCGGAGCGTGGGCCAGATCTATGACGGAATGAGAGACACCAGATCGAATAGGCAGGGTGAAGGAAGGCCAGCCAGTAGGGTTGATGCGCAAGAACTCTTTATCTTCTTCGCTGAGCATGCCCAACTTACGCCTCTGCATCAGATAAAAGTGGTTTCTCTCTGGGGCGTGCTGAACTAGGAAGAGAAGATCTCGTTGTGCTTTCTCGAGGAAGTAGGCAGGATGTCTGTGGTGTTCTGCTTCTCACTCAGTATGCGCATTCTAGTCCTCGAGGTAACCACATGAACACATACCGAGCTCATAGAGATCGACTATGACTGTGTGATCCATACCTTCCTCTCCGATCCAATCATGAAGATATTCTTCCATTGACTCGATCAGCACTTGCTCGTCCATGGGATAACTCCTCAAACACTGTGTTAGGCCATAGTCACCGCTCCTAAACCGCCAGCAGAAATTGATGAAAGATCCAAAGAACCACCAGGGAAGGCGGGTGCGGCGGAGCCATTTCTCAGCTTCACCTTCCCTTCTGCACCAGAGGATACGACGAGGTAGAAGCAGAGGTTTGGCGTAGTCATCAGTGGTAATCTTGCCGCCGCGGGCGATGTGAGAGGCAGCGCGATGGTGGTGGCGCTTGCCGCAAGGCTTGGGCGCTCTTTTGGTAACGCGACCTCGTTCGTTGTCGATCATGTTGAATTGTGTGTGTGTTTGTGTGAGCTTTGCAAGGCAGAACTGCTTATAATTGAAGACAGGCTTGACTGAGAGTAGAAAGATTGGCAGAAAGGCAATGCAACTTGGCGCGTATGTGAAGCACCAAGATGGATGCGGACAAGCGACGTTCCTTGCCAATGAGTAGCCAGGTCTTGGCTTTCACTGCCTGATGAAAATGTCTTTTCTTACAAACGTCAAGGATAAGCATGCCTTGCTACTGAAAGCCAGCAACTTTGATCACAACTTTGAATAACGACGTCCTGCTATCTTCCGAGCAGATGCTAGATGAATCTTCGCTCAAGACCTTTGAATCTTGTCTGGGGTTAGTCTTGTATGCTTCCGGGACACAGCAACGACGTCACGAGTTTCGAGCAGAACAGCATGCAAGGAAAGTGAGAACGAAATTAATACATTACGAAAAAGGTATATCGCTATGAACGTTATGACAAAGGAAATACGAGAATTACACCCTAAGCAAGTGCCTGGAGACCCTTAGACGTCAACGCCAACGGATTACATTGGCTGACCACACCACCAGTCATGGTAAATCTCAACTCTTGCGCAGCAATGAAGCTGAGGTCAGCTGTAGGATCCTTGACAAGGAAGACCTTGGCCTGCTGTGCGCCCTCGAATGTGCACAAGACGGGGAAGAAGAAGTTACCAAGAGTATCGACAGCGAGTAATGCCGTGACGGATCCGCTCTGCAAAGGAGTCAGAGTAAGAAGATGGGCACCGTGAGGAATTGATCCCCATGCGGCGAGACGGAAACGGGAAGCTCCATATGCGGCCATCATGTCGGGGTAGTAGACAAAGAAGTTTCCAGCTGCATCTCCGAGAACGACACTTCCGTCAGAAGCGAAGTTTGCAGCGGAGGCATTTTGAGACATGTACATGTTGCCGTCGCCAGAAGTGGTCAATTGGAGCTGACCGGTGGTATCGGTAATGATGATGTTGGTCGAGTTGTCGGATGTGGCTGTGGCCGACGAGCTGACTGAGGAAGAAGTGGACGACCTTGTCAGCGAGCTGGAAACAGAACTTGACTTGCTCGAAGTGGCAGAGGATGTCGCTGAGATGGAAGAGCTGATCGATGTTCTCGAAGCCGAAGAAGAAGAAGCGGAGACTGACGAGGACGATGGTGCTAATGAAGCAGTCGAGGAGATCGATCCACTAGTTGAAGCGGATGCCGACGAGGAGGATGTCAATGTTGGAGATGGTGAGGCGACCTTGTCATTGATGGACACTACTGTATCTCTCTTCCTCGAAGGCAATCCACCTACCAAGAAGGCAGAGTCGACGATGTAGGAGAGGTCAGTGGTACTGTTGATGGGGTTGCTCGATTGCGCACTCTTGAGGTAACATCCCGGGTTGCTACCGTAGTAGCCATCGTGGGCGAAGCCGACACCTGTGCATCCAGCTGTAGCGTCGCAAGCATTGATGCATTGCTCAAGAGTCGAGATACCATCCTTCTCAATGATATCGTTGCCCTCATAGTCGAGACCACAGCTGATCTTGTAGTACTTTCCTGCGGCGTCGTAGAAGGTGCTGCCGTCGATCGAAGGACATGAGCCAAGAGCCTTTTTGGCCGGCCTATTCATCTTGATAGCAGAATCGACCTTGTATCTGAACTTCGTAGCGTCAAGCGGCGAAGTTGTAATGTCGTACTTGGGATAGCAGAGAGGTGTCTTGTAAGTGCCATTGTAGGCATAAGACACACCAATGCAGTCGAGATTCGTGTCGCAGTAATTGATGCAAGCTTCCAAGCTACTGTAGCCGGACAGACCGCCTAGATCGTAGCCCTCGTAGTCGAGATTGCATTTGATCTGATAAACTTGCTTCTGGGCATCAACAAATGTGGTACCGTCAGCGCCAGGGCAAGATGCCAGAGGTGAATAGGTCACAGGCGTGGCGGCGAAGAGGGTGAGACCGGCAGGAATACTTCCTTTGTTCGGAATAGCGCTCTTCAACCAACAGTTCTGAGCGTCCTGACCACGCTGAACCCAAATAACTCCGACACAGCTTGAGCCGTAATCCGAACATGCGTCGATACAAGATGACATGTTAGAGTAAGGGGTATGCATGATATCATGGCCGGGGTAGTCAAATCCACATGCTACCTGCCAGTAAGTACCATCGCTGGTCGTGTAGTAATCTCCACACTTAAGCGCGCTTTGAGTAGGAGCAGCGACACTGCTAGTGGTAGATGAGACCGTTGGTTGTGCAGTGGCTGCACTGGTGGCGCTTTGGGCGCTACCTGCATTGGCAGTGGTTTGCGCACTTCCAGCGTTGGTCGTAGTCTGTGCACTTCCAGCGTCAGAGGATCCGGCATCAGAAGAGGTGGGCTGGCTACCAGCATTGGAAGAAGGTTGACTGCCGGCATCGGTAGGGGCAGAGGAGTCGCCCGAGTCTGTTGTCGTTGCTGCAGAGCCGCTTCCACTGTCGCTTCCATCAGATGACCCAGATCCTGCATCACCAGTGGCCGCCGAGCCGCTTGCATCATCAGTGGAGGTTGGGGCAGCGGATGAGGACGTAGTACGCTGGACAGTTGCGACGGCGCGACCAAGACAACCATTAGCCAAGTTGGGCTTCTGGTAAGAAGTCAGAGTGTACGTCGAGATATCTAACAGATGAACGGAGAGGTCATTCGACAATCCGATGTTGTACTTGATACCAAGGCATCCAGTGGAGCTCGTGATACCATTGGATGCTCCAGTCCCATAGCTTGCAGCAATAGCAAGTTCGGCAGACGCACTGACGGCAGGAGTGTCAACAAGCGAGATACCCTTCGAGTATTTTCCGTTCAAGATGTCGACGCCGAAGAAGAGAGTGACGGGAAGCGCTAGAGAGGCAGACGCCGTCACATCACCCCAAGCATCGAATTTTTTCGTGATCACGGGTGTGAAGCCAGACTGAGTAGATTTGGTCTTGTCCAGGAGATTAAGGCTAGCATGGATGGCTGGCCAGGACATTGAAGCTCCAACAAGCATCTGACCAGCAGCTTGGACTTTGAGGTCACTGTTCATCGAGACAGTGACTTTTGGACCCAAGACCGCGATACCTGGAATACTCAAGGTGGGAAGACCTTTGTTGATGATATCCTTGTTGATGGTCTTTTCGTAAGCGGCGAAGGCATTGACACCGACGAAGACACCTGCGTATAGGTTACCATCAAGGCTGACATCGCATCTGGTGACTCCTTGCGCCAGACTGGCCGAAACTGTACCAACGGCTTGGAAGTCGCCCTTGATGCCGCAATCGACGCAGTACATTTGAATACCAGGCTTGGGGTTGGAGACGCCGTTCAGTGAGCTTGACATGCCGTTAAGAGATTTCTGGGTCGCAGCGATCATGGCAGCATCTTTCTGAGAATCGGGACTGTATCTGTTGATGTCTGTTAGCTCATAGGGTCTGTTATACACTGACATAGGTCACTTACTCGAAAAATTTATATTGATTTCCCCATGGAGAAGGGTCATTTTGGGCTGGTCCAAGGTTGAGAGGAACATCTAGAGACTTGGAAAGGGTCACGGCAGGTATCAAAGACAGGGCCGATGACGCGACCGACTTCACGGTGCTGGCAAGAGACGTGACAGCCTTGGTAACGGAGGCAGGCAGGACCTTCTCAGCTGCTTTAGCAACCGGAGCGGCAATCGCTTTGGCAACTGAGGTGACCTTGCTGACAGCCTTGCTAATGAACTTGGGCCATCTTCTGTTGAGGGTAGCTTGGTTAGAGGGTGCAATGGCGGCGAGCACAGAATCGGCATCGGCATCCGCTCCGCTGTAGTATCCAAGTTCTTGATCAAGAGTGGCATCGAAAGAATTGCCACAAGCAGCGGAAGGGAAAGTACCGTTAGTGCCGTTCATAGTGCCGCAGTTTGGCACATAGGTGGTGTTCGAAGTGGTGACAGTGCCGAAATCAAGATCAAGGGTATCAAAAACATCAGCCAAATGTGCTTGTTGACCTTGACCGACAGCGATCAAGTTTGTGGTATCGAAAGTGAACGATGCGGTCAGGAACATGGTGCTGGTTCCATTGGCACCACAAGTATCCTCTGAAGTCACCAGGATAACGTGACCATCAGTCTGCCATTCAGTCTCAGAGTGTTGGAATGCAGTCGCGTCGTTAAAAACGATGGTGATACTCGAATTGTCACAATGCACACTCTTGATATAGTTGGTGTGGTCAAGGACGACTGAAGGGTGCTGGAAACCAACACCAACCTTAGCGACGGTCGAAGTGGCATTGTTAGCAGATTGGGCACCTCCGAAGTAGAGATTGGCTTGGGGGTCAGGGGTCAAATTCTCGACATTGTTCAAGTCCAAGCCAGGTGGAATCAGTGCTGCAAGAGTGGCAGTCGGTGCTGGGGGTAAGGTAACTTCAGAAGCTGTAAACACAGATCCCACTGCGGAAGGCGTAGGCAGAGCGCTCTCAACACTGGTCGAAGTGCTGGAGGATGCGGCTGAGCTGGACGAGGCTTGGAGCGGCTTGGCAGAGCTGCTCACGATCTTGCTTGAAACCGACAGCTTAGATACAGGCTTCGACGATGTTGTTGGCTTTGACAAGGTCGTCGACTGCTTTGTGGGCAAAGCAGACGGTATCTTCTTTGTTGAAGAAGAAAGCTGTGTTGGCTTCGCCGAAGTGGTTACCAGGGAAGGTGTAGCAGTGACAGCCTTGCAGACTTGAGACACTACGGGAGCAGGAAGGGCTGCGAAAGGACTGCCTTTGCGGGTAGGTCTGGGATATATTGAGTGACAAGAAGCGAGTTGGGGCATCCGGGACGGAACTTACGCATTGAACCAAAACTTGCAAAAGGGCAAAGGCTGGGCAACCAACTTGCGAAGAGCATCCAAGTTGGGCACCTTGCTAATGCCAGTAGGTGAAGCCATTGCTTTGGTCGAGGTTTTGCCAATCAGAGATGGCGTTGCGACGATGCATTTGCAGACCCTGCTGATGTCGGCAGAGGCGACACCATTGATAGGACTGGAAGAGATGTATGAAGCTCCAGACCACCATTGGCAGAAGTTGAGAGGCGAGCCAAAATCATTCTTGATGGCAGTAAGGACAGCATCAGTAGAACTGCAGGACGGCTTCGAGGCAGGAGCTGCTTGCGCAAGTTGCCCAAAGGCAATCGCCCAAACCAGCCAAGTGATCAAAGTCGAGAATCGCAACATCCCCTCAGATGTTCGCGGTAGTGATCAAGGGAAACGAAGGTACAAAAAATGGCTGGGCAAAGGATTGAGCAGGCACACAGACGAGTTGGCGACGACGGCCTTGCTCTGCTGTACATGATGCCAGGCGCTACAGTATATATATGTGACTTAGCTTTTGCTATGCTCACCTAATCTGTCGCTCAAGGACCCATAAGGTCAGACATGTCCAACTTCCACAAGCTGAGATACCGTTGAACGCCCTGATTGCCATGTATGTTCGACATGGTATGAGAATGGTGCAGAAGGAGATCCTCGGATTATTCGACGTTTCAACAACGATGAAGAGGAGTCGAGGACGTGGACGTTTGGAAGGTCTTTCCGAGTAGGAGACAAGCTCGCGAATAAGCTCCACCGGTTGTCGGAGAAGGCTTCTGTTGGATTCCGCTCAATGCATCTTTGCACTCGGTAGAGAACGTGCAATTTATGCAAGATGAGCAAAAAGCTGTTGTCGCTGTACTGCGTCGAGACAACCTCGTTGTAATTCTTCTGATCTCTCAGCTTAATCTTCATTATTATATCTCAAGCTAAAACAATTGTTTCGAACCGCGTAGAACAAAGTTCTGTGACCAATATCCTCCGTCGAAGGTGGAAGCAACTAATGCTTGGCACTCTTACAGAACGTTGCATAACGCTATCTCGTTTATTTGATGTCGAAGCTTTGATCGAGCTTCTAGGCACGCCAAGGATGCACCCCTCAAAAGACGTTCTTCAGCTCACGGTTTGTCGTTCTTCGATTTCGAGTTCCGAGACCTCGATATGTCACTACCGCTCGACCGCCGTCGTCTTCGACAAACAAGTGGCTACTCATGTTTCATCCTCTCTATGTCTCTGGAGAGACTGGGTTCTAGACAGGTGCTCGTGGAAGAAGCCCGGCTTGGGGTCTTCTCTCGAAGAGAGTTACTTTGAGCTCACCGGAGCCCGGGTCCCTAAGGTTTTTGTATACCATTCAAACGGTCTCGTATATAACGGAGACCCAGACACTATTCTCTGCTTCGTTCGTTCACGGCTGCTCCGAACATCTGTCAAACCTTATGCATCTAATATCACCTGACCTCCTTCAAGCAGAGCCAATCATGAATTGGAGTTTATGTGAATATTCGAAAAGCGCTTCTTGCCCTATCCGTTGACTGATATCCGAGCGAAAGTATGTCGGTCTTCCCGCCCATTGAATTAAGCAGCAGACTCTCTTTTTCGACAACGTTCATACTCCTTCAGCTGAGGTTTGTCGCGCCATAGTCCTTTCTCGGTTGATACTCATCAAGCCTGGAACGAGCCACCAATGTGCTAGAAAAATTCTTCGTCCTTATTGCTACCGTCTCAGTCAGGAAGCAAGAACATCCGAGCAAGTCCTACGCCCAACTGCTATATTGAAATGAGCATGTTGAACTTTATGGTCACAACATGAGGCGTGAGCTTTTGATCGGTTTGAACATGGTGATACCGTTGTGGTTGTAATTTCTGTTGGAGAAGAAGGTCATGCAGCATGTATGATATTGTCTCATGGCCTTCCAAGACTGTATAAAGCCTCGCCTGTACTTCCTTGGGGATCTTGAGAACGTCTGGTGAGTTCTTTTGGTGCAGCGGAACGATGTTGTTACAACATCTCATTCCTATCTGCTTGGCAGGGCTCGCTACTGCAGCTGCAAATGATAGCAGTTCCTCGAGCACTCTTGATTGTACGTCATATCTTTTCCCAGACGAAACACACAGGTGTCTGACAAGTCAGCAGCTTGTAACAAAGCGGACGTTGCCTTGGTGCAGTTCAATGCCGAGAGCAATCCCAATCTCTGTGAAACATGGCTCAACAGGTACGCGCCAATGTCGAATTTACGACATTGCATCTGACTAACTCTTTGTCTAGTCCCCGAGAAACAGTACCAATCGAGGGCATGACTCCGGCCGAGCTCACAGCAGCTTGTGACTGTATCGCAGCCACCGCACAAGAGATGAAGCTTGCTCTACAGCTTCCCGTGGTACGCGTTGCGAAGACCACCGCTAAGCCGACCCCGAAGACTACTGCAAAGACTACTGCGAGAACTACTGCGAAGACTACTGCCAGAACTGTGGCAAGCACTCTGAGGACTACGACGAAACCCACAAGTTCGGCCGTCAAGTCATCGCCTAAAGTCTCCAGTCCATCTACAAAAGCTTTGACTACACGCGGAACTTCTAAGAGTTCTTCTGTCTCAAGCTCCTCGATTCGCTATTGTGGTCTATATCCTTGTAGCCACCTCACGTTGAAGCCCTTCTCATTCAAGACATCTGTGAAGACCACTGCATTGTCCACTCTATCAAGCTCGTCAAGTCGACGTTGTATTGGTGTAGCATGCAGCAAGCTTACTGCAAAGACCTCATCAACTACATCAGCTAAGGGCGGTATATCGGCCAAGAGCTCGACAAAGTCTCCAGCATCCAAAGCATCGTCGGTCTCATCTGCCTCGAGAGCTGGTACTAAGGTGTCGAGTGTCTCGAAGAGTAGCACGAGAGTATCAACTTCTGTCACAGGCACCTTGGCTAAAGGTGTCACTGTAAGAAAGTCTTCGTCTTCCACGCGCAGGGTTAAGCCTACATCGACGTCCGATCCTGGCTCAGGAGATGGCTCCGATGCAAGTTCTGGAGGTGATGGATCTGACTCTTCTGCTGCCACCACTTCAGTAGGCGACGATGGTTCTGCTACTACCACACCGACAGGAGATGATGGATCTGCAGCGACCACTTTACCGGCCGATGACGGTGCTGCTACTACCACTTCAGCAAGCGATGATGACTCTGGTGATAGCTCATCGCCGACATCTACGTTGGTTGACGACGGTTCTTCTGCCGCATCAACCTCAACCATTCCAGCATCCACCGTGACCTCGACTAAGCCCAAGTCTGCTACTATGAAGATAACAAGCAAAAAGGCTCAGTCAACCTCAACGATCTTGGCAACTTCAAGTCTCGTTTCCCCGACCAGCGATGTCGCAAGCACATCTACCACCGCTGTTGCGAAGCCAAGCCCAACCTGCTCGTCCCCTCTCGCTGCCAACGAGACCTTTCAACTATACATATATGGGACCAACACTGCAATTGATGGCACCCCAATGCAAGGCTTGACGAATGGTGCTACTGCAGTTGGCTTCGATGTCGGGTACGTCTCCCTAAACTTCACGCTCGATTGTACCACCGGCTACGTCTACTGGGGATCGAACTCAGTCTTGTCAGGTAACAGACAAGCTTTCTCGGTGAAAAGTCAGTCAACCGTAGTGGCACCCCTTGGCGACTCAAACAATGTGCCTCTGAGTTGCAGTCTCGATAGCAGTCTTGTATTGAGTTGCCAGTACACATCTGCTCGCACCCCCGATGTTTTCCAGAGCTGGGCGGTCAGTACTGGCGATGCTCGATACCTTGCTATGTCTCAAGGCAACACAACCGGGATCACACTCAAGGCTGTGCCTCTGAGCTCGAATAATGCCGTCACCTATCCCACACACTCAACCAATCAGAAGCTGCTCAGCAATGGAGACTTCGCCGCAAGCTCTATCACTCCTTGGAGCAAGTTTACTCAGGGAAAGAGTTCCGATATGCAAGTCAACACACCTGCAGTCAACGCCACAGGATCTTGCTACGCATTTGCAGGTATGCTTTCCATTACTCCCGACAGCAACTTCGTGAACGGCTATGCTTGGGGCGGACTCAGCCAGCCGGGTGTAACACTTTACATGGGTGAACAACTGTTTGTTGGTTATGATGTCTTCCTGAATTATCCTGCTGGTTTGCCTAGCGGTGTGCGTTGCGACATCCAGGTCAAGGCTACAGACCACGATACTCTGAGCTATGTGCGCTACGACAGCAGTAGCCCTGCCTTCGTGTCCTTCAATACGACGACTTCTGCAAGTTACAATGGAACAGGCAGTTTCACCATCACTGCATACTGTCAAGGTCAACCGGGTGGTCCATGGCCAACACTGAACCTCGGCTTCAACAATGTCAGGTTACTAGGCGCTTACAACCCTACTGATGTTGGCGCCGCTCTGACTTGCGGTTTCAAAGAAGCCCGAGATGCTATCCAGTCGGCTACTCTACAACCTTACTGTTCCTCATTACTGTCGTACAGCACACCAACAACGACCTCGACTCAAGTCATCAGCACCACAACTACCTCGACCATTACCGTCAACTATGGAAGACGCAAGAGAGGTATGGTCACTGCTGCGCCAGGGACTACGGCCGAGCCTTTGAGACGTCGACAGCTTGATTCGTCCGCCGCAAATTCAACTACAACGTCGAGCACCATGACTGGAGAACCCAGCGTTCTTGCCACATTCGCGCCCTCGGACGTCACCAACGCATGTAGTGTTGAGGCCGCACCTGTGTCTACCACAGTTACCGTAGTGACCACAACAACGACAACACTTACAGCATATGCAACCGCAACCAAATCTCCAGATCTCTTCATTCTCTCTCAATCAGGCAACAGAGCCCTGTATGTCAGCCGCGATGGCTCTGGTGCTGTTGTCTTCACCAGCGACGCTTCAGCCGCCATGCCTTTCTTTATCGACGATGCTGGAATGCCTCGTTCGTGGCAGGATCCTTCTCTGACACTTGTGGACCACTATGAGCCCAATTCTGGCACTGCAGACAACCGAATTTACATCGAGGCACCTTCCTCAGCATCGTACACGTTGACCTGCAGAAATCTAGGGCGGAGTGCTGGAAGCTACTTCGGCGGCTGCCAAAGTAGTGGACCGCCGAATGGCAATCCTGTCGTGTATGGGTTTGGATGGTGTCCCTCAACGCAAGCATTGTACATGATACCGAATAGCTCCAACGTCAGATGTGGAGGTGGATATGCATTCTTGGGCTTCTTCCTCGTTGCTTATAATGGGTAAGTAGGTGAGCTGAGATGATGACCAGAAAGGCTCGAATTTCGTAATGTCCTTTTTCTTTTGTACATATCTAATCATTGTTTCCTTTCCAATGACCATCTCCCTGGTTCATCATGTGACCTAAGACGCGAGTGTGATACTGCGTTGTTGCCGGACGAAAGACTAGTCCGAAATAGGAAGGGTCGTCGTCGAGGCACATTTTCCGTCCAACCAACTGCGTACATCCAATCAGACGCCCTTGTCGACTCTCCTTGCGATTGCTGTTCACACCCATCACATATGGTAATAGATCAAGCACAACACAACAGAACTTCCAGCAATCATGCCCGACCAGCAGGCCACCGCAGGCGCTTCGATGCACGATGAGCAGGTCACCAACAAGCACCCTGATCACCAGGAGGCTCCTACCACCGATCGGCAAGCTTCTGACTACACTACCACCCATCAGGCTGTACGTTGCATCTCCAGCTCGCGCGCAACATCCTTCTTTTAGAAAAACCTTACCGACTGAGTACAGCAGACCCACGATTCTACCTCTTCGCTCGACAGCCACGACGAAGACTTCCTGAATGACCCAGTCAAGACCTACACCTTGATGCTCGAGCACTTCTCCATGGGAAACATTGAGGAGGGTGAGAAGTTGGCTCAGGAGTTAGTGCTCTGGGGACCCTACCCCGAGAAGGTTCACGCTCGTCTGGTAAGTCTTATCTCCCTTTCTCAGCATAAGACCTTGGTCTTGCTGTCGAAATGCACGACAAGTTCAGGATTCTGAAATCGGTCCATCGAGAGCCAATGAGGAGTCCGCTTAATGGATACACTAGTGTTTCTTGTCAAAATCGTGCATTTTGATGGCTAAATAATATGCAGCACGCGACCAGAGACTGACTTTTCACCAGTTCCTCGCCCAAGTCGGCCAGGACGCCTTGTTGCACGCCCATCTGGCCGCCAATGGAGCCGCTGAGGCTATTGCCAAGTCTGGAGAGACAGACGATGAGAAGCTCAAGTTGCTGGAGCTTGCCGATCGCACTGTGGCTCACATCAAGGCCGAAGAGGGTCTCGGTGTCATTGAAGAGGTTGACGAGGAAGAGGACCAAGTCGCGGGTGGCGCAGAGGCTAGCGAGGAGGTCAAGAAGGATGATGACCAGGAGGGCATAAAGATCGAACCCAAGGTCGAGAAGGGTGACAGCGGCAAGATGATCTAGGTCCTTGTGGCTAGATGAATCAACAACATCGGTGTGTACTCCTTATTCTGATACCGCTATCGAACAAGAGAACACAGTTTCTTCACAAGCCATAATAATCTGCCAAAATTTCGAATGACATCTTCTTCAGTGCGATGAGCCAACCACCTAGCGTCGATGATATAGCTTCACCCGAGTTTGAACATCTAGAGTTGACATTCCACGCGAAGCCATAGATCGTACAAAGAATCGTGCTGCGAAAATTCACTACACTTCTTTCAGCGTTTATGGCGAGTCATTGTGCGCCCACACAATTCATTGTTCGCGGTGTCGGTCTCGTCCAGGCAGTCGCAGTCTGTAAGCAAGACCAAAACATATATAAGCTGCGACCAATGCTCAAGTAGGTCCTTTCCACAACTTCTGCTCAATCATCGACTGCAAGAACTCCCGAAAGGAAGGAAAACCAACAACAAACACCAGCCCTATGTGCTTCGGCGAACGTACCACGTTCGTCTGCTCCGTCGATGGATGCACCAACAAACATTGGGAAACCAAGTACTATGCCTTTGATGCTGATCCTGACAGCGGTAAATGCGATGCGGGCAGCTTTCTCGGTACTTGCGCTGAGCCCTGGCTGGTCTACCACCAGGAAGAGATAATGTGCAGAGAATGTTCCACTCGATGGACCGAGAAATCGCCCCCTCCTCCTCCCACCCCTGTAACCTGGCATCCTCAAGATCACACTCACTCGTTGCCTACGTTGCCAACCTATGAGCAGTTTGAACAAGCGATTCTTAAGTCAGGTGAGCTCACAGGCCCCATGATAGTCGCTCGCGAGCTGAATCGTCAGCCCCGTGATGGCCACTCGATTGTCACTCAACAGAACGTACCGGAGCACCATCTGCTCGGCCAGATCGAGGACATCATCAGAAGAAGAAATGCAGATGACCTGGCTCCTGAGGGGTCAGTCTATACGCCAAACGTCGCCGACTCAATCGGAGCTACTACTGATGCGGACGATGTTCATCCTCCACCACCGACTACTCCCGTCCGCGCTCTGTCACGTTCTGAGATCCCAGCAGCAGTCTTTGAAGGGCCCCTCCCACAGGCTCTGCTCAACGATACGCCATTGCCTGCCTACGATCAGGTTGCGAGTCGTGGACATGCTCCAGTCTATTCCGTGTGGGATCTCGGTGATATCCCCATCAATCTGCGTACACTGAAACGACTGTCTGACTATGATTACTATCTACGCAAGGCACTATCGAATGATCTCCAGAATCAGATTGTGAGTATTGTTGACGCCACTTCCACAGCCATGATAATGCCACACCGCTGTTCTGTTACTAAGCTGCAGAAGATTGCTGATGCTGCACAATACCTCGAGGAAGGATTGGCCAGACTCTACAACAAGGCAAATGACCGCCAGAACATCGTCTTCCAGTACAACACCACCAGTGCTACTGAGAACCAGGTTGCTGAGTGGGTAGCTGAGATCACAAGAAACCCTGAAAACAGCGTGCGCAGCCATGCTCGCCGCTTCACCGAGTGGATCCGTCGACTCGAATACGAGCTTATGCTTGATTTTCGTCTAGACAATCCTGTAGATGGTTACAAACTTCCTGATGGTTCCAGCTACCCCGATTGCCAACAGATCAACCGCATCTTGGAACAAGAGGAAGTCCGCGACCAAAGGATCATGCACGGTGAGAACTGGGACGAGACGTCCGGTACCTATGTCGAAGCAAGCGATACTGACAAACTTCTGATCGCAGATATCAAGCGCCGTGACAAGGAATTTCCTTCTACCTATCGCCCCAATGATCACTATGGTGATCAAGACAAGCCTAGCTGGCGTGACGGTACCCGTGGTCCTGTCCATGCAGACACCCACATCCCTATCCGCGTTCCTACTGCTTTTGGTGTACCAGCCCCTCGACCCCTGCCCGGTCCCAACGATCCTAGGGAAGTGATCGAGCTTGAGGCTGATCAACCAAGAGTGGTCATTGATCTGACAGCCGACAGTCCGGGTGATCCTATGGAAATCGACTAGACGGTTTCCACGCTGAAGTCTACATCCTAAGTGACTCTCACTAGTGCTCTAAGATGCAGTTCGGAAGATTTGGTTCTCGTTCTGTTTCATGCTTTATGGAGTTTGGTCGGACAAATTAGTATAAATATCAATCGAAGAACTTTTTTTCGCCCCTTTTTGTATCTCACGACCAAAGATGTGTCTCTTGCCCGATTGTGCTTTTTTTTTCGCTTCTTTTGAAGCTTTATTTGCACTAGCCTCACGTTCATCTTTGTCTCCCCGTAGTATGATTTTCTTCTGTCCTCTAGGTTTTTCTTTGTCCTTACGCAAATCAGATAAGCATGCTTATACCACAAGTCTTGTCCTAACAGATTCTCGTTTTTTGCCATAGGATAAGCATCTTCTGCAATGTAATTTTGCTTGCTATCTAGATGCTTATGCCGTTTCCTAATCAGTGTGCTCTGGGTCCCTATCCTTCAGAACTCTTTCCCATGAATCAATAGCTTTAAGTAGGTCATAGGATGATCCTGACTTACTAACAGCTTACATAATGTCTTGGCAATATCGTCTTCTGAACAGCTTAGCAACAGCTTATAGAACTTTGGAAGCCTGGGCTTGTCGTGCTTCCTGCTCCTGACTTATACAATTGTCTATTACTTCAACACTCGATTAATTGTCTTCCGAAGCCATTGCTCAGGACTCATCATGGCACCCACTATGCATCCTATAGTATGCGCGGCTCCGCTCACCAAAGAGGTCAGTTGTAAATCTTGATTTGTTTTGATATTTATCATTGCTCACCAAGGTCAACAGCTCATGGATCATTTCATCGTAACCAGTGGCTACGAAGAAGAATGGTGGGAATGTGTCTTCGTGGATGACCTCACTAACTACTACGACGACATCTCTTCACCACCAGTAGAATCCGCCAGCAACCCTCACTCACCCTTCATCAACAAGAGGCCGCAAAAATGCCATAACCTGCTACTTAAACTTCGCGAAGAGACAGAATCAGAGATCACGACCGAGTTTTTTATGATTATGGATCAGAGGTCGATGAGAGATGATACTGTGTTACTTGTTAGCGTTACAGGAGACAGAGATGAAGAAACGGGGGTGAGAGAGGCGCTTACGCTAAGGGCTAGTTTTGAAGTCTCGGCTAGAGAGTTGATGTTGTATTCGATTGGGCATTGGACTATTGAAGAAGATGTAGAACGTGTTTTGGGGCAAGAGGATGATGTTTATCGCGGTTAACTTTTCGAAATATCACCTGGCGTATGTTGTTTCTTCTACCTTCTCGGTTCGTGGATTTGACGTAGATCTTACCTCGAATAGTGAGAAGGAGGTGTAGGCGGCATTCAGCAAGGTACATTCATTGAATATCTCATTGCAGTGTCGTGTATCCACTCTGATATGCCCATCTATCCCTCCTACCCTCAATCTATCCTCTTAAATCATGAAACTTTTCTCTCTTGAATAACACTCAAACAACCCAGAACCAAACCCTCTCAATCCAATTTCTTGGTGTCCTAATCTCATACTCTCTTTCCTCAGCATCAGCAACATCCTTTCCGCTCCACACATCCACCTGCTCAATCTCAATCCACCACTGCCAATTCCTGCTCCAGACCTTATGTCCAAACCACAACACCAAAAAGATAGGAATAGTAATGTAGCAAACCAAGAAATCAGAAACATTCCACCTGGAAGGCACAAAGACGTAAAAGCCATTAGTCAAGGTGACCAGGATCATTATGATGAGTGAGAAATATGCTGAATAAGGTTGGAAAGGCGTTCGGAAAGGTAAGGCCTCAAGCATGTTGTGGTAAATCATTGCGCGGCGGAAACGCAGGTAGGTTATGAGGACAACAATCCAAGCGATAAAGCCAGAGATGGTGGTGATGTTTGTGAACCAGTTGAACACGGAAGCGCCGCTATTGCTGACATTCAAGAAAGCCAGGCAACCGATGCAGAAAGTGAAGAGAACGGCTACCCAAGGGACACCTTTTTTGTTGCAGCGGAGGAAGATCTTGGGGGCTTGGTCTGTGAGGGCGAGGGAGTAGAGCATGCGGGAACCAGAAAAGAGCCAGGCGTTTCCCGATGACCAGGCCGAGGTGAGGATGGCGGCATTGATGACGTGGTTGAGGCCTTTGATGCCTGCGTTCTGTATGGCGATAACGAAGGGAGAGGCTCCGGCGCCGTGTGAACCATTGCTGATGGCGTTGAGCAGGTTCTTATCGTTGTAGGCGACAGTGACACCAATCACCAATGTTCCCAAGACGTAGAAGGCGAATAGGCGGTAGATGAAGCGGTTTGCAGCTTTAGGGATGTTGCGACGAGGGGCTTCAGCTTCTCCGGCGGCGGTCACGATGAGTTCGGGGGACATGATGAAGGCGAAGCCGGACTTGATAAACGCGTACCAGAAGGCGAGGAACTTGCCACCGTTACCTTTGGCGACGAAGGGGTTGAAGGCTCCCTAGGAACAATGTCAGCATCAACCTTCAGAGTGTTGCGGTCCAGGCGCGCTTACAGGTTCCTTCCAATAGCGGAAACCAAGTCGGTCATGATTCGGACCACCACCAAAGAAAAGCACAACACCAAGGATGATCAAACCAATGATTGCCAACAGTTTTATCGATGCGAACCAAAACTCAGCCTCTCCAAAGAAGGAGACAGCGATGATATTTAAGGCGAGAATGACAAGTAGAATGATAAGGATCCATACAGCGACGGGTACAGCTTCGGTCCAGTACTGAATGATGATTGCAGCTGCGGTGACTTCGGCGGCGAGCAACATGGCAAACGTGTACCAGTAGTTCCATCCTATGGTCTTGTCAGTGATCCAGATGATAGAAGCAATGTTGACATAGCTTACCCATGGCGAAAGCAAGACTGGGGTCCACGAAGCGATTGACAAAGTACGGTACACTCAGACCTTCAAGAGGGAGATAGGTGGTCATCTCTGCAAGAACATTCATGACTCCATAGACGACAAAACTCATTACGATGTAACCCATCAACAAGGGAGCAGGGCCAACAGCTGAGAGGGTGGCTCCGCTACCAACGAACAGACCAGTACCGATGGCACCGCCTGCAAGATGGTTAGTCAAGATACAATCATGGCAGTTGAGATCGACGAACCGAGGGCGAGGAATTGGACTTGACGAGATGAAAGGCCTCTCTTGGTGTGGTTGCGAGCACCTGCATTCTCGACATCGCCGATATCCTTGGTAGCGGCAGCAGTAACCTCAGGAAACTCCTTCATATCGTCGTTCTTCTCCATGTTGGCGTAAGAAAACAAGAAGCAAGAACAAAGACTTTTTATAACAGAGCCTCAAGAAAAAGAAGAAAAGGCCTCGACGAGAAAGAAACACAAAACAGGAAAGCGAGAGACGAGCAAGCCCTCATATACCTACCCAAGGACTTTACCTTCCGCACCCACCACAGCAAAAGAGATGCCCTTATCATACATACCCCGCAACACGTCCTCCGCATCCAATAGCAAACTATCAAGTAATGAAAACCTCGTAGTTCGATCGCGTTGACAGACTCATGGAATCGGTATGGGGGACTGTCGCTTGGCAGGGCTGGGGTAATGAGCCGAATGGTTCGTACCACCTTGTTTGCGGCAAGCCGAAGCTGCTGCGGCTACTCTCGGTGTTGAACAATTTTTCAATGACTCGACCATCCTGAAGGATCCGAGTCGGATTTCTGTGCGAGATAAGCAGGAGATGCATGTATAGAATTGGAAAAGAAATTCCGCGAATGCAGATAGGGTTTGAGGGGTTGATAGGCAAAATCGGGTCAAGAGAAAGATGGCAGGGAGTAATAGTAGGGCGCAGTACAAGGCGTGGAAAGGGCGCACATGGGAGTAACGTGCACAAGAAGGATGAATGGCACGAAATGATACTGCGATCGCGCGAGTTTCTATACACAGTAATTACTTTCGACAACTTTTTATACATTACACATTCGTTCCACCTTCACCCAGATTCTTCTACTTATCTGTCATAATGCTTCAGTGCCAGGTGGAGCCGTTGGCACGAAGAGGGTAGTGAAGGGCATTGGCGGCCTTTGCACAGCTGGTGACAGAGCCAGTAGCATTGGTAGGTACCCAAGCACCTCTCTGGGGTTGACCGAGAGCCTGTGATATACATCAGTCGACCACTCTTTCGTATTCGAGAAGTTATCACACTTACATGGAAGTAGTACCAGACCTCGGAGATCTGAGTTCTACCATTGTCCATAGAGCCAGCACCAGCGGCAGTCTCATTGTATCTAGGACCGCTGCAGCCGATGTAGGGCAAAGCACCGTATCCTCTAGTGAGGGTGTCCTGGAACTGGCCAATGGAGTATGTGGTAGTGTTGCTAGGCTTGATGCCGGCGTGGTTCAACCAGCCCCAGGTGGGAAGACGACGGTAATAGAGGATGGCGGTCTCGAAGAACTGAACGACCTCTTCGTGTTGGACGTATTCGGGGCCGTAGCAAGGCACGTCGAAGGTGGAGAAGCAAGTTCCGTGCTTGCTAAACTCGTGTCCCCAGAAGTCGCTGTTTCCATATCAGTTTGTGAACGGTTTTCCCAATGCTTCATGCATACCTGTTAGGAGCACCCTGGTTGATCCAGTACTTGTTCATCCATGCGAGGAGGTCGTATTTGCCGAAAGGCTCGAGGAAAGTGCCAATGTTGGGACCCTTGTAAGGGGGAACAACAGTGCCATTGGGCAAGCTGTTGGTAGTGTTGGGCGAAGGTGTAGGGTCATACTGTCTGTTCAAGTCGCAGTACTGAGTGTACGAGCCATTGCAGAAGTCGGGCCACAAGCCGTGCAGCGTCCACTGATCGGCAGGCAGCAATTGACCCTCAGCCTCGAGGCCAGTGTATGTAGACCAGAATTGAGTCGAGAGGAAGAGTCCTCCGTATGTTTCGGCGCAGCACGAGTCGACGGTGTTGGGATTGGCAGCGCTGGAGCAGGACAAGACGGCGTCGTCGTTGGCTGTGGTTATAGGACGTCAGCAACCTGCTAGCTGCTGCCGCAATGGCTCATAATCTACTCACTGATCTGGCAAGTGTGATTGAGGTCACTCTGGCCAGGATACAAGACAGCAAATGCTGAAGTTGTGAAAAGCGAAGCTGTAGCAATTGAGTAGCGCATCTTGACGAGAATGAACAAGCACAAGCTAGGTGTTGAACACGGCCATGTGCTGCCACGCTCGACTCTTATATACCTCTGATCGTCATAGTTTCTTCTGCGCCAACTATGAAGCCATACTGCAGACGAGATAGTCGTCCGACAAGGCAGCGTGCAGCGAATGATTGGTTCAAAGCCTCTCCACCGCCAGAAATCTTGTCGGACGCGACCGCGATCGCCAGACGCCAATCAGGAAGGTCGTCATGACATCTTGGTAATTTGTGGGGTTGGTCAAGAGCTCAGGAAATGATGCCCTGATCTGCGAGGGATGCCGTGCTTCTTATATCTCGGTCCTCGCCTCGGGCGCTGATACAGGTGTCTTTGATACCATCCTTATCAGATAGGCATCGTCGAGCATCAAGCCCGATCGCGAAACAAGATGAAGCTGTCGTCGCTTGACTGCTGAATTGACGTCTTCCACCACTAGCACCACAACTTGGTCGCCACTGCTCTGTGGCGCCAGTACGATGCTTTGAAGGCTTCAATTGACCTTTTATCAAGCACATGTTGGTCGATTGATTGGTCCTCTCGACATTCGCCGAGAGAAAACACGGCAAGCCTCACGAAACCGGATGAACAGAAAGCGGGAGTGCCAAGCCATCTCGAGCGCTCGCCGCAATCCAACCTGTCCATGAACGCCTCGACATTCACGTCAAAGTCATCACCTGCAGGATAAAGTGCTTTGATCAATTCTATCTTGAGGATCGAAGGTACTTGTTTACTCGACCATGTCATACCAGATCATGTAAGGCCAGCTGCATCTTTCACTCCCGACAACTTGGGTACGAGTACGATAGCCCGAGGTCAAAGGGTCCTCGGCAATCTGAGACATTTCATGCAGCACAACCATTTGGGTTTTTGCGACTCCATCTCTCATGCGACATCTAAGCACAAATCACACGGTCTGGTGATTGATTTCATTGACTTTCCTTCTCCAGTCAGTGATGTGGGAGAGAAGGATCTATTGACACCCCGATATGGAAGATCTTGCTTGAGCCACGCGGAAGTGCCGAAGTGCAACAAAGCGAGTGGCCATGCAAATCTCTTCGGAAGCTCTACCTAACGAAAACGGTGGGTAGAAAGATTGGACCGCTCACGACTTGAACGAATCGACGAGATCTAAACAAGAAGATCTCACAAAGACACGGCAAGATGAAATTTGCTCGACAAGCGAGGCTTGATCTGAGCTCTGTTGGCACCATCGTCCAGAATAACAGACTTGATAAGAGATTTGTCAGATCACAAAGATCGAATTGGATGTTGTATAAAATAGGTAAGAATAAGAAGGTAATATGAAGATAGCCAATTTTGCCACCACGCTGGCTTTTGGAAGTCGCTAATCAGACAGAAGAAAAACATGCTGAAATGTACAGATGACTTGCGTCGCTCATAGTTATAGAAAATAGAGAAGAGAAGGATAAGGAACCAATTTGGAAAGATAAAAGAGAGATAGTGAGAAGGTAAAGAAAAAGATATGTGGAGAGAAAGTGTACAAGGTCAGAAAAATGATAGAAGAGAAGAGAAGGGAAAAGACGAGGAAAGGATGAAGAAAATGAAAGGAACGACAAGAACGAACATCTAGGAGTCGAAGATAGGTCCATATGCCGGGATACCACGGCTCTCACACCCATAGACCAATTGCTTGGTCAATTTGGGATTGCTCACAACAAAGACAGCCTCAGCATTCATCTCCTTGTACAACCGCAACGTCAGTGCAACCATGTCAGGACGGCCGTCTTTCTTCGAGTCCCAGACAACTGCGTTGCCATTGAGAGTATACACCCAGTCAATCAAGGGTTGACCAAAAGTCTTTTCAGGAGACGATGACACCCACAAGACCTGGCATTGACCTTTACGGCTAGGCTCGGCGACAAATGAAAGAGCAGGACCGATGCCTGTGCCGGTGGTGACGAGAAGGACACGGTTGAAGATGGAAGCCATATTCAAGACATTGGTCTTGAGAACACCCTTGACATAATAGTGTGACTTGGGGTTGTCAATGGTTCTGCGAGTCCAGTCACCAGCGTGGCTGATCATGATACTGTTGTTAACACCGTCGCCATCGGGGAAACATGCAAAAGGATGCCATTCACCAAGAGGCGATTCTGCAATTGCGATGCCCCGGTAAGGACCCATGTGTTCCTTGTGGTGCAAGCGAATAGCATGCTCCGACAAACGTTCGGCGGTAAAAGCAACCTTGCGGAGACGAAGCCATGGCAAGACGATGTGCACACTCATGATGATGAGAAACCAGAAAGCAGGAAGTTTCACTAGAGCGATACCCAGCGGCTCAGGACTAGTGGTGTTCTGGAGACGGACAGTGTCGGCAATGAGAACAAGGTCAACCCAGAAGACAATGATCGAGCACCAGCCAGCAAATCTGTGGGTAAACTCGAAAGAGTTGTGGAACCTGTGACGAATGGCCGGATGCGCAAAGACACACAGCACGAGGAAGCAGATCAGGAGAAGAACAGTAAAGATTGGTACCAGGGGTGTGTGAATGATGCGACCAGTCTCGAAATTGACGACGATGAGGACTGTCAAGAGAATGAACCACATGGTTCCGGCAATAGCGCATCCAGAGTGCATGCCACCATGCTCGTAAACTTTTGCGAGTATACGACGCAATCGTAGTGGGGCGGATAGTGGTACCAGTTGACAAACGCGAAAGATCATATTGAAGATGTAATCTTGGCGAATCAGGATTGCGACTAGGAAGTTGGCTGCTGCAGCGTTGGCCGCATATGGCATGTGGGTCAGGATGGAGGAGTGACCGGCCGCCAATAAGCCGATCAAACCTGCAAGATTGGCGACAAAGACGATCGAGAAGATTCGCCGATATACATTGAGACCAGTGTGTCGTAAGTATCGAATGATCCTGGCCTGGCGCTTCGGAGGAACAGGTTCCTCGATTTTGGTCAACTCGGGCTTCGACAGGCTGACCAATGTTGATGATGTTGATATGCTTGAGAAAGAAGAGTATGAGTTCTTCTCTGTGATTGTAACGACCTGCTTGTCGCTACCCTTCTCCAAGTCCTTGCCGAATGAGCTGTGGGAAGCCATCTCGAAAGGCTAAGAGATAGGCTTCGTCTTGAGCGATCAAGATATTATACTAACAGAAAGACTAATTGGCAGGGTATTGTATGTCGAAAGGAGGTGATACCGAGTTGCACCAGCCTTGACCTCGTGGAAAGCCCAATGAGTAAGAAAAGAATGTGTCGAGGTATGAGTGAGGATGCAGACAAACATGAGAGGCGTCAAGCCAGTACATATACATTCATGACACGGGATGGTCGATATCGCTAGATTAGACTCAGCATCGACTTCCTTTGTTTTACCACACTGGCCCCTCTACTACGATGGTGGCGTAACGGGGAGCCTTGGACGTCGTTTCCAGGTAGAGAACGAACAATGACAGACGGGCCACACCTGTGGATAAGGATCCATGCCGTTTGACAAATCTCAAAGAGTGCTATCCCATTCTGGCGACGAGCTACGGCCTTCCATCTCACATCCTCGATCCGGACTGCAGAATAGATGAATTTCATATTGCATCTGGAGAGGCGTCATGATGATCTCCCAATCCTTGTCCTTGGGTCCGTCAAACCAGGTTGTCGGGTTATGCCTCAATGTAGACAGAAGTTGCAACGGTGATGTGCAAGTCGATACTCAGTTTGGATGTGTAGGGCGACCGTTGGTAGGGTGGTCCCACATGTTGTACGAATTCATGTTTTCCAAAAATCCGTTTCCCGTATAGCTCTCCTTTACTTGTCCAGTCCGCATTACCGACATGAAGAACGCAGAAGAAAACAACAAGGGCAGCTCACCGTCTGCATTGGTACCGGTTCCTGAGTGAAAACGGTCAACGTGCATCCACAGATCCTTCGGGCTTTGCGATATTCATTTGGTCGTGGGATGCAATATAAATGAGTTTCTTTCAGAGACTCAATTTCGTGTTCTTGCATTGATAGCGCGAAGATAGAGGCACTGTCAATTTAGCCAGCACCCAATCTGGCGGAAATCTTTGCAGGGCTGCCCTGTAGCTGGAGACCACCCGGACCCGGGAAGTGATCGGCCTGCCTCACATAATGCGATCGAACTAATGCAAACAGATTGAAAAGTGATTCAGATGAGATGCCGAAAAGCCATGCGAGATCTCTGGAACGCAAGCTGATTCGACGAGGTAGCTGTAAATGTCGTCGACAGCGTGAATGCAGCATGTCTGTTGCTATTCACAGATCAGGAGACACTTGGACATGGCCACACGCCCAAGCCTTTGCCATGCAGAAGCACAGAGCAGATGCCATCATGCGTAAAGATTTCTTGAAAACTGGCCCGCATTAGCGACGGCACTTTCGACCTATCTGCGCGTGCACGAGGCTTGTTCACAACGCTGCCACACTCGTCGTCGCGCCTGGCCCTGGCTTCGGTATCGATGGACGCGCATGCCCCTTTCACAACAGTGCATTCTCGCTTGTTGAAGTTCGTTGGAGAGCAACGTGTTAACCATGCGACTCATTCTGCAATGAGGAAGTAGACGTCGAGATTTTGTAAAAAAGAAGGTTCTGTTGGTGTGAGGTTCCGACGGCCCGCGAGAAACGGATCGCCCCGCTCCGCAAAACGTGACGGCTCAGAGGCGCTGTGTTTTTTTCCGAATAATGACCAGGTTGATTGACCTTCAACTGCCATATTGCCCCTTGTGGTTCTTCGATGTATCCAAATTACAATATGTACCTAAAAGGGAGGCTGCACTCCGAGCATGGTCAGAACCCGAGCGAGTGGCCATCACCCGGCCAGTCGCCTGGCTGATGGATGACCAGCTGTCAGTTCCGGCTTGACACCTGACAACACGCTTTGCGAAGTGCAGTCTGGCGTGAGTCATCGGAAATATCGATATCAGTGTCTGTCTACATGCGACAGTTGATCTGCTATTGAAACATGAAGGTGCTGCTTGCTGCGTAGTAGCTCCACCGAGTCAGGATGTGAGTCGCAAGAGGCTCGGCAGGCTTTTCCTGGTTAACTTGTGGCTGTCTGTCAGGCCATCGTCCATCTCTTTAGCAAGTGTCTCGGATCTTGTCTCATGTCCAGGCTAGATCTGGCAAGCCCAGAAGAGGATGATCAGAACGAGTTTTGTTTTCGCAGATGTTGCAGCCAAAGAAGGAAGTACGTACCCAAACGTTCTTGCCCTTGGTTCGGCCGCCATCGTCAGATTTTCTCCACTTTGTGCGCGACGCTTCCTTCCACCCTTGTCTCCCAACAACAATAATCTGCATTCAGTCTCTCATCGTCTCGGATTCTCATGAGGATCATCCAGACCCAAGCCTGTAGAGTCGTTGCCGGGACAAGCTTCAATGTCTTTTCCGAAATACAATGGCCGATCTCACTGATCTCCTTGGTCATGTCAACCCTAAGCATGCAATGTACCATCAACCTGGAAGTACCCTCGATAGATTGACCATCGGATGATTGACCATCGGATGAGGATGCCGCCCGTCAACCAGGCGTACCTCAGACGTCAAGCTATATAGACACGCCACTTGAGTGTTGTGGCGTTCGTCTTACCATTTCCCCGAGCGAGTGGCACGAACTTCTGCAGGGCGAGCCGCTTTGTTCATTGCGCATCCATCTGCATATCATCTCGCTTTCAACTGCTTGCATGGATGGCATGCACCTTTACTGCCAACTCGTCATGGCCTAGATTCAACGCCTCTATGGTCGCGGCTCAGTTGGGTTGCTGCTCGTCAAACGCTCAGTACACCATTCTTTCGACCCAATCCTCAAGACCACCTGCACACACTTCTGATCTGATGGAAGAGCTCGGGAACGTTGATGGCTCGTGGGGCCGCATTGCCCTCTTTTGACGAACCGCATCTTCAGCTGTCGCCGACCTTGAGTCTAACGACGATACTTTGTGGTGTTAAACGACAACGTCGCCGACATTGAGTTCTGTTGAAGAGGTACAGTGGTACTGACTACCAACGTCGCCTACCCCTTTTTCTCCCTGTTTACTGCTTTGTTGCGAGGTGCATCTCCTTCTTCTCGAGCACACTACTCTCTCGCACTCATATCGACCGATTGGCCGCAGACGTATTTCCCGCCAGACTTCCTATGACTGACCCTGCCGTCGTACACAAACACAACTGAGCAAGGATTGTCCCTTGCTAACCTCGCGAATTGGTCTTGCAAGCGGAACTCACTTAAGGCCATTGCCCGCGAGACCACAAAACGCTCCCGTCCCGTTTTGTACTCGTCCTCCACGCCTTCTCTGAAGTATGTCTCTTGTCCATCAATGACATATTCAGACCGTCGCATTTCGCCATCTGTTGATCTGGCACAATGTTCCGCGTTGTCAGCACTACGCTTTATCGCATGTTTGAGCTTCCCATAGCCTCCTATCCTTTTATCACTCGTCAATCCCTCAGCTTTGTTTCTTTCTCCCGTCGATTCCTCCTTCTACCTCCCTCCATCTGAACCTTGAAACTGCCCTGGCGGCTCGCAATCCATATCACGCTCAGACGTATGCTCATGAGGTTTGATACTAACACATCGACTCCGCTGTGATCGCTGCATGCACTTGTCCAGACATTCATGCTCATAGTCATTACCTTGACAACAGCACCTAGGACTTCACAACGACTATCCAAGTAGATCACAACTTATGCTCATGTATAGCACGGGATTCTGGCATGATCTTGCCATGCTCTTGTCTTGCGGCAGATATGCTTCATACCTGATCGTCTTGGTACAGTTCGAGCAACCAATATCCCATGCTCGATGATTGATAAGTAACAATGAAGAAACCTTTCACCTCTATAACTCCATAGATGACTTGAAAATCAGCGGCTTGCTGTGCTGACGCGACAGATCAACCAACATGCAGCAACAGACAAGTATCTGAAGTACTAAGACCCAAGAGGGTATGAACAAGGTGTTCAAGATCAGCAGAAGATATCCCGTAGCATACACACGATTATGTATCGAGCAAGTGAGATGGCCTTACTTTATTAACCTGCAAGATATAAACATAAACGTCCCTTCTTTCAAATTCTGAAAAATGTGCATGATTTTTGTTTTTCTCGCTTTTCTCCCTCAATTTGTTCCTTTGCAAAATACTCATTGTCGAGATAAAAGTCGGCTTATGTATTACGTTTTGAACTCGACTACAAGATAGAGAAGCAACTGTGCTGGCTCCATCCGAAAGCCGTCGTCGATACTATCACGATATTCAAACCCCGTCATTAATGGTTGTGGAAACATGTTAAGCACAAGTTTCCACAGCCCGCATCAACAGTGCAGAACCATGATTGACTGGGAACTCTACGACCAAGATGTTGTTACACCTTCCCCTCAGGCAAGTAATATAGACTGGAGAATTATAGCATTTGTCTACTACGACATATATAGCGACATCGAGATACAATTGAATGTGCGTGAAGAAGAAGAAGAAGAAGAAGAAGAAACGTAGATTATATGCTTCATCATGAGACAGGGTGATACTCTCAACTAAACGACATGAAGATTTCTCAAGCTGTGATTCACCTTTTCTCGCACGGTTTTGCGCGCGTTGTGCACTTGAACACTTTCAACAGCTCTTGGTGAAAAACCTATGGTCACAAACAGTCTGATGTCGAAGAAACATCGTACGCTCTCAAAGCTGAATGTAAGGATTCGTGAAAGAAACGTTCTATAATTTCTTTCTAGCTAGAGAGCATGCAGCAAAGCTAAGAGCGACTTCGAGTGAGTTGTACATAAGAGCAATAATCGATGGTATCACAGCAGCTTCAAGCGAGCTCTCCATGCCACCAATTTGTGTAGCTTCACCCATCTCTTTTCGCCTCATCCATGTTTGTCACTGAGTGCGAGGATAGATGTGAGTCCATTACTGACTGTCCATATCCTCGTCGTCTTCCTCATCGTCGTCCCAGCTGATTTCATCAACTTCTATGTCGTAGCCGAGCAACTCGTACTCCCATTGTTCGCGAGATTTGCTGCCGTGCTTTCTGGCGTAACGACGAGCTTCTTCCGCAAAGGCAACCTCATCGTGGTGGAAGCCGAGAGTGACGGTGGTGTGTCTATTATGATCGTTAGTGATTGTTGCTATCAGATCACAATCTGATCAGACTTACACAGCATCACCTGTCTCAGCCTGAAGCAGAAGACCATAGACAGTATCAAGAACGTTCTTGAGGGTAGTATCAGTGGTCCAGTCACGGTCAAAGATACTGTGGCAGATACGGCCGTGGCGGTTGATGTTGGGATGGAACACTGGAGTCACAAAACGACCTTGTGGAGGGAAGGCAGGGAAGTTCTCCGGCATCTCAAGGTACAGCAAGAAAGCGCAGCCTTCATATGGGGTCTCAGGGGGCTGTATCATATGTCAGAATTCATCCTTTACTCATACCATGCGGTATTACTTACGCCTTCAATGACGATCTTCCAGAAAAACATGTCAGCCTCAGAAACGTAACAGTCATACATCGGATGCGGATCGGCAGCCATGTTGCGCATCTCGACAAGGAGACGAGATGCTCTCAGAGTGGGAAGACTGGATTGTGGATTGGCATTTGAACGAACACAATTGGCCAGCTGGATGAACGTGTCCTCCAGTCTGGGATGTTCCTTGCGCTTGGGGAACACATCCTGCGTGACGACGGTGAAAGTAGCACGATGGCGCATTGCGTAGAAATTGTTCAAAGCGGAGCTGCGTGGAAGATCGGGAGTGGCCGCCGGGGCTGGGCGCTCCGTCTGAGACAAGACAGACTCCATCTCACAAATGGCGAGCGCGGTGGTGAGATCTTTAGGGTAGAAGCAGTAGGACTTGAGCATGATGGAGAGAGCTTTCAGGTCCATGTTGTCATCCTGTCCGATGCAAACCGAGTCGACAGCGATTTTGTTCTCACGAAGCTGCCAGCAGAGATCCGCAGGGCCAGCAACTGATTTGGTATCATTGCCATCAGACAGGCATATGATACGGCGTTGTGCTTGAGGGTATCTTTCTGCGTGCTTCATGATTTCCGTCTGAGCAAGTTTGATTCCGTCCCAGAGCGCAGTGTCACCCTTTGCTCTCATTTTCTCCACACTTCTTCTGAAGTTCTCGATGACATGTGTGATGGACTGAGAAACGATCGCTGTCGAGTCGAAGGTGACCAAGCCGATATGTGTCTTATAAGAGTACGCAATCATACGATTGATCATGGCCTCGAACATTTGCTTCAACACCTGCAGACGCGATAGAGCACGTTTCCTCTTTTCGTGACCAGCTGCCTCCGAGAACTTGATCTTCAACACCAGAGGTTTGTAGGCTTGCCCATTATCTTCATCGCTGTAGGGGTCTTCAGAGTCGGTCGAGCCACTTGACTCGACCAGGTACACAGGCTCAGGTCCGAGTGTGCCGAAGGCATGCCAGGTGGTAAGGTAGTTTTGGAGCAGCTCTCGATGTTCGGCAATATTACCCACATAGTGGTTGTCCCCGTTGCTTTTGAGGTCTGTCCAGATCTCGTACTTCACATACTTGAGCCAAGGTTGACGTGCCCAAAGAACGCGCCACCATTTGATGGTAAGAGATCTGAAAGAGACTTGAGTATTCTTCGGGACCCAGAAACAGAAGTCTGGGGCTTGGGTTGACGAGCTCGAATACACCTTGACCAGACAAAGCGGCGACGATCCCGCCTGGATTGTGTTGGTATCGTCGGGAATGATGATTGTGATGGCACTGCCTCCTACGATACCCACAGAAGAGATTGTAGCCGCAGTTGGCTGGAGCAATCCATTGAAAGATAGCTGGAAAGTATTGTAGCGACCTCTCATGGCACGGAATACGACTTTGAACAAGTCGAGCAAGGTTGTATCAGGTGGAAGTACACGAGTGAAGTGGTGAGACGGATTCGAGAACGTAATCGTGTTAGGATGAGGTGAGGTGCGGCGACGCTTGTTGACCGGACGTTCCTCGAGCTCGAGAAAAGCTTTAGCCTGTAACCACTCCTCTGCTTGCTCAGCCAACTGAAGATGAGGAGTGAGTTCCGTGTCCTCAAAGTCCAGACCTGTCAGTGGGGAGGAACGTCTGATTGCCATCCATTTGCGTATGGCCTGACGACCATATACCTGGCCATCAGCAGCTACAACGGGATCCTCAATGAGACCAAGCGTGATGGGACATTTCAGAGCGTCAGGAATGGAGGTGACTTCGTTTGGGAGAGGTGGAACCTGTGTACGCCCAGGAATCTCCTCACCTTGCTTCCACTTCCATTCCTTTGCAGGCGTAGACATTGCGTGAAGGATCATCATGTCGATGAGTTGTTGCTCGAAGCGTTTGATGCCAGCAGCGAAGAGCTCCAGCTTGTCAGTCCTAATGTTGTTCTGTTGGCGCTGATACACGCTGTAAATGGGCTCTCTATGGATGCTTGCAGCCTCTTCGCTGAGCATGTTGAAAAGCAAATTCAGCATTTTGGCCGCACTTTCAGGTCGCTGAGCATGGGAAGTATCGACCACACAGCCCAGTATGTCACCATATGCTTCGTGTTCAGAGAGAGACATTTTGGTCTCTTCGAGGACAGCTTGGACGTATGCGAGAGGGGGGATCTGATGAATGTCCGGTTCGCGGGAGATATCTGGACCGGTGTCGATACCCAAGAGATTGGTTGATCCTGACATACTGGCACTGCAGTCTACAGCGAACACGACTATTTCATCAGGTTGCTCGAGGGCTCGGGCTTTGGAAGAGCCGAGCACATCAAAGACATTGGTGCCATCTTGCTCATAAGTCTCAAGGATAGGAGCAAGCTGCTGCTCCACCTGACCCGTGTTGGGAGTCTCCTCGCCGTGCAATGGACGAAAGATGACAGTGTCCTCACCAGGACCAGCGCAGTCAGCCTTGCCAGTATAGACGGCGAGATGTCCCTCTGAGTCGAAGGTCAAGTGCTCAGGCGCGACCGAAGACAAGAAAGATGGTCTGATGACTGACAGAGAGACCTTGCCACAGAGGTTCGCAAGCTGGTGCAAGTTGCGAAGATCACTAGGGCTGATGACTTCCTCAAGGGTCTGGCCGCGAGCGAAAAGGTCCTCTGGAGGGCTGAAGATGACAGCGCTCTGCTCAGACTCTGACAGCAGCTCCAAATTCAGCTCTCCTGATTCGGGGTTGGGCTGGACATATATTGATGCGGCAGGACGAGCGTTGTTTCCGCCAACAGGCATGAGGTCGAGAGATGCAGCGGGACCAGAAGCTTGGAACTGCACTTTGTGGATCTGCGACGAATAGACAGGCACAACAAAGTTGGTTGGCTTGAGTTGGTTTGCCTTTTCCATGATGAGACCGAAAACCAGACGGGCACCCTCGAAGAGCCTGGCATTATCGTTCTTGATGAGTTTCTTGTGGCCCAAATCTTCAAGCACGCAGTATAAGGCTTGGCTCAGGGCGGCACTGGCCATGTGAGAGATTGTGCGTCCCTGGATCAACAAGTGGAGAGCGCGTACGGCAGGGGGAAACGAGCAAAGCAGATCAAAGACATAGACGACTCTGTCTCTGTGCTCGTCTGGAATGGAGTTGCTCTTCAGCAGGTGAGCAAAAACTCTAAGAGATGACAAGAACATAGCGACACCACGATCAGACTGTGGTACGTCTGGTTGCCAGTGAGGGCCGGCAGCGAAGAGGTCATTCTTGCCGACTCTAGCAGTAGGGTGGGTTGAGCGGGTGGTCGAGGCAGGACGTGGGACAGCATAGAGAGTGAGGACGCCATCCTTGAGACACGAAGTAAGACCTGTCTCCTCAATGGTCAAGTCCAGACAAGACGAAGCGATAGGCAGCTCGTGAATGTGAAGGTCGAGGATGGAATCGGCATCTAACCAATCAGGTGGGTTGTTGCTAAGATGGCGAACAGCGTCGTTGTGGAGCTGCTTGATCCTGGCTGTAGCGGGGAGGTTGAAGGCCGGGGCAGGCAGGGATTTGAGGTCCTTGACCATCAGCTTGGCAATGGCTGGAGTGATGATGCGAATTGGAATGGCGTTGCGGATGGTGAGCGACTGCTGGATAGCAGCTCGCTGGTCTTGTGTTCCGGTCATTGGGACATCGGCGGCCTATTTTGCGTAAGTCTCTTGGTCATGAGAGTGAAAGGTGAAGAATGAACTCACCTGAGGCGGAGTGCCATGGTTGGCGGAGCTGAAGACAGCAAAGAGCTGCTCATCGACGATCAAGTCAGACAGAGTGTCTTCGGGGTCGAGGATGGGACCATCGATGCTAGCCAGGCGCAGAGTGCAGCTGGCGGCAGCAAGGGTCTTGCCATGGCGAGATGCGCGCTTGACAATCTCGGCAATGAGTGCAGCGGCATTGGACGACGACTGGAAGGGAACAAGGAGCTTGAGAGGCTCTGGCCAGCCGGTGTCGCTGACGACGACCGAGTAGCGCTGCATGATGGCGTGCGCGCAGAAGGCAAGAAATGGAGTGCAAGAGAGAAGATGTAAGGGTGGAGTGTAAGATGTGGGAATAGACTGGTCGTGTAGTGGAGGGTGAAGGTGAAGAAGGAAGAAAGTAAAAGTCGCTGTGGTAGACGCGCCGTGGTGTCTGCAAAGTGAATGATTGGAAAAGAAGCGCTGGGGTGTTTCAACGTTCAGAGGCACAAGTTGTGCTGGAAGGAAGGTGCGAAGGGAAGGTGTGATGCTTTCGTTGCCTGCTATCTCGTGTCTTCGACTTACAGCTTCACGGCTCGGACCCCGACTTCTGCCTACTTACTTTGTACAAGACATCGACTGACTGCTCGATAAGACACCATGATGTTGTCCTCCAACCAACGGGCTGCCCATCACTTGGTTTCCTTTCTACATGTTTCTGCACACTCGTTTGCAGGTGTCGGCAATTCCGTGTTTGTCGCAGTCAAACAGCCAATGCATACATACCCAGTCTACCTCTGGTACAAACCGGATGTGAGAAGGTCTTTGTCAAGCATGCAACATCGAACGCCACTACAGCTATTTCCCGGACATTCCCTGTCTCTGCTCATCAGGAAGGAGACAGAAGAAGTTGGTGCTCAAGAGATGAAGTCAAGAGACTGCTGCACGGACCAGGCCTCGTTTCCGACTCCCGAGGCTGGACAGGGTCATCAAACACCTTGAGCCTCATCTCTGCATTGCCCTATGGATGTGGACGTCCCTCTTCCACGGCCTTGTCACTTCTCGCCGGCATGATTTTGAAAGGGGACATTGACGCCTGTCTTTCGATCATCTTTCTGTTTCCTTATGCATGCTTTAGGAGATGTTCGGAAAGGCGGTCTTTGTCGGAGGTCTGGCGGAGAGATGCTGACTAAATGACGGACAATCACCGGCAGATCCTCAAAAAGACGGGGCTTGGCAGATTGGGCATTGGGCATATTGCACGAGGGTGAGGACATTTGACCTCTCGCCCGCCACCAACGCATGCTATCACCATGGCGGCCGCAGGTGAGTTGACTCTGTTCTCCTACGTCTTCACGCAGTCCCCATCTTGTCCGCCCGGTGTATCCTGCGCTGTCGGCGGCGCTGTGGCGGCGGTCTGAGCCAAGTCGTGTGCCCAAACCTAGCCCACAACACCCCGCAGCCGATATCCAAGACACTCCATGTTCGCCTACAGTAGCAAGACAGACAACTGACAGCCTCTCCCTCTTGCAGAATATGTGTGGCCGCGCAGGTCATCACTAACCAGATCCCCCGACACCTTATCGCCAGTCTACCCCGATCGGCCTATTAGACCCCTCCCCAAGAATCGCCTACGAGAACAGCTGTCCCCCGAACAGCAGAGCCAAATCATTTATCCACCCGAGCCTCCGTCTACCTCGCCCCTCTTCAGCTTCCCCTACGGCGTTGTCGAGAAGATGGATCCCCGCGCCCTCAACCACCACGACTCGCACAGTCACTGCACCTGCAACGGAGATCACCATGTCGATGAGAGTGACGAGGATGAAGAGCTGATTGCATATGACCACCCGAACTACCGCTGGTCCTCACCCGTCAATGACGGCTCCAGGGTTGACAGCGTCCAGAGAAAGCTGATGGCAGCAAAGGCCCCTCCAGCCCCGGCATCTACCGCCTCTTCAGCTGACGGTTACGAATCCTTTGAAAACACAAGCAACAAGAAGAAGCGCAAGATTCCTCTCTCTGGCGGTGGCGGTGTACACCAGTCCAGTCTGTCGCAAGAGTTGGCAAACATGGGTATCGCATCAAGGGAAGAGCACTTGCAGGATTCGAGGCAACTGTCAGGCAGTGGACGTGGCAGATTCGGCAGACAACACAATGCTTACGCCTCCAGCCTCTCGGCAAAGTCGCGCGGAGGCAACTGGAAGGGCGACGGCACTCGCACCAGTAAGAGACGATGCAGTGACTCTGACAGTGCACAAGAGACTTACACGACTTGCGCAGAACAAGCAGATGGCATCATTTCCCAGGCCATTGCCAACGCCCACCAGGACCAAGACCAGGAAGCCCCAACCACTCCCACCAAGCAGAACAATGAGAGTCTCCTTGCTCGCTCGCCCTCGCAGACGACGACACCGCAAACGCAGTTCACCTTTACCTGCGAGTCCGACTCGTCCAACAAGATGCTCTGGCCCCAGCAACAGCCCACTCCGACTCCCAACTCAATGCCCCGCTCACCTCTGGCCAATCACTCGGCTTCTCGCTCTCAACAAACTCATGCTCCCATTCACCCCAACCCTCCTGCACCGCCTGTACAACCTGTCCAACAACAGCAACAACCCCGCAAGCCCCGCCCTCGCCGTCCCAGCAAGGAATTCGCCCTCCAAGAACGGCAGCGACGTCTCCAGCAGGAATACACAAACTACCACACTCGCCCGACACCGGCCTCAATGTGGATTTGCGAGTTCTGCGAGTACGAAGACATCTGGGGTGTTCGTCCCGAAGCTTTGATTCGTCAGTACGAAATAAAGGATCGCAAGGAAAGACAAAAGGCAGAGGAAAGAAGACGATTGTTGGAAAAGGCAAAGCAAAAGAACAGAAAAGGGAAGAAGAACAGTGCAAAGGGAAAGCCTGCTCCAGCTCAGACATATCCTGACGAGAATGTCGGTCCTGACGACAGGCATGATGAGGAGGATGCAGAGTTTGACGATGGCTATGATGCTGTGACCCACACGGCTGAACCTAGAGATCATGGATATGCTGCCGACTACGCTTACGATCGTCCGCCGAAAGCTCCTGACAAAGACGACCTCCGGCATGACCAACAGCCTCCGCAGCCTTTACAGCAGCGCAAGCAGTAGTCATCTTACGACGTGATGGGGTGCAGCTATCACTGATTTCCTTTGTTTAGAAGCGTCTTGCCCTTTTGGATCTCTGCTTTCTTGGTTTTTGCATTGTTCTTCATTGTTTTTCTATACGACCGAATCATTTCTTGTTCACCACGTTGCATTGTTCACCCCCAGTCTTGCGTTGTTCTTCCCACACATTAGTGCTTGAGATACCTCTTCGCTTTGGTTATGACATATTTCAAATCCACTCCCCTCTTTGACAGCAAATATACATGCTTCATCATACCTTCACGGCTTACTTTGTTCCTATGTGATTGCCTGTCATTCACGTAGTTTTGTGCAGTCAGTAGATTGCCATACCCCTGTCTTTCCTTGCTGTCAACGGCATCACCATGTAATTCAGAGCCTGGTCTCTACGATCATCAACCCGTCTGCTGGCGGTGCAAACTACTACGGCATGGTCGTTGTCAATGTACTTTACGTATCACTCGAGCAATCAAGGATAACGACTACCGTGGTGACCTTTCCAGTGCTCTGCTCGGGTTCTTGCCTTCGGTCTATCTCCTTTGCAACGCAATACAACTCATCCTCATTCCAAACATCGCAGCTCTCAACTTTTCAGGGTCAGTGGCTCTAAACTTACTTGCGTCAGAAGTGGTTTGACGTATCCAAGTTTGCGTTTTGATTACGCATCCGAGATTTTGCGAGGCTGAGGTGAGGGCGAATTCGACTGTCGCATATCACAGACAGAGAGGCTATCATGCTTCGACTGCGGGTCAGGTTCAACGAGGTATCCAAACGCATGGTAATCCTAGGGAGCCGAGGCATATTCAATAGACACAGTCGACAAATGGTTACATCTCAGTGGACATGATATTGTTTCCTGTTACCTTTGTGCAATCCTCACAGCTGTACGTGTTCACATGCTATACACACAGAGGTCACATGTTAGAAAGGAAGACGTGGTAGATACTTGAGTTCCCACGGAACGATATTTCTGTTCCATTTTGTTTATGAAATCAAACTCCAAAACACCAAAACAGATGCAAAAATCACTGCAACCAGAAGGACGTCATGATCAGTATGGCGATCTAGTTCTCAGCAAGCTCAAGAAAGTTTCTAGCAGCAGCAGCATCGGCACCAAACTGTTCGGCTTCAAGTTTGTCCAACTTGTCAGTAAGAACAGCAAGATAGCCATTGAATCTACCAGCATTGTACTCGGCATCATAGTGAGGGTGAAAGACAGTCAAGTTGTCAAACAATTGAATCATATCAGCAGTCATGTCTTCAACAACAGCAGCGTTGATCTCATCAGTGACACCAGTAGTGTTGAGAATTTCAGAGAGGGCGGTTTCAGTTGTGATGGCACGCTCGCGTTCAGTCTCGGTCCATTTGAGGTAGGCATCGCATTCACTGTAGATCATGCCGATGTTGAGTTTGAGCTTTACGGTGGCGGCGGTGGATGTGAGAGCAACTACACGATCAATCAAAATGCTCATTGTATCAGAGAAGTTCTCAAGGGACGATGCATCACGTTCAGACCAGGTGGCAGTAAGAGCAGATGACTTACCAAGGGAGTAGTAGGAAGTAGAAGGATCAACCTCATAATCAAACTCAGCCAAAGAAGAAACACTTTCGAGAGAAGCAGAGTCAGAGTCAACGGAGTTGTCAAAGTCGGAGCATTCATTGCAGCTTGAGATGTTGTAAGTGGATCTGCTGATGATAGAGTCAGTACGATCCTCCCAGCCTTCACGAGCGTGTTCATAAGTGGCGCAGCCAAGGTACGAAGACTTGTCAAAGGTAGAGCCGCAGGACTTGCACTCAATGGTAACAATCGAGCCGATGCACATCTTGTAGTGGTTTAGTTGTTGGATATCTGTTTCTAGAATTGGTGATGGAAATGTTGTTCTTGTAGAAGCGACTTCGATTTGCGAGGCATCCAGGGAGTCGATTAAGTATTTTTGGAACCAAGCTGCAGCTGAGAGAATAGATTGTGCAAGACAAAGACATTCCATTGTTACAGTGACAAAGCGACAAAGAGACGGCGATCCAAAACAAAGAAGGTTGTGTTGAAGCCCGTGTCTATTCATTAAACCCCTATCCCTTTGTTTCTCTGCACCCGTGTGAAGATTGACGCCGAAACCGAGAAGTCAGCAGCATTTAGCACAAGTGAAAACGGGATGCTTTGATTGATCGATGAATGCGTCTCCGACCGGGGTGGTGCGAACGGCGTATCCACAAACACAGCCAGTGCTTGATCACTATCAAACATACCTACACACATTTTGACGCGCCGATAACAACACAAAGGCGAATGATGTCGTCCTTGAGCAGGATACTCTTTCGCCCTAAGCTCAGTGCTTCATTCAAAAGGTCGTTCATCGCGACATACGGGCCAACTACCACCCGATACGCATGTAAATCCAGAAGTGGACCCAAGACGCACTCACAAGAATCTTTGATCACGGTCAACGATTCTACTCAAGAAAACAAGCAACGAGCATACAGTGTCCAAGCTCTTAGATCAAACACCTTGAGTCCCTGCAGACTGCAGACCCTTCATCTTCTCGCGTGGCCACTGGCTTTCGCATGACAGTGCGCGTCAAGCTGCTCGTCAAATCCACTTCAACTTTCCTGAACTCTGCAAGAGAGTTGTAGCGTGTTGCGCAGGTGCGAAGTCAGTCGCTTCATGGTCCGAGCAAGACGGTCAGATCTCCCGTACCCTCATCTTCAACACCGACAATGGCAAGCGCGTTGTTGTGAGACTGCCTATCCCAGCCGCAATGTCAACTCAGAGGTCGACACCACTAAGTACTGTAGGTTCAATTGTCAGGACCTTCTGCTATTAAGATCTAATGACACGATAGTATCTTTCAAAACTAACATTCCTGTGCCTCGGATTCTGGAATGGAGAGAAGACAGCAAAAGCACTGTTAGCCATCCTTATATGATAGTGGAACACGCTTCTGGTAATTCTCTGCATCAGATTTGGCAAGGTATGGGAAAGGTCCAGAAGTTCAAATGCCTCAAATCAGTTGCTCAACAACTGGCAAAGAGCTCGGAACTTTGCTTCCCGGCATAAGTTGGCTTGTACTTGCCTGACACGGATAGCTTGCCTTTTTCTCGAAAGATTCACCTCGGTCACAACTTTTGCATTGGACCTCAGTGCGGACCTATCGAGCAGGACCTCTATGAGAAACTTGCGTGTGTTTCTTATGGCGGCCCTTGTATGTTGTTTGGCTCACCGCATCATCATACAAGATTAACACAAGTCTAGGGCTAAACACGACCGAGTTCGCTAACGGCATCATCAGTCTTGGATTGAGCAACGTAGCCAACAAGAACAACTCTTGGACCTCCAACCGCTGCTGGCAGGGCACCCCAGAAGAGCATGTCAAGTTGCTCAACCACGCTCGTCGTGTTTTGAGGATTCTTGCCAAGGATCCTCGCGTTATTTCGATTCCAATGCCAACCCTTTTGCCTTGTCTTACGTTGGACCACATCTTTGTCAAGTCCGGAGAGCCTGAGATGGTCACCTGTATCACTGGTTGGCGGGCATGCCCCATCTCTCCAGCCTTCTTTTTCTCCGTCAACCACACTCTCAGCATTCGAAACCGTCACTTGACGTCTGAGAAGACCGAAGCACATGTGGACCTACTGGCATACTTTGATGATGTTTTGCGAGCCAACATATCTTTCCATCGCCGGTATATACCTCGTCTTGAATCCTTCCCTTCTGAATTACCTTGCTCCAGATCTCGTCCTACTCAGGGTCATCCGCCCGATTGTGGACAGCTTCACGAATTATTCTGGGTCTGTCACCGCACATGGGCTGATGGCATTCCGCTTGTACAACTAGGGCTTCTCAGAATTGCCGACTCTTGGCAATCCCTAGGGTTGCCCGGCTCGTGTCCGTACGAGCCTCCCACAGGCCAAGACCTCCAGATACACGAGCTACGCCCGCAACTCTTTGCTGATTGGGAGACTAGAAGGAAGGAAGTCAACTTCAACGTGGGCGTAGATGAGATGGATCATGAACTCGTCCAGAATGATGATTGGGATGATGTTCTGGAACGGCTCAAAGAGGTCAGCATGTCCCGCTGTCGCGAGGCCTCCGAGATGTAGTGCATCCCTTGATCGCTTCGCGATGTCTTTGGCGAGGGTTCTTCCGACGCTTGTTCCATAGCTGACCTCTTCGATTTGCGCCACTCAGAGCTCCTTGCACTCATGGAGAGGAACGTGGCATGCGCTCTCGCCTTCTTCCATTCTCATTTTCCTTGCACCCCTGATCGTTACAGGTCTTGCAGAACCTTTTGGGCTTTGTTGCTTACTCTTCTGATTCAACCCCCTTCTTCTTATGGAGAAACAAAATCAAGAATCTTCTCTTCTTTTTGCACAAACTTTGCAATTGATAGTCCCCATAAGAACAAATTCGCTCCTTAGACCTTGATGAATGGCCAACTCGCGAAAGGGCTTGAAAAGTATCCTTGGGCTATCTTGTCATCTATTTCCCTGGGATACTATCCAAGTTAAGGTTGCCAAACTTCGTCCTTTGCCGTTCCTGTTACACCTATACCAACCCCTGGCATTACGATTGACACGCACAGAGCTAGCACAGCTGCATTCAATCGACTCCTGTGGAAGTGAAGAAACCTTGTGTCAAACCGAAGAGTATAGTTGTGCCAAAGTCGCTCTAGAACATCCAGGGCAAAAGAAGTAAAATGCTCAGCGTCGGAATCGGGCCGATGATCTGATGGCTCAAACGACATGTAACCTATCCGAAGGATCTGAAACAGGGGCCCACTGTGCCACCTTACCGCTGGACGGAAGTAAGTCACACTTTAGGATGTAAGTACTCTTACCTGATTGTGTCTTTGGATCTTTCGACTTGTACATTGCCATCATCTCGTTGGCCGTTTCAATGCCACATGCTGAAACCATACTTTCCTTACCTCTTGAACCCTACTTCTGACCGTCATTGTCTAGAATTACGAGACACGCATTGTGGGAGGCACTACACGAGAAGGCCATGCCTAGGCTGGACACGAAACCAACAATTGATGCACTTCTTCGGTTGCCAAAAGCTGTCGTTGTGTAGCCATATCTTTCACTAAACTTGTATAGAGACTTTGTTTCTTCACAGAGAGAATAGATACATATAACTAGAGATACAGTTTTCGTCTATATCACACTCATTGTGAACACTGGTCTACCCGAGGTTGATGCTGCTTTCTCGAGACAGCCAAGTCTCTCTGCTTGACTTGTCTCGGGACTCTTGGTGTCTGAGACAAAGAGAAACCGGGTTGGACGCAGAGGTCTTGGGGGAACAAAGCAATGTGCACAAAGAGCACAAAGATACCAAGATTATTTCTGGGACCACAAAGAGAACAACCTTATTGTTTTCCAAATGGCTGATCTCGATATATGCTAGGCATTTTCTCGAAGACATGCCGCAGTCAGAACACTTCCAAAAAACGCAATTAACTCGTGCAGGCACGACTTACACAACCACAGCTAACAAAGATGTGCGGACAGACAGTCATGGTTTACGAGTGCGCCTGCGGTAAATCAAATCGGGAGATCATGCCTTCTCGTATCTGTAGACCCGCTTGTGAGATTCAGAAGGATCAGCTCACAATCCGGCTAATTCGACCCTGTGGAGAATGCTTAGCAGCCAACACTAACATGTTTGCAGAGTTGCAGCGGGATTCTGCAGAGCGCTCTGCCACTGCCCTTCACGACAAACCACTTCCAGGCATTCCAGTACCTGGACCAGTCGAAGGTCTGCCACCAAGCTACCAGGAAGCCGCCGAACAACCCCCGACGTATGCTCGTGCTATCACTGAGGGTGATCCTGTATCTTACGACAATGTCATCACGGCTATCGCTACTTTTCAGCCAGATGAGATCGTCAGAGCGTGGCACACCTTTCGCGCCTCTCAGCTGTCCCTTCTACCACCACTGTCGACTGACCTTCAGACACTTGAACGACGGGTCTCCAAAGCCAAGCGTCGCCTTCATCGTACTGAAGACGTTGGTTTCTGCGAGGAAGTCACCATCAGGTTGGCTCGAGAGCAAAATATCCTAGACAAGAGTCTACAGCAGGGCCAGAGATATCTCAACGCTACCCTTGTTCTCAAGTACGGTCTTGACAAATATCAAAACCTTGCCAAAGAAGCTACAAAGCTCGGAGACTACGATCAAGCTCGCTTGCACGTCAAAGTTGCCAGCGAACACGCTGACAAACTCCTTGAGATGAAAATTGAGCTTTCAAGACCTGAACAGCAACCGCGACGAGTGGCTGGACATAGTAGACAACAGCTTTACCTGCTTGAGAAAGTCGTGCAGACTTTGGAAGCAAGGACTACCTCGAGAGTTTGGGCTTTTGTGCAAGTTACAACTCGTTCTGTTTATGAGACGCACTGCTGACTTCAATGCTAGGTTACCAGGCATAGTCTTTGGCTGCTGGTCCTCCAACTAAGCACAGGGATCGAAAGGAGGACGAACTGTGTTGTCTCATACCGATAGCTCAGCGATAAATTATCTATAAAAATGCGCAATGTCAAGTAGTGTTGAACAATGTCCACTGAGATTCTTGATGAGCAAAAGAGTATGATATCCCATGTTTGTATCACAAATGACACATATCTATAGAAATGCACAATTTCTTCCGAAACCAAGCGTTGTCCACTGAGAGCCGATCGAAGACTGCTTTCATCTCGGGCTCTCTCTGGACACAGCTTCGTCTTGTAAAATATCGTGCATTTTTATAGATACATAAGACAAGGTACTGTATCTTAGAATGCAAGAGCGGGTGAGAAGGAAACCCCGCCTCTCAAACCCGAATCACCACCATTCCTTATCTATAAAAATGCAGGATGTTATATGATTCTGGATGCTGTCCACTGAGAGCCCGTCAAAAACTCCATTCCTCTTGGGCTCTCTCTGGACACATCTTGATTTTGTAAAACATTATGCATTTTTATAGCTATATGAAACTGAGTGTCACGTTTGAGAGACCTGAAAGGCTGATAACCAGGAAGATGGGCTTGAGGCCTCTCATATTCGTGACATCCAGATGAGTTATATATAAAAATGCATAATATAATAGGATTCTGACTATTGTCCATTGAGAGCTATTCGAAAGCATCAATCTTCTTGGGCTTTCTGTGGACATAACTCTGATGCGAAGATTACTGTGCATTTTCATAGGTACATCAAAGACAGGGTCGTTTCTGGGAGAGCAGCGGATATCATTATTTCTATAGTACATCTTTTTTCTGTTCTCTGTTCACTCGCTCTTTCTTCACTACTACTCTTACATGCTACTGTCTTCACTTCAGCCCAAAAAGTCAGGGCTGCCCAACAAGCCACTACCCAAGTTGGTGCCTCCCCACTTTGCCAGCATCCTTGCCTTCACTGCCTCATCACCACAGGTCCAGTAAACAATCTCCCAGCCCCGGTAGCCTTCCAAAAGCCGAGTGAGAGCTACACCCAGCTTGTGAGCGCCTCTCACATCAAAGAGGTGAGAGCCGTCACTGAGCCAGGTGGCTTCACCTTCGTAGAGGTTTTTGAGCCTCAGATGGCTCAGACCAGGGTGAGTGGCGAGCAGGGGCTCGAATAGGCTGCTCACTCAGCCTGCTGGCAACTGACGGCTCACAACGTCTCTGAACTGGTCTACAGTTTCACTGTAGACGCTCACTCCCTCCATAATGATAGAGGTGAAGTGATGGTTGGTTGCGCGGAAGAAGGTCTCTGGGATGCGGCAGTTGTAGAGAGCCAGCTCCGTGTTTGAGCCTTCGAAGAGGTGATAGAAGGCGTCGAAGTGACGCGACAGCATACCGTGACACTCAATCGTGTCAGGGCGGCGCGAAAACTCGAGTGAGGGAGGGCGGGAGAAGCGAGTGATCGAGTTGTCGAAGCGGATGGTGGTTCTGCACGATCCGCCCACCTGTGCATAAGTAGACCAACGGCGGTATAGCCATCGGATCAGGCTGTCGTAGGTATTGGGCTGATTGGAGAGGAATTGAGGGTCGGGGAGCTCAATCAATAGGTCATCTCTCGTTAGGCCAGCGGCACGTGCGGCAGGAAGTATCTTGTTGTTCAACAACGTAACTAAACGACCCGAGGCTAACTCAGGGGGGACTTCTTCACCCAGAGGAGTTGGGCGCCAGCGGATACCCAGGCATACTGGTTGACCATGCGCTGCAAGTGCGAATAGAGCCTGGTTGTAGAGCTGCTGGTACTGTGTGGCGTTGCGGCGCTTGCAGTCTACTACGAGAACCAGGGTATGAATTCTAGGACCATAAATGGGGTGCTGACAAGCTCTCATCATGTTTTCCATGCCGGACCTCGTGTATAAGAAGGCTACACGACCAAAGGACGACAGAAATCTCGGGAGGGTAGCACGAGACCAGAGAGAATGGACTAGGCGCTGGGTAGGGATATCTTCTTCATCTGCCTGGGCAGCGATCATTCTTTGAAGCTCTAAGGGGAAGCCAGGGGGAATGTTGATTGTCTGCATCTGCTCTATAGTTAGCGCTAGCTCTCTCTGTGGGTTACACCGCTATAGAGTCTCTAGGGCCGTCTGTAAGCGCAGGAGACGATAAACATACAGTTGCGGTTGTAACGTGGTCAATTAAAGTTGTGCTGTTGCATGAAGAGCCTGTGTCATTAAAAGTATGCTGGGATGTGATGACCTTGTCGGCGAGCGAGGATGGTGGCTAGTGAATGCAAGATGAGATTGAGTGATTGCAAAACAAGCGTGTGGGTGGTTCTGATCAAGGTGGAGGTGGTCGCCAAGACAATAGTCTTGTTGATAGAGGTTTGGGAATCCGCTTTGGGCTTGATTATTGCTCAAACTTGACTTGGCTTGTGTGAACCATCGAGAGAGTTGTTATCGACCAAGAGAGGAACAACAACGGTAAAGGGTTGAGTCTCAGAGTCTTGTATTGAAGCTAGAAGACTCTATGATCACTGGGTTACCCTGTTAAGTTTGTATCCCACGCTCCATCGCCCATTGAACCTGCACTTGAAGAACCTGATGTAGATAGCCTGTATAATGCTATGTCTAGGATTCTCTCGGATCATTCCCATGTCTAGATATCTTTTCGGTTGCGTCAGATACTAAGGCATGAGAGCGCACAACCTGAGGTCTCTCCTCCAGCAATGTGACGACAACTCTCGAACACCCTTAGTCAACTGACTATCACATGAAACTGTCTTATCATGCAAGCCTATCTCAGGAAGACAGATGCATTCGATGTACAAAGAGATGCATGAGTCCTTGTTCGATTCTGCGCGGCGGCGTGACCTTACCATTGGCAGCCCCCCTTGCCCGCCTACCAAACAGACCTGTCGATCTTGAATCTCAAGGGCTCGAAGAGATATAGAGCGTAGCTGCAGCTCAAAACCTAAATTTTCGCGAAGACTAACAAATATCTGGTTGCCTCTATACAGGGCCTTTGTTCTCGCAGCAGCTGCGGCAAGATGGGGCTTACGGACTTTTCTTTGTGGACTTATGCAAGGCCTACAGAACCGCCGGATCCGGCGAACCTCGAAGCGAGGGGTAGAGAGAATTCATTGTTTTTATGCTTTTGACAAGTTTTCCATCCCATCATTTGCTTTCGTGATTCGTATTCCCATGTGTTTCGACCTCTTCCCATAATGCCCCTAATGACTTGACTTGATAATGTGCTGGCGACTTCCCCTGGAGACTCAGCATGATTTCTGCTTTCCCCAAGATGAAGCCCTCCAGATACAGAAGTCTCTTTTGTCTCATTCATGCTTCTTGCTTGCTCAACCGCTATGCGGAAGTGTATGCTGTTTTGACTCCTATAGTGACCTGTCAGCATGCTTCAAGTAACCCTTATCAGAGAAACTTGCCGTATCATGATTCAGACGAAAGCTGGAGTGACAGGGCGACGAGGAGCACGAGTCTGACTGGTTTGAAGAAGGCTGGCAGGAGTAGCTGAAGTAGGGCGAACACGCGTGTGTGCAGTCTGAGGGCGAGCGATAGGGGTGTCAAAGGGGTTCTCGCGCTGGTGCCGATCGATGCGGATGCTTGAGCGATCGATGCCATCGCTGCTGGTGCCGTGCATATAGTTGCTGGCGCTGAGACCGTACAAGTTGCGGAGGCGCAACTCGATCGGATCGCGGTGCTCGGCATGGTAACCAGGTCTCTTACGGCGCACTTGGATAAGTCAGTCGGGTTCAGGAGCTAGGAGATAAGGGTGGAATCACGATAGTCAACTTGGTACAGCACGCCCATGATGAGGGCAACCAGGAAGACAATCCACCAATCCGAGCCGCGGAGCTGGAGAGCAGCCCAGATGGTGAGGGATAAGAAGACCGAGTTGATGATGGACGCGGCGATGAAGAAGGGAGTCAAGAAGATGCTAGACATGGTGTAGGATGTTTGATAGTGCGGTTGTTCGAGGCGGTAGTGATTGATGTTGTATGATAGAGATAGAGTGGATGGGCGGATGTGCTTGAGTGAGATGTTTGGTAAGTCGCGTGGAGTGGTGTTGACGAGAGACGTGTAGAATGGACGTATTTGGTGGTGTTGTGCCGAGACATAAGACGACTGTGATGTCGTAGCAACCAGATACACCAGACCCCTGAATCATGCTCTCGCATCTGTCACTTCTACACTACGCATGTTCCAAGGGGAAACGCAGTCTGCAAGAAGAATTGAATATGTCACACGCTGGAAGCTTTCATTGTTGTTTGAAGGTCATCATCTGCATTTCTCCCAACATCCGCCTTTGTGTTCCGACACAACGCTGCAACGATGCATGCCATTTCCTACTCAAGTTTTTTTTAAGAAGGGATAGTGGAGTCAGAGTAGTGGAGAGGAGCAGCACGGCGCAACCGACCGGCCGCCTTGTTCAGTGTTTTCTAGAGTGAATGATTAGCCTTGAAGCATGGGCTCCGAGCGTACAATAGCCTACGGAGGTAGCTGACCCTCTTGGGTTCTGCCCTCGAGGGCGGCGAGTGTGTATGCCCTGTGGGCGAAGGTTCTGAACTCTGGGCTCGATGGCCCGTGACTTTGACGGACTATCAGGTTGTCAATACACTTTCGAACCACTCTAGGATCGAATTGGCTTACGTTGTTGCCATTCAAGGGCGCGTTGAGTGTACCCTGATGGGTCAGAAGACGGTGGTGGAGGAGCGGTCGAGGAGCGACGGCTGGCGCGAGTAGCAGGAACACCAGACGAGGACGAGGCAGCAGCACCCATGATTGTTTTCGATAGCAAGAGAAAAGGAGGTCAAGGATTCAATCCGTGTGAGGTGGCGCAAAAAGCTTGAAGAACTGGCTGGCGATCAAAGTGAAAGTTCGTTCAGTGAAATTGGCATGGTATTTCTCGTCATGACCAATCGAAAGATCCAATGCTACAATGATCCACGACACAAATCATCACGATCAGAGACACCACTGAGATGAAAAATGCTCAAGACTCTCTGTGGACATACCATCATTGGAAGAATCTCTTTGCATTTCTACAACCCTGTTTCAACCGTAATTCGGAGCTTAAGAAACCACACGAATCGAGAAGCAAACCTTCAGGTTTCTCATCTTCTCTTCCAGATGCTGACATTGTCAGTACCTTCACCGATCTTGTGAGTTCTCTCCGGCTTCCAGTGAGCAATCCTCTCCAGAGCGCCTTCTCCAGGAGTCTGGCCTTCTTTCCAGACAGCAAAGCCTTCCTCGTCATACTCGACTTCCTTGCCGGGCTGACTCAGATGGGCAAGGTAAGTCTCTGGTCTAAGAGCCCATGGGGGTCCACCAGTTGATGGAGGCTTGTAAGTTGGGAACTCAAGACAGATCAAACGCCCACCAGGCGACAGTAACGATGACTGACGAGCTGCCCACGCAGGTCGCAGGGCTGGCGGCAAGGCGCACAAGAACTGCACGTTGTCAGTAGCCATCCACAAATCTCAGCAAGCTTCTGCGACATGGGCTTACGGTGTAGTCATAGATCAGATCCCACTGTCCTTCCTTCGAACCGTCTTCTCCAATCGCATCCTTCTCCCAGCCCTTCTCGAAGAAGTCACCAAACACAAACTTGGCACTTCCGCGGCCCCTGGTCTCGTCCTTGACCGCATACTCAGGCTTCTCCTCCCAGCCCTTGGACTCGGCGTTAGCAGCCTTGACGGCGGTAGCAGCAGCCTCAACACCAACAGCATCGTATCCCCAGCTGGCAAGCAAGAGTACATCGTAGCCCTTGCCGCAGCCGGGTACCAGAGCGCGCAGGCGTCGGCCAGACTGAGCGGTGGGCAGCAGATCCTTTCTCTCAGCGAGAGCATCTGCTAATGCCGGCGAAGCAAAGCCTTTGTCCCAAGGCAAGTCGTCTTTCTGCCAGAGATGCTCCCAACGATTGGGGTGCTGCTTTGGGTCATGATTGAGGAAGTTTTGGCGGAGACGCTCGCGGGCGTCGGGCTGGTCGGTCATGTTCCCTTTGTTCACAATTGGTCTTTGTCGGGTCGCTTGTCTCAAGAAAGACTTCCAAAAACGTAGCGCCAGTTCTAAACCTCCGCAAGAATGAATATCGAGGTGTATGTATGCTTCAATTGGGCGGAGCAGACCTTCCTGTTGGAGTTCGAAGGAGTTGACGTCGTCGACTTTAAGAAGGTTCAACCTCGGTAAAGGTCGGCGATCAGATCTAGACGCCATCGCCGACCTCACCCGCTGGAGGACGTCTTCCAGGTTCACGACGACGAGACATGCGAGATGTCTTCCATTCATTGTACAAGCAACAATTCTTTGCGAAGAGAGAGAGAAATTTGGGGGTGTCATGTAGATGCTTTCGTGTTCCTGACGCTGGCTTTCTCAATCTACAGAACTTAGCCAGGCAAACGACAGAGTCGCAATTCTAGACATCATCTTCAGGCAACCGTGCTTGACTGAGGTCCGAGTTGACGTGCATAAGATGGAGACACAGTCCATAGTATACTTTGTCAGCAAACTGCCGCATTGGCAAGGCACTCTCGAACACACCTCCAATGTCGACTAGCTTCACACAGACGTGGTAGAATGACTGCTAGCAAGGGCACGATAATACACCTCGCAAGGTTTCAATGACTCTTAACATACTCTGGAAAACCTCACTGAGCTTTGAGCTGACGGAATATGTTGATCGCCGAGTTGGAGCACGCAAGATTGGGAGATCCGACGGCTTGGATTAGTATGCGTCCAGCGTATCAAGAAGGATGCATGGGTGGCAGAAGATCATTCGAGGTAGAAACTCTAGCATCGTCAAGTGGTTCAATGGCCGGAGGAACAGGGACGCAAAAGAGATCATGGTAGACGACTTCTGAGCTGTCATCACGTACCAATAGCAATTCTTAGACACGTGTCTTACAAGTCAATCAGTCCGTATATCAAAGACTCTTCTGGATGACCTTGACGTGTTTGCGCATAGAAGCTTTGGTATAGAAGTTCATGGATGGTGTGGCTGGGGCTCGGCGCAAGACCCTTATTCTCACATACAAAATTCACCACTACCTACTCTACCCTTCTCTTACACCACCACCACAACATCACATCCATCTTCCTCAAACATCATACAACTATTCTGGTACAGCTTCTTGTTATCATCAACCTTCGAAGACACCTTCTTATCGATCCGCAGTCGCGTCATCAACCCTGCTGCGCAACATCAACACGCGTACACAAGATGTTTTCTTTCAACCTTTTCAAGTGCTGCAAGGGCGACACTGCTGGCGACCTCGACTGCCTCCCACCTGCTCGTGCTATCGAACTGCAGAAGCCCAGCCCCAAGAAGGTCAAATCGTTCCTACCCACCTCAGTCAGATCCATCCCTGAACTCGACGTCTCGCCCTCCTCAAGCACCTCTGTTGCTATGTTCGACTTCGAGGCCATGACCAGTGTTTCTCCTCGCACCAACACATTCACCGTGCAAGGCAACTTCGAGGACGTCGACTTGTCGTCCCCAACCATCTTCTCCTCGCCTCCTTCCCAGGCGCGCAAACTCCCCTCATCACCCTTTGAGGACCAGTACGAAGTCGGCTACTCTCTTGCTATTGATGACGCCTCCTCCTCAGACGACAATGAAAGCTCCTACCCCTCTTCGCCTTGCTCCACTGTACCTTCCGTCCTGTTCGAGCAGGCTGATCGCACCAGCTCCTTCAGCACTTGCCCCTCGCCCTTTGGTGATGAGCATGAGGTGGAGCAGGACATCGAGTATGCCCCTACTACTGCTTCATCCATCAACGAGTACACTCAGCGTGCCATGGAGTACCAGCGTGGTGGGTCGCTTGTTTTCCCCATGCTTTCCGAGACTCATTAGCAGCAATTACTGACAACAGCCTGAGTCCTCCTTCTCTTCGGACCCGGTAGTGTCGAGTACAAGAACCTTCAGCGTGACCATGCACTTGCCGTTCTCGAAGGTGTCAAACCTCAGCGCAACGACCCCCTGAGGTCAGTCTCTCGTTTCCTGACATCCGAAGTAGTTTTTTGCTAATCGTCACTCCAGTCCCGATCTTATCAACACTCTGGCCGAGAAGATGGGAAGAAACCCTCAGTGCTGAGCACCGCACACTTCATTACCCCTTTCCAAGTTTTTCAAGGTCCCAGGGTCTCGGAAACCGGCCACTGTGCCTCGTCCAATGCAAGTCAATATCCTCGTGCTGTAAACAATCAGCTACTGACCTTCCCTCCCAGCAACCAACAACCAAAGTCAACAGACATACGCTTGAACGAAGTTACGATATGAAGAAAGGATTGAAGAGCATTGCTATCATGGTTAGGAGATAACCATGGGTTTCAGGAGTTTTGCGATGGTTTGCAGGTTCATGATCAATGGTTCTTCGGTGTGCCTTTCGTCTTTACAGTATCACGTAGTCTCAACTACTCGCACTTTCGTCACTATATCTATTTCTCCTGTCATTGTCTCTGGAGTCGTAAAACAAAGAAGACATTCCATTGGTCTCCTCTCGTCTCTTTGGTTACAAGCTACTATAATAATCATGTCGTGCAGTTTCACAAGAGTCATTGAAATGCTGCTGGGAGCTGGGAAGTCGTTTCTTTTCGTGCCCCTGACTACTCCTACAAATTTCTCTCTCTTAATCTACCTAACACGATATCTTCATGTCCTCCTACTGCTCATTGTTGTTGTCCTCGTCGGAGCTGGAGTCGTCAACGGGCTCGAACTCGACCAGCGGGATGTTGATGATGACAGGGGCAGGCGGCTCCTCCAAGCACAGGGAAACCAAGACTGTGAACATAATCAGCAGTGTCTTGAGCTGTGCGTTGGTAAGAGATGCTTACCAAAAGTGGCTTGAAAGGTGCCCACGCCAATCATGGCGATAACGATTGGCAGCCAGACCCGGGGGCTACCGCTCCTGGTTGCCCAGAGCAAGAAGAAGGCGAGCATGGCGTTGACGATGACGCCGCATAGGAAGACAGGGCTCTTGAGAGGTTGGTACCAGGGAGCCATTGTGGTTGCAAAGGTGGAAAAGGAGAAGATGCTGGTGGTGTCCAAGTAGATAAACGAGGTATTGTTCCCTTTGCCGTTGTGCTAGGTACTTGTATTGTTGCTGCTCAACAGGTGAAAACGAAGGAGAGTTGTGAGCGTGAAGATGTGATTCGTCCCGTTGCTCAGATAAACGAGGTCAGCTTTAGCCGACCACAACATCCGCTGACTCTCATCCACGTTTCCAACAGACTCCCTTCCTACACAGCACCAGACCAAGACAATCAATCACACTCTGACAACCGCGCACATCGCCAAAATGCGCACGTTGTTGACCCTACCCACCGAGTGTCAGTTGATCGTCGTGTCCTACGTCGACGACAAGGACATCCTCACACTTAACTCGACTTGCCGCGCCATGCATCAACTCCTGCCAGAAGTCATTGCCAGCACCTTCGCCGCTGATAGGACATTTCAGTTCTCCATCCCTGGGATGACAGCTTTGCTTCGACTGAGCATGAACAACTGTGACGCACGCTTTGTCAAAACCCTGATCCTCACCCACTCAGGTCGCCAACAGCCCCCTAGCTGTTACCCACTCCTGCGCAAGGCCCTCCAAAACCTTAGCCCTTCTGGCAAACTTCAGTCCATCGGTGTTCGCCACGCTGACGACGGAGTGAACTTCGAGTCTGACAAGCAGCAAGCACATAGACACATCAAACACTTCTTGGAGGAGACTCTGCTCAAATGGGCACTCGATGCAGACCTTCCGATCAACAACATCATCTTTGAGGTCGGCCATTGTCAGGACATATTCGTGTCGGGCGTCCTCCGCCGCGGCTGGGCCCTGTCCAGGAGAGCCACGCGTAGATTCACGACAGAAACCAACGAGGTCATGAACACTATGCGTGATCTGAGATCAGCTTCATTCCCTAATGCCAAGCATACCTTCAGGTTTGTCAGACCTCGCGCTGAGGGTACTCGACACTCGGCATATGATCCTGAAGCTGGATCTCTCCGCGGCTTTGGTCTCACAGTTGATGATTGGTGGCTCTTGCAGAGATGGTTCACCCGTCCAATCATGCTGAAGACCATCACCCTGACTGACTGCTCCATCGAGGACTCAACCTTTCTCTACCTGGCTACTAACCCCTCGCTTGAAAGTCTCACGATTAAGCACGCGTATCTATATCGTCTCTCCACACCAGCTCATACTTGGATATCTACAATGATACGCCGGCCGTTTTCAGATCGCCACTGGGAAGAAGTGCTCGATGCCTTGCGCATCCGGTGTCACGCTCTGGCGCACTGCTGCCTGGGTCATCTTCTATTCAACGATGACCGCATGTTCACTGGACCCACATGGGAGGCCAGAAACATCGATGATGTAAACGAGCTTCTTCACCAGCTTCGTACGAGAAGACGCTCGCGTATGGTGTACAAGAAGGAGAATGCTCCCTCTACTGGGCCACGCAAGCCCCGCAAGAAGGCCCCGAAGATGAAGAAGACTCGCTGGACTCACAAGAAGAGAAAGTCCGCAACAACTACTTCCAACGCCCAAAGCTCAGCCTAGAGCTACTTTATGCCTTCGAGCATTGCCTTTCGAACGACCTTCGCCGCATCTCACCGATAGGCCTTGAAGACACAGCTAGGTCGACCTCAGCTTGAGTAGAAACTCTTCCATCAAGACTTTTAGATCCAACGATCACAAGCTTTCCCATCTTTGCCTGAATACAGAATACCTCCCAAGCCACACAAAATGACTTCAAGACACGGCACACTTTACTTTGAGCGCCGAAAGTCTCCAGCAAATTCTTCCCCAACTGTTTTTGCCTTTTCTACAGGTCCTTCACAATTCTACCGTCTTTAATGAGATTCAGCCCCCGATTACAAGCATCAGGTTCCGATTGGGCCATACAACCACGCATCAGTGTTTTCCACAAACCTCGATCCTTCTGTGCCTAATTCGATGCAACCTTTCACTAAAACCGCTAAATTCCGATGACAAATGCATTCACGCGCCGCCAGCAGCTATCCATGCCTCGAGACGATTTTCACCGAAGTCATCCGTTATCAATGAGACATTCTCTTTTTCTTCCCAACTATGACAGCAAGGAATCGGCCGGCAGGAACACAGGAAGCTATGGTGGAGGGCTGTTGTCCCGTTTCTTTCCGTTTGCGACTTTCTTACCTTTGTCATTGGTGTTTCCATAGTTCTGCCCTCCACAGTCTCTCTTCACAGCCTTTGTTTATCTTCTTGGTAAAGCTTTGTTTCCCTTGGTGGTCTTTCCGGCTTCTCCCCTTTATTCTAGCATAGCGAGGTAGTCTTTACTCCGAATGAATTGTTTCACCACGCCAATGTCTCTCGGCTTGACATCGCCTCCTGAATCCCTTCAAAATGATACAACGGGGGCCTGGAGAGGAGACGTATGGTTGAGAAAATTTTCTATTCCCATGAACCTACAACAGGTGTTCTTTCCCATACATTTTCAACGCACGTCAAAAGATCCTACAAATCTCATCTACACATTCGTAACTATCCCATTGCCACAAATCTAGGCTTACCATCATATCTTTGACAAAAGGCGCTGCAACATGCTCTTCTTGGGTTTCTCAGCTTTCTCTGGATCTTTACGAGAGTTTCGATGGTGTCTTCTCTCTCCTGGATATCTCGAAGATGTTGGTGCTTCTGGCGTATCGTATTCGTCTCTTGCTCTCTGGCGCTCAGGACCTACCTCCTCAGTCTTCTGCCTCCTTGCCCTTGGTCTTGCTGTTGGCGAGATATCTCTGGCCTTTGATTCTCGATTTGAGGAGTGTCTGTGAGTCCTAGGGCGATTATTGTCATGATGCGACTTCTCAGCTTCTCGTCGCCGTCTTCGTCGTTCTGCGCGCTCAATTTCTTTCGCCCTGGCTTCCTCTTCGGCTCTCTCACGAGCAAGTCTTTCCTGCTCCAAAGCTTCCTGCTCACGCCGCTTCTGCTCTTCGCGTCTGGCTCTCTTTTTCTCCTTTTCCGCCGCTCTGAGTCTCGCCAGCTCTTCCTCTTTCTCCCGTAACAGCCGTTCTTGCTCTTCCAATGCTGCACGTTTGCGAGCTCTTTCTAGCTGACGTTGAACTCCTTGTTCACGAGCTGCGAGTTCTGCAGCGCGGCGTCTAATCTCTGCTTGTTCAGCCGCTTCAGCACGAGAGGAACGTGAATTTGTAGTGCTGAGACGGCGGAGTATACCAGGTTGAGGAGCCGTGGTTGTCGAACTGCGGCGGCGTGAGGAGGTAGCAGCAGACGATGTCTTTTGATCAGATGGCGGTTGTGCGACGTCTTTGACTTTGTGGTGAGATGAGCTGTGACGGTTCGAAGAGGATGACTTGGAAGACCTGCGTCTTTCTTTGGGAGGTGAGGCTGGTTCTTTGCCCTTTGTCGAAATTGGCGGTTCGTCGAAAGAGACTTTCGAGGAGTGCTTAGATGGTGAAGGCGGCGCGGCTTCCTCTGGAGCGGGCTGGTTTGGTGCTGGCTCTTCGGGTGTTGATTCTTCAATCAGGGGTGATCTGCGACCTGAAGTCGAGTCTGATATAGGTTCGCAGCGACTTTGCTGCGATATTGAGTCTCCTGGTAAGACTTCTGCCTCGGTGACTGGCTCCTGTACAGAGGCTTCCGTACTCTCTGCATTTGGTGGTCGTGGCTCTTCTGGGCTCTGTCCTGGCTCTGTTGTCGCGTCTTCTGGCTGTGGTGAATCGACAGCTTCTTCTTCCAAAGTCTGTATAGGTTGCTGACTAGATTCCTCGTTAGGTCCTTGTGTTCCCTCAAGCGATGGAGCAGTATCTACAGGTTGTGTTGCCTCTGTGGCCTCCTCTGGTTCGGATAGATTTTCCGAAATTTTATGTTCGAGTGCTTCCGTGACTTCGGTGGCTTGCGCTTCGTCGGCCAACACAGGCAAAGGTGACTCCTGACAGGTATCCGCACCAGCTCCAGTTGTTGAAAGTGGGGCATCTTCTGTTGTATCAACTAGCTGCTCGGGTGTATCTTCGGCTTTTGCTTCAGCAGATTGTGTCGAAGTATCTTCTTTGGGAGAAGGTTCTGACGTTTTTATAGGATCTTGCGCTTCTGACTGTTCACAAGCGACAGAATCAGCAGCCTCGGCGACAGTTGTGTCGTTGGCTTCTTGGCTATCAGCAGCAGCAGGTTTCTGGACAACAACAACATCATCGATGCTCTGTGGAGTAGGTTTCTCAGCAACAGGCTCTGCTGGCAGTTTTTCAGCAGCTTTCTGATCCTCCACGCCCTCGATCACATGCTGGCTTGCGACCTCATCAGCCTCAGTTTTGTTTTCTGCCTCAATGCCTTCCTCAGGAGCTCTAGCTGGTTCTAATGCCTCTGTCGAGCGAGTCTCTGGTTCAGCCACCAGCGCCGATGTGCCTTCGACGACCACGCTTTCATCACCAGTTTCTGGACAAAGCTTTTCTTCCGTTGTTGGTGCAGGAGTACCTTCAGCTTGTTCTGCGTCACCTGCTTCCCCTGTTGCCGTCTCGACTGCGACTGGTCCTTCGACGTCCGCCGTCAATAAGTCTTTCGTGACATCTTCGGCAGCCTCTGCAGTCTCCGATGCTTCCAAGACAGTCACGTTCTCATTCGATTCATCTGGGCCATGAGCTTGCTCCTTCAAGGCAATGGAAGGGGTCTCTGGAGACACTGTCGCGACTTCCGCCAGAGGCACTGTATTTTGTGCATCTACTTCCTGGACGTCGCCGACATCTGAGGGTGTCTTTTCGCAAGCTTCTGAAGCTTCCGTTTCTTGAATTGGCTGAGCATCTCCGTCTGGGAGGTTTGGACTCTCATCGACCGCAGGCTCGCCTTCAGTCTGACCCTTGTCAACTTGTTCTGGAACACTCTTCTCGTCAACATGCTCTGCCTCGATTCCATGATCCTGATCAGCCTTAGGATCTGGTTGGTCCAATTCTTGGGCATCTGCGACGACTTTCTCAGGCTCCACGGTTTCGGTCGATACTTCTGGCTCTTTGCCTTCATCCAGTGCTTCTCCTGGCTCTTGATTTTTGCCGTCCTCGTTATCCTCTTGATCTATCATAGCAATGTCTTCCTTGGCCTCACTCTTTTCTCCCGCAGCCGCACCGGACACAGGACCAGACTCTTCGCTTCCATGAGTCATTTCTTTCGTGCCAACTTTGCCATCAACGGCCGCATCGTTCGATTCATCCTTTTCCGCAGCAACATCCTCTGTGCTCTGTAGAACTGGATCATTTGGCAAGATAAGTGCAGCCAACTCCATCAAGGTTGGTGCGGGTTCAGCAACAACTTCTGCAGGGGCGACTGGTGTTGGTTCATCGACAGCCGCAGGGAAGCCTGGAACAGATGATGCTTCAGTTTCTGTACTGGGCACTGTATTCGGGCCAGTCATGTTTGCTAGATCGGATTCGCTGGTCTCTGGTGTTGATACCTCCCTGGGTACTTCTGATGTGCTGTCTTCTGGTGTTCCTGGCTCGTTTGATGGCCCAGGGGTCGCTATTTCGACTGCATCGTTCGTTGAAATGTTGGATGCATCATTTGCTTCGACTGCAGGATCCGATATATTGTCTGTGTTCTTTGGTCCCTCTGTTGTTGACGAAGAAGGTTCGGCAGCTTCGTCCTTTTGCGCAGTCGAAGCCTCGGCCCCAGGTACGTCGTCGGTCGTTCCTTCCGCTGGCGCGTCATTAAGCTCTTCTGCCTTTGGTGCCATTGCACTATCAGACTGGGGTTCCACATCGGCTGGCGTACTGTCTTGATCTTGAGGAACACTATCCATCGGAGGGTCCTGAGGTGGAGAGTCCGACTCTGGCTTAGCTGAAGCTGTTTCCTCTTCATTATGTAGAGGCTCTTCGTTGGGTTCGGCAACGCCCTTCGCCTCCTTGTTCTGGTCTCCTTCTTCCAGAGATGGTTCTATAACATCGAGCTCAGGTGGAGAGGATATGACAGCGAGCGCATCATCCTCTTTCTGCTCAGGTGCCTCGACTTCGACAGTTTTCTCGATCCCTGCGTTGAGGTCAGGAGATGGATCGGCAGTGGCGGGAGTGGGCTCAAGCTCCTCGTGCTGACCAGGCACAGCAACAACGACAGTGTCTGCAGCCTGGACAACCTCTGAGATCTTTTCCTCCTCGCCTGGCGACATTGCTGTGTCAGCGTCATCAGCACGAGGACTCTCTTCCTTTTCAGGCTGCTCATCAACCTGCGGTTGCTCGACCGCACCAGCCTCTTCGGCGGCAGCCTCAAGATCAGGTATTACAGTGTCCTCGACCTCATCTTTCACACCAGTCTCGTCAATAACTTGCATCCCTTCAACTCCAACAACCTCTATAACACACCCACTCGGTGGTGGCGAAGGCGCAGGCGGCGGTGGAGGCGGGATTGCCTCACCACTCTCAACCTCAACTCCCTTCCCGCCCCTAACTTTGACCTTCTTCTTACTCTTCGGTTTAGCAACAGTTTTGGCTTTCCCCTCTCTCAGCGGTATAATCTCCACAGGTCTCTCTACATGACGAGATTTGCTATTTTTGCTGCTGGACTTCTTCTTGTTGGATTTGGAAGGTTTG